TTGTTGATTGTGAAAAGCTTGTCGTGAGGGTCATTCTGAAAAAAAACATTTTTTTTATAAATTTTGAAAACAAAACACTCACATTAACATTTATAGTTGTCCAAAATCCAAATTTTTCACGATTACTCACATGACATGTGAGAATATTCATCCCAATCATTTCATTTTGACTGAATACACTTGTCCTCGAACTTTCACAATCATAAATTTTCTGGAAAAAATTGGGCTAACGAAGTTTGTATGAACATATTTTTTTAATGTATTCAAAGAATGTGATAATTTTGTTGTTTGAAATTTTCGGGAATTTTCAATATTTAGTTAGACTTGGAAAAATTTTGAACATTGTAATATGAGCAATGGTTTTGTAGGCGTTGCTCACGTTAGGATTCAATATTTTTTTCATAAATAATTCAAACCAACCTCCAAGAAACTTGTTCGAAAACATCGTACTGGTTGATTTGAGCTCGGATGATTCACAATTTCGCAATCAATAATTGTTGCCATAATAATAATTCCACGATTCTGTTTGTGTGGCCTCCATTGAACAAATTGATCTACCTTCTCGAATTTATCAATAATTCTTCGTTCCACTGGTTTCCCACCTATCATATTCCAACACTTTGAACTATTAGATGTGACTTCGAGACAATCACCCATTGATAAAAATCGATTCGAATCATTTTTTCGCATTATCATTTCCTGAATGTTTTTGAATCTATATTTCTTTAAAGTTAGAGTAACTTACATCATGAGAAGAAGCAACAAAAAAAGTTTCCCGTGTATCTCCAATGATGATCGCCCTTTCCCAATTCATATTTGAGTGATTCTAAATTTACGAAAGATTTCAAATACATCAAAAACTGAGAGTTGAAAATAAGAAAATTCCGAAGTTTTTCACGGAGAAATTTGAAGTTCAGAAAATTATATAAAATAAAATGTATTAAATAAAAACAAAACAAATTGCAATTTTTAACAATAAATTACATGAAAACTATAAAATTACCTATTTACAAATCAAAAAGTAGTTGATTAATATTATCCATTGCAATTTCATCAAATCTTCGCATTTCTTCACAAACTTCTTGAGAAGACAACATTTCACGGAACATTACGACGAGCTAAAAAATATAATTGAAATTTCTAATTTTAATTTTAATTTCAGACTAACCTCTTTATATTTTTGTAGATCTTCTTCATTCACTTCAACTCTTGATGATCCCGATTTTCTATCATCCAGATCCTGATTGTTTTTCTTCAATCGAATCTCTTCTGCAATCGCATTTCCAAGATCTTCTCTCAATTTTTCAGGAATCGGCATATTATTTGCAGTCAAATATTCATATCTTGTCTTCAATTTTTTCAAATTCGTCTGAACTTTTGATAGATCATCATTATAACTTCGAGATGTTGATGGAATACTACTTGTATCATCTCTTTTTCTCGAAGGTGGTCTTGAAGTTTCTCTCGATCTTCGTTCATATTCTCGATTTCTCTGATCAACAATATCAAAATCTTCACGGGGTCTTGATTTTTCCCTTTCATTTTCATGTTTCATTGGAGGTCTCGATGTTTCTCTCGATCTTCTTTCATATTCTCGATTTCTTTGATCAACAATATCAAAATCTTCTCTAGGTCTTGATCTTTTTCTTCTACGATCAAAATTATCTCGATAATTTGATCTTTCAGGTGATCTCATTGGTGGTCTTGAATATTCTCTTATTCTCGATCTTCTATTCGCTTCCTGATCCCATGAATCATCGGAATCATTTTCTTCTGCTGGTTGATGACTCGGTTTTCTGCTCACTGATCTTGATTTTCTCAAATCACTTAAAAATCGATTAATACAATATTTGTTCTAAATATGTACTCAAAAACTTACCTATCCTCAAATTCTTCTTCTCTTGATGGTCTCGATCTTTCTCTCCTATTTAAATCCGTCGAATTACCATAATTTCCATTATTCCTAGGTGTTCTTGATCTTCCTCGACTTCTAAATACATCATTTTCAGCTTCCTCATCCCAATGTTCTTGTTTTTCTGATAAAACAAATCGAATTCCTCTTTCATGCGGAAAATAATGAACCCAAGCTTCACCGTGAAACGATTTCAGCATCCCATATTTTTCTGAGAAAATATCAGAGCTCATGATATTAGAGCTCATAATAATCTTACCCAGTGTGCCAGTTAAATCAACCACAATTCCAGCACATTGTTGACTCATCATCTCTGGATAACATCCTTGTTTCCATGTATTTTTATCGAAATTCACAGACACTTTAACTTCACATCTATTCGCAAAAAATCTTGTTGGAAAAACATCATTGACAAATTGAACATCACTGAATTCATCCATTCGATAAGAACTATTCAATGAGAATGACACCCAAGTTCCGGAATATTTTATTTTTGGAATATTACCTCTGAAAAATCGTAATTTAGAAAATATTTTTTAAAAATTCCAACCTCATTTCTTCCATGAACAACACTTGTTCTCTTTTATATGGAACCCAGAAATAAATATCATTTCGCCCATTTTTTGATTGATCTCTTTGCATTTCGAGAGCGATGCCATTGCAAAAAAATTCGGTTACTTGGCGCATTTTTCTGAAATTTTTTTGGATCAATTTTCCAGGATTCAAAACATTACCTTCTCATCAGGATTTCTAAAAATCTCGATCAAAGTCCAAAAATGCGGATCGCGATGCTCCATTAGTTCTCATCATAACCGCCTTCATTTTCATCAATTCTCGCTCAGAATACATTCCAGTTAACGAATATTCACTGTCATAAATTTCCTCAATAAAATCAGTTCGAAAAACATCGAACAATTCGATCGGTTCCTGGAATCGGTCTCATTCTAACATCAATAATATCCGCCATAATTATAATACCCTTTCGATTATTTTGATATTTCCATTCAACAAAAAAGCTGGAACCTTCTCGAAATTTTCGACAACTCGTTTGATTTCTCGAAATCCAGCCGGATTTCTCCAATTCGTTGTGCTTGTTGATAAAATATGCAAACAATCACCCATTGCTAAATTACGGGTTTTATCATTTTGACGCATTATAACCTCCTGAACTAGCAAAATTTTTGAGAAATATTTTTTAAAAAATAAAAAAAACCACTCACCTCATTTGATGTGATAATGAAGATAGTTTCCGATGAAGACCCCAATATTATGCCTCTCTCCGGATTTTCCCCCGACATTCTAAAGTAAAAGAAAAAAGTAGTTCAAATAATGTATAAATCATGAAAATAAGAAAATTCCGAAGTTTTTTCACGGAGAAATTTGAAGTTCACAAAATTATATAAAATAACATGTATTAAATAAAAACAAAACAAATTGCAATTTTTAACAAAAAAGTACATGAAAAGTGTAAAATTACCTATTTACAAATCAAAAAGTAGTTGATTAATATTATCCATTGCAATTTCATCAAATCTTCGCATTTCTTCACAAACTTCTTGAGAAGACAACATTTCACGGAACATTACGACAAGCTAAAAAATAATATTGAAATTTCAAATTATAATTTAAGGCTCACCTCTTTATATTTCTGTAGATCTTCTTCATCCACTTCAACTCTTGATGATCCCGATTTTCTATCATCCTGATCCTGATTGTTTTTCTTCAATCGAATCTCTTCTGCAATCGCATTTCCAAGATCTTCTCTTAATTTTTCAGGAATCGGCATATTATTTGCAGTCAAATATTCATATCTTGTCTTCAATTTTTTCAAATTTGCCTGAGCTTTTGATAGATCATCATTATAACTTCGAGATGTTGATGGAATACTATTTGTATCATCTTTTTTTCTCGAAGGTGGTCTCGATGTTTCTCTCGATCTTCGTTCATATTCTCGATTTCTCTGATCAACAATATCAAAATCTTCTCTAGGTCTTGATCTTTCTCTTCTACGATCAAAATTGTCTCGATAATTTGATCTTTCCGGTGATCTCATTGGTGGTCTTGAAGATTCTCTCATTCTCGATCTTCGATTCGCTTCCTGATCCCATGAATCATCAGAATCATTTTCTTCTTCTGGTTGATTACTTGGTTTTCTGCTCACTGATCTTGATCTTCTCAAATCACTTAAAAATCAACTAATACAATATTTTTTCTAAATATGTATTCAAAATCTTACCTATGCTCAAATTCTTCTTCTCTTGGTGGTCTCGATCTTTCTCTTCTATTAAAATCCGTCGAATTATCATAACTTCCATTATTCCTAGGTGATCTCGATCTTCCTCGACTTCTGAATACACCATTTCTAGGTTCCTCATCCCAATGTTCTTGTTTTTCTGATAACACAAATCGAATTCCTCTCGTTGGTTCATGCGGAAAATAATGAACCCAAGCTTCTCCGGAAAATGAATTGAGCCTTTTGTAAAATCCTGAAAATGTCGAATTTTTTAAAGGTGATCAATTGGCGAATCAAAAAAATTTTCAAATTTTATTTTTATATGAAAATTGTGAAACGTATTTTTTGAAGGCAGCATTTGGAATTGAAATTTTCAAATTTTGGCGGCAAAAAAAAAAAATGAAAAAACACTCACGTAAAGTATCAGTTACATCAGCAATCAATCCACAATGTGCACTCGAAATTTCTGGATACCCTTTTCCATTCCAAGATTCCACATCGAAATCAACCAAAACTTTGACTTCATATCGATTTTTAAAAAATCGAGTTGGTAGAACATCATCAATCAATTCAACAACACTATTTTCATCCATTTTACTATTCATATTCACTGTGAACATGATCCACTTTCCAAAAAACTTCATTTTATTAGTTGTTCCTCTAGAAAAAAAATCTTCAATTATGTAACTTATTCTGTAAATATATATACGAACCTGATATGTTCTGGAAAACAAATTGACTCACGACGATAAGGAATCCAGAGATAAATATCATCTCTACCATTTTTCGATCGATATTCTGTAGCTTCCAAACAAATACCCTTTTTAAGAATTCGACGATCATACGAATTTTGCTTAAAAAAGGTTTGTTTTTTCAATTTACGGTTCGTTTTTTTGATGAAAACTCACCTGTGTCGCGTCCCTGATTTCATTGATATCCAAAACAGCCCAAAATCCATTTTTACCACTGCTAACGATATGAACTGCAACAAGTTTCATGTTCATCAGTTCGCGTTCAGTGTACATATCGGTTTTCGAAACATCGCTATCGTAAACTTCCTAGAAAAAAATATTTTGTTCAAAAATTTCTCCGAAAATTTTATCAGTTTCGAGAACACAAAAATGATTGAGAAATTCAATTTCTCAGACCTAAATTTAACTTTTCTAGAACATAAAATAATACATTTCTATTGATTTTCAAGTTTTCACTGAATTCAAACCAAGTTTTGGTCGTTTCACAGTAATTCACTACCCCAAATCGCTAGACCTCAAATTTTTCAATAATTTTTCTCTAAATCTCTTATTTTTCCGTTGATTCCGTCAATTTTTAGTCCCACCCCTATAAGATTGTGTCAGGTCTCAAAAAATGCGCGAAATTTTTGGGGTAGGGAAAACCGATAGGCTTCATCAAAAAAAACGAAAAAAATTCACGAAAATTCATTTTTTATGATGAAAATCCATAATTTAAATAGGATGAGAAAGTGAATTTCTCAACCATTTAACTAACTTATTTTCAATTTGAAATACAGTAGAATGATCTGAAGTTCAGATTCTGATCAACAAAAAAATACCTCAAGAAACGGCGTGCGAAAGCATCGAACAAGTCCATTAGTATTCGGATGATTACACAAACGAACATCAATAATTTGAGATATTATAAAAATGCCATTCTTGTTGGTTTGAAGACTCCACTCGACGAATGTCTCGATTTTCTCGCAATTTTCAACAACTCCTTTCATCTCAAATGATCCACTTGGATTTCTCCATCGAGTCTCGCTTTTCGATAAAATATTCAAGCAATCACCAACTTCAAACAGATTATTTTTACGCATAATGAATTCCTGAATTTTTTTACGTTTCGTGGTTTTTTTCCAAAACTCACATCATTCGAAGTTGTTACGAAAAACGTTTCCTTTGAGCAACCCGTAATTATTCCTCTCTCCGGATTTGCATCCGACATTCTGCAGAAAAAAGTAGTCAATTTAACTAAAATCAAAAAAGTTCCAAATATTTTTTCGAAATCTGACGAAAAAAGTTTCCAAAAAAATTAGTTTTGGTCCAAAACAGTTTATTCAATATGAAAATGAGAACAGATGCAAAAATTAAAGCAAACCTTTTAGGAAATTTATAAATAATATTATTATAGTTCAAAAATAAGTCGATTGATATTTTTCATAGAACGTTCGTCAAATTTTCGCATTTCATCGCAAACTTTCTCACACGACATCATATCACGGAACAAAGTGACAAGCTGAAATTTTTTTAATTTATAAATCTTCCCAAAAAATAAATCAACCTTTTTTATATTTTCTCAATTCTTCCCCATCAATCTCAATCTTCGCCAATTCTCTTTGTTTTCGAATTTCAGAAATTCTTGAATGATTCTCATCAAAATCATCATAATTAAAATTCTTGATTTTCGCCGAATTTTGCTCTTCAATTCTAGCCTTTTTCAATTCTTCTATCAATTTTTCCGGTATTTCCATATCATTTTCAGTCAAATAATCATATTTCTTTTTCAATTTATTCAAATTGTTTCGAATTGATTGAGATTCCTCGAAACTTCTAGATGTTGATGGAATACTGTTTGTATCATCCCTTTTTTCTGATTTATCATATCTCAATTTTCTTCTGTAGGAGTTTTCGTCTGGTTTTCGAGGTTGATCCCAAGAGCTGAATGAAAATTGATTTTTTTTTGTTCCAAAAAAAAAAATTCAACTCACTCAACATCAGAATCCGGTGAAGCTAGTCTTCTTTGTTCATTCAAATTTTCATCATAAAATTGAATTCTTGGCTCTCGCGATGTTTCAAATCTAAAAATCCTTCTTGAAATTCAATCTCAAGTTCCGATAAGTCTCACCGATCCCATTCATTTTGCTTTTCCGAAAGAACAAATCGAATATCTCTTGATAAATCGTAAGGAAAATTATAAACCCAAGCCGAATCAGTAAAATTTCTCAATCGATTGTATCGTTCTGAAGGTATTATAAAAAAATTTTAAAAATTAAAAACAAATTAAAATACCTAATGTTGCTGATGTATCCACCACAATTCCACAATCTCTACTCCTCAATTCAGGAACTCGAATTCTGTTGTCACAATCATATTCAAATGAAACATTTACCCTAACTTCAAATGAATTTGAATGAAATCTAGTTGGTAGAACATCATCAATAATTCGAATATCGCTGTTAACATCGATTTCACAAACACCAGGAGAAACCGAAAACGAGATCCAATTTCCCAAAAATTTTTCTCGCGGTTGATTTCCTCTGAAAACACATTAAATAAATTTTTTTTCAAAAAATTTCTAACACAAAAAAAATACCTGACACTCGGAGAAAGTACAAGACTTCGTCGTCTTCCGGGAACCCAAACATAAATTGTATCAAGTCCAGTTTTTGATGGCAAATTTAGCACGATTCCTTCTAACATGTTCCTATCACTCGTGAAATTTTGCAGGGATCCGTTGAATTTTCTTTCATAGCCAAGAAGCGCCCAAAAATATTTCTTTTCTGAATTGGTGACTCGAATAGCAACAGCTTTCATATTTAATAAATCCGAATCGGTTAGACCGAATGTTTTTGTATCAACATCACTATCATAAACTTTCTGGAATTGTTTTTATTAAAACACTGTGCACATTTTGGTCTTGGGAAGCCTTAGGAAGCCCTTAAAAGCCTTTAAAAGCCCTTAAAAGCCCTTAGAAGCCTTCAGAAGCCTTAGGAAGCCTTTAGAAGCCTTAGGAAGCCTTAGGAAGCCTTTAGAAGCCTTAGGAAGCCTTTAGAAGCCTTTAGAAGCCTTAGGAAGCCTTTAGAAGCTTTTAGAAGCTTTTAGAAGCCCTCAGAAGCCTTTAGAAGCCTTCAGAAGCCTTAGGAAGCCTTTACAAGCCTTAGGAAGCCTTCAGAAGCCTTTAGAAGTCCTATGAAGCCTTTAGAAGCCTTTAGAAGCTTTTACAAGCCTTAGGAAGCCCTTAGAAGCCTTTAGAACCCTTAGCAAGCCTTTAGAAGCCCTTAGAAGCCTTTAGAAGCCTTGGGATGCCTTGGGAAGCTTTGGGAAGCCTTCAGAAGCCTTCAGAAGCCTTAGAAAGCCTTTAGAAGCCTTAGGAAGCCTTTACAAGCCTTAGAAAGCCTTCAGAAGCCCTTAGAAGCCTTAGGAAGCCTTTAGAAGCCTTAGGAAGCCTTTAAAAGCCTTTAGAAGCCCTTATAAGCCTTAGGAAGCCTTTAGAGCCCCCAAAAATTTCAAAATTACCTCAAGAAACTTGGTCCGCACACATCGAACCGGTCGCTTCGAATACGGATGATTTTCAATTGTCACCTCACAAATATCCGACTTCAGAATCGCAGCATTTTTCGTTTTCAACAATTCCCACTCGACAAATTGTGCACATTGCTCATGTTTCAACACAATTCCTCGATGTTTTTGACCATTCGATGTATCGACAATACCAAATGTGAAATTCATACAATCGCCTATTTTGAAAGTGTGGTTCGTCGAATTTTTGCGTAAAAAATATTCCTAAAGTTTCGCGGTTTTTTTCAAAATTTTATGAAAAAAATAACATTTTTCAATGAAAATTACCTCATTTCTTGACGCAACATAATAACATTCATTCGAAATACCAACAACAATTCCCTTCTCCCACCTTTCATTCATTTTTGATTCTATTTCTAGATCAGATTAAATTAGATACATCTGAACACCATTCGATAAATCTGCCGATTCAAACGACGCAACTTATAAAATCAAATTCCGAAAAAAATAAATATGTATTGTATAAATACAGACCCGGAAAGCTATTTAACAATATTTCAAATACTTTCAAATCACAATTCCAAAATAAGTCGATTGATATTTTTCATAGAACGTTCATCAAATTTTCGCATTTCATCGCAAACTTTCTCACACGACATCATATCACGAAACAAAGTGACAAGCTGAAATTTTTTTTAATTTATAAATCTTCCCAAAATAAATCAACCTTTTTATATTTTCTCAATTCTTCTCCATCAATCTCAATCTTCGCTAATTCTCTTTTTTTTCGAATTTCAGAAATTCTCGAATGATTCTCATCAAAATCATCATAATTAAAATTCTTAATTTTCGCTGAATTTTGCTCTTCAATTCTAGCCTTTTTCAATTCTTCTATCAATTTTTCCGGTATTTCCATATCATTTTCAGTCAAATAATCATATTTCTTCTTCAATTTCATCAAATTGTTTCGAATTGATTGAGATTCCTCGAAACTTTTAGAAGTTGATGGAATACTGTTTGTATCATCCCTTTTTCTCAAATCTGAGTTATCATATCTCGAGTTTTCTTTATCCTTCCTGTAGGAATTTTCGTTTCGAACTTGATCCCAAGAACTAAAAAATTTTTTGTCAAATATTTTTTTTTCTTTTTTCAAAAAAAAGAGAAACTTACTCTACTGAACTTCTTTCGCTTGCTGATCTTTCGCGCCTAAAATTCTGTTCTTTTCGATATCTTTCTGGCGATTTATAGTCCCATTCTTCCTGTTTATCCGACAAAACAAATCGAATATTATTCCGAATATCATAGTGAAAATGATAAATCCAAGCCTGACTCGTAAATGTTGAAAACCTCTGGTATTTTTCTAAAAAAAAAAATGAAAAAATTCTTCAAAAATCAAAAAATGCTCACCCAAAACATATTCTTTGTCCACAATTTCCTCCAAATCCCTCACTTTCCAGCACAATATCTGCTGATCTACCATTCCAATTCTCTCTAATAAATCGTATTTTCACTCGAATTTCGATTCTTCCATTATATAAACGTGTTGGATAAACATCTTCAATCAATCGAACATTACTACCATTGTCGATTACATAAGAAGAGGGTGGGAGAGTGAATGAAATCCAATTGCCAAAAAAATGACTGTCGGGGTGATTACCTCTGTAAAATGACTTGAGTATACTATAGTTTTGAGCTGTTTTTGTCTGACAAGGGAACTGTTTCAACTTTCACTCTAGATTTTTAATAAAATATATGTTTTCCAGTAGTTTTCGACTCGCTGATCACGATTCAGTCATCTAAAATTGCAGAACTCAACTCCTAACATGAGTTATGACGTGGAAAAGTTCGAAAATTTCGAAAAATGGCTACTTTAAGAGGTCAAAACTCGCTTTAAAAAATGGTTTTCATAAAAATCTGATGGCATAGGGTTGTTCAGGAAGGTCGATTACCTAAGTAAACTTCAAATTTTCAATTTGTGATCAATTTTGAAAACATTTTTTTGAAAAATCTTCTGGACCTTCCTGAACAGCCCTATGCTATTAAAACCATTTTTTAAAGCAAGTTTTGACCTCCTAAACTCGCAATTTTTCGAAATTTTTGAACTTTGCCACGTCATAACTCATTTTGAGTTCTGCAATTTCGGGGATCTTGTTCAGCGGGTCGAAAACTACTAGAAAACATATATTTCATTTAAAATCTTCCCTTGTGACAATTCCGATTTCTATCAACTGGTTTTTCAAACCAGGAGACAAACTTTTGATTTGAAAATTTCAAATTTAAATTGATTCAAATAAATCGTTAGAGCAATAAACAACTAACCTCGCACTCAATGGAAAAATCACATCTCGATCTCTAAACGGCACTCGAACATATAAATTATCAGTTGTATCTTTGCTTGGTATCATCATCACAATTCCTTTCATCTCAACTCTCCCATTCGGATTTCTATCAGATATAACATTTAAAGCAGCCCAATAAGAGTCATTCCAATCATTTGTGATACGAACCGCCACAACTTTTTTGCCCAAAAGTTCTCGTTCGGAGAAATTACTTGTTCTCAGCGTACGACCACTATCGTAGACTTTCTGAGGAAGATTTTTTTAAATTTCGAAAAAAATTTTGATCCGAACCTCTAGAAACCTGGTTCTGAGACATCTCACATCCTTCTTCGAATCTTCATGATATTCCACCGCCACATCAACAATTTCCGAAATCAAAAGCGCCGCATTCTTCTTATTCTGCATTTCCCACTCAATAAACTTCTCACATCTTTCATATTCCAAAACTTCCCTCCGAATTTTGAAGCCACTCTCTTTCCAACTACTTTTTGATGCGGTGAATCGTATACAATCTCCAATTTGGAATATTTCACGTGAAAAGTTTCGACCAAGCAAAACTTCCTGAAGGCTTGATAATTGCGATTAATTAATTAATTAATTTGAAACTAATTGTAAACCTACATCATAACTAGACGCTATAAAATAGAATTCACAAGAAATCCCAACAATCACACCTTTTTCCCAAGACATTTCTGAAAACTTTAGTTTTTCACTGCAAAAATTAATTGTTAAATACAAAAAAGTTGGTCAATAACCTAAAAAAAAACCTGGGGATTAATGAGAGGCCAAAAACACAAAACTTTTATTTTATTATGTCGCGCAAAATGAAAAATCGAAAAATACTTGGGATGGAAAATGCTAAAGCCAAAAAAAAAAAAAAAAGGTCCTGTAAATAATCAAAATAATTGTCAAAAAAAAAAAAAAGAAAAAGGAAAAAAGTGAATTCGAAACAAGAAGAAGAAGAAGAACAATTCTAGCGAGTAGAACTTGGAAAAATCTAATAATAAGCTCGCAAAAATATTGGTCTGGAAAAGAAATTGAACTATTTGACAACAAGAAAACGGGCTAACATAAGAAAATTCGATGTTTTTAGTGTGGTCGAGAAGCTGGTCGTCGGAAACTTCCATTTCTCGGTCGTTGCTCTTGATTTTCGATATTTTCCGAATTTTCGGAAAGTATCGAAGATTCTCCATTCGACATTGATGAAACAACAAGTTTTCGGAACATTTCCTGGAAAATTTTTGAATTGGAAATAATTTCAGAACCTGTTAACATGAACATTTGATTTTTCTAGGCGCGGCTACTTGAAACCTGGAATTCCTAGGCTCGGCTACTTGGAATAGAAGCTCTCAAGGCGCGGCTCCTTGTCAGAGTGGATCTCTAGGCGCAGGTCCTAGACAATCAGGTTCTCAAAGAAGATTTTAAAGGTTGAAAGGAATATTTCAAGAAATTGATAAAAACAGAATTTTACACTAATTTTGGAACCTTTTTCAAAATAATTTTAGAACTTAATATGAGCAATCCTTCAATATTTCTAGTATTTTCCACAAAAAATCTCCAATTTGAATTATTTTTGTTAGCATAGAAGCTCTCAAGGCACGGCAACTTGAAAACCTGGAATTCCTAGGCTCGGGTACTTGGTATAGATTCTCTGAAGGCGCGGCAACTTGACAACTACGATTTACAGGCTCGGCTACTTCCCATAGAAGCTCTCAAGGCATGGCTCCTTGTCAGAGTGGATCTCTGGGCGCTGGTCCTTGAAATCTAGGATTTCAAGGATCGGCTACTTGGCATAGAAGCTCTTAGGGCGGTGATCCTTGAGAATTAAAATTCCTAGGCGCGGCTTCTTGTCAGGGTGGATATCTAGAAGCGATTTCTAGACAATGAGGTTTCTTAGACGCGGCTACTTGAGATATAGCCTCCCTAGGCGCTGATCCTTGTCAGAGTGGATATCTAGATGCGAGTCCTAGACAATGAGGTTTCTTAGGCGCTGCTACTTGAGAAAAAGCCTCTCTAGGCTCGGCTACTTGCCATACTGGATCTCTAGGCGCTGATCCTTGAGAATTAAACTTCTAGGTTCAGCTACTTGACGTAGAAACTCTCAAGGCGCGGCTGCTTGTCAGAGTGGATCTCTAGATGCGGGTCCTGGACAATTAAGATCTCTAGGCTTGGCTACTTGTCATAGAAGCTCTCAAGGAGCGGGTCCTTGCAAAAGTGGATCTCAAGGCGCTGGTCCTTGACAACTGAAACTTCTAGGCTCAGCTCCTTACAGAGAAGCTCTCAAGAACTTAAAATTCAGAACACAATTTCCCCCCTTCCTCAAAAAAAATCAATAAAACATCTCTCCCACCTGCAAATTAACCGCAATCATCGCAATCGCCACACTATTATTCGCACCTCTCGGAATAATAACATCCGCATACTTTTTCGTCGGTCGACAAAATTCCTCGAAAGCCGGCTTCACATATTCGGTGTATTGTTCGATGGCCGAAATCGGTGAGCGATTGTATTCTTTCACATATTTTTGTACTTGAAAATATTGATTTTTGAACACGAAAAAAAAAGTTTTAAAAATGTTTTTTTCAACATTTAAAGATCAATTTACGAAAAGTCAAAGAATGTCGAAAGTTTTTCAAGGTTTTTCATCCAAAAATGATGACAAATCAATATTTTTCAAGCTTCTGGAGTAATTTCTGATCAAAATTGACCTTGGAATTCACTTTCCAGAAGGTTTTGCTGATTTTTCGTAAAATAAAAAAATTTTAAATTTACTTTCTGATGAAAATAAGCTTTGAGAACCATATTTTGCTTTTTCGAAATTGATCAAGAATTTTATTTCACGAAAAATCAACAAAACCTTCTGGAAAGTGAATTCCAAGGTCAATTTCAATCAGAAATTACTCCAGAAGCTTAAAAAATCTCGATTTGTCATCATTTTTAGCTGAAAAACCTTGAAAAACTAATTTTTTTTCGACATTTTTTGACTTTTGATCTTTCGATATTAAAAAAACATTTTTTTAAACTCACATCTCGCATTCAATCTCACTTCGGCGCTGTTTTCAACGAATAATTTGGCCGACAGGCAATTTCGAACTTTCTCATCGTACAATAACAATATTCCTTCGATGATCACAACATCAGCGGGTTCGATTGTATCGTGGCCAACACTAGAAAAGATTTTCAGACTTAAAAAAAACAAAAAAAAGTCCTCACATCGAACTCGTAGTCATATCATATTTGGCGATCTCCACAGTATTTCCCTCCATCATATTTTCCAGGGTTTTTGCGCATTTCTCGAAATCAGTCGCGTCCGGGTGATCGAAATTGTATTTTCCGTCGGCCGCCAGCTTTTTCTGCTCCTCGTTGAGCTCTTTGTAGAATGAGTGCATTTGGAGGTGGACGATTCGGGATTGCTGAAAAATGTTTACAATTAGGCTAGAAATTTCAGACGTTTTTTTGTGTTTCATGCTGAAAATCACGGAATTTCAGCGGATTTTTTCAGAAGCTGAAAATTCTGTAACTTTAAAATCTTAATTTTACATCTTAATTTTACGTTCTAGCTGGAAAATCCAGATTTGTGATCATATTTGCCACGTGGATCTTTGATTCCAAATTTTTAAAATTTAAAATTTGCCACGTGGATTTGAGGTTTCAAAATTTTCAAAATTTAAAACTTCCACGTGAATTTTTTGTTCTAACTTTTTGAAATTTTCAAATTTCCACGTGGTTTGTTGGCGCGAAAATTTTCCAAATTAAAAATTGCCACGTGGATCTTCGGTTCAAAAATTTTTAAATTTTAATTTTACAAATTGCCACATGGATCTTTGGTTCCAAAAATTTCAAAATTTAAAATTGCCACGTGAATTTTTTGTTCTAATTTTTTTTAATTTAAAATTTCCACGTGGTTTTTCCGGTTTCAAAATTTGAAAATTCAACAATTCCACGTGGATCTTTGCTTCAAAAATTTTCAAATTTTGCCACGTGATTTTCCGGCTCAAAATTGTTAAATTTTCAAATTTGCCACGTGGATATTCGGTTCCAAAATTTTTGAATTTTCAAATATTCCACGTGGTTTGTTGGCACGAAAATTTTCAAAATTTGAAACATACCACGCCCAGGGTGAAGCATATGCACGGCGCCAATAATTTTTTTATCCAACAATTTTATTTTTACTTGAAACCACAGTGCCAAAAAAAGCGGAAAAAATAAAGTATATCTTGGCAATCACACCCGCTTCCACAAAATGTGTGGTAGTTCAGTCGGTTAGGCGCGCGAGTTTTTGTTCATAAGGTCCCAGATCAACCCCCGCCTCCTCCTAAATTTTTTATTTTGCTTTCGAATTGTCTGAAATTTAGAGTTTTGTATATTTTCGACATTTTTATTGATTTTTCCCAATCAAATAGTGTTCTAAATGGCCTTTACCAGGTGTAAACAAAAAACTAGACTGTTTTACGTGTTATTTGAGGAATAAAACGTGACCGTGCCTGTTTTTTCGCAAATTTTGAAGAGCTCATCTCAGACTGCACCAATTGCCTCGTTCTTGGTCGCAAAAGGTGCACCGGCGAAAAATAATATGAGTTTCTATTACGGGTTTTGCTTAATGATACGAAAAAAAAGTTTTTCTTCATCAAAAACTGCATTTGAGGAAAAATTCAATCGGCACGGTCAAGAATAACTTGAGTTAGAGGAAATTTCCACCTCGCATTTTTGGTTTTATTGAAAGCCCAGCTTTTTTTGATGTATGTAGGCTGTTGAAACAAAGAATTTGATGCCGTAAGACATTTTCTTTTCAGTTTTGAAAAAAAAATCATTGAAATTGAATTTGAAATGAATAGTTGTTCTTATTTCATCCATTTCCTGATGTTTTCACCTGGGTAGGGCACTGGAGGATCTCCAACAACAATGTTCAATCGGATTGGGCATTTGATTCTGAAGTTATTACCCAAAAACTGCTATCCCACACAATAACAACGTCGCTGTTGCACACACAAAAACATCGAACTTATCAAGGCAAACAAACAAGGCGGTTAGCAAGTGTGTGTGTGGCCTAGTGGATAATTTTTTGACTTGCAAACTCATAACAAAAGTTCGAGTTCGACTTTCAGCGAAATTTTTTATTTTTTTTAAATTTTGTTCTGAATTTTTAGAATAAGGGAAAATGAATTTGAATGCTAAAATCTTTCGAACTTTGTAAAAATCTGTGGAAAAGAAGACATCCAGAAATGTTTCCTAATCTTTGGACCAGGGATTGATTGCAGACAGACGTTGAAAGTAGAAATACAAAACGCGGTGAATTGAAGACATAAGCAAAATCGTGCATTTCCAATAACAAAAATTCACAAATGAAAGCATGCAAACAATAAATTAGAACACAAACATCCTCAGGAAAATGAGTACTCCGGAGAAACACGAAAGGGGCTATTTTCTCCAGTGCTACCCAAGAATGCACTAATTCTCACCAAACTTCCCGAATTCACTCCGGAGAAACACGAAAGAGTCGTGATTTTCAGCGCTCGTCGATTTCCCCTTTTTACTCCGGAGTAACTCTGGTGTTTCTCTTGATAGAAAAGGGGGAGCTCCGGTGCGATCAAAATTTCAAACTTTTGGATGCGCTGCGCTGCGTCGCGGTCAACTATTGATTTTTTGCATTCGATTTCATTTTTTCGTTTTTCTTTTCTATTTTGAGTTATTTTTCTCAGAAACCACACGTTTTTTTTTGTAAATTTATGTTTCACATGTTTACTTCGCAAACTTAAAGCTTTTTTTTTTAAATAAATTTACTATCTTTTTCATATTTTTCAGTCAAAATGGGCGCGCTGGAAGGAACTACGATTCGAATGATTTTTTTTCGAGGAAGCAAGATTTGTTCATGGGATATTTAAGTGTTCAGGTATGTTTTTAATCAATCTCCGTATTTTCATAAAGTGATTTTTACAGTCGACAACTGGAAAACACAATTCATATTATGCATCAAATCGATTTCGCAATGTGGATCACAGAGTAGATGAAATTCAAAAGTGAGTTTCTTTTCACTTCCTAAAAACCATGACATCTTATATTTCACGAAAATAATCTCAAAAGTTGGTTATAATTGTTGACTTGTTGATTTTCACGAAAATAATCTCAAAAGTTGGCTTTATCTAAGAAAGGAAATCGCTACGATTCCATCTTGAATTTTTCTCTCTAATTCTAAAAATGTGCAATTTTAAGTATATGTTTCATTTTCAGATCATAAAAGCGACAATCAAAACACTTCATGTTACTTGGCAATAGTTATCAACGAAATAGCGATCTACGAAGAAGGATTTGGCTATTTGGTTACCGAAGCGACCATATTTGTGTACTAAATCGAGCCTTAGTAATTGTAATCATTTTAATCATTCAATAAAAGGTGAACTATTCAACGTGTTTTTGATCAAGCGAATCAAAAGCCAGCTGGGAATCTTCTGAAACGCACTGAAAATACATAGAAATTTACCCAATTCGCGCAAAACTTCTCTAAATCGCACCGAAATTCCCCCAAACCTCAACCGAAAACGCTCCAGAGGAGCGCCGAAGCGACCATTTTTCCCCGGAGGAGCACCAGAGCGCACCAAACTACCCAAAAACTTTTTAGGAGAAAAACGAGTGCTAGCACCGGAGTAATTTTCGGCTTTCTCCAGAGCTGTTTATGTGTTTCTCCGGAGTATTCATTTCCCTGAGTCATTACATAAACACAATTAATACAGTTTGAATCGAATTTTTCCATGATCTTCCTGGGAAATATACAAAATTTGTAATAATTTTCTTTTTCCGAATTAGTCATTTTGATGTTTGGGGTCTAGATAAGCTTGATTTTACCGCGCCAAAATGCTCAAGTAAATTTTCGGCCGCTTTTTGAGAATTTTTCAAAAAATGCCTTGTTTTCACCCCGCCAAAATTTTTTCAAAAATCACCCCGCCAATTTCAATTTTTGATCGGCACGAAGCTGGGCGTGGTATGATTTGAAATTGCCACGTGTTTTTCTGGCGCAAAAATTTTCAAAATTCAAAATTTGCCACGTGGATTTTATCTTCCAGAATTTTTGAATTTTAAAATTTCCAAGTGGATTTTAGTTTCCAAATTTTTTTTTGAAACTTAAAACTTCCACGTGGATCTTTGGGTTCAAAATTTGAACATTCAACAATTCCACGTGGATTTTAGCTTCCAAAATTTTCGAATTTTCAAATTTTCCAAGTGGACTCCTAGTTCCAAAATTTTCAAAACTCAATTTTGCCACGTGTTTTCCGCTTCAAACCCTACCCTATCCGATTTCTTATTGGTATTCGTGTTCATATTCAACTTCTCGATGATCGTCCGAACAATTTCCGTTTTTCCACACGATGTTCCACCGGCAACTCCAATAATCAGTGGAAGTTTCGAAAACGTCGGTTTCATCTGCAAATTTTTTTATATAGGAAAAGCTGAGAAGCTGAGATTGTGAAAATGAAGAAAAAAAGATATGAAATCGCTGATTGAACGATTTTCGGGGCGGAATTTTGGTATGAAAAGAGAAAAAACAAGAAAATTTACACAAAAAAAAGAACATCAACAATATCAAAACCAATAGAACTCGTATCAAAAAATATAAAGAAAAATGCCTTGAGCTGCTTTCAAAAAAAAAATAGCTATTCGTATAAAAATCTCTAAACTCTCTAAATTACATTACAGTTTCAGATTCTGAAATTCAAAATCTTGGAAAGTTCTTCATAGGCTTCCGAATTTTCGAGTTTCATCGCTGTTCGAACCTCTTTACACTTCAAAAAATCATTCATAATTGTTCGAAGTCTGAGATCATCCACATTTGTGGTTTTGTTGGCTCTTCTTGTTCGATCACTTGAATTATCGATTGGTGTAGATCCAGAGAGACTCTGAAAAATGATTTTGTCCAAAAATTCATAAAATTCATTTTTATCTACTAGATTAAAGGAGCACACCGTACCACCTGCATATCTAACCGAACATTTCTGTCAAATTAAGTTAGATACGCAGGTTCTACAGTACTTCAACATGCGCCTTGAATTTCGGGGTTTTTGGAGAGGAAATTTTCTATTTTTTCTTTTTTTTTAGGTTTTTGGATTAAAGTCGATAAAAAAAATAGAAAAAAAAAATTAGATTCAGAAAATATCGAAAAAATATTTTTTTCCTTTTTTTTCGCATTTTAACATCAAAAAATCAATTTAAAAAATATGTCCTAAATCTCAATTTTCGGTTAAAATCTGCTATTTTTCAAAAATCTTTGGACAGGAAATGTTCTGTTTTTTTCCTTTTTTTTTTGTTTTTGGATTCAAGTCGATAAAAAATAATAAAATCAATTTTTAAAAATTCCGAAATCTCAATTTTTGGATAAAATTGCTATTTTTACAAAAAACTTTGAAAAATTTCTTTTTTATCACAAAATGATAACAAAATTCTTTCAAGATAAGATTCTTCTGGAAAAACAGATCAAACTGGAAAACTGTTGACCCAAACAACTTGAAAAATTTATCCCAAGCCTAAACAAACCTCATCTTCCAAGCTTCTCTTCCCTCCCGCTCCAATCGTCAAATTATTCAAATCCACATACAACTGTCTCTGATCATTCTCCTCCTGCTTCCTTCGCATCTCCGATCTCTTTCTCCCCTTAAATGCCTCATCATCCTCATCCGAATACCTTCCAGATACAACACTTCCACTTTCCTCATCCGATGAATCTCGATTCCTTGGCGTATAGAATCCATTCGATTTTCTCACACTTGGCACATTTCCAATAACATTCTGTTTTGGTGATATTTTCCATCGACTTTTCGTTGTTTCCCATTTATGTCTCGCAATCCACGCGCAATAAACTTCGCCAATTTGAACATCTCCACTCATTTTATCAACATCCACAATCGATCCAATTATATTATTATGAAAAGCTGGATGTTCTCCATCAAATTCTCCGAAATTCGTCAATTGTACATTGAGTTCCGGAACACCATTGACTACACGGCATTTGATGACGTCATCAATGAAATGTACTTTTTGACAAACTTTGTATCTTGTCTTTCTTTCTTGTAATACTGACATTTCAATCCATCTTCCAGTCATATTTGTCTCCGGGCTGAAAGTTTTTTGGATAAAAATTTTTTAGGAAAAATTTACTCACCAATAATCCTTATGCAAATGCACATCGTGATCAAATTCTTTGCACCAAACCCAAAAAAAATCATCATTTTCATAACCTACAAATCCTTCGACCAATCTCGGCGCTCCAACAGATCGACTTCGAGCTCGCCGTGTAGGAAGCTTCGGAGGTTCTGGCTGAAATTCAGAGCAAATTGATTTAATAAAAAAAATCAGGTACTCACTGGAAGCTGCTCTAGAAGCTTATAGGGAACAAAAATCGTCAAAAACGAATCAATTGGTGAAGATCGTGCTTTGAATTCGAATTTCACTCTAGCCATATCATTTCTGATAACACTTTCAATATCGACAAATGATCCTGGAAAACTTTTTTTCATAATTGTCACAATTGTCACAAGAAACACTGGAAAAAACAGATTTCCCGCATTTATTTTCAAACGACAAAAGAAGCATGTGCGCTCTAGCGATACACTGTGTGCAAACACTTTCGAAATTTCCGAAATTTTATGTGTCGCTAGAGCGCACATGCTGCTTTTGTCGTTTGAAAATGAATGCGGGAAATCTGTTTTTTCCATTGATTTACCGAAAGTCTCGTTAGATAGCAATGCAACGCTTCTTCCACGATAATCCGTGAATCCGGTGACCACAGCCGTTGTAGTAATCTTCAAAAAATATCAAATTTTGAGAGCTAGGTATAATTTTTAACAAAAAACTTACGACAACATGGGTAACTCCAGCATATTCATAGAGTCTGTAATCACTCAACGGGGGAATTTTCTCATATTGAACCACTGTGTATTGAGCACGTTGGTTTGGTTGAAACGGATTTTTGCTGGAAAAAATAATCGATTTTAGTTGCTCTTGTACAATTTATCACGAAAAATCCCGGACTCTCTGAAGAGCCCAAAAAATGAGCCAAAATTCGAGAATTTTGTGAAAATCGACCCTCCTGAACATCACCCTATATTCTATTTTTGATAAAAACCTCTCTAACATGACTTACGGGCTCTCAAAAACACGATTTTCACAAAATTCTCAACTTCTGGCTCTTTAGAGATAACATCATCTTTCTCAGCACTTCCCTCTATCGACTAAATGACATTTTCAGGTTTTTTAAGAAAATGAGTTAAAATATTGGGTTCTAATGTTATTCATATGATAGAATGGTCTAAAACGAACAGAATGATATAAATTTTGATGACTTTACGTTATCCTTAAGTGATTTAGCGACCTTATCGACTAAATCTCGCTAAATCACTTATGGATAAGGTAAATTCATCAAAATTTATATCATTCTGTTCGTTTTAGACTATTCTATCATATGAATAACATTAGAACCCAATATTTCAACTCATTTGCTTAAAAAACATGAAAATATCATTTGGTCGATGCCCAACTATACATACTTTCATATGATTTTTACGTTTCAAGCAAAAAAAAACCCACCGAACTGTAACTCTACAAAAATCCCCATAACTCGCATCACCGGCAATTGCTTTCGGATAAACCGCAGTCACTCCATGTTTGATAACAACAACGAACCAATATTTGGAGCTGCTCGCCGAAATATAACCCTCTTCCCATACGTTCTGTAAAATCTTTTTTTTATAAAAAAAATTTAGCCTAAATTTCTTACCTCCTCAGCCATTCTTCTCTCCTCATATGTGACCAAAAATCAATAACCTTCAAGAACTAAAAAAAACCCTTGAACCAAAAAAATGAAGAATCATACAAAAGCTAGAAGCAGACAACTAGACACAAAGAATTGCTCATGTTTATATCATAAGGGAGAAGAGAGACGTATTGCACAAAGAACATTGTAATTGACGCGCAAAATAATAAATGGGTAGGTTTACGGCGGGTTCAACAAAAAGCAATAAAACATGTGCGAACTCAGAAAAAAAGAGGAACAAAAAACGAAAAAGTGAAAAGAAGAAAGCACAAATGTTGTTTACAGAAAAAAAAGTAGTTTTTGGTCTTACTGAAAATTTTGGGATTTTCAGATGACCCTTGAGATCTAGAAAAAAAATGTTTGGGAAAATTCTAGAAAACATTTATGAGCCTAATTATTTTGATTAGTAATTTAAAAAAAAATTCCAAATCAGAATAATAATTTTTGAGTAAATAGAGACAATGTAAAAATGAGAGAGTGCAGAGATAAAAATTAATTTTCCGTCTAGATTCTCTCATTTTTACAGGCCTGACCCGGGTCTCTAATTGTCAAAATATTCTTTAATATTTATTTTTCGTTTTTTTTCTAGGCTTTTCGAAGTTTCCAGAACTTTTCAAGATGAGAAATATTGCGAAATTAAAATATTTTCGACGTTCAACGAATTTTTTTTAAACAAAATTTTAAAAAATCATGTCATTCAATTAAAAACAAAAAAAAAATTTCATAATAATAATCAAACCTGTAAAATAACCCATAATAATAATATTACATGAATAAGTGTACAAATGTTCCGAAAAATATTTGAATCAATTCGAATTTTGTCCACTTTTACTATTTTCATCAGTCGTCGCAATTTCTGAAATAAAAAATTTATAAAAATTACAACAAAAAAACCCTCACCACTTGGCGGCGGCTGAACAATCATATTTGGTGGCATTTGTGGTGGCAAAACATAAGTGGGATAAACTTGCCAAACAAGTGGCGGACCATTTGAATCAATCAGAACCCAATGGAAAATATCAGCACTATTGTTAATCTTATTTGGATCATAGTTTGCGTTGGGAATTTTGCGGCGAGTCACAAGACCGTTGATTATAAGAGACGCGCATTTTTGCGCTGGAAATGCGTGGAAGATTTTTGAGTGCAAAATTTGTTGTTCATCAACAATCATCGGGAAATGTTTTCCTTTCAAAATCGGGCGACCCAAAGAATCGAATATTCCGAAAAATGTCATCTCTTCGTAGATCTGCCAAAAATACAATTAAAGGTGGAGGCTTGTGAGCAAAAAATGAGTTTTTCTCATTTGAAAGAGGATTTTTTCTGGAAGCTTCTAGTTTAAAAATTGCAAATTTCGAAAAAACAGTGAAATACCATGGCTTTTGGAGCCGATTTTCATGAAAATTTGACAATTTTAACCCGAAGACGAATTTTTGAATTCGATTTTTATAATTTTGATGAAAAATCCGATGATCAAAATTTAAATGTGAAGTCCTAGATGGAAATCCATCAATTTTAATTCAAAAATTCGTTTCCTAATTTAAAAAATTTGACAAATTTTCATGAAAATCGGAATTGACAACGGTTTTTCACTGTTTTTTCGAAATTTTTAAACTAAAATTTGAGAAGCTTTCAGAAAAAATCCTGAGCACAACTTAATTTTTGCTCAGGCTCTATTTTTCAAAATTGTAAAGTTCTAATGGGCCTATTCAGAATAATATTTTGTAATAAAAAACATACTTTTCCTATACAGAAAAACGTCGGAAAACAAAATATACAGTTTATTATTTTTGAGTAGAGACAATGTGAAATTGAGAGAGTACAGACAGAAAAATTGATTTTTTTGTATTTTTGTGCGAAAAATCAATGTGTCTGTCTGCACTCTCTCAATTTCACATTGTCTCTAAATACTCAAAAATAATAAACCGTATATTTTGTTTTTCGACGTTTTTCTGCATAGGCCCATAAAAAAAGGCTATAATTTCAAAATAATCTCAATTTTCCTATCAAAAAAAATTTACCGCAACTCGATTCCCCAAAATACTACATTTATAAGTCGGCTCGCGTTTCTCATATTTCTGAATCGACCAACGAAATCCTCGAACCGATTTCTGATCAGCTTTCTGTTGAAGTGTCACATAAATCATATCACCTTTTTCAAGATCCAAAGAATCATTGTAAACAATGTGATCTGAAAATAATGAATAAAACATATGGAAAAATTCCTGGGATTTTCAAAAAACTCACAATTTGCAGCAGCATCAAATGACCAAAGAATCGCAGTTTTCGCAATTTGATCAATTTTTTCAACAAGAGCCGTGCATTCCTTTGGAAAAATGGGGGAATTATGATATTTTTGAAAGAAAAATTACCACAGTTGAGTTATTAAACTTCTTCTTCGAGTTTTCGTACATGAAAGCAGGTCCATCAAAATTATTGCGAGGAAATCGATGTTGACTGTTATTTGAACCCAAAGGTGATCGATGATAAACAGGGTAATCTGTATTTATAAATATCATATATAAATTAGATAGTTTCAAAAATACTCACAAGTAATTCTATCATTCGACATTGGTGTACAACATTCATACGCCTCATAATGTGGTACAAGTTGTGTAATCAATGATTGTGTCGCCTCGATTTCATCAATTTTAGCAACTTCAATAAACTTGGAACCAACAATTTTCCAGTTCAAATTGTACATTTTTCTGGTTCGATGCGGCAATCTTTCCAGAACTAATTGCATAAATGCTCCCGATCGAAGATTCGATTTTCGATCCAAAACATATCCAAAATCTGGCAATTCATAGACTAGTGGATCTTCAGTGCTTTTCACAAGGACGCAGGTTAGAATTATCTGCAAAAACATTTTTTTTCAATAGATTTTTAATAAAATATATGTTTTCTAGTAGTTTTCGACTAACTGATCAATATTCTGCTGTCTAAAACTGCAAAGCTCAACTTCTAACATGAGTTATGACGTGGCAAAGTTGGAAGGCCAAAACTCTCCTTCAAAATGATTTTCATGAAAATCTGATAGCATAGCGTTGTTCAGAAGTCTCGATTACATGTTTCCATTGTGTGATCAAAAATTATTTTTGTTCAGTGAAAAAAGTTTTGAAAAATATTTCGGAAGCCTTCTCTACTTATGTAATCGAGCCAATATTTTTCAAAACTTTTTTCACTGAACAAAAATAATTTTACTTATGTAATCGAGCCTTCTGAACAACACTATGCTCACACCTCGGCCAAAATCGTGGTTTCCACAATAAAAATTGTACGCTAACTTTTTACAGTACAAAAATTGTGAATTTTTTCAGTTTTTGTCCTCTAAAAACTGAAATTCTGATTTTTCCAAAAATTGTACTCTGGCCAGCCACGGCTTGGCCGAGGTGTGACTATGCTATCAGATTTTCTTGAAAATCATTTTTGAAATCAAGTTTCGGCCTAACAAAATCGCAATTTTTCAACTTTCCCACGTCATAACTCATGTCAGAAGTTGAAGTTTGCAGTTTTGGACAGCAGAATATTGATAAGCTATTCGAAAACTACTAGAAAACATATATTTAATTAAAAATCTTGTCAGAAATCGAACAAACTCTATAATATCTCCCAATTTGAAAGACTGTGATTCCTTTTGGCGAATTGATTGGCATATATTCAATAATAAAGAAGCGATTTCCTCCGCCTTTTGGCATCGCATATTTCTCCGCATCTTTTGGCGATAAATCATATTGTAACCATTGTCCAGGAGCTGGTGGATATTCAGCAAATAATAATCCAGATTCCTTGTCAAGTGGAACTTTAGCCAAATGATCATGTTCTGACGAAACTCCTGGAGACCAAACGGAAAAATGACTTTTATTTTCGTAGGTGTCAGTGACCAGACCGAAATGGCGAATTGTTGATTTCAATGGGCATTCGGAAAGGCGAGATTCGTAGTTTCTCTGTTTAAAGAAAATAAATAGAAAGATAATTTTAATTAAAACATACCGGTCTTTCAATTCGATTTCTGATAAACTCGCTGAATTTTCGATATTCATGATCACCAAAATCTTCCAAATCCGATGTCTGATTCTGATCCAATTCCACAATTTCCCACTGACATTTATCAGTTGTCTCTTTCGCTTCTTTTTCTGTCAGCCATCTTATCCAAACTCCAATCGTTTCTTTCGACTTTTTTGTGAGCAAATGAGAAAGCGATGCGCGAAAACCAACTTTACCAAATTGACAGCCTTTTTCACGAATTGAATAACTCTCCCCAACTGTTGAGAAAACCTAAAAGAAACACATAATTAGTGAGTTGTCTGGTCTCGCAGCGAGTTTGTTTTAAATTGAAGAAGCTTGCGCAAAAATGTTTTCGCGCCAATTTTTTTTTATTTAAAAAAAAAAAATTACTTCAACTTTTCCTTCAACAATTCTTGTTGGATGTGGTGAAACTATGAATGGTTGTGGATACAAAGAAGCCAATTCTCCTGTGGGAAATAATCCGATTTTTATCCAACTTCCCAATTCAAATTTCGAAGTCACATCTGAATGTCCAATATCCATAAACTTTGAAGTATTCAAGATCCAAATTGTCAAAAATTCAGCTGTTGTTTGAACAACTAAACCCAGAGAACTTGAAACAGTTGTGACTTTTCGAAGTCGCGGTTGAAGAATATATTTCACCTTCCTTGTTGTTTTTGTCAAGGCTTTTTTGATTTCTTCATCAGACGATTTCTTTTCATTTTCTGCGGTCGTTTCTGACAAATCCTGTGTTGAAGATGCCGTGTCTTCTTCTACTTGTTTTACTGGAGTATCCATGATCAAGCTGAAATGTGTTCTTTTTAGGAGAAATGTGAAAAACTCTAGGAAAAACTGAAAAAAAAGAAAAAAAAATGTTTGAATTTTGAATTTGGCGAACAGAACCGCCTGTTACCGTATTCTTCTCCTCGAGACCATTCACACGTTGCCTTTGTTCCTTTAACAAAGTACTGTGGGTATCGATTAAAAAAAATAATTTTTTTTTGCAAAAAAAAACTCACAAAAGTCGAAGAAATCTATGTTTTATATGCTTTTGGTGTAATAGACGTGTATGTTTTGGTTAGAATGAACACAGAGAGAGGAATTGTGGTTGGTTTGGCCGCAGACTGTAAATTTGTCGCCACGAAAACAGATGTGAGTGTGATTTTTTCTCGTAAAAAATTTATTTTTTTTTATTTTTTTATTTAGGTGGTACTAATGCGACCAGATGTATATGAATACCAATTATATCAACTCGGAGATTGCCTAAAATTTTCAGCCCGATGTCTTGTGCCACGAAATGGATTGGATAATTGTCATAGACGAATAATATCGTGTGAAAGATCCGAGAAATTCGTTGAATGGGAGAATAAACATCGAACAAATAATATTGCGATAATTTCGGAGATAATTGGTGTTACAATGAAAAGAATTCCATATTCAAATCGAATTGTCAGATGTTTTCAAACCAATTTTCTAGAGGTATTGTATTTTTCTGAAAAAAAAATTCAGTTTTGAAAAAAAATCATATAGGAAGTTTATGAAATCGGTGAGCAACAATCAAGCAAATCAGTGTCGGATTATGAGATAGCAAAGATGAAAGTAGTCGCCACTCGAGTTCTAAATGATCAGAAGAAATTTATTTGGTGTGCTGTGAATTTGAAACCAATTTTATTCGGAAATAATGAAAACGTGGGTTTTTTTTCAATTTTTGCGTGTGAAAAATGAATGATCATTTCTAACATTTCAAGAAGATGATTCAACCGCCCATCAAAAAAGAACGAATCACTTTGAAAGGAATTGTCTTGGATTTTCTGGACGATTTAAGAGAAATGTATATTTGGGTGCCTGGAAGATCGAGAAAAATTCTGATTCCCCTCGGCTTCCGCGACAATTATCCAATCAACTTTTTCCATGGAACTTGGCTTCAATTCAGTGTCGATGTGAATTATAGGATTGATCGAAATACTAGTTTTCAAAAAATCAATGATTATTTTCCCACGAGGTTTTTATCGAGTAAACGACGATGGGAAATTCGAGTTTCTGTGTATTTTGATTGTCGAGAATGGAATGGTAATAGAATTGTTGAATTAGAAAGTGGAGAATGTGGAATTATCATTGATGAATTAAATGTTTTGAGTAAGTTTCAATAATATTTATACTAGAAAACTTTTTCAAATTTTGTAAAATTCAGAATCTTGCAATCGTTTATTCACATTTTCCGATGATGCTTGGGTTTTCTGTGATCGTGGCGGATTTATTCTATCGGATAAACAAGAACAATGGACCCCATCTGGATCTATTCGATTTGGATCAGGATCTTCGTTTGAAGAAGAAGATCTACCAAGTTCTTCCACTGAAACTTCTCGATTTTATGTGGAAGAATCGCCAAGAACATCTCAACCACAATATTCAGAGAGCATTTCTTCTTCAACTCCCGAACATCATCCTCGAAAAAGAGAAAATCTTCACGAAATCCGAATAAAAATCAAAAAACTCCAAATGAAACGCGATTATTTATCGGAAAACAGTATAAATATCCCCGACAAAATGTTGGATGATTTAAAAAATCTGAAAATCGAGGAAAAGAATCTGACATCGCCTGAGAAGATTGATTGTTATATTGAAATTGTTTCGAAGTTTAAGGAATTGATGAAATCGCGAAGGGTTTATGAGGAAATGGAACGATTTGATAGAAAAACGACGAGAGAAATTGATCAACTTTTAATGCAATTGTGAATAGTTTTATTTATTTTTGATAAAGATTAAAAATCACACTTTTTTATCTATCTCCACATTTTTTCCCTGATAACCAAAACTCATTCAATCATGTCGTCTTTGACAGCACAAGGTGTGTTTTTTTTTTGAAAATTGATTTTTGATTTAATAATTTCATAGAGCGTCTTCAACCATTTATCGATGGCTATGTTGAGGCGATAAATTCTGGAAATTTGGAAAAATTGAAGGATTTCTATCATCCAAATTCAGTCATGGTTGAAAAGGATAAAAGTTGTTGTTTTGGAAAAGCAGGTGAGTATTTTTTTAAAAAAAAACTTTTATTGATTTTTCTCTATCTCTCAGAAATTGTCAAAAGCTTGGAGCAAATGACAACTGAGTGCGGGAAGACTACAATCGAGCTCACCAATTCGAAATTCGAAGGAACACCGGCCGGCGATTTTATCAATTTCCAGACTGCTTTTGCGTTTGTGACTGAGAAGGCGGGAGTTTTGCGCGGGAATTTTTTACAAATTTGGCGCTTTGATGCTGGTGAATACACCATTTATCACGATGAATTTGAAATGATTTGATTTTTGAAAAATAAATAAATTTTTTTTGGTACTGTACTTTCAAGGAACACACGTTTTTATTGTTTGGTCTCGTCGCATTTGTGTATTTCTCTCGGAATAAAAATTTTTTCCAATTTTTTTATTTTTCAACTTGGTTTCTCGAGATTTCCACAAGAAAGGTGAGCTTTTAACACGAAATGACCTTGTCAAAAATAAACCACAATAATCTCTCGAACCAATCTTCGTAAAGATCTCTATCTCGATAGTTGATGGCATACTTATTTCTCATATATTCATTTTCAAAAAGTTGAAATGATGAATCAATGTTTTATTTATTTTCCACTTTGCCACAAGTGGCCCAAAAAATGTAACAGATCTCCTCTTCGTTTTTAAAATAAAATGAATTCGCCGACATTTGCGAGGCGGTTCTTTGTCTCATGTTTTTTCATGGTTGAGTTGATTGATCGAGCGCGGCGAGGTTTACCACAAAACATGTGAAATCCCCCCAAATTTATGTTAATTATTCTTTAAACTCGTTTTTTTCTTTTTAATGCCATAGAACTGTGAAAAATAAGCGAGATGACACCAAAAATAAATCACCTTTCACCCAATTTCGAAAATCAATCTATCTTCTCTCAATTTCGTAAACTATCATATGAGTCATTAATCAATTTGTCACTTATTTCGATATCTTTTTTTCATCGACAAGATTTTTTTTGCTGATGAATTCATCCAGAAAAAAAGAAGAAAAAGGCTCGAGTGAGCGTGACATGTCGAATATAAATATAAATTGGGGCGAGAGCTCTTGGGAGAGAGCCGGAGAGCCACGCCCTAATATATTCTCAGATGTCCGCGCCTTTTCTTCTTCTTTTTTTTGCTTTTTTCTATGTTATGTCATATTGGCGTTACGAAATTAAATTTTGCCGAATATCGATTCTGTTTGAACTAGATTTCTAGTAAAATCGACCCGCTGCTCACGTTTCCGTTGTCTAAAATTGCAGAACTCAATTCCTAATATGAGTTATGACGTGGCGGAACTTTAGGAGCTGGAAACAAGCTTCAAATATGATTTTCGGGGAAATCTGATAGCATAGGGTTATTAAAGACATAAGAAACACTGGAAAAACAGATTTGCCGCATTTATTTTCAAACGACAAAACCAGCATGTGCGCTCTAGCGACACACTGTGTGCAAACACTTTTGAAATTTCCGTCGGCTGAGCGATTTCAAAAAACCACGAAAATTTTGAGTCTAGCAAAAGTGAAAAAATAAAATAATTATTTTTGAAATCGCTCAGCCGACGGAAATTTCGAAAGTGTTTGCAGACAGTGTGTCGCTAGAGCGCACATGCTGGTTTTGTCGTTTGAAAATAAATGCGCGAAATCCGTTTTTCAGTGTTTTGCTATCAGAGTTCCACGAAAATCATTTTAGTTTCCAGCTTTTAAAATCCCGCCACGTCATAACTCATATTAGGAGTTGAGTTCTGCAATTTCAGACAACAGGACCGTGATCAGCGGATCGATTTACTAGAAATCCAGCTCCAAAAAATCAGCCTGTTCAAAAATAACCAAAATGATTTTTAAATTTTTCCGAGTTCACGTAAATATTCACGTGTTATTTTCCCCCTTCTCCAAATATTTTCCGTCATTTCCATTATTTTTCCCTTGTTCAACTCATGTCAATTGTTATTGACACCCTCTCGAACTATTATTCTCGTGTCCAAGAAGTAATTTGCAAAGTAAGTAGTGTCCTTCAAACCATACGGTCTCTTCATCATTTTCAACGACCTTCTTTCTTTTCCATAAAAAGACATAGAGTATGTATTACTAATACAGTACTAATGTGTTTCTCTCTCTCTCTGATCATTTTTGCCGTCTCTATTCATTTTTATCCGATTATCACTCAACCGGTTTTATTTTTTGTTAGTCATTTTGCTGTGTTTTAAAAGCGCAAAAAGGTCTTCTGGAAGTTTATTTATGACCCTTCAAAAAATCGATGCAGAAAGTTGCCAGATGTAATTTTTTCAATAAACATTTTTTTCTGTTTTCTCTAGGCTCGGCGTCATAGTGAATCTCTAGATGTGGCTCCTAGAAAATAAGGTTCTCTAGGCGCGGCTGCTTGTCATAGTGAATCTCTAGATGTGGCTTCTATGCAATAAGGTTCTCTAGGTGCGGCTACTTGAGAACCATGCTCTCTAGGCGCTGATCCTTGGCAAGTCTATTTTCTAGGCTCGGTTGCTTGTCGGAGTGAATCTCTAGGCCCTGATCCTTGAAAATCCCATTTTCTAGGCTCGACTGCTTGTCAGAGTGAATCTCTAGATGTGGCTCCTAGAAAATAAGGTTCTCTAGGCGCGGCTACTTGAGACCTAACGTCCCTCTAGGTGCGGCTACTTGAAAAGAAGCTCTCAAGGCTCGGATGCTTGTCAGAGTGAATCTCTAGGCGTGTCTCCTAGACAGTAAGGTTCTCTAGGCTCGGCTTCTTGATATAATAGGTCTCAAGGCTCGGTTCCTTGGCAAGTCTATTTTCTAGGCTCGGTTGCTTATCATAGTGAATCTCTAGGTGGCGCTCTTAGACAACTAGGATCTCTAGCCGCGGCTCCTTGGTATATAGAAGCTCTCAAGACACTACTTCTAATTAAAATTCCCCTCTCCCTTGGTCCTCCCCAAACGCATTTAAAATGCAATGAAAAACAAAATGTATATAATTAAATTTGAGAAAACAGAGAGCTGCCCCGGCCGGAAATTGTATTCTTCACTGAGCCAACGAAAAAATTGATTTTCCCTCGAAAGCTACATTTTTTTCTGCTGCTGTTGTTGTAACCTAGGATTAGTATCCAGGTGAAATTTTTTATGCGAATCTATGGGAAAACTTTGCTATAACTACTAAATAAATCGATTTTTTGTGAACTTTAGAGCTCCAATGAATCTCGCCATTTGCGAAATAGTATTTGTGTTTGTGCTGGCGATTATATTTCGCTCTTTTCGCTCTTCTCGCGCATCTAAACATACAACACCTGTGTGGTAACAAAACAAAAAAAAATCTATTCATTCAATTTTTTGGGCGGCTGGGAACCTTTTTCTTCTTTTTTTTTTAGAAAAAAGCGTTGCGAAATTCATAGGGATACTGTATTTTTATATAAATATTTGAGAATGTGTACTCAGAGTTCTCATAAATTTGTATTTTTTTAAAAAAAGTATGAGTCATCTGAGAGAAAAAACATCTGGTTACCCCTGGTTTAAAAAAAAATTTTTTTTCATTTTGAAATTTATATCGAAGAAAATTATAGGCTTCTCAAAATTCAGAAAAATGCTATGACGTGGCAAAGTTTTTCTAAAAGAATTAAGATTTTCTAGTTTTTTTTAAAATTATTTATTTTTCTCAAATTCGAAAAAGAAAAATGAGATATTCAGTAAATTTTAGCTTGAAGTTTTAAAATTTCTGGTTTTTCTCCAAATTTCAGCGTAAATTTTCTTCCCAAAAAAAAAATGAAAATTTGAATTTTCCATAAAAACGGGGAGAGTTCAATGGAGCGCATTTGCTATTTTTAGCTCAAAATTCAAAAAAAAAGCAATCGATAATTTTCTCTATAAAAAATTGATTGCTCATTTTAATTTCTCTCTCTCTCTCTCTCTCTCTCTCTCTCTCTCTCTCTCTCTCTCTCTCTCTCTCGATTCACCCTGTAAAACGCCGTGTAAAAATGTTCTCTGAAATCCACGTGGAATTATCGTCAATCCAAAGAGCCGTGGAAGAAAAAACCAAAAATACTACAGTAGACTTCGCTTTGGTTTTCTAGGCCACAAAATTTAGAATTTCGGTCATCTTGGTCCACTCTAAGAATTATCGATTTTCTCCCGCCCAATTTTTTCAGCCAACCTGTAATTACCACTCCTTTTCTATCACTTTTCTTTCCCCTCAAATTGATTTTCTTTTTTTTTTCTTCTTTTTTTTGAATGCAGTGACTTCTTCTAACTAGTTATAACTCCAAGTGTGATTTTCTCGCTTTTTTTTAGTATGGAAACTCATTCGCACGACCATTATTATCGACAAGAAGACGAAATTCTACAAGGTAATCGATTTTTCTCACTAATTTTTCGCTTCTACTAACAAAAAATGCTACAATTTTTGGTTGAATCAATAAAAAACCATGAATAATTCTTTCCTCGTTTTCTTCTTCTCCCTTCGGTCCTTTTTATGTTTATTCTATGTTCACATGCACCAAAAAAAAATGATTTTTTACGAGAAAAAATTGATTTTTTTGTTCCAGAAAAAATCCTCGCAAGAGATCAGGGAATCGTTGAGATCGATTACAACGAAAAAGTTTCGCCGAAACGAGTTCCGGCGGAAAATCAGAGATTTGCGCAGCCATTGCCTTCGCCGTTGAGTTCGCCAAGTAAACAGCCGGGAAATTGTGAGTTTTTCGAGAAAAATATATTTTTGATAGAATTTTCCTATAATTTATTATCGAGAATCTCATCGGTACTCCACACGCTCCACCGAAATAAACACGCAACGCAGACCGCGCCGCGCCACAACACACACAAATAGGGGAACGATTCAAATTCCCTCTCTTTTTTTGTGTGTTGTGGCGCGGCGCGGTCTGCGTTGCGTGTTTATTTCGGTGGAGCGCGTGGTACCGATGAGATTTTTGATAATACAAGAAAACTTTTATGAGTTACGGTAACTTTGATTTGAGAAAAAACACGTAATTTTCAAAAAAATCGATATTCATCTCAAAATTGACGAAAATAATCGGACAAAAAATGATTTTCTAGCTAAAAACTTGAATTTTTCAATAGAATTTGAATGTTTTAAGCTCAAGAAAAATTTCGAAACGAAAAAAACACAAAATAGGCTAACTCTTGTATGAAATGCAACACTTTGTGTTTTTTTCGTTTCAAAATTTTTTTCGAGCTAAACACATTCGAAAATTATTGAAAAATTGAAGTTTTTAGCTAGAAAATCATTTTTTGATCGAGGATTTTTGTCAATTTTGAGATAAATATCGATTTTTTGAAGTTACCGGAACTCAAGAAATAAAATTTTGAAATTTTAAAATCAAAAATATAAATTTCATCAAAAAAAAAAACAAAAATACAAGTTGGATTCGATGTTTTTCCAAAATTAAAAATAAAATTTTTTTTTGAAAATTACGTGTTTTTTGAAGTTACCGGAACTCATAATTGCCAAAAATCTCCGGGTTCTCAAAAAAAAATTCCGACTTTGATGACGTGTTTTTCTCTTCATTCATTCATTCATCAAACAATCGTTGACTCATAAAAATTTTGCGGGAACTCAATCAATTTTTCTCTTTCTTTTAGCATTGCTCATATTAAGAAAAAAACCCAAATTTTTTGCAGCAATGCCATCTTCAGCCAGAAAATCACCATCTCGCGGTTCTTCAAGCTCATCAGAGGAAAATATCGGAACTCGAGCTGTAACAGTTTCAGTTCTTCGAGATACCGGTTCAAAAGTTGAGATTGTTTTAAAGGCGCATGGATTGAAAAAGAAGAAGGGACTTCTTAATTCATTTGTCACCGTATTCAAGAAGGTTTGTATTTACTATTATCGAAAATCTCCACGTGCTCCACCGAAATAAACACGCAACGCAGACCGCGTCGCGCCACAACACACACAAAAAAGGAAGGGAATTTGAATCGTTCCCTTGTGTTGTGGCGCGACGCGGTCTGCGTTGCGTGTTTATTTCGGTGGAGCGCGTGGAGATTTTCGATAATAGACATCATCTTGAAAATCTTATCAGTAACAAAATTTTTTTCAGCCAAATCAACCGTCTCGCCTATTATCAAATGGAAAATTCACCGAATTCACGTTGAAAGAAAACTCGCTTAGATTCTCATTGGATGTTGTGACTGATAAGAAAAAGAAGAAAGGTTCGGCCGAAAAAATTGAAAAACGAAAAAATTATGGATTTTTTGCAGGAAATGGTAATCGTGTTGATACATTTGTTTGTGAAGTTAAACGATTTCCGACCGAAGTCAATCCGGATAGTGCAGAGTTTGAGGTACTGAAAATCAGGGAAAAAATTTCATAAAACTCTTTTTCGGAAAAAAATAGCTATCGATTTCCAGAAAATCTGAGAGCTTGAATCTTTTTGCAAACGGCTGAGAATTTCCAAAAATTGGACCTGTGCCAATTTTCACTCTAAAATGAAATTTCTAGTAGTTTTTGACCCGCTGATCATGATTCTGTTGTCTAAAATTGCAGAATTCAACTTCTAATATGAGTTATGACGTGGCAAATTTGAAAAAATCGGGATTTTCGGAGCTGAAAGCTACTAGCTTCAAAAATGATTATCATTGTTGAAGTTAATTTTCAGCTCTTGAAATCCCGAAGTTTTCAATCTTTGCCACGTCATAACTCATATTAGGAGTTGAGTTCTGCAATTTCAGACAACAGAATCGTGTTCAGCGGGTCAAAAACTACTAGAAAACAATAGAAATTTAATTTTAGAGTGGAAATTGGCACAGGTCCAATTTTTGGAAATTTTCAGCCGATTTTGCAAAAAATATTGCGAAATTCACCGAAATTACTCATCTTTTCAGTAAACAATGACTCATTTACAATTCAAAAATCAATATTTTCTAGGTTCTCGAACCAGCCAGCGGTGAAGCTTTCATTCTCCTAACTCTCATCAAACTCGGAAACCTATCTGTGAATTGGAAAGAATTCCTTGATCAAAATGGAACTATCGATGTGACGTGTATCTAATTAATTATGCACCTTTAAATATTTCATTTTTGATCATCCCCCAAAAATTTTAAATACGGTTTTTCTGTTTTTTTGCTTTTCACGTGAATGAATTGTCCGGAAAATGTTCATTTTATAAATTCGATTTGTTTCGAATGAGCGGCAAAATTTTGAAATCACATTTTTTTGCCGGTCAAAAAAGAGGATTGTTACAAGGAAGAGATACTGTGAGTTAGGGTCTTGGCGCGAAAATTAGACGAAATTCAAAAAGTTTTAGAACCCATTCGGTATTGTTTTGGATATAGATGGTGTACTTGTTCGTGGTCGAAATCTACTGCCACGTGTTAGAGAAGCTTTCAAACTAATTTTGGATGAAAAGGGGAATTTCAAAATTCCCACGGTGTTTTTGACGAATGGAACTAATAGCACACAAAAAGAGAAGGCTGAAAAACTCGGCGAACAACTCGGTTTTCGAATTCCACCCGAAAATATGTTGATGGCACAAAGTCCACTTCGAATGTTTCAAAGTTTACACGATAAACAGGTTTTGGCAGTGGGCCAGAAGAATGCGAAGAAAATTGCGAATAGTGTGGGATTTCGAAAAGTGACGAAAATCGAGCAATTGACTAAATGGTTTTCGCATTTGGATTGCACCGATTTTTCGAGAAAAATTGATGATTCGAAAGAAAATGCGAGAGCTAGAGCTAATTTTAAGCCCATTGAGGGTGAGTTTGAAAAGGATTTTCAGCCTCTAACTCTTCTGAAACTGCGTTTCAGAAAATGTTTCATAGCTCATCTGATTCATCTCGACGAGACGAGTCAGATGATATATTCAAAATTTCCTGAAAATGCCTCTAACATGCTGAAAACGCGCTGAAAGCAATGCAAAAAACTGAAATCGGTGCGAGACCTCAACCCTTTGAAAGAATGTGTGCGCCTTTAATTTATTCAATTTTTTGATTTTCAGCCTTTAACTCTTCTGAAACTATGTTTCAGAAAAATATTCATAGCTCATCTGATTCATCTCAACGAGACGAATCAGATGCTATATTCAGTTTTCCCTGAAAATGTCTATAACGTGCTGAAAAAGCTGAAAATTATTTCCACGAGAAAATAATTCCAGTGTGCAAACACCGCGACGCACAAACGCACAATTTTTAGTGTACCGTAGTAAAAATTGTTTTTTTTTCTATTTTCAGCGATTCTTCTTCTTGGCGAGCCTCTAAAATGGGAATCCTCGCTCCAATTAATCTTCGATTGCCTCTACACTCACGGAAAAATGGATTCACTTTGCACAATTTCGAAAACCCAAGTCCCCATAATCGCCTGTAATGTTGATTTGGTTTGGATGGCCGATGTCGAATCTCGAATTCCACGCATTGGACACGGTGTCTTTATTCATAGTTTGGAGACGATTTATGAGAAAATGACGGGGAAACATTTGCAATATACAGCGGTTTTGGGAAAACCGACAGAGATTAGCTATCTTCAGGCAGCGCATAAAATTCAGAGAATTGCGAAAGGAATGGGAATGAAAGATGTTAAAAATATGTATGTTATTGGGTAAGTTTTTAATGGGCGGGGGGATTTTGGGGGAGGAAAATTGACTTGGAAAATTTAAGGCTCTTTAAAACACAAAAAAGAAGAAAATGCGCTCTAATGCACAACACCGTGACGAAAATTTGCAGACTTCCCAGAAAAACACCAACTCAGCAAATCGTAGCGTACATGAACGGTTTTATCGGCGAAAAATAGCTACACCGCAGCTACACACCAGCTACACACTCAGCACTTGACTCTGTAGACTGACTGTACAAATTGAAGAAGTGTGAATACAGCGAATGAACGCTGTACCTACACTTTTTTCCCGAAAATCGTAGGTTCATTTTATCTTCAGCGTAGCTACGAAAAAAATCAAATTCGTAGCTACGCAGATGATAAATCGTTATTACGCACACCTGAAATTTTGACGAGAGCTGCCAAGCGTCACACAATCAGAGATGAAAACGTAGGTACAGCGTATCTCCGCTGTAGCTACACAATTCGCGGACAGAAATGAAGTGACGTGACCGCTCTATATTATTTTTGAATCCGTAGCTACGCCGTTGCTGTTCTGTAGCTACTTTGTAGATAAACGGATGTTACTTATGTGCAATTCTCTCTTCCCCGTTTTCGTACAAAGTATCAACGAAATTTGTACAGTCAGTCTACAGAGTCAAGTGCTGAGCAAATCAGAGAAGCAACGCGGTTGGCGTCGCGGCTACTTTTCTCATTTTTGTTTTTGTTTTTCCAGGCCTAAATTCTTGTGAAAATCGGGCCAGCAATGAACATAAACATAATTTTCAACATTTTTCTTCGTGTTTCATGAAAATTATGTTGAAATTTCTTTTGAACATCTATGAATTCCCCTATTTCTCTAGTCTGGAAATTTTTCTTTCATTCAGAATTGTTTTAACTATCTTTAATTTCAGGTTTCCGGGAGCGTGATCGTTGCAAAATGGCTGCTAAATGGTGAGGGAATTTTCTTTTAAAAAAACGACATATTTCCTACAAAAACAGTTTTCAGAAAACTTCAACAAGTTCAACAACGACAACGACTACGCTCCACAAAATCCAGGTCAACATCAATCAGTATTCATCCACGTTAATCAAAAGGTGAGTCAATAACCGAAAAAGAAACGGGTTAACACAAATATGTCTTGGGAAATTTGATCAAGTTTAACTATTTTTGAAGATAAATATAAAGTTCTTTCTACTCTGAAAAACATGAAAATTCATCTCAATTTTACAGAATATGCTCTCCGATGCTCAGTCTCGCCAGCACTCAATGGAAATCTCGACACAAACAACATGAAAAGCAGCTTCATGGCGAAGGAAATAAGACAATCCGCAACATCTTCGAAATTTTCCACTTCTAATTTATAATTTTGTTTGAAATACTTTGTTTTTTTTCATGTTTTACTTATTCCGATAATAAATTGTTGTTTTCAATCAAAACGTGTTCAAAAATCATCATTCAGCCCGCAAAATCCGAAAAAAACGCGAAACGAAAAAAAATCGAAAAAAAACTATTTTGTGTAGCTGGTGTGTAGACGCGTGCGTAGCTTGTGTGTGGAATGCGTGTAAAATGAGTTAGACAGCACACAAGCTACACAAATTCTTACCGTTCATGTACGCAGCGATTTGCTGAGAACCCTTTAATACTGTAGGATTGCTCAGGGTTGGCGTTTTTTGAAAATAAAAGGTTGTCTGCAAATGTTCGTCACGGTGTTGCGCGTAAAATCTGCAAACACGAAATGTGTGCCTTAGAGCGCATTTTCTCGTTTTGTTAAGCTATTTATGAAGGTATTATCTAAAATCTCATCGGTATCACGCGCTCCACCGAAATAAACACGCAACGCAGACCGCGTCGCTCCACAACACACACAATTAAGGGAACGATTCAAATTCCCTCCCCTATTTGTGTGTGTTGTGGCGCGGCGCGGTCTGCGTTGCGTGTTTATTTCGGTGGAGCGCGTGGTACCGATGAGATTTTCGATAATATTTTGAAAAATATATATTTTTTCCAGTGACAATCCAATGTCCGACATCCTTGGCGCCAATTTATTCGATCGATATTTAAAACATGGCGGATGTGGTCGATTCGATCATCTAAATCTCGACACTTTTGAAGAAAACGATGGAGAATACCCGAAAGTTCGAACTAAAAACGTCGTCGAAAGATGTATCTCAATTTTGGTCGAAACTGGCGTTTATCAAAGTCATGGAAATATGAATGGTGTTGTTCAGCCGATTTCGAGTATAATTTGTGATTTGAGCCCCGGTGAAAGAAAGCGATTATATCAACCAACATATGTGGAAAATGATTTCTATTCAGCGATTCGAACTATTTTGAGTAGAGAAAAATATCGGAAATGAATTTTTCATTAATTAATTAATTACTCCTAGAGAGAAATGAGACAGAGCAAAAAATATACAAATAAGTACAAACAGGTTTCTTTCAAAAAGCACTTATTTTTGTTCTAAATGCGATAAATAGCTGACTGGTAAATGCTGAAAAAGAGGATCTCTTAATCGTTTGAGTTGATTTCGAAGTTCGTCGACTTCTTGAACCAAGTTGTTGTATTTTTCGATGTCGAAGCCGGATTTGAGAGCACGACGGTAGAATTGTTTGGTGTAGACGCGTTCGCGAGCGATCGGATATTCAAAGTTCTGCAATTTGTTTTTGGGTATTTTTGGAGTGGGGTACAGTAATCGAACTACAAATTTTTGTAGTTTGGAAATTTGAGCTCTAGGAAATCTTGTGAGAATTTTTGAATTAGTAAGATTTTGCTGCACGGCTGTCTGCGAGCACAAAAATGAGCCAAAAATCGAGAATTTTTGAAAATTCAGCTTTGTAAATTGTCAGTTATTGGAAAACCCTGTAAATATGAATTGAAAAAAATATTTGATAATAAATTATATAAAAATTTTGAAACGTATTTTTTTTGGTTTTGAAAAATCAGTCAAAATTTGACTAAAATTGCTGAAAATGAGAATTGGGGCTGAAAAAAAGAACCCGCTTTCAGTTTTTGCTACGCGACTCTCTAAAGAGCACAATAATAAGCCAAAATTTAAGAATTTTTGAAAATTAGTGTTGTTGAGAGCCCATGACCAATGTTAGAGAAGATTTTATCGAAAACTGAAAAAAATTGGCTCAGAAAATCGATAATTTTTCTAGCAAAGACTGTGTTGCTCAAGATATAGGCTAAATTTTGTCAGAACTTTTTTTCTTTGAACATCGCCCTGTACTCAATTTTCGACAAAAAAAATCTCTAACATGAGTAATAGGCTCTCAAAAAAAAAACGATTTTAATTTTCAAAAATTCTATATTTTTGGCCCATTATTGTGCTCTTTTTCTGAGATTCGCGTAGCAAAAACAGAAAACGAGCTCTTTTTTTCAGCCCAAATTCACATTTCCAGCAATTTTAGTAAAATTTTGACTGATTTTTCAAAAACATAAAAAAAATACGTTTTAAAATTTTGATATAATTTATTATCAAATATTTTTCTCAATTTTGTTACAGGGTGTTCCAATAACTGACAAAAAACCACGAAATTTTCGAAAAATTCTCGATTTTTGGCTCAATTTTGGTGCTCTTGAGCAAAAAATCACAAATTTCTTTACAGAAAATCCAGACCAACCTGTTTCGTATACAAATAATATCCAAAAGTGGCAATAACCGTCGAATAAGTTGCAAAATAAGTGACAGGTTCCATAATATCCCAAGAGTATTCCCACCACGTGAGTCTCGCGAACAATCCCGTTTGCACTCCACATGCCGCAAAACCCGCCCACATTACACGATCCGTGTGCTCTTCGCACTCTTTTTCGATGCGCACTTTTTCGATTTCCAGCGGTTTCAGCAAACTTTCAGCATTCTCGAGTTTTTGCAGCAGATTTCGCTCTCTGGCTAGCTTGTACTCATCGACGCAAAGTGCAGCGTGTAATGAGGCAACTGTGGCTCGAAGATCATCTAATTGTCGAAGTCTGCAATTAGTTATGACGTGGCATCTCTCTCGGCCGAAAAAACTAACTTATCACTATCAAATCTAGTTCCAGCTGTCTCTGGAACATTAACCGTAAAATATTTGTCATTCAATCGCAATCTGAAAGTTCCGAATTGCAAAAGATGTTCGATTGAAGTTGAAGTCGCCAATTTTGTGCCATCTGAAGTTTTTTGAGCTCTTGAAAAACCAAAAAAAAAAAAATTCCAACTCACTATTCCCATAAACAGCCACATAATCAATTCCACGATCTTCTTGCCGCAAAAATTCGCACAGATTTCCGACATTATCACTCAATGGTCGCATTGTGAATTGACAAGGCTCATTTCTTGATGGTAGGGGGACGTCTAGAAGTGGAAGGCCGTATTCGAAGCGGATGTTTAGGGGAACATCGGAAGATGGTGGAGGAGAAGGTGGAGGAGATGAGGAAGAAGCGGCGGTTGAGACATACTGGAAATAAAAAATAATTTGGTGGATTTTGGGGTGTAAATATTACTGGGAGCCTTTTCAGGCGATGTTTTTGAGCTCAAAATTTTGTGAAATCTTGGCTAAAAGTTTTTTCAAATGGAGAATTTCGCCACGTGGATTTTCAGCTCAAAATTTGTGACACGTGGATTTTCAGCGAAAGAAATTCCAGGAGTATTTTCGAGGTGAAAATCCTCCTGAAATTTTCGAGGATTTTTAGCTCTAAGTTTCTTCACGTGGATTTCCAGCTCAAAATTTTTGCCACGTGGATTTTCAGCTCCAAAAATTTGTGACACGTGGATTTTCAGCTCCTGAAATTTGCCACGTGTATTTCCAGCTAAAAATGCAACCTGGAGTTTCAGCTTGAGAATTTCGCCACGTGGATTTTCTTCTGAAGATTTTTCCACGTGGATTTCCAACAATAAAATTTTGCCACGTGGATTTTCTGCTCAAAAAAAGCAACCTGGATTTTGAGCTCCAAAATTTCGCCACGTGGATTTTTAGGTGCAGATTTTTCACATGGATTTTCAGCTTGAAAAAAACGCACGTTTTCGAGCTGAAAATCCACGTAGCACTATTTTTAGCTGAAAACCCGAGAATTTTCAGATTGAAATTCTGCCACGTGGATTTTTCAGCGGAAAAAAAAGCTGTAAAAAAATCCACGTGGCCATAATTCGAGCTGAAAATCCACGTAGCACAATTTTTTTGTTAAAAATTTTGAGCTGAGCTTGTGCCACGTGGATTTTCAGCTCCAAAATTTAGCCACGTGGAAAAGCTTTAAAGATGTTTTTTTTTTACTAAATTGACTCTGAACATATTTATATTTTCTAAATAACAAATATTTTTTCCATAAATCAATACTTTTCACTAAATACAAAAAAATTACTGGTCACATTTTTTTTTCTAATCACAGAACAGTTTTTTTTCGCACCAAATCAATTAAGATTCTCAAGGTCTTTGATCATTCTGTGAAATAAAAAAAATGACATCATAAAAAAATTCGAGATTTATTCTTGACAGATTAATTTGACCTTCGATTTTTTTCTGTTGATCAAAAAAAAGTTCCATTAAAATGGAACTAACTAACCTAATTAAAATTCTATTCCACTCAATTTTTTTGTGGAAAAAAAGTTAATTAAACGCACTTTCCCCAGAAAAAAACTAAATTTTTTTTTCTAAAAAAAATTTATGGGCTCTTAGTCATTTATAGAGAAGCTTTCAGAAATTTATGAGAAGAGCTCACCAATATTCTCCTATTCCAATGTTGTCCCAAGAGACATTTTGCGAATTGTCTTACACCACCGCCATTCTTCATATCTGTCAAAAACGGAAGATTTTTTGAGAAAACTGAAAAAGTACGCAAATGATAATAATTATAAATTTCCCCCAACACAAAACCGGTTTTTTTTTGCTGGGCGGGGTTTTTTAGTAAATTGGGGGAAGCAAAAATAAAATAAGTGCTCTGGCACAAAAAATAATGGGATTATGCAATATTTATGTGAAAAAATATGTATATGTGTACGAGGCGAACGAAAACAAACTGGTGGCTGCTTATATCTAGAGGCGGAAAATTGGATTTGTAGTTAGTTAGCGCAACTGAGAACACATTCGATAAAAAATGAACGTTTAGCAAGTGCATTCGGCTCCAGAAAAAACCAATTTAAAATTCATTTTCGAGGCAAAACGAACTGGGCAAAAAACGAAGAGAAAAGAAAAATTCCATCTTTTTTAAGGCGGCTCATGGAAGAAGGGAAAAAAGAAGAGAAATAGAAGAGAACAACTGACATATTACTTTCTAACAAAACATTTCTAGATATCTAGTTAACTAATTTGATACGCGTATATAAAAATAAAGCAGATGCTTTGGGAAAATCGAAAAACAAGAAGAAGAAAAAAAAAAAGAAAATGAGAGGGACTAGAAATCATGGCCTAGGTTTTCTAATCTACGTAATTCTCCCGGAGTATTTTTTTTCCGCGGCCAAAAAAACAAATGTTTTGTTTTTCTGTTTCTCTGCAGCCAAAGATCTCTAATCGTGTTCACTTGGTATCTAGAAAGAAGAGAAAACGAACAAACATTGTTTTTCCGTCGTTTTTTATTATCAATCCTAGTTTATCGACATTTTTCCATAGCTAAATAGTTGTTTTTTTCTTCATTTATCATTTTCAAATAAACTCTATTTTCAGATGGAAGAATTGCCACCAAAACATGGCGCCGAGACGACAAAACGAAAAGTTGCACACTCGGATGAGCACGGCTTCTCCGACCAGGTTCGAGTTCCCAATGTAATTGTGATGGTCGGTTTGCCGGCGCGCGGAAAAACCTACATCTCCAAGAAACTGTGCCGGTATTTGAAGTGGACCGGGTTCAAAACCAAGGTTTTTAACGTGGGAGAATATCGGAGAACTGATGCGAATGCGGCGGACGCCGTGCATGGAGCGAATGCCTCATTTTTCTCGCCGAATAATGCGGATGCGTTGAAAGTCAGAGCGTAAGTCATGTGGCTCGGCTCATAAATCAAATTTTTTTGCGAAAAAAATATATATCTAAATGCAAGCGAAATTTGATGGATTATGGGACAATTCAAAAGGGAAAAAAAACAAATAAATTTCAGTGAATCTGCTCGGCGAGCCATGGAAGACATGGCGGATTATTTGAACAGTGGCGCTGGAAGTGTGGCAATTTTCGACGCGACAAACACAACAAAAAGTCGACGAAAAACAATTATTGATTTTTGCACACAGAAAAGGTTGATTTATTTGATTATCAAACTATAAACAAAAAAGTTTTTTCCAGAATTCGCTGCTTTTTTATTGAATCTGTTTGTGATGATCCAGATATTATTGATAGCAATGTAACAGATGTTAAGGTAACTTTATTACTTTTTTTTGAGAAAAAAAAATGTTTCCAGGTAAATTCGCCGGATTACAAAGGCTTGATGACTGCTGAACAAGCCAAAGAAGATTTTATGCGAAGAATCGAGAATTATAAACAACAATATGAGCCGCTTGATGAATCCGAGGGGGATCTTTTGAGCTTCATCAAGGTTATCAACGCTGGAAGAAGCTTCAAAGTTCATCAAGTTCGGGGACATGTTCAAAGTCGAGTTGTTTATTTTTTGATGAATATTCATTTGTTGCCAAGGAGTATTTATTTGACAAGGGTGAGGGGGAATTTTTTTCAAAAAAATCGATTTTTATTGAAAATTAAAGTTTTTAGCTACAAAATAATTTTTTGCTCGATTATTTTTGTCAATTTTGAGATGAATTTCGATTTTTTTTGAAAATGAGTTGAAAAGTTACCGTATCTTATTTCCTATTTTTTACGAGTTACGATAACTGTTTTCAAAAAAATCGATATTCATCTCAAAATTTTCGATCAAAAAATGATTTTGTAGCTGAAAACTTCAATTTTTCAATAGGTAAATTCAAATTTTATTGAAAAATTCGAAGAAATTAGCCACAAAATCATTTCGAGTATTTTCGGCCAACTTTGAGATGAAAATAATGACGATTTTTTGAAAATTACAATTTTTCAAATTAAAAAGTTACCCTAACTTCTCAATTTTTCCAGCACGGTCAAAGTGAATACAATTCAATGGGTCGCCTTGGCGGCGATTCTCCACTAACCTCAGACGGTCGAAAATACGCCCTAGCCCTTGCCGAATTTTTCGAAGACGAAGAAGTTCCCGGCCTCCGCGTTTGGTGCTCTCAAAAAGTCCGCGCCGCCCAAACATCTCAACACCTCAAACCCGATTTTCATACCGAATATTGGAAGGCGTTGGATGAAATTGATGCGGGAATATGTGAAGGATTAACTTATGATGATATTCAGCAAAGATATCCAAAACAATCAGAAGATCGTGCTCATGATAAGTATCATTATCGTTATCCAAGCGGTGAATCCTATGAAGATGTTGTTTCACGATTAGAACCGGTTATCATGGAACTCGAAAGGCAGGCGAATGTTCTTGTTGTCTCACATCAAGCGGTTCTTCGATGTATTCTTGCGTATTTCTATGATCGCCCACTTCCAGAACTTCCATATATTGATATTCCTTTACATTCATTGGTCAAATTAACACCGCGTGCTTATCATTGTGATTCGACGATTTATTCGTATGATATTGAAAATGGAAAATGGTCAAATACAAGTGCACAATTACCATTATGCGATTCACCAAGAGATTGATTTTTAATAAATTGCTCAATTTTTTTATTTTTCCCTGTACTTACTTTATTAGAGATCTTTATTTATTGTATTATTATTCTTCGAATTATTACCTATTAAATACATTTTTGTACAAATTAAAATTTGTCAAATTTCACCATTTTCGAGTTGTTGGATTTGTCATCTTTGGCAAATGCTCTTCGGATTCTTGAATATCGATAAAAGCTGGCGACAATGCTCGAGCAAGCGATGGTTTTCGAGAAGAACTCTTCTTCGGGCTCGTTTTCTTGCTGGATTTTTTGGATTCGTCTTCACTGCTGCTATCATCGAATTTCTTGGTGGGCAGATCTGGTTCTTCCATACTTCCATAGCGTCGGAGATTTGTGGATAGACTTCCTTGCTGGAAAAAATTGAATTTTTTGTTAAAGCATCGAATACAATATTTTTTGGCCCTCGGTTCGCGGTTGGTATACTGTATTGACTTGTGCAAACACGGTGACGCACAAATGCACAAAAATCTCTCGCGTCTCTCCATTTTGCGCGCTATTTTTCGAAATTGGCTAAAAAAAAGAGAGATCCAACTTGGATATCTGAAATTTTGGCTGAAAATCACGATTTTTGGCCATTTTTGACTGAAATTGACCCGAAAAGCACGATTTTTGAGCGTTTTCAGCTAAAAATCTGAAATTTTCTTAGGTTCATTTTGAAGTTCTTGAAATTTGCTTTTAAAAAAATGAGCAACTTGAATATCTGAAATTTTGGCTGAAAATCACGATTTTTGGCCATTTTTGACTGAAATTGACCTGAAAATCAGGATTTTCAGCGAATTTTCAGCTATTATTGAATTAAAAACACGTGAGAAATAAAAAAACTAGGTCAAGTGACGTGGATTTAAAAACAGTATAGGTAGCCATGTCGTCAGTTGCGATGCGTGTGGGCGACACGTTTTTAGAAATGAAAATTTGACAAATCCAATGGAAAATACCGAGGTCAACACGCAACGCAGAACCGCATCGCAATTGACGACATGGCTACCTATACTGTTTTTAAATCCACATCACTTGACCTAGTTTTTTATTTCTCACGTGTTTTTAATTCAACAATAAAAATCTGAAATTTAAAAATAAACACGCAACGCAGACCGCGTCGCGGTACAACACACACACACAAAAAAAAGGAGGGAATTTGAATCGTTCCCTTGTGTTGTGGCGCGACGCGGTCTGCGTTGCGTGTTTATTTCGATGGAGCTTTTCGATAATACTCACCCTAACTTTAGCCGGTGTGTTATTTTGCGTGGAATTCACTGTTTGATCGATTGCCGCGGCAGTTGTCCGGCGTTTTGGGCGACTTGAAGATGGAATTGCACTTTCCACTTGAACATCATCAGGACGCAGAAGTGGGAGAACACGATTCATTTGTTGAAGTGTTCTGCAAAAATTTTTTTTTTGAAAATGAAAAAAAAAATAAAAAAACAACACTCCGCTACGACACTCCGCAATGACACAGCATCGCCTATTCTTTTTTTCGAAGTTTTTTCATTTCACAAGCAGAAAGAAATGGAAGAAGAATATGCGTATGAAGAAGAATACATCGAAGAAACTGTCATGCTAGATCCGGCGTTTTTCGAAGAGCACATGTTAATTGTGGAGGAGCATCTTCCGGATAAACATGAAAATCTTGGAGTATCGCCAAAGCAACGACTCTTATTATACCCGGAAATGCGCAAACTTCCAGTTTTTCGAAAACTTCCAACAACCCAAGCTCCATTGATTCTTGGTACAAACACAATTCTTGTGAACACTTTTCCGGATTTGACCTTCGATGCGGCATGTCCGAATTTTGACAAAGAAATTGAAGTTTCAAGTGGCGTTGAAGATGACAAATCAATTATTCCAGTGCTCCGTGAGCAAAAAACTAAATATTCAACAAGTTTGGCGGATGCGGTGAGTCTCTAGTTTGATCAGTATTTTATTTAAAAAAAATATAGGTGATTTGCGAGGATTGTCGAATCTGCTTCCGCTCTAGAACCGCTTATCTCAATCATCAAAACATGCATGCTCAAGGAATCCAATCGAAGCCTCGCGTTCAAATTCAATGTTGCATCGGCGAATGTCAAATCATCTGCGATAGTCAGCCGACGCTCATCGAACATCTTCGAATTCAACACGAACAACATCAATTGGAGTGCAGCACGATGAATTTTGAGAATCCGCAGCAATTCAAGGAATGGAAGGATGAGTTGGAGGCGAGAACTTGCTCGATTTTTTTTAGAAAATGGGTGAAGAATTTGGCGTCTTGTGTCTCGGCGTGAGTGGTTTTTTTTTGGAGAAAAATTGTAGGATTCAAGATGAGCTATGACGTGGCAAAACTTGAAAATTCCAGATTTTAGGAGCTGAAACTGTTCAGAATTGTCAAAAATATAGAAAATATTTCCGAAAACCTGAATATTTTCACTGAAGAAAAATAATTTTACAAATTTCAAATAAATTTTCAATAATTATTATTTTCTGTGAAAAGATTGGAAAATTCATTTGAAATTGAAAAAAATTATGAATTTTTCAATTTTTTTGAAATTTATAATTAATTTTCAGTGAAAACATTCAGATTTTTCTATTCAGAAGGCTCAAGAATATAGAAAAAATCTGAAATCTGAATCTTTTCAGTGAAAATTAATTATAAATTTCAAAAAATTTAAAAATTCATAAACTTTTTCAATTTCAAATGAATTTTCAGTGAAAAGATTGAAAAAAATTATGAATTTTTCAATTTTTTTTAAAATTTATAATCAAGTTTGTAAAAAAAGCCAGTTTCAGCTCCCAAAAGTCCCGAAATTTGCCACGTCATAACTCATCGTGAATTTTTGCAGATACTATTTCTGTCATCGTTCTGGAAACATTCCAGCCGCCGAAAAAAACTGGAAAACCCATTCAAAGATCTCGATCGAGCAAGAAAATTGGCACAAGTTGCAGCGCCTATTTTCACATGAAACAGACAAAAAATGGGTAAGATCTAGCCAGATTTCTATGTAGAATCAGAAAAAAACATTTTTTTCCAGAAAAATCACAATTCGCGGATGTCTCGAACACGTTGGCCACGAGATCGGGCAAATCGATAAAACCCCACTGTCAAAAGAGATTCGCGAGGAGATTGCTGTTTATCTTCTCGAAGGTTTGGATGAAAATGAGATTGTTGAATTGATGAAGGATAATAGTTTGGCTGGTGATCGTCGACATTATATTCAGACGTATGAGGTGAGGAATATTTATGCGAAATTGGAGAGGAATTATACACCGAGTGATGGGAAAATGAGTTTGGCGGATTTTCAAGTGAAGAGGGAGGATGTTGAGGTAACAATTCTTTACAACGGAACTGATTAATCTCTAGATTTTTGATAAAATATCGATTTCCTAGTAGTTTTCGATTTTGTGGAACTCAAAATGAGTTATGGCGTGGAAAATTTCGAAAAATCGGAGCTGAAAACTAGCTTCAAAGATGATTTTCATGCAAATCTGATAACAAAAATATAGAAAATATTTTTGAGATCTGAATTTTTCACTGAAAATTGAAAAATTCATGATTTTTTTCAATTTAAAATGAATTTTCCAAAATTATCATTTTCAATATTTTCACTGAACATTAATTATAAATTTTTTCAAAAATTGAAAAATTCATAATTTTTTTCAATTTTTCATTCATTTGAAATTTGTAAAATTATTTTTCTTCAGTGAAAATTTCAGGTTTTCGGAAACCTTTTCTATATTTTTTACGATTCTGAACAGTTTCAGCTCCTAAAATCTGGACGTTTCAAGCTTTGCCACGTCATAACTCATCTTGAATCCTGCAATTTTTCGTCGAGAAAAACACTTATGACGTGGCAAATTTCGAAAAATCGGAGCTGAAAACCAGCTTCAAAAATGATTCTGATAGCAAAGGGTTGTTCAGAATTGTCTAAAATATAGAAAAGGTTTCTGAAAACCTGAATATTTTCACTGAAGAAAAATTTTTTTACTTTTTTTTTTAATTTTAAAATTTGAAGATTCATTCAGTGAAAAGATTCAGGTTTTTTTTGGATTTCAGAAAACATTTCCATATTTTTGACCCTGCTATCAGATTTGCATGAAAATCATTTTGAAGCTAATTTTCAGCTCCGATTTTTCGAAATTTGCCACGTCATAGCTCATCTTGAGTTCTGCAATTTTTGGCATAGTGATCAGAGCTTCGAAAAAAAATCTTGATGAAATTTTGTCCATAGACAGCTCTTGGGGTCATAAGAACATCCTAAAATTTTCAGGACCTCTGAGCCAAGTTCGAGGCTCGAAAAAGATAAAAAATTGCCAAAATTGGCTCATAAAACACGTCATAACTCATTTTTTACCTAAAAAGCAGCAATAAATCAAATTTTCAGAAAAAATTTTTATTTCGGAATAAAATTATGAGGAATTTTCAGCCGAAAAATAAAAAATTTCAAAATTGTTTGAAAAATTGTTTTTTATTGATGTATTTTTAGTAAATCGACTATGCTGATCAATATCTGAGAATTTTTGAAAAAAAAATTTGAAAATTTCAAAAAAATATTTGGGAGAAACAAAGTTTCAGATATTGATCAGCATAGTCGATTTATTGTCAAAATTGAAAAATGTGGCCGCCGTAAAAAATGAAAACCAGTGCAGAACTGAATAAATGAAAACAACTGGACTTCGTCAGTCGCGTGCGGCTGTGCGGCGCGGTCGAAAATGAAAGGAAAAAAATGAATCATTGATTGTTTTCCGACCGCGCCGCACAGCCGCACGCGACTGACGAAGTCCAGTTGTTTTCATTCATTCAGTTCTGCACTGGTTTTCATTTTTTACGGCGGCCAAATTTTTCAATTTCGACAATACTGAATATACATCAATAAAAAATATTTTTTCGAGAAAAAAATTTTGAAATTTTTTATTTTTCGGCTAAAAATTCATTGTCTCTGCTCATAATTTTTTTCCAAAATCAAAAATTTTTCTGAAAATTAGATTTATTGATCACGCTTCATAAAAATCACCGAGAATTGAGTTATGAGCCAATTTTGGCAATTTTTGAACTTTTGATTGCCCCGCCCGAACTTGGCTCAGAGGTCCTAAAATTTTTTGGATGTTTTTATGACCCCAAAAGCTGTCTATGAACAAAATTTCATCAAGGTTTGAAATGTGAAGTGAAAAATTGTCAGCCAAGATTATTTTTTTTATTTTTCCAGTCTCCACCGCCATACGCTGCAATTGAAGAAGTCTCCACAACCATCGATTAATTTTTTGTTAATTTTTGTCTCTAGTTTGATCTGCATGAATAGTTGTTGTTGTTAAATAACTCACTTTCTCTGCTCTTCAATTTCATAATGACTTTTATACAGAGCTCCAATGAGCTCTGTTGTGAAAACAACATCGGCGTGTTGATCAATAAGTTGGAGCAAGAACAAACCATCGGTTCCCAGATATTTTTGAATGAATCGTTGGACGTGTTCACGATTTTCTGGAAATTTTCAGTTTTTTTAAATGAATTCTCCAAGATTTTTTTAAAACTTACTAATATCCTCTTTATCAAAAGGCATTTCACACATTTCCAATCGATTCAAAATAAAATGCTCATTGTAGGTTTCATTGAAAACCGCAAATATCCAACTGAAGAGATTGGCGATGGTGAAAGTTGTTAGGATAATATACCAGGCCCAGAGGATTACGAAGATTTTTTCGGTGAATAAATTGAGGAGGAGAACACATTGCACGGTGTGTGTTTGGATGTTTCCCATGTCTCGCGTCTGGAAAAAAATATTGATTGATTTTTGGGGCCCGAAAATATTGATTTTTTTCAAGTGTTATGACGTGGCAAAGTTCAAATATTAAAAAATTCTGTTTTGTTAGAGAAGCCTAGCTTCGAAGAAGAATTTTCTAAAAATTTACTAACAAGGAAGTCATTTCAAAATTTATTCATTTTCGAAAGTTTTTTTTTCAAAATTTGGCCCTAGATTTGAATTTAAACGTGAATTATTTTGCTCATTTCTGATTTCATTTTCTAATCGATATATTTTAAAATCTAGCGAAGAAGAGGGAAAAAATAATGAAAAAAACATTTTGTTTGACAAAAAATTTCGAAAAAAATGTTAAAAAACTATATTTTTTTCATTTTTGTGTGAAAAAAATATAGTTTTTTGAAATTTTCTGAATCGAAATTTTTTTGTCAAAAAAAAATTTGTTTCTAATTTTTTTTCGACTTGAATCACCCCATTATAAGTGTTGGAATGTAGTAAAAAAGAATAAATTAATTTTAAAAAAAATTAATTTCACGTGAACGTGTGACGTGGCAGAACAAACCGCCTATATTTTTCATTTTGTTTTTTGTTTTGTATTTCAATTTTATTCAGAATGCATCCAATTGTTTCTAATGGTAATAAATTAAAATGGAAGTTTGAAAATATCAAAAATTTGGGCCAAGACAAAATTTCGAGTGAGAAATTCACAATTGGACCTGTTGATTGGTTAGTTTCCCTTAATACCTCTCAATAAAAATCCTCATAGTTTTCAGGGTTATCGATATTGGTTTGACATACGATGGGAAAAATCTGGCAATTTTTTTGAGATATGATAAAATGAACAAAAACGAGCATGATTGGATTTGTGATGCAAGAGGAAAATTGAAATTGTTGAAACAAAATGGAGCGGGAAAACATGAATCGGAAGACTTTGAAGTTCGGTTTTTACAGTACCGCGATAGTTTGGAAAGTGAGAATTTGGAGTTTTCAAAGGTTTTGGATAGTTCGAATGGTTTCATCAAAGAAGATTCAATTATTGTTGAGATTGACTTGAGTTTTAAATATTATGATTTCTCGAAACAAGTTGAGAACTTCACTGATATAATAATCAACATATATGAAACAAATTTCTATTTGAATAAAGGGGTGAGTTAGACTAACTCAGTTAGTTATAGTTTCAAAAACAAATGTGTTCAGGTGCTCAGCTCGAAATCGGAATATTTCTACAATTTATTTGTGATTGAAAAATCCACGGAAACTTGCATAAAACTGGATGATATTTCTCCCGATGAGCTAATTTGTATGGTGGTTCCTTATCCTTCACCGGATCCAATTTTCGGTTTGTTTTTGAAAAAAATATATATATTTGCGATATGTGTTTTTTTAAAGACGATGAATGTTATTCATTCATCAATGTTGCTCAAAAATATGGAGTTGCATCACTTCACGAAACATGCGAAAAATATTTGATTTCTGTGAAATACAAGGATATAATGGTTGGAATCAAGATTGCAGAGCAAAATGGTTATGAAAAACTGATGGAGCACTGTATTGAGCAATTCAAATCTCCAATTGAGATTAAAAATTTGCACGCGGATGTTAGATTTGAGAAATTGAATGATGTTACGAAATGGAAAATTATGCATTGTTTGTTGGAGATGTTCTAATCTGATTTTTTTATTGATTTCTGATTTCTGATTTTTGGTTTGAGTTTTGTTTTAGAAGCAAGTTTAGAGAAAATAAAGGGTTTTTCAACATATTAGGAGTTGAGTTCTACAATTTAAAAGTGATCAGGCAACTAAATACTATAGAACAGTTTTGGAGCTCACGAAGCAGTCATTTCGTTCAGTTTTTAATTCTCAAATAATTTTTTCGAATTTAATTTTCCACGTATTTTTATAAAGTTCACGTCACCTTTTTTCGACATTTTCATTAGTTTTTCTTTTAAAAAAATTCGCCAATAAAAAATATCGCGTGAAAATCGTAACATGAGTTATGACGTGGCAAAGTTGAAACCCGAACTTTTTTGAAAAAAAAAACTCAAAATTCTAGGAAATTCTTTTCTGAAGCAAAATATGAAAACTATTTAGCTTCAGAAAAATTTTCAGAAAATTTCCAAATTTGCCACGTCATAACAATTTTTGGGATCGTTATCAGTGGGTCAAAAATTATTAGAGAAAATTCAAAATTTCTTGATTTTCAAAATGATTTTTTTCTCAACTTCTAACATGAGTTATGACGTGGCAAAGTGGAATTCCAACTTTTTTGAAAAAAAAACTCAAAATTCTAGGAAATTCTTTTTTGAAGCAAAATATGAAAACTATTTAGCTCCAGAAATTTTCTAAAATTTCAATAATGTTCAGAAAATTTCCAAATTTGCCACGTCATAACAATTTTTGGGATCGTTATCAGCAGGTCAAAAATTATTAGAGAAAATTCCAAATTTCTTCGTTTTCAAAATGATTTTTTTCTCAACTTCTAACATGAGTTATGACGTGGCAAAGTGGAATCCGAACTTTTTTTGAAAAAAAAAATTAAAATTCTAGGAAATTCTTTTCTAAAGCAAAATATGAAAACTATTTAGCTCCAGAAATTTTCTAAAATTTCAAAAATGTTCAGAAAATTTCCAAATTTGCCACGTCATAACAATTTTTGGGATCGTTATCAGCAGGTCAAAAATTATTAGAGAAAATTCCAAATTTCTTCGTTTTTAAAATGATTTTTTTCTCAACTTCTAACATGAGTTATGACGTGGCAAAGTTGAAACCGGAACTTTTTTTTGAAAAAAACTCAAAATTCTAGGAAATTCTTTTCTGAAGCACAATATGAAAACTATTTAGCTTCAGAAAAATTTTCTAAAACATTTCAAAAATGTTCAGAAAAGTTCCAACTTTGCCACGTCATAACAATTTTTGGGATCGTTATCAGCGGGTCAAAAATTATTAGAGAAAATTCAAAATTTCTTGATTTTTTGAAATGATTTTTTTCTCAACTTCTAACATGAGTTATGACGTGGCAAAGTTGAAATCCGAACTTTTTTGAAAAAAAAAACTCAAAATTCTAGGAAATTCTTTTCTGAAGCAAAATTATGAAAACTATTTAGCTTCAGAAAAATTTTCAGAAAATTTCCAATTTTGCCACGTCATAACAATTTTTGGGATCGTTATCAGTGGGTCAAAAATTATTATAGAAAATTCAAAATTTCTTGATTTTCAAAATGATTTTTTTCTCAACTTCTAACATGAGTTATGACGTGGCAAAGTTGAAATCCGAACTTTTTTTGAAAAAAAAAACTCAAAATTCTAGGAAACTCTTTTTTGAAGCAAATTTATGAAAACTATTTAGCTTCAGAAAATTTTTCTAAAATTTCAAAAACTTTCAGAAACATTTCAACTTTGCCACGTCATAACAATATTCTTTTTAGGCTGCCATTTCAAAATTTCTTGATTTTTTGAAATGATTTTTTCCCAAAAATTTCATTTCATTTCCAACCCTCACCTGAAAATCGCACAAAGTAACCCTTGGAAAAACGCCATTCTCCCGCCACGTTTCATTTCCCCCATTTCCCCAAAATATATTCTTCCACATATCAAACCCGAATCTCGACTGTTTTTCAGTTGGCAACATATAGTGAGTGAGAAGTTTGGATTGCAAAATGACGTTTCCCAAAAATGCGAGTTTCGCCACAAAATAAATGAAAGTGACGTAATAGGCGGAATATTTGATGTTCAAAAATCGCAGGAATTTGTGAGGAACTATGTTTTTCTGGAATTTTTTTTGAGATAATTAATTTTTTGAGGTGAATTCCATTTCAATTACTCACAAGCTTCAAGCGTTTTTGAAATCGAAGAACACCTTTCAAATGAATACATAAAGCAGTGATATTGGCTTTTTTGACAAGTGGAACTGCATTATTTTCATCGCTCGAAACTCGAAGAATTTCTCCAACTTGCATTCCACTTTGACTCGCAAAATATTTCCAAATAAAACATGGAAGTCGAAAACAAGCAGCTTCAAAAAGCAAGAAAAATGACATCCATTGATAATACGAAACTTTTTCGCCGCCTTTCTTCACAATTCTTGGTTCACCATTTCCTCTTGCCATTCCATCGACAACAACATCAGCTGGTGTTATTTCTTCGACTAATGGAGCTGTGAATGGGATGAAATATGTTGGTTGAGCCCAACAATAATTATTCGAATATTGAACCCATGCGTTGGTGAAATCTAGTGGAACCATACATTCGATTGGTGTTCCACCGAATTGTTTCCATGATATTAGAACAGCTAGGCCGACGAGGATGTTTGAGGTGAAGAATGAGTGGATGCTTGCGACTAGGTCTTTCGCGCCAGCGCGATTTGTATATGGAACCGTGTTTAGGACACGGAACACAAACATCTTCAATTGTTAGATTAGAATGAATACTATCTTCTAAAATAGATACTGGTATGCCGTTGGTTGCGGTTAGTTTGTCTGTACTTTGTAAACAAGAGGAACAATTAAATTTTGATGTTTATGAAACATCAATAAATCAACAAGAAATTATTCAACGATGACGTCGGCTTCCCGGGTGGCTCTGGTGTAAACGACTTGTCCGTGATGACGAACGATGCATTTGACGAGTCCCTTAGCTTCCAATTCCTTGAGTCCGGCGTTGGCCAAAGAGGCTCTGACCTTCAGTCTTTCGGAGATGACGGATGGAGTGATAAGCTTGTAGGTGATGACCTGGAAAATAATAAAATAAGTTTCGTATGAAGCATGTTAGCTTGAGGAATGAAAATTTATTATTTGCATAGTTATAAAAATCTAAAGCCACTTGTAAACACGCCCAATAAATAAAGAAAACGCCCGAAAATTCATGTAATGTTTTCTCTCAAAAAAATCAATAATGTTGTGTGAGGAAACAAACAGATTTGCCAGATGTTTGCGTATTTATTGATTTAGAAAATAGTAATGGAAAGTATTATATTAAAACGAATTTTACTAGAAGAAAGCATTCCACAATCAATTAAAAATTTTTTTTATGTTAAACACTAATTATCATTTTTGATCAGAAAATTGAGATTGAAAAAAACTTTTCATTTAATTTTGAAAGAAATAAAATAAATCTTCCAAACAATGGAAAATTCTGAATCTGTTAATATATCTGAGAACACAAGAAAATCTGAACGTTTTTTATGTTTCAGTTTTATGTTGAACATTATGGAGAATTTTGTAAACTTTTTAGAAGTTAAAATTAGTCGGATTTTTTAAAAATGAACGAAACTCGGATCGTTTGAGTGAATCTATGTTATAAAATCTCGTATTTTGAACTTTTCAACGCATTTCGTTCAACAAAAGAAAAAACTCACTTCTTTGTAGAGCTTGTCATAGGTAGCTTGGTCGAAGAGAACCATGTTGTTAAGCTTGTCCCGGACCTTTCCCTTTGACCACTTCTTCTTCTTAGCCTTTCCACCTCCGGATCCTTCCTTTTTCTTGGATGGGGCGGCCTTGCCACCCTTTGGGTCTGCCTTCTTTGGCGGCATTTTACCTGAAAATTTGAAATTGAGTTTGAAAGTCGTTTTTTCAAGTAAAAAATGAACAAAGAGCATAATCAACAATCGGAAACAACAATCACATCTGTTTTTGACAGAAAAATAAGTTGAAATCAAAAAAATTCATAATTTACACGTGAATTACTGTACAAATTTTAGGAGAGTCGAAAAGAAAAGAAAAAACGAAATTCAGCACTGGGCAAGGCATACTGTCACCGTTCGCTGCGAGAAACAAACGAAAAAATAGGTGCGCCTTTAATCTCTTTTTCTCTGCGCGCTCCAAAAAACAACGCTTTCTCGTTTTTATTTTTATTTTTTTCCATTTTTTTTCGTTTAGACGTAATTTATGAAGCTTGGGTGGAATTTTGATGTTTCCTGTGTATATTTTCTGATTGTTTTTTGCAGGAATTTTCAAGGCAAACAGCAAATATATGAAAAATATTTTATTTTATTTAAACAAATCAAACTTTAATAATAACCAATTGTATGAGAAGATGTAGTTGGAGCGTATGATTGAGAACCAGGAGATTTGTAATAAGGAGTTTTCAATTTCTCTTCAAGACTTCTTCGATATCTAGCAACACAGCAAATATAACCAATTAATGCAACAAGAATCAAAATCAAAACAGCAACAATACTTATAAGAATAAAAGTATTTAGTGGAATATCATTTGAAATTTGCAATGGTTTTGCCTGCGTACATTGATCAACATTAACAACTTTGAAAATATGATGAATCTTATCGATATATTGATTTGTATTCGATAAAAGTGCACTCATTTGTTTATCCTCCAAAAATCGCATTATCTTTTGTAATATAAAAACACACCGAAGTATATGAAGAATTCTTTGAATCCCTTAATGGCTCCGAAAAATAAACATCCATTGATTTCAACGCTTCCCGAAGTTGTCTCTTCAATTTCTCCATATTCGCTCCAAACTCATTTCTTTCCATCGCCAAAACATATTTCAACTTGCGATCATCTCGAATATGATGAAGTTCTCGAATTCCTCTCCCGTTTTTGAGCTGCGCAATGTAGATCCCTTGGGGAGCATCGAGGATGCGTGGAGTTGCTGCAAGTTCTCCGGTATTTTTGTTGAGGGCAACAGATCCTTCGGGAGAAATCATATCACGACCAAGCTCATAATTTGCTCTAGAAATATATTGCTGATTTTTGAATTGGAAACGATAAATCAGAAACTTACGGTACAAAATTGATAGTTTCCAGTTCAAAATCTTGCGCTTGACCGTTGAAATCAATAGGAATCTCAATATTTTGTAAGCTATCTCCAACTTGCGAAAATTTCTGAGCTTCAACCAGAATTTCCTTCTCCTCTAGATCTTTTCCTCGAACTTCAACAGTAATTTTTTGCATATTTTTAGCTGTCGAATCATAAAAAACATCCACCAAATCAACATTTTCTCTAGAATCCGCCAAAATACAAATCTCAACTCTTCCAGAAACTTCTTGGGTAGGTTTCTGAGGATGATAGACGATTTCTCCGAACTCGTGGTCAATTGTAAAATTCGCGGCCATTTCCGAGCCACAACTTGGAATAATATAATAGAAAATTGGTTTTTTGTCAGCGTCATAGGCCACGATTCTTCCGATTGCTGTTGATTTTGAAGTGTTGGTTGGAACTTCAAAAACTCTTGTGGCACTTTTGGGGAATTCGGGAGAATTATCTTCCAGGTTTATGATATCTAGATGGATTATTGTTGAAGCGGTTTGTGTGGGATCAGCGGGATTTGTGGCAGTGACCAGGAGCTGGAAAATTTGATAGATGAGGTTTGAGGGGGCTTTAGGAGAATCTCAAGGCGCGGATGCTTGAAAATTAGAGTCTCTAGACGCGGCTGCTTGAGGAGGTGGATCTCAAGGCGCGACTGCTTGAGAAAAAGAATCTCAAGGCGCGACTACTTGAGATCCATGCTCTGTAGGCGCTAATTCTTGACAAATAAATTTTCTAGCCGCGGCTGCTTGAGACATAGGATTTCTAGACGCGGGTCCGAGACAATTGCACTTTCTAGGTGTGGCTGCTTGGCATTGAAGTTCTCAAGGAACGGTTCCTTGTCAGAGTAAATCTATAGACGAGGGTCCGAGACAATTGAACTCTCTAGGCTTGTCTTCTTGGTATTGAAGATCTCAAGGCGCGGCTACTTGAGAACTAGGTTCTCAAGACGCGGATTCTTGAGGAAGATGATTTCTAGACACGGCTGCTTGAGGAGGGGGATCTCAAGGCGCCGTTCCTTGTCAGAGTGGATCTCTGGACGCGGGTCCGAGACAATTGAACGCTCTAGGCGCGGCTGCTTGACAGACAGAGTAGGCGTGGCTGCTTGAGGAAGAGGATCTCTAGACGCGGTTCCGAGAAAATCAAACGCTCTAGGCGTGGCTTCTTGAGAACTGAGCTCTTAAGGCGCGGTTCCCTGCTAGAGGGAATCTCAAGGCTCGGCTGCTTGCGGGAGAGGATCTCAAGGCGCAGATCCTAGAAGAAAAATATAAAATGAGAAATTTGAATATTTATTTATACACACAAAAAAAACAAAAAAATCAACCCGTAATATATTATATTTATTTCTTCATCTCAAATCTGATCAAAATAATTGGAACCTCTCGAATTGCCCAAAATACTCAATCCAATAATATTCAGCGAAATCAACGATGTATTTTCCAACACATCCGGATCCCGTTCATCAAAAAGAAAATGTTGCGGTTCGGGTTGTTGCAAATTGTTATTATTGTTTTGTTCCTCTTCAAGGTGTTTCATATCTTTCAGGGTCCAATATTGTGAATGCCATTCAGGCGTTTCTTTGTGAAGGTACGGTAGAAGTCGAGTGTAACTTCGTTGATAAATTCCTGCAAAAACAATTGGATCTGGGAAGAGATTCTAAGCCTACCTCTGACTGAATCAGTTGGTTTGTCTCTGGTAATATTCTCAACGGTTTTGGATTCGGCTAATTTGATCGGTGTTTTTCCACGACCCATTCCTCGCATGTACAAAAGTCTTTTGTTGTTTTCACGTAGAGCGTTGAGAAGTTTCTCTTTTAGTCTGGAAAATATGAATTTTATGGGGTGAAAAAAAATAATAAAAAGTTTTTTTTACAAAAAATTTTGATTCAGAAAATGTCGAAAAACTGTATTTTTTCCTATTTTTTGATATTTGCTGAATCGAAATTTTTGTCAAAAATTTTTTTTTAATTATTTTTTTTTCGACTTGAATCAAAGTTAACAAAACTCCTCAATCAAAAATTAATTTTGTAGCTAAAAACTTCAAATTTTCAATCAATAAAATTCGAATGTACTTATTTAGCTCGAAAAAAAATTTGAAACGAGAAAAAACACAAAAACGCGCTCCACCGAAATAAACACGCAACGCAGACCGCGTCGCGCCACAACACAAGGGAACGATTCAAATTCCCTCCCTTGTTTGTGTGTATTGTGGCGCGGCGCGGTCTGCGTTGCGTGTTTATTTCGGTGGAGCTATGTTGTGTTTTTTTTTTTCGTTTAAAAATTTTTCGACCTTCGTAATTTTATTAATTGAGTATTTTCGTCAACTTTGAGATGAATATCGATTTTTTTTTTGAAAAAATACTTCGCTCCGATTCAGAAGACTCACTTGCATTCCAATTGCCTCGATCTCTTTTCCTTGGGCACTGACCAATGCATTTCACACGCCACCGCCATCATATTTTTCGTCTCAAACCATCGATCAATTTCATCACAAACATCCTCATAAATCTCCTCAAATCCCCCATTTTTCGCCTCAAAAACCGTTGTAATCATCTTAGTTTTATAAATTGATCTCTTCAAAAATCTTTCGATTGGATCTGAAGGTTCCAAGCTCGCCAAGTTGCTGACTGATTTACTAGGATCTGGTAGAATTATGGGAACTTCAATGGCTCGTAAAAGATCTGAGTGGGATTTCGAGGCGACATTTATCCTCGGATATTTCTCATATCTCTTAGGAACTTCTAATGTTGGACTAAGTGAACTAGCCGAATAATATCCCTGTGAATCCGATTTTATCTCAACATTCAATGTATCATCAGTGGTATATCCTCCATCAGAAGTTGTTGTATTAGATCGCGGTGAGGATTGTTGTGGAGGAATTCTGATGATTGGAACTGAGGGTTCAGTATTCACTGTGAAATTATGAACATAAGATGATGATACATCTGGCATTGAACTCGTCTTTTTTCGCTGATTTTTTTGATTCTCAACCTCTTCATCTGATGATGTTTGATGTGGATTTTGTTGAGGAGTGAGAGCACGACGGCGAGTTGTATTGTTGATTTTTTTGAGGATACTTCGACCAATTTTTTCAAGCTTTCCCATTTCTGGAATAGGTTTTTTAAGGGTTTTGTGGAGAAAAATATGGTTAGAAGTGCACTTAAAGTTCGGAAAATCTACAGATTGATTCCCAAAACTTGTCTGGCCACGTTACAAGGCTCCAAAGTTCTGAAAATTGATCTGAACCTCAAGATTTTCATCGAATCTTTTTCAGGAACATCTATAGAGTTCTGAAATTCAGAGCCTTGTAACTTGGCCAGAATTTTCTTCCTTGAACTTACGATCCATGTTTTTTTTTACAATTCAACACAAAAATCAAGAAATTCTTGTTAGATAAATACTTTAGAAGTGGACAAAAAGATAGATAAACACAACAAATAAACGATCATCGTTACGATTTTCTGTGAATTTCGTACAATTTGTGAGAAAACGGAAAACCACTAGTTTTTATTCTAATTACATGTGCCGAAAAAGTGAGATTTTCTTACCTTTTCGTTTTCAGGCGACTCTAGAGAGAGTCTTGGATTTATTACTAGAATAAAATAAAATAAATTTGTAAAAAAAATTCAAGTGGAATTGAAGGAACGAAGGAACGCAAACAACATTTTAATGTAGGGAGGTAAAAAAAGAAAAGTTTCGATTATCTAACAATGTTTGCGGATTTTTGATGATAAAATTTGAAGTGAAGTGGAATGAATTTGAGTAAGTAAGTAACAATGGAATTTTGCAAGTGATAGGAAAAAAGGAAAAAAAAACTGTAATGGTTGGAAAAATGATTGATGGAACTTGTGAAATTTTGATAAAAAATGAAACTAGGAAGGAAAATTCGGTTCAGAAAATGTCAAAAAACTAAAATTTTTCCTATTTTTTGACATGTTTTCCACACATAAATGAAAAATATCTAAAAAAAAAAGTCAGAAAATAGGAAAAAATAAATTTTTTGGACATTTTCTGAATCGAAATTTTTTGTTTTATTTTTTTTCGACTTGAATCATCCCCTATTATCTGGAGAAAATTTGTGATTTTCTGAAACTAACTGAAATTTTTTTTCGAAATCTGAATGCAGAAAAAAACATCCTTGATTTATTTTTTCGAAAAAAATGTTGGATCTCTCTGTAACAAAGGAACTATTTCAACTTGGGATCAAGATTTTCAATAAAATTTATGGTTTCTAGTAATTTTCATCCGCTAACCACGATCCCGTTTTCTAAAACTGCAAATTTCAACTCTTAATATGAGTTATATTGTGGCAAAGTTGGAATTTGAACTAAAACTTTTGAATTTTTGAAATTTTAGAATTTTTTTTAAAAAGCTAAACTCACAGATTTCATATTTTTCCTGAGAAAAGCATTTTCTATTGTAAAATTCAGAAAAATTGGGATTCCGAACTTTGCCACGCCATAGCTCATGCTGAAACAGCTCCCCAATTTTAAAAATCCCAAAAACCAAATTTCGAAATTTTTTGTAACCCAGAAAATTTTCATCTCAGAAAAATCACAAAAAAAATTTTTCGAAAAATATTGAAACCTAATTTTCACCGGAAAAAACGTATGGCGAACAAAAATCATACAGTTCAGAAATCTTCATTTGCATATTGACATTTTGAAAGAAACGCCCCCACTCCTCCCACGTTTTTTTCTAGCGCGCTTTTGTCGAAAATCTTTGAACCACAACGAAAAGTGAACAATATGTACGATAGAATTTTGGTTGGAAAAATTGCGCAACACCCCGAAAAATACCAGTTACCCCCTTTCATTTTCGCTCTCTTTTACACACCGAACAACATGATTTGCTCAATGGCGCGAAAAAAAAATGAGGCGACGACATATTTGGACAGTAATTCTGGGCATGCGCTAGAAAATGATGAGGAAAAGAGCACAAAAAAGTTGTGTTTGGGAGCTCTCTCTCTTTCTCTGGAGAGAGCAGAGAGCACTTGAGATTTGGAGCATGATCATCAATTTTTTTCCCAAATAACTGTACACATTTTTTGATGATCATCTCTATTTATTTACTTATTCATTTAGTGAAAGGAGAAAATTGTTGACCTTGAAAATTTAAAATTTTCATGGGAAACATCGAGAAAACAGAAATTCAAGCGAGCCATTTAAATATGAAAATTTCTATGGCTTCAAGAAATAGCTAGATGGCCGAGTGGTATACATGCGTGCGTTTTGTTCAAGGAGCCGGGGTTCGACCCCCGCCCGCCGCACAATTTTTTTTCTTTTTTTTTAAATTTTTTTTATTATTTATCTAGCCTAAAAATGGTTGAAAATTGACCTTGAAAAATTTATAACTTATAATTTTCGTGAGAAAAAAACAACAACTATAATTCGATCAGAATCGAAAAAAAAAGAAGTTCCATTAGTCAGAGAGACCTACATAATTTGAATGAAAATGTTCGGTTTAATTTCCCAAAAAAAAGGAACATGTTTAATTGAAGTTCGTAACCCCAATTACATTTGGAAAATCATCGGAGACCATGCACTTATTTCGGAATTCGAATTCCGAAAGAAGATTATGGATCAAAATCATGTGACAGGAGAAGGAAGTACCTCTTGAACATCATAGAATATATTATATTATTTTATAAATACCTACATAGTTCAGAGGTATAAGTGGACTGGAATTTTTTGGGAACTGGGGGCGGAGCTTGAACAAAGTGGGCGTGGCTTAAATGCAACTACTGCGCACAGTTTTGCCTTCAATAATTCAAGCTGTAAATTGAACCTTAACCTTAACAAGCCTTAATCTCAAATCAAAAAAGTCTTAAAAAAGGATTCAAAATTTTTTAGCTTCAGAAAACAATTTTTTTATCCTATAACTTTAAGCCAAAATATTTCTGATAAAAATTTCAGAATCTCAAAAAACACACGTTCCTTTTTCCTCCTTCAAAAAAAAAAGAAGCGAGTCACATTAAATGAAGGCGTGACAAGTTGAATTAGTTAATCGGTCCTCAAAAATTTTGAACACTGCATTTTTTTTGGTTGTTTACAGTTACAGCCAACAAAAAAGTGTCTCTCAAGTGTAAATATTTGAAAGTTTGAAATAAAATAAAATAAAATATAGTTTCAAAATGAAATGAAATATGCAAATATTGCCTTGACTCATCGATTTTCCTGACCAAACGGAACTTTTTTTGAGAAAGAAAGAAGAGTTATAAAAATGTTTTTTTTTTTGAAAAAAAAAACGAAAAAAAAAAGAAGTTTCGATTGACACTAATTGATAAGAAAAGCAAACTTCAAAAATTTGAGACAAAAATTTTTGGAAAAGAAGAGAACTGGAGGAATCGGATTACTGTAGATAGAAACAGAATTAGGGTTACTGTAGAGCTAGTGATCTTTGAGTGACCTAGGGTTACTGTAGAGCTAGTGATCTTTGAGTGAGCTAGGGTTACTGTAGAGCTAGTAATCTTTGATTTTTCTAGGGTTACTGTAGATCTTGGGTTACTGTAGATCTAAGATTCCTTAAAATTCTAGGGAGAGAATTTTTAGCAAATCTGATATAGAGGTCCCCAATAAATCAGATTCAGTAGAGATTACTGTAGTTAGGGGTTACTGTAGATATATGTTTTTGGTCTAAAAAGGGTTTTTGAGCGAAATTCTCAGATGTCTAAAATTCTGAATCTGAAAATTTTTTAACAAATTCAGAATCAAAATTTAGAGATTTTTATGATCTACCAGAAAAAATCTGTGAGAACCAGGGGTCGAAGAAATATTTCCAATAGGATTATAAATGGTTTAGGGTCACATTTAAATCACACATAAAACCCTGTGAAGTGTAACAAATCCTTACCTTTTGATCGTTGTCCACCTCCGCAAATAAACTTGTTCGAAAATGCAAAGTCAATTGAATAAAATCCGAAAAATAAATAGAAAAGCAAAAAAAAAAACTCGAAAATGTTCGATCAAAAAAAATAAATAAAAAACAAATAACATTGTTCCTCTTATCAGCCAGGTCATAAGTCGATTCCGATTTCAATTTCAAAACCCTTTCCCCCCAACTCACCGTGTAATCCTGTGCCTCTTCATAATCGATAGGCCGTGTTGCAAAAATCTCGCCAGATGTTTTATCGATTTGGAACGATTCCTGATCTGATATCAGATCTTTCAAAGTGTATTCGAGAAAAATTCCATCTTCGCGTGAACCTTTGACACGAGCTTCGATTTTTGCGATTTTTTGGGAGTCGGGAATGTTCTGGAAAATTAAATTTCGGTGTGAACTTCCAGAAGCCTTCCAAAGCTTTAAAAAAGCTCACCTCCTCAACATCAAATCGATTTTTCAAATTCACAAATTCCACAATCGGCTGACTCATCAACTCATCCTTGCTCCTCACTCTCAAATTCAAAACCGCGCTCGAATTCAACGGCGGACTCCCGGAATCCTGTGCAATGATTCGAATAGCATATGGTTCTGCGCGTGAAAGTCCCATCAAATCTCCGGAAACTGTCAGAAGTCCCGATGTTTCATTGATGGATAGGAGATTTGGAGGTGATCCTTCGAGGGAGAAGTGGATGTTTCCAGATGGGCCGAGATCGGGGTCTGTGGCTTGGATTCTGGAAAAAGACAGGTTGAATTTTGACAAGCCCAAATGAGGCCTGATATTTCTGACAGGCCTAAAACGAGCCTTGGAATCCAGGCAAGCCTAAATGAGGCCTGAAATTTTGAGTCCCGAATCAAGGCTGAAATTCTAGACAGGCCTAAATTGAACATAGAAGTTCCTCCGCTAAGGCATTTCAGGTTGGGCCTGAATTTTTGACAAGCCTTAATGAGGCCTGAAATTTTTAAAGTCCTGACAAGCCTAAAATAAGCCGTGGAATCCAGACAAGCCTTAATTTAACATAGAAGTTCTTGGGCTAATTTAAGGCATCTTAGGTTGAGCCTAGAAATATTGACAAGCCTAAATTAGGCCTGAAATTTAGACAAACCTAAGATCGAATCTTAAAACAGCCCTAATTCGATATGCCTGAATCAAGCCTAGAAATTTTGTCAAGCCTAAATGAGGCCTGAAATTTAGACAAGCCTAAATTGAACATATCTGGCTTAATTTTACAGAATTTAGGCTGAGCCTAAAACTTTGACAAGCCTAATTGAGGCCTGAAATTAAGATGGGCCTAATTTTAAATGCCTCAATCAGGCCTGAAATGTTGACAAGCCTAAGACAAGCCTAAAAGGGCCTAAAAATGTGCCTTATATCATACCTAGAATTTCAATTGCCCTGCCATTTTCCAATCCACAAAAAATAAAAAATAAACCAATTTTTTTATTTTTTTTATAAAAATTAAATTCCAAAAATCCACGTGAAAAAGTTCACGTCAAAATTAATTTAAAATAAATTCAATAATTTCCAATTCACACCTCGGCCAAAATCGTGGTTTCCACAATAAAAAATTGCACGCTAACTTTTTACAGTACAAAAATGGTGAATTTTTCAGATTTATCCTCTAAAAATTGTTATTTTTCAATTTTTGACCTCTAAAAACTGAAATTCAGATTTTTCAAAAAATTGTACTCTGGCCAGCCACGGCTTGGCCGAGGTGTGTTCCAATTTCTAATTTTTTCAAAACTCACTTCTCCAAAACCACCCCCTTTGGCCAATTTTCCACCGCTTCAACCTCATACATTTTCCTCGAAAACCGCGGCGCATTATCATTAACATCAAGAATTTGAATTGGGATTATAACCCGATCCGAATTTCCACTCATATCTTCAACTCGAACAATCAATGCGTTCGAATCCAGAGCTTCACGGTCTAATTTCGCGTTTTGAGCCAGGAATATCGACAGGAGTCCGGAATTTGTCTGCAAAAAAAAAAACACCATTTTTTTCTTAAAAATTCCCCAGAACTCTTACAATATTGGCAAAATACTGCTCACTTCCCCGACCTTCCAGAAAAACTTCAAAACTCCGTGAGCCATCCGGATCTGTCACATCAAATTCCGCAATTTTCGCGCCACCCGGTAGATCTTCGGGCAAACTAACAGTATTGATTTGTTCTCGGGTGATTAAGGGCGGGTTATCATCAATATCCACCACATGAATTCGAAGAATCCCTTCCGATTCATAACCTTTTTCACCTGATATCAATTTCAGATCAAAACTTCTTTGTTGATTTGGCAAACTTTCATAATCAATAACTTTCCTGATCTTCAATTCTCCAGTTTCCTCATTGAAGTTAAAAGCTTCTCTCATTCCTCCCTCAATCCTCGATCTTGTTCTCAAATTCGATGTTGGAATCACAGCCGGGAACACTCCTACAACTCTTCCTTTCTCCATTTCCTCAGGCATATAAACTTCCATCAATTCCTCCGGATAAATCGGTTTAGCTCGAAGTTTTTCTTGTTTCTCAAGATACGCTGGAGTTGATACAAGTCGAATCAACACTATTAATTTGGTATTTTTGTTGATCAAGTTGAAGCTGATAATTCGTAATCCCTCGACTTTCCTGATTTCCACGGTGTTTTTATTGATCTTAATATTCATTGGCTCATAGATTTCTCGCTTGCCAATTTCATTAATTGCAAAGGAATCTTCAGACAATATAAAATCAGGACTTTCCAGGGGGATTTTAAAATTTTCCTCAAAAGTTTCTCGATCAAAGGTTGTTTCCAGAAGTTTTGCAGTGACTTCTTCCTCATTCTTTTTCAATTTCCCATTAACAACTTCAATTTCCACCTCAGTTTCAGTCAAAATCATCAGCGTCTTCTTATCAATCGCTCCGATTCTCAACGTATATTTTCCCTGATAAACCTCGCCATCAAAACTATTCACCTTAACTCGCCCACCGTAACCCTCTACAGTAACCCAACCGGGATTTCCGCTAAGTATGATTATCTTGGCTTCATCGATGGGAACACCCTCTAATTCGACTTGAGTGATTCGTTTGCCTTCGGTTATTTTGGATGAATCGATTTTTGCGGAATATTTTGGTTTTCTGAAATGAGCGTGCGATTGTGAATTTTCAACGAACACCGGGATCGTTTTTTTCTTGTCTTGGTTATCGGTCTGGATTTGGATTTCAAGTTCATATTTCCCACTCGCAGCTGAATTTATCACTTGCACTTGATACATATCCGAAGTCTTCCGAAGTCCTAAAAACCTCGAAGCTGTTCCAGAAATCCTTGGCTCAACATCAGTCAAAATCACAAAAGGAATGATTATTCGATTGTCCGAAATTCTCAAAACATCATCCGAAGTTCTCAAATCCCCCGGCTTCTCTTGAACTTTGATTGTTACTTGAACCGGTGCCAAAGTTCCATTATTCGGGAGAAGCATCAAAGAATACATTTTTCTGGGCGCGGAATTTTGCAAACAATTCTCATTATCGAATTCACTGCAAGTTAGGATAATTGAATTTCCAACGAGGGAAAATCTTTTTGCAGAATCTCCGATTATTTTCATATCATTTTCATCAATTCTTCCAATTGTTCTTCCATTTTCAGCCGATTCCAGCACAGAAAATTCATATTCTTTCAATTCAAAGATCTTGTCAGAACTTCGAGATTTCTGAGCAACTTCCAAATTCAGAGGTTCTTTAACAATCGCACCATTCTCAAGTTTCCCAACAATTTCATAAGATCTTCTAGACGCATTGAACTTCTCATTGACAAAGATCCCAGCAATTTCACCAGTTCTCAAAACCTTCGGGCGAATCTCCAATCCTTCCGGTTCGATGGAAAATGCTACTGTAGTTCTAGTGGCAGACTTCGGAATAATCACAAGACCTCTAATCTGACTTCCAGCCCTAGAATCCAGAATTTTCCGATTTCCAAGAACCTCAATTTCCAGATCAACAGAATCGATATGATTCAAAAGGGGCAGAATCGTGATGGGCGATTCGATTGGCGATTCATCGGTCAGAAGTTCACCGGATGATTCGATTGTGGTTGGCTCCACAGATGGTTGAGTCGCAGAAGCTTCGAGGGAATCTTCTGAGGGGGTTTCTTGAGTTCCAGACGCTTCTTCGGGGATGTTTGTGAGAAGTTCTGGGTCTGTTTCGAGGGGAGTTGGAGTTGTGGTAACTTCAGGATGATCAGATATTTCAGTGGCTTCTGGACTTGTAGATTCTTCAGATGTTTCTGATTGTTCAGATGTAGATTCACTAGAGGTTTCTGGAGTTGTAGATTCTTCGGATGTTTCTGCTGGTTCAGTAGAGGTTTCTGAAGTTGTAGTAACTTCTGCTACAGTAGATTCAAGATGATCAGATTTCGATTCAGATCCTTTTGATTCAGTGGCTTCTGGAGTTGTAGATTCTTCAGATGTTTCTGCTGGCTCAGGTGTAGATTCACTAGATGCTTCTGGAGTTGTAGCAACTTCCACATCTACAGTAGATTCAAGATGATCAGATCCTTTTGATTCAGTGGCTTCTGGAGTTGTAGATTCTTCGGATGTTTCTGCTGGTTCAGTAGTGGTTTCTGAAGTTGTAGCAACTTCCACAGCTACAGTAGGTTCAGAAGATGTTTCTATTAATTCTTTGGATTCTGCTGGCTCAGATGTAGATGTAGATTCTTCGGATGTTTCTGCTAGTTCAGATGTAGATTTAGATTCACTAGATGTTTCTGAAGTTGTAGTAACTTCTACAGCTACAGTAGATTCAGAAGATGTTTCTGTAGATTCTTTGGATTCAGGGGTTCCTGCTAGATCAATTGTAGATTCACTAGATGTTTCCGATGTTGTAGATTCTTCAGATGCTTCCGATGTTGTAGTTGGAACTTCAGTAGATGTAGTTGATTCAGAAGTTGTTGTTAGAACTTCAGCAGTTGTTTCTGATGGTGTAGTTGCAACCACGGTTGATACTTCTACAGAAAATGTTGTTGAAACTTCAGCACCAACCCCAAGCACCAAATCATCATCATTTTCCGCCGCCACCAATTCAACATTCGAAATCTCAATCGGATCTTCAGTAGTCCTCACTCGCTTCGTCGTCGGCGCCAACGCCAAAACTTCCACCACAACATTCGTCGTCGCCAAAACATTATCCCCCAATTGAGCTTCCACCACAAACTTATAAATCCCCTGATCTGTCTTATCCACTTTAACATCACTTCCAGCTTTCAAAATCACAGTGGCACTATAAACATCAGCGTTGTCAGCCTTGGTTTTTTGCACTCCACCAATGTCGAACCAATTGAGTTCGTCGAAATTGACGGCGATTTTTGGGGTTGCGTGGTTTTTTTGAGTTATGAAATCGACGACGGCGAGAAGCGTTGAGTTCTGGAATTTTTTTTCTTTTTTTTCAAAATTAAAAAAAATTGATTTCTAACCTCATTAAATCCCTCAGGCAACATAAATCCATAATTCGGCTGATCAAATTTGTCTGGAACACTGCTTCGATCTCCCTCAACTTCTGAACTTCCATCATTCTTCTGAGCACCAATTGAGCCCAGAAATAATACATAGAGATATAAAAGTTTGAGAAGCATCTGGAAAAAAATACAGGTTTGGGAGAAGGAAAAACAAGATCTGATAAGTAACCCCAATAAATTTTCAACTTTGCTTGTGAAGCGACCTTCAATTCTTCCTGACCCAAATTATCGTGTTATCGTATTTCGCGCATCTTTTTTTTCTGAGAATAAGAAAAAATGAATTCAAAATTGACTGGGGAAAATCTCCTTTTGATCATATAAGGTTTATACGCCATAATAAAGGTGGAAACAAGTAATTGTATAATATCATGGTGAAGAGCAAAAAAACAACAACATACCACCCTTCCCATTGAAAATGCTCAAGAAAACTAGGTTTTATCTCAAAAAAAAGAAGTGAAGGAGGTAACAAAAAAAAAGATAAGGTATAATTTAAATTGGATAAATGGGGGGAGGGTAACAAAATTGGAGAATGAAATAATCAACAGAAGAAAACCGGATGAAGAGATACACCAAAAATAGAAGGAAACGACCATTGCCCGGTCTAAAATACTTCAAATAGTTGAAATACCCCGAAAAATCAGATACCGGACATTTGGCATTTAGAACACCGAATTAAAGATGTGGGGGGAAGTGCTAAGGGAAATAAATTTAGGCCTTTTTGGCTGCAGCTGGAGCAGCAGCAGCGGCTGGGGCATCTTTCTTGGCAGCAGCATCCTTCTTCTTCTTTGGCTTCAAGGCGGATTTGAAGATGGTAACCAATTCAGGATCCTTGAGGGTGGCTTCAGATTCGTAGACTTCGGTTTCAAGTGGAAGTCCGGTGATTTTCAAGAGTCCGTTTGGCATGACTAAAACTGTTGCTTTGAATTGAGCAACGAATTCACCTTCCTTCTCGTATAAGACCTGAAAATCAAGATTTTTTTTTAAAAGAATTTTCTTTTCGATCAACTTACTGGATATCCGGAAAGGAGACCGTATTTCTCACATTCAACAACTCCCATTTTAGCTTTAACTTCCTCTTCAAATCCTCTCAATGAGAATGGCATTGGTCCATGCTGAAAATTTTTCATGATCTCGATTTTCCAACAAAAAAATCATACCACTTTGTTGAGTTCAGTGTAGAAGACACGTGAAGCCTTCATTTTGAGTTGATATTGAACAGATTCGTTCTTCTTGAAGACTGTGGTACGGGTATCCAAATCTTTTGATTTTCCTGGACCAGTTGAGAAAAGAATGTCGATGGCATAAGCTTCGTGCTTCTCGATTTTAACCTGAAAAATTTCAATGTTTTGCAGAGAGAAATGAAATTTTTTTTTACCTTTTCAACTTCTGATCGTTGTTTCTCTCCTGGATTTTGGATGATTTGCTTTTCTCCATCGATTTCATTTCGTTCTAATTGGTGTGAGACCATATTCTCGATTGGAGTGACACCGTATTCCGCAGCAACTCTATCGATGTTCTTGGTGATATCCATATTTTGAGTGTCTGGGCGCAATGATCGAACAGCAACTTCAAGAGCATCGTATGTTCCACGGATCAAATCAGCAATTTTTCCGGTAACTTTGTTGGTTTTCGAGGCTCCAACAACAACTGTGTGTGCAGCGGTAGCGATGAGTCCATCAATATGGGTTCCTAAATCAATCTTGACAACTTGTCCGTTCTTCAAAACAACTGGAGCTTCGGATCGGAGTGGCGAGAAATGGCAGATGCAATTATCGACAGAAATACAGGTTGGCATGGCGATACCCTTGGTCAATCCCTTCTCTTTTTTGTACAATTTTGAGGTTCTTTCGAGAATGAATTTGTCTCCCAAATCGCACAATTCTCCTACAACTGCTCCTTCTTTGACAGCAGCGATGACTGCCTGAAAATCAAAAATTGGCTTTTATATCTTAGATTATTTGAAAAGTAAAATATACCTTCAAGGCAGCATTTGTAATTTCAGCAGCAACTCCGTATTTTGTGACGATGGCGTCGTTGGCCAAAGTGTAGTCTTCTGCTTGATGACTATCATCACTCGAGCAGCTGCTTTCACTGTCCTTTCTGACCATTTTGAGACCTTTCTGAAAAAAACGAAAATATTGAAATTATGAAATAAGAAAGCAAAAAAACAACTAAGCGTTCAATATTTCCAAACTTGTCCTAAATTTAAATTTTCCAAGACTAAAACCAAAAAACCTGCAACAAATAACTGTTCCCCAACTAAAAATCATGCTTTTCCTTTCTTTAGCCTCAAAAAAAACATAAAAAACTAGAACGGCAACCCGGAAAAAGAAGTAAAAGTTTTGTTTACTGAAAAATTCAAAAAAATTTCTGTTTAAAGGCACACGAATTTATCGCCAACTCCGCCGCGAGACCCTGTGCGCTGGGGCGCACATTCCCAATTGAAGAGACGCAGGCGGTTAGACGAAACATTATTTTTGTTGCTGTCGAAACTATTTTCAAAAAAATGCGAATGAATGAACGACTTTAAAAAGTTTTGTGTAATCGATTTGCTACCAGTTAGAAACAATTTATTACAATCTTTGTTCATTCAAAAAATAAGCAATAATAGACAAACAACGTATTTTTTTCTTCATTTCATTTTAGGAAGAAAAAACATAAACAAATAAACAAACAAAGTGTAAAAATCAACCGAACAAACATTTTTGAATGTTTTTATTATGATGAAAAAAAAGCCTGGGAAAATGAAAATTGTAGAAGGAATATGTACATAATTTGTGAAAACATTGTTCATGAATTTCGCATTTCAAATTTTCCAGTCGAGAACCCAAATTCCTATTTTTTTTTTGTAAATATAGTACCACGCGCTCCACCGAAATAAACACGCAACGCAGACCGCGCCGCGCCACAACACACAAAAAGGGAGGGAATTTGAATCGTGTTGTGGCGCGGCGCGGTCTGCGTTGCGTGTTTATTTCGGTGGAGCGCGTGGTGAGATAATATATTCCTCAAAAATCTGTCTCATATCCAAAATACCCCCAAATCCCGTCTTATCCATCCTGACTAACACATTTTTCCACAGCCCATATATATTTTCAATTATCTAGATTGAAAAAAGATTACAGAATACTTAAAAGCGAGAAAAAATAATATAAAGATAATCCAACTTAAAAATCCTACTGTAGATTTGTAAGATTATCCGATGGGAGGCACTCTGACTGATTGCTCAAAATATTTCTCCTCATTCTCGCGGAAAATCTAGCTAGCTAGCTATGCGCTGGTTTTCAAGAGTTCTTTTAGGATGTCTCCTACTGTATTCCCTAAATGGTGTGAAAGTTAAAGTTGGTCATATTGGAGCGATTGGTGCGATGAAAAATGGGGAAAAGATTCTGGAACTTTCTCGAAAACAACTTTTGGCCGAAGGTGTGATTGGAGATGATTTTGAGATTGAGTAAGATAACTTTTTGATAAAGGACAATCCTAATTATAGTTTGACATCGACTAAATGACATTTTCAGGTTTTTTAAGCAAGCGAGTTGAAATATTGGGTTCTAATGTTATTCATATGATAGAATGGTCTAAGATGAACAGAATGATATAAATTTTGATGACTTTACGTTATCCATAAGTGATTTAGCGACGTTTAGTCGATAAGGTCCTGAAAATGTCATTTAGTCGATGTCCAACTACAATCCCAATCAAATTTTTTCAAGAATTCTAAATCAAATGGGTTGCGGTGATGCATACGAAGGTGTCGCTGTTGGTGCCGACATGTATCATGTTCAAGGTGTTCGCGCCTTCATCGGCCCATATTGTAATGCCGAATTAGACGCTGTCGCAAAAATGGCAACCTTCTGGAATATCCCGATCGTCGGCTACATGGCTTCATCCAACACTTTTGCTGACAAGAACATCTACAAAACATTGGCCAGAGTCTCGTTGCGAACCACAAATTCATTGGCCGAAGCTGCAGCTGCACTTATCAAACATTATGGTTGGAATAAGGTTGCGATTGCGACGAATACGGGAGCTCTGGCTTTTGAGCGTGTCAATTCGTTTGAGGAGGTTTTTCATCTTCGTGGAATTACGATTGTTAAGAAAATTATGTTGGATGAGTATACGAATGCGAAATCTATCATGTCTAGCGGACTTCTACAAGATCTTTCGAATAGCGCAAGAAGTGAGTTGGTGGAAAGTGAAAAAAAATCATTACTTCGTCAGTCGCGTGCGGCTATGCGTCGCGATTGTTTCCTGACCGCGACGGACAGCCGCACGCGACTGACGAAACTGATTTTTACTTTTTACGCCGGCCACGTGGCATACGGCCACATTTTTCAACTTCGACAATAGATAGCTATCGAGGCCACCCACGAAGCCCCTGGCCTGAACTTGAACTGAGCAAAAAATAGATTCAAATCTTCCGGTACGCAAAAGTGCGTCACAGTGTTTGCACACCAATCCTATCCTGATTTTCAGTCGTCGTCTGCGCCTTCTCATCAACTCGTGAAATGACCAAAGAATTCATGCAAGCCGTCACCTTATCCGGAATGAACAATGCCGAATATGCCTGGATTCTTCCGTGGCTTCAAACTGAGACCAAAGACACGGCTCCGTGGCTCGGCGATGATGGAGAATATCAGCAGAATGTTAAAGATCATTTCGCAAATGCTTTTATCGTAAGTGACTAGATTCAAGAGATTCTGTATATCTTTTTAATATCAGATCGATGATGTAAATGGTTTTGACAACACTTTGGTTACACCGTTTCGCGAAAAATTGGAATCTAATGGATATACAACTGATGATTTGGAATTGGTAAGAACATCATTGTGAATTCTATCTATGTATAGTTCTGCAGAAAAACATCTATGGTTATGTTCATCTTTACGATGCTCTTCGCCTTTATGCGTTAGCAGTTCGAGCAACAATGAATGAGACTGGAAATGAGAACGCGTATCTAGATGGAAAAGCGGTTTGGAACAACATGCGACGCATCACATTCCCAGGATTGGTCTCAAATGCTGGCGTCACTTCTGGAACTGTTATGATGGATGATATCGCTGAAAGAGCACCGGTTTATGCCGCATTTTATGTGCCACCCAACAGTGATACGGTGAGAAAAGTCAGTGAACTCGAGCCACGATTGTTGGATAATTGTGATGGGACAAAAACGAAGACTGGCTGTTATGAACTGCTAATTTCCGATCAATCAACTGGTTTTTGGCCGTCATTGGATGGAAGTTTGCCGAAAGATGAGCCAGCATGCGGTTATCGAAATGAGAGATGTGATTATACAGCTATTATAATTGGAGGATCTTTGATAATTCTTGTGATAATTGCAATAATCAGTGCATTCTTTATTTCAAGATTCTGCGAAAATCGAGCATTGGCCAAAACATCGTGGCGTATTTATCGTGACGATTTCCGAGTTATTAATGAGGATGAGATGAAATCAATGGTAACTATTCGAAATTCAAAAAAACAAAACAAATCTTAAAGGCGGTCAGACAGCTATTCCGGTTGACGGAGACCACCCACGGAGCCTCTGACTTTAACCGGGCTAAACTTGAATTGTGAAAATATGAAACTTCAAATCTTTCTGTGCAAAAGTGCGTCGCGGTGTTTGCACACACACAAATCCGCTGGACGTGGGGGGCAATTTGAAATTTTGAAAACACAAGATTTTCTCAGCTCGTATTAACTTTCAAGATTTCGGAATAATAAACTATTTTTGACACTAAGCTTTGAGGAAAACCGGAATAATTGTCTAACCGCCTTTAACATTCATTTTTTAGCTGTCAATTGGCTCTAGCAAAACAAAAATGTCAAATATGAGTTCATTCGTCAAACATCACGCTGTGGTTGGAACAAATACTCACGCATCTTTCCATTTGTATCCACAAAGAAGACCGATTGTTTTTGGCCGACAAGATCTTCAACTTCTCAGTCAAATGAAACAAGCTGTTCACGACAATCTCAATCCTTTCCTCGGAATGTCGTTCAATGAAAAAGAGGAGATGACTGTTCTTTGGAAGTTTTGCTCTCGAGGAACAGTTCAGGATATTATTTATAATAATGAAGTTGTCTTGGATTCGAAATTCCACGGTGCATTTATTCGAGATATCACTTTGGGTCTCGAATATCTGCATTCTTCAATTATCGGTTATCACGGTTCACTCACCCCTTGGGCTTGTTTAATCGATCGAAATTGGATGGTTAAACTAACTGATTATGGAATTGCGAATCCACTCGAAAGATGGGAGAAAATGGGATTGATCTCGACAGAAACACTCAAAGAGAATGACGATAAAAGTGGATCCGCGCAGAAGACAAGTATACTTTATCAACCACCGGAGATGTTGAAGAATCGAGAATCGAACAAGAATCGAAGAATGGATCAATCGTGGGTGAAACAATCGCAAGCAAGAAGGCAAATGGGAGATATTTATGCGTTTGGAATGGTTATGCATGAAATTTTGTTCAGAGCTTTACCATTTCCTAATGGAACAAATATGACAGGTTAGAACTTATTATCGCAAAACTCTTCGGTACTCCACGCGCTCCACCGAAATAAACACGCAACGCAGACCGCCCCGCGCCGCGCCACACACAAGTGAGGGAACGATTCAAATTCCCTCCCTTTTTTGTGTGTGTTGTGGCGCGACGCGGTATGCGTTGCGTGTTTATTTCGGGATTCTCGATAATATAATTGAGATTCTGAAGGAAGATCTTTTTACAGAAGTGTTGGATTACATTCGTGATGGTTCTAAGACATTCCGCCCAACGATTCACGATCGAACACAAATTCATCCTGATCTTGTCGCCTTACTTCTCGATTGCTGGAATGAGAATCCAGAAGTCAGACCATCGATCAGACGTGTTCGCCTCAACACCGAGAACTATTTGAAAGTGTATGTCAAGTTTTCAGGAAAAAAATAACTAATCAATTATTTTCTTATAGAAAAGGCTCACTTGTTGATCAAATGATGCGAATGATGGAACAATACGCGAATAATCTCGAAAAATTAGTCGCTGAGAGAACTGGTATGTTAGAAGAGGCTAATGTTCGAGCGGATAAATTGTTGAGTCAACTTCTCCCTGCCTACGTGGCAAATGAGTTGAAGATGGGGCGAAGTGTTCCGCCGAAAACCTTCACAATGGCTACGGTGATGTTCAGTGATATTGTGGGTTTCACGACGATTTGCTCGTCTTCGACACCGTTGGAAGTTGTGAATATGTTGAATAATATTTACAGTAAATTTGATGATGCTATCAACAGGAACAAAGCTTATAAGGTTTGTGGAAACCTGGTAGACTTAATCGCGCGTTAATTTTGAACTAGATGAAAAAAAGCTGAAAATCAGCCATCGTATCTATCCTATTTCGTAAGTTTAACGTGAAAACCCCCAGAAAACCCCGCAAAAAACAAAAAAAAAAAAATTTTTCTCAACGTGTCCTCCGGGAGAACTACACACTCTTGTTCGCTGGAGCAACATTGCATTTTTACTTTCGTTTTTTCGCACTAGGCTTGAAAATCTCAAAGTTTGAGGCAAAATTGTCGAAGAAAAGAAAAAAAAGGAAAAATGAAAAAGCCAACAAAGCTTATAAGGTTTGTGGAAATCTGGTAGAATCAATCGCGCGTTAATATTGACCTAGGAGAAAAAATCTGAAAATTGCTTCAAAATTCAAGAGGTAGAGAATCTTCTACTTTTCAAAATTATCTATCTCATTTTGTAAGTTAAACGTGAAAACCCCAAGAAAACCCCGCAAAAAAACAAAAAAAAAGAAAAATTTTCGAAACGTGTCCTCCGGGAGAACTACACGCTCTTTTTGTTCGCTGGAGCGACATTGCATTTTTACTTTCGTTTTTTTCGCACTAGGCTTGAAAATCTTTAAAAAAAACTCTGAGCCAAAAAACTCGAAAAAGAAAACAAAAAGAATTTTCGCGAAAAATAAAAAAAAAGCCAACAAAGCGCTAAACAAGGGGCAAGCCGTCATTTGCGGAGTGTTGTTGCGCACATTTTTATTTTTTTGGGGGGAAAAACCAGGGAAAAGTCCATGGGGAAAGTGAAGTTTTTGAGATTTTCAAGGTTTCCGGGGTTATAGAGGGAGTTCCCCAGATTTTTTCTTTTAAACGTTAATGTTTACAGGTTGAAACAATTGGTGATGCTTACATGATTGTGTCGGGAATTCCCGAAGAAAATGGAAACGAGCACATCGCCAACATCTGCAACACCGCCTTAGATCTAATGGTCCTCCTCAAAACCTACGAAATTCCCCACCGCCGCTCAGTCCGTCTTCGCATTCGCCTCGGAATTCACACCGGAACCGTCGCAGCCGGCGTCGTCGGCTTAACCGCTCCCCGCTATTGTCTATTCGGCGACACTGTCAATGTCGCATCGCGTATGGAATCGACAAGTGAACCCGAGAAAATCCAAATGTCGCAAGAGGCTCGCGATTTCTGCATTCGCTTCTATCCCGAATACAATATCACACTTCGCGGTGTCGTTGAGGCGAAAGGCAAAGGTCCCGTCACCACTTATTGGCTTCTTGGGAAACGCGAGCAAGGAGAGGTGGAAGCTCAAAACTTCTCGCAACTTGGAATTTAAATTTGATCGCACATTGGTGTTTATGAATAAAACTATGTAGTTACCGTATAATTTACACTGGACAGGGGGGGGGGCAGATGTGTTTCATGCATATCTAATTAACACCTCGCTGATCAATTAGCACCTTTAATTTCTATATGCTTCAGGGAAGTGTTATTTGCCTATACTTAAGTGCGTGCTTATTAATACCTATTGGACCACCCATCGTGTTCAAAAATAACATACTTATCTTATCATAACACTCTCGCTTGCTGTCATAAAAATTGTTGTTTTTCTTCTTGCCGACCCACTTGCGCAAGCTTTGCTCGCGCACCTGTTACTACAATTTTACGACCTCGAAAAGTGTTATTGTTTTGGCATATTTTTTGAATATTAATTAATTAATTAATTAATTAGGGAATATATATGTCTTAACCCTGAAAAGTTGTTCGCAAAACGGACAAAGACATGATTAATGCTGGCGCCCGTCAGATTTATATGTATTGTGACCCCTTTTTTTTCAAATGTATGAGAATACACGGGTTTTCCTCTACTAATTGTTCTGTTTCTGTTATTGTCTCACACTAATTGCCCAACAATTTGCCGCCTTTTTTGAAAGTGGACCGTTTTGTCACGTCCTTGAAAATTGAGTGGTTAGGATGATATATCAACAAAGAAAAGCAAGAATATAGTAGGCGGCGTCATTTTGTAGTAGAATTGGAAGAATATTTGAGAAATGAGGAGAAGTGAGAATTAATATTTTTTAGGAAATTTAGGAAAAAAAGAATTGGGTCACGTTTGGAAAAGGTCGAAAAAAAGTTTTTTAACAAAAATGTTCGATTCACAATCAGAAAATTTCAAAAACCCTATTTTTTCCACACAAAAATGGAAAATATCTCGCAGCGAAAATTTTTAATGAAAATAATGTTAAAAATAATGAAAATAATGTTAAAAATAGTTTTTTGAAATTTGCCGAATCGAAAATGTTTGTTAATAAAAATTTTTGTTAAGAAAATTTTTCTTAAAATATCTCGCAGCAAATGTGTTTCTATGAAAACATATAAAAAACATTAGGAAAAAAAATTTTCTGAAATTTTCTGAATCGAATTTTTTTGTTAAGAAAGGTTTTTTTTTCAACTTGAATCACCCCAGAAGTCACAAGGCTCTTAAAAATTTAAATTTTTAAAATCATAAATTCATTTTGGATATCTTCATGCAAATTTTTTCCCAAATTCAAATATTTTCCTGAATAACTTTAGTGAAATTCATTGCTCATTTCAAACCCAACTAGGTTACTTTTAAATTCTTCTAATAATGGGCCTATAGGCCTTATAAGGCCTAATATTGGTTGTAGGCCTATCAATCTTGATTAAGGCCATTTTTCAGGAATTTTGCGATTAAAATGATCTCCCTGAAGTTCCGTGATAGAGATTTTACCCCAAGCCAACTTTTTTTCAAAAAAAAAAACCCCTACCCCTGTTTCGTCCTTCACCCCATCAAACGGAAACATCCAATCAAGCAAAGTTAGTTTTTTTTTCAATCCTTACGCAATATTTGACAAGTTACATTGATGAATTACGTAACAAATCAGTCACTTACTTACTGTATATTCCTTCTACTTTTGGAGCTCACGCAGGACTATATATCATAAACAAATAAATGTGCTTTCAATTATCTCTCTACTTAGTGAGATATATCAAATTTCAGCCGCGACCTCAAAAAATGAAGAGGTATTAATAACATCAATAAACAAAAACATTATCCTATTAATAATATTTTTTAAAGAGAAATCCCCCTTTCCTTCAAGTGTGTTATTTTAAACATCAAAGAATTGTGGCCGAAAGTTTACACAGGTGGTAATAAAAGGTGTGTTATGTGTGATGTTAATCCTTCCTCTCCACCCAAAACTTTTTTTTATCCACCAAATCCAAAACACCACCACCACCACCTGTTTTTTCTCCGGATACACATCATTTTCATACTTTTTTTTTTGCACCTGCTTCTTGATCGACGTTAAGTGCTTTTTGATCCGCTTAATTTTGTCATGGTTTTTTTAGATTTAATTAGTTTATTTGAATTTTTGGGAGGCTCCAGAATCTTGTAAATATCGATTTTTTGAGAAAGAAGATTCTGAATCGGACCAGTTTTTGGTTGGAAAATGGGTTCAGCTAAAAAATTGAAAAGTCCCAGGCTTTATTATCGAAAGTCTCACGCGCTCCACCGAAATAAACACGCAACGCAGACCGCGCCGCGCCACAACACACACAAAAAAGGGAGGGAATTTGAATCGTTCCCTTATGTGTTATGGCGCGACGCGGTCTGCGTTGCGTGTTTATTTCGATGGAGCGCGTGGTGCCGATGAGATTTTCGATAATAATAATGCAAATATTGGTTTTTATATTGGACTACTGTGAAAATGTTTGTTGTGTGTAATTCTGCGTCGCGGTGTATGTGTGTACGGTTGCCCGCGCTTTTCAAACTTTTTGAATTTATTCTTTTCGTGAACTTTGGTAAATGAAAGCTATGAGGTGGTTCAAGTTGAAAAAAATAATTAAAAAACATTTTTTGACAAAAAAACTACATTAATTCCTATTTTTGGACATTTTTTTACACACAAAAATGTCAAAAAATAGGAAAAATATAGTTTTTTTTTGTAAAATTTTTTAAAAATAATTTTTTCCGACTTGAATTTCTCAATTTATTTTTGAAAGTACGAAATACCTTGGCTATTTTACCACCTAATCGGGATTTTATAAAAAGGTAGACAAATTTGTACCCCCCCCCCCACAAACTTTTTGAACAAAAACAGCCTCCCCCCTGCAGCCTTCACCCTTCACCCAACCCATTTTTCAAACCAAAAGTGATGCGAACACATTCTTTTTCCGACTATATATGATTCATCACCAAAGTCATCACCTTCTTGTCTTTCCTTTGAAACCAAGTCGGCGGCGGGTAATATATATATAAGTATTTGCCAATTCGTCACTCACTTACGTATAATAATTATTATCAGAAGCCGCCAGGTTTTCGTGTCGTGAGAAAATATTTGAATTGCTTGGTTGCTGTATTTTTTATAACACTTTCCTTTTTGTACAGCAAAAGAAGTTACTTAACACCGCTTTTTGATTCCTATTCATCAGAAGCAATGACCGCAAAAAAAAACGAGGGGCTCTCTCGCTAATTAGTGTGCATTTCGGATTATGTATACTTTTATAGTGTTTTGTCTGGGGCAGGATATTTGATATTTAGCTGCTCACACAGGTGGCTTGCATATGCCGAGAGATCAGTGACAAGAATCGGGCAATTTCACTAAAACATTGAAAAAGCGCCTCGTTTCATATATCAAACATTTGCCCTGGAGAAAAAAGAAGAGCGGATAGCCGAGTGGTTAGCGCGCGTGTCTTTGAATCTGAAGGTTTTTGGTTCGGTCCCCCTCGGTGGCGAAATTTTTTTTCTTTTCTTTTTTATTTTTTTTGAAAATGAGCCAATGAGCCGCTCAAAGACACTTCCGACTAAAATTATAACCTATGTTGATTTTTATCAATCTCATATCTCCCCAACAATTAAGAAAGAAATGCACCTGACTTTCTCAAACACTTCCTTTTACATCTGTCAAATTATTAGATAACAATCAATATTTTCTTTCCCCTACTGTATATATTATCGGCAAAAAGCTTTGGATATAAATTAATGAATGAATTAATTAGTTTGAAGGGCGAAATATATGTCACAAATCCGATTCTTGCTTGTTTGTTTATGTCGAAATTGTGGTGACAGGTGTTTTGAATAGAGAGAAGTTTGGTGGATTTTTGAAATTGGGAGAGGAAGATTGATGGGGATTTGTGAAAAGGTGAACAAGGTTTTTTTTGGATTTCAGATGTTTTTGAAGCTGAAAATTCTGAAATTTTGATTTTTTTGAGTTTTGAACGATTTAAATATTTGAAAATATTTAGGCTAACCTAAAAATAATTTTAATTTTCAGTTCAAAAACTCTCCCCATTCTGAAAATTTGAAACAAGGTTTTTTTGGATTTCGGAAACTTTTTCAGCTGAAAATTCTGAAATTTGGATTTTTTTTCAAATTTTGAATGATTGAGAGCACAGAAAATTGTGAGTTTTAGGATTTTTACTGAAAAATTCCATTCTGAAAATCCCAAAACTTTTTTTTTTAATTTTTGACTAAAGACACATTTTGGAATTTTTTTTTTTGATTTTCAACCAACCATAGCTAGAACTTTTTGCAGAAAAATCATCAAATTTCAGATCGAAAAATTTTCAAACTGATAAATTCCATTCTGAAAATTTGAAACTTAAAAATTTTTTTTTTGAAAAATTCAAGTCAGAAATTTATTCTATTTATTTCTAGGATGAAAAAAATTAAAAATCCTTTTTGATTTTTCAACCAAATCTAGAACTTTTTGAAGAAAAATCAGATTGAAATTAGCTAACTTGAATTGTAGAATTTCAGAGCTTTCAGAAAAATTTCTGGCATTTCTAGAGATCCTTTTTGATAATAAAAAAAGTTAAAAATTTCAGATCGAAAAATCCTCTGAAAATTCTGAGATTAGCTAACTTGATCTACAATTTTTTTCAGAAAAAAAAAAACCAAAACCCAGTTATTTCTGAACCTTCAAAACCACATTTCAAATTTTCCCGACCTCCCCCCCCCCCCATTTTCGAAAATGTGTCAAATCAAAACCAGCAGATAACAATCTCCAGACCTCCTACACCGACTATTTTATTTATGTTAATTTATTATTTCTCACTCGCAAATCTACATTTTCATTTTAATTTTCCGCGATCAAAAAAATTAGGCCATTCAAATTCATGCCAAAAGCACAAGGCTCCAAAGATCAACCCAAAAAAAAACTTTCCCAAAATTATATTGTACCTTCACACCTTGGTCCATGCGCTGTCTATCCATGGCTCCGCCCCTTTTCTCCCAGACTCCGCCCACTTTTTTTTGACTACTCGGTGACATCTGTTTATTTTATTTTTATGTATGACTTTTCTCTTGTCTGGGTGATTTTTCAAAAAAAAAAATTTTGCATAACTTTTTCAATTTTTCTTAACCGTTCAATATTCAAGCATTATTTTTTAATAAAAAAATTTTTAAAAAAATTTTCAAAATTTTTTTTTCAGCTCGAAAAATGTCCGACTCAAAATGTTCCAGTCGCCAATCGCACTCAGATTACTGTAGTGTCGCCTCCTATTCCTCAGATGAAGAATCAACTTCAGGCTCAGGCTTGAGCTCACCAAATCGTACTGTACTTCCAGCCGGTGTCTGCCCAAATTGTCATCGGATTTATGAGCAGGTTAGTTTGGGTGTTAATTATATATTACAGTACTTCTTGGGACTAATTGAATTGAAATATAATAAGAATAATAAAAAGTGGTTGTTGGGAATATATTGTGCAATATTTTGTTGCGTAAAAAAATGTTTTGGGAGCAATTAATTAATTAATTGCATTTATATTTAGAAATAGGCTTGCATGAAAAAAATTTTAAAAAAAAGTTGAGCGCCGGGTGGGGGTCGAACCCTGGCCGCGCGATTGTCAGGCACGCGTGCAGACCACTCGGCCACGCGGCCCTTTTTCGCTACGGTTGAAAATTTTATATTTAAATAGGGCGCGGGGCGAATTTTTCAAATGTTAGAAGCTAGACCTGTTTTTCTCTAATTCTCTTGTCTCTCGCTGATAGCCACTTCACTCTAGTTTTCAAACCTAAACCAGATTTTTATCAAAAATTTTTCAAATCCCAGTAAAAGTGGCTCATTTCCCCCTCTCTATTGTTCTATGGGAGTTCAAGTGGAAAAGCAAAATTAATCCGTATTCATTCATTCATAAAACCATAAGTGCTTATTGTTATTAGCCAGGGTGGAAAACTGGTTTTAGCTTCCCCCTAATAAAAAACCCCTTTTTCCAGCCAGTATCTCTCCAATGTGGCCACTCACTTTGTCTAACTTGCTGTCAAAAACTTCTCAACGATCAATGCAAATCCTCTAGAAATCTTCTTCAAAGATCTACACCACGAATGGGAATCAGCTCGATTTCTCGTGTCAATTCATGCCAGGGGGGCCCGGTAATCCATCGGACCCCAAAGTGTTTGGTGTGCGGTGCGGCGGCCAATCAGGCGGCTCCAATTCCAAATTTGGAATTGGACAATTTTTTGAGAAATATTAAAAGTTTCCGATGGAATGGTTTGGATCAAACGATTTCAACAACAAAACGACGATGGGAAGATGAAGGATTCTCGATCCACGAGTGTAAAATCGCTGTGATCGGAGCTAAGGGAGTTGGGAAAACCTGTTTCGCTCGTGTCCAATACAGTAATGAGATAATGTTTCCCGATATGCTTAATGAAATGGATGATTCGGATAGTTATGTGATTGATATAGTTGATAATATGGAGATGAAAAAGAGTTTTTCGGCTGCACATGGGATTATTATTATGTATTCAATTGCTGATCGACAAAGTTTTTATGAAGCTGCTGAAGTTTATAAACAATTGGAGCAAGGCAGAGAGCACAATGTGAGTTTATTTGAAAAAAAATTCGCCTCGGAGGGGGGGGGTCGAACCCAAGAGCTAGAATTGAAAGACGAGCGCGCTAACCACTCGGCCAAATGTTTGACACATTTTCGATGGTGAAAAACTCGTTTTGGGTGATTCAAGTCGAAAATTTTTTTTTCAATTTTCGATTCAGAAAATAAGAAAAAATATAGTTTTTTGACATTTTCTGAATCGAAAATTTAAAAAAAATTTAAAAAAATGTTTTTTTTTTAATTTTCGATTCAAAAAATAGGAAAAAAATATAGTTTTTTGAGATTTGCTGGATCGAAATTTAAAAAAAAAAATTAAAAAAAAGTCGAAAATTTAAAAAAAAAATTTTCGATTCAGAAAATGTCAAAAATAGGAAAAAATATAGTTTTTTTAACATTTGCTGGATTGAAATTTTTTCAAAAAAAAAAAAAAATTTTTTTTATCGACCTGAGTCAATAATTGTATTATCGAAAATCTCATCGGTACCACGCGCTCCACCGAAATAAACACGCAACGCAGACCGCGTCGCGCCACAACACAAGGGAACGATTCGAATTCCCCACTTTTGTGTGTGTGTTGTGGCGCGGCGCGGTCTGCGTTGCGTGTTTATTTCGGTGGAGCGTTTAATTCACAGCTCAAAAATCAATCGATAAATATTTTTCAGCAACCAATCGTTCTCGTTGGCTCAAAAAGGATAAAAACCGTCGTCGTCAAGTGACACCATTCGAAGGCCAACAACTTGCACGAACTCTCGGCTGCCCATTTTTCGAAGTCTCCTCAAAAAACAACGATTGTGTACACGAGACATTTGCCGAACTCGTTTCACTCATTCAACGACAACAATCTTCATTCAAATTAGCTGTGCAAGAATCGTTACATTAATTAATTTTAATTAATTAAAATTGCTCTATTTATAGTTTTTCTTTAGTCGAATAAAAAGATGTCAGCAATTTTTGAAAGTGTTCCAGGTGCACGGGTTTGGTGAGAAATTTTTTGCGAATAATTCGTTGGCAGGCGGCAGGTATCAAAAAGTGATTGTCATCTGAGTCGATTGCAATCAAAAGATGACCGATGCGATTTATTATGTAATACCAGCGGATTGGTAGAATTTGGGGATTTGTATGGCCATAGCATTCGGCACAGTAATCTTGAAAATACACAAAAGTGAGCTATTTTTTGGATAACAAAACTCAGAGCTCACCAAACGGTAAATTCCGATAATTCCTCCTGATTCCCATCGGAAGCAGCGCATGTTCATCAGCCAACAATCTCCTCAAATCAATTTCATTCAACCCATTTTGCTGAATCGTTAAAAAACACAAAACCGCAATCAGGAGATGTCCTCGACTATCACTTTCCATAAGGCAAACATCCGCTTCAACAACACTGGAAAAATGAGATCTTTTAATTAAGGAAAAGCTTTTTCACGTGAGAGAGAACGAGAGAGTAAAAATTAGCATGTGTGTGCAGAAGAGACACCAGACGAAAAAGGGATATGGACCAGACCCGGGTAATTTTGACGTGGCACCGATATTTTACGCTTCTGAAAGCCGTAAACGTAAATTCCCAGGTCTGGTTGGTAACTTATCGTAACTCCAACATAATTTTGACCAAAATTTTATTCATGCAGTGATTCACGAAATAAAAAAAAACGTTTTTTTCACGTGAGAGAAAATGAGAGAGTGAAAATTAGCGTGTGTGTGCAGAAGAGACGCGAGACGAAAAAGGGATATGGGACAGACCTGGGTAATTTTGACGTGGAACCGATATTTTACGTTTCTGAAAGTCGTAAACGTAAATTCCCAGGTCTGGTTGGTAACTTATCGTAACTCCAAAATAATTTTAACCATATTATTCTTCATATCCATAAAAAAATGAGGATTTAATCGAAATTTTATCCATGCAGTGATTCACGAAATAAAAAAAAACGTTTTTAACGTTAAATAACGTTTAAAAAATACGTGAATCACTGTATTATTTTTAAAAAATTCTGTCAAAATTCACTAAATTTTGGGATTTTTTTTTCAAATTATTTTTTTAAGTCGTAAAACCGTAAAATAAATTTCACGGTAAAAACTCCCAAATCTGTTTATAACCAAGTTTAATCATTGATCACAAAATCGAACAAAATCGCCAAACAAACAAATAGTTTTTCCCCTGATTGATATCGTCACTTGATCTTGTTTGACCTTCTCCCACACCCAAAAATATGTCGTCACAACATGAGAAAAAATGATATATAAATGGGAATCCCCCACAATCACAATCAGAATTGAAATCAAAATGTCATCTTCTTCTTCAATCAAATTCTTCGCTCTTCTGGCTATTTTTGGTGTTGTGGCCGCTCAATTCGGTATGAATACTGGACTTGGTTTGGGTGCCGGTCCGATAAATGCCGGTGTTCAAGGTGGGGCCTATGGTGGACGATATGGGCAACAAGGATACGGTGGACAAAGATACGGTGGACAGGGCTACGGGCAACAAGGTTACGGTCAACAACAAGCCTACGGTGGTGCACAGTACGGTGGACAAGGATACGGTGGTGGTCGAGGTGTTTATGGAAACGGAAATGTTGGCCTAGGAGTTCGCCCAGGTGGTTTAGTCGGAGGAATTCTTGGATAACTGTTTTTACCCTATCTCAAAATCATGTATATATTACCTTAAAGTCTTATAATAAATCAATTGTCCACATTTTTGTTCCGAACTCCCGAACTTCCCCATAGTTCCAATGATCCTTATCTTCAGATCATTCCAATTTGGTTCATTCGAACCCTCTTCGATACTTCCCAAACTTTTTCGTCGGCGCTCTCTTGCGAATCGCAGAATATTTGTTGCCTTCGATTCGGAACTTGTGAACTTCGAGAGCAATTCTTGAATATTTTCGGGTTCTTGAGAGGGGATTTCGATGAATTGCGGATTTGACAAGCTGATTTTCTTTTTCGACTTGTTCCAATTATCGTCAAATGGGTATAACTTGAAAGATCAGTGGAAAGCTGGAAATTTTGAATTTATTTATTTTTTTTTTTTGAAAAAAAAACGTGAAACCTTACATTATGAATATCATCAATGAGAATTAGGTGTCGAATTTTGGGCTCATCAATTTCCTGTATAAACTGAACAAATTCATTGTTTTGATTTCGCTAGAGCGCGTTTGCAGCTCTGTTTGTGTACTTCTCTCGGACGATTTTTAATTTTCTGTGTGTTTTTAATAAAGAAAATGAGAAAAACACAGAAAAAAAAAACAAAAAACCGTCGAGAGAAGTACACAAACAGCGCTGCAAACGCGCTCTAGCGAAATGACGAGAAAAGTTTTTCACTCATTTCGCTAGAGCACGTTTGCAGCGCTGTTTGTGTACTTCTCTCGGACGATTTTTAATTTTTTTTGTGTGTTTTTAATCAAGAAAGTGAGAAAAACACAGAAAAATAAATAATCGTCCGAGAGAAGTACAAAAACAGCGCTGCAAACGCGCTCTAGCGAAATGGCGAGAAAAGTTTTTCACTCATTTCGCTAGAGCACGTTTGCAGCTCTGTTTGTGTACTTCTCTCGGACGATTTTTAATTTTTTGTGTGTTTTTAATCAAGAAAGTGAGAAAAACACAGAAAACAAATAATCACCCGAGAGAAGTACACAAACAGCGATGCAAACGCGCTCTAGCGAAATCAGTGAAAAACTTTTCTCGCCATTTCGCTAGAGCGCGTTTGCAGCGCTGTTTGTGTACTTCTCTCGGACAATTTTTCTGTGTTTTTTGTATAAAGAAAGTGAAAAACACACAGAAACAAAAATAAAAAATCGTCCGAGAGAAGTACACAAACAGCGCTGCAAACGCGCTCTAGCGAAATGAGTTTTTCCCCCGACACAGGCTGTTAACTAACCATTCCCAATTTCCTCTCAAGTTCCTGTCGAATATTCATCCCTTCTTCAGCTTTTATAAAAACCGCGGAGCCATGTTCCTTTAAAATTTTGTAGAGAATTGTGGTTTTTCCAGTTGAATAATCGCCAAAAATCACAGTATTTCGATGATTTTTAATATTCGAATTTATTTTTTGAAGAATATTTGAGATGCGTTTCGAAGATGAATTTTGATAAAAATCGCGAATTTTCTGATTCACTGTCAGAGTTTTGATATCTTCCGAATATGGAAATTTTTCGATGAATGAATCAATCAAAGATCTCAAAGGATCTGTGGCTTTCGATAAATCATCAAATAAAATTTGCTTGAAATGTGTGTTATTGATTCCAGAAGTCTTGACAGAATATTCCAATAAGCTTGCGGGCTTCTGAATTTATTTTTTTTAATAAAAAATACAAATTTTTGATAAAAAATCCTCCACATACCACATGTTTTTTGACAGATTGTGCAAAATGCTGTGCACGTTCTCTTCCTTTTTGCGGATCGACAAAATTCGTGACATTGAATGGAAGTTCGTAGAGGAAATCAGGATTTCGATGTAGAAATAATGCTGGAAAAATGCAGATGTACACATGTGGTGTAGCTGGGTAAAGCTTTGCTTAGTGAGTCAGAGACCAGGGTTCGAACCCGGCTGGGTCAGAATTTTTTGCTGAGCAAGATCCTGCTCTCAAAAAAAATCCCCCCAACTCACAATTATTGGAATCAACAGCATTTAATTGTAAAAATGTTTCGGAAAAAGTTTGGCCATATTTAATTTCATTTTGCTGAAGAAAACTTTCATCGGAAAACGTTGAATCGATGACGAAACCAGCGCATTCTCTGGAAAAAATTTTTCAAAAAAAAAAAATAAAAATTTTTTTTGTTTTTTGCTAGAACAAAGAAAAGGTTACCAAACTAAACGTAAAGAAAACCGGTTCAATTTAAAAAAAAGGTGGACGACGACAAAAAACCGGAAAAAACCACAAACCCTAGGAAATGGCAATAGATTGCGATTTTATTGTCATCACAGCAGCATTTTGCTATCAGGTAGATGTTGGCTATTTCGTCTATATAGTTTTTCGAACCCTGAAATAATTTTTGGTTTGTTGGGATTTGGGTGCGATTGAGTTAGGATAGGTTTGTTTAGGTCAGACCTGGGAAATTTTAGGTCAGACCTGGGAAATTTTAGGTCAGATCTGGGAAATTTTAGGTCAGACCTGGGAAATTTTATGTCACACTTGGGAAATTTTAGGTCAGACCTGGGAAAATTTCATGTGGGGCCTTAAAATGGGGCCTTAAAGTGGTCTAGGAAACCGTAAAAATCGTAAGATTCGTAAAATTTTGTTAAGTACTCAACTTTTTTCACTGAAAACATTAAAAAAAAAAAAAATTTTTTTTAATTAAAAGTTGGTAACTTACCGTAACTCCAACATAATTTTAACAATATTATTCCATAAAAAAATTAATTAATAGGATTTAATCAATATATTTGTTTAAAAATTGTTGTGTTTTTAAAAAAATGTACTATTTTTAACGAATTATTTTACGATTTTTTGAGCCGTAAAACCGTAAAAAGTAAAAATTTCTTTAAAAATTAAAAATTTTAACAATATTATTTTCCATAAAAAATTAATTAACAGGATTCAATCAATATATTTGTTTAAAAAAAATGTGTTTTTTGTTGAGTTTAAATTTGATTCTGTCAAAATTCACTAAATTTAGTGGTTTTTACGATTTTTTGAGCCTTAAAACAGTAAAAAGTGAAAATTCCCAGGTCTGGTAGTTTTTTCTTAAAATTCTGAGCTAAATTTTGACTTCGGATTTTTAGTCCCAAAAATTTTCACAAAAATATATCAATTTCGAAATTTTGAATCACTTTTTCACCAAATTTTCCAAACTCACATAAGCCAAATCTTCAACTTGTAAAAAAATCAATTTTTCCGCAGCCACCGGTTGAATTTGCCTCTCAATCATCGACAAAACCGCACTTCTCTCATTTTTAAAATCTTTATAAGTGGAAACCACCAAAATTCGAACAATTTTCCAACCTTTTCTGAAATTTTCGCAATTTTCTTTTTGATTCTGACAGCTTCCTTCTTACCTTTGTGAATTATTCTGTCTCACCACCTGATTCCGATGTTTCCGCTGATTCCAAAATTCCTCATAATTGGGTGGTGTCTCAAAATTGCCATCAGAAGAAATCTGACATCCCATAAGTTTTCAAGAGTTTCTAAAATATAAACATTATATTTTGTTTATTTTTTTCCCATTTGATCAAGAAGAAGAAGTCTTCAAGTTCCCAGCGACACAAAAAAACGGGAAATAAAATGATAATAGCTTATCATCTGATCGAGTTTTTCTCGTTTTTTGGTTGCGCAAAAGGCGGGCTAACTAGCCACTCGCCCGTTTTCATTTCAAGCTTCTTCTTCTTCTTTTCGTTTTCCCGCCCGACAAGTGTTTCATTTATTATTAGCCCTTTGACCATATGAAAATAACAATAAAACAAGAAATAAATCTTTGAAATCTATATATCTCATGTAGAAATAGAAAAAATTCCGGTTCAAAAAACGAAGAAACGAAAAAAAAAATGGAAAACGCTTGTCTCCTAGCCTTTTCCCCTTAGCTACTTTTGTTAGTCTCATTAATTTTTAACTTGCCGTGTTCTTTTCAAAAACCAAACTCTTCTTTTCAGAGGATGCTGCGGCTTCTCCTATTTACAACAACCTCACTGGTGGTTACAGGTGGGCGGGGGGTTTTTTCGCTGAAAATTTTGAGAATTTTTGGGGAAAAACTGAAATTTTCTGAAAAAATTAAAAAAAAATTTAAAAAAAAAAATTAAAAAATTTTTTTTGCGTGGCCGAACTTTTGAAATTTCTAGGCCACAATCACGAAACACTGATTTTTTGAATCAAAAACGTACACGACCATTTTTACTCCAATAGAAAATTGTCCCTCGTGTCAGACGAGAGACGACGAGAGTCTAATGACGTCATCAAAGACATCGCTTCAAGATATTTTTGAAAAAAGTGTGTGTGCCTTTGAAAAATACTCTCGCCGTCTGGCGTCTGACTCAAAGGGCCGTGCCTATACTCACAATAATCATCTACCAATCGTTTTTCAGCCTACGCTGGTTGCGAAGACGCGGATCCAAAATGCAGTGAATGGGCAACAGCCGGCGAATGTTCCTCAAACGCAGTTTGGATGATGGCAAACTGCCGTAAATCCTGCCATTCATGCCAGGGCGGCGATACCGCCTGGAAACTGCGAACCCACATTCAATCCACGTACAAAAATGTGACGGACAATATCACTCGTCAAGTTCGCGTTGAAAGTGTTCGAATCAACAATGTTGAGATCGATGAGCGCCGGCAAAATGTAAAAGTTTTCGGGAGATTCGTTTTGAGTTGGAACGACACAATGGTTTCGTGGGATAAAGGACAATGGGGTTTGAGTTGGCTGAATTTTTATTGGATTCAAATTTGGACACCAAATATTGTCCAAATCAATGGGGGATCCACTTCAAATCCAGGACAAGTTACAAGCAAAGTCTTGGCGGCTAATTACACCGGTCAAATCTATCTATGGTCAGATTTCTCTTTCACAACACCATTCAGATTCCAATACGAAGACTATCCAAATGATGTTCAACGAGTTTGTTATAAATTTGATGACAAACGTCTTTTGGCAGTACATTTTACGGTTGCTGATGGAGTTAAGAATAAGGAAAGAGAAGCAACCACAGATCCTTTCGTTTCTGGATGGAAAATTGATGATGTTGATGTTATTGTAAGTGTTTTCCCTGAATTTTGAAAAAAAATTTCAAAATCCAGGCGATTAGTCATAAAGATCAAAAGGAGAAAAATGGAGTGGCAAGTTTCCCAAAGCTTTTTTAGCGTAGCAACTAATTTAGCTTACTTAGCTTGGCTTTAATTTTAATTATAGATAATCACCCAAAAAATAAACTTTCCAGGAATCCCCATACACCGTCGAACAACTCTCCGATCCTCGCCGTAATCCATTCGATGTTCAAGCCGACAATTGTGAACTCTGCATTTCGCTTCGTCGGAACGCCGTGTATTTCACATCGGAGATGTTGCTTCCTGCGCTGATCACGTCACTTTTCACATTGGCTGCTGTGTTCTTCCAACTTTCGAAAACCCAGCCGATTCTTTTGGGATTCTCGGTTGTTGCGCAGATTTTGTCATTGATTTTGGTATCGCAGCGATTGCCATCGTTCACAGCGCACACTCCAACTATTCGTGAGTTTTTTTTTTGGGGGGGGGGGGTTTGAAGCGTCTGCCGAACTGCCAGGGTTCGGCCGGCAGGTAACTTTGGCTGGCCTGACCTGGGCGTGTACCCGGCATTTTTAAAAATCAAAAAAATCCTACGACGGCCAGGTCGCGTGTACATGCCTAGGCCATGCCAGCCAAAACTGCCCGCCGCAAGCATGCCTGATTTTCTCTGTGTGAGGTCGAACCCTGGCTTTGCAAAAATGCAGGCAGGCCTGTAGTGGAGCGGTTAACTAACTTTAGGTGCATTTTTTAAGGTAGGGGTTTAACTTTTAAAAATATTGAGGTTTTTCAGGCTTTTATGGGTAAAAAATCAGCAAAACTTAAGTTAGGTTAGGGGGGTTGCTTTTCGAAAATTTTACCTGGAAGGGGGGTTAACTCAGGGGTCCTCGGAGCCCCAACCAAATTTCATTTTCCAGTCAAATTCGCCGGTTTCAACATGACATGGACGGCAATTTTATTCGTCGTATCCCTCGTTCTCGAACGTATGGCCACTTCAAGTGTCGATATTCCACCGCCACACGCAGTTTCGCAATTTGCCGGTGTCGTCAATGCGGTTCTTCCTATTCCAAAGGTATACTAATGATTGAAATGGGCATAGGGGGCCACCAGGGCCTGACATAAGGCCCACCAGGGGTGGGAAACCTGGCCTCGTGTTGGCTTTGGTGGTGACTAACCTGGCTAACTGTCATGACATTTTCCCCACCCATAAGGCCCATAATCCGGGCCCCATATCTCAATATTGTATTTCTTACAGAACTCCAAACACGAGGACAACAGTCTGCAATATGCCGCTTTTGCACACGCACTTAATCATGTCATTTTCGCATTATCAGCGATTCTATACTTCATTGTTATTTTGTTCTCATTTGTCTTTTAGATTTGTTTAGTTTTTTATTCATAATAATTTTTGTACATTGATAAATTTTTTCACTCTCTCTTATCAGCATTTTTTTTACATAAAAAAAAAATTTGTTGCGATATGGGTGAGTCAATTTCTCCAAATGATTTAATTTTTGGTGGAGACTATTGTGAAAGTGACAAGGATAAAGAATGCCTTGAGAAAGTTATCGCAACTATTAGCGCCAATGAGGAAAAGGTGAGTTATTAGATAAATCTAAACTGTATTTATCACAATAAAATAAATATTTTTCCTAGTTCAAAGTATTCCACAAAAGCGATTATGAAATTTACGAGATTATTTGTTTCAATATGTCACAAGTGTACAATGATAGTATTCTGGAGTTATATCGAAAAGATCCATTCGCATTTGCTCTGCTGATTTCAACATTTTTCGGACAGCAAACATGTTTGGGAACAGATCAGTGAGTGTGAGATCAGAAAATATTCTAGATGATTGTGAAAAAATTTTCAGAATGGCTTTCACATACGTCAAATTTCCACTGCATACCTCACTTCTTCTATGTTATGCGGCTCGAGAAATGGAAAAACGGTTTTTTGGAAAAGATGAAGCTAGGAAGGAAAGATATGATCGACTAGGAGAGTGAGTTAGAAAAATTTTTTAAAAATTTTCAAGCTGAAAATTTTTTTTCTTTTTGGAAAGATTCCATACGGAAGTTAACCTAAATTTCAAGCACAGTGTGTAAATCTCAAATCGCTAGGCTTCAAACTTTTTCTCAGGTATTGTCGAAGTTGAAAAGTAAAAAATAAACATTAGACGCGTGCGGCTGTGCGTCGCGTTCGAGAAACCGTTTCACGACCGCGACGCATAGCCGCACGTGACTAACTAAGTGAAGTTTTGTCTTTTAGTCATTGGGAAAGAACAGCACTTCGAATATTGGACGAACTCTACGAATACAATCCAGAATACGCGACAATCGCCCTAAAAATCGATTATCGCGAAAAACTTCGAGAAAACAATCACAAAATGAGTGTGACCAGTGAAGTGATATCTCAAAAACGTATCAGATGGTATCAAAATTGTGTCAGATGGTATTCCGATTATCTGGATTGTAAATACAATCAAAGTCGCGAGCTGATGTCAATCGCATATTTCGCAAATGCCTCGCAATTTTTATCGCATTACACATGCCGTGATATTGTCAATAATCGCGCGAATTCTAGGAAATTGTGGTTGAAATGGCTGTTCAACTTGATATTCCGACTATTGTATGTAGTATTATTCGCAATTATTTTAATCTTTGGGAACCCGTGGCATGATACAAAATCTGAATCTGAATCAAAAATCTCTAAAAACACATTGATGGGTTTTTGGGTTTATATCATGCTATTTCTATTGGCTCAAACTTTGGTATCATTTTTGAAACTTGTGGATAAGGTAATTGTAAGGTAAAACCACAAATATCCTAAATTATTTTTTAGATTAATGTGTATCAATTGAATTACAATAGTAAAACAACATTCGAAAAATTTCTACCCAAAAAAAGACATTTAAAATTTGTAAGTTGAAAATCTTCCGATCTTAAAAATTGTTTTTGATTTTTTTAGGCGAGACGATATTTAGAGCAGAACACATTGTCAATGTTCCGAATGATGCTATTTGCTATATTATTCATTTTTGAAGCTATTCGTTTAATGTTAAAAGTTATTCCAAGAAAAAGTGAAGGATATGAGTGAGTTAAATTATTTCCAAAGATAAATGTACCATAAAAACTACCAGCGGAGAAATCGGATCCTTCGGAATATCAGACATATTTCTTCCACTTGTATCCGATTTTCTATATTGCATTATTTTCGCGATTTCCGCCGTAACAACACTCCGATATTTTCAAACAACATCAATCGGATTATTCATACGTGTTTTAAAAAAGATGGTAATTTAAGAGAGGCACAACAAATTCCAACAATATATTTTCAGTTGAAAACCGTTGGAATGTTTGCGATTATATTTCTATTTTTCTGGCTGATCTTGGCTATTATAGTTACAAGATTGACGAATAAAATGAGCAATTCAACAAATTCGTGGTTTTATGATTTACAATCAACTGGCAAATTTGAAATTTTTGGGGAAATTGATGATGAAGAGAAAACAGGTGAGTAGAAATAAAGGTACCAGACCAGGCCTGTGCCGGAAACTTTCCGAATTTTCCGGTTTTTTCCCGGAAAAATCAATTTTCCGATTTTCCGGAAAATGTGCTCGGAATATCCGGAAAATGATCTTTAGTAGTAATATTTACACATTTTCCTAAATATTGAGAAATTTTTTCAGTTTATGATAGAAAAAATGAAATTTTTGGAATTTTTTTTCAATTTTTCAAATTTTACTATTTTTTGAACGTTAAACGTCTCAAATAGTTACTAAATTACCTGTGAATAGAAGAATTGTAGATAAAAATTGTTGTAGTGCCAACTTAAGGCTGAAAGTCGAAATTTCAGACTTTGAAAAATTTTCCGAATTTTCCGGTTCAAAAAATCCGGAAATTTTCCGATTTTCCGTTTTCCGGGTTTTGATTTTCCGGCACAGGCCTGTACCAGACGAAAACCAGACGTGGGGAAATTGTCCTGGCCAAAAAAGCTGTCCGGTCCTTGTAACCTGGCCTAAACCTGCCCTGACTCAAACATGGCCAAAAGCCATAAAAACCTGTCCGGGTCCTAGCGTGAACAAAATTTAACAGTGAAATGTTTATTTCTGCATTTTTTACGGTGTCTGCGCCTTACTAAAAGTCTTAACTAAGCCTAAGCCTAAAATTCTTACTAAGCCTAAGCCTAACACCGTAACTAAGCCTAAGCCTAACACCGTAACTAAGCCTAAGCCTAAAACCCTAACTATTCTTAACTCTAACGAAGCCTAAGCCTATGCCTAACTCCAGTGCTGAGTATACGTCCTAGTTTAAGCCTACCTGTGGCCCCATTCTGAAAAATTTCAATGGGGTCCCATTCGTACTAATACAAAAATTCAACTGGGTCCCATTTTTTGCGGGGTCCCATTCATCACGACGATTTTTAAACACCGGGGTCCCATTCAGTCATTCGGTGTCCCATTTGGGGTCCGATTCATTATTTACCGGCCAAGACAGGTAGCCAGGTTAGGCACGCGAACCTGTCTAGACTTATGTCGTACCACCCAAAACCATGGTCCCCACCCCTGACCAAAACACATCCTAATTCAGGTATTTCAAAAGACTGTGAAGGCTATAAAAACTACACAACATTCGATAAAATGGATTATCAACAAGCCAGTTGTTTCCTAAGAGCAATATTTATCCCATATCTATTCTTCTTCTACATGTTTTTCTCTGGAATACTTCTAATTAATCTCCTAACCGCTCAATTAACAAAAGAATATGATGAGATTTGCGAAAACAGTAAATATTACATGGATTATGTGAGATACGAATACACATCGAAACTCGAATCCAAAAATTTCCTTCCACCGCCACTTTCACTGGTTTACATCGTTATCAAAACGATTTTCTGTATTCCGTGTGTATCATTTCGATTGTCCGAATTTTTCGAGGGCACCGAATTTGGAGCGTATCGTTGTGAGAATCTCGTGGAGGATGACGTGGAAGATGTGTGCAATAAAGCGAAGAATATAGTTCGGAATGATATGTGTCTATTTTGGAAGGATCTCAATAAAACGGTGAAGAATGCTGCCGAAAAATATGATATAACTTTGGAGAATTTGGAGAAAATTCAGGATGAGTTGGAGAATGTTATCAAAATGTATAGTGACAAATTGCGACCGCAGACAAGAATTGGACATAGACAAACTCTAGATTATCAAGGTGATCAATCACCAATGCCTATTGTGGATTCAATAGAAAGGTAGACATCGAGCTTGATTCTGATTCTGAGTTTTGGGTTTTTTCAGACTTTCGAGCTCAAATGTAATGGAAGCTCCCAGGTTTGTGGCTGGATCAACAATTGAGGATAATAACTTTCGTCGCCCATCTGTTATGAATTTTGAATCACAGAATAAACCAAAATTTTCGGTTGGATCAACTGTTGAAAATGATGACTCTCGCAGTCCATCTGTTCAAATTCCAGTGGAATCAGAGACTTCCGAATCGCACGGTCTGCTCCAAAACGATGAATCAAATGTGCAAACATGGTTTTCCGGATGCACAATTTCATAAATGTATTGTCTCATTGTTTTTGATGAATGTTGCTCATAATAAAGCCCTAATAAATTTCTGTACGCGAGACACAAGATGGGAAGTGAGTGGTAGTGGTTGGCCGATGGCGAGTTGAGGGTCACGGGTTCGATCCCCGGTACCCGCTCCTCCTCGATTCACCCAGTCGTAAGTGGGTAGTAGTTGGTAAATCGGTCACACTCCCTAGCCCGGACTTGACTTGAATTAGGCTCAAGCAGGAGACAGGCGCAGAAATGGTCTAGAAAATCCATGAACCGCAATTCCTCGGGATTTGAAGAACGGTTCGCCCCTTTACCTTTACCTAGTATCAATTCAGCCCATTTTTTTGTCCTCAAAAACACAGGCTATCAAATAAAATGAGAAAATGCGCTCTATCGCACATTTTTTGAATTTTCGTGTTTGCACACAACACCGTGACGCCTTTTTGCAGACAATTTTTCACCAGGAGGACACCAACCCTTTGAATCTGACATCACGTCGTGCCACCATAAATCCGAGGAGACTCAGAGAAAAAAGACACCGTACTCTCCCCGGTGGCTCAGATGAATCGCTGCGAGACCAAGCGTCAAACCGTACTCCCCCGGTCGCTCAGATGAATCGCTGCGAGACCACACAAAATGTCTGCGTCTCCACGAAATTATCTTTTCCCATTTTTCTGGCACGACGTGACATGACAGGAATTCGAGCCGGGTTGGATTATATGTCTGCGACTCTTCACGTTGCACACTCTCTTGTCACTTTTTTGCCTATTTCATTTTTAATCAGGGTTTAAACACTGTGAATTAACCTCATTAAACCTCAAATATTTATCAACTTATAATACAGACATGAATACTTATGGGGTAATTCAAGTTGAAAAAAAAAACTTTTTAAAATTTTTCGTAAAAATTTTTTTTATTATTTTTTTTTCGACTCGAAATACCCCATTACTCTACTCAAAATAAACATTTCACCTAATCAGTTTCGGTTTTCTTGGATTCTCCGTTCGGTTTCGCGAGTCGTTTATGTCGGAAAATCGAGCCACAGCATGAGAAATCTAGAAAAAACATCAGAACTCAGCTATCTATGAAAAAATTCTTACTATTATTCGAGCAACACGACGATGATCCAAAAATCGGTGGAGGTAGACACGAATTTCCAAAGCACGGCGAGTTGTTATTAGTAGTAATGACGATTGGCGCATTATTCACACAATTCGAGCCAAAACATGGTGCACAAGAAGGCCCAAAGCACGGCCCATTGTTATTCGAAGTAGTTATAATGATGGGACCATTATTGTTATTGCAGTTGGAACCAAGGCATGGCCCACAGTTGCTTCCAAAACACGGTGGTGGTCCGAAAACCGGGCCGCCACATGAGTTTCCAAAACAAGGCCCCCCGCAAGATGGTCCGAAACATGGTTGAGCATCGGAAAATGAGACAATTGAAGCAAGAAGAAGAAGAATCGGAAACATTGTTAAATTTTTTTCAAAAAGACTTGCCTTATATACCTGAAGCTTATCAGGATGTCACTTGAAACAAGTTCCAAAGGTGGAGCAAAGAGAAAACAACACAAAAACGTAAAAGCAAATAGAAAGTTGGCTTATGCCAATTTTGTAGCCGGCTGTGATGATTGGTAAAGATGTCTTTTTGAAGAAGAAGGATGACTCATATTAAATGCTCTTTATTGTTCATTTGCAAATAAATAAACGTGAATTGTGTTTGTTGAGAAAAAATGACCTTAGAGGAACTGGATTTTTCGGAGTCGGTAGAAATCATGAAATTTTTTTGTGGTTTGTGACGGAGCGTTTTGCAAGTTGGAAACTATAGTCTAGTTTCCTTTTGCTATGCTTTATTGCTAATTCTAATCAGGAAATACTGTGAAATTGCCATTAACAAAACCAAAAACCTTGAATTTTCAGCTAGTTCTTAAAATTGTCTAGAAAATCATTTAGCAACCCGGATTTACTCCAAAAACCACCAAAAAACGGTAAAAAACAACGACACTCCGCTTGACAGTAGTTTTTTAATCTTACAGTCTGTTTTTGCGCGTAGGATTTGGTGTTTAGGGTTGAGGATATTACCCGCTTTCAAAAATTCCCCGTCTATCTTGTAAATACACAATTTTTACACCCAAAAATCCCCGATTCCCCCAAAAAACTCACCAATATTTCGCTCTCATCCTCAATTCCATCCAGATTTTGCGCAGAACTCGTGAAATTTCCCGATTGTTTTGAAGAATCTGCAAAAAAAACTAGATTTTTCATAATTTCAGAAGTTTTTTTGTTGAAATTTCGAATCCCAAACCGAAAAAAAGAAAAAAATCCGGGAAAAAACAAAAACATGTGCCAACACCGCCTGCCCGCAAACACCAAATCCTACGCGCAAAAGCGGAGTGTCGTTGTTTTTTGTGGGTTTGGGTGCTAATTTTATAGTAAATCTTCTGGTTTTCTAGAAAATTTCAAGATTAATCATTTTTTGCTGGAAAATTCAGGAAAAAACCAAATTTCCAGATTTTTTAAAATGAAAAACCAAATTTTCCAGATTTTTTAGAGAAACGTGGAGAATGTGCGCTCTAATGATAATAGGTAATTTTTTGGATTCAAAAAATCCCAGCCCAAAAATCACTCACCTGATTTAATCTCACAATTTCTCAAAATGCCATTTAATTTTCATTTTTTCCCACGTTCCACGCATTTTTCTTTTTTTTCCTGTTCAAAAAAAATTTTCAAAAAAAAAATCAATAAAATCGGTGAAAAGCTCTTCCGAATTCCAAAAAAATCCTTCAAAATCTAATTGTAAAATTAATTCATTTATTAAAGGAAAAAAAATATACCAACAAAAAAAAAATAAAATATCACAGTTTCACTGATCAAAAAAATACGGGTTAATATTGGGTTATGAATTTTGAGCGAGAAAAGAGAAAAAAAAAGAAGTTACCGTAAGTAAGAAAATATCAGGGTGGGGAAGAAGGCAACAAATCAGTTATGGCTATGAGAAAAAAAAATTTTTTTTTAAATAAAATGAAAAAAAAATATTTGAAAACCGGTTAATATTATGGGGTAATTCAGGTCGAAAAAAAAAATTAAAAAAACCATTTTTTCCACACAAAAATAGGGAAAAATATAGTTTTTGGACATTTTTTCCACCTAAATCACCCCAAAAAAGAAAAATTCTATCGATCCGTGTTATCCCGAGTAATAGTGATTTGTACTGGTCCTTGAACCGATTTCAATTTCTCCAAAATTGTCGACGGCGTCAATCCATCAACCGGTTCACCGTCCAACGAAACAAGTCGATCTCCAACGTGAAGTGTACCTTCGGACGCCGCCGCCGAACCTTCAGCGATATTTCGAATAAAAATCCCGTCGCTCATAGTTCGCTTGGCTAACGATAATCCCAACGTTCCCATTGGTTTCTTTTGCAGCATAACTGAGACTAATGAAGATGACGTGGATGACGTGGATGTTTTGTTATTGATCTCATTATTGTATGCTGGTGGAGGTGGACGTTGAACACCGAGAGTTACAACATCTCCACCACCTCGAAGCATCGCAACCACTTCTTGATGAGCTTTTCCTTCGACAGCGATTCCGTTGACCTGGAAATTTGACAAAATGGGAAAATTTTGGATGAAAATCCACTTTTTTTCAAAAATTTTGCACAATATTTGTATTTTTTGATCTACTAGCTTCTGTCGAATCAAATCAATAATTGTTTTCAAACAAAAATTATATAAAAATTTTAAAACGTATTTTTTTCTGGAGTCGAAATTTGAGTCAAAATTTGGGTTATTCAGAAATTTTCGTGATTATTTTTTTTTAAATCGATTTTCCAAAGAAAATTAGCAATCAAAAATAGTTGAAAATCTCATTTTTCATGATTTTTCGCAAATTCTGAAGCCAAAATCCAATAATCTCAACATTCTGAGAATCTAAAAAATCCTGAATTTACGAAAAAAAATTTGATTTCTAGACTCACTAGCCTCGGATCGATCATTGAATTTTTCGAGAAAAAAATTATATAAAAATTTTGAAACGTATTTTTTTCTGGAAAAAATTTTGAGTCAAAAATAGCGTAAAATCTCATTTTTCGGAATTTGTGGAGCCAAAATTCAATAATCTCAAAATTCTGAGAATCTTAAAAAATCCTGATTTTACGAAAAAATTTAATTTCTAGACTCACTAACCTCGGATCGATCATTAATTTTATTTCAAAAAAAAATTATATAAAATGTTGAAAAGTATTTTTTCTGGAAAAATTTTAGAGTCAAAATTTGAGGTATTCAGAAATTTTCATGATTTTTCAAATTCTGCAGCCAAAATTCAATAATCTCAAAATTCTGAGAATCTAAAAAATCCCGATTTTACGAAAAAAATTCAATTTTTAGATTCAAATGCCTCGGAACGATCATTAAATTTTTCGAGAAAAAAAATATATAAAAATTTTGAAACGTATTTTTTTCTGGACAAATTTCAGAGTGAAAATTTGGCAAATTCAGAAATTTTCGTGATTTTTCGCAAATTCTGGAGCGAAAATTCAATAATCTCAACATTCTGCGAATCTAAAAAATCTGATTTTACGAAAAAATTTGATTTCTAGACTCACTAGCCTCGGATCGATCATTAAATTTTTTCGAGAAAAAAAAATTATATAAAAATTTTGAAACGTATTTTTTTTTTGGGCAAATTTTTGAGTAAAAATTTGGGGTTTTCAGAAATTTTCGTGATTTTTCTCAAATTCTGGAGCCAAAATGCAACAATCTCAACATTCTGAGAATCTAAAAAATCCTGATTTTACGAAAAAAAAATTTATTTTTAGATTCAATAGCCTCGGAACGTTCATTAAATTTTTTCGAGAAAAAAAAAATTATATAAAAATTTTGAAACGTATTTTTTTCTGGGTACATTTTTGAGTTAAAATTTGGGGTATTCAGAAATTTTCGTGATTTTTTTCAAATTGGAGTTAAAAATCAATTTTTTCGAAAAATAACGCGAAAAATTAGCAAAACTAAAAATAGTTAAAAATCAGATTTTTCATGGTATTTCGAATTTTTCGAAGTTCACAAAATATTTGAAATTTTCAGCAGAAATTTTTTCAAATTTCAAAAACCCCTATTCAAATCTAACTCACATAAAGAAGAACATCCCCAATTCGAATATCTGGATGTGACAAAGCCGGTTCCGAAGTCAATTGTTTGATACAAACTCTTCCATTCAATGATGCAATTTGCACTCCAAGTGATCCATTTTCATTCCTTTCCAGCCCAACTTCAATAACCCGTTTCGACACATCATGATTTGTTCCTTCATCCTCCGACGATTCAACAACTTCTTCCTCCATTTCCTCCGCAATCTCCAAATTCGATCTTCTAGCATATCGATATTTCCTCAGCTCATTTTTCGCCTCAATTTTCACCGATTCTTTCGTGGATCTTTGCAAATCATCATCTCGATCAAAAGCATACATCGAAGTTGTCGGCAATCGATATTCTCCCTTTTCCTCATCTTCCTCATCCAAATGTAGGCCCGAAATCGCTTTGATATTTATCAAATTATCACCATCCAGCGTAGGAAGAGCATCACCAATTGCTCCAAAATCACTGACAGCTCGCTGTCTTCGATTCGCAGCTTTTCTGGGAGCCGGAGGGGTTCTTGATTGTCCCGGCAGCTTATTATTGACACCAAGTGAATCTGTCGATTTTTTCCGAGCCGCCGCTGCTGAAGCGGCTGCCAGCATCTCATTCGAAACATCTCGCTGATGTCGAACATAACCATCTAATCTTGCGATTGTCATTGGAACTCGTGAACCGCATTTTTTGACAAATTCGACTGTTTGAAGGCGGTCGTGTCCATCGAGAGATTCGTTGCCAACTCGGACGAGACGATCGCCAACGCAGATTCCCTGGAAAAATTCACTTTTTGAAAAAATTTCAACTTGAAGAATCCAAAAATTCATGAATTTCTATCGATTTTTTAGCTCTAATATGAGCAATATGTACTTCAAAATTCCAGATTCCTTGAACAAAATTTCATATTTTTGAAATTTAGAATTCCAATCGATCGATTTTTTAGCTCTAATATGAGCAATACTTCAAAATTCACATCTCTAGTGGAATTTTTGAAATTTATCTACAAAAACAATAGAATTTTATTTTGAGAATCCAAAAATTTTAATTTTTCCCGCCCAAATCAAAATTTTGATTTGGGCGGGAAAGAATTTTTGAAAAAAAAATTTTTTTTTTGGAAATTTTGAAATTCAGAATTATTTTCTTATTTTGATAATCCGAAAATTCATGAATTTTGATCCATTTTTTAGCCCTAACATGAGCAATGCCTCAAATTCATCTCTGGAATCTTAGAAAAATTCAGAATTCCAGATTTTGGGTCTTATTTTGAAAACCCGAAAATTTATAAATTTCGAGAATAACGTGAGCAATACTTCAAAAATCACTTGTTTAGTGGAATTTTAAACCAGAAAATTTTTGATTTCAAGTTCAGAATTTACAATTTTCAAAATTATTTTTCAACAGAGATTCTGAATTTTCGTCAAATTTTTGTATCAAAAAATCCAGAATCTTTGTTGAAATTTCATTTTTCAAATTCTAAATTCTAAAAATTTTGCAGGTTCAAAATTCCAGGTGAATTTTGAAGCATAGCTCATGTTAAAGCTGAAAAATCGCTAATTTTGAGAGCATTGCTCATGTTAGAGCCGAAAAATCGATAATTTTGAGAGCATTGCTCAGTTTAGAGCTAAAAAATCGATAATTTTGAGAGCATTGCTCATGTTAGAGCTGATAAATCGATAATTTTGAGATCATTGCTCATGTTAGAGCTGATAAATCGATAATTTTGAGAGCATTGCTCATTTCATACTCTGTCAATTCTAAAAATTTTGCAGTTTCAAAATTCCTGGTGAATTTTGAAGCATAGCTCATGTTAGAGCTGGAAATCGATAATTTTGAGAGCATTGCTCATGTTACACTCCAAATTCACGTGTTTTCGGATTTTGCAAATGAATTTTTTCCAACGAAAAAAAAATCAGTTTACTATGTCTCTCCTAAATCGGTCAACTATACCAACCAAGAAAATTGCGATAAAAATCATTCAGGAAAAAATCTCAGATAAAATCTTCCTCATTCACCTTCCTCACTTTCTCAACGAAAAATTCCATGAATTCACCATGTTCACATTTCTAATCCACATTTTCCTACTTTTCCGAATAGTCTTCACCTCCTCATCTGGTAGTATTCTATGCCTTATTCACACAGCAACACCAAGTCATGAAACGCGAGCGAAAACAATTTACGAGACTTGGGCGAAGCGATGCGATGATTTCCTATTTTTCACTGATTCGAAAATGAGCGATGATATTCCTCATATTTATTGGCCAACTTTGAATACAAGGGATCATTCGTGGGAAAAAATAAGGAGGATTTTTAAGTGGGTTATTGATTTTGTGATATGAAAATCAGGGTTTAAAAACCGTAAAATTCAAAAAATTGTGTTTTTCCTCAATATTTTCACTGAAAAACAGCGAAATTTTCATCAAAAATTGGAACTTATCGTAACTCTAGCACAATTTTAACAATATAATTCTCCATAACAATATAATTCATCCGTATTCAACGAAAAATGAATTGAATAAAAATTTTCTGTAGAAAATTTTATATTTTTTTCAATTTTCAATTTGATTCTGTCAAAATCCACTATATTTAGTGATTTTTTAACGTTTTTTTAGCCGTAAAACCTTAAAATGGATTTTACGGTAAAATCCCTTAAAAATTGGAATTTCATGGTTTTAAAAAGCCGTGAAATTCCTAAAAAGCAACATTTTCTTCAAAAATTGGAATTTGGTAACTTATCGTAACTCCAACATCATTTTAATTTTAACAATATTATTCTCCATCAAAAAATTAATTAATTAAAATTCAATTAAAATTTCCTGTAGAAAATTTTTCTTTAAAGTTAAAATTATGTTGGAGTTACGATAAGTTCTAATTTTTGAATCTCAATTTTTGAAAAAAATGTGTTTTTTTTTTCAATTTTCAATTTGATTCTGTCAAAATTCACTACATTTAGTGGTTTTTAACGATTTTTTTAGACTTAAATGAATTTTACGGTAAAATCCCTTAAAAATTGGAATTTCATGGTTTTAAAAAGCCGTGAAATTCCTAAAAAGCAACATTTTCTTCAAAAATTGGAATTTTGTAACTTATCGTAACTCAAACATAATTTTAATTTTAACAATATAATTTTCCATATCCATCAAAAAATTAATTAATTAAAATTGAATAAAAATTTTTTGTAGAAAAATTTTCTATCTACAACTAAACAGAAAATTTTAATTTAATTTTAATTAATTATTTTTTTCTACAGAAAATTTTAATTTAATCCTAATCAATTAATTTTTCGATAGCTATGGAGAATTATATCGTTAATATTGAAATCATGTTGGAGTTACGATAAGTTATAAGCTTTTTGAAACGTAAAAATTCCCATTTCAGACACGTTCACGAAAAATTGCCAAAAAAATACGATTGGTATTTACGAGCCGATGATGACGCCTACATTCTAGTCCACAATCTCCGCTCATTTTTAGCGGATAAATCACCAGCAAAACCACATTTCTACGGTTATCGCTGGCGATTTTTCACCGTAAGTTCCCTCTTAATTAATTTTAATTAATTATTTAATTTCTAAGTCACATGGTTTCGCCGATGGTTCCGCCTACATTCTCTCTCAACCAACAGTAGAAGCATTCAACGAAGTGATGTTAGACCCTGAGAAATGTGCAGATCATCATCGAGCCGAGGAAGATCAGGAGATCGCAAAATGCCTGAATCACGTCGGAATTTACCCAGAAGATATTCGAGATAATTACGGTTCGGAGAGGATTCAACACTTCCACCCGCTTGAACAATTCGAGATGTATTCCCAGGCTTTTCCGAGGCAAAACTCCTATTATCCAAGTCTGAAAGGGGTGGATAATTTCAGCCCGACAATGATTAGTTTTCATCATGTTTCTCCTTATGAAATGCGACTTTTTGATTATATTCTTTACGAAATAAATCGATAATTTATGGATTTCTAAAATCATTTTTTTTTGAAAAAAAGTTTTGTGTGGAAAAAATATCAAAAAATAGAAAAAAAATAATTTTTCGACATTTTTTGAATCGAAATTTTTTGTTGAAAAAATTTTTTAAAATTATTTTTTATTTTGCCTTTAATCACCCCATAATGAATTTCGGTTATAAAATGAGCAATGCTCTCAAAATTATCGATTTTTCAGCTCTAACATGAGCAATGCTCTCAAAATTATCAGTTTTTCAGCTCTAACATGAGAAACGCCCTCAAAATCATCGATTTTTAGCTCTAACATGAGCAATGCTAAAAATTATCAATTTTTTAGCTCTAACATGAGCAATGCTCTCAAAATTATCAATTTTTCAACTCTAACATGAGCAATGCTCCAAAATTATCGATTTTTCAGCTCTAACATGAGCAATCCTTCAAAATCATCGATTTTTCAGCTTTGAAATGAGCAATACTTAAAATTATCGATTTTTTCAGCTCTAACATGAGTAATCCTTCAAAATTATCAATTTTTCCGCTCTAACATGAGCAATGCTTCAAAATTCATCTAGAATTTTGAACCTGCAAAATTTTTAAAATTTATAGAGTATAACATGAGCAATGCTTAAAATTATCGATTTTTCAGCTATAATATGAGCAATGCTCTCAAAATTATCGATTTTTCAGCTCTAACATGCGCAATTCTCTCAAAATTAGCGCCTTTTCAGCTCTAACATGAGCAATGCTCTCAAAATTATCGATTTTTCAGCTCTAACATGAGCAATGCTCTCAAAATTATCGATTTTTCAGTTCTAACATGAGCAATGCTCAAAATTATCGATTTTTGCAGCTCTAACATGAGCAATGCTCTCAAAATCATCAATTTTACAGCTCTAACATAAGCAATGCTCAAAATTATCAATTTTTCAGCTCTAACATGAGCAATGCTCTCAAAATTAGCGACTTTTCAGCTCTAACATGAGCAATCCTTCAAAATTTTCAGAATTTACAGAGCATATAACATGAGCAATGCTCTCAAAATTTTTCAGCTCCCCCGCAAAAAACCCACCGCCTTCATTCCAGCTCCATTTTCAGCCACCAGCTTCACATAAACTCCCGGCACTCCATTCAAATTCCCATCGACCAGAGTTAGCCCAAGTCCATTTTCGGGATCTTTTAGGAGGACAACATCGAATTGCATGCCACGTGGCGGCGAATCATTTCCATTGATGTTCGAGCTGACTCGCTCAAAGTTTTCGGCTTGAGAATCTGGAATTTTCTAGATCTTGAGTTAAAAGATCAAAGATCAAAGATCACAAATCAAAAAATCACAACATCACTAACCAACTTCAATTCCTTCATCAATATTCGGTGTTGGCGGCGGGATTTCGGTAGGGCGCGATTTCTCGGGCATTTTTGAGAAGATCTGATCGGCGGCGTCAAGAAGTGGTGTGGCTGGTGGAGAATCTTCCAGCGATTCTAAAATCGGGCACAAAATCACAATGAGTTTACAATACTTGGGAAAAAAAGGCAAAAACTTACGTCGAATCGGTGCCTTCGGAACTTCTCTTCCTTCAACAATAACATCGGGAAGTGCCTGAATTGTATTCTCGTGTCGAAGTGTCGATTTCCATTGTCGCATTTTCATCATCCAACGATGTTGAGAGGCGGCGAATCGCACAAAATATGAGGATCTGGAATGAGGGAATTTTGGTTTAGGGCTGATTCACGAACGAAAAAATGTTGAAAAAACATTGTATAGTTGAAAATTATTTTTCCAAAGTTGTTCAGCAAAAATTATGAAAAATCGAGATTTTCGAAGCTTCTGAAGTGATTTCTGATGAAAAATAAGCTTTGGAAACTCATTTTATAAACTTTTTCGAAATTCATCAAAATTTGAAACACACATCGGCCAAAATCGTGGTTTCCAAAAAAAATTGTACGCTATCTTTTTTACATTATGAAAATGTTGAATTTCTCAGTTTTTGACCTCTAAAAACTGAAATTCAGAATTTTTCAAAAATTGTACCCTGGCCATTTTTTTAAACATTGAAAGATCAATTCACGAAAAGGTAGTTCAAAATCAATTTTCCAAGGTTTTCCAGCCAAAAATAATGAAAAATCGAATTTTACAAAGCTTCTGGAGTGATTTCTGATGAAAAATAAGCTTTGGAAACTCATTTTATAAATTTTTTCGAAATTCATCAAAATTTGAAATTTTTAAAATTTTTGAAAAATCAGCAAGAACTTCTGAAAGTGGATTCCAGGGTCAATTTTCATCAGAAATCACCCTAGAAGCTTCAAAAAATCTCGATTTTTCACAGTTTTGACTGAAAAACCTTGAAAACTAGGTTTTTGCGACATTTTTCGACTGAAAAATACTAAATTTAGGCCAGAAATTTTCTGAAATTCGAAAAAAAAAAATTAATTTTCTGAAACTTGAAAATGAAAACTCAAAACACGTCTGAAAATCACCAAAAATTCAAGTTCCCAGAAAAAATTATCTGAAATTTCTCAATTTTTCTAGGATTTTTCAAACAATTTTCTGGAAATTCAACTCATCGTCGAATAATTTCTAGAAAATTCTGAATTTTTCAAGTTTAGTGAAATCGATTTAAAAAATTCTCAATAGAGCGAATTTTCTCAAAAAAATTGAATTTTCAGGTCAATTTTGGTGGGAAACTCAAATCTAGGCTCAAAATTTTGGTCGCAGGCTCATTTTTGAGCATTTTTCATGAGAAACAGGTCAAAATGATGAGAATTTCATTAAAAATTCAGATTCAGCGTGAATTTTCAAAAAAAAAATTATGAAAAATTCAAAATTCCCAAAAACTATATGAAATTTGGTATCAAAAAACTCCAAATTTCATGCTTTTTGTGAAAAAAATCATTTTTCAGACACAATTTTCGAATTTTCCCCCCGAAAAACACTCACTTCGAATGATGATCCGTATAAAAAGTGCTCTCAATTTGCTCATTCGCCATTCCAACCGCAACAATCACAAATCGCTTTTTATCGAATTGAAGTGTCTGAGTTGAAGGCCACAAATGTTCAGCAATCAAATCACGAATTCCACTCTGGAAAATGAAAAATCGATTTTTTTATTTTTGAATTATCATAAATAACTTTTATGGGTGGGAAACATGAAAAAAGACACAGCAAACATCAAAAACAATCGGATTTTTTTCGAGAAAAAAAAATAAAAACATAGGTTTGAATACCTGTCTGGCAGTGATCATATAAATATTAGGTGCATCCTGATTCTGAAGGCAAAAAAGTGCGTGCGATTAAAAGTGTTAGGGGAACTGTTTCAGATTTTTGAAATAAAATATGTTTTCTAGAATTTTTGGACCCGATCCTTGAAATTTCAGAGCTCAACTTCTAATATGAGTTATGACGTGGCAAATTTTGAAAAAATTCAGAAAATCGGAATTTTAGGTGCTGAAAACTAGCTTCAAAAATGATTTTCAGCTCCTGAAATCTCGAATTTATGAAATTCTAAAATTTTGCCACGTCATAACTCATATTAAAACAGGAGGTGGGAGAAAGTTGGAAAATTCATGAATTTTAACCAAAAACATTTTTTGGCCAATTTTTGATCAATTCACCGTTTTGGCCAAATCTTGATCAAAATTTGGTCAAAAAACTTGGCTTAAAATTTTTTCAGTAAAAAATGAATCAATTTTTCAATCAATGACGTGGCAAAAGTCAAAAATTTCGAAAAATCGGAATTTTAGGAGCTGAAAATTAGCTTCGAAAATGATTTTCAGCTCCTAAAATCCCGAAATTTATGAAATTTGCCACGTCATAACTCAATTTTCTCATTTTTGATCAATTTACTGTTTTGGCCAATTCTTAATCAAAATTTGGTCAAAAATTTGGCTAAAAAATTTTTTGGTCAAAAAATTCATTAATTTTTCAACTTATTCTCACCACGATATGAGTTATGACGTGGAACAATTCAAAAATTTCGAAAAATCGGAATTTTAGGAGCTGAAAATTAGTTTCAAAAATGATTTTCAGCCCTTGAAACCCCGATTTCCCGAATTTTCAAACTTTGCCACGTCATAACAAATTTTTAGCCAAATGTTGACTAATTTTTGATAAATTCACTGTTCTGGCCAAATATTTATCAAAATTTGGCTAAACGTTTTTTTTTGGTCAAAAATGCATCAATTTTTCAACTTATGACGTGGCAAATTTTGAAAAAGCTCAATTTTGCCAAATTTTGGTCAAATATTGGTTAAGAGTTGAGTTTTGCAATTTTGGACCACGAAATCGTGATCAGCGGGTCGAAAATTTCAGAAAACATATTTCTAGAGTTAAAATAGTTCCCTGTGTTATTGTTAGAAGAAAAAATTCAAAAATCCTCGAAAATCTACCAACCTTTTGTTCATAAATCGCAATTCCTTTGGGCATAATTCCAATCCATAGAGAAATCCCAGTATCCGGATCAAAAGGCGACGCACCGTGTGAACCAGTTGGCTTAACTCGAAAAACGCGATGAAGATGCGCTCCAAAATCCAAATGTCGTTGACAAATTTGAATATACTTATTCTTGGCTTCCGAGATTCGGGTTCCCGAATAATGTCCATGCAATTCGGCCAACATACTTTTGAGTCTTGACGGATCTTCGAATGAGCAAAACCGTTTTGGTAGATAGTGTTGAGTGTCGAAATAATCGAGAATGACTGGCGGGGGACGATTGCCGAATTCGGCTTGGAGAGCGAGAGCAGCGAGTTCGAAGGCAGCGTCGCGTTTTGGTTGGATACGTTCTTCGAGAATGTCACGGCGGCATTGAAGGTATAGTTCGTGCATTGTGATGTCGGTTCTGAGAAAAATTGGATTTAGGATTTTGTGTCTGAATCTCTCGTTTTACACACTATTTTGGGTTCAAACTATAGACATTTGGTAGGTCAAATGTGTTCAAGAAGTCTACTGTAGCTTTGGTTTTCTAGGCCATTTCGGTTCTCTTCCAAGCTTGACAATAGAAAAATCAATATTTTTGGTTCAAAATGAAGATTTTTCGGAAAAATTCGAGAAAACTATGAATTTAGTTTTAATGCCTGAATTTTTTTTTAAATTTAGGAAATCTTTTTTCAATGAATTTTTTAATTTTTGGAAAATCTGTGTTTTTTCCTGAGCTTGAAGTCAGAAAATGAGATTTTTAATTTTGAAACATACTTTGATATTTCGAAATCTGAATTTTTTTTGGAAAACAAAAATTTCCTATTTATTTTTTAATTTCGGAAAAAAAAGTGTTTTGACTTTCCCTTTGAAGTTTATAAAAGTTTAAATTCAGAAAATTAGATTTTTAATTTTGAAAAAAAATATTTCTTAAAAATTCTAATGGGGTTATTCAAGTTGAAAAAAATAATAAAAAACAAAAAAATTTCGATTCAGCCTTTTTCTTGACATTTTTTTCCACACAAAAATGAAAAAAAATCTCGCAGCGAAAATATTTCAATAAAAAAAATATTTTTTTATCATTTTTTTTCAACTTGAATCAAGTTTATTCAAAATTCAGTTTCCTAGAGTAATTTTTATTATGAAATCAAAAAAATTAGGATGAATCCCGATTTTATGTAGAAAATCTGAAACTTAAATTAAATTTTAAGGTAAAACAATCATTCAAAAAACAAATCAGATTCACAGGTTTTTCAAAATAATCTGAATTTGAAACGTATTTTCCAGCCTCCCAAAACTCACTTAATAAAATCCAAAATCTGCGGATAGAATTTGAACCGAAGGTGCAAGACATAAGGAACTCTAACTCCAGTTTTCGACACACTTTTCCAACCAGCCGGCGCGAATTTCTCAATTCTTTGATGATCTTCAATGAAGAAATGTTCTCCATCTTTCAAAAACGACAATCCAAAAAAGACGTGCTCATTGATATTGTTGTTTTGGACGATTAATGAGAAAACATCTCTGGAGATGACGTCGGATCTACAGGCCACTTCGATTTTCTGACCATTTAGGAGTTCAACAACAACTTCAGTGTCTTCGACGCGATGCAAACTGAGGCGCTTCTGGAAAACACAAAATCCACGTGGATCTTATTTGTTTTGAATTAAGTTTTCTCTGAAAATCCAGAAACTTTGAATTTTCTTGAATTTTGTTGAAAAATTCGATTTTCTCATTTTTCAAATATTCATTTTTTTCTCGAATTTTTGAGCAAAAGTTGTACAATTTCTTCAAATTTTTATATTTTTGAACTGAAAAAAAAATCTTTGGGACACTTTTTTGTGCAGAATCAAATTGCTTAATTTTTAATTTTCAAATGAACTTTGAGCGAAATTTTGAATTTTCTAATTTTTCGAATTCAATCGGATCTTCAGAATTTCGAAAATTTTGAATTTCTAATTTTTGGAGCGAAAAAATAAGGTTTTCGAATTTTTTGAGAAAAAAATGTATGTTTTCTTCAAATTTTTGTATTTTTCTCATTTTTCAAATTTCAAAAAAATCTTTGAGTCAAATTTTTTGTACAGAATCAAATTTCGTAATTTTCAATTTTCAAATAAATTTTTCAGCGAAAAATTTGAATTTTTAAATTTCGGCGCGAAAATATTCAATGTGGATGTTTTTTTAAATTTTGACGAGAAAGTTCCAATTTTTGAGCAAAAAATGTATATTTTCTCATTTTTTCAAATTTCGTCGCGAAAAAAATGATTTTCGAATGAAAAAAAATTTCTACTCATTTTTAAAATCACTCAGAAATTCAACTTTCTCGATTTTTTTAAAAATATTTCTGTATCATATTCGGTATCAAAATGTGCCAAATTTCCCCTTCCCCCAAAAAACCTCAATAAAAACCCGCACCTTTTTCGAAACGGGCGCTCTCAATCGAATACTCTGCTGCCTCGTCAAATCATAAAACTCTGGAATTGCTCTTGTCTTCCGTTTTCCTCTCATACTTCCCGAAACACTTCTTCGCGTTGATTGATTTCGCCCACTAATTCGTGACGGGACCAGCGAATTTCGTCGCTTCAAAATCGGCGAATTTCGCTCCACTTCTTCTTGACGATTTGCGACAACAGCAGATGGAACTATAAAAAAAAATTTGAGAAAAATATTATAAAAAATTCAATTTTCCCCCGTATGAACCTTTATTGAAGCAAAAAAAGTGCATCGAAAAAATATTCTAGAGATATATTTGGAATGTAGCCAAGAAAGAAAAAATGGGCAAATTTGAGCAAAAAAAAAGCGAGAGAAAAATCAAATTAACACGGTCTTTCTGGCTTTTTTTTGCTGCAGAAATGAAATGGAACGGGGGTGAAAAATATTGGAAAAAAAGCAGAGAACATTTCATTCGAAATTCAAAGCTCATGCATTTTAATTGACCTAAAATAAGGCTAGGTTCAGGGGAAAACCAAGTTTCTAAATAGTGATTTTTAAAAAACTTGGAAAAAAAGTTTGAAAAAAAAAGATGGAGGAAAATTTTTGAAGATTTTAAAGATGATAAAAAAATATCTTCAGAGTTTTGAGCCAATTTTCGTCTAAAATTCAAAAAAAAGGAATTTTTTGAGATTTAAAATGCATTTCAAAAAATATTTCTCAAATGTTTATTTTCCAAAATTTTTCTCAGCAAAAAAATAATCTGTGCTCATTTGAAAGAGCATTTTCTAATTAGTAAAATCCTCAAAGGAGTTTAAAAATTTCAAAATTCAAAAAAAACAGTGAAACACCGTGTAAAATGCACAGTAATTTGGAGTTGAAATTGATTAAAATTTATCGATTTTTATGTCGGACTCCACTTTTAAAATTTCAAAAAAAAAACACTTTTTAATTTTTTTTTTTAAATTTTATAATGTTCAAATTCAAGTTCCAAACTTCAGTAAATTATTTTTTTTTTCAAAAAATCCCCTAATTTTTAGGAAATAATTTGAGAATCTTGAATTTTAAACTGAAAAATTCAAATTTCTTTATATTTTTCCAAAATCGTATTTTTTAAATTTTTTTTTTTGAAATTTTATAATGTTCAAATTCAAGTTCCTAACTACAGTAAATTGTTTTTTCTCCAAAAAATTTTCTAATTTTTATAGAAACAAATATGAGAATCTTTCTAGATCTAAACTAAAAAATTCAAATTTCTCCACATTTTTCAAAAATCACTAGGAAACCCCTATTCTAGGTCACACAGTGTAAAATTTACTACCCCAAATTGCTAGACATCAAATTTTTCGATAATTTTTGGGGTAAATCCAAAATTTTTGCATTGATTTCGTCGATTTTTAGTCCCACCACAAATTTCCCCCCAAAAATCCCAATTCCCCCCCCCCCCAAAAAAAATCACCAACCTTGTTTCATCGGTTCATCATAAGTATCAGCCGTCAAAATCGGCGTCGCCTCCTTTTCCTCCTCCAAAATTTCCTCCTTCCGTTTATTATACGTCTCAAAATACGAATCAATATCATCATCTCGCGAAGAAGAAGAAGCATTCGCTTTTTTGAATCTCGGTGCTTTCGGCTTCTCCTCCTCCACAAAATCATCTTGAGCTTCAGCTTCAACTTCAGTCCTCGCTTTTTTAACCGGCTCAATCGTAATATCCGAATACCTTTGTCTAGATCTCTCTTCATTATTCTGTAGCGAAACATTCGATGGTTTATGCCTAGCTTTATTAGCTCTTAGTGCTCTTTGAGCTTCTTCCAAAGGCGTTAACCCAGTCTCCAGATTTATTGGATTATAATGATGAAGAGGCGGTGAATTATCGAAATCTGCATCTGCATCTGCATCATAAGCCTTGTCGAAAAATGCGATGGGTTTCGCAGGTTCTTCATCCTCATCATCATGAATAGTCGCTTCAATAATCTCTTCAGAAGACGAAGACAATCGATGTGAAACCTGCTCCTTCTTATAGAACACTTGCTTCTTTTTCATCTCCTCACTTTTCTTCGCAGAACTTCCCGAATCATCATCGAATGGATCTCTTCCAGACAATGTTCCACCTCCGAAATCAGCCTCATCCCGATCTTCTTCGTCGAATGGATTTCTCTGAGGCGTCGGTGGTTGTAGAGAGATCACAGGTTTCTTTGTGAAATCCACAAAATTGTCCTCGAATTGATTCATATCAATACTTTTTTCCTCAATATAAGTTTCATCAAATCTCGTAGATTGTGAAAGTGGCGAGCCGATTCCTCCCAAAGTCGTATCTTCAAACATGATCGGACTTTCGGCTTTGACAATCTCCTCGTCTCGATCTGAATGGTTTGAGTTCTCCAGAACATCTGTGATCTTTTGCGAACTTGTTCCGATGATATTATGAGGAGGTTCATCGTAATATCCGAAAGGTGAAGTTTCTTTTTGTGTGCTGTTTCCAGATGAGGTGGAAGTTAGCGCATCTTCTGAAAAAAATAATTTTTTTTAAATTTAGAACACGTTCAAAAAACCCCCAATCCACGTGAAAAATCTCATGAAAATCCATCCATTTTAGATTTTTTCCAATATTCAAAAAGGCATATCATCAATCATCAAAAAATATAAAGTTTGGCCAAAAAATGCTATCAATAATCGCCTCAACTACAGTAATCGCCAGCGTTTCCACGTGGCTTTGCAGTTCGAAGAAGCCGAAAAAGGAGGCGATGACCGAGACGAAATCGAAGAGGAAGCAGAAGGGAGCGGGAGGAGCGGGAGGAGCGGGAAATGGTCAGGATGGGAATAGTACAGCGGTCACGGGGACTACCGGAACCGGAACTAATGATGGATTTACTGGAACTGCTGGAACAACTGGAGATGATAAAGTGAGTTCGTCAGTGGCGTGCGGTTGTGCGTCGCGGTCGGGAACAATCAATACGCGCTCCACCGAAATAAACACGCAACGCAGACCGCGCCGCGCCACAGCACACACAAATAGGGGGACGATTCAAATTCCCTCCCTTTTTGTGTGTGTTGTGGCGCGACGCGGTCTGCGTTGCGTGTTTAGTTCGGTGGAGCGCGTATTACCGATGAGATTTTCGGTGACCAAAAATGTATCAAATCGTTTTTTGGTCAAAAATTGGTCAAATATTGGTCAATCGGTGATTTTTGACCAATTTTTGACCATAACTTGGCCCAAACAGTGAATTTCTCAAAAATTGGTCAAAAAATGCCCAAATTTTTGGTCAGGCCCCCAGCACCTGTGTAGTGCAGAATCGAACGAAGGAAAAAACATCATTAGTTCGTCAGTCGCGTGCGGCTATGCGTCGCGGTCCGAAAACAATCAATAATTTATGGAAAACATGAATTATTGATTTTTTCCCGACCGCGACGCACAGCCGCACGCAACTGACGAATGTTTGCCACGTCTTGCCATCCTGGCTTTCACGTGACGTCAATTAATTTTCAGAATGAGCCAGCCCCTGCAAAAGTAACCGACGCCAAAACCGCAGAAAAGAAAGATGCGCCAAAAGAAGAAGCCGCGAAACCCGAAGAGAAAAAAGAGGAAGGAAAAGCTGCTGCAGCTCCAGCAGCGGCTCCTGGAGAACCTGCAGCGGGTGCCCCACCACCAGCTGCTGGTGATAATAAGAACACCCAATTGGTTATTATATCTGATCCGATTGTCACGCCTGAAACTGACGAATATCCGACGGAAGAGGAGAAGAAAGAGAAAAAGGAGGAGGGGAAGGATGGAGCGAAACCTAAAGAGAAAAGTAAAAATGATAAGGGATGATTTTAATGAGTAAACTATAAATAAACTGGTTTATTTTATTTATGACGTGGCAAAATTAAAAAAATTTTCCGCTGTCAAAAACTGCAAAGCTAAAGAGCTTGAACAAAATTTGGCCAATTTCTGACCAAATTTTGATCAAGATTTGGCCAAAACGGTCAATTGATCGAAAAATAGCCAAATTTTAGATTTAAAATTATTTTTTGGCTATCTGTAAATATGAGTTATGACGTGGCAAAGTTGGAAAATTGGGACTTTAGGAGGTCAAAACTCGCTTTCAAAATAATTTTCATGAAAATCTGATGGCATAGCGTTATTCAGGAGGTTTTTCTAACAAAATCCGGAAGATTTTTCAAAATTGATGTCTCCTGAATAACGCTATGCTATCAAATTTTCATAAAAACCATTTTGAACGCGAGTTTTGACCTCATAAAGTCCCAATTTTCCAAATTTGCCACGTTATAACTCATTTTCACGACCAAAAAATGACCAAAAATATTTTTTATCCAAAATTTGGCCATTTTTGACCAATTTTTGATAAATTCCCTGTCAGAAATTGACCAAAAAACACAGGTTGGCCAAATTTTGGTCAAGCTCTTTATCTTTGACAGCGGAATAGTGATCAGCGGGTTGAAAACTAAAAAAATCTCGATTTTCAAAGTTGAAACAGTTTTCCATTCTTGTGTAAAGAAAAGTTGAAAAAAAAACAAATTCCACAAAAAACAAAACGCGTAACATTCCCTCACGTGAAAAAACAAAAGTTCGAAATCAAACCGCCCATTATTTCAAAATGTGCGACGCTCAACAAACCAACAATTTGGACGTAAGTTCTATTAAATTATAGCTTTTCATTCGATTCTTCTTCAGAATCGTCGTCGAAAATGTGTAGTTTGTGAAAAGCTGGTATCTTTCAACTATGCCACGTCATTCACTTCGGTTGCAGACAAGCAAAAACTATGGGCGGAATGTCTTATGGGTGGAAATGAACAATTGGCTGAGGAGTTGTTGGAGAAAACTACGAAGGGAAGAAAGTGAGTGAACATCGACTTAATGACATTTTTAGGTTTTTTAAGCAAATGAGTGGAAATATTGGGTTCTAATGTTATTCATATGATAGAATGGTCTAAGACGAACAGAATGATATAAATTTTGATAATTTTAGGTTATCCATAAGTGATTTAGAGACTAAACCTCGCTAAATCACTTATGGATAAGGTAAACTCATCGAAATTTATATCATTCTGTTCGTCTTAGACCATTCTATCATATGAATAACATTAGAACCCAATATTTCCACTCATTTGCTTAAAAAACATGAAAAAGCGGGAATTTCAGATATATTTGCTTCGATCATTTCGGCAAGGAGCATTTTCGTCAGCGAGAAGATGGAAAGATCGAATTAGTTAGAAATGCGTTTCCACTCGCATTTAATTCAACTGAAGAAGTTCAAAAACTTCCATTCGACGAGAAAATGTTCGAAATTCTGGTGAACGCTTCGAATTATTGGATTGAGGAGACGATGAGGAATGTGAAATAAATGTGTCGCGTGCGGCTGTGCGTCGCGTTCCCGACCGCGACGCACAGCCGCACGCGAATGAAGATCAATAAAACGTTACCTCTTCCATCATCTTCAAAATATTCCACAGCTTTTTTCACATTATTATTGCCCGAAAACACAACTTGTCCCCGCGTCGAATTCTCATTCCCGCCAACTTCATCATCCAAAAACTCGTCATCCTCTAAATCGTCCAAATCGCCCACATCAATATTATTCGTCTCCTCATCGCCCATCAATTCCTCATAAACACACATCAACATTGAAGCCGGGTCTCGTCCGCGCAATTGATTTCTAGCCATTTGCCCCATTCGATGAGCTGTTGGACGAGTTCCGGTCATTGCGACGGTTAGAATATTGACCAATGAGAAGAGATCGACATCGGAAGCTTCTTCGGCGCCAGCTGCGCGGAGAACTGCGCCGAGGCAATAAACTGCGGCAGCTTGCGGGTCTTCTTCGCCTTTTGACCATTCGGGAGGGATATAACTTCGATCAACTTTTGAAGTATGCGTTGTTTTTATCTTCAAAAACACTCATTCAGGTTTTTTAAGCTTGAAATATTGGGTTTTAATTTTTTTCATATGATAGAATGGTCTAAGACGAACAGAATGATATAAATTTTGATGAGTTTACGTTATCCGTAAGTGATTTAGCGACGTTTAGTCGATAAGTCCCTAAATCATCAAAATCTATATCATTCTGTTCGTCTTAGACCATTCTATCATATGAATAAAATTAAAACCCAATATTTCAAGCTTAAAAACATGAAAATGTCATTTAGTCGAAGTTGAAAAATGTGGCAGCCGTAAAAAATAAAAATTGAATGAATGACAAACTGGTTACTTCGTCAGTCGCGTGCGGCTATGCGTCGCGGTCAAAAAACAAAAGAAAAATGGATTATTCCTCGACCGCGACGCATAGCCGCACGCGACTGACGAAGTAACGAGTTTGTCATTCATTCAATTTTGCACTGGTTTTTATTTTTTACGGCTGCCACATTTTTCAACAAGTTATCCAAACTCACCTCAACCAAACCTTTACTCGTTATAAAAACATTTTCCACATCGAAAACGGTCCCTTTGGGACATAGCGGAAGTCGATCGGAAGCGCTAACTGCGACTGACAATAGTTCGGGCGCATTCAAACCGTAACCGCGAACTTCGATCACTTCGGCAATACTTATATGCACATCTTGCATTGTCATTTTGATTTGTTTAATTAGTTAGTTTAACCTTTTTTTTGATTATTAGTATTTGAGCATCTGGAAAAACACGATGTTTTGGGGGGCGAAAAGTGCAAATTGTGGGTGTCAATGAATTGATAAGGAAAAATGGAGAGAAAGACAAAACACGTTATGATACATGAATAAATACAAATAACTATTTATGTATTTACAAATACAAATTTTTGTTTTTCATTTTCATTTTATCGATGGAATCAATAAGGGAGAAGCTGATATTTTTCAAAAAATTTTACTTTTTTTTTTAATTCTAGACTTTTTGGAAAATAATCCCTTTCAACTTTCACCCAAGATTTTTGATAAACAATATATTTTCTAGTAGTTTTCGACACGCTGATTACGATTCCGCCAGCTAAAATTGCAAAACTCAACTCCTAACATGAGTTATGACATGCCAAAGTTCAAAAATTTGGACTTGAATGAAAAGGATAGGCGAATTCTGACCCTCCAAAGTCCAAATTTTTGAACTTTGACACGTCATAACTCATGTTAGGAGTTGAGTTCTGCAATTTTAGATGGAAAACTACCAGAAAACTTATATTTTATTAAAAATCTAGAGTGAAAGTTCTCGCCGTATTTCAAAAATTTTCGAAATTTAGTGGAAAAATAAATTATAATTTTAAATCCCAAATATTTCATTAACAAATATATTAACAAAAATCAAATCAGCAAAACGCAGCGAAAAAAATACAAAGACGAAAATATGGGGAGAGAGCGCATATTTGTACATACATGTCTTTTTCTCTCGCACCTCTTTTGAATTGAAAAGGTGACTCTTCATCTCTAGCCATAAACTCACCTGTCTGTCTATATATACACCTTGTCTCCGAGTTTCGAACGCTATTTCCCCGTCATATTCTTATAAGTCGCGCGCTGCGCGCACGGACTGTTGGCTGGCTTCCCGAATGGGTGGTCGCAACCAAAAGACACGCTCTCGCGGAAGAAGAAGGACAAAAAGATTTGAGACAGATTTTTTGAAAAACGACATATTTGATTTGGATATTTCAACAAGAAAAACATGTTTCTTTTTATTTTTTCGGGAAAAAATAGAAAAAAATATTTAGAATTAGAATTTATATCAAAAAGGGTTAAAAAAAAAGTCCTACCAACTTTCTGTTGAGTTTCAAAAATAGGAAATCCTATGTGCAATTGAGTGGAAACATGAAAATTTTGAACAAAGAAAAATGCAAAAAGGGAATGACACAGCGAGACAGTTTGATTACAAAACTAAAGAATTTATGAGTCATCGAGAGACATTTTCAAAAACGTTTCGCAATTTTCAGGTTTCTAGCGCTAAAAATGGAAAAAATCTGATTTTTGGGGAGAAAATAAAAATATTTTTCTGGAATTTTGAATGTGAAACATCAACGCGCGCAGCAATCGCCACAAGACCCAGTGTGTTTGTCTCATGCGCCTTTAAACTACAGTATCTTTTTTTTTTCAAAAAAATTTTTTTTTTCATTTTTCAAAACAAAAGAATAGAAAGTGATAGATTTTCGAGGAATTACAGACAGTAAAAAAACAAAAAACATCATTAATTTCAATCAATTCAAGAAAGAAAGTTCTCTCCGCGCAACAACAAAAAACAAATTGACCTACTTTTGTTGTGAAATGAAATGCTGTGTCGAAATGTATAAAGTTTTTGGAGAAAAATAATAAACTGAGCAAAAACAATAAACAAATGTGACATTTTTCTAAATATTTATTATTTTATAACCAAAAAGTTTTTATTGATCGATTAAAAATAAAATAAATAAATAAATAATGGAATGTGAGCTTAATTGTACAGAATACTGTGAAAATAATCCCGGAAAATGCAAATTTCCATAAATTTATCGTCGTCCAAACATGAAGAAGTATAAAAATAGCAAAATGAGAATAACAAATGGAACTGTGCACAGCATACAAGCCATTATGCTGAATTTTCGATGAAAAGCTGAAATATTCCGCATTTTTCCCTTTTACTGTTTTCGTTTTGTGAGAAAATTCTCTAGAACCTCATTAAAATTTTATTTTGGCTGGTGTGAAATAGAAAAATTTAAATACTTGACTTTGAGGCTAAGTGGGATAATTTGTGTGTACTTTACATTTTTTGACATAGTTTTGTGTTGGGGAAAAAATACTGGAGAGACATTTTCGAAATAAAAAATAGTAGAAACATTTTTGGAACCGTGAACTTGAGTTAGTGTAACTCGAGAAAAAAATTTCAAATTTTTGGATCACAGAGACGTGGATTTCGGCGCAAAATTTTTGAAATTCAAATTTTTCACGCTACAATATCATACTGTAGTTTTGAATCTATGACGTGTAGCTCGGGCGCCAGATTTTGAACTTTAAAAATTTGAATTCAAAATTTTCACGCTAGAAATTCATACTGTAGCTTCAAATCTATGACGTGTCATGTTGGCGCTAATTTTTTGAAATTCAAAATTTTCACGCTAGAATATCATACTGTAGCTTCAAATCTATGACGTGTCATGTTGGCGCTAATTTTTTGAAATTCAAAATTTTCACGCTAGAAAATCATACTGTAGTTTTCAAATTTATGACGTGTCATTTTGGAGCTAATTTTTCGAAATTTAAAAAATTCAAATTTCAAAAAAATAGCGCTAAAATAACACGTTTTAAAACTACTGTAGAATTTCTGGCGGCAAAAATTCCGAATTCAAATTATTAAAAATCTTGAGTTTCAAATAATTGTTTTTAAATTTTTTTCTAGCGCTAAAATTTTTGAATTCAGAAATTTTCCCGCCAAAAATTCATACTGTAATTTTTTTCCAACAAAAAAAACCTACTATCATTCTCATGATGATATTCCAATTGTTGACGTTCGTCATCTTTTCGCTTTGCCATTTCTTGAAAAAAATGTTTTTAATCCTTTTAAGATTTGATTCGCAACTAGAAAAAGGGCGAAAAATATGGGAAAAAATGTGTGTAACCAAGGAAAATCTCACCGATAATTTATGAGCAAAAAATTCGCGCCTGGGCTACAAAAAAAGCGGAAAAAATCCTGGCTAGAGCCGGATTATCAGATAAATAATTCATTTTTTGTCACCGCAGTAATCAATTCTACCTGAGCGCTGGAAAAAAAGGAAAAAAAATGAGAAAAAAATGGATTGGTGAGAAAATTTAAGAAGCTGAAGCTGAAAATCTGCGCAGCGCCTGGAGACAAATGAGATTATGTGTATTTGTTCTTCGTCAGGTGTTTGCAGGTTATAAATAATTGAAAAATGGAGCTGAGGAAAAAGAAAAAAAAGAAAAAAAAAATAGAAAATGAAAGGGAAGGATGAGAAAAGGATTGGATAATTGCTAGATTTACTATTGAAATATTTATTTGGATTTTCAGGGAAGAGGTTAGAAAATTTCCCAGAAATTTATTTTTTAGTTAGAATTTTTCCAAAACATTCTGAATTTCCTGAAAATTTTCAAAAATTCTGAAGAAATAACTGAAACGAAAAGTTGGCTTTGAAAATTTGGATATAAATTGTATGAAACGTATTTTTTCCGGGATGATTTTCCCACTGATTATTTCGTGATTTTTTCCTCCAAAAAATAAAATAAATCAGAAATAAAAAAAACGTGCGCGCGCGTTGCAAACACACATGCCGCACGTTGCAGAGGGGGCGTGGCTTTGCTATTTTTTTTTCATTTTCAAAATGTTTCGCGTTTTTTCATGAATCTGAATGAAACTTGTTGTTAAATTCATATTTATCTCTTTTTTTAGGACAAGTAACATTGATTTTTGATAATTTTATACAAAAAATGGTGCTAAAAAAGCTATTTTTTGAATTTTTCTTGCTTTTGGTTAACTTTATATAGATTTTGCTAATTTCTATTTTACAGGAAAATCGTCGTGGAAAATATTGGTCAAATGATTCTACATTTCGAGGAAAACTGGAGGAAATGTGAGTTTTTTCGTTTTTTCAAAAAAAAAACCGCGTGTCAAACTACTGTAGCGCTCAGTTGTGTGCAAACACGGCGACGCACAAATGCATCCCGCTATTTTTCGCGCCGCAAAAAAATTTCAAATCAATCAAAAATGCACCGAACAAAAAAATAAAGGCTCTAATTATTTCTGACCTTTCGTGACTTCGTTTTTTTGTTGAATTTAATAATCTTTATATTATTTAGGACTACAATATATACAAACAATGCCTAGAAAAAATCTAGAGAAAAAATTTTTTTAATGCTTCTTTACGTGAGATCGTCGTCTTCTTCTCGTAGCCAAAGGTCCACCCTGTCTAATCAAATTCAATTGAATCTTTCCAGTATCATATTCCGTTTGCTCATGATTCAAATTCTCCACCTTCCACTCTTTCGCTCCCGCAAAACTCGACGCCTGTTTCCCACACGCCCAATATCCCACAACCATATCATTCGTCGATGCGATGTTATACGATTTATAAGACGCCTCATATTTTTCCTTCGAATTTATATCTTGCAAGAATTTCGAAACACAATTGAGCCCATTGATCGGATTGCAAATATCATAGAATGGGAAGAGACAGAGGTGAGAACCTTGATTCGCGCCAGCAACCGAGACAAATGTTCGGATTTGACTAGTGATCGGTTTTCCTAACTCGAAAGCCTGGTTATCCACACATTTCCCACCAAGAATAGCTTTTCTGACCAAAGGAGAACCCATAGAATAACCAATTATATCAACTTGCTCAGCTCTTGTGTACCATCTGACGATTTGGATGAATTTTCGAATTCTGTTCACATATTCACACTCCAATTTCACATTCAAATTCATTTGTTCAACGCCTCTTCCCCAAGTTGTCGCAAATATTCTTTGCGAAGGAAAACCGTTTTCAATGAATGTTTTTCTGATACTCCACAAGCTTCCGGCTTGATTGTTAAGACCGTGAACTAATATAACTGGGCGAACACTGTGAGAAAAATAGAGGGTTTATCTAATCTTATCATATTTTTACTCACTTTCCGTTGTATTTTCCTCCTCCAAAACTTCCAGTTGTCAATTCATCGCGAACGATTCCTGGAAGAAGACAAAAACTTTTTTATTTGGTTGGGGATAAAGCTAGAAATATCATGATCAAACATGATTGATAAGCCTCAAAAAACACTATAAGAGAATGTGTTGTGTTATCTTAAAAGAAGATTAATAGAGGGTGGCTGAAATTTGAAGTTTTGATAAGCGTGGAGGAAAACAACACGGATTTTATTACACAGTTTATCACAGATAAGTTTTTGATAATATTTTGGACATTTTCCAGGAAAAAAAAAATGTTTGTCGAATTTGAAAACGCGCTCCACCGAAATAAACACGCAACGCAGACCGCGTCGCGCCACAACACACACATAAAGGGAGGGAATTTGAATCGTTCGTGTGTGTTGTGGCGCGACGCGGTCTGCGTTGCGTGTTTATTTCGGTGGAGCGCGTGGAGTACCGATGGGATTTTCGATAATACAAGATACACTATCAAACCGGTTTTCAGAAGAAGTCTTTGGAAGTATTAAATATGTGTTTGATTTTTCAAAGATCAAACTTTTGGCTTTTTCAGAAATTTTTTTTCGCATTTTTTTGGAAAAGATCAAATGTTCAAAATGACAAAGAGGCTTAGGCTTTCGATTTTTAAGCTTGTATTTTCACGCATCAGATCATTGTAGACTTGAAAAATATCAGAGATCTTCCACAAGTTCAGCGAGATGTTTCAGGAAAAAAAATCTGATTTTGAAGTAGCCGAGACTAGAGAGCCTAGCTGTCAAGTAGCCGAGCCTAGAGAGCCTGGTTTTGAAGTAGCCGAGACTAGAGAGCCTAGTTGTCAAGTAGCCGAGCCCATAGAGCCTAATTCTGAAGTAGTCGAGACTATATAGAGCCTAGCTGCCAAGTAGCCGGGACTAGAAAGCCTAGCTGTCAAGTAACCAAGCCTATAGAGCCTAGTTGTCAAGTAGCCAAGCCTATAGAGGCTGCTTTTGAAGTAGTCGAGACTAGAGAGCCTAGCTATCAAGTAGCCGGGACTAGAGAGCTTAGTTTCAAAGTAGCCGAGCCTACATAGAGAGCCTAGTTGTCAAGTAGTCGAGGCTAGAGAGCCTAGTTTCGAAGTAGCCGAGACTAGAGAGCCTAGCGGTCAAGTAGACGAGCCTAGAGAGTCTAGCTGTCAAGTAGCGAAGCCTATAGAGCCTGCTTTTGAAGTAGCCGAGACTAGAGAGCTTAATTTAGAAGTAGCCGAGACTAGAGAGCCTAGTTGTCAAGTAGCCAAGCCTAGAGAGCGTGATTTTGAAGTAGCCGAGCCTAGTCAAGGACGCTCATCTACAAATTCCAGTAAATCTTACCTCGAACTTCAGCAGCGCTAAGATGAGTCTTCAAAAAGTTCATAAAATCCGGATTAATATCATGTCCACAATAGGCAATATTAACCAGCACCGCTAAACCCAACACCCGAATCATCATCTTCAAAAAGTTTTTGAATATATGTATTTTATCAAATTTTTTCTCAGTTTATATACCTCATCAAAAATTCATTTTTTTTGCCATGATCTGTGTTCTGATAATGGGCGGAGACTTCAGTATATAGTCTGATTTTGGGCAAAAGCGATAGTGATAATAAAAATGCCATTTTTCAAGGTGAAAACTGGTGGCGGGCGAGGTTGTTTTAATTTGCACTGGAATGCACGTAGCGGCGGGAGAAAGATAGAGACGAAAAATGGCATAAAAAGATACGTCTATCCAAAGTTCACATGCAAAAAGACTAATTTGATACTACCGTAGGACAATTTCATATTTTGAACCGGTTTGTTTTGATGATTTCTAACAGAAAAACTACGAAAACTGTGGAATTTTGAATATTTTCCGGCGAGACTTCATCAAAATTTGGTGCAGGTTAAACGTAGCATGCGTGTCCGAGTGGATAAGTGGATGGGTTGTCAATCTTTTGACCCAGGTTCGATGCCCCTTGCCCGCAGATTTTTTAAATTTATTTTTTGACCTCGAATTTCATTTCAAGTTATCCTAAATCTATCTTTTCATTTTTTTTTCTGCCACCTTTATTTCTATCATTTTAATCCTAAAACATGTTTTTCCTTTTGATTTTTATCGCAAGATCAGTTCCAATCACATAAGATCAAAAAATTACACAATGCCCGCCTAATTTGCATATAGTTTCATTCTCTTCGATGGTTTTCACTCTTTTTTATGAAGCGGTTTGAAGAAAAAAATTTATTGATAGTGAAAAAAAAGTTTGTAAATGATTTGAATCGTATTATTTGTAGTCTGGTGTGAGGAAGAATATCACATTGGCCTACAAATAATGTGTCAGTCACTTCCTGAGCTACCAGAAAAGCGTTAGTAACATCCTGAGCTACTAGAAAAGCGTCAGCAAGGTTGAGGGCTACTAGAAAAGCGTCAGTAACGTCCTGAGCTACTGGAATGGCGTCAGCATGGTTAAGAGCTACTGGAAAAGCGTCAGCCACCTTCAGAGCTACTAGAAAAGCGTCAGCCACCTCCTGAGCTACTGGAAAAGCGTCAGTAATATCCTGAGCTACTAGAAAAGCGTCAGCCACCACCTCTTGAGCTATCAGAAAAACGTCAGCTACCTCTTGAGTTACTAGAAAAGCGTCAGCCACCTCCTGAGCTTCTGAAAAAAGCGTCAGTAACATCCTGAGCTACTGAAAAACGTCAGCCATCTCCTGAGCTACTATAAAAGCGTCATATTAGACTACTGTAGTGTTTGTTGTGTGTAATTGTGCGTCGCGGTGTGGTTCCCCGCGCTTTTCAAACTTTTTGAATTTATTTGTTTTTTCGGCGAATTGAATTAATTTCGAGAAAATCAGGAAATGAAAGCTGGAAAATTGTAATTCCTGGTATACAAACTACAAACTTCATTTTCAAAAAACTAATCAAATTAACAATAATTTTTGTAGTTTGCCTGACTCCAACGAAACAATTCAAACATGTTTTTTTTATCTAGATACTATACAATTTCTAAATATAAATATAGTGGTGTTGATCTTTATGTTTCACAAATACAAATCCGATTTGATCTTCCGAACATCTGTAACAAAGTTTTTTCTTAACCTGTCAACTTTTCTTTAAATCATCATCGTTATCGTGTGGTTCATAGTATTTTTTTTACAATTAGTTGCAAGGATAATAATATAATTGTCACGATTTACGATCATGGAAAAGTTTACCAAGTTTTTTGGTTGATTCTTCTTCCAGCGGTATTATGATAGATGTATGTGTCATATCTGTTAGATCAGTGTGTGTATACTCAAATAAAAAATGATAAAATTAGAGAGTGTGTGTTGAAACTAGAAGACATAGATGTTTGTGTTGAGAATGAGGGATTGGTTTTTTTTAAGTTTCAATAAATATTGGTACTAAAACGTGAAATTTTCGGCAAAGGGTTTTTTTAAACAAAAAGGTTTTAAAAATGTACAAATTTTTGAAAAAGAGAAATAAGCCTAAGCCCAACATAAAAATTAAGTTTTCAAAGTTTTCCCAGCATTCAAAGCTCACAAGGAAACTTTTTTTTTCTCAACACTTCAAACCTCGATGAAATTTTGTCCATAGACAGCTTTTGGGGTCATAAGAACACCCTAAAAGTCTCCCAATGGTCCTCTGAGCCAAGTTTTGGGCTCTCAAAAGTCCAATTTTGCCCAAAAAAGTCAGGATAACTCAATTTTCGACGATTTTTTGGTAAAAAACTGATTATATGATGATCAGCGTGGTCGATTTACCCAAAAAGCATCAATAAATCGAATTTTCAGAAAAATTTTTGATTTTGGAAAAAAATGAGCAGCCACATATGAATTTTCGTGAATTTTCAACCGAAAAATAAAAAACTTCAAAATTTTTCGAAAAAATGTTTTTTGTTGATGTACTTTTAGTAAATCGACTACGCTGATCAATATCTGAAACTTTATTTCTGACACAAATCATTTTGAATTGAAGTTATGATGACTTTAATGACCATTTTTAGGCCTTTTTTGAGTTTTTGAGAGCCCAGAACTTGGCTCAGAGGTCCATTGGGAGACTAAATTTTTCAGGGTGTTCTTATGACCCCAAAAGCTGTCTCTGGACAGAATTTCATCATGATTTGAAAAGTTGAGTAAAAAAGGTTCCCTTGTTAGCTTTACTTAATTCATGTGTTAAAGGGGTTGTCCTGCTACAGGGAAACTTAGGCTTAATCGATAGAGCTAAGGTGCTCCTGAAACATTCCATATTTAATTTTGATTCTAGAGTGATTTTTCACCATTTTATCCATGTTTTTCTCAGGTTTTAACGTTTTAGTACATATAAAAAACATGTGTGCTCTTCACACACATAATTTATTTGTGTGTATTTCTCGCAAAATGCATTTCCTAACATTTTTAAACAATGGAAGGCGATTTTAATCAACTTTAGGCTTGCTAATAGTTAGTCCGAAAATGTGACGCACAATTGCGGACTTGATTTTTCATGTAGAAGGACACCCCCTTTAAGAAAATGGTTAAAAAATGAATAAAAATATCGTTCGTGAATCACTTTTTTTGGTTTTTTAACAAAAAAAAAACTTTTTTTCTGTTTCGTGAATCACTGCATCACCCATAATCCCGTTTCTGCAAAATATAGTGTTAAACTTGTGTTCCAATACTTTGATCCACACGACCAAAACTAATGAGATAAATGTATCTCAAAACATGAAGATTAAGATTAAACTATCAATTTTCCCACCACCCGGAAAAACACTATAATGAATGCGCAATGATACAAAGTCTTTGACCGACTAACATTCCGCGCAATCAACAAAAAAACAGGTATTAATTTCATCTTTAGCTTGCCTCAAAAACTGATCTTCTGGCTTGTATTATGTTACATACATAGATAGATATTTCCGTTCTATGAATGATAAAAAATAGAAAATGAATGAAGCTTGATAAGTTGTTGCACTTTTTCGCCAAAACCAGACTCTTCAAGGTTAAACGAAACACGGAAAAAAAAAAGAAAATGAGAAGAAATGAATACGAAATGATTTATTTGGACTGTAGGTAAACATTATGTAACATTTGGATATAAAGAATAAAGATCGAAGCATCATATATTCTACTGTAATAAATCATTCATGATTAATTTAGTTACAGTAACTTTTGACGGGAACGAAGCGGGCAAAAAAAGCAAAAAAAAAACTCGAAAAAACATCGCAGCGAGGCAAACGCGCTCTAGCGAACAAGAGGGATTTTTGAATTTTTTGTGTTTTTTTTCTTTAAAGCGCTTTTTTCAGCTTTTTCAAGGAAAAAATCAAGTTTCAGCAGAATTTCTTCACAAAAAATTGAAAAGGAGAAGATTCTCTACATTTTCAGCGTTTTTCTCGCAGGACAAAATCAAGGTGAGCAATTTTTTATATAAAATACATTAAAATGCCAAAAATTTCTCGGGTTTTCGTTGAAAAACGTGAAAACGTGACCTAGAAACACATTTCGTATATAAAAATCCGCAATCCTCAAAAACATTTCATTTTCTAATCGATTTCTATCTAAATTAATTAAAGTTCATATATTTTATTGCAAAAAAAATTGAGAAAAATGTCACATTATACAATCGAAAAGCCGAAATTATTCACAATTGTTCTATTCGGAATTTCCATTCTAACATCCATTTTCTACATTCTCTGTATTTCTCGCAAAAAATCCTTCAATCTTGCTCTTGCGAAACCGAAAAATCAAAAAGCGAATCTGAATTCACCAAAACGACGAAAAAAATCGAAGGATGATGGATTGGGTGAGATGTTGTATACAAAAAAGAGGACAACACTGGATGAATTTGAGGAACGACTTGTGAAACATCGAAAATATGTGGATAGAACTAGTGCTGAACATCTTTCGGATGCGAAAAGTGATAAATTCGAGAATCGCGGACCATTGAAAATTGATAAATATTCGACGGAGATTATGGTCAGCTCTTTTACTTTTCTTTTACTCTAAAATTTAAAATTTTTTTCAAAATTTAAAATTTCACAGACAAAACCATCGGAAGAAGAGGAGGTGAAATTAAAAAAGCAAAAAGAGATAATTTTCGACAAAGTGTTCTATGATCCGAGTGGAAATGAGCAATTTGAGATCGGAACATCGGTTGAGGAGATCGAGTCGATTCGAGAGGACAAAACACAATTGGAGACTGTGAATTGTCCGCCGGTGGTTAAGAATTTGACGAGTTCGAATGAAAAAGTTACGACAACTTCGGCTGAGAAATGATTTTTATTTGTTTTTTTTTCTAGGAAATGAATTTGTTAGTTTTTTTGAGAGGCGAGAAGGCTTGGCTGCTTGACGAAGAGATTTTCAAGGCGTGGCTGCTAGTCAAAGAGATTTTCAAGGCTTGGCCCCTTGTCAGATAGGTCCCTAAGGCATGGCTCCTATGGTTGAGAGCAGGCCTGATCGGAATCGGAATGTCGGAATTCCGAAATTCCGAAACCGACAGGTTTTTCGGAATGAGACAAACGTGTCTCGGAATCGGAATCTAATTTCTCGGAATCGGAATCATTCCGATGTTACTTCCGAAACTTTTTGGAATTTCGGAATGTGTTTCTCTTCCGAATTTCGGAATTTTTCTACCGAATTTCGGAATTTTTCGGAATGTTTGAGCTGAAATTAGTGAAAAATTCAACAAAAAAATGGAAAAATTGATGAATTTTACCTGTCATCTTCAAAAAATCTCTTTTTCTCTTGTGATTCTAGAATCAAAAGTTACATTTTTCGAGAATTCTCGAAAAATGTAACTTTTGAAGACATATTTTTAAAGTTTTATATCATTCCGAAACATTCCGAAAAATTCCGAAATTCCGAGGTAAAAATGTCGGAATGGAGGTTCGGAATTCGGAATTACGATCTGACCACTCGGAACGAGTGTGCTCATTCCGAACCTTCCGACAAGGTCCATTCCGATCAGGCCTGGTTGAGAGGTGTTCTAGGCGTGGCTTCTTGTCAGATAGGTGTTCAAGGCGCGGGTCCTTGTCAATGCGACCCTCAAGCGCGGCTGGTGGTCAGATAGGTGCTCAAGGCTTGGCTGCTAGTCAAAGAGATTTTCAAGGCTTGGCCCCTTGTCAGATAGGTGGTCAAGGTTTGGCTCCTTGTTAGAAAGGTCTTCAAGGCGTGGCTGCTTGTCAATGAGATCCTCAAGGCCTGGTTCCTTGTCAATGAGGTCCTCAAGGCTTGACCCTTGTCAGATAGGTGTTCAAGGCGTCGCTGCTAGTCAATTAGGTCCTCAAGGCGTGGCTTCTTGGCACATAGGTCTTCAAGGCTTGGCTCCTTGGAAGATGGGTCTTCAAGCTGTGGCTCCTTGTCAGATAGGTTTTCAAGGCGCAGCTTCTTGTCAGATAGCATTTGACAAGGCGTGGCTGCTAGTCACTTAGATCCTCAAGGCGTAGCTCCTTGTCAACGATATTTTCAAGGCACGGCTCCTTGGCAATGAGGTCCTCAAGGCGTCCATTCTTGTCATAGAGATTTTCTAGGCTTGGCTCTTTGTCAACGAGCTTTTCAAGGCCTGTCTGCTAGTCAAAGAAGTCTCCAAGGCTTGGCTACTTCGAAGATAGGTCTTCAAAGCTTGGCTTCTTGGCAGATACGTTCACAAGGCGCGGTTCCTTGTCAATGTGGTCCTCAAGGCGTGGCTGCTAGTCAATGAGATCCTTAAGGCTTGGCTCTTTGGCAGATAGGTGTTCAAGGCGTCGCTCCTTGTCAGATAGGTGTTCAAGGCCTGGCTGCTAGACAAAAAGAAATTTTCAAGGCTTGGCTCCTAGTCAATGAGGTCCTCAAGACGTGGCTCCTTGTCAGATAGGTCCTCAAGGCACGGTTTCTTGTCAATGAGCTTTTCAAGGCTTGGCTCCTTGTCGAAGAAATCCTCAAGGCGCGACTTCTTGTCAGAAGATTACGCAACTTGAAAATTATCCAGTAATTCCAGCTAGTCTAGGCTATCCTCCAAGATTATCATTCAAAACTTGTCCAACTACAATCTTCTTTGGTCTCACATGATCTCTATATCCTATAGTTCTTGTTTCATTGCTGGAATTAATCCAGAAGTCATCAATCACCGTCTTTCAAACTACAAATTATTCATTTTATTTTCTATTACAAAAAAAGCGCGCAGAAGAACAAAACACAAAGCATAAAATAAAATGAAATGAGAAAAAATCGGAAATCGAAAAAGATATTGATATGAAAATATTTTTAGAAGCCGACTAGAACCAGTTGAATTTTTGTGGTGATTTATGGTGATTTCAAAAAAAAATGTTGGATTTCAATTTCAATTTTGAAATTCAAATTCAGGAGCAGATGTTGAACTTGGCGGCATTTTTTCCTCTCTACCAGTTTTGCCCATCGATTTTTTGATCTCGTTGAACGGATTTTTACGGGAAAGCATGAGTTTTTTCGGAATTCTGCAAAAAAAAAATTTGAATTTGAGCTCTGAAACTGTTTCGAAATTTTTTTTTATCGAAAAAAACCGGTTTAAAGATCAGTTTTTGATCGCTGATACCGTAGTCATTGAGAAAATTTTTTTGTGTAAAAAAATAAATACGAAAAGCTGAAGCTTTTCAACTTCAAAACCTTTCTTAAAACTGTTAAGGTTAAAACTAAGGTTTTAATAACTTTGCCACGTCATAACTTCTCATAGAGAAAAACCCTAGTTAGCCTAAGTATTATCGAGAATCTCATACGCGCTCCACCGAAATAAACACGCAACGCAGACCGCGCCGCGCCACAACACACACACAAATAGGGGAAAGATTCAAATTCCCTCCCTTTTTTGTGTGTGTTGTGGCGCGACGCGGTCTGCGTTGCGTGTTCATTTCGGTGGAGCGCGTGGCTTCTAACCTTCTAGAAACGCCGCTGAAAGAAGTGGAATTCTGTCGAAGAAGTGACAATTGAAGAGATCCAGTCTCGAATTCAGTTTCAGTGTGGCTTTTTCCGTTTAGCTTATATTCAACAGCTCCGGTGAATGCGGAAGCCTTCTTTCCGCACGCAAAATATCCAACCATAACATCAGAAGTTGAGGCGATGTTGAAACTTCGGAAGGTGGATTCGTAGTTTTGTCTGGAATACTTTTTTTGAAGTTGATTTTCGCGTCGCCGTGTTTGCACACAACTGCGAGCTACAGTAGACTACCACACAATTTCACGACCATACAAGGCGCCCATTGAGTCAGACGCGAGACGACGAGAGTATTTTGCAAAAATATCCCGAAAATGAATTTCGCTTCAAGATATTTTCAATAAAACATGTGTTCCTTGAAACAAAATACGGTATTTTTTCAAAGGGACACGTATTTTCTCAAAAATATCTCGAAGCGATCTGTCTTTGATGACGTCAGACTCTCGTCGTCTCTCGTCTGACCCGAGGGGCAATTTTCTATCGTTAACAGGGCGCACATAGTTGCGTGGCCGAACTTTTCAAATTTCTAGGCCACATTCTTCATCTGAACTCACTGTGTATTAATTTCCTTCAAAAACTTCGAAAAACACGTCAAACCAGTGTCCAAATTACAAACATCAAACCATGGCAAAAAACAAAGTTGAGAACCCTGATTTGCTCCAGCTATCGAAACATAAGTATGAATTTTGGAAGTTAGCGGTGCTCCTAAATCCACAGTTGAGTTATCAATACATTTTCCACCAAGAATTGCTTTTCTGGCAATCGGGGAACCCATTGAATAACCCAACACGTCGATTTGAGTAGCGTTTGTATATTCGATTACGATTTCCATGAATCGACGGATCTAAAGAAAATTAGTTATCCTAACTTCAAATTTTGAGCAATGTTGCAACGCAAACAGTTTCCTTTTCACCGAAATCTACCCTCCGTTAGAAAAAACACATGTGGCCTAGAGGTTAGCATTTTTGCCTGCCGCCCACGAGACCAAGGTTCGAATCCCCTTGCCCGCAATTTTTTTTTTCAAAAACTCACATGCTGCACAAAAGCACACTGCATTTTAACATCAAGATTCAAACTTTCAGTACCTCGTCCCCAAGATGTTGCAAATCCCCGCTGAATCGGAAAACCATCGGCAACAAAATCACGGCGAACTTGCCATAAATCACCAGCCTGATTGTTCAAACCATGCACAAAAATCGCTGGTCGAACAGTCCCTGTGTAGATTCCACCTCCAAAACTTCCAGTCGTCAAATCATCTCGAACAATGTCTGGAAGAGAAGAGGCTTCGTGGGTGGTCTCTGGCCCCTGGAAACTCACTGGCAACTTCCTGAGCTGACAAATGCGCGTTCATCCAATTCATAAAATCTGGAGCAATATTATGACCACAGTTCACCATTTCGAAATTCAAAAACATCAAAAAAATCAGCAGTTTCATGTTCAGATTCACAAATAAAATCTGAAAATAAGAAATCAGAAATGTTTTTAAAGTACTATAGTGATTTGAGGCAAATTAAACACAAAAAGAGGATCCTGTGACATATACAAAAAATAATAATTACTTTTCATATTAGCTTTCTTCGATCGAGTTTTGGAGGAGAAAAACCGAGCGAATCAAATCAAATTGAACACTTTTGTTCTTCTTTATGATGGGATAGTTCAAAGAATTTTATGTCTGTTTTGGATCCAGACTTTTTTAATTAAAGACTATGGTGAATGAAGGAAATCGGACTTTTTTTCTAGAAAAATGAAGAATATTATGATCAGCATCAAACTACAGTATTTCTGAATGTTTTCTTTTTTTGGAAAATTGTGATCTACCTACAGTAATCTTGATATAAATGAGAAAACGCTTATGTTTCTATATTTCAAAATGAATGTAAAACTACAGTAACCCTGGAAATGTTTTGTTCAAAAAAGTCGTGATCTACTTAAAACTACAGAAATCCTTTTTCATTAGTGAAACATTTTTAAGTACAAAATTTCAATTTGCTACAGTAACCCTAACTTTTTAAGAACTGCAAATTAAAATTTTGTAAAAATGTTTTATTAATGAAAAATTTAAAAATGATCTACAGTAACCCTGAATTTTATCGGGAAAATGTGATATAGTTACAGTAATCCTTGATTTTTCAGGTAAAAATTGTGATCTACTTACAACTACAGTAACCCGACATAATGAATATTTTCCTAAATTTCAAAATCAATATAAAACTACAGTACTCCTGGAATTGTTTTTGTAAAAAAAATTCGTGATCTACTTATAACTACAGTAATCCTGAGATAAATGAAAAAATGCAAATTTTTCAAAACTCATATGAATCTACAGTAATCCTGGATTTTTCAGGTTAAAAATTGTGATCTACTTACAGCTACAGTAACCCCAGCATAAATGAAAACATGCAAAATTTTCAAAATTTAAAAATGAGTGTGAAACTACAGTAACCCTAATTTTTTAAAATTTAAATTTGATCTACCTACAGTAACCCTAGATTTTTTGTTCAAAAATCGTGCTCTCCTTACAACTACAGTAATCCTGACATAAATAAAAAGTAAATATTTTTCTAAAATTGAAAATGAGTGTGAAACTACAGTAACCGGATTTTTTCTCTGGAAAATTTTCAAATTTGACCTACCTAAAGCTACAGTAATCCTGAGATAATTAGAAAAATGAACATTTTTCAAAATCAATATGAAACTACAGTAACCCTGGCAAAATACTATGATGTGGCAATTTAAAAAAAAAAGATTTTCAGAATTTTTTCTCAAAATTTCCAGATTTTCTGAAAACCAATTTCAGCCAATTCAAAAAAGTTCAATTCTGAAACCTCAAAAAATTCCCCAACCTTTATATGTGTTCTTTTTTCGGTTTAAACTCGAAATTTGAATAAACCCCTTTTTTGAATAATGTTCAAACATCAAAAATCTGCTGTTTATTAATAAAAAATTCATATAAATTTCATCAAGAAAGGCACAAAAAATTCCACATTTCCGCGAACCGTAACAAATAAAAAGTGATCTACAAAAAAACAAAAGAACAATCCCAATAAAGCTTTAAAAACATCTGACCAGTTTTTTTTTCAGATTTTTGGGCAGATGTCAATTATTATACATGAAAAAGGTCAGGATAACATATAAATAAGTATTTTTTTTTTGAAAATACAATCAATTTTGATCGGATTGACTCAATCTTCGATATTTAACATTTCCATTTCTTCGAGATGACGTGGAACTTCGAGAAGATCTTCCTTCAAACATCAAGCCTGGAAAATATACGATTTTGTGGGTGAAAATTTAAAAAAAATTGTCAAAAAAATACATTTTTTCCCTATTTTTTGTGATATTTTTCATTTTTGTGTGAAAAAAATGTAAAAAAAATTTTTTTTTAATTTTTTCCCCTTGACAAACCTAGAAGCTTCTTCTTATTGTGCTGTAAAACATAAACAAATACGACCAAAAATGTGGCGACGAAAAAAAAGGACATGAATCCGATTCCCTCTTCGCTTTCATCGATTTGACCTTGCATCGGCTCGAATTCATGCTGAAAAAAAATTTATTTTATTTTTTTTTGAATTTTGGAAAGGGTTACATATGATTTTTATAAAGTTGAAAATTTAATTTTAATTAAAAATTCACATATTTTCATTGAATTTCGGTCATTTTTATGGGGTGATTCAAGTCGAAAAAAATAAGAAAAACAATTTTTTTGACAAAAAATTTCGATTCAGCAAATCTCACAAAACTATTTTTTTTCCTATTTTATTTTACATTTTTTTCACACAAAAATGAAACCAGCGAAAATATTTCAATGAAAAAAAATGTCAAAAAAATAGGAAAAAATAGTTTTTCTGAAATTTGCTGAATCGAAATTTTTTTTCGAAAATTTTTTTTTTAATTTCTGTGAATTTTATAAATTTAAAATTAAAATTGAAAATCCACTTATTTTCGTTTCTAAAATTTTTCTTTAGAAAATTTCCTGTCTCTGAGTTCAAATCTTCAAATTTCTGATAAGAAAATTTAAAAATTTGCTGAAGAATTTTTTTTTGTTTACTTTGAAAATCCAAATTTCGTTTCTAAATTTTTGCTTTAGAAAATTTCCTGTCTCTGATTTCAGAGTTGATAAAATCTTCAAATTTCCGATCAGAAAATTTCAAAAAAAAAATTTTTTTTATTTTCTGGTGGAAATATTAGAATCGTGAATTTTAAAATTTAAAATTAAAATTTAATTTTGAAAATCCACATATTTTCGTTTCTAAAATTTTTCTTCAGAAAATTAATCTTCAAATTTCCGATCAGAAATATTCCAAATTTGCTCGAGAAAAATTTATCTTCATTTTTTGGTGGAAAATTTAAAAATTTAAAATTGTTTACTTCGAAAATCGATAAAATTATAGAAAATTTCCAGTATAAAAATATATGAAATCCTCAAATTTCCGATAAGAAAATAGAAAAAAATTTTTTTTTGGTAAAAATATTAGAATCATGAATTTGAAAAATTTTAAATTGTTTACTTGGAAAATCCATAAAATTATAGAAAATTTCCAGTAAAAAATGTATGAAATCCTCAAATTTCCGATGAGAAAATTTCAAAATTTAATCGAGAAATTCTTTTTTTGATTTTTTGGTGGAAAATTTCCACTGGAAATATTAGAATCGTGCATTTCAAAAAATTCAAAATTAAAATTTAATTTTGAAAATCCACGTTTCTAAAATTTTGCTTCAGAAAATTTTCTGTTTATAAGTTCAGAGTTTAAAAAATCTTTAAATTTTCGATCAGAAAATTCAAAAAAAAAATTTTTTTTTTGATTTTTTGTTGAAATCGTGAATTTTAAAAATAGAAAATCCATAAATGTTTGTTTCTTCCACACAAACTACTTTTAAAAAATTATAGAAAATTTCAAAATTTCTCCCGAAAAAACCCCCACCTTAGCCCCAAGTCTATGCGGTCTAGCAATAGGTTGAGTGTCCAAATTCTGTTGCTCATCCGTCTCATCAACCGACGTCTCTTTCTTGATTTCTGCCGCAACAACAACACCAGCTGCTGGATTTCCGCGCGCTTCTTCAACAGCTTCGTGAAGTCCTTCGGCTCCAATTGGTTGCGATTCCCGATCTTCTTTGGCGGCTCCATCGGCTTCGTCTTTTGGTGGATCCGCTTGAACTGGTTTATCGACATTTGCATCGGGATCCTGGGAAAAGAAATGTTGGAAATGTTTTTTTTTTTGATTTTCAGAGCAAAATTTCTGAAATTTAGAAATTTTGTTATACATTTTCACAGCTTTGAAATCGGCATTTTTGAAAAATTTCGGGAACATTTTTTGATTTTTGAAATTAGCCCAACTCTTTCAACTTTCACTCTAGATTTTTGATAAAATATATATTTTCTAGTAGTTTTCGACACGCTGATCACGATTCTGTCGTCTAAAATTGCAAAACTCAACTCCTAACATGAGTTATGACGTGGCAAAAAATCGAGAAGCTCAGAATTCGCCTTTTCATGAAAATCTGTTCAAGAAGAACAACGCTAGATTTTCATGAAAATCATTCCCGATTTTTTTGCCACGTCATAGCTCATGTTAGAAGTTGAGTTCTGCAATTTCAGACAACGGAATCGTGATCAGCGGGTCGAAAACTACTAGAAAACATATATTTTATTTAAAATCTAGAGTGAAAATTGAAAAATTCCAATTTCAGAGCTGATTTCTTTGTATTTAACATCTTCCTAAAGCTATCACGCGCTCCACCGAAATAAACACGCAACGCAGACCGCGCCGCGCCACAACACACACAAAAGGGCGGGAATTTGAATCGTTCTCTTATTTGTGTGCGTTGTGACGCGACGCGGTCTGCGTTGCGTACCTCTTCTCCTTTTCCACCTTCAACCTCTTGTTTCGCTTCAAATTCCGGTGCCGCATTCTCCTTATTATCTTCATCAACAACATCTTCCGCATTCACCGCGTCTTTTCCGACTTCCGGAATTTTCGTTTCCGCATCGATTGATGTGGCAACCGTGGATCCCGCGCCATTCGTCGAATTTTCCGGGATTGGCGATGGTGTCTCCTCTTTTCCCGTCAATAATTCATCTTTTTTTTCTGGTTCAGCAGGTTTTGAGGGTGAAATTTCGAGCTGAAAATGAAAATTAGGTTTTCGAGAGCTGAAAATAAGGTGCAAATCTTACTGTCTCATTTTTCATTGTCAAAACCTCCGTGATATTCGTTGTAGTTAATAAACTCGGCGTGGTAGCTACAAAAAATCGATATTTATGGGAAATTTCAAAAAATAAACAATTCTAACCCTGTTTCGCAATCTCCACATTTTTCAACTCTTCAACTGGCGGTTTAACATCATCAACATCTTCCGGATTCACAGCTTCTTCTCCATCATCTTGTGACGTCACGAAATTCACCGAAACAATTAGAAATGTGCAACAAAAAAGCAGACTTTTCCTAACTATCATATTTCCTGCCTGTCTGCAAAAAAATGGGAAAAGTAGAGAAAAGCAGAGAAAAAGAAAGACGAATGGTTTTTTTATTGAACCAATTGAGGTCAGCGGCTGTTGTATTTGTAAAATACTTCTTATTATAACGTAATACGATGAAATAGTAAAAATATCTAGGGGAGAGGGAAAAAGAAAGAAAGAAACATATGTTGTTTACTTTTCAAGTGGACGTGGAAAAAAAAATAGTTTTTGAACAATAAATGACATTTTTAGGTTTTTTTTAGCAAGTTAGTTGAAATACTGGGTTTTAAGCTTAGTCATAGGAAGACAAACCGAATGATATAAATTTTCACGGCTTTACGTTATCCGTAAGTGATTTAACGACTAAACATCGCTAAATCACTTATGCTCGGGGAAAAAACCCGCAACAGTTGCTGAAAAGACAAGGGAAACGTGCGAGAGCGCAGAGAATTACAGACATCCATAACTCTCTGCGCACTCTCACGTTTACCTTGTCTTTTCGGCAACTGTTGCGGGAAAACCGGCAAAACTTGCGGGTTTTATCTCGAGCATAAGTCATATAGCGATGTTTAGTCGATAGACTCGCTAAGTCACTTATGGCTAACGTAAAATCATAAAAATCTATACCATTAGGTTCGTCTTAGACCTTTCTATCCTATGACTAACAAGGGACTTTACATTAGGGTCATAAATAACGGGTTTTGAAATAAGGTAAGTGCAGTATTAGGTAACTCGACGCGCTGATCACGATGCCGAAAAAATTAGATGCTGAGCTCCAAAGTTTGCTCAAAAACTCTCGATTTTCATATGAAATAAGTGAGTTTTGGATGGAATAAAAGTACCTTGGGCCGATTTAAACGTTGCGAATATTTCTTTTTGTCGAAAATTGGTGTTTGAAGTCCTATTTTCGACAAAAAATATTCGCAATGTTAAATTCGGCCCAAATAACCATAAGGTACTTTCATTCTATCCAAAACTCACTTATTTCATATGAAAATTGAGATTTTCTGAGCAAACTTTGGAGCTCAGCAGCTAATTTTTACAGCATCGTGATCAGCGCGTCAAGTTACCTAATCCTGACCTTACCTTATTTCAAACCCCCTTATCACCCTAAAGTAAGCTTAAAACCCCAAAATTTCATTCACTTGCTATTTAAAAAACATAAAAATGTCATTGAATTCATATTTTTTCGAAAAATATCGATTTATAAGTTTAATCCAACGATAAATTTATAATCGAGATAGAAATCGGATAAGCGAAACCGAAACCGATGCCAAAAACTTTTATTTAATAAAAAATTGCATTTATTTTTGTGAGTGTAATTATTCAACAGCGAAAAAAACATTAAAAAGGAGATTTTTATGGGAAATTTTAAAAATATTTGACAAGAGAGATTTTCGAAGAATATGATTAACGAGTAGAGGAGAGATTTTTACCATTTGAGGCAAAGTCTGCGATATAATTTCATATCATTCACCATCAAAGTGACACGTTTCGCGTGGGCCGAGAGAAGCGATGAATTTTCGAAGGTTTGCACGAGGAAACTTTCGGATGCTTCGTGGAGCGCTTCAACTGCTTCGCGGCGGATGCGAAAATCACCATCTCGCGTTTCATTGTTCAATGTTTCGACGATAAGGCGGCGGAGTGGAGCCTGGAATTAATTCATTTAAAAAAATCAGTGTTTTGAAATAAATTCAATTCACGAAATAAAAAAAAACGTTTTTTTAACGTTAAAAAACCAAAAAAGTGATTCACGAACGGTGTTTTTATTCATTTTTTAATCATTTTCTCAACACATTGAATAAAGTGAAGCTAAAACGCATTTTAGTGTCTAGAAATGCTATTTCAAGACCTTTCTAATTCTAATGAGCCTAAAAGACAAATCAAGCCTCACATCTCCCAAAAAAATGAAATTGTTGATTTTCGAAAATCGTCAATTTCCTTTTTTAGGATATGTGAGGCTTGATTTGTCTTTTAGAATGATTAGAAGATCTTGAAATAACATTTCCGGACACTAAAATGCGTTTCAGCTTCACTTTATTCATGTGTTGAGAAAATGATTAAAAAATGAATAAAAACACCGTTCGTGAATCACTTTTTTGGTTTTTTAACGTTAAAAAAACGTTTTTTTTTATTTCGTGAGTCACTGCATTCAAAAAAACCTTCTGAACAAGGAGATTTGTCGATGCCTGAAGTTGACGAATCTCTCGCAACGCTTTTTGTCCAGGCTTGATTTTTTTGAAGCGATTCTTCGACACTCGATTCTTTCCCAACTTCATTCTTGGTCGCTGCTCTCTTCTTTGAATTGAATCATCGTGCATTCTGGAGTTGCTTTGATTTCTAGAAAATGTTGGCGCATTATCATCTGAATCCTCTTCATTACTACTATATGATTCTTCTCTCTGGCGAGTTGGTGGATGTTGGTGATGACTTCTGAAGCGAGAGCTCTGATCGACGTATGTGATTTCATCAATGTCTTGAGAGTTTTGCCGACGCAAAGTCTCATATTCTTCTCGTTCAACTCTTTCTCGAACTCGGGAAACTAGAACGTCCACTCGGTTTTTGCATCTATAAGAAATATATCGATTTTTTTTTTAAAAATCTGATGTTGAACTCACTTTTCGTGCAAAACTTTCAAAATTTCTATATCATTTCTACGCTCTGGCGTAACTTCTCCTCTATCATATAAATATTGCTCATATTCCAGCCTTCGTCGAATATCATCGATTCTTTGATAAAGAAAATCCGAATCTTGCATGGCTCCCGGGGTTCTGAGACTGTCTCGAACACTTTTCAATGTTGGGATATTGTTCATTGACGAGTTTTGCCCATGAAGTTCTCGTAGTGGATGTCTTCTTGTGGGAGATTCGTGTATTTCCTCGATTATCGGACCATTATAATGCTCCTGGGCCATCATTCTGGCTGAAAGTTTACAAATAAAGGTTTTGAAAATTCTAATTCGCGAAAAAAATGATCTGAAAAGCCCCCTTTTTTCTCTGAAAAAGGGAAAACAGAAAAAAATAAATTCAAATTTTCGCTCAAAAAGTTTAAAGGCACACATGGTGGAGTTCGAAATCGCTACGAGACCTGTTTTCTACAGTAAACGGCTCGATTTTTACTTTTATTTTTTCGTGTTTTCTTTTGAGTTTTTGACGAAGAAATGGGGTTTCCTGGTTCATATGAGATACATAAAAAAGTTCACGTGACTATTGGTTCTTTGGGAAATACGTGAACTTGTCTGTTTAGAAACAACAAAAGCGTTAAAACAAAGAAACATGTTTTTTTCGCAGAAACAAAAATTCAAAATAACGCCAGTTTGCGATAGAGCGCACATGCTTCCGTTTGTGTAGTTTTGCGTCGCGGTGTTAGCACACTTTCGGGTTTTTCTTTTTTTTTCTCTCGACTTTTTTTGAAGGCTCTCCCAACAGTTTTTGTGAAGTTTCATGGGAAGGAACACAGTTAATAATACTCACAAAATGTTCCTGCGGATTCTTACCGTTCTTCTATTCATTAAATTTTTTCAACATCAAAAATTCTCAATTTTCAGTTATGTTGGCATCAACAAGTGTGTCAAAAGCATCAAACTTGGCGCGAATAGTAATATTACCAATACGCTCATTCCACGATCGAAGTTCTGTTCCACGAGTCGTCGATGATCGTGAAAAATCGTCAGCAAAATATACCGATGCCGGCTACAACTTCAGATATCATCAAAACGGTGTCGACGCGCTTCCAAGAATTCCCGATTGTAAGGTTCCTGTAGCAAGACCAGATTTCAAAGTTCGTGAACCATGGAGTGTTGAAAATGCGAGATTCGGGCAAAATGATTATATCGATTTGCTCGGCGATGGTTCAATTCATCCGGCTCAACTTCAATATCATACACCAACTTGGTTGAGAGGATTTCCAGGTTTGTTTTGATTTTTTTTTGAATTTTGCGTTTTAACAACACTTTTCGATACAGGTCAACATCGCGCAAACGAACTCGTCAAACTCATTCACTATCGAAATCTTTATGACTCGAAACTCAAACAAAATTCACCAAAAAGATGGCATGAACTACGAAAACGTATCAAATATTTGATGATGCAGCACAATTATAATAAGCAAGATGAATTGAATCGTGAAAGAGATCTTGGATTATGGGATGAGAAACCAGACTATACATTTAAAGATAAATCAAGAAGATCATTCCGGGATGAGATTCCATGAAGAAAATGTTTTTCTTTGTTCTAGACTTTAGGCTCATTGTTGATTTTTTTTTCTCTTTCATAAAAATTTTGTATTTTTTGTTATTTTCACAATTTTTTTTGAATTTGTCGTAATACAAATTACTTTATTTTTCACTTTAACATAATTATCATGAAAGTAAGTCGAATAAATGTTGTAAATCTCCAAATATTTGTGGAGTATAATCTCGACATCGAGTAAGTTCCACATCATCCTCATCGTCCTGGAAAATGAGCTCCGGGGTTAGTTTTTCAGCCAGTTTTCAGGTTTTTTAAGCAAATCAGTTGAAATATTGTGTTCTAATGTTATTCATATGATAGGATGGTCTAAGACGAACAGAATGATATAAATTTTGATGATTTAACGTTATCCATAAGTGATTTAGCGAGGTTTAGTCGATATTTAGGCGATAAGCCGCTAAATCACTTACGGCTAACGTAAAATCTATATCATTCTGTTCGTCTTAGACCATTCTATCATATGAATAACATTAGAACACAATATTTCAACTCATTTGCTTAAAAAACCTGAAAATGTCAGTTCTGACTCACTTTTGGAAGTGGTTTCTCCTTATTATCACTACGCATTGGTTCTTTCGACTCAGCACTTGGCTCGTTTTGTGGTGTTTGAGGTGTTTCAATTGGCGTGTTAGCAACAACTGGTGTTGTTGCTGTTGGCGTATTGTTTTGTGTCAAAACTGGCACTGGTTGAGGTCTACTAATTTTGCTCTTCGTTTTTCGTCCACCTCGTCGTCCTCTTTTCTTCTTTTCCTTCTTTTTCTGAATATTTTTCGGTTTTTTTTCTTATTTTTTGGTAAATTTCTAAGTATTTCCACTTACGCAACATGTCGGAAATATCAAAAATGTTACTGTTACGATGTAAATCGTTAGAACCAATGTGAAATATTCTGCAAAATATACAAAGTTTTGTGTCAATCTATCTATCTCTAACCGGATTTGTATTCATATCTATATTTTTATTTATTATAAATAGACGCGGTCGCGTAGCAGTCGGCGTTGTTTATACTTTTGGGGGCTCTTTTTAGCACTGTCTATTATCTGTTTATACTGATTGATCTATAGATTAGTGTAGATAGGTTGAGAGAGCTCCAGAGAAAGAGACATTTTGAAAGAATCTGTGGAATATTGCGAAAGGTGTTTGAAAAAAAAACTATGTAGAATTGATTTTTAACCAAACTTTGTGAAAAATCTAATTCAAGCAGGTAAATCAAGAGAGACCCAGAGAAAACGAGAAAAATCTTTAAAAAAAATAAAAAAAATCCAAACTAGAATTTTTTTTAAAAATTTGATCTATCGTTTCGAAACCAAGCGCGGGAAACGTTTTTGAAAAACATGTTTCCCGCGCTTGGTCTCGCAACGAAGAGCCGGACTGCAAATCGATTTGGTGTTTCGTATTTTGATTTTCTCTCTCAACTTGCAATTTTCCCTATTTGTGAAAGGCCGTGGCACTTTTCAGTAAGAATTGGACTGAATCGGGCCACAAAATATTCCGATTTAGTTACTCAAACCTGTCCGCTTCAGAATTGTTCGCAAGAAATCGGACTTTGCATGATTCCTATTAGAAATTTGGTCATCCAGGTCTCATGTCAGATATTGTCAAACCGAAAATAAAAGAACCCCAGTTTGAATTGGCGCTCACGCACAGTAGACTAATAATGACGTGACACATGCACATCAAACTGGTTTGCAAATAGCCAGCGTGTAAATTTCTCATTTTATTTTTCAAATTGACTCCAATTTGTAGTCTCCAAATTTTCGCGAAGTCTACTGTATTTTGGTTTTCTAGGTCATCTCGGTTCTCTTCCAAGGTTCTTATTTTTTCGGATTGATAATATCCTCTCAGAATCGGATTATCCTTTTTCGATCTTTTCTAGCATGATACAATTATCCCTGTTTCCACCAAGTTTCATTAGAAATTAATTGGTTTCGAGACTCTAAACATCTGTCGCTACAAATTTTTCCCCGAAACTATGAAATGTCTATTTTTTCTATGTGAATACCCTCTAATGCACATTTCCCACTACAAGAGCCTATATCTATTCAAATAGATATGTCAAGGTTATATCAACTTTGACCCCGCGTCATTTACAGTATCTCCCAACTCCCAAGTCTAGATTCTCTTCTTTTTCGTCAAGCTCACCTAGCATTCTCTATTACCGCAAAAATCAAAAATAACCCATCTACTTTATTTTTTTCTTCCGTATTCATTCATTTTTGGAAAATTCCACGTGACCCACATTCTCTCGGCCTTGCCACAAAACAACAGAAAACGGCTTGGTGTTGTCTGCGTCTCTCACGACTTGCCCCGTTCTATCGTCCGAAGCCCCGCCCATTTTATGGTGTGTTGTGGGGGGAAGAAGAGAAAACATATATTCATTCATTCATTCGTCTTTGCTCGCTGTCTTCTTCTTTTTTTTGACTTCTTCTTCTAGTTGCTATTCCACCGAATAAGTTTTTCTAGAGAATGGACAATTCTAACTTGCCACTGATCGGAAACGGTTTGCCCTACTGCGCTGTGACCGCCGAGATTTACGTTCGTCGCAAACTCATCAAAACCGCTAGACTCGCTCCATCTCTCAATGGGTGTATTAACGAAGTGATTGCTCATATGAGAAATGTGGAGAAGATTGAGGTTGCCGATTTGGCGCTCTATGTGATTACCAGCATTGATTCGGCTGAAGTTGAAGTCACCTCTGCCGCAGAGTTCTTTCATCGATGCATGAGTTCGTATCATTGTGGAAATGGTCTTGTCAAAGTCTATTTTATGGAGAGACAAAAACAGCAACCGAAGACATTGGAAGTTATTCCAATGGGCTGGACAAGGTACTTGTTTATTTTCATTATATATTTGTCCTGGCATCATCACATGTTTTGCCCACTTTCTTTCTCTCGCCTCCATCTCTAAATCTCTTCGTCTCCCATAGTATTTCCCCAGTTGTCTCCCCTTTTCCTATGTTGCAATAGCATGGGTGCAGAATATTGATTGGTCAGCCAGTCAGTCAGTCAGCTGAGCGACGAGAGATGTTGTAGACTTAGAGATGCAGAGTATCCCTTACTTTTAGTTTAATTATTATACTATTTCATAGGAGTAGTAATCCTCTTTATCGCCTAGGAAACCTGCTAGATACAATGTAGCCCATACTAGTCAGATTTGGGGACTAGGAAAGTTATGACGTGGCATAGTCATCATTCTGATTTTTCGCCACGTCACAGTTATGACTCATGTTAGCTCACATTTTCTTGAATATCGTGATTTTTGAGTGCTGTAACGTTTACAAGCTTTGTTAAGCCAGAAAGTGTACGGTACTCAAAAAATCAGAAGTGCCACGTCATAACTTGTTCTTCTTGTTGATAAAGTATCACTTTTCACGGCCTCTTATCGAGAGAGACACAGAGAAAAACACGAAATTCACAAATAATTTGATCTATCGTTGCGAAACCAAACGCGGGAAACGTTTTTGAATTTGAAAAAGTTTCCCGCGCTTGGTCTCGAAACGAGGAGTCGAACTGCAAATGGATTTGGTGTTTTTTTCTCTGCGTCTCTCTCAACCTGCAATTCTTCCTATTTTTGAAAGGCCAAACTTGTGTCGAAGTGAAAAAAAAAACTATTGTTCGTCAGTCGCGTGCGGCTGTGCGTCGCGGTTTTTCCTTTAGTGTCCCAACCGCGACGCACAGCCGCACGCACCTGACGAAGTAATGCTTTTTCATTCATTCAATTCTGCACTGGTTTTTGTTTGTTATGGCGGCCAGATTTTTCAACTTTGACAATACTAAAAAAATCAAAAGTGCCACGTCATAACTTGTTTTTCCTGTTGATATTGTCGAAGTTGAAAACATTAGTTCGTCAGTCGCGTGCGGCTCTGCGTCGCGGTCGGGGGAAACAATCAATAATTCACTCTGTCGTTCCCCCGACCGCGACGCACAGCCGCGCGCGACTGACGAACCAATGTTTTATTGATTTTTAGCAGCCTCTAGAACCTCGTTCATTATTTCGCAATATTCTTTCTTTCTTCTCAAAAAAAATTAAAAAATCATCAATTTTTCCAGCCAAAGACAAAGCGAAGATCAAAAAATGGAACAACTCCAAGAAGCCACCATCGAAGAAACCAAAAAAGCGCTTCAAATTCTCTCGAAACAAACCATCACCAACATTCGAAAACAATCGGAAGTCATCAGGCAATCGCTTGCTGACGCGAAAGAAGATTACGAATTTGTGATTCGTGGATATCAACAACAACTTGAGGAATATCAACAGAAATTGAGCAAATCTACTGTTGCTCTTAAGGCAAACCCTGTTGGTGGGCTCAAAAAAGGCTATGCTCATTCGGCGACTTGTGATGAATGTGATGATTCCATCACAGGACGTCGCTTCAAATGTCTGGTCTGCCCGGATTATGATTTGTGTTCAAAATGTGAGGCGGAAGGTTTACATTCACATCATGCTTTGCTTCGAACAACTCATCCACGTGAAACTATTGTTCCAATTTATGTTCGCGAAGGAATGGCGAAGATTCGCAAGGAACTTCGATGCCCTCGCGTCCCATCCCCAGATTTTACTCGATCTTCTTCCCGAAAAATCAAACATTCCACTATTCCACGTGTTGATCAATTGAAAACCCCGAAACTCTTTGCGCCTAATGAAATGTTGGCGAAATTGCAATTGGCAGAGAAAGCTTTGGAAAATTATCGTGTGCAGAAGTTGGAAGAGCAAAAGCAAAAGAGTTTTGAGCAACAATTGGTGACGTTGAAAGAAACTTGTTTGAGAAGTTTGAAGGCTCCGTTGGTAGAGGTGAAAACGTGAGTTAAGCATTCAAAAAAAAAATTCAAAAAAAAACCTGATAATTTCAGCGCTGCTAATCCGATCAATGATATCAACATGGCTGCACTTACAAAAGCTGTTGAGCAAATTTCGGTAGATCATAAAATTCTTCATGACGCACTTGTTGTCAAAAAGGCCGATGTTCCGAAGAAAATTGAAGTTGAGGATGGAGATGAATCCGACTCGTCTAGTATTATTAGCTTGGAGTGAGTTTTTGTTTAGAAGATCTAGGAGATCTAGAAGATCTTTGAAGATCTAGAAGATCTAGAAGTTGTGAGTTCAGCTAACTTTTTTTTACTCAAGACTTCAAAACTTGGTGAAATTTTGTCCATAGACAGCTTTTGACCCAAAAAATTTTAGGACCTCTGAGAATGAAATGTTGGCGAAAGTGCAATTGGCTGAAAAGGCTTTGGAAAATTATCGTGTTGCGAAGTTGGAAGAGCAAAAGCAAAAGAGTTTTGAGCAACAATTGGTCACGTTGAAAGAAACTTGTTTGAGAAGTTTGAAGGCTCCGCTGGTAGAGGTGAAAACGTGAGTTAAGCATTCAAAAAAAATTCAAAAAAAAAACTGATAATTTCAGCGCTGCCAATCCAATCAATGATATCAACATGGCTTCACTTACAAAAGCTGTTGAACAAATTTCGGTAGATCATAAAATTCTTCATGACGCACTTGTCAAAAAGGCCGAAGTTCCGAAGAAAATTGAAGTTGAGGATGGAGATGAATCCGACTCGTCTAGTATTATTAGCTTGGAGTAAGTTTTTGGCTAGAAGATCTAGAAGATCTAGAAGGTCTAGAAGGTCTTCTAGATCTAGAAGATCTTGAAGATTATTGGATCTTTGAAGATCTAGTAGATCTTTGAAGATCTTTGAAGGTCTAGAAGATCTTTGAAGATCTAGAAGATCTAGAAGATCTTTGAAGATCTAGGAGATCTAGAAGATCTTTGAAGATCTAGAAGATCTAGAAGATCTAGAAGTTGTGAGTTCAGCTAACTTTTTTTTACTCAAGACTTCAAAACTTGGTGAAATTTTGTCCATAGACAGCTTTTGACCCTAAAATTTGAGGACCTCTGAGCCAAGTTCTGAGCTCTAAAAAGTTCAAAATTGCTCCATTTCAAAATAATTTTTGTAAGAAATAAAGCTTCAGAATTTTTAAATTTTAAACGAAAAATAAAAAAACAAAAAAATTTTTTGAAATCGACTATGCTGAAAAATATTTGAAGCTTTATTTCTTTAAAAAACAATTTTTTTTTTGAAATGGAGCCAATTTTGAAAATTTTTGAACTTTTGAGAGCTCAGAACTTGGCTTCAACTAAAATTTAACAAATTAATTTAAAAAACAATAATTTAAATTAAATTAATTTAACAAATTAAAATTTACAAATTGGCTTTAACTAAAATTTAAAATTTAAGGGTGACTAAAATTTTCTAGGGTGTTCTTATGACCCCAAAAGCTGTCTATGGACAAAATTTCATCAAGATTTGAAGTGTTGAGTAAAAAAGGGTTCCCTAGTTAGCTAGAAATTCTGGAGAATCTGGGAATTATCTAGAAATTTCAGAGAATCTGGAAATTCTGAAGAATCTGAAAATCTAGAAATTATCTGGAAATCTGGGAATTCTGGAAATTCTAGAGAATCTGGAAATTCTGGAGAATCTGGAAATTATCTAGAAATTATCTAGAAAATTCAAAATGATCAAAACAATTTTTTCCAGCTCGATCGAAGATTTCGAAGACGATGAAATCGAAGAATCCCGTCAAGTTCTACCCGAACCCATCTCCACCGCCATCGAACCAACCGACGAGGAAGAAGGCTTGCACACCGCAGTCGCACCAACCCCAGAACCAGCTCAATTTCAAGAAGCAGATGGCACCAAAACCGCACTTCCCCTTGGAGCTGATGAAGATGGTTGTATGACTGCAGTTGCGCCAACTCCAGAACCAGTGGCTTTGGAGAATCGCATCGCCAATTATCCAGTTGTTCCAGTGTTCACTCAAGGTCAAGCGATTCGCCTTCCGATTGCGCACGTTCAAACCGCTTCAGCTGATGCGGTAAGAGAAATTGTGTTGTCTGTTGTGTTTACGCGTAGAAACGCCATCTAAAACTGCTTTTTTCTCACTAACCTTGTATTTTTTTTCCATTTTTTGTTGCTAAAAACCTCCTCCGACACTAACTTCAATTTGTACAGTTCCCGATACACCCCAAAAAATGCCCAAAACTCTCAGAAAATAATTAATTTGTACAGCCCCGACACCCAAAATCCTCTGACTATAATTCGAATTTTTGTACAGGCCCGATACCCAAAGTCTTTCCCTTGCCCCCAAAAATCTTCTAAAAAAATCCAAAAAAAAATCTGATGCTAATGATTAAATTTGTACAGGCCCGATACCCTAACCCCCCCTTTAATTAAAAAAAAAATTCAAAAAATTTCCAAAAAAAAATTAAATTCAAGATTCAAGAAATGCAAATTGTACAGACCCGATACACTTTTTTCCCCCATTTTTTTGTATTTTTCTCTTAAATTTACCTTGTTGCTTACCGTAGTTTTCGTTGTAGTTTTGTTCACAAAAAAATTAGATTCATTCCAAAAAAAATCCAATTTTTAAAGGTACATGTGTAGGACCTTTGAAAAACCAAAAAAATTTTCATTTTTCAAAAAAAAATCTCTGACGAACCATTTATAATTGTACAGGCCCGATACACTTTTTCAAATTTATTGCCCCAATTTTTTTTCATATTTTTTTTCTTGTGTTATTTTGTTGCGCCCCTTCTTCTCTGCTTGAATAAAGTTCCCCCAACCCCCCAAATTCTGAATTTTTAAGGAAAAATTTGTCCCAAAAATCCAAAAAAGTTGTTGAAATTCTGAAAATTTTTTGAAAATTCCTATTTCAGCTCATGATCAGCGAAAAAAAATCGATAAAAATCGCGTTTTGAAGCTTGAGTGGTCCTTTTTTCAATTTTTTGGAGTGAAGTTATGAAATTTTGAATTTAAGATGTGAAAAATGAGGAAAATTTAAAAATTGGACGAAAAATTCAAAAAAAAATCAGTCTGGGATCATTCCGACGTAATTTTTGGTCAAAAATTGATTTTAAAACTTTACTGATTTTTTTTTCATCGTCGATTTTACAAAAAAAAACTTTAAATTTAAATTTAAATAAAAAATTGACGAAAAATTCGAAAAAAAATCAGAAAAATTTTAAAATTAATTTTTGACAAAAAAATGACGTCGGAATGATCCCAGACTGATTTTTTTTTTGAATTTTTTGTCAATTTTTAAATTTTTCTTATTTTTCATGCCTCAAATTCAAACTTTGATAACTCCACTCCAAAACAATTGAAAAGAGGACCACTCAAGCTTCAAAATGCAATTTTTATCGATTTTTTTTGTTGAGTTTGAGCTGAGTTAGGAATTTTTGAAATTACGATGTTTTTTTTTGATTTTTTGAAAAATTTTCAGAATTTTCAAGAAATTTTTCTTACAAAATCCCATAAAATCAAAAATTCCTTGTCAGTTTTACATGAAAAAAAAAAAGAAATTTTGATTTTTTGCAGACAGCTTCGGCTCTTCTCGAAATGGGATTCTCGTTCACCGAAATCCAAAAGGCTTTGAGTAGTTGTGGAGTCGGCGTTGAGAAATGTGTTCAATTTATTCTCCACAAAGGCTTCTAAATATTTTTGTCTCGTGTTTTTTACATACATTTTTGAAAAATAATCCCAAAAAAAACATATTTATCCCTATATTTACTCACTCTCCTTTAAATTTTGTACACTTTTTAAATTGATAATAAAAATATTTTGTACACACAAAAAAAAACATTTTCATTTCATTTCATAATGAGATCAATTAGCAAAATTTTTGCAGAAAAAAATAAATTCGGATAGGAAAGACTGGAAAATGTATTTTTTCAGAGAGAGACAGAAATTTTTGTGTGCAAAAAAATTTTGAAAAAAAAAATGAGCAAACCCGAATTTTTTGAATGATTAGGGAGGGAACAGAAAATAACTTAAAACTAGCTGAATTTAGAAAAAAAAAGAGAGAAATTTAGCAGAGTCCCATTGATTTGAGATTTTTGGCAATTATCATATCGAGACAGGCGTCCAAGACGAATTGCACGTTGTTTGTGTCGGTGGCACACGTGTGATGGCAATAGATTTCGCGTTGAGAGGATCTGAAAGGGATTTTGAAAGTTAGGGAGGTGAATTTTTGGATCTTAAAGTTTTACACGAGTTTTGTGCTGAAAATTCGAAAAATTTTGATTCTAAAGATAGATTTTCATACCAAAAATTTAAAAATTAATAAAAAGATCGAGAAAAATCGCAGAAAGTTCAGATAACTCAAGTAGAGCTTTCTGTAACCTGGGATTTTTTTTCAGAAGCCCGGGAAACATTCTAGACGAATCTCTAGATGTTTTAGAATCCTGGAAAGAATTCTAGAAGGTCTAGATGGATCACTAGATTTTTCAGAAGCCCCGGAAACATTGATTTTTTGGAAAAAATGTGAACCAGATTTTGATTGGCCTTGAAAATTAGAGCTGGAAAATTTTAGATCTTGAAATTTTCTTGAGAAAAAAATTATGCCGAATTTTTTTTTCAAAATTTTTTTTACGAATTTTGTGCTCAAATTTTTTGGATTTTCAAGTGAATTTCTAAAAATTCCTGGGATCTTGAGAAAGTTCCAAAAGTTCTAGATAAATCCCCTGATTTTTCAGAATCCTGGGAAGAATTCCAGAAATTCTAGAAGGTTCACTAGATCTTTTAGAATTCCGGGAAGAACTTTCGAAATACCTGGGTGGATCTCTGAATTTTTCCAGAAGCCCTGGAACCAACTCTACTGACTTTCAGAGTCTAATCATAATCCAGAAGGCTTCTCCTGATTTCTTAAGAAGTTTTAGAATTTTTCTGGAATGTCTAGATGACTCCCTAGATTTTCAGGATCATCTAGAAATTTCCGGAAAGTTCAGAGTACATTTCATTTCTTCAATTAGTCATGGAAACCCCTCATTGGCCAAATTTATGTTTTTTATGGGAAAAATATGATTCATAACTAGATTTTACATTAGACAGAACATAACATTGAAATTCTCACGTCATTTTAAAGGTGAAGTCTGATCGTGAGCAAAAAATAAGTTATGCTAATTTGAAAGAGCCTGTTAGAAGCTTCTCGAACTTTAATTAAAATATTGTAGATTTCGAACAAGTACTGTAGTTTGGATTTAAAGTTTCAGAAGCTTCCAGAAATTCGAGGGATGTACTAATTAAAACATGCTCTTTCAAATGAGCACTTTTAAATTTTCTAGCCCAAATCAAAAACCCACCGATTCAATTGTTCAAACTTCCACTGAATATAATTAATACATTCCGTTTGATTCTGTTGTCCTTTATATTCTGGGAAACAAACAGTCAACGGAGATCTGACGATTTTCTCAGCGAATAGATCTTTCTTATTCAAAAATAGGATGAAATGAATGTCAGCAAACCAGGGACTGTTGCAAATTGAATCGAAAAGTTTCAACGATTCTTGCATTCGGTTCTGAAAATATTTTTTGGAATTTGTTTGATTTTGTCTTAAAGGCAGCCCCTCGGGTCAGACATCGCTTCGAGATATTTTTGAGAAAATCTGTGTGCCTTTGAAAAAATACCGTATTTTGTTTCAAGGAACACATGTTTTATTGAAAATATCTCGAAGCGAAATTCATTTTCGGCATATTTTTGTAAAATACTCTCGTCGTCTCGCGTCTGACTCAATGGGCGCCTCGCACTTTTGCACAGGAATATTTGAAGTTTCAAAAGTCAGCGGCTTCGTGGGTGGTCTCCGTCTAAAATAAATAAACACATACCGTGCAATTATCCTCTCTCAAAGTTTGATCATATTCTGAAAGCGATGAGATGAAAATGATGGCGTTGACGTTGTCGAAACAATGAATCCATTTTTTCCGCTCCGATCTTTGACCACCAACATCAATCACCCTGAAGGTTAGACCCTTCAACTCGAAGAGAACTTCAGTGATGCCGGTGGTTTTGATGCGAGTTCGAAGAAGATCTTGTTCACTTGGCACGTAATTTTTGCCGGATAATCGGGGAAGATTGTCAAGGAAACTGGAAAAATCATGGATTAGATCTAGAAAATCAAGTTGTACTAACTATTTTGCGGAATCATCAATCTGATATTCATTGGATCGTCTATAACACTCTCGAACTCCAGAATCATGCCATAATCTTGTCATTGCGGCCGCCAATTCTTCGGTTAACTCTTCTTTGTTGGCGTGAACGGTGGCGAAGACCATTTGGGAATCTTTCTGCGAAAAAATTATTTTTTTTTGGACTTCTGAATTTAGCTTTCACTTAAAATGAGCTCTAGAAAATCAAGTTTCAAAAATCAATCAACACCTGGAAGTACAGTAACCCGAGATATCTAATTATTCTCTTTTTTTTCAATTTAACCGCTCAAATTGCTCATAAAATCCCAAGCAGCACATGACGCCAAAAAATAAAAAAATTCGCGGGCAATAGGATTCGAACCCTGGTCTAATGCACGCCAGGCAAAAATGCTATCCACTAGGCCACGTCTCCCTTTTTTTCATAAGGGGAAAATGTTGGTGAAAAGGAAACTGTTTCTGTTTTTTTGCGTTGCTCAAAATTTGAAGTTAGGATAACTTAGATTTTAGAAACCACAAATCATCCAGAAGAAATCAAAGTTCAAAAATCAACACCTGGGGTTTTTTCGAACACCGTATTCCAATCATTAATTATCTCGCCAGATGTTTGAATTTCAAGTCTCAAATTAGTCTGAACGGAAAAATGACGCCATAGAAGACTAGACTATAGTTTTACACATCTAATTTGCAACCAAACTAACCACTCGATCCGCTTCTCCATACTCAATTTGCAAATGAAACATTGCTCTCAAAATCGACAACATACTGTGAATACAATTCGAGTAGACAACCGGTCGAATCATCTCCAAATCCTGTTGTGAAAATCCGTCTTTGTGCAAAATGCGCATCTGCTTCAGAATTGTACTTTTTCCACTCTCACCGGCGCCTGCAAAAATATATCAAACATTTGCATGTGAAGAAATAAGTGAGCGCGTGGCCGAGTGGTAACACGCTCGACTTTGAAATTTTTGGTCTTGGGTTCGATCCCGCTCCGAGGCAAACTTTTTTTTTTTTTTGAAAATGCAAAACTTGTTAGTATGTATATTAATTGGATGACATGAGAGAGTAGAGAAAAATAATTTTTGATGCTCTTCTCCACTTTTTTGTCGACGTCATTCAGATGACTCAAAAATAAAAATGCGACGATTTTTATTTCACTTTATGTATCTGGATATATAATTATGTGAAAAACTGAAAATGAGTTCTTGGAAATTCGAAAATATCAGGTTATGAAATTTGAACCGCGAATAACAAAGTCGGGGTAGATTTACGGGGGGAAATTTTAAAGGAGCATAGGAATGTAAAGGTGCATTTGGGTCTCAAAGAGAAGCTACAGTATGTTTTAGTTTGAAATTTTTTAAGAAAACCGTGAACTTACGGTGAACTTTAAAGGAACATGGCAGAAAATCTGATTTTAAAGATTTTCGAAAATATTTTTAAGCTCTCTGAAAGACTGTGAACCTACAAGGAACTTTAAAGGGAAGCTTCAAATCTACAGTAAACTTTAAAGGAACATGTATTATCGAAAATCTCATCGGTACTCCACGCGCTCCACCGAAATAAACACGCAACGCAGACCGCGTCGCGCCACAACACAAGGGAACGATTCAAATTCCCTCCCGTTTTTGTGTGTGTTGTGGCGCGACGCGGTCTGCGTTGCGTGTTTATTTCGGTGGAGCGCGTGGAGTACCGATAATATGTTTTCACAAAAATCCCATTTTCGCTCAATTTCCCCTCAAGTTTCAAATGCAATTTTTCTTCAAAATCCCCCAAACTAAAAAATTTTTAATTAATAAATTTCACTAATTAACGCCCCAAACTCACCTAACAACAATAATTTAATAATCCTCAAACTCATCGATTGATCCTTCTTGATTTGCTCATCGATTCGTCGATTCAATCGTTTCCCCTCCTTCTGATCTTTACTCGTACAATGACCCATTTTGTCCGTGTTGTACTTTTAATTAAAAATAAGTATATGCTTGCTCTGCTGCTTACTTGTTATGTATATGTATGTATGTAATATCCTTTCTGAAAGTGGTTATTATAAGAAGAATAGGAAATGAGAGAGAAAAGAAGTAGAAGGAGAGGATCGCGGATTAAATATTGACATTGAACAAAAATATGTATGTACTTGTATTGTTGGTTAGTTAGTTACATGAACTATTTGAACAGATTTCAAGATAGTGCAAAAAGGTTAGGCTTAGGGCTAAGCCTGCGATTCAGGCTTGGGGCTGAGGCTAAGACTAATGGTTAGGCTAACAGCTGATTGTGGAACTTAGGGCTGAGGCTTAACGGTATATTTTGACGTTCTTAACGGTCAGCAAAAATGAGTTAACACATTTTGAAGTAAGGTTTAGGCTGAAGCGTAGGCTTAGGATTTATTGTAGGCTTAGGCTTTTTCGAAGACTTAGGCTTAGGCTTATCTGTAGGCTTGGGCCTATTTGTAGGCTTAAGCTAAGGCTGAGAGTCAGGGCTGAGGCTTAACGGTAAATTTTCACGTTCTTAACGGTCAGCAAAAATGAGTTAATACGTTTTGAAGTAAGGCTTAGGCTTAAGCGAAGGCTTAGGCTTATTTGTAGGCTTAGGGCTAAAGTTTAAGCGTAGGCTTAGGCTTACGCTTTTTGTAGACTTATTCTTAGGCTGATTTGTAGGTTCAGGCTAAGTCTGAAGGTTAGGCTTACACATTTTAACGTTCTTAACAGTCTACATTTTGAAATAATGCTTAGGGTTGAGCATAGGTTTATACAAAGGCTAAGCTAAGGTTTAGGCTAAGGATTAGGCTTAGGGTTTAAGCGTAGGCTTAGGCTAACGTTAAGGGTTAGGCCAAGGGTTAAGCCTAAGCCTTTTATGATTGGGCCTAAGCCTATGAACCGCGATCTTCAGGCTTCACCAAGTTAAGGTTAGGGTAACTAAGGTTCAACCAAGACCTCATGCCTACAAACTATTTCTGAACAGAATCAAGAAAACAAAAACGAAAAGAAAAATCAGATTGTGGAATCGCTGACGTCAAAAAACCGACTAGCATAAACCTAATTATTCAATCAAAATGTTTTTTTTTTGCTTTTTCGCGACAAATGACAATGACAATTTGAGGATTAACACATTTCTCGCGAAAAAAAAACGAAGAAGCGGAAGCTTTTGCTTCTGCTGCAAAAATAGTTTGTTCCACCCAATTAACCCACCAAAAACCAGAAAAAGGTCAAAATGTGTTTTTTTTTGTTGCTCGTTGTTAAAACAACAGAGTTTTTTGGACAAAAAAAGGCGGCGGCGAAAAAAAAGAAAAAGACGAAAAAAAATGTGGAAAAATAAATAAGTATACTCATAAAGTTATATGCGCGAGAAAAAAGAAGAGGGGCAAAAAAAAGACGACAAAATTTCGAGTTGACTCTCTCTCTCTCTCTCAAGCTTTTGCTCTCATATTCAGCTTCATCTTTGCGCCTCTTTCTCTGCGTCTCTATCTATCTCTGTGTTTCGAATTTCAGAGTGTATTGATTACGAGGCGATGATGATGAGGAGAGGAGGAGACGTAGAGAAATAGAGAGACACCTCTCGCTTTCGGGGTTTATGGCGGATTACACCAACAACATCGCGACACCCCCCCCACTTTTGGGATTAATTAGAGAGGAAGATGTGGGGGTGAAGCAGAATTTGAAATGATTCGGGTTGATGACGAAAATTGAGAATTACTTAGTCGAATTTGAAAGGGCAGAATGACATTTTTTGAAATTTGTGGGAGTGAGATTTTCAAGATCGAATTAGGTTCGGAAAGGATTTGGGTAATTTTTGATTGAGAATCAGAAAATTTAAATAATTCAGAATTTTCTAAAAAAAAATTTTTCTTGGCACGATTTTGATAAAATTTTTGATTATCAAGAAAAAATTGAAAAAAATTAAAAAATTTTTTACAAAATTTTTTTCAACTTATCAGGATATTTAAAATTTGAGTTAAGAATTTCTTAACAGTCCACAATTTCTCAATTTTTCCTTCTTGGCACGAATAAAAAAATTGAAAAATTTTTTTTATGACAATTTGATCATCTCTGGATTTTGAAATCTAGCTATTACAAATAATTTTAAACTCAAAAGGGTGATTCAAGTCGAAAAAAAATAATTTAAAAATTTTTTACAAAATTTTTTTTTATTATTTTTTTTCAACTTGAAATACCCCATTATAAAATTATTTTTTTTTTCAAAAAAAAAATGTCAAAAAAAAATTTCCCGGATTTTTTACGTTTCGAAAAATTGATTTTTGAATTTCTGCATTTTTTTTTCAATAGTTCCTGTTTTTTGAGCAAAAATTTCAATTTTCCGCCGATTTTTAAGCTCAAAAATTATAAAATTCAGTATTTTCAAAAAAATTTCCCGGATTTTTTACGTTTCGAAAAATTGATTTCTGAATTTCTGGATTTTTTCCAATAATTCGAAGCTAGTAGAAGTTTTTCAGAAAAAGAGTTTCTAACGATTTTATTTTCAGACTTGTTCTGAAATTCAAAAATAATTTTGACTGAAATCAAAAAAAATAGTTTATAGCTCACAAAACTTTGAAAATGTTCTCCAGGTGATTTTTCTTTTCTGGATATGATTTCACGATTTTTTTTTTGGTAAATCCGGATTATGAAAACTAATTTAATTGTCTGAAAATAGATGTGAACTTTGAAAAGGGCAAAATGACATTTCTGACTCAATTTTTCGCTGAAAATGAAAATGAGTGATAGAATTTCAGAAAAAAAAATTTTGAGAAAAATCTGGTGCAATCTCTGGAGATCAGACTACAAACATTTCAAGATTTCCGTAAAACAAAAATAGATTTTTTTGACCCAGGCGTAAACTAAAAAACAAAATTTTCTGTGGTCAAACTTGCCATCTCTCAACAGTTGCTCAATTGCTCCAATTACCTTTTTTCTCTGGGCTCAAAAAAAAAATAAAAAAAAATTTTTTTATAGGTTTTTTCTCAAAGGAAACAAATAAGAGCATTGTTCACACACGAATCATCAATTTTTCATTTTTTTTTGAAAACTCAAACATCAGGGAAAATAAAAATGAAAATAAAAATATTTGCACATTTGGGGCTCTCAAAAGTGCACTTGATCCAGACAAATTGAAATTGACACACAACAAAAAAAACGCTTGTGTAACACGGCCTTTTGTTGTTTCGCGGCGCTGATTTGCGGCTATTCAAAAGGGAGCCCGGGGGATGTCGCAATTAATTTCTGATTCTCCTCTTTTTTTTGATCACCAACAAACATCTAACAAGAAAAAGAAAAAAGTTCGGAGGAAAAAATGAAAATTTGAAAAAAAAAATGCACTGTCATCGCGGAGTCTCGTTGTTTTCTTTTTATTTTTTCGAAAATTTTTTTTTGAAAACATGTTTTTTCCGCAAAACACAGCATTTTACAGGTTGAATCGAGAGAAAGAGAGAAGCAGACAACGCCTCCAAATTTCACTCTGCGTCTCTGACGAGAAATGCGCGGGAAAATTTTCGAATTTGAAAAAAAGCAAATTTTTGATGATTAACTGAAAAAACGAGGAAAAGCAGAAAACAAGAAAAAGTTCAGAGGATTTAAGAGAAAAAAGATTGAATGACTTTTACAACGACACTCCGAAGTTCCGGCTTGCCCGTTGTTTAGCGCAACACGAGAATATTTTCATTTTTCGTTTTTTTTCGCCGGGTTTTCAGGTTTCCGGGGAAAATCAGTGGGATTTCAGTCAAAAATTGAATTTTTAGATGTTCTACAAGGATGGAATTATGGATTTCAACGGAAAATCCGAGGATTATTGAAGAAAAGTGGGTTTTTTCTAGAGAAACACTGTTTTGATTGAAAAAATTCAAATTTTCTGATTTTTAGCTTGAAATATTGATGGACAATTGGATTTCAATGTCAAAAACGAGGAAAACTTGGAGGATTTTGGATTTATCAAGGATTTTTCAAGGGATTTGAGAAATAGAAGCGATTGGTGAGTTTTTTGGGGAGGGATTTCGGAAAAATTGAAAAAAGTTAGGCTAACTCATAAAAATCTATGCCCAAAAATCTAGTTCAAGAGAAAAAAAAATGAAAATTCAAATTAAAAAAATGCACTGTCATCGCGGAGTCTCGTTGTTTTCTTTTTATTTTTTTGCAATTTTTTTTTGAAAACATGTTTTTTCTCTGCAAAACACGGCATTTTACATGTTGAATCGAGAGAGAGAGAGAGAGAGAGAGAGACGCAGACAACACCTCCCTTTAAACGGGTCTCGACACGTTTAAAAACACTCTGCGTCTCTGTCGAGAAAAGAGCGGGAAAATTTTCGAATTCAAAAAACCCGCGCTTGGTCTCGAAACGAAGGCAGCAAATTGTTTTTTGTGTATTTCTCTTGGAGGACTTCAATTTTATAAGTTTTTTGACGAAAAACGAAAAAAAAAACGGGGAAAAAGCAGAAAAACAACAAAAAGCGAAGCGACACAACACAAAAAGAAAAAGGCGTGAGAAATTTTTGAAAGCGACGAAAATTCGAAACGAAAATTGGCTGGAGCTCCCATTTTTGAGCACAACATGATGAACTCAACAAAAAAAATAGAATAGAATAGTATAAAAAACTAGGGACACTGCTTTCTTTTTTGGAAGAAGAAGGGGAGAAAAGGACCTGATTAATTGGATTTTGGATGGATGGATGGCCAAAAAAAGGGAGAAAAAAGATGGATGGATGAATGGAAATGTGGGTGGATTTTTTTTTTCAATTTGATTTTCGGTCTCTACGAAAATGCCGGATTCAATTCAAATTGAAACCGCAAACAAAATCCCGAGAAAAATTAAGATGAGCAATGATTTTGGTGTGTTTATATCTCGAGGTCACCACAATTTCTCGTGTGCCGGGGTAGCCAAGTGGGCAAAGGCGCGAGAGTTACGATCTTGTGGATGAGACATCCTTCACGGGTTCGAATCCCGTCCCCGGCAATTGTTTTTTTTTCTGGGGAATTTTGATTTTCTAGACTTTTAGTAGACTTTTAGGTGGTGAAGCATTTTCTAAATAAAAAAAAAATTGTTTTCGAAGTTTCTGATAGACTTTGTGAGAAAATTTCGAGAAAATTATAGGGTCTGTGTGTTTTTTTAGAGCAAAGTTTGAAAATTTTAATTTTCCGCCGAATTTTAAGCTTAAAAAATTCCCGGATTTTTTTACGTTTCGAAAAATTGATTTCTGAATTTCTGGATTTTTTCCAATAATTCAAAAGTAATCAAGAAAAATTAAATTTCCAAAATTTTCAGAGTACATTTACATTTTTTTCATTTTTTAGAGCAAAGTTTGAAAATTTTGATTTTCCGCCGAATTTTAAGCTCAAAAAATTATAATATTCAATATTTTCTTGTTCAAAAAAAAAATTCCCGGATTTTTTACGTTTCAAAAAATTGATTTCTGAATTTCTGGATTTTTTTTTCCAATAGTTCAATGGTGACTAATGAAGCTAAATTAAGAAAAATCAATTTTCCAAAGTTTTCAGGGAAAATTTCAGTGTCTGAATATTTTGAAAAAAATCCTGTTTTTGAGCGAAAAATTTCAATTTCCCGCCGAATTTTAAGAAAAAAAATTACCGGATTTTTTACGTTTCAAAAAAATTTATTTCTGAATTTTTGGATTTTTTTGTCACTAATTCACAAGTAATTAAGAAAAATCAAATTTCCAAAATTTTCAGAGTACATTTTCAATTTTTCTGAATTTTTTTGAGAAAAATCCTGTTTTTTCAGCGAAAATTTCAATTTTCCGCCGAATTTCAAGCTAAAAAATTATTATAAAAATTTTTTTTTCAACAAAAAAATTCCCGGATTTTTTACGTTTCGAAAAAATGATTTCTGAATTTCTGGATTTTTCCAATAGTTGGAAAGTGACTAATGAAGCTAAATTAAGAGAAATCAAATTTCCAAAGTTTTCAGAGTAAATTTTCAATTTTTCTGAATTTTTTAGAGCAAAGTTTGAAAATTTCAATTTTCCACCGATTTTATAAGCTAAAAAAATATAATATTCAGTATTTTCAACAACAAAAAAAATGCCCGAATTTTTTACGTTTCGAAAAATGGATTTCTAAATTTCTGGATTTTTTCCAATAATTCAAAGGCAATCAAATTTCCAAAATTTTCAGGGAAAATTTTAGAACCTGAATATTCAAGACTTCTTTGCAAGCTTCATCTCAAAGTGCTCCGAATTAAAAAACTCTCTGATAGTTCAAAAATGAGTTTTGAAAAAAGCAGCAAAACACACAAAAGGAAAATAAAAACAATAAAAATTACACAAAAATATGACAAAACAAAGGGTGTATGAATAAATGAAAAGAAAAAGAGAGCAGAAGCAAAATTTTGGAAAAAAAAAGAAAAAAAGAAGAAAACCGACCAAATGTGGCTTCAATCTAATTGGGGAAAAAAAGAAGAAGAAGGAAAAGAGAAGGGTTTTTGAGAAATAGAGAAAAATATTATATTTTGAAGAAGAAGAAAAAAAAGAAGAAGAAGAAGAAGGTGGTTATGATTTGCATAATCTGAATGGGAAATAAACATATGTCACACTTTTGTTGTTGGAAAATTTTATGGGGGGGGGGGGGGCGGAAAATGCTTCCCAAGGCTCCTCAAGGCTTCCCAAGGCTTCCCGAGGCTTCCCGAGGCTTCCCAAGGCTTCCCAGAGGTTCCCAAGGCTTCCCAAGGCTTCCCCAGGCTTCCCAAGGCTTCCCAAATGTTCTCCCAGATTTTCATACATTTTTTGAGGAGGCAGGGAGTTAGAGTAACTTTGAAAATCGCTAATTAGAAGTTTTAATCCGACATGAAATCAAAATTAATCAAAGGGATTAGGTAGAAGGCAGAAAAGTCAGAAGCAACTTTTTTTTTTGAAAAAAACCTCTTGTAGGGGATAAGTATAGCTTTGAGGAGCATTGGGAAGCCTCGGGAAGCCTTGGGAAGCCTTGGAAAGCCTTGGGAAGCCTTCAGAAGCCTTCAGAAGCCTTGGGAAGCCTGGGAAGCCTGGGAAGCCTTGGGAAGCCTTGGGGAGCCTTCAGGAGCCTCAGCAAGCTTTGCGGAATCCTGGGAGCTTTGGAAAGCCTTAGGAAGCCTTGTGAAGCCTTGGGAAGCCTTGGGAAGCCTTGGGAGCTTTGGAAATCCGTGTTTTCCAGAAAAATTCAAAGTTCTCACCAACATTTACTACAAAAAAAAATTAATCAAAAAAAATTACGCATTAAGGCCGTTTCGACCTTATGTATAAACCTTAAAATCTTAACCTAACCTAACAAAAGCGCGAAATAAGAAATGAGATGTTAGAGAAGTAGAGTAGATGAGAGAGTGTGGGAAATGAAGAGAGAATTAGAGATAGAGAGGAGGGAGTACAATATTCAAAATAATTTATATTTTCTTTGTAGAAGGAAATTATTGATTGAATAAAGAAACAAGAAAAACAAAAGAATTTTAGCAGAGATCATTTTTGAGATCAAAAAAAATTTTCGCGATCAAAAATTTTATGGAAATATTTAACGGTTTGTTGTTCGAAATTATTGAAATCTATTTTTTTTACAAATTGATTAGGGCCTTAATTAGGGGTAAGGCATCATAATAGTAAGTATTTATTGCGATTTTTCAGATGAAACTTTCAGCTTTTGGTTTGTTTTATTGTAACGTCTAGTATGAAAATCTTCTCTAGAATTAATAATTTTTAAATCTAGAAATTGTACTTCAAAAGTTTTCTGGTTTTTGTTCCTTGACTAAAAACTCCAAAAAAGTACTTTTCTCAATGAACTTTTATGACTTCCTCTCCTTTTTTCTCATAAATTCTTTTAGGTTCTTTTCTTTTTTTATAATTGAACTTTTCATTCGCGAAATTGAGTTGTTGAACATTTTCTTCGGTTTTCGGAAAATTATTTTGGAAATTTGGGCCTAAAATTTCACAGACCGAAACTTTGAGCAAGCCTAGACTGGAATTCAGAAATTTCTAAAAAGCCAAAATTTCCTTCTGAATATATTTGAAATCAGACTTTCACCAGAAAAAATTATAATTTGATTATAAAAAAAAATCCCACATTTCCCCCTCCAAAATTCGTATGATTCGTATTTTTTTCCTTCCCAGAAAAAAAAAGCAAAATTTTTAATTTGAATCTTTTTTCTTCTTCGCTTTTTTTCCGAAAAATTTCCATTTTTTCATATTATTTGGTCTCCAAAATTTCGTTTTGGCATGCAAAACAATAAAAAATTCGTGCCTGGAAAAGTACACACACTTCAAAATCCCAACTTTTTCCTTTCTCTACCAGCTTCAGCTCAACCAAAATTCCTTCAAGCGAAGCGTAAAACAATTTTTTTTCAGAAATTTTTCTTGTCGCTTTTTTTCTCCTCTCATTTTTTTTTCTGTTTTTTGTTAGCTGTAACTATGGTGACATTGATTGGAAATGAAAAAATGGATAAGATTTTTTTTTCAGCTTCTCCTTTTCTTTTTTTTTTTCTTTTATACATCACGTATATAATATTTTCAGATGGGCAAACAAGAATTTGAAATTTTGGACTACGCGGCTCCGTTGTTCGTTGGAGCAGCTTTTGGATTTGTTGTTTTGCTTCTCACATTTGCTATCAATTTCTTGTTGATTAGAAGATCTGATGAGGTTACCGCTTTTGAGAAGGTGAGCATTTTCAGTAACATTTTTCAGTGTTAAATTTTTCAGGGTAAGTCCCACTTTTAAGAAAATTTTTCAAAATTTTTTTTCAAAAATTTTTCAGAGTAAGTCACAAAAAAATAGCTTAAAATGTTAAAAAGCAGTAAAAATTCATGAAAATAAAAAATAAAAATTTAAATTGACTCCAAGTTGCTGTGTGCAAACACTGCGACGCACTTTTGCGTACGGGAAGATTTGAACTTTTAAATTTTCACAATATTTCATTTCCATCTTTTGTTTGGTTCAAGTTCAGGCCATAGGCTTCGTGGGTGGTCTTGGAATCAGACCTGGGAAAAAATTGGTGACTTACCCTAACTCCAACATAATTTTAACAATGTTATTCTATCAAAAAATAAGGCTCTATCGCAATATAAGGGTCCCATGGAAATATAAGGGTCCGTAAAAATATAAGGGTCCGTTATTTTTTTTGAGGGTCCATCAAAAATAAATTTTTTTTTTTTGAAAAAAAAAGTATTTTTTCTAATTTTTTCACATTTTTTTAGCCAGTAAGTATGTTTTTAGGGGGTTTATAATATAAAAAAAATTAATTAATCAGGATTTAATCAAAATTTTTTCTTTCCAAAAATAAATTTATTTTCCCGCCCAAATCAAAATTTTGATTCGGGCGGGAATTCAAAATTTCCAAAAAAAAAATTTTTTTTTTCAAAAATTCTATCCCGCCTAAAAAAACGTAAAATTCCCAGGCCTGAACCTTATCGCCTTTTGAACTTTCCTAATTTTTGAGGTCCTCAAGGCTTCCCAAGGCTTTCCAGGGCTTCTCCAAGATTTTCACACTTTTGTTGAAGAAGCGGAGAGTTTGAGTAACTATGCAAAATGCTAATTAGAAGTTTTAATCCGACATGAAATCAAAATTAATAATTATAATCAAATTTTGAGCCGTAAATCCCGTAAAAAGTAAAAAAAAACTTAAACTTAAAAATTCCCAGGTCTGAACCTTATCGTCTTCTGAACTTTCCCAATTCAAAATAACCGTTATCACCCCCATTTTTCAGCTGGGTGCAAAGTACAATCTTCGCGTCGGCCCTCATCGTGTTTCTTTAGTCAGAGCAGCCATGGAAAAACATGTCGATGAGAATGGACAAGAATATTAGATTATTTTTTGATTAATGGTCAACTATCATAAAATATTTTATTTATTTTATCTCATTTTATGGTCCGCACTGTGAATTCAATCCCGCACAAATTCCATTATTGATCGATGGAATCAAACTCGCCAAGTTATCATAACTCGCAGCAAAGTATGCAAAACCATTGGCATAAGCTAGGCGAGACAATCGAGTTTGATCCAAATTCGGCCCCATTCCCACCACAATCACTTTGACGTCTTTTTCGGTTCGAAGTTTGTGCGAGAATTCGAGAGATTCGTTGAAATCTTGATCAGAGCTCGGATTTTCGGCGACGAAAACGATGACAACCGCTTCAATTCCATATCTTTCGTCGAATTCTTTGCCGTCATCGATTGCATCGTAGCCATAGCGGAAAAGGCTGGAAAATGAATTGAGTTAGAGGAACTTCAGAATTTATCAGCTTTGGGTTGCAAGAAGCCCCGAGGAAAAACAGTTTCCTTTTCACCAACATTTTCCCCTCGTGAGAAAAGAGACATGTGGCCTAGCGGTTAGCATTTTTGACTAGCGTGCATGAGACCAAGGTTCGAATCCGCTTGCCCGCGAATCTTTTTTTTTTTATTCTTTTTTTTTTGCACCACTAACCATTCAAGATCCTTGTTACTGTTAGCTGTAACATCTGGAACATAATCAAGCATCGTAAGAGTTTGATTAGTGAGCTCAGCATTCGAATAATCATCAACCCCCGTCCAAATCACCGCATAATCAATATCCACCTGCAAATTCAACATGACTCGAACCTTCGAAAGCCCGACATTCCACGTTGGCGTCAATTGATTGGCAATGAATCTGATTTGTTTTTCATAATTCGATTGTGAGCCAACACCAGACATTCCATTAATTATTAAGTAGATGTCTCGATTACAAGGACTGGCGGCTGAAAAAAAAAGTTAAAAAAAAAAAAAAAACTTTTGTGTTTAAGAAAAAAGGGAGAGTTGTACTAACTGTTAACGGACATATAATTCAAAATGAATCCCGACTTCTGAATCGATTTATTCGACTCAAAAGTGACCACAGCATTCCGTGTAGTTGTTGTATACACCCCGGGAACTGTTACATTCGATCCCGGCCCACCAATTTGCACCAACTTCTGGTAAATTTGAGTGGGACCATCATAGATCGTTATGAAGTCACAACAAGACTCCAAATCAAAGTGGGAAAATGCGATTTTCAAAACTTTTCCGGGCTCCGCATTCAGGAAATAGTAGCATTTATCGTTTGGTGGATAATTGTGAGGCCAAAGTGGTGAATAAATCGAGCCGTTGTAGTAGAAATCGTTTTCGGTTGGACAACCGATGAAATCGAATTCCGATGGTGGAATGATGTTTGTGTTCTGTATGGAGATAAGTTATCAGTAAAGGTTTTTGATCTATTTTTTTTCTGATTCAGATGTAGACGTTTGAACTTTGACAGGAAATTTTTTTTTAAGTTTTGGGAAAATTTTTAAAAATGAGCTGTGGATTAATTGCAAAATTTAATTTTCTAAAATAAAAACAACGAAAATATTGTCATTGAAAATTTGGATATAAACGTATTTTTTCCGGGTTTTTTGCCATTTAAAATTTTCGTGGCCTAGAATTTTCAAATGAGAGAGTTCGGCCAGCAACTATGTGCGCCCTATTGCAAACCACGCGCTCCACCGAAATAAACACGCAACGCAGACCGCGCCGCGCCACAACACACACAAATAAGGGAGGGAATTTGAATCTTTCCCTTATTTGTGTGTGTTGTGGCGCGACGCGGTCTGCGTTGCGTGTTTATTTCGGTGATTTGTGTGGCAGACTACTGTAGCTCGCAGTTTTGTGCAAACACGGCGACGCAAAAATGCACGTTTTTTTGCGGCAAGAAAAGATTACACGGTGTTTTTAAAACTATGGGCTCCACAGTGATTTGAGTCGAAAAAAAAAATAAAATTTTTTTTTAGAAATTTTCAAAAAACCCTATTTTTTCACAAAAAAATGAAAAAAAGTCAAAAATATAGTTTTTTCACTCAAATTTGAGCCCAAAAACCCCCAAACTCACCCTCTTCGCAGATTTGATTCTATGAGTCGAGGCGTGAGCCAAAAAGAGCACCACAACTAAAAAAAGAGCACACCTCAACATGACACCGGAATTTTTCAATGATTTTATCAAAATTTATACTTCAACTACTGATAAGCAAAAAAGAATAAAAAAAATGATCAATTAATTATCAGAACATACATACTGCATTATTAATTTGATCTACAAAATTCGCCAAATCATCAAAGGAATCACTGAAAATCGCGTATTCTGGAGAATACGCGAGTTGTGAAAGTCGCGATTTATCGAGATTTGCTCCAAAACCGAAGAGCACAATCTTAACGTTTTCGAGGTTTTTGATGTTTTGTGAGTATTCCAAAGCCTCGTAGAAATCATTGTCATCGCTGGAATTTTTTTTTTTGGAATTTTATCAAAGAAAAACCAGGGCAGGGGCCCTGCCCTGGTTGAGGACCCTGCCCTGGTTTGGGGCCCTGCCCTGGTTGGGGGCCCTGCCCTGGTTGGGGACCCTGCCCTGGTTAGGGCAGCCCCCCCCCCCTGCCGCAGGGCTTACACGGGATTCTGTGCCACAAAAATGATCACAACTGTCTCGATTCCATCTCTGAATTCTAGTTGATAAGAAGTCTGCATCCACTCAAAAGAATTTCTGAACAATCCTTCTAGATCGCCCTTCGTATTCATTGTCACGTTCGACAGATTCGACATGCCTAGCACTTCTGAAGTGACGATTTTATTCGTCGCAAGTTGATCAGCTGACCAAGATGGTGTGTCATCGGGTCCGTTTTGGAGACTTATCATAACTCGAATTTTTTCCATACCAACATCCCAACTTGGTGTTAGTTTGTTGGCGATGAAATCGAGTTGTTTGATGAAATTTTGTTGGGAACCTAGGGTGGACATTGCGTTGATGACGAGGAAAATGTCACGATTACAGGGGCTGGCGGCTGGAATTTTTTTTTTTAGATTTTTAGATTCTGAATTTAAATTATGACGTGGCAAAGGTTTTGAATTCGAATATAGAAGTTTTAGCTCAGAAGGGGTGGATTTTGAGCACGCAAAATGCACGCTGAACCTGTTTTCACGACCATTTACTCCAATAGAAAATTGCACCACGGGAGTGTGATGACGTCATCAAAGACAGATCGCTTCGAGATATTTTTGAGAAAATATGTGTGCCTTTGAAAAAATACCGTATTTTGTTTCAAGGAACACATGTTTTAAACAATGTCTAGGGGAAATTCAGATTTGAATTTTGAAATTTGCCGCGTGGATTTTTTGGCGGGAAAATTTTGAGTTTCAAAATTTCAATTTTCATTGCAAAAATTTGAATTTCTCAATTTCCCACGTGGAATTTTGGAGGGGGAAATTGAATTTTCAACAAAATTTGCCACGTGGTTTTTGGGCGGGAAAGTTTGGATTTTTAAATTTTCATCACGAAATCCTGAATTTTCAAATTTTCAACATGATTTTTTTGGCGGGAAAACTTGAATTTTAAAAATGGTGGATTTTGAGCACGCAAAATTCATGCTGAACCTGTTTTCACGACCATTTACTCCAATTGCCTCTCAGGTCAGACGAGAGACGACGGGAGTCTGATGACGTCATCAAAGACAGATAGCTTCGAGATATTTTTGAGAAAATATGTGTGTCCCTTTGAAAAAATACCGTATTTTGTTTCAAGGAACACATGTTTTATTGAAAATATCTCGAAGCGAAATTCATTTTCATGTCAGGATATTTTTGCAAAATACTCTCGTCGTCTCGCGTCTGACTCAACGGGGTATGGTCGTTTTTTCGATTTTGAAAAATTTCGTTTAGCTCAACACTTTTTTAGTTCCGCTCCAACATGAAAAATCGATAAACACATTTTTATGATCTTGAAAATTCAGAAATTCAGATCTCGGCTTCAACTATGACGTGGCAAAATCAAATTTTCAGAAGATTTTTAATTTTGACCTCCCCAAACTCACTGTTCACCGATTCAAATTGAATCTGAAATCCCGACTTCTGAATCGTGGGATTCGTATAAAAACTAATCGACGCATATCGTGTAGTTGTGTAATAAACACCGGGTGTATTCACCCCACTTCCACCACCGATTTGAACAATCACATCATACTTCGGTGACATTGTTGGACCATCGATGATTGTCACGTTGTCACAACACGATTCCACGTCATAGTGGGGGAATGTTATTCTGAAGAAAGATTTTTTTTCATTTTTGAAAAGGGACCATAAAGTCAGGACTCACTTCAAAACACTGCCTAATTTCGCATTCAAAAAATAGAGACATTTATTGTTTGGTGCATAATTATAGGGCCAAAACGGGGAATTGACAGTGCCATTGTAGAAAAATTGATTGTTTTTGTAGCAGCCAACATATTGCATTGGTGGATCATCGGCCTTTGAGAATTTTATGGGATTTTTTCTCCATGGAAACTGGGGAAACTTACGGCGATGAAACTATAAAAGAAGAAAAATACCAGAAAATATAAAGCTAGAAGTTTCATTTTTTTGAGGAATTGAAATAAAGTGGAACAAAATTTATCAGAATTTTCTAAGGATTAAGGAAGGTGTTAAGTATTGAGATAAGAAATTTTTTTAAAAATGACACGAAAAATGTGTCTAGTTTGAGAGATCAGAAAGCATATTCCACAAATTATTTGAAATTCAAATTTTCCCGGCGAAATTCCACGTGGGAAATTGAAAAATTCAAATTTTCGCGCCAAAAAACCTCGGTGGAATTTTGGCGGGAAAATTTGGATTTTCGAAATTTCAATTATCATTACGAAAATTTGAATTTCTCAACTTCTCATGTGGTTTTTTAGCGGGAAAATTTGAATTTCAAATAATTTTGCAACGTGGAATTTTGGCGGGAAAATTCGAATTTCAAAATTTCAATTCTCATCGTGAAAATTTGAATTTTCAAATAATTTTTCCACGTGGGTTTTTGGCGGGAAAATTTGAATTTTCAAATAATTTTTCCACGGGGTTTTTCGGCGGGAAAATTTTAATTTTAAAATTTTCAAATAATTTTGCCACGTGGAAATTCGCCGGGAAAATTTGAATTTCAATAATTTTTCCACGTGGTTTTCTGGCGGGAAAATTTGAATTTTCAAATAATTTTGCCACGTGGAATTTTGGCGGGAAAATTTGAACTTTTAAAGTTTGAATTCTCATCGCGAAAATTTGAAATTCAATGATTTTGCCACGTGGAATTTTGGCGGGAAAATTTGAACTTTTAAAGTTTGAATTCTCATCGCGAAAATTTGAAATTCAATGATTTTGCCACGTGGTTTTTTTACCACAAAAATTTGAATTTTGAAATTTGCCGCGTGTTTTTGTGGCGGGAAAGTTTGAATTTTCAAATATTTTTTCCACGTGGTTTTTTTGGCGGGAAAATTTGAACTTGAATAATTTTGCCACGTGGAATTTGGGAGCGAAAATCTGAATTTTCAAATAATTTTTACACGTGGATTTCTGGCGGGAAAATTCGGATTTTCAAAAAAAAATTCCACGTGGATTTCCGGCTTCAAAATCATACAAGCTTCAAAAAAATTCAAAATTTTCCTAAAATTTTGGAAATTTCAGAATTTTTTTGCTGAAAAATCAAATTCGTAGTTTGCTTCTCTAACTAAAACTTCAAAAACTCATCGAATCGTGATAATTTTTTCTTTTTTTTTTTCAAAATTTTTTTGCTCGTGATTAATTTTTCTGAGAACTTCTTCTTTTTTTCAAAATAAAATAAAAATGAGAGCCCAAAATTTCTTCTCTCTCTTCTCAAAAAAAAAAAAAAAAAATGTTTTATGAACCTCCAAAGTTTATCGACCGATTTTTCGTTTTGGCTCCCAAAAATCTTTTTTTTTCCAAAAAAATTTTTCTGATGTCACAAAAAAAATCGCATGTTTAAAAGTGTTCAATTTCACCTTTCCCCGTATATAAATATAGTTAGCTTTTTTTTTTTCAAAAAAAAGCTGAGCAAAAGTGGGCGTGGCCTATTTTTTATAAGCCCCGCCCACTTTCTCATTTCCTTGGCTCAATGCTCTTTTTTGTGCTCTTTTTTTGTTGTAGGGGTACAATTTAAATAGAATTTTTTTTGTCTGTTTCAGATTTATTTTTTCAGAAAGTGCCTAGACATAAAAGTGTGTTTTTATGTTTTTTTCTCAAAAAAAGGCAAAAACACTTTAGAAAATCAAAAACCTTGCCAAATTTCCGCCCGAAAAAAAACAAGAAATGAATTTTTTGACAACTTCGAACTTTTTCAAAAGAATTGAGCAAATAACATTCTATTTTTCGCGAATTTTTGATGAGGAAAACGAAAAAAATAACAATTTTTGTTGGTTTTTTTCTTTTTTCTGCAGATGAAAAAAAAAATATCTGATCTGATGATTTATTAGAAGTTGCGGTATCCAACACAAAAATAAAAATTCTGACAGCTGACATTTTTACGATTTTTTTCTTGTATATTTCTTTTCTTGAATAGATATTCCCTGATTCTCAAAATTATTTAAAAAAAAAATTCTGTGCTTGAATGATTTTAGAAATCTAATCTTTCTGAGCCTGATTACTTCATTCAATTTCCACCTGGAGATCAAAAAACGCGCCGAGGGAGTAAGGGAAAAAGTTAATTTGTTTTGAGCTCAGCTCAGAAGTTTTAGGTTTCATAATTTAATTTTTTTTGTTTTTCTTGGAAAACAACAAAAAAGGTCAAGCTACGTTTCAAAAAATTTTTTTTTCGTAATTTTTGAGCTTAGAACTAGGCTCTATAGGCTCGGCCACTTGACATAGGAGCTCTCAAGGCGCGGTTCCTTGTCAGAGTGTTTCTCTAGGAGCGGGCCCTAGACAATAGGGTTATCTAGGAGCGGGTGCTAGACAATCAGGGTCTCTAGGCGTGGTTCTTAGACAACAAAGCTTTCTAGGCTCGGCCACTTGACATAGGAGCTCTCAAGGCGCGGTTCCTTGCCAGAGTGGTTCTCTAGGAGCGGGTGCTAGACAATCAGGTTCTCTAGGTGCGGTTCCTTGTCAGAAGAGCTCTCAAGGCGCGCATCCTTGTCAGAGTGGTTCTCTAGGTGCGGGTGCTAGACAGCAAGGATTTCTAGACTCGGCTGCTTGACATAGAAGATCTCAAGGCCCCTTACCTACTCACAGTGGCTCTCAAGGCGCTGATCCTTGCCAGAGTGTTTCTCAAGGCGCGGATTCTTGTCAGAGGGGTTCTCTAGGTGCGGGTGCTAGACAGAAAGGCTTTCTAGGCTTGGCCACTTGACATAGCAGCTCTCAAGGCGCGGATCCTTGCCAGAGTGGTTCTCAAGGAGTGGGTCCTAGACAATCCGGTTCTCTAGGCACCGCTACTTGATAACTAGGTCTTCTAGGCTCAGAACCCTAGGCTATTTTGTTCGAGATTAAATTTTTAATCAAATTTTTATGTCAGCGAGTTTTTGATAATTCAATTTATTTTTTTTACTCGAGAAAATTTTGAGCTCAAAATTCTAGAAAAAAACAATCATTTTCCGAAGCTTCTAGAAAAATCCTCAAAAAAAAAGTTCCTCTTCACTAAATGACCTTTTATCTCCTTTCATATATATTTCTCACGTGTTCCAGCGACACAAAAAATTCCCCATTGACTCTTTGAGTCCTTCAAAAATCCTCACAGATCCATCTTTTCTCCTCCTCATATTATTTTGTTGCCATTTTCTTCCATTTTTTTTCGCTAGTTAACCAACCGAAGAAAAAAAACAATTTCTATGCATATAATCGCTTCCAGCAGCAAAAAAACACGCAATCTGAAACGACTTCCTCACAGGAATACTCTATTTAGATTTTTTTTTTATATACTCGTATATTTTTTTTTTGCTCGGCACCTTTCTTTTCATCGAAATTTAGCGCTGCAGGATATGTGGCGCGCGTGTACTAGTGGGAAAGTGGATAGGCTGCTAATCTAGCGACCCGAGTTCGATTCCCCTCTCCCGCAGCTTTTTTTATTTTTTATTTTTTTTCTTCATTTGCAGAATTTCCCCTAGGAAATTAACAAAGAATGCTATTTGGATATATCTATCTTTATTTTTCGAATAATTTTTCTTTATATTCTAATTTTTCGCTAATTGAACTATTGATCCCCAAAATTTGGCAAATTTTTGCAGAATAATGGAAGAAGAGCCTTTAAAAATAGCCTGCCTAACTTCTCCCGAACATCGATTAATCGAGGAGCGATTCTATGTGATTGGAGTGTTCGGAACGGTTATTGCGATTTTCGGCTTGATTGCGAATGGATTTTTGGCCACACTTTTTCTTACACGAAGTATATATAGGTGAGAAATGACTTTTGCTCGTGCAAAAAAAATTTTCGGAGAAGAAGATGAGGAAAAAGAAAAAAAGAGCAACAGATAATCAATTTGATGGTGACAGGTCAGAATGACGTTGCAAATTGCAAATTTTGACGCGTTATTTTTTGACACACGCGGAGGAAAAGCTTGATTTTTGTTCCGGTGAACGGGGTAGACAAATTTTCATTTTGAAAACTCTCTGGAGCACAAAATCAGCTCTGAAAGCGCTTTTTTTTGAAAATCTCGAAAAAAACTCACTTTTCCTTCAGTTTTTCTGACGATTTCTCTGTAAAATAGAAGAAAAATTCAAAAATTCACATTTTCCCATAAAAATAGCTTTTTGAGCATCAGTTTTAGTATAAAACTATCGAAATTTAACTTAAAAATCATGTTATTTGCCCTAAGAAAAGAGATAAATATGAATTTTCATGAAAAAACAACAAAAAAAAAATAAAAGTAAAAATGGAAGTGCGCTCCATTGATAAAAATTTCATTTTTTCGCGCTCTTTCAAAAATTTGTGTGTTTCGTTGTTGCTGTTTTAGATACTAGATTTTTGGGCCTAGATTTTTCTAATTTTTAAAGATTTTTTTCATAATTTTCATATATTTTTCAAAATTAACAGAATTTTTTATCGATTTTTCCCTATTTTCCCCAAATCCCTCCCCAAAAACCCACCAATCGCTTCTATTTCTCAAATCCCAATCAAAATCCTTGAAAAATCCTCAATCCTCCAAGTTTTCCACGTTATTGACATATTTAAAGCTGAAAATCAGAAAATTTGAATTTTTTCAGTGTTTCTCTAGAAAAAACCCACATTTCTTCAATAATCCTCCGAATTTCCGTTGAAATCCATAATTCCAGCCTTGTAGAACATCTGAAAATTCAATTTTTGACTGAAATTCACTGATTTTCCCCGAAAACCTGAAAACCCAGCGAAAAAACAACGAAAAATAAAAATATTCTCGTGTTGCGCTAAACAGCGGGCAAGCGGGACGCCGGAGTGTCGTTGTAAAACTTTTTTTTGAAAAAAACGAAGCGGACGCCCAAATTTTCAGTGAAATCTTCATTTTTTCCAGAAATTCTCCATTTTTCTTCCTCGGATTTGTTGCATTATTCGACACATTGGTTGATGCGTTTTTCATTTTACTATTAGTAAGTTTTTTTTTCATTTTCATCAAAAAATTCTTCTGAACTCAAACAATGCAGTCACGCAATTTCCTGAATGATTTCTAAAGTTTCAAGCATTTTCTTTTGAATTTGTACATTTTTTTATATGAATATAGCATAATTTACACTGGTTTTCTATGAAAAATCCAACAAAAAGTGCAATTTTTCTTTCTAGCCTTTACATAGTAACAGAAAAACAAAAAGGATCACAACTAATCCGTATACATTTTTCATTTTTTTCATTTTTTTCATTTTTTCCTTCTTCCCCTAGCAGAAAAAAATAGAAGAAGAAGCAGAAAACAAAAAAAAATATCAAGGAAGTATTGTGGATTTAATTGAGTTAAGTTGTGTTTTCTGGCTTGATTGGTGCGGGTCACCAAGAAAAAACAAAAAACAACGAAAAACGAGGAGCGGGGTTCTTTTTTTGCTAATCTGAACATCAATCTTGACTTTTATTTGACTTGGAACGGGGAATTTGAATATGAAAAACTTGAATTTTGTCTTGGGGAACTACTTGGTGAAAAAAAATAAAACATTTTTTGACAAAAAATTTCGATTCAGAAAAAAGGGATGTCTAACCCAAATTTTAATTCATTAAAATTTGTGCTGAAAATATTCAGATTCTGAAATTTTCCCTGAAAACTTTGGAAATTTGATTGTCAGTAACCTTCACTATTATTCGAAAAAAATCCAGAAATTCAGAAATCAATTTTTCGAAACGTAAAAAATCCGGGAATTTTTTTGTTGTTGAAAATACTGCATTTTATAATTTTTTAGCTCAAAAATCGGCGGAAAATTAAAATTTTCGAAAAACAATTTGGCGCTTAAAAAAGGCCTTTGCTCTAAAAAATTGAAAGATTGAAAATTTTCCCTGAAAACTTCGGAAATTTGATTCTTTTTAATGTCAATATCGAATTATTTGAAAAAAATTCAGAAATTTAGAAATCAATTTTTCGAAACGTAAAAAATCCGGGAATTTTTTTGTTGTTGAAAATACTGAATTTTATAATTTTTTAGCTTAAAATTCGGCGGAAAATTAATTTTTTGCTCAAAAAAAAAGAGACCTTTGCTCTAAAAAATTGAAAGATTGAAAATTTTCCCTGAAAACTTTGGAAATTTGAGTTTTCTTAATTCAGCTTCACAGTGAGAAATTATTGAAAAAAATCCAGAAATTCAGAAATCAATTTTTCGAAACGTAAAAAATCCGGGAATTTTTTTGGGGAAAAAAATCAGTAGAAGATTTTCAAAAAATCAAAAATTCATTATTTAAAAATCCACAAAATCTAGAGATCCTTGATAAAAATAATTTGAAGATCAAGTTTTGGAAAAAAAAATCTGAGATTTGAATTTCAGTTCTGTAGATTTCATTCAAAACGTTGAGGAAAAAGAACATTTTTGAAGTTCTAAAATTTTGAAAAATCAAAATCTTATTTTTCCTCAACTTGGAATGATTTTGAATTCTCAAAAATTGTTTAAAAATTCCCAATATTTTTCAAAAATCCAAAAAATCCCAAAATTTTCCAGCCTCTCGAAGTCAGCTCCGTCTACTACGACGAAAGCGGTGTCTACAAATTCTGGCTCGAACACGTCAGATATGTTTACCTTTTTGCTCAAATCGTCAAAATCGCCTCGGTTTTTTCACTAATCATGGCAAGCATTGAAAGGTAGGCTTTCCAAGGCTTCCCAAGGCTTCCCAAGGCTTCCCAAAGATTCCCAAGGCTTCCCAGAGCTTCCCAAAGATTCCCAAGGCTTCTCAAGGCTTCCCAAGGCTTCCCAAGGCTTCTCAGGGCTTCCCAAGGCTTCTCAAGGGCTCCCAAGGCTCAAGAATCCCCCAAAAATCTCATTTCCAGATATTTCATGACAAAACATTGGACATTTGTTGGTTTCGAGATGCGAACCCGATGGATTGTTCTATTTCTCCTGATCTGCGCCTCGATCTTCATCAAATATATGTCCGAAGAGGTCATTGTTGTCTCCCATGAAAATTGTGATGGTTATTCAAGATCAGCGATCAGAATCAAGAGAAAAGACATCGAAAATATGGGACTTCTACACTCTCTAACAATATTTCTCCCATTTTTCACCCTAATTTTCTTGAATGGCGGAATTGTACTGATGTTGAGGAAACGAAATGTTCAACAACTCCGATCTCTCATCGCCGAATTAACCCTAGGTCACGATCTATCAAAGATCCGCCGCAAAAACTTGCGAAGTGCCACGCGAACTTTGCTCGTCATCATCTCCGCCTATCTCATCTCCAATCTTCTCAGCTTAATCATCATCATCACCGAATATGTGGATCACGATTTTTTGCACAAAAATCATCCGGATTTGAATCGCATCGCTCTGGATTCAGCCGCGCTTCTGACTGTTGTTGGAAATGCGATTCGGTGTCCGGCGCATATTTATAGCAACAGTGAGATTCGAACACAATTCCGCATTTTGATATGTGGGGAGGAGAGGAAAAAGGTGAGTGGTTTGAGTGTTTTTTTTGCAGCGGAGGGGGAAATTGAAGTGGTTTAGTATAGTCATGTCAGATGATTTTTTGTGGAGCAAAAAAATATGAAAAAGGAGCAAATATCAAAAGTCGGGGGATCATTTTTGAACCAGGAACTTTGAAAAAAATATAACAATTCAATTTTTCCCCCCAATTTTTCTAGTAGCCGCGCCTAGAGAACCTGGTTTTCAAGCAGTCGAGCCTGGAAAATTTAGTTTTCAAGGAGTCGAGCCTATATGGCATAGTGAAGTAGCCAAGCCTAGAGAGCCTGGTTGTCAAGTAGCCGGGCCTAGAGAACCTGGTTTTCAAGTAGCCGGGCCTAGAGATCCTAGATCTTAAGCAGTCGGGCTTAGAGAGCCCAGTACTCAAGGATCAGCGTCTAGAGAGCCTAGTTATCAAGGATCCGCGCCTTGAGAGCATGGTTTGCAAGTAGCCGAGCCTAGAGAGCCTGGTTTTCAAGCAACCGCGTCTAGAGGACCTAATTCTCTAGGGCCGACATCTAGAGATTCACTCTGTCAAGGACCAGCGCCTAGAGAACCTAGGTCTCTAGCAGCTACATCTAGAGATTCACTCTGACAAGTAACCGCGCCTTGAGAGCCTCTATACCAAGCAGCTGAGCCTATCGATCCGAGATCTCAAGTGTTCACGCCTACAAACCCCATTTCCCAAGCAGCCGAGCCTTGAAGTGCTAATTTTCAAGCAGCTGCGCCTAGAAATCCCAGTTTTCAAGCAGCTGAGCCTATAGATCCCAGATCTTAAGTATTCACGACTACAAACCCCAGTTTTCAAGTAGCCGCGCCTAGAAAGTTTAATTTTCAAGGATCAACGCCTAGAAACGCTAATTTTCAAGCAGCCACGCCTACAAACCCCATTTCTCAAGCAGCGGCGCCTAGAGAGCCTAGCTATCAAAGATTCGCGCCTTGAGAGCCTAGTTCACAAGTAGGCGAGCCTACAAACCCCAGTTCTCAAGCAGCCGCGCCTTGAGAGCATCTATACCAAGCAGCTGAGCCTACAACCCCGAATTGTCAAGCAGCCGTGCCTAGATAACCTGGTTTTCAAGCAGCCGCGCCTTGAGAGCCTCATACCAAGCAGCTGAGCCTACAACCCCTAGTTCTCAAGCAACCAAGCCTACAAACCTCAGTTTTCAAGAAGCCGAGCCTAGAAAAAACGAACTTCGCCTAAATTCCCCCTCAAACCTCCAAACTTCCAGGAAATCAAACGAAGTTCCTCACAAGAACGTCTCGACAATCCATGGATGACCCTAATGTGGGTTTCAGCCAACAAACAATGTTCGGACGATGAAAAGGCCGCATTTATGCCAAAAGCCCTAATGAAACGACACTCCGCAATTGCGATTGTATGATAATTTTTCCAAATTTTCCAAATTTTTTGCATTATCGATCTCCATTTCAAAATACTGGTTCATAATTTAAATATTTTTGACGAGTTTAACAATAAAACAAAACAAAACCTAATCCGATTTGTTCGAAGCCTTCTCTTTTTCCAATTTAAATCTTCGTTTTTGGCATTTTTTGGTGATTCCGTTAAAATATCCGAGATAAACCAGGGTGATCGCGCGGAACAAACCAGCAAAGCAAACTTGAACCAAACCACGTGCCAGCGATTTTTCTGGACATGCACCGGCGGTCAAATTTCCTGAAAAAAAAAAGAGAATAAAGAATAAAATGAAAAATAGTAGTGGGCTCAATTGAGCATACCTAACATCCATCCATCGAGACCAATTGTGGTCGAATAATTACCAGATTCAATGTCTGAAATGTGTTGTTGGGCGACATAATCGGGAGTAAAAAGACCGGCCGATTCGCTCATTAGACGTGTTTCTTCGGGCATTGTTTCGATTTCGACCTGAAAATCGGAGAAATTAGAAAATAGTTTGGAGGGAACGAGGAAAAAATCTGATTCTGGATTTCATTGTCAGATTCTGGAAAATTAGAAAAAGTTTCAACAATTTTTAGAGGGATTTTCTATGAATTCGGCCCTTGGATTGCAGATTCTGGAAAAAAAATTTAATTTTCATTAATTTTAATTCGAAAATGATCCGGGAATTCAATTTCATACCGAAAAATACTCTCAAGGAGCGGATCCTTGAAAATTTAAACTCGTAGGGTCGGCTGCTTCAAAACTAGGTTCTCTAGGCGCGGGTCCTTGATAGTTGAGCTTTCTAGGGACAGCTACTTGAGAACTGGGGTTTGTAGGCGTGGCCAAACCTCACCCAAGAACCTGGAGAAGTGGGTAAAAAATTGCCCACCTGGGATTATTTACAAAAATTGCCCACCTAGTAAAAAAATTTTGTCCACTTGAGGCTCGCCTTAAATACCCTAAAAAATTTTGCCCACCTTAGCTTCGCCTTAAACACCCTAAAAAATTTTGCCCACCTTGGCTTCGCCTTAAACACCCTAAAAAAAATTTGCCCTCTGAGGCTCGCCTTAAATACCCTAAAAAATGTTGCCCACCTGAGGCTCGCCTTAAAGACCCTAAAAAATTTTGCCCACCTGAGGCTTGCCTTATAGACCCTAAAAAATTTTGCCCACCTGAGGCTCGCCTTAAAGACCCTAAAATTTTTTTGCCCACCTAGGTTTTTCGAAAAAAAATTGCCCACCTGGAATTCCAGGTGTTGGGTGAGGTTTGAGGCGTGGCTGCTTAACACCGAAGACTTATAGGCGCTGATCCTATACAACTAGGTTCTCTAGGCTCCGATCCTTTGAAATTTAACTTTTTAGGCGTGGCTACTTAACACCTAAGACTCCTAAGCGCTGATCCAAGACAATTAGGCTCTCTCGCGGCTACATGAGAAATAGGTTCTCTAGGCTCTGATCCTAGATAATTAGATTCTCTAGGCGTGGCTACTTGAGCTCTAGGATCTATAGGCTCAGCTTCTTGAGAAACAGGTTCTCTAGGCTCTGATCCTTGACAGTTAGGTTTTCTAGGCGCGGCTACTTGAGAAACAGGCTCTCTAGGCGCGGCTTTTTGAGAATCAGGCTCTCAAGGCGCGGCTCCTTGTCAGAGTTGATTTCTAGGCTCTGATCCTAGACAATTAGGTTCTCTAGGCGCGGCTACTTGAGAAAAAGGCTCTCTGGGCTCTGATCCTAGACAATTAGATTCTCTAGGCTCTGATCCTAGACAACTAGGTTCTCAAGGCGCAGCTACTTGAGAATCAGGCTCTCTAGGCTCTGATCCTTGACAATCAGGCTCTCTCGGGGCGGCTACTTGAGAACCAAGCTTTTTAGGCTCTGATCCTAGACAATTCGATTCTCTAGGCGCGGCTACTTGAGAAAAAGGCTCTCTGGGCTCTGATCCTAGACAATTAGATTCTCTAGGCTCTGACCCTTGAAAATTTAACTTTCTAGATCCAAAAATTCTACTTTTTCCTTGTGAAACGTAAACTCTATGACGTGGCAATTTAAAAATCGAAATTTTCAAACAATCGTTCAAAAACCAGACTTTTTCCCACAATAAATCCCATGTTTTTTACTCATTTTCCGGACCATTTTCTCACAACAGCTCAAACTCAACGAAACATAAATCAAATGTTTTTTGCCTCAAGCAAAACAGAGAATTACTAATCTAATTCAATTTGCCTCCACCCTCATCTTCAAGAAAAACTAAAAAACCAACCTTAAATCCTTCAGTATCCGTATTCGGGGGATACAAAACGCCAACATTGACTTTGAACGGCAACAATTCCATGTGAAGTGTGTCGGCGAAACCGCGCAACGCGAATTTCGTCGGCGAATATGCGGAATAGCCGAAAATCGCAAATTGTCCGGCGGCTGAGGAGACGAATGAGATATGACCAGTTTGTCGTTGTTTCATATCATCGACAACTGCACGAGTCGCGTGAACTGCGCTCAAATAATTGATTTTCATTTGATTTTCGAAATCGGTGATGGGAAGATCGCAGAATGGTGCTTGCACACTGTGACCAGCGTTGTTTATGAGAATGTCGATTGGGCCGAGCTCTTTTGCAGCGTTGTCAAAGGCCTCTTTGATCTGAAAAACATTGGAGATTATAGAAATTGTATGTTGTCTAGACTTGGAAAATACAAATTCAAAAATATAGTCCAAAAAAACTTTGGCTCAAGAATTTAGGGATTTTCATAAATATGAAAAACTATTTCAAAGGGGTGATTCAAGTCGAAAAAAAAAAGTTTTTTTACGAAAAAATTTTTTTTGAAAAATAAAATAATTTTATAATGGGGTCGAACTCGAAAAAAGTCTAAAAAAAACATTTTTCTGACAGAAAATGTCAAAAACTATATTTTTCCTATTTTTGGCATTTTTCCCACCCAAAAATGAAAAAAAAGTCAATTTGCTGAATCGAAATTTTTTGTAAAAAAACGTTCATTATTTTTTTTTTCAACTTGAATCACCCCATAAAATTTTGCTCAAGAAAAAATGGAGAAATTTTGGATTTTTTGAAGAAAATCCGAATCCCAGTGGTTCACGTCAGAAACTAGAAAATTCCTCAGATTCGATTCAGAAATCTTGAAAATCTCAGGATTTCTCCTCGAGATCTCAATTTATTCGGCTGAAGTTCAAGAAAATACATCATTGCTCATATTATGCAGTGATTATTCAAAATAAAAAACGTTTTTTTAATGTTAAAAAACCTAAAAAGTGATTGAAAATCGGTATTTTTATTCACTTTTTTCACCATTTTCTCAACACATTGAATAAATTGTGAAAATTAAGATTTTCAGTTATTTGTATCAACTTTGGGTCAACAATCCAAATTTTCAGATCGGAAATTTCGAAAAATCGAAGTTTTGTGAGCTGAAACCGAAAATTTGGACCCAAAACTGATACAAATAGCTAAAAATCTTCATTTTCATTGGAAATAGCTGAAAAATCCAGTTTTTCATTGAAAATCGATTAAATTTAGCTGAAAGTTTGGATTTTTGACTGAAAATGACCTAATATTGAGAAATATTTGAAAGTTTGACTGAAAATTGACTTAAAATTCTGAACTTTGGCTGAAAATTGTGAATTTCAGCAATTTCTAGAATGAAAATCTTCAAAAATCCCATAATTTCAAACGTTTTTTTATTTCGTTAATTAGAATCCCGACCAAACTCCACTCACAATCTCATAAGGCGCAGTCATATCCACCGATTTCCATGCAATCTTCTGATTCTGTCCTCGACTATCAGCCAATTCTTGCAATTTCCCACTCGCATTCTTCAAATCATTCACATTTCTGGCAATAATCGTCACATGACATCCTTTATTCACCAATTCCGAAGCCAACGCGAAACCGATACCTTTCGAACCGCCTGTGATCACTGCGTGTTTTCGATGGAGGAAGAATTCGCGACGGGATGGCATGGAAAAGTATAAAAAGAGAATGGCGACGAGGAAAATGGCAAAAATGAAGACGGGAATGAGGATGAGATAAACCCAGGCCATTTTTTGAGTTAGAAAATGTTGGTGATGTCGGTTTCGGTTAACTGAAAATTAAAAATTAGGTTTCGGGTACACGTTTCACGTATTTTAACATGTTTTCTAGCATTTTTTCGACCAGGATGTGAAATTTTGGGATTTTTGAAGATTTTCAGCCTAGAAATTGCTGAAATTCAGAATTTTCAGTCAAAAACCCTAATTTTTGAACAATTTCCATTGAATATAGGTAATTTGTATCAATTTCAGGCAATTTTCAGTCAAAAACTGGATTTTTGAGCTATTTCCAGTAAAAATTAAGATTTTTAGCTATTTGTATCAATTTCAGGCCATTTTCAGTCAAAAATCCAAATTTCCAGCTAAATTTAGGCAATTTTTAATAGAAAACTGAATTTTTCAGATATTTCCAGTGAAAATTAGGATTTTCAGCTATTTGTAACTGAAACTCTTAACTTTCACTGGAAATGGCTGAAAAATCCAGTTTTTTATTGATAATTGACTAAATTTAGATGAAAATTTGGATTTTTGAATGAAAATTGTCTGAAATTGATACAAATCACCTGGAAATTGCTCAAAAACCTGAATTTTAGCTGAAAATTATGAATTTCAGCAATTTCTAGGCTGAAAATCTTCAAAAATCTCAAAATTTCAGGGATCCTGGTCGAAAAAATGCTAGAAAACATATATTTTCCTTGTAAAAAACAAGTTATCACTCACACTATGAAGATGCGCCGCAATTCGTTGTCCCTGAAACTTTCCCTTGGCTGATAGAGCAGCCCAAACAGTTTTCGCCTCGTTTCCCGGAGCAACAATTGAACCGCGAAGAGTTGAAGGGTTGAATTCGGAAACCTTGACAACTGGACCGCAATTGCCGAAAACTTCGCGAATCGCTTCGGTCACAAATCGTTCAAATGAATCGATATCAAATGTTTTTTCCTTATCAGCAAGTTCGCTGTAATGCAAATAATAAAATAACCTTTTTTTTAGTTTGAAACATTTTGTAGGCTAGACAAATTTTTGAGCAAATATTTATATTTGCTACTCACATTTTTCACTCCAACTCTCGCAAAATCCGAATCGATTTCTTCTGGTTTTTTGACCATTCAGAACAAATTTTCCTGAAATTGTGTAGATTTACGAGAGAATTAAAGGGACATGCTATTCATTAGGCGGGTCTCGACACGGAGCACACACAGTGACGTCAGCAAATTTTTGGGCGGCCTGTTTTTGGGGGAGATTTTTCGGTTTTTTCACAAAAGCGCTGATTCACAAATTTTAAAAATGTTTTTTTAACATCGAAAGATCAATTCACGAAAAGTCGAAAAAACATTGTAGGTCAAAATTAGTTTTTCAAGGTTTTTCATCCAAAAATGATGACAAATCAATATTTTTCAAGCTTCTGGAGTGATTTCTGATTAAAATTGACTTTGGAATTCACCTCCCAGAAGGTTTTGCTGATTTTTTTCGAAAAATAACATTTTTTTAAATTTTGATGAATTTCGAAAAAAAGCAAAATAGGGTTCTCGAAGCTTATTTTCATCAGAAATTACTCCAGAAGCTTGAAAAATATTGATTTGTCATCATTTTTGGCTGAAAAATTCGAAAAACTAATTTTTGACCTACAATGTTTTTTCGACATTTTGTGACTTTCGTGAACTGATCAAACATTTTTTTTCGTTCGTGAATCAGCCCTAAAACCAAAAAACAATAAAAAAAATAGATAAATCTACAAGCACAACAACTTTTTCTACAATCAATCGATAAAAATCAAGATGTATATAAAGTTCATCCAGAAAATTCAGTTTTCAAATACAAGTTATTAAATTAAAGCTACAGTTATTTACAGGGGGTGGTACATTAAAGATCATTATATGTGGAATGCAGAGTACAAATAATTATTTTTCAAAACAAAATTCAGCGAGCTGTCGAAGTTGACGGCGCATTTTCACTACGCTTCTTCAACGTCACACTTCCTCGATGACGTCGCACAATCTCCAGATTATACTTGAACATGTATCGATGGAGCAAAGTAGTGGTGGCTCTATCGCGAAGACGAAGATCGAGAAGAAGTTCACCGCGTCCACCTTCCCGCGCGAATTTCTCGATTTTCTTTTGGATTCCGGAAACGTGGTGGGATGTTTGAGACTTTCTGATAAGCAATTTTCGATCGAATGGTGGTTGGAATAACTGAAAAATACACGCTGATATTCAAAATCTACAATTTTTTCAAAAAGAACTTCTCACTTCAGGATTTTGTTCCCCCGTTGGTGTTGTATCACCAACCCAATCACTTTGCTCATCATCAGCTTCACCGCCTCGATTATCTCCAGACAATGATTCATCGCTAGATGAGGAGATGTGCGATTCTGCACCATCACAATCCATATACCTTTCATTTTTATTTTGTTTTGGTGAGGGATCAACATCCATTAATTGTCCTTTGGCAAATCTCTTCATTCGTTTCTTCCTTCGAACTAAACGTTCTTCAGCAACAGTTGAGCCGGATTCAGGGAATGAATCGGATTCCAGTGTAACTCCAGCAATTCGTTTTGAGACTTTCTGAAAGTTCAATTGGATTTTATTCAATTATTTCAACTATAAATGACATTTTCAGGTTTTTTAAGCAAGTGAGTTGAAATATTGCGTTCTAATCTTATTCATATGATAGAATGGTCTAAGACGAACAGAATGATATAAATTTTGATGACTTTACGTTAATCATAAGTGATTTAGCGACCTTATCGATTAAACCTCCCTAAATCACTTATGGTTAACGTAAAATCATCAAAATTTATATCATTTTGTTCGTCTTAGACCATTCTATCATATGAATAACATTAGAACACAATATTTCAAGCTTAAAAAACCTGAAAATGTAATTTTAACTCACTTTGCACTCCAAATCTTCTTCCTCAACATCACTTTCGCGTTCACTCAAATCCATTGATCTATAAAAACTTCAAAAATTTCGAACAAACAACACAAAAAAGAAACGAAAAACAAGTCAAGATCAATATGTTTTTGTTATTTTTTTTCGGTCAAAGAACATGAAATATGACCAGGCCGTTACGAAACATGCAATTTGTTAGCAGAACAACAAAATTTCGATTTTTTTTGTTGAAGAGGCGTTCTCTGGCCAAAGAGAGGGAAGGAAGTATGAGAAAAGAGAATTTCGAAATTAATGATGGGGAAATCAATTTTCAGCTAGCTGTCTAATCTCTGCGTAGCAACGCCTCACACACGGATTAACAACAAGTGTATTTATAGGCGCAAATTAAATGTCGCTCTCTGAATGTTTTTCTCATCTTAAAGTTCATACAAACATGTTGTTTTTGTTTTGCAAAGTGAAAACGTGGGAAAACAAAAAGAAAAACCACTTCTCCGGGAGAAGTCCAAAGAGAGCGTTGTTTGGATTTCTAGGCCACGGTTTTTTGCGAACTTCAGCTGTTTTTCGAAGTTTTCAGAACTTTTAAGCTTAAATGTACGCATTGACAACAGAAGAATATGAAAAACACCGAGGAACTCTATTTCGACATTTCGCTGGACCTTCAGATGAGCCAAGTACGAGCACAAGTCAAGAAGAAAACGCGTTCAAAACAAGAAAATTGTTCATCGATAGTTATTTCAAAAGGTTTATTCGATCTATTGGTGAAACTTCGGATAATTTCGATCCCTCGCGTGTGAAATTTGATGATTTGGGTATTCCACAAGATCTGGGAAAACAGAATTTTGTGAGAATTCAAAAAGAAAGTCAAGGAATACCAGCTCATTTAGATCACGTGAGTAATTAATTTATTATTTCAAGAAAAACAACATTTTTCATCATTTTGAATTTTCAGATTCCTCCCTGGCTAATAAGACACTTCGAATATGCCGTCCGTCTCTCAATGGACTTTTCAAACAACCTCAAATTCAAAAAAATGAAAGAGTTACGCAAACTCCAATCAGAATTACCAATTGCTGAGAGATCTGAAGAAATCGTAGAACTTCTGAAGAACAATCAAGTTCTAATCGTTGCCGGCGACACTGGATGCGGTAAATCAACACAAGTTCCACAATATCTTATAAAAGCTGGGTACACTGGGATAGCTTGCACTCAACCGAGGAGAATTGCGTGTACAGCGCTTGCGAAGCGTGTTGCCTATGAGACTTTGAATCAATATGGAAGTGAGGTCGCTTTTCAGATAAGGTAGGAAGGATTATATCACGCGCTCTACACGCAACGCAGACCGCGTCGCGCCACAACACACTCAAAAAGGGAGGGAATTTTCCCCTATTTTTCCCCCTATTTGTGTAAGTACACACGTGTGTGTTGTGGCGCGGCGCGGTCTGCGTTGCGTGTTTATTTCGGTGGAGCGCGTGGTACCTCTAGAGATTCCATCAATGGGTTTTATAGATTTGAGACAACAAAATCGAAAAGAACAAAACTGCTCTTCCTCACTGAAGGACTTCTTCTCCGACAAATGGAAAATGATTCACTCCTCGATCAATACAACGTCATAATCCTTGATGAAGTTCATGAGAGACATCTAACATCAGATCTTTTGATTGGTCTACTTCGTGATCTATGTTCAAAGCGGGAAGATCTCAAGCTGATTCTGATGTCAGCAACAATTAATCTGGATTTATTCAAAGGTTATTTTAAAGATGCTCCGGTTATTCAAGTTCCTGGAAGGTTATATCCAATTGAATTAAAATGGCATCCGATTAAGCAATTTATTGATGCAAGCGAGAAGAAAACACATAAAATTGATCCTGAACCTTATCAAAGAATTCTGGAATTAATCGATAAACAATTTCCATCAACGCAAAGGGGAGATGCGTTGATTTTTCTGAATGGCGTTGCTGAAATCTCAACTGTGGCAGATGCACTGAAGAATTATGCAGAATTAACGAAAGGCTGGATTATTTTGATGTTACACAGCACACTTTCAGTTGAAGAACAGGATAAAGTCTTCGATGTCGCGCCAAATGGTGTGAGGAAGTGTATTCTATCAACAAATGTTGCTGAAACATCGGTAACCATTGATGGAATTCGATTTGTGATTGATAGTGGCAAAGTGAATCTAATCAAACATGAACCGGGGACAGGGACTCAGAAGTTAACGGAGTTTTGGGTGAGTAAAGCATCGGCGAATCAACGGAAAGGACGTGCTGGAAGAACTGGACCTGGGATTTGTTATCGATTGTATTCTCAAGAACAATATGAGAAGATGGATGATTTTACGCTTTCTGAAATAAATCGAGTTTCGTTACAGGAAATGTCACTGAAAATGATTAGTTTGAATCTAGGGTGTAAGTTAACGCGCTCCACCGAAATAAACACGCAACGCAGACCGCGCCGCGCCACAACACACAAAAAAGGAGGGAATTTGAATCGTTCCCTTGTGTTGTGGCGCGGCGCGGTCTGCGTTGCGTGTTTATTTCGGTGGAGCGCGTGGTTTTTCGATAATATACCAAATCGGCCCTGCTGATCACTATTCCGAAGTCAAAAATTGCCACAAACTCCTGTGAGCACTTTTCTGGAGCTTTGGAAAGTTAAAATTGAGTTTTGGTTTTCGTCCCGGGTGAAAAATCAATTTTTATAACTTGAATAAGGTTGTTCACCACATTCAAAAACCTATCTGCTTTTTAGTTTATCAAAAAAATATCAAATAGCAGCTGAAAACTGTAAATTTTGAAAAAGCCATAAAAATACACACGTTTTTTAAAGCGTTTTGGGCACATTTAAAAATTAAAGTTTTCAGCTGCTAAAGTTTTCAGCTGCTAATTTTTAAATGTGCCCAAAAAACTTCAAAAAACGTATGTATTTTTATGGCTTTTTCAAAATTTACAGTTTCCAGCTGCTATTTGATATTTTTGATAAACTAAGATGCTGATAGGTTTTCGAATGTGGTGAACAACCTTATCCAAATTATAAAAATTGATTTTTCACCCAGGACGAAAACCAAAACTCAATTTTAACTTTCCAAAGCTCCAGAAAAGTGCTCACAGGAATTTGTGACAATTTTTGACTTCGGATTCGTGATCAGCGTGTTCGAATTGGTATGTTTCATCAAAACTTCCCTTGTAATTAAAAATTTTCAGTGGACCCTCGAACCTTTCCATTCATTGAAAAACCCGCGGAAAATGTGCTAAATGAGGGATTAGAAATGTTAAAATTCCAAGGAATTCTCCGAACTGATCGAGAAAATCTGACGCTGACAGCATTGGGGCTGACAATCTCGAAACTGCCAGTAGATGTTCCAATAGCTAAGATGCTGGTTTATGGTTGTGTAGTTGATCAATTGGAAGTTATGCTAACTGTCGCCGCTGGTTTATCAGTTCAATCGCCATTTACAAATCGCTCGTATCGAGAGCTTGAAATTGTTGAGAAGCGCGCGAATTTGACGAGTCCGATGGGTGATCCTTTCACATTGATTGCGATTTTTCGAGAATGGGTTTTGCAGAAAACATTTGAAGGATCTGCGAGAAAATGGGCGATGGAAAATGGAATTGATGAACATCGACTTTATGAGATCAGCAAACTTCGATCGCAATATAGACAAATTTTGGAGGATGCTGGATTAGTTGAAAAGGCTTTTGATTCTGGAGCAGATGATTCGAGACAAAGAAGAATTGATCAAGGAGAGCGACGGAAATTATTTGATTTGAAAAAAGCGCAAAGAAATAATGATAAATCCAGAAAAATATTGAATGCTAACAAGCATTTCGATACAATTTTAATGGAAAAAGAGGAAGAGGATCTGGAATTTGAAAAAGATCCGCTAAAAGCCGATGTTAAAACCGTCGAATTCCTCTTAAGTCACAAGGAAAAAGATGTTGATTCAATTCGAAGTTCACATAAATTAACGCGAAAAACATCGGAGATTATTCGAGTTATAATAGCAGCTGGATTATATCCGAATTTTAGTATTTTGGATCAGATAAACAAGTATGGATATGGTCAAGAAATGTTTGTTCATACTCGATTGAAGCCGTTTAGTTTACTTCATCCGAATAGTTCGATTGCACAATATCATCCGGAAACTATTGATCCAAGACAGGGTTCTGATGGGTTTTCGAATCTACATCAAGTTCTGTTTTATGGATTGTTGCTAGAGACTACGAAACCGTATATTTGTAATGTTATGCCAACTCCAGCGATTTATACTTTGTTAGTGGCGAGAAAGGTAAGGAAAAAAATTAATAAAAATATTTTTTAACGAAAAATTTTGATTCAAATGTCAAAAAATAGGAAAAAATATAGTTTTTTTTACATTTGAATCGAAATTTTTTGTTAAAAAAAAAATAAAAACATTTTTTTTACAAAAAATTTCGAGAAAATGTCAAAAAATAGGAAAAAACATAGTTTTTTTTACATTTGAATCCAAATTTTTTGTCAAAAAAAGTTTTTTTTATTATTTTTTTTCATTCAGATCGTTATCGAAGACTGGAAAAAAATCAGCATCGATGACTTCCTCGAAATCGAATTCAGAAATTCTGAAGATTGTCGAAGTGTGATTTTGGACGCGAAAGAAATCAGATATGAATTAACACGAGGATTGGCAGCGAAATTGACATCGCAGGAGAATTTCAGCTCTCGAAGACTTAATAAATATATCGATTTATTGAATCGGACAATAACGGAAAAAGGAGTTGCGATAAAATTGAAAAGGAATATTGATCCGCCGAAAGTATTGGTTGGAACTGGGATACATTCACCGGATGGGGGAATTGATAAAGAGGTGGGGGGTTTTTTTTTTGTTTTTTAAGAAAAAATTTGGGATAATCTGAAATTAGACTAGCTCTGGAAGGTTTCTGAGCTTAAATTTTCAGAACCTACAGTAATCCTGAGGTAACTATAGCTGAAAATGTGCTAATAAAAATCACCGGAAAAAATACAATTCAAAATGTTCATAACATTTTTTTTGATTTTGGAATTTTGATTCTCGACTTTTATATTCCTAAATAATCTACAATAAACCAGAAACTACAGTAACCCTTGCATTTCGAAAAAACTACCGTAACCCAGACAGTAATCGGATTACTGTAGCTGAAAAAGTGCCAAAGAAAATCACCGGAAAAAATACGTTTCAAAATTTTCATAACAATTTTTTTTAATTTTGGAATTGTTGATATTATATTGAATTATTTTCGAAATTCAACAGTAACCCAGAAACTACAGTAATCCTAGAATTTTGAAAAAAATTATAGCAACCCAGAAACTACAGTAATCTGATGATTACTGTAGCTGAAAAGGTGCCAGAGAAAATGTTCATAACAAATTTTTGATATTCTGTCGGATTGTTTATGAAGTTTTACAGTAACCCAGAAACTACAGTAATCCTAGGATTGTTTTAAATCTACAGTAACCCGGAAAATACAGTAATCTTAGTATTACTGTAGCTGAAAAATTGTCGATGAAAAGAATAACAAACTTTTGATATTCTGTCGGATTGTTTTTGAAGTTTTACAGTAACCCATAAACTACAGTAACCCTTGCATTTCAAAAAATCTACAGTAACCCAGAAAATACAGTAACCGACTTTTTTAGCTGAAAAAATTGTCGATGAAAATCACCGGACAAAATACGTTTCAAAATTTTCATAACAAATTTTTTTATTTTGGAATTTTTGATATACTCTTCTTTTCTTTCCTAAATAATCTACAGTAATCCTAGAATTACTGTAGCTAAAAAAGTGCCAAAGAAAATCACCGCAAAAATACGTTTCAAAATTTTCATAACAAATTTTTTTATTTTGCAAAAAATCAATTCCAGAGAAAATTTTTCCAGGAAAACATCGATGAAGTAATCGATAGATATGAAGCTGAAAATCACGAAGATCAAGACGAAGAAGAAGAAGAAGATGCCAAAAAGAATCTGGAAATTCTGAAATCCGACGCAATGTGTCCACCAACTCGTGAAATGCTCGAAGAACTCGAAACAAGGAAAAAAGAGGCGCCAAAAGAATCGTATTATGAAATATTGAAAAGAAGACAGGCTGAAAAACGGGTGAAATTGGAGCAAGATTGATTTATTTACAAAAAAAATAAAAAATTTTCAAAAATATTTATCTTGGACTTGTTATTCCTAAGGTTATTTACCTTATTTCAATTATCTTCCCAAATTTCTCCCGGAGTAATTGTTATAAATTTAGTGTGTTTCAAATCTTCTCGATTTTCCATCAACGTTTTCAATTTGTCACGTGGCTCTAAATAGTGCTGAAAATTCGAGGATAGTTAGGGTAAGTAGATATTTCTTACCTCATAAGATCCCATATGATAAGTTCCCCAGTGAATTCCGATACTCATTCGAGATTTGATCAATTCATGAACTGATACTGCTTCTTCTGGATTGATGTGTTGGGATTTCATGAACCATCTGGAAATTTAGAATTTTAAGAGCTCGAAATTGAGCCAAAATTTGAGAATTTTCGAAAAATCGCATTTTTCATAGCCCATGACTCATGTTAGAGGAGATTTTATCAAAAACTGAGTACAGGGCGATGTTCAGCAAGGTTGATTTACCAAAATTTTTCAAAAAAAATTGGCACTTTTTCAGCTACAGTAATCCGATTACTGTAGATTTTTTCAAAATTCGAGGGTTACTGTAAAATTTCAAAAAACAATCCGAGAGAATATCAAAAATTCCAAAATTTCAAAAAATTTGTTATAAAAGTTTTGAAACGTATTTTTTCTGGTTATTTTCATTAGCACTGTTTCAGCTACAGTAATCCGATTACTGTCTGGGTTACTGTAGATTTTATAAAATTCGAAGATTACTGTAGATTATTAAGTACTAAAAAAGTTGAAAATCAAGTATTAAAAAACAAACTTTTTTCTGATTTTCTAAAACCACAAAATGTTTTCTAAAATTTTTGAATTGGTAAATCAACCTTCCTGAACATCGCACTGTGCTCAGTTTTTGATAAAATCTTCTCTAACATGAGTCATGGGCTCTCAAAAACGCGATTTTCAGAAAATTCTCAACTTTTGGCTCATTTTCGGGCTCTTCCCTCGTCAATTTTTCCCAAAATCCCCAAAAAATCTCACTTTGGCTCATAGGCTCCAATCGGAATTGCGGCCAAATCAAAAGGTCCCAATTTATCGCCGATTTTTTGGAATTCACTCTCACAGAAGCCGGTGTCTCCAGAATAATAGAATCGTTTTGTTGGTCCCACAACGGACCATCCTGACCATAATCTCTACAAAAAAAATGGTTTTTTCTCGAAAAAATGCGAAGTCTGGAAGCCTGTGCCTTGTAAGCTTCATACGATTTTCCCCCTCTAGAAAACAAGGCTTACATGATTTCTATCAAAAGGACCACGTTGTCCCCAATGTTGAGCGGGAACACACCAAATTTCGAAATCTTTTCCGTCCTTTTTCACCTTCACACTTTCACCCCAGTTCATTTCAGTGATGAGATCGGGATTTGAGGGGCTGATTTTGGTGATTCCAGCAGATTCCATCCAGGATTTCATACCCAGGGGGACAAACCATCGAATCGAGGGGGTTCATTCTGAAAATTCCGATTTTCAGTGAGGTTTTGAGCCCCTGGTTTTCGGAAAATTTCGGAAACCCATGTTTTTCCGAATCCATCCGGTCGGAAAAAGTTTTCCGAAGTTATTTTCCGAATTTTATTTTCGGAAAAAAGTTTTCCGACTGTTTTTTCCGACTTAATTTTTGGGAAAATCGGAAAAAATTTCAACAAATTCGGCAGTTTTCACGATATTTTGTCACTTTTGTTAAATATTACTAACAACTTCTTATATTTTTCACAATTACCAAAATTATTTTGTGATAAAATTAGCAAAAATTCCTGAAAATCACCTATTTTTCCATTTTTTCGGAAAATTACTAGTCTCAGAAAATTTTCGGAAAATAACTTTTTCCGAAAATATTAGTCGGAAAAATTTTCCGACCAAAAGTTTTCCGACTTGTATTTTTTCCAAAATTTTCTTAAAAAGTCGGAAAATCGCTCTGAACTAACTCTGTAATTTTCTTCACCGCTTCATAATCCAAATGATCATAATGATCATGCGAAATAACACCATAATCCAATTTTGGTAAATCCTCAATTTTCATCGGGGGAGGCCTGTATCTTTTCGGACCAACAAACGAAATAAACGATGCTCTTTGAGCCCAAATTGGATCAGTTATAACAGTTGCACCTTCAATGTTTAGAAGTACTGTAGCATGACCTAACCAGGTGGCAAAAAGTTTGCTTTTGCTCTCGAACTTCGTCAAATTCTTGATTGGTATTGTTTCATCCAATTCTTCCGCATTTTTCGGCACATTTTCATTATCAGTTTCGAGGAATTTGTAGCGAAAACCTTCCCGCGGACCGGGAAGACCTCCCCAATTTTTGAATGATGGAGGATTCGCGAATCTAAGGAATTTTTATTTGAAAAATAAATTTTTGAAGCGAAAACTCACGTTTTCCCATGTCTTAAGGGCTTGGCAAATCCAGATTCTTCTGTAGAATTTTTTTCTTGAGACGAGGATTCCATGAGGACTAAAAAGATCAATAGAAAAAGTTGCATTTTTCTTGAAGTTTACCGGGGAAATGAGGTAAAGGTTCAAGATTTTCTCAACAAAAAATAACAGCTGTTGAGAAAAAACACGAAATGAATCAAATTCACGCTATTTTCGAAAAAAAACATATTTATTTTATTTTTTTCCAAAAAAAAAAAATAGAAAAAAAAACTAACAATATTCCTCCCATTTTTCACGCTGATTTTCTTGAATGGCGGAATTGTACTGATGTTGAGGAAACGAAATGTTCAACAATTGCGAAGTCTCATCGCTGAACTGACACTAGGCCACGATCTATCAAAGATCCGCCGGAAAAACTTGCGAAGTGCCACGCGAACTTTGCTCGTCATCATCTCCGCCTATCTGATCTCCAATCTTCTCAGCTTAATCATCATCATCACCGAATATGTGGATCACGATTTTTTGCACAAAAATCATCCGGATTTGAATCGCATCGCTCTGGATTCGGCGGCCCTGCTGACTGTTGTTGGAAATGCGATTCGATGTCCCGCGCATATTTATAGCAACAGTGAGATTCGAACACAATTCCGAATTTTGATATGCGGTGAGGAGAGGAAAAAGGTGAGTGGTTCGAGTGTTTTTTTTTGCAGAGTGGGGAAATTGAAGTGGTTTAGTATAGTTGGATATGTCAGATGATTTTTTGTGGAGCAGAGTAAAAAATATGAAAAAGGGAGCAAATATCAAGTCGGGGGAACATTTTTGAACCAGGAAATTCGAAAAAAAAAATAGAAATTCAATTTTTTTCCAATTTTTCAAGGAGATGTGCCTAGAGAGCTTGGTTTCCAAGTAGTCGCGCTTAGAGAGCAGAATTGTCTAGAGGCCACAACTAGAGATTGACTCTGGCAAGCAGCTGAGCCTATAAACCCCATTTTTCAAGCAGTCGCGCCTAGAAGTCCTAATTTTCAAGCAGCAGCGTCTTGAGAGCCTAGTTCTGAAGCTGCAGAGCCTACAAACACTAGTTGTCAAGCAGATGAGCCTACAACCCCTAGTTGTCAAGAAGTCAAGTCTAGAAATTCTAGTTTTCAAGAAGCCGCGCCTACAAACCCCAGTTCTCAAGTAACCGCGCCATGAGAGCCTAGCTATCAAAGATTCGAGCCTTGAGAGCCTAGTTCACAAGTAGGCTCACCTGCAACCCCCAGTTCTCAAGCAGCCGCGCCTTGAGCGCCTCTATGCGAAGCAGCTGAGCCTACAACCCCTAATTGTCAAGTAGCCGCGCCTAGAAAACCTAGTTTTCAAGGATCAGCGCCTACAAACCCCAGTTCTCAAGCAGTCGGGCCTAGAGAACCTAATTGTCTAGAGCCCACATCTAGAGATTCACTCTGACAAGGATCTGCCCCTAGAGAGCCTAGTTCTCAAGCATTCGATCCTAGTTCCCCCCTCAAACCTTCAAACTTCCAGGAAATCAAACGAAGTTCCTCCCAAGAACGTCTCGACAATCCATGGATGACATTGATGTGGGTTTCAGCCAACAAACAATGTTCGGACGATGAAAAGGCCGCATTTATGCCAAAAGCCCTAATGAAACGACACTCCGCAATTGCGATTGTATGATAATTTTCCAAATTTTCCAAATTTTCTGAATTTTGCATCACAGATTTGATCTCTCTCCATACTGGTTCATAACTTATATATTTTTGACGAGTTTAACAATAAAACAAAACAAAACCTAATCCGATTTTGAAGAAGCCTTCTCTTTTTCCAATTTAAATCTTCGTTTTTGGCATTTTTTGGTGATTCCGTTAAAATATCCCAAATAAACCAGGGTGATCGCGCGGAACAAACCAGCAAAGCAAACTTGAACCAAACCACGTGCCAGCGATTTTTCTGGACATGCACCGGCGGTCAAATTTCCTGTAAGGAAACGAGAGAGATGAAAGAATAAAATGGGCTCAATTGAGCATACCTAACATCCATCCATCGAGACCAATTGTGGTCGAATAATTACCAGATTCAATGTCTGAAATGTGTTGTTGGGCGACGTATTCGGGAGTGAATAGACCGGCTGATTCGCTCATTAGACGGGTTTCTTCGGGCATTGTTTCGATTTCGACCTGACAATTAGAGAAATTCGATTTTATGAGGACTTTTTGCTTAAAAATGAATCTGGGACCGAATTCATAAATTTAATATACTAAAAAAAAAGATTTTTCTCACGAGGAAAAATCTCATTCTGAATTCCAGAATCTTGAAAATTAGACAAATTTTCAACAATTTTTAGGGGAGTTTTCTATGAATTCGGCCCTTGGATTGCAGATTCTGGAAAAATTTCGAAAAAACTTTAATTTTCAACAATTTTAATTCGAAAATGATCCGGGGACATGATTTCAAATCGAAAAATATTCGCTCGCATCGGCTACTTGAGAAACAGGCTCTCTAGGCGCGGGTCCTTGTCAGAGGTGATTTCTAGACGCGGGTCCTAGACAATTAGATTCTCTAGACGCGACTGCTTGAAAACCAGGCTCTCTAGGCGCGGCTACTTGAGAAAAAGGCTCTCTAGGCTCGACTCCTTGAGAACCAACCTCTCTAGGCGCGGCTCCTTGTCAGAGTTGATTTCTAGATGCGGGTCCTAGACAATTAGGTTCTCTAGGCTCTGATCCTTGACAATTAAATTCTCTAGGCGTGACTACTTAAGAGCCAAGCTCTCTAGGATCTGATCCTTGACAATTAAATTCTCTAGGCGCGTCTGCTCGAGAACCAAGCTCTCTAGGCTCTTCTCCTAGACAACTAGGTTCTCTCGGCGCGGCTACTTGAGATCTAGGATCTATAGGCTCAGCTGCTTGAGAATCAGACTCTCTAGGCTCTGATCCTTGACAATTTGAATTCATAGGCTCAGCTTCTTGGTATAGACACTCTCAAGGCGCGGCTCCTTGAAAACCAGGCTCTCAAGGCGCGGCTCCTTGTCAGAGTTGATTTCTAGGCTCTGATCCTAGACAATTAGGTTTTCTAGGCGCGGCTACTTGAAAACTGGGGTTTGAAGGCGTGAATGCTTGAGATCTAGGATCTCTAGGCTCCGATCCTTGACAATTCAAATTCATAGGCGCGGCTGCTTGAAACACACCTCGGCCAAGCCGTGGCTGGCCAGAGTACAATTTTTTGAAAAATCTGAATTTCAGTTTTTAGAGATCAAAAACTGAAAAATTCACAATTTTTGTACTGTAAAAAGTTAGCGTACAATTTTTTATTATGGAAACCACGATTTTGACCGAGGTGTGGCTTGAAAACCAGGTTCTCTAATAGCGGCTACTTGAGAACTGGGGTTTGCAGGCGCGGCTGCTTGAGAAACAGGCTCTCTAGGCTCTGATCCTTGACAATTTAAATTCCTAGGCGTGACTACTTGAAAACCAGACTCTCTAGGGACGGCTTCTTGACAACTAGGTTCTCTAGGCGTGGCTGCTTGAGAATCACGCTCTTTAGGAGCTGACCCTAGACAATTAGATTCTCTAGGCTCTGATCCTAGACAACTAGGCTTTCTAGGGGCAGCTACTTGAGAAACAGACTCTCTAGGCGCGAATCCTAGACAACTAATCTTTCTAGGCGCAGCTACTTGAGAATCAGGTTCTCTAGGCGCGACTACTTGAGCATCAGGCTCTCTAGGCCCTAATCCTTGAAAATTCAACCCTCTAGATCCTAAATTTTCAAAAATTCTACTTTTTCCTTGTGAAACGTGAACTCTATGACGTGGCAATTTGCAAATCGAATTTTCAAACAATCGTTCAAAAACCAGACTTTTTCCCACAATAAATCCCATGTTTTTGACTCATTTTCCGGACCATTTTCTCACAACAGCTCAAACTCAACGAAACATAAATCAAATGTTTTTTGCCTCAAGCAAAACAGAGAAATACTAATCTAATTCAATTTCCCTCCACCCTCTCATCCCCTAAAAAGACCAACCTTAAATCCCTCAGTATCCGTATTCGGGGGATACAAAACGCCAACATTGACTTTGAACGGCAACAATTCCATGTGCAGTGTGTCGGCGAAACCGCGCAACGCGAATTTCGTCGGCGAATATGCGGAATATCCGAAAATCGCAAATTGTCCGGCGGCTGAGGAGACGAATGAGATATGACCGGTTTGTCGTTGTTTCATTTCATCGACAACTGCACGAGTCGCGTGAACTGCGCTCAAATAATTGATTTTCATTTGATTTTCAAAGTCGGTGATGGGAAGATCGCAGAATGGTGCTTGCACACTGTGACCAGCGTTGTTTATGAGAATGTCGATTGGGCCGAGTTCTTTTGCAGCGTTGTCAAAAGCCTCTTTGATCTGGAAAAAATATATTATTTGTCTAGACTTGGAGAATACAAATTCAAAAAAAAAATTAGTGTTCCAAACTCCAAAACACTTTGGCTCAAGAATTTAGGGATTTTCAGAAATATGAAAAAGTGTTTCAATGGGGTGATTCAAGACGAAAAAAAAAATAATTTAAAAAAACTTTTTTTTACAAAAATTTTCGATTCAGAAAATGTCAAAAAACCATAAATTTTTCCTATTTTCGGCATTTTTCCCACCCAAAAATGAAAAAAAAGTCAATTTGCTGAATCGAAATTTTTTGTAAAAAAAACTTTCATTATTTTTTTTCAACTTGAATCACCCCATAAAATTTTGCTCAAGATCAAAATTTTGGATAATCAAAATTGTGCCAAGAAAAAATGGAGAAATTTTGGATTTTTGAAGAAATTCCGAATCCCAGTGGTTCAGAAACTAGAAAAAAAATTCAGATTCGATTCAGAAATCTTGAAAATCTCAGGATTTCTCAGATTTCTCCTAGAGCTCTCAATTTATTCGGCTGAAGTTCAAGAAAATGCATCATTGCTCATTTTATTCATTGATTCACGAAATAAAAAAAACATTTTTTAAAGACACATAGAAAACTAGAAATTTGTGTTGGAAATCGTAAAAATTTGAACGCGCGCCTTTTTTCAAAGTTGTGTGTTGTTCGTTTGAAAAAAAAAACGAATAAAAAGTGGTGGTACGGTATGCTAAGAATGCACACATGTGCGGCAAATCACGAACATTTGTGCAAACACCAAAATTCGCGTCGGCTGAGCGATTTCAAAAAAGGAAATTTCTTTTTTTGACTTTCGCTAAACTCAATATTTTTCAATTTTGTTTATGTACTTCCACTATTTGAAGGATGATAAAAAACATGCAAATAATGATTTTCGAACGATTTCTAGTTTTCTACGTGTCTTTAACGTTAAAAAACCAAAAAAGTGATTCGCGAACGGTATTTTTATTCATTTTTTAATCATTTTCTTAACAAATTTAATAAAGTGAAGCTAAAACGCAATTTTAGTGTCCAAAAATGCTATTTCAAGACCTTCTAATCAGCCTGAAAGACAAATTGAGCTTTCAAAATCAAAGTTTTGATTTTCGAAATTTTTTTAAGGCTAGATTTGTCTTTTAGGCTGATTAAAAGGTCTTGAAATAGCATTTCTGTGCGTTTTAGCTTCACTTTATTCAAATGTGTTGAAAAAATGGTGAAAAATGAATAAAAATACCGTTCGTGAATTAATTTTTTGGTTTTTTAACGTTAAAAAACGGTTTTTTCTCATTTCGTAAACCCCTGCATAATATGAGCAATGATGTATTTTCTTGACGAACTTCAGCCGAATAAATTGAGAGCTCGAGGAGAAATGAAAAAATCTAGAATTCCCCTTGTATATAAGTCGGATCTGAGGAATCATTGCTCATATTAGAATCCTAACCACTCACAATCTCATAAGGCGCAGTCATATCCAACGATTTCCATGCAATCTTCTGATTCTGTCCTCGACTATCAGCCAATTCTTGCAATTTCCCACTCGCATTCTTCAAATCATTCACATTTCTCGCAATTATCGTCACATGACAACCTTTATTCACCAATTCTGATGCCAACGCGAAACCGATGCCTTTCGAACCGCCTGTGACAATTGCGTGTTTTCGATGGAGGAAGAATTCGCGACGGGATGGCATGGAAAAGTATAAAAAGAGAATGGCGACGAGGAAAATGGCAAAAATGAAGACGGGAATGAGGACGAGATAAACCCAGGCCATTTTTGAGTTAGAAAATGTTGGTGATGTCGGTTTCGGTTAACTGAAAATTAAAAAATGACATTTTTCAGTACACGTTTCACGTATTTTACACGTTTTCTAGCATTTCTTCGATCAGGATGTGAAATTTCGGGATTTTTCAAGATTTTCAGCTTAGAAATCGCTGAAATTCAAAATTTCCAGCTAAAATTCAGGTTTTTGAGCAATTTCCAGGTGATTTGTATCAATTTCAGGTCATTTTTAGTCAAAAATCCAAATTTGCAGCTAAATTTAGTCAATTTTCAATGAAAAACTGGATTTTTCAGATATTTCCAGTGAAAATTAAGATTTTTAGCTATTTGTATCAATTTTGGGTCCAAATTTTCGCTTTCAGCACCTAAAACCTCGATTTTTCGAAATTTTCGAACTGAAAATTTGAATTGTCGACTCAAAATTGATACAAATCGCTGCAAATCTTAATTTTTACTGGAAATATCTGAAAAATCCAGTTTTTTATTGAAAACTGACTAAATTCAGCTGAACATTTGAATTTTTCACTGAAAATGGCCTGAAATTGATACAAATCACCTGGAAATTGCTCAAAAACTTGAATTTTAGCTAAAAATTCTGAATTTCAGCAATTTCAGCAATTCCATTGAATATAGGTGATTTGTATCAATTTCAGGCCATTTTCAAGCAAAAATCCAAATTTTCAGCTAAATTTAGTCAAGTTTCAATAGAAAACTGGATTTTTGAGCTATTTCCAGTGAAAATGAAGATTTTCAGTTACAAATAGCTGAAAATCTTAATTTCCACTGGAAATATCTCAAAAATCCAGCGTTTTATTGAAAACTGACTGAATCTAGCTGAAAATTTGGATTTTTGAATGAAAACGGCCTGAAATTGATAAAAATCACCTGGAAATTGCTCAAAAACCTGAATTTTAGCTGAAAATTCTTAATTTCAGCAATTTCTAGGTTGAAAATCTTCAAAAATCCCAAAATTTCTGCAATTTCAGGGATCCTGGTCGAAAAAATGCTAGAAAACATATATTTCTCTTGTAAAAAACAAGTTATCACTCACACTATGAAGATGCGCCGCAATTCGTTGTCCCTGAAACTTTCCCTTGGCTGATAGAGCAGCCCAAACAGTTTTCGCCTCGTTTCCCGGAGCAACAATTGAACCGCGAAGAGTTGAAGAATTGAATTCGGAAACCTTGACAACTGGACCGCAATTGCCGAAAACTTCGCGAATCGCTTCGCTCACAAATCGCTCAAATGAATCGATATCGAATGTTCTTTCCTTATCAGCAAGTTCGCTGTAATGCAAATAGTTTTTTGGTTTATTATTTAGTGAAACATTTTGTAGGCTAGAGCACATTTTTGAGCAAATATTTATGTTTGCGACTCACATTTTCACTCCAACTCTCGCAAAATCCGAATCAATATCTTCTGGTTTTTTGACCATTCAGAACAAACTTTCCTGAAATTGTGTAGATTTACGAGAGAATTAAAGGGACATGCAATTCATTAGGCGGGTCTCGACACGCACCACACACAATGACGTCACCAAATTTATGGGCGGCCTGTTTTCAGGGAGATTTTTCGGTTTTTTCACAAAAGGACTGATTCACGAACGAAAAAATGCTTTTTTAACATTGAAAGATCAATTCACGAAAAGTCGAAAAAACATTGTATGTCAAAATTAGTTTTTCAGCCAAAAATGATGACAAATCGATATTTTGCAAGCTTCTGGAGTGATTTCTGATGAAAATTGACTTTGGAATTCACTTTACAGAAGGTTTTGCTGATTTTTCGTAAAATAAACAAAATTTAAATTTCGATGAATTTCGAAAAAAGAAAAATAAGGTTCTCGAAGCTTATTTCCATCAGAAATTACTCCAGAAGCTTGAAAAATCTAGATTTCTCATTATTTTTGGCTGAAAAACCTTGGAAAACTAATTTTGATCTACAATGTTTTTTTGACTTTTCGTGAATTGATCTTTCAATGTTAACAAAAACATTTTTTTTTCGTTCGCGAATCCCTAAAAACTAAAAAAAATAGATAAATCTACAAGCACAACAACTTTTTCTCCAATGAATCGATAAAAATCAAGATTTATATATAAAGTTCATCCAGGAAATTCAGATTTCAAATACAAGTTATTAAATTAAAGCTACAGTTATTTACAGGGGGTACATTAAAGATCATTATATGTGGAATGCAGAGTACAAATAATTATTTTTTCACAAAAATCGAATTTTAGCGAGCTGTCGAAGTTGATGGCGCATTTTCAGTGCGCTTCTTCAATGTCACACTTCCTCGATGACGTCGCACAATCTCCAGATTATACTTGAACATGTATCGATGGAGCAAAGTGGTGGTGGCTCTATCGCGAAGACGTAGATCGAGAAGAAGCTCGCCCCGTCCACCTTCCCGCGCGAATTTCTCGATTTTCTTTTGGATTCCGGAAACGTGGTGGGATGTTTGAGACTTTCTGATCAGCAATTTTCGATCGAATGGTGGTTGGAATAACTAAAAGACTTTGATATTTTTGTTAGAACCTATAGGAATTCTTCTTACTTCAGGATTTTGCTCCCCCGTTGGTGTTGTATCACCAACCCAATCACTTTGTTCATCATCAGCTTCACCGCCTCGATTATCTCCAGACAATGATTCATCACTAGATGAGGAGATGTGCGATTCTGCACCATCACAATCCATATATTTTTCATTTTTGTTTTGTTTCGGCGAGGGATCAACATCCATTAATTGTCCTTTGGCAAATCTCTTCATTCGCTTCTTCCTTCGAACTAAACGTTCTTCAGCGACAGTTGAGCCGGATTCAGGGAACGAATCTGATTCCAGTGTCACTCCAGCAATTCGTTTTGAGACTTTCTAGAAGTTCAGAGGTCAATTGGAATTCCAATGACATTTTCAGGTTTTTCAAGCAAATGAGTTGAAATATTGTGTTCTAATCTTATTCATATGATAGAATGGTCTAAGACGAACAGAATGATATAAATTTTTATGACTTTACGTTATCCATAAGTGATTTAGAGACTAAACCTCGCTAAATCCCTTATGGATAACGTAAACTCATCAAAATTTATATCATTCTGTTCGTCTTAGACCATTCTATCATATGAATAACGTTAGAACCCAATATTTCAAGCTTAAAAAACCTGAAAATGAAATTTTAACTCACTTTGCACTCCAAATCTTCTTCCTCAACATCACTTTCGCGTTCACTCAAATCCATTGATCTATAAAAACTTCAAAAATTTTAACAAACAACACAAAAAAGAAACGAAAAACAAGTCAAGATCAATATGTTTTTGTTATTTTTTTCGGTCAAAGAACATGAAATATGACCAGGCCGTTACGAAACATGCAATTTCTTAGCAGAACAACAAAATTTCGATTTTTTTCTTTTGAAGAGGCGTTCTGGCCAAAGAGATGGAAGAAATTTCGAAATTAATGATGGGGAAAATAAAGAGGAAATCAATTTTCAGCTAGCTGTCTAATCTCTGCGTAGCAACGCCTAGCTTAGGATTAACAACAAGTCTATTTATAGGCGCAGATGAAATGTTAGTCTCTGAATGTTTTGCAGCAAGATTCTTATCCTAAAGTTCATGTAAACATGTTGTTTTTCTTGTGCAAAATGAAAACGTGGGAAAAACAAAAAAATTTCACTTCTCCGGGAGAAGTCCAAAGAGAGCGTTGTTTGGATTTCTAGGCCACGTTTTTTACGAACAGCTGTTTTTCGAAGTTTTCAGAACTCAAATGTACGCATTGACAACAGAAGAATATGAAAAACATAGAGGAACACTATTTCGACATTTTGCTGGACCTTCCGATGAACCAAGTACGAGCACAAGTCAAGAAAACGCGTTAAAAACAAGAAAATTGTTCATCGACAGTTATTTCAAACGGTTTATTCGATCTGTTGGTGAAACATCGGATAATTTCGATCCCTCGCGAGTGAAATTCGATGATTTGGGTATTCCACAAGATCTTGGAAAACAGAATTTTGTGAGAATTCAAAAAGATAGTCAAGGAATTCCAGCTCATTTAGATCACGTAAGAATTTAATTTATTTTTTGTCAATAGAAGAAAAAAACATTTTGCATCATTTCAGATACCTCCCTGGCTAATAAGACACTTCGAATATGCAGTCCGTCTCTCAATGGACTTTTCAAACAATCTGAAATTCAAAAAAATGAAAGAGTTACGCAAACTCCAATCAGAATTACCAATCGCCGAAAGATCTGAAGAAATCGTAGAACTTCTGAAGAACAATCAAGTTCTAATCGTTGCCGGCGACACTGGTTGCGGTAAATCAACACAAGTTCCACAATATCTCATAAAAGCCGGGTATACCGGGATTGCTTGCACTCAACCGAGGAGAATTGCGTGTACAGCCCTGGCGAAGCGTGTTGCCTATGAGACTTTGAATCAATATGGAAGTGAGGTCGCTTTTCAGATCAGGTAGGAAGGATTATACCACGCGCTCTACACGCAACGCAGACCGCGTCGCGCCACAACACACACAAAAAAAGGGAGGGAATTTGAATCGTTCCCCTATTTTTGAAATAAACACGCAACGCAGACCGCGTCGCGCCACAACAAAAAGGGAGGGAATTTGAATCGTTCCCCTATTTGTGTGTGTTGTGGCGCGGCGCGGTCTGCGTTGCGTGTGGAGCGCGTGGTACCGATGAGATTTTCGATAATAGAGAATGGGTTTTGTAGATTTGAGACAACAAAATCGAAAAGAACAAAACTCCTCTTCCTCACTGAAGGACTTCTTCTTCGACAAATGGAAAATGATTCACTCCTCGAACAATACAACGTCATAATCCTTGACGAAGTTCATGAGAGACATCTAACATCAGATCTTTTGATTGGTCTACTTCGGGACCTATGTTCAAAGCGGGAGGATCTCAAGCTGATTCTGATGTCAGCAACAATTAATCTTGAATTATTCAAAGGATATTTTAAAGATGCTCCGGTTATGCAAGTTCCTGGAAGGTTATATCCAATTGAATTAAAATGGCATCCGATTAAGCAATTTATTGATGCAAGTGAGAAGAAAAATCATCATAAAATTGATCCTGAACCATATCAAAGAATTCTGGAATTAATCGATAAACAATTTCCATCAACACAAAGAGGAGATGCGTTGATTTTTCTGAATGGCGTTGCTGAAATTTCAACTGTGGCAGATGCATTGAAAAACTATGCAGAATTAACGAAAGGCTGGATTATTTTGATGTTGCACAGCACACTTTCAGTTGAAGAACAAGATAAAGTCTTCGATGTCGCGCCAAATGGTGTGAGGAAGTGTATTCTATCAACAAATGTTGCTGAAACATCGGTAACCATTGATGGAATTCGATTTGTGATTGATAGTGGTAAAGTGAATCTAATCAAACATGAACCGGGGACAGGGACTCAGAAATTGACGGAATTTTGGGTGAGTAAAGCATCGGCGAATCAACGGAAAGGAAGGGCTGGAAGAACTGGACCTGGGATATGTTATCGATTGTATTCTCAAGAACAATATGAGAAGATGGATGATTTTACGCTTTCTGAAATAAATCGCGTTTCGTTACAGGAAATGTCACTGAAAATGATTAGTTTGAATCTAGGGTGTAAGTTAACAAGGAAGGTGCATCGAAAATCTCATCGAACACGCAACGCAGACCGCGTCGCGCCACAACACACAAAAAAGGAGGGAATTTGAATCGTTCCCTTATTTGTGTGTGTTTTGGTGCGACGCGGTTTGCGTTGCGTGTTTATTTCGGTGGAGCGCGTGGTTTTTCGATAATATACCAAATCGACCATGCTGATCACGATTCCGAAGTCAAAAATTGCCACAAATGCCTGTGAGCACTTTTCTGCAGCCTGCAAAGTTAAGGGCTGATTCACGATCGAAAAAAAATGTTAAAAATGTTTTTTTTTAACATTGAAAGATCAATTCACGAAAAGTCAAAAAATGTCGAAAAAACATTGTAGGTCAAAATTAGTTTTTCAGCCAAAAATGATGACAAATCAATATTTTTCAAGCTTCTGGAGTAATTTCTGATGAAAATTGACCACTTTTCAGAAGGTTTTTGCTGATTTTTCGTAAAATAAACAATTTTTAAATTTTGATGAATTTCGAAAAAGCAAAATAAGGTTCTCGAAGCTTATTTTCATCAGAAATTACTCCAGAAGCTTAAAAAATATCGATTTGTCATCATTTTTGACTGAAAAACCTTGAAAAACTAATTTTGACCTACAATGTTTTTTTTGACATTTTTTGACTTTTCGTGAATTGATCTTTCAATGTTAATAAAACATTTTTGCACATTTTTTCGTTCGTGAATCAGCCCTTTAAAATTGAGTTTTGGTTTTCGTCCATTTTCATCATTTTCCCGTTTAAAAAATCAATTTTTATAACTTGAATAAGGTTGTTCACCACATTCGAAAACCTATTAGCTTTTTATGCAGTGTCCAAAGTAAAAAATATAGCAAAAAATGCGAGAATATATCGTACAAAGCTCGCCTTATATTAGGAATATATACCAGAGAAATAGTGTGTGTATTCGAGAGACGCAGACAGTTAGACTTTGGACGATATATTTTCGCATTTTTTGTTATATTTTTTACTTTGGACACTGCATTAGTGAACGAAAATCATTTTTTGAAAAATTAAAAAGCTGATAGGTTTTCGAATATGGTGAACAACCTTATTCAAGTTATAAATATTGATTTTTCACCCGGAACGAAACCCCAAACTTAATTTTAACTTTCCAAAGCTCCAGAAAAGTGCTCACAGGAATTTGTGACAATTTTTGACTTCGGTTTCGTGATCAGCATGTTCAATTTGGTATATTTCGATATGTTTCATCAAAATTTCCTTTTCAGTGGACCCTCGAACCTTTCCATTCATCGAAAAACCCGCGGAAAATGTGTTGAATGAAGGATTAGAAATGTTAAAATTCCAAGGAATTCTTCGAACTGATCGAGAAAATCTGACGCTGACAGCATTAGGTGTTACGATTTCCAAACTGCCAGTAGATGTTCCAATAGCTAAGATGCTGGTTTATGGTTGTGTAGTTGATCAATTGGAAGTTATGCTAACTGTCGCCGCTGGTTTGTCAGTTCAATCGCCGTTTACAAATCGATCGTATCGAGAGCTTGAAATTGTTGAGAAACGGGCGAATTTAACGAGTCCTATGGGCGATCCTTTCACATTGATTGCGATTTTTCGAGAATGGGTTCTCCAGAAAACATTTGAAGGATCTGCGAGGAAATGGGCGATGGAAAATGGAATTGATGAACATCGACTTTATGAGATCAGCAAACTTCGAGCACAATATAGACAAGTTTTGGAGGATGCTGGATTAGTTGAGAAGGCTTTTGATATTGGAGCAGATGATTCTAGACAAAGAAGAATTGATCAAGGAGAGCGACGGAAATTATTTGATTTGAAAAAAGCGCAAAGAAACAATGATAAATCCAGAAAAATATTGAATGCTAACAAGCATTTCGATACAATTTTAATGGAAAAAGAAGAAGAGGATCTAGAATCTGAAAAAGATCCGCTAAAAGCTGATGTTAAAACCGTCGAATTCCTCTTAAGTCACAAAGAGAAAGATGTTGATTCGATTCGAAGTTCACATAAATTGACAAGAAAAACATCGGAAATTATTCGAGTTATAATTGCGGTTGGATTATATCCGAATTTTAGTGTTTTGGACCAGATAAACAAGTATGGATATGGTCAAGAAATGTTTGTTCATACTAGATTGAAGCCGTTTAGTTTACTTCATCCGAATAGTTCGATTGCACAATATCATCCAGAAACTATTGATCCAAGACAGGGTTCTGAGGGATTTTCAAATCTACATCAAGTTCTGTTTTATGGATTGTTGTTGGAGACTACGAAACCGTATGTTTGTAATGTTATGCCAACTCCAGCGATTTATACTTTGTTAGTGGCGAGAAAGGTAAGGAAAAAAATAAAAACATTTTTTTTTTCAAAAAATTTTGATTGGGAATGTCAAAAATAGGAAAAAATATAGTTTTTTTACATTTGAATCGAAATTTTTTGTCAAAAAAAATAAAAAAATTTTTTGTCAAAAAAAAAAAAATAAAAACATTTTTTTTACAAAAAATTTCGAGAAAATGTCAAAAAATAGGAAAAAACATAGTTTTTTTTACATTTGAATCGAAATTTTTTGTCAAAAAAAAAAAAAATAAAAACATTTTTTTTACAAAAAATTTCGAGAAAATGTCAAAAAATAGGAAAAAACATAGTATAGCCCTCCAGCTACTCAAAAGTAGCTGCTTGAGTAGCTCGAGCAGATAATCTGCTCATCTACTCGAGTAGCTAAGCACGCTCATCTGCTCGAGTAGATAATCTGCTCATCTGCTGAGTAGCTAAGCACGCTCATCTGCTCGAGTAGATAATCTGCTCGCCTGCTCGAGCAGTCTACTCGAAATCTGCTCACTTGTTTTTTGAAGATGAATTTGAAATTTTTTAAAAATGCCTGAAAAATTGTAAGTGAAGTAGGAGAAGCTTATATTTCAAGTTTTGGTGTCATTTCAAGGTTAAGCTTCATCCCAGAAGCTGTTATCAGTGATAATCAGTGAAATTTCAAAATTATCAGAATGAGCTGGGAGTTGGAGAAAATGATGTTTGGTGATAGTAGATGACAATTTTGATAAGTTTAGAGCTCCAGCTTTATCCCAGAAGCTCTTATCAGCTGTTATCACTAAATTATCAATATCATCTGATTGATCTGAAACTTGGAAAAAATGATGTCTGAAGCTAGTAGAGACTATTTTTGATAAGTTTAGAGCTCCAGCTTTATCCCAGAAGCTCTTATCAGCTGTTATCACTAAATTATCAATATCATCTGATTGATCTGAAACTTGGAAAAAATGATGTCTGAAGCTAGTAGAGACTATTTTTGATAAGTTTAGAGCTCCAGCTTTATCCCAGAAGCTCTTATCAGCTGTTATCACTAAATTATCAATATCATCTGATTGATCTGAAACTTGGAAAAAATGATGTCTGAAGCTAGTAGAGACTATTTTTGATAAGTTTAGAGCTCCAGCTTTATCCCAGAAGCTCTTATCAGCTGTTATCACTAAATTATCAATATCATCTGATTGATCTGAAACTTGGATTTTTTGGGTTTTTAGATATGGGGATTCGCGCAGTGATAATGTTTTTGTCTGAAAATGACTTTTAAAGGAACATATCACCAAAAATAAAACTTTTTGATATTCAAATTTTAGTAGTTTTTCGATGCCGGGAACATCGTGGTGATAACAATTCGGTCCGAAAATGACTTTTAAAGGCATGTTTCACCAAAAAAAAACAATTTTTTTTAAAAATGAGGTATTTGGGCACGGGGAACATTTTTCTGTGGAACAAACTTTTGAAGGCCCCTCCAATTTTGGAGAAAATTATGGTGGGTGATAGTTTATGTTTTTTTAAACCGGGTTTCAGACATGGGCATTCGGTGAGTGATAAATTTTGTGATTATTGACGCCAGGGTATTATACATTTATCGAGATATTTTTTTTTGCAAACAATAATAAGTTTTTTATTTTTCAACTATTTTCAATAAAATCGGGTGGCGTTCTGACGCTCTCATTGCCTGTGTTGACACCAAATCCCGTTCTTCACTTCTAAGTGGTGACAATATCAATTTTTGTTCGAAATCGCATCAAAAATTGACATTTTCGAAAGAAAAAACGTGAATCCGCAGAGTTTATCAGTGAAAATTTCAAAATCGATCTGTAAATTGGAGAAAATTATGTTGGGTGTTAGTTTATGTTTTTTTTATAAGTGCGGAGCTTCAGCTTCATCCCAGAACTTCTGTTCAATGTGGAATAGACCAAAAGTTGAGGTTTTTGTATTTCCCGGCATGCGCAATCACGCGTTGATAATTTTTCAACTAAAAACCACATCCATATGTGTTTTTTTTGTGTTTTTTAAAGCAATTACATTTAATCCACTTTTGTCGATGGGAATTTCGTGTTTGTTGTGAAAAAAACCAAAACTATTATTTCAAAACAAATTATTATAGAAAACTTTTGAAAATATAGCTAACTTTCGGCAATTTTGTCAGCATCTGTTCCGTCGTTGTTTGCCGAAATATTCACATTTTCATCACTTTTCTCATGCTCGTCTTCTTTGTTTTGCTCATTATCATCGTCATTCGAAGATTCCTCATCATCTTCATTATCCGTAGATGCATTATCAGAATCTTGACCATCTTCTTCATCTTCATCATCGTCATCTTCATCTTCTGAAATATGCAAAAGTTCATCTTCGTCGATCATGGTGTTATCGAATGCGGTGACATCAAAATACTCCTCTTCTTCGCCCTCCTTGATCAACTTCCTGAAAAAATCTGATTTATTGAGAAATATTTTACTAACTTCGAATCTTCCACTAACTTCGAATCTTCCAAATTCAAATCATTCGACAGCGTCAATAACGTTTCTAAATACTCCACACTCATTGAAAATCTTCTTTTATTGCTCAACAATAAGCCAGCCTGTCTAAAAATTGAATTTTTGAAACGGAAATCAGTGCTTATAAAAACTCACGAAAATAATCGTTCACAATCACAACTAGAAGCAGGACACGAGAACATCATCTTGGCACACTTTGATAAAATCGGAAATATTGTCTGATTCATTTTCCACCAGTCCAAAATGTTAGTTTCTTTTGAAATTGTTGAAGTTCGGAGCAGGTTTTCGTATTTGCTCATTTCTAACTTGAAAAATGCGAGATTTTGAAGCTAATTTTCATAAAATAAACCAACCTGAATTTTTTGTTTCCAACTGGAACGAGAAGCAGGACAATCTTCAACAGTCGACCAAAAATCGCTGGAAACTTTTCTAATTTTTTCTGGTGGATTGTTCTCATCGTGTTCGAATTTCGATTCATTTTTCACTGAAAACATCAATGTTTTGACAGATAATTTTTGGATTGAACTCACAGATAAAATCAAGAATAACTTCAGATATCTCTTCGTAGTCATAGAAGTGGTCCAAATCCACTTTAAACATCAATCTGATATCCAAATACAACGAGCAAATATATGGGGTTAGTCGAAATTCACGCAGCCTGAAAAAAACTTTCCTAAACATGTTCGGTTTTCGAAAAAAAAAAGTTTTTTGGATCAAATGATGAAGAGACTACAAAGAAATGAGACCAAATTTGGTAGGTTTTCTTACATTAAGATTTTCGAGTCGAAAACTGGGGGTTTTTTAAAGAAGAATATTTTTTGAATATGATTTTCTTATTTGAAAAAAAAAATCACCTTTTATTAATTTGTTGGTCGAAGTTCAAAGCCAATGCATGACATTTGTTTTTTCTTCTTCTGAATTCTTTGGAGTTTCGAACAAAACTTCTCAGATATAAAAAATGCGGGATAACTTCACTCACGAATGAGTCGGATTTTTCAGTCTGAAAGTTATCAATTGTTGCAGAACAATTTTTTTCAAACTTACAGTGTTCAATATAGATTCCAATTTCGAACCAACCATGATGAAAAAAGTCACTTTTGTTTTTTCTTCTTTTGACAGAGCAAATTTCGACAAATGCACATTTTCAGCAATGAGAGAACTCTGAGAAAACACCAATATTTAATAATTAAATTATTTAAACTCACATATGAAATACAATCCGACAACAAATAAAACGAAGCCAAAAATCGTGTTGTTGAGAAAGACCTGATTTTGCTAAAAAAAAAATTATTCTATTTTTTTTACTAAATTTAACAATTTCAATGAACTTTTCAGATGAAGTAAAATATTTACCGTATGAACAAGTTCTTAACCGCCTGTGTTGTATGCGATAGTTTAGCGATTTCTTTGGCTTTGGCTAAAGCACTTGAGATATGTGGATCTTCTGCACATTTTTTGACAATCAGGTGCACGGAATGTGAAGCACAGCGCAAACTAAAAATAAAACGTTGAAAAACTTTTAACTTTTCTACTTTCCAACCTTTCGATTCCAATATCTCTCATAGATTTCCTGACCGCCGGAGCTCCATCAGTGATTGAAAACTGGACTTGACGTTTTAAGGGTGATGAATATTCGTTTAACAAATTGACAATCATCGACGACAAGTTTGCAGCTGAATCGCCACCGGCACATTTGCGAATCCCCAAGATCTAAAAAATCGCAATACGTGAATATTGAACAACATTTTCAATACTCACCCGCTTATTTCTTTTGAAATCATCATCAACAAAATAAATAAGTACAGCGTGAATTTTCAATGTTTGGTTGGTGGACGACCACCCATCTTCCGAAATTGTGATCTGCAAAAGAGAAGTTCATCGAATTGTTGGTTGTGAAACGTGTGAACGAAAAACATACAAAGTTATTTTCGATAATTGGTTTCAACTGATTGTGCATATCTTCCACGATTCTTTGTTGATCGCGGCGAACAGTTGATGTGGATGGAGGAGCGAACTTTGCATTAAGTTTGGCCAAAAACTTATGAAAGTAGACGTTTTTCATAAATTCTGCTGAAATATTTGAAACAGCGAGTGCTCTGGAAAAATAAAACAATTATGATAACAGGACACACAAATATGAACATACTTTGCAAGAAGTACTCGTAGATTCATTGATTCGTTTTCAGAAATCGGCAAGCTATTTGAAATTTGAAGATCTTGAGCCACAATCTGTAAAAATGTCTCAAATTACAAGATTCAGTTGATTATGTTACCTCTTCATCCTTCCTCTTTTTCTCTTCATTCAAAAATTCGTCCAATTTCGCTTCGTGATTGTGCTTTATATGTTCTCCCAAAACTGTGACGCTAGTCGATTTGCTGTATTTTTTGGAACATATCGTGCAACAGAAATGATCATCGATTGAATTAAAGAAAACCCAAGCAAAGTGAGTTTTCATATTTTGTTATATAACAGTGAATATATTCGAATATGTTTGGTTGAACAACGGAAAAAAACATAAAATGAAAGTTTTTTTTTCAAAAAAACAAGTTCCCGGTTCGCAATGGGGCACACTTGCTTCTTTTCCATCCGAGACCAGCTGAAGATAAATCGTGTGCGTCTATAGAAACCGTAACCTTTTCTTTTATTTATTTATTCTTCTTTCAGAAAATCTAACATTATTAAATTTTTTAGTGTTTTTTTCAAGTTTTTAACGTTGTAATAGATGAATTGAAACTGTAATAGATGAACTGAAACATGCCATTTCCTTCTTTGGGTTTTTAGTATTGAGGAATAAATTCTTTCCAGGTTTTTTTTTCAATTTGATAAATCGCCAACATTTTTATTGTTCGTTTCGTTTTTATCATTGCGGGATGAGTTAGTAATAGAAGAGAGTATATGTATTTTTGAGACGATTTTTTGCTTGAAACACGTGAACAATGACACGAAGCGCTGCACTGCCCAGCTGATGGGAAAATTCATGGAAACAGTTGTAATTCTGAACAGCATCGATCAAAATTGGCAGGAAAGAAACAAACAACAACTGAAGCGTCAATAATCACAAAATTTATCACTCACCGAATGCCCATGTCTGAAACCCGGTTTAAAAAAACATAAACTATCACCCACCATAATTTTCTCCAAAATTGGAGGGGCCTTCAAAAGTTTGTTCCACAGAAAAATGTTCCCCGTGCCCAAATACCTCATTTTTAAAAAAAATTGTTTTTTTTTGGTGAAACATGCCTTTAAAAGTCATTTTCGGACCGAATTGTTATCACCACGATGTTCCCGGCATCGAAAAACTACTAAAATTTGAATATCAAAAAGTTTTATTTTTGGTGATATGTTCCTTTAAAAGTCATTTTCAGACAAAAACATTATCACTGCGCGAATCCCCATATCTAAAAACCCAAAAAATCCAAGTTTCAGATCAATCAGATGATATTGATAATTTAGTGATAACAGCTGATAAGAGCTTCTGGGATAAAGCTGGAGCTCTAAACTTATCAAAAATAGTCTCTACTAGCTTCAGACATCATTTTTTCCAAGTTTCAGATCAATCAGATGATATTGATAATTTAGTGATAACAGCTGATAAGAGCTTCTGGGATAAAGCTGGAGCTCTAAACTTATCAAAATTGTCATCTACTATCACCAAACATCATTTTCTCCAAGTTTCAGATCAATCAGATGATATTGATAATTTAGTGATAACAGCTGATAAGAGCTTCTGAGATAAAGCTGGAGCTCTAAACTTATCAAAATTGTCATCTACTATCACCAAACATCATTTTCTCCAAGTTTCAGATCAATCAGATGATATTGATAATTTAGTGATAACAGCTGATAAGAGCTTCTGAGATAAAGCTGGAGCTCTAAACTTATCAAAATTGTCATCTACTATCACCAAACATCATTTTCTCCAAGTTTCAGATCAATCAGATGATATTGATAATTTAGTGATAACAGCTGATAAGAGCTTCTGAGATAAAGCTGGAGCTCTAAACTTATCAAAATTGTCATCTACTATCACCAAACATCATTTTCTCCAAGTTTCAGATCAATCAGATGATATTGATAATTTAGTGATAACAGCTGATAAGAGCTTCTGAGATAAAGCTGGAGCTCTAAACTTATCAAAATTGTCATCTACTATCACCAAACATCATTTTCTCCAACTCCCAGCTCATTCTGATAATTTTGAAATTTCACTGATTATCACTGATAACAGCTTCTGGGATGAAGCTTAACCTTGAAATGACACCAAAACTTGAAATATAAGCTTCTCCTACTTCACTTACAATTTTTCAGGCATTTTTAAAAAATTTCAAATTCATCTTCAAAAAACAAGTGAGCAGATTTCGAGTAGACTGCTCGAGCAGGCGAGCAGATTATCTACTCGAGCAGATGAGCGTGCTTAGCTACTCAGCAGATGAGCAGATTATCTACTCGAGCAGATGAGCGTGCTTAGCTACTCGAGTAGATGAGCAGATTATCTGCTCGAGCTACTCAAGCAGCTACTTTTGAGTAGCTGGAGGGCTATAAAACATAGTTTTTTTTGACATTTGAATCGAAATTTTTTGTCAAAAAAAAATGTTTTTTTATTATTTTTCTATTCAGATCGTTATCGAAGATTGGAAAAAAATTAGCATCGATGACTTCCTCGAAATCGAATTCAGAAATTCTGAAGATTGTAGAAGTGTGATTTTGGACGCGAAAGAAATCAGATATGAATTAACACGAGGATTGGCGGCGAAATTGACGTCACAGGAGAATTTTAGTGCTCGAAGACTTAATAAATATATCGATTTATTGAATCGGACAATTACGGAAAAAGGAGTTGAGATCAAATTGAAAAGGAATATTGATCCGCCGAAAGTATTGGTTGGAACTGGGATACATTCACCGGATGGGGGAATTGATAAAGAGGTGGGTGGTTTTTTTTTGATTTTGAAAAAATTTGGGATAATCTGAAATTAGACTAGCTCTAGGAGGTTTCTGAGCATAAATTTTCAGAACCTACAGTAATCCTAGGATTACTGTAGCTGAAAAAGTGCCAAAAAAATCACCGGAAAAAATACGTTTCAAAATTTTCATAACAAATTTGTTTGATTTTGGAATTTTTTATCAATCCTCGTTTTCATTTCTGAAATTCTACAGTACACCAGAAACTACAGTAATCCTTGGATTACTGTAGCTGAAAAGGTGCCAGAAAAAATCACCAGAAAAAATACGTTTCAAAATTTTTATAACCATTTTTTTCAATTTTGGAATTTTCGATTTTTTTCAACAATATGGTTCACAATCAAAAGTATACAGTAGACACTACAGTAATCCTAGGATTTTGAAATATCTACCGTAACCCAGACAGTAATCGGATTACTGCAGCTGAAAAAGTGCCAGAGAAAATAACCAGAAAAGATACGTTTCAAAATTTTTATAACAATTTTTTTCATTTTGGAATTTTTGATATACTCTTCTTTTCATTCCTAAATAATCTACAGTAACTCAGAGACTACAGTAATCCTGGGGTAACTGTAGCTGAAAAAGTGCCGAAGAAAATAACCGGGAAAAATACGTTTCAAAATTTTTATAAATTTTTTTTAAATTTTGGAATTTTTGATTTACCTTTCTGAAAATCTACAGTAACCCAGAAACTACAGTAATTCTAGGATCCTAGGATTACTGTAGCTGAAAAGGTGCCAAAAAAATTCACCGGAAAAAATACGTTTCAAAATTTTCATAACAGATTTTTTGATTATGCAAAAAATTGTTAACATTTCCATATCGATTTTAAAAATAATCGTTTTTTCTCAGGAAAACATTGATGAAGTAATCGATAGATATGAAGCTGAAAATCACGAAGCACAAGACGAAGACGAAGAAGACGTCAAAAAGAATCTGGAAATTCTGAAATCCGACGCAATGTGTCCACCAACTCGTGAAATGCTCGAAGAACTCGAAACAAGGAAAAAAGAGGCGCCAAAAGAATCCTATTATGAAATATTGAAAAGAAGACAGGCTGAAAAACGGGTCAAATTGGAGCAAGAAGAATTATAGGTTGTAATTATTTACGGGTTTATTTAAAAAAAAAAATAAAAAAATTTCGAAAATATTTATCCTGGACTTGTTATTCCTAAGGTTATTTACCTTATTTCAATTATCTTCCCAAATTTCTCCCGGAGTAATTGTTATAAATTTAGTGTGTTTCAAATCTTCTCGATTTTCCATCAACGTTTTCAATTTGTCACGTGGCTCTAGATAGTGCTGAAAATACGAGGATAGTTAGGGTAAGTAGATGTTTTTCACCTCATAGGATCCCATATGATAAGTTCCCCAGTGAATTCCGATACTCATTCGAGATTTGATTAATTCATGAACTGACACTGCTTCTTCTGGATTGATGTGTTGAGATTTCATGAACCATCTGGAAATTAAGAATTTTAAGAGCTCGAAAATGACCAAAAGTTGAAAATTTTCTGAAAATCGCATTTTTGAAGCCCATTACTCATGTTAGAGAAGATTTGAACAAAAATTGAGTACAATGCGATGTTCAGCAAGGTTGATTTTCCAAAATTTTTCAAAAAAATTGGCACTTTTTTCAGCTACAGTAATCCGATTACTGTCTGGGTTACTGTAGATTTTATAAAATTCGAAGATTACTGTAGATTATTGAGTACTAAAAAAGTTGAAAATCAAAAATTCCAAAAAGTACAGTAATCCTAGTATTACAAAACAAAATTGTTTCTAAAATTTTTGAATTTGGTGAATCAACCTTGCTGAACAACGAATTGTATTCAGTTTTTGATGAAATCTTCTCTAACATGAGTTATAGACTCTCAAAAACGCGATTTTCAGAAAATTCTCAATTTTTGGCTCATTTTTGGGCTCCTCTCCAAAAAAAATCTCACTTTGGCTCATAGGCTCCAATCGGAATTGCGGCCAAATCAAAAGGCCCCAATTTATCGCCGATTTTTCGGAATTCACTCTCACAGAAGCCTGTGTCTCCAGAATAATAGAATCGCTTTGTTGGTCCCACAACGGACCATCCTGACCATAATCTCTATAAAAAATGGTTTTTTCCCGAAAAGGCACAGTCTGGAAGCCAGCTTCATACGATTTCCAAAAAAAATAAAGCTCACATGATTTCTATCAAATGGTCCGCGTTGTGCGGGAACACACCAAATTTCGAAATTCTTCCCGTCTTTTTCGAGCCGCACACTTTCACCCCAGTTCATTTCGGTGATGAGATCTGCGTTTGATGGGCTGAGTTTGGTGATGCCAGCGGATTCCATCCAGGATTTCATTCCCAGGGGGACAAACCATCGAATCGAGGGGTTCATTCTGAAAATTCCGATTTTCAGTGAGGTTTTTTGCTCTAGACCAGGCTTGTGCGGAAAATAGGTTTTCGGAAAACCGTGTTTTTCCGAATCCATCCGGTCGGAAAAAGTTTTCCGAAGTTATTTTCCGACTGTTTTTTTTCCGACTTAATTTTTCGGAAAATCGGAAAATTTCGGAAAAAATTTCAATGAAGAAATAATAGGCTTATTTGCTGGTTTTTGAGTTGTGTTGAAGTAGTTTCAACAAATTCGGCAGTTTTCACGATATTTTGTCACTTTTGTTAAATATTACTAACAACTTCTTATATTTTTTACAATTACGAAAATTATTTTGTGATAAAATTAGCAAAAATTCCTGAAAATCACCTATTTTTCCACTTTTTCGGAAAATAACTTTTTCCGAAATTTTCTTAAAAAGTCGGAAAATCGGAAAACGCGTTTTCCGTTTCCGCACAAGCCTGCCTTGGACTAACTCTGTAATTTTCTTCACCGCTTCATAATCCAAATGATCATAATGATCATGCGAAATAACACCATAATCCAATTTTGGTAAATCCTCAATTTTCATCGGTGGAGGTCTGTATCTTTTCGGACCAACAAACGAAATGAACGATGCTCTTTGAGCCCAAATTGGATCAGTTATAACTGTTGCGCCTTCAATGTTTAGAAGTACTGTAGCATGTCCTAACCAGGATGCAAAAAGTTTGCTTTTGCTTTCGAACTTCGTCAAATTCTTGATTGGTATTGTTTCATCCAATTCTTCCGCGTTTTTCGGCACATTTTCATTATCAGTTTCGAGGAATTTATAGCGAAAACCTTCCCGTGGACCGGGAAGACCTCCCCAATTTTTGAATGATGGAGGATTCGCGAATCTAAGGAATTTTTATTTTAAAAAAAAATTTTTGAAGCTAAAACTCACGTTTTCCCATGCCTTAGCGGTGTTGCAAATCCAGATTCTTCTGTAGAATTTTTTTCTTGAGACGAGGATTCCATGAGGACTAAAAATATCAATAGAAAAAATCGCATTTTTCTTGAAGTTTACCGGAGAAATGAGGTTAAGGTTCAAGATTTTTTCAACAAAAAATAACAGCTGTTCTTGAGAAAAAAACACGAAATGAATCAAATTCACGCTACGAAAAAACATTTATTTTTTTTTCTAAAAAAAAATAGAAAAGAAAATGTTTATCACTTGGTTTATTTGTTTTTCATACATGCATTTTACACATAAAAAGAAGAGTAAAATGACTAATATTTTTGATGATTATCGAGAGAAAAAAGTATTGTGAAATGAGCACAGACCATGAAATTTTGTTTGCGAAAAAAATTTGCAATGGCGCGCACTTTGAAATTTGAAAATTTTATTCGCCCTATTTCAATTCCCAAATTTCTCCCGGAGAAATTGTTATAAATTTAGTGTGTTTCAAATCTTCTCGATTTTCCATCAACGTTTTCAATTTGTCACGTGGCTCTAGATAGTGCTGAAAATACGAAAATAGTTAGGGTAAGTAGATGTTCTTCACCTCATAGGATCCCATATGATAAGTTCCCCAGTGAATTCCGATACTCATTCGAGATTTGATCAATTCATGAACTGATACTGCTTCTTCTGGATTGATGTGTTGAGATTTCATGAACCAACTATAAGAAAAGATTTTACTGAATTTCAGAATTAAAATCGAAAAATCTCACTTTGGCTCATAGGCTCCAATCGGAATCGCGGCCAAATCAAAAGGCCCCAATTTATCGCCAATTTTTCGAAATTCACTCTCACAGAAGCCGGTGTCTCCAGAATAATAGAATCGCTTTGTCGGCCCAATCACTGACCATCCTGACCATAATCTCTACAAAAAATTGTTCATACGATTTTCCCCCTCTAGAAAACAAGGCTTACATGATTTCTATCAAATGGTCCGCGTTGTCCCCAATGTTGAGCGGGAACACACCAAATTTCGAAATCTTTTCCGTCCTTTTTCACCTTCACACTTTCACCCCAGTTCATTTCGGTGATGAGATCTGCGTTTGACGGACTGATCTTTTGAATTCCATTACATATCATCCATGATTTCATTCCCAATGGGACAAACCATCGAATCGATGGGTTCATTCTGAAAATTAATTTTTTTTTTGACAAAAGCTCTGAAAATTGCACTTCTTACTCTGTAATTTTCTTCACCGCTTCATAATCCAAATGATCATAATGATCATGCGAAATAACACCATAATCCAATTTTGGTAAATCCTCAATTTTCATCGGGGGAGGTCTGTATCTTTTTGGTCCAGCCACAGAAATGAAGGATGCTCTTTGAGCCCAAATCGGATCGGTTATAACTGTTGCACCTTCAATATTCACAAGTACTGTAGCATGACCTAACCAGGATGCAAAAAGTTTGCTTTTGCTCTCAAATTTTGTTAGATTTTTGATTGGTATTGTTTGATCCAACTCTGACGCGTTTTTCGGAACATTTTCATGATCAGTTTCGGAAAATCGAAAACGAAAAATATCCCTGCCACTGGGAAGTCCTCCCCAGTTTTTGAATGATGGCGGGTTTGCAAATCTAGAAAAATATTTTTAAAAAAATAATATTCTAGAATTAGGTTTTAAACTAACGTTTTTCCATTCCTCAATGGAGTTGCGAAGTCTTCTTGCGACATTTTCAAGAAACTTGGCTGAAAAACTATAAATAGTTTGATTTTTAGTCAGAAAAAAAGTTTGAGATTACAAAAAATTTCATTTGGAAAAAATATAAATATAAATAAAAAAGACACATTTTGGACGCAGTGACTAAATAATAATTGGATTTCATGAAAAGTAAGAAGCCACGAAAAAAATCGAGCATAGACCACATTTTTTTCGAGTGAAAATGTTGGTGTGGTCTGTGAAATATCTAGAGCGCTTCTGGGATTTTCATAAATGGATTTGAAAAATTCAGGGGAACCCTTAGATACTTAAGAGAGGTTAATTTTTAAATTAAATTTTTTTTCGCCTATTCCTTTTCGTCCGAATTTCCGGCTATAGTTTTTTTTTGTCTGACGAAATTTGTACTATGCACTTTAGGGTGTGCCATGCAGATATTTTCCAGATTCTTGGAATTTTCTAGATCTAGGTTAGCTTCCGTCTCCTATCTTAATTCTTCCGAGTTCTTCTAACTCTGCCACGTCACAATTCAGAGCATTTTCCTCACAGAATATATCGAGTTGCACCACATTTCCACTTGTTTACAAATCGTGCTTTTTCCTCTCCGTTTTACAATTAGTTTTGGTATCCTAATAATAATGTTGTACTACTTATTTTATCTAAATACCGTCGCCCGCAACAAGCGAAAACGTATCTTTCTCTCTCTCTCTCTCTCTTTCTCTCTCTCTCTCTCTCTCTCTAGATGTACATGCAGTGTTTAATATTTGATCGATTGTTTGATGTGTGTGTGTGTCGTCAGCTGAGAGAGAGAGAGTATGTATAAGAAACGAAACGAAATATATGCGCGCTGGCCTCGTTTTTAATGTGTGTATATGTGCTGCTACCTACCCCCCCCAGTTGTCTGCGTCTCTTACCGGTTGCCATGTTCTCTCGCATCGTCGGGCGCTCACCGCATGTTTCTCTGCATCTCTCTCTATCTTTGTTTTTTCGTCTTCTTCGTCTTTGTCGCGTTGTTTTATTGTTTGGCTGAGAGACGCTGCTGAAAATTGTTGTTTTGTCGGGTTTTTTTCTATTTGAGTCATGTGATTTTGCACTTTTTATTGATGCGGGTTTTCTAGGGTAGACTTGAATTATGTGAGAAAATGCGGAATTTCGACGTCTGCTTTAGCTTCAGGGCGAGCTTTGAAGTTCTAGCTATCGATCTCTCTCTAGGTGACGGGTTCGAAGTTCAAACTTCGAACCCCATGTTTTTTCACAATTGAGTTAAAATATTGGATTTTAATCGTATTCATAGGATAGAAAGGTCTAAGACAAATCGAATGATGTAAATTTTGATGACTTTACGTTATCCATAAGTGATTTAGCGACTAAACCTCGCTAAATCACTTAAGGGTAACGTAAACTCATCAAAATTTATATCATTCTGTTTGTCTTAGACCTTTCTATCCTATGAATACGATTAAAATTCGATATTTTAACTCAAAAAACATGAAAATGCAATTTACGTATAATCTCTCCTCGGCCCATACCCACAGTGTGTATTTCACTACCTCAAACCGCTAGAACTCGAATTTTCTCTAAATCTCTCACTTTTGCGTTGATTTCGTCGATATTTAGCCCCACCCCTAAGATAATGTCAGGTCTCAAAAAAAAATGCGCGAAAAATTTTGGGTAGTAAAACACACGCTGTGTACCTATTGGGCATAACGCTCCAAAGTGCTAATGTCCGCATATGCACGCTGTTTCGTTTCCATAGCAACTCAGTCCTTTTCAAAAAATCGTCGAAACCAAAACGTTTCTCTAGTATTTAGTAGTTGCTCTTTCTTCCAACCACACACGCGAAACAATAGCTACAGTAGTTTTACAGTAGTATCGTTTGTTCGTGTCGAGAAACGCGCGTCTTTTCTCTACGCGTCACTCTCTTGATTTGGACGCTGATTTTAAAATCAGCGTGCGTTTGTTGTCTCGTAAACTGGCAGTTCTCAAAATTATAAACGTTTCTATATAGGGCGTCCAAAAATGAAAATTTCAGACCTGTCCAATTTCTGTTCAAACTCAAATATTTTTATTCAAAGTTGTATTATAATGATCAGAATTAAGTTAGCTACAATTTTGATCAAAATTGGACAGCTGTGAAATTTTGATTTTTGGACGCCCCAATAGTAATTGCTATATAATACAATTTTCTACCAACCCAATAGTTTCTCTCACATCTGCCAGTGAGTAAAATTTCATTGTCTCACCGTTCCTCTCTTGTTAATGAGAGTGCAAATCGCATTCGAATTTGCATTTTAATGTCTGGTTGCCAAACGTTTCTCCATTTCGAAATATAATCCATAAATCAAATATTAATAAATATTTGTCGTAATACACTGGTTTCCACACCGTTTTTTCTTTTCGCATTCTCTTCTTTTTCTCTTTTCTCACATGTTTATTGATTGATTTTTTCGTTTTTCTCGTTTTCTGCTTGAAAAAAATTATTACGAATACGAATATTGCAGAACGGGAAGAGGGCGCAATTGACGACGAACGCTCTTCTGATCGTCGTCTCCCTTATCAAAGGGTCTACGAACACTTGGGACGATTCGAAGAAGCTGAAGCTGCTGGTGGAGCCGAATTGTTCATTGAGGAACAATTGCGATTGATTCAACTGCGACTTGAGGCAAATCGATTTTTCGCCACCGCGCAAGCAGAAGCTCCAAGAGCTCGATTTGAGGAAGAAGAAGAGGAGGAGGAAGAGATTGAGAGTGTTGAGAATTATCGAGAATTTGATATTCGAAACGTGGTGTTTGGTAGGATTGGTGTTGGGAATAATATGAGCAATAATATTAATCAGATTTTACAAGGTTTGTGGTGGAAGAGAAAACCCAATTTGGTTTTCTAGGCCTTTAAATTTGGTTTTCTAGGCCCAGGTTTACTAGACCTTCAAATTTGATTTTCTAGGCCTGTAAATTTGGTTTTCTAGGCCGTTTTGGTTTTCTAGGCCTTTAAATCATAGATTTTTCGCCCTAACAATAAATTTGATCAAATTTAATTCCCTTTGTCGTTTTTTCTCAACAAAAGGGCCCCAAATCTATCGATTTTTGTTTTTTTTTGCCTGAAAAATTGGCGGCCGGAAATTTTTGTTTGTTTGAAGGTGTGGAAGAGAAAACCAATTTGGTTTTCTAGGCCAGGTCAATAATTCATCCCATGACACATTTCCTATTTTCTATTACTGAAAAAATTCAGATTGAGGCCTAAATTGTCAGAATTCTTCTTTTTCAAATTAAAAATCAGAAATTTTAGCGAATTTTGTTCAGAAACAGTTTTTCAATCATAAAATTTTCGCCCTAACAATAAATTTGATCAAATTTATTTTCCTTGGGCCCAAAATCTATCGATTTTGGTTTTTTTTCCTGAAAAATCGGAAATTCTTTTTTGTTCTGTTCACATACATACAAAAACAATACCTGTCCATCAATCATAAGGTAACCAACCCTTAACAACAAAAAAAAAATGCGAACTGATAAGTTCTTCCCCCGCCAAATTTTTTTTCTCATTTATTTTTTTGCCCACTTTTGATAGATAGGAAGAACATATATGTATGTGATTCATTTATTTCTTTTTTCACATGACGTGTAAACGAAAACTGAAAATTGGTAAGGCTATTGATTTTATGTTAGTTCAGAAGGCTTCAAAAGGCTTTAGAAGGCTTTAAAAGGCTCTAGAAGGCTTCAGAAGTCCTCAGAAGGTTTCAAGGGGCTTCAGAAGGCTTTAGAAGGCTTCAGAAGGCTTCAGAAGTCCTCAGAAGTCCTCAGAAGGTTTCAAGGGGCTTCAGAAGGCTTCCCAAGGCTTCCCAAGGCTTCCCAAGGCTTCAGAAGGCTTCCCAAGGCTTCCGGATTCAAAATCAATTTTTTTTTCCAGGAAATAGTCCAAACGGTGCACCTCCAGGTCTTCCATCAGCTCCACCCGGTTTATCACCACCACCAAACATGCAACAACACCAACAACAACAACAGCAAGATAGCTGTAGCAGTAGTTGTAGTGGAAATGTTGGCGGACAACAACAACAGCAACAACCACAACCACAAGGAACGGCTTTACCACAAAATCAACATGGAAAAACGTTTGCAAGAGTTCAGGGAACTGCACCAGGTGATTTTTTTTGCATTTTTTAAAAAGTCAAGATGAGTTATGGCGTGGTGAATCTTGAAAATTTCGAAAATCGGGAGAGGAAAACTAGCTGATTTCTGAGCCAGATTTAAATGAAAATCACCTTTTTAAGCTTTCCGGTTTTTCGAAATGTTCAAGATATGCCACGTCATAACTCATCGTGATCAGTGGGTCGGAAACTTTTCTAGAATGGAAGTTGACGCAGATCCTGCTAAATATCCAAGGTTTTCCCCTATGGCCGAGCTTTTGCATGGCCGAACTTTTGTTTTTCTCGGCCATTTTGTGCTTTTTTTCACGGCCTTTTAAAATGCTTTTTTTTCGCCAAAAAAACTTATCAAAATCAAATTGAAGTCCTCCAAGAGAAATACAAAAAAAAACAATTTGCTGCCTTCGTTTCGAGACCAAGCGCGGGAAAAATACGTTTTTCAAATGTTCTTTTAATTCGAAAATTTTTCCCGCGCTTGATTTTGAAACGACACGGCATTTTGAAATTTTAAAATGCAAATCGAGAGATATAGAGAGACGCAGAGAAAAAGACAGAATTTGCAGTCTGACGTGAAAAAATGTCACGCAAAAATTGATTTTCAATTTGTAAAAATGTCATTTCTAATTTAAAAAAAAATAATTTTGAAATGAACATTTTCAATATTTAAAAAGAAAAGAAACATGTTTCCCTATTATCGAAAATCTCCACGCGCTCCACCGAAATAAACACGCAACGCAGACCGCGCCGCGCCACAACACACACAAATAAGGGAACGATTCAAATTCCCTCCCTTATTTGTGTGTGTTGTGGCGCGGCGCGGTCTGCGTTGCGTGTTTATTTCGGTGGAGCGCGTGGAGTACCGATGAGATTTTCGATAATAACAATTATATATCTTTCCAGTAGTCTCATGCACACCATCAGCCGCAACACACAGTGTCGCCCCCCACATCGCCTTGGTCGGACCAACCGGCGACGATAGTAACGCCGAAGTGTTGTCGGTCTTCGAGTGTCCAGTATGTCTCGAATACATGTTGCCACCCTATATGCAATGTCAATCGGGACATTTGGTCTGCTCGAATTGCCGACCAAAATTGCAGTGTTGCCCGACGTGTCGAGGACCAACTCGTGAGTTTTTATTTTGAAATGTCATCTGAAAATGTCCAATTTTCCAGCATCGGTCAGAAATTTGGGTCTCGAAAAGATCGCCAACACCGTTCGCTTCCCGTGTAAATTCTCGAATTCCGGATGTGCTCTCAACTTCCATCACTACGAAAAAGTGGAGCACGAGGAACTATGCGAGTACCGCCCGTATTCCTGCCCGTGCCCCGGCGCTTCTTGCAAATGGCAAGGCGGCCTGCCGGATGTCATGGATCATTTGAAGCGGGTTCACAAGAGTATCACGACACTTCAAGGTGAAGATATTGTGTTCTTGGCGACTGACATTAATTTGCCGGGAGCGGTGGATTGGGTGATGATGCAAAGTTGTTTTGAGTATAATTTTATGCTGGTTTTGGAGAAGCAGGAGAAGTACGATCCGTCGCAAGGTCAACAGATGTTCTACGCGGTGGTTCAATTGATTGGATCGAAAAAGGAGGCGGATAATTTTATGTACAGATTGGAGTTGTCGACGCAGAGACGGAGAATGTGTTGGGAGGCGACACCGCGCTCGATTCATGAAGGTGTCGCGTATGCGATTCAACAATCGGATTGTTTGGCGTTTGATACGAATGCCGCGCAATTGTTTTCGGGTTTGTTGCTTTTTTTGCATTTGGTAGGGGGTCCTGTATTTAAAATAGCGGAAAATCCCGAAAATCTGAAAAAATCTGGCTTCCTGTAGTGAAATCACCGGGAAAATCGATATTTTCAGCTAGTTGCACTCCTGGAAGCCTTCCTGAAGCTGAAAAATCATGATTTTCAGCTTATTTTGTTCCTGAATCCCTTCCAGAAGGCTTCCTGAAGCTGAAAAATCGAAATTTTCAGCTAATTTCTCTTCTGGAAGCCTTCTAGAAGGCTTTTGAGCTTCCAGAAGGCTTCCTGAGGTTGAAAAATCATGATTTTCAGCTAGTTTCACTCCTGGAAGCATTCTAGAAGGCTTTTAGGGGTTCAGAAGCCTTCCTGAAGCTGAAAAATCGATATTTTCAGCTGATTTTGTTCCCGAAAGACTTCTAGAAGGCTTTTAAGCTTCTAGAAAGCTTCCTGAAGCTGAAAAATCGATATTTTCAGCTAGTTTCACTCCTGGAAGCCTTCTAGAAGGCTTTTAAGCTTCCAGAAGGCATTCTGTAGTGAAATCACCTGGAAAATCGATATTTTCAGCTAGTTTCACTCCTGGAAGTCTTCTAGAAAGCTTTTAAGCTTCCAGAAGGATTCCTGAAGCTGAAAAATCGATATTTTTAGCTTATTTTGTACTTTTAGGCTTCTAGAAGGCTTCCTGAAGCTTAAAAATCGATATTTTCAGCTTATTTTGTACTTTTAAGCTTCTAGAAGGCTTCCTGAAGCTTAAAAATCGATATTTTCAGCTTATTTTGTACTTTTAAGCTTCTAGAAGGCTTCCTGAAGCTTAAAAATCGATATTTTCAGCTTATTTTGTACTTTTAAGCTTCTAGAAGGCTTCCTGAAGCTGAAAAATCGATATTTTCAGCTTATTTTGTACCTGGAAGACTTCTAGAAAGAGATTTTCAAGCCTGATTTCATAAGCCTAACCCTAGATTTTAGCCTAAATAACTTAACAGTTGAGCTCCTAATTTTGCTAAAAATTTGGATTTTCCGCCAAGTTTTTGCGGAATTCTCACAGTTTTGGCCAATTTTTGTTCGACTTATTTTCAGCTGGAATTTGCCCATTTACAGATGTTTTCAGTTCCAAAAATCAAAATTCAAAAACATTTTCGTTCAAAATTTGATCAGAAATTGACCAGAAATTTCTTTCTAGAAATCACTGATTGAAAAATTTTCAAAATAAAAAAATCCGAGCTTCTCAAAATTTTCCAAACAAAAAATCCAAATTCCAATTTTTTGCAGAAAACGGAAATCTCGGAATCAACGTGACAATCAGCCGAGTCGACGGAAATGCTCGCGACGAATGTCAACCGAATCTTCTTCGCCCAACCAACACAAGTATCACATCAAGAAGATATCGACTTGAAGATGATGAAATGGAATGTGTTTATGAATAAGCACGGCCTTTTTCCCCTTTTTTTCGCTTCGGGACCTGAGTTAGTACAAGAGTAGTGTTTTGTGTTTTTTGTTTGGCAACATCTGACAAAAATCGAAATTTTTAAGAGTTTACGGTTTCCCAATTTTTTTTTTATTTATTTTTTTTTTTTTCTAAAATAATGATTTCCCCCTTCTTTCCGGCCCCCAAAAAAACTTTCAAAAAAAAAATCAAAAAAAAATTCCCAGCATTTTTTGTTTGTATATGTTTATTGTTTCAGAAAAAGAATTTCTGAAATTTTCTAAAAAATCTAGTTTTGTTTAGATTTTTTTGTGTGAAATCGACATTTTATATATTTACTGTGAATAGTTTCTTCTTTTTTGCCTCGATTTTTGATTTTTCTTTTTTTTTTGATGATTGAATAATGAATAAAAATAAATTTATCAGACATTTTTTTCAACAAAAGCATCATCTTCATCGATTTTTATCGCATTACATAATGATTCCCGGTTATAAAGTGCAATCGAATAGGATATTAGGAGAGCCAAAACAATGACGAAGAAATACAATCGAAGATTGGATTTTGGATATTGGCCGTTTTTTACTAGATTTAGAGCGTCGGATAATTGTTGTGATGAGACTGGTTCCTGAAAAAATAAAAAAAAACTTGGGCGCCGGGTGGGGGTCGAACCTGGGTCACGCAAAAGCTCGGCAGAAGTGTTCACCACTAGGCCATGCGGCTGTTTTTTTCTCTAGTGGAAAATGTCGAATATAAAATGCGCGCTCTCGAGCGGGAAAATATTCGAAGCTTCTACAGAATAAGATTTCAAAAATCATCAAAGAAATTGAAAACCTGTTTAGATATCTTTTTTTCTTTCACAAAAGCCCAAAATATTTTCTTGTTTATCATTTTTTTTGCCAAAAAAAAAGAATACAGTTTTTATGGACACTGACTCATTTATTCAAATTCAATTTTTTTCAAAACAAAATTTCTTAGTCAATATTTATGTACAGTACAAATTTTTTGGTTTTTCGCCCCCAAAAAAAATATAAAAAATTTTAAAACTCACCAATTTGTCATCCATAATATTTTTGATAGTTTTTCAAATTTTTTAAATTGTCACCGATTATTATTATTGCTATTTTAAGAAATGTCAAATTTTCAGAAAAATTTTTTTTTGATTTGACGTTCACGTTTTTTTTTGTGTAATCTACTATATACTAATTGGGAAAATTTTTTTGGCAATAGTGTGTCCGGGTCCCGTTCTCAAAACTGTGCGCATAAAAATTGATGATCAAAAAAAGAAAAAGTTTCTAAATGTTGGCAGCTCGGTGCGCATCCTATTCATTCTTTCTCAAAATGTCTGTGAGTGCGCGGAGAATCAAAAGTTTGAAAATCTCAATGTATTTTTCGGATTTAAAATGTGTCGCTCGACTTTTCTCAATTTCCAGAAGACCATTTTTGATGGGACCTTCATCATGCTAACCCAAATTCTTTCCCATTGAGGCGCTAATATTCGGTTTTTCAAAAAGTGCGCGAGTTTTCACGTGAAAAATCAAAACTTTTTTCATGCTAAAAAGAATGAGCACGTTTTTAATCAGAAAAAATGGCTAGGTCACGTCTCTTATCTGATCTTTTTATTGCTCAGTCATAGCGGGACATTTTTAATCATTTATCGCTATTACTCTACTACTAATCGGTTTGAAAAATAAATTAAAATGAAGTGAGTCAAACTACTGTAGATAAATTCAAAATGTTTTCGAACTTTCAGATATTGAATAATTTCTCTCACAAGAAGATGTGAATTTTTTATAGTGAGTTTTGATGTGTTTGGGAGTATCAATATAGTTAAGCCCAAGCAATTTTTGGCAATCTGAAATTTTGTAAGCCTTGGAAAAGAACCGATATGACCGAGAAAACTAATCACTCAACAAAAATAATGAAAGAACGATAAAGTCAGATGCATTTTTACTCTCTCTTCCACGGCTCTAAAAGGTTCGGATTGAACATAGAAGCTTACTCAGAAAATAAGGCAGACCACTAGAAAAAATTACATGCTAGATAACTTCCGGACAACTATTGGCTGTTGCTTTTCTTAGCTCTCTGCATGTAAATTTGTGGAAATGTTTCTCGAAATATTGTGGTTTATTTTTTTAAAGATGTAGCAAATTTGAATTTGAATGAGAAAAGAAGACACAGTGTATGATTTACTACCCGAAATAGGTAACTCTCAAATTTTTCGATAATTTTTGGCGTAGATCAAAAATATTCTTTCTCTAAATATTTCATAAGGGTTGATTCACTAACGAAAAATTAGATTTTCGAGTTCTTCAGCCGAAAATGACGACAAATCCATGTTTTTGAAGCTTCTGAGGTAGTATCTGATAAAAATTGACCTTGGAATCCACTTTTCAGAAATATTATGAAAGAAACATTTGCATAGGAGTTTAGGCTTTAAAATTCAAACCCCATCTTTTTTCATAACCCCTTATTTTTCCTCAAAAAATTTCTGTTCAGTATGGATTCGGTAGATTCTGTACTTTTGTTTTTCGAACTTTAAAATTACACAAATCGGTTCTGAACAGGAAAAATAGGGAAACATGAGAGACATTGAAAAAAGGATTTCAAGAAAAATAGAACAGTTTTCAAAGAAAATGGAAACAATATTTTTCAAACTTGAATTTTGAATTTCGAAAACCTAAATTAAAAACTTACACCGGCACCTTGGTGCATAAAAGCCGTCGGAGCCCTTAAATCGAAAAATATATTGGAGTTTTCAAACTTTTTGTGCTCCGCGCACTCCGAGAAAAGTTAATCAAAAACAGATGGTTTTACGCTTAGGCTTAGTTAGGATTTCAGGCTTAGGCTTAGTTAGGCCTTTAAGTTTAGGCTTAGTTAAGGTTTTACGCTCAGGCTTAGTTAGGATTTTCAGCTTAGGCTTAGGCTTCAACTTTTGCATCCCTTTCAGTATAAAATTTCAGTGGGGTCCCATTCGTTCTAATAAAAAATTCAACGGGGTCCCTTTTTTTGCGGGGTCCCATTCAGACAATTCAAAAAATGCTGTGGTCCCATTTTATTATTTTGGGGTCCCATTCATCACGACGATTTTTAAACACCGGGGTCCCATTTAGCATGGGGTCCCATTCAGTCATTTGGGGTCCCATTTGGGGTCCCATTCATTATTTGCCATCGATTTCGGGTAGTGAATTACACACTGGCTCAGTCAATCGATTCGCGTGACCCGAATCTGTATTCACAGATATTCAAAAATGGAAACGAAAAATTCCATGAAGTTTTGTGAAGTTCTGGATTAAAAAAATTAATGAAGTTTTGGATTAAAATTCATTTCATCACTTCTCGAAAATGATTCCTAACCATTGATTTTGAAACTTTATGGAAATCGTTATGGAAAGTCAGCAAGTTATTTTTATAGATAAAAAATACGGCGGAGAGATTTAGTTCAAGTTTGCACGCTCCATGAATCATCATTCCACATTTTTCAATGGTCACGGTTTTGAAAAATCAAACCGTTCGAAAAACTTTATACCTAAAGAAAACTACGCGCGAAGCCGGGACAATCCAGAAGGAGAAGCCGGCGTTAGCCGGCGGAGCCCTTCTGGTAGTAAATAAATGAAGAAAAATGAGGTGGGAAAAATTTTGTTTTTTTTTTTATTTTTGGCACCTGTTTTTTACTTTACTTTATAGTTTTTGGAGTTTTTTTTGAAAGTATAAAATTTCCAAAAATTTTTCAAGCTAGATCTGATTGATCTTATGAAAATTGTTCTGGAATTCTGGATTTTGACACATGTTTCAGTTTCTGAAAAATTATTTTTCACCTGTTTTAAAACTATAGTCTAGTGAAGCCCTTATTCAGGCTAGATAAGAAAATTTAAAAAAAAATTATTTTCCGAATATTTTTTGGTAGTAAATCCATAAAAAGAATATTTTGTGGCTCATAAAACAAGCTACACATTTGAAAATTTTGTCAAAATATTTGGCTTCCCCCTGAACAACTTTATGTATTCAATTTTTGATCAAATCGTATCTAAGGTTAGTTAAAAGTTTAGCTTTTGGCTCATTTTTGTGCTCTTCAAAGAGTCCTGTGAGCATTGCTCATGTTATACTAAATTTGAAAAAAATTGATTGCTCATATTAAACTTTCTAGAACATTTTGAAAAATTATTTTTATTTCATGAGAATTTTTTTTTAAATTTAAAATTTAAATTTAAAAAAAAACTATAGTCTAGTCCAATCTATAATCAGCCTCCAAAAATTTCAGAAAATTGAGGATTGAAATTCCAGATCTTTGAAGCTTTTCAATGAAATTTGATATTTTTTTCGCAAAACCCAAAACCACCTTCAAAAGTATACAATATTAAATTTCCATACAATTCTAGTCTAGATTAAAGGTGGAATTTTTTTTTGAGCAAAAAATAAGTTGTGCTCATTTGAAAGGCTTCAGAAGGCTTCAGAAGGCTTCAGAAGGCTTCAGAATGCTTCAGAAGGCTTCAGAAGGCTTCAGAAGACTTCAGAAGGCTTCAGAAGGCTTTAGAAGTCTTCAGAAGGCTTCAGAAGGCTTTAGAAGGCTTCAGAAGGCTTCAGAAGGCTTTAGAAGGCTTCAGAAGGCTTCAGAAGGCTTTAGAAGGCTTCAGAAGGCTTCAGAAGGCTTTAGAAGGCTTCAGAAGGCTTCAGAAGGCTTCAGAAGGCTTTAGAAGGCTTCAGAAGGCTTCAGAATGCTTCAGAAGGCTTCAGAAGGCTTCAGAAGACTTCAGAAGGCTTCAGAAGGCTTCAGAAGACTTCAGAAGGCTTCAGAAGGCTTTAGAAGTCTTCAGAAGGCTTCAGAAGGCTTTAGAAGGCTTCAGAAGGCTTCAGAAGGCTTTAGAAGGCTTCAGAAGGCTTCAGAAGGCTTTAGAAGGCTTTAGAAGGCTTCAGAAGGCTTCAGAAGACTACAGAAGACTTCAGAAGACTTCAGATCCACTCAAAAAAAAATCTACTTTTTTAAAATCTTTGAAGTGTTCTTCCTCGATGTCACGAAAGTCTCAAATGTCAAATTGCAACACACTTTTTTTTTGTTCAAATCGGACTTTTTTAATGAGTCCAGCCAGATTTTATTTGCTTATTGCAATTTCATTTTCGCGCTCTTTTTCTTTTTCTTCTTTTTCCCCTTTTTTTATCATTCATTTTTTTTGCACCGCTTGTTTTGAATCTAAAAAAAACTTTTTTATGAATGATAATTTTTTGTTTTGACTGAAAAAGTCCATCTGAAAAATGTGGAGACGCAAATTTAAGGTTCGTTTTTTTCGAAATTTTGAACTCGATGTTTAAAAAAAAAATAATCTTTCAAAAAGTTTTGAAAAATTTTTTGATCAAATTATTATTTTTCGAAAATCTAGTTTTTGTTGATTGAAAATGGTTGGGATGAAGGTTGGTGGCAATTTTTGATTTTTGATTTTTTTTTGGGGTGAAAAAGGATTTGGAAAATTTTTTTTGAAGTGCTGAATTATAAATTTTGAACTTGAAAATCTTTTGGAATTCAGATTTGAAAATTCAAAAAATTTAGAAAAATTATTCAAATCTTGTTGATTTTTTTTTCATATTTTGAAAAGTGATCTGAAATTTCATTCATCTTTAATTTTGAAGTATTTTTTAAAAAATTCATTCTGAAAAATTTTTGCTCAAAAATTTCAGAATTCTGTTTGGACCCCAGAATCTCACATGAAAACTGGAAATCCAAATTTTTCAATTTCAGAATTCAGATTTGAGAATTCAAAAAATTCAGAAAAATTATTCAAATTTCTTGGATTTTCATAAAATTTTAAAGAAAATCTGAAATTTTTGGAAAAATTGTGAAATTTTTTCAAAATTTCAAAAAAAAAAGTACAGTCTCCAAATTCCGCCAAAATTTTCTTAACTACAAAAAAAATACCAGTTAGCCTAACAATAAAAAATAGATTCCATAAATCCAAAACATGTTTTCATCCTTTATTTTTATTTTTATATTTTCTCGTATCCTACTTGACATTATCTTCTATTGTAAAAACATTTTTCTCTAATTAACTATATATATTTTTTATGGAGTAAAGTGATTTAAAATGAAAGTTAAGGTGAAGTTTTTAAATTTTTGAAAAATTCAGAAAATTTAGATAATTCTGAAATAGATTTCAAGAGCCATCATTTTTCAAAATTTCTAATAAATTCAAAAATTTTTCCATCTCACCCAAAGCAATAATTAATTCGAATTTCCGTTTTATTCCCCCGTTTTCCCCCTCAAAACTTTATTTTTTTAGAGATTATTATATGCCGCAATTCATCAAAAATCAATGGGTAAAAGTGAGTTGCTTTATTTTTTAAGGCGTGTTTTTCAGCTGCCATGATTACAGAGAAAAGGGAAATCGAAAAATTAATGTTCGCACAACTTTTTTTTTTGTTTTTAGTTTGATCTGGGGAAATAGGATTATTCTACTACTGTAATTGGATGTCTGAAAATGAAAACCGAATTTTTTATAGATTTTTTTTTGTAAAGTTTCATGAGAAACTTTTTGGTTTCATTATTTATTATTCATTTATTCTGTAGGTTGACGACCAAAAAAAATTGTATTGTATAAAACTAGGATTAAAAAAATTCGAAAAAAAAACACTTTTCTCATCGATTGTTTCATTTTTGTGTTCTTTTTCTGGGTACGGCAGATTTTTGCGAAATTTTTTTGAAAATTTTTTGATTTTTTCAGAATTTCAAGCTGAACTTTTGATTTTTAGAAAGTTTGGGGAAAATTGATTTTCAAAGAGATTTTAAAAAGCCCCATCGTGTTTTGAAAATCCGAAAACATTCCTAATTATCTTAGCAACCAAAATAACTTATTTATAAACTCAAAAAAAAGTCCTCCACATATATGAAATTATAATCTTGATGTTTGATGTTTCCACATTTTTAGTGACAAAAATCAACGGAGAATCTCAAGAACTTCAAAAACTCTGCGAAGAAGACATTCACAAGCACTTCGGAACAATGCTGAAATCTGTGAAAATTCGAAAAACAGCTTTCGCATTTCTATGTTTCATGTTTGTTTCCGCAATGATTTTTCAATTGACCACTGATTTTCGAGAAAATAAAATTCCTGATGTGAGATTTCGGCCTAGCAAATGGATCAATGAAAAGAGTCAGCCTTTGATTATTGTGATAACTCCAACTTATAAGAGGTTTACAAGAATGGCAGATATGACCAGGTTAGTTATATTTTTTTTTTGAATTTCCTGTTTTTATCTCAAACATCTCAATGAAGATCTGAACCAAAACCAAAACACAAAAAAACATTTTGAAAAATTTATGCAGCCCCAAAAAATAAGCAGTCCCAAAAAATAAGCAGTCCCAAAAAAATAAGCAGTCCCAAAAAAAAGCAGTCCCAAAAAATAAGCAGTCCCAAAAAATAAGCAGTCCCAAAAAATTAGCAGTCCCAAAAAATAAGCAGTCCCAAAAAATAAGCAGTCACAAAAAATTAGCAGTCCCAAAAAATAAGCAGTACCAAAAAATAAGCAGTCCCAAAAAATAAGCAGTCACAAAAATAAGCAGTCCCAAAAAATAAGCAGTCCCAAAAAATAAGCAGTCCCAAAAAAATAAGCAGTACCAAAAAATAAGCAGTCCCAAAAAATAAGCAGTCCCAAAAAATAAGCAGTCACAAAAATAAGCAGTCCCAAAAAATAAGCAGTCCCAAAAAATAAGCAGTCCCAAAAAATAAGCAGTACCAAAAAATAAGCAGTCCCAAAAAATAAGCAGTCCCAAAAATAAGCAGTCCCAAAAAATAAGCAGTCACAAAAAATAAGCAGTCCCAAAAATAAGCAGACACAAAAAATATGCAGTCCCAAAAAATAAGCAGTCCCAAAAAATAAGCAGTCCCAAAAAATAAGCAGTCCCAAAAAATAAGCAGTCCCAAAAAATAAGCAGTCCCAAAAAAAGCAGTCCCAAAAATAAGCAGTCACAAAAAAATAGGCAGTCACAAAAAAATAAGCAGTCCCAAAAAAATAAGCAGTCACACAAATAAGCAGTCCCAAAAAATAAGCAGTCCCAAAAAATAAGTAGTCGCAAAAAATAAGCAGACCCATGAAAATAAGCAGTCCCAAAAATAAGCAGTCCCAAATTTTTTGGGACTGCTTATTTTTTGTGACTGCAATTTATCTATTTGACTTTTGCGGTCTGAAATAACAAAGGCGCATAGTTCAGTGGTAGCATTTTGGATTTTGAATCTGAGGGTCGGAAGTTCAATTCCGCTCGGAAACTTTTGTTTTTATTTTGCCTAAAAAAAAATCAAAACACAAAAAACATAATTTTCAGAATGGCGAATACATTAATGCATATCGAAGATCTTTATTGGATTGTTATTGAAGATGGAAGTCAGAAAAATAAGCAAACAGATGAACTTTTAAAAAGATCAAAACTTCGATATTCATATCTACCATATAAAACGGAACCAGGTTATCCGAGTAAGTTAATCTAACTCCTCTCTCTTTTTTTTGCTGTTGATGTTTGAACAATTTTTTAAAGGGCGAGGTTGGTATCAGAGAACGATGGCTTTGAAATTTTTGCGAACGAATACTTCGGAAATTTTGGGAAATAATACGAATGGTGTTGTATATTTTGCGGATGATGATAATGCTTATGATATTCGATTATTTACTGAATATATTAGGAATGTTAAGAAACTTGGAATGTGGGCTGTTGGTAAGATTTTGAAGGGGAAGGTTAGACAAAAAAAATAAGCAGTCCCAAAAAATAAGCAGTCCCAAAAAATAAGCAAAAAATAAGCAGTCCCAAAAAATACGCAGTCCCAAAAAATATGCAGTCCCAAAAAAATAAGCAGTCCCAAAAATAAGCAGTACCAAAAAAATAAGCAGTCCCAAAAAATAAGCAGTCCCAAAAAATAAGCAGTCCCAAAAAATAAGCAGTCCCAAATTGTTTTGGGTCTGCAATTTATTTATCTGACATTTTTCGGTCTGCAAACACAATGGCAAATAGTTCAGTGGTAGAATTATGGATTTTGAATCTGAGGGTCAGGAGTTCGATTCCGCTCGGGAACTTTTGTTTTTATTTTTTATGAAGTTTCAAAAAATGCGATTTTGCAGGGCTAATTTTCAGCATTCTTTAGTTTTTGAGAAATCACAATTTCGGATCAAAAGTTCATATTAACACGGAATTTACATAATAAATGAAAATTCGTTATCTCGCGTTTCAATCGCAATTTTCTTTTTCAAAAAAGATATTTCCTGTTTTAGAAATAAAATCAGGAATTTTTAAAAGAACAAATGTTTAGAAAAACAATTTTTGAAATTCATGGAAAATTAGGCGGCCCAAAAAAAATTAGCAGATTTTATCCGCAACATTTTTGACCCAATTTTTTGTGCCGAAGAAACCACAAACATGAATTTTCTTAGAAAAAAATTAAAAAGGGCTACTTTTTTCTCATGAATCCGGAATCGGATCATCTCCAACCGCAAGAAAATTCGAGATAAGAAAAAAGTTACAAAAAATAAGCAGTCCCAAAAAATAAGCAGTCCCAAAAAATAAGCAGTCCCAAAAAATAAGCAGTCCCAAAAAATAAGCAGTCCCAAAAATAAGCAGTCACAAAAAATAAGCAGTCCCAAAAAAAATAAGCAGTCACAAAATTTATGCAGTCCCAAAGAAAATAAGCAGTCACAAAAAAATAAGCAGTCCCAAAAAATAAGCAGTCCCAAAAAATAAGCAGTCCCAAAAAAATAAGCAGTCCCAAAAAATAAGCAGTCACAAAAAAATAAGCAGTCCCAAAAAAAAAAAAAAAAAAAAAAAAAATCTGAGGGTAGTGAGTTCAAATCCACTCCAAAACTTTTTTTTTGAAGTGGAAAAGTCTCGAATCTACAATTTTTTTAGCTTTTTAAAGGTGGAGTCCGAGCAAAAAATAAGTTGTGCTAATTTGAAAGAGCATGTTGCAATTAGTACAATCCTCGAAGGAATTTTTCTGAAAGCTTCTCTAACATTAGAGAAACACAGCTCCAAACGGTTGGAGATATGGACTTTCAAGCCATTTTACACGGTGTTTCACTGTTTTTTCGAACTTTGTAATTTTTTAACCAATGTTTGAGAAGCTTCCAGAAAAAATCCTTCGAGGATTGTACTAATTAGAACATGCTCTTTCAAATTAGCACAACTTATTTTTTGCTCGGACTCCACCTTTAAGAGTTTAAAAGCTACAAAAAAACTCACCCAGAAATCCGTCCCCATGTTGTTTTTTTTTTCCAGGCCTAGTTGGTGGAACTGTCGTCGAAGCGCCGCACGTCGTCAACGGAAAAGTCACCGGTTTCGATGTAAAATGGAATGCGAAACGAATGTTTGCCGTTGACATGGCCGGATTCGCCGTGAATCTTGATGTTGTTCTACGAACCGATGCTGTGTTTGGAACATCGTGTAAACGTGGAGCGGGTGCACCTGAGACATGTCTATTGCAAGATATGGAATTGACCAGAAATGATATTGAACCTTTTGGTTTTGATAAGGAGGTGAGCATAAAAATCACTGCGAAAAAAACAAAAAATAAAAAAAATTGAAATGCACACGGGAAGCGCGCACACACACAAAATGCGCCAGCCTTTTACACCCTGACGCACTTGTGGTGCATGCACATTCTTTTGAGGACAACTCACAACGTTTTAACTTGAGTCAGACGCGAGACGACGAGAGTATTTTGCAAAAATATGCCGAAAATGAATTTCGCTTCGAGATATTTTCAATAAAACATGTGTGTTCCTTGAAACAAAATACGGTATTTTTTCAAAGGCACACATATTTTCTCAAAAATATCTCGAAGCGATCTGTCTTTGATGACGTCATCAGACTCCCGTCGTCTCTAGTCTGACCCGGGGGGCAAGGAGTAAATGATCGTGAGAGACGCAGATAAAAACGCGACAAGAGAGTGTGTCACGTGAAGAGTCGCAGACATGAACCCTTTGCGTCATTTTAAAATGTTGTGTATCTAATCTTGTTTGCAGAAAGATCGTGAGATTTATGTATGGCATACGAAAACAGCTAGCCCAAATCTTGGTTCGAACAAGAAGAAGACAAATTCAACAAGCGGCCCGATCAGATATGAAACTTATGGATATATTGTTGAAACATAGTTAATTGCATTATTTTCTTAAACTTGTCTAGATATAATTTCGAGATTTTTTGCGGGTTTTATATTATATTAATTTCGGGTTTTTTTGTGTATTTAGATGAAGCTAGCTTTTTTGAAGTTCTTTTAAATTTAAAATAAAATAAAATCTAGATGTAAAATGATCGAATCAAGTTTTTAAAAGTCCCTAATCGTTTTTCATAGCGCACGTAAATGCCAATAGCAGATTTGTTCATGAAGATAAGCAATACACATATCCACACCTGTCAACTTATTTCTGATCTCATCAAAACGAAGTCTAGAAAAATGCGAATATCGTCTAGAACTTTGAATATCACATTGATTTTTATTTATTTTATTATGGTTTCTGTTATTATTTATCAATTAATGCATCGTAAACCATTTTTTGGATTTATTGAACTATCTGGACAATCTTTGGAGCTTCGAGAAGATTTTGAGAGCGCTGATTCTGAGAATCAAACTTTGATTATAGTAATAACACCAACATATTCTAGATTAACTCAATTAGCTGATATGACAAGGTAAAAAATAAAAAAGTAATTTTTTCTTTAAAATAAAAAATTCTGTTTTTAGAATGGCTAATACTTTAATGCATGTTCCCTATCTTCATTGGATTATTATTGAAGATGGAATTTCGAAAAATGAGGAAATTGATAATTTATTAGCAAGATCAAAAATTCCCTATTCATATTTCACCTTTAAAACGCAACCTGGGTATCCGAGTAAGTTCCAAGTTCAAACTACATACAATTTCAAATTAGAGCGAGGTTGGTATCAAAGAACAGTGGCTTTGACGTTGCTACGAAATATGGAATCGAATCATACGAATGCAGTTGTGTATTTTGGAGATGATGATAATTCGTATGATATTCGAGTGTTTACGGAATATATTAGGAATGTGAAGAAACTTGGAATGTGGGCTGTTGGTAAGATTTTTAGAGAAAAAAATTAGCAGTCCCAAAAAATAAGCAGTCCCAAAAAAATAAGCAGTCCCAAAAAATAAGCAGTCCCAAAAATATGCAGTAACAAAAAATAAGCAGTCCCAAAAAATAAGCAGTCCCAAAAAATAAGCAGTCCCAAATAATAAGCAGTCCCAAAAAATAAGCAGTCCCGAGAAATAAGCAGTCTCAAAAAATAAGCAGTCCCAAAAAATAAGCAGTCCCAAAAAAATAAGCAGTCCCAAAAAATAAGCAGTCCCAAAAAATAAGCAGTCCCAAAAAATAAGCAGTCCCAAAAAATAAGCAGTCCCAAAAAAAAATAAGCAGTCACAAAAAATAAGCAGTCCCAAAAAATAAGCAGTCCCAAAAAATAAGCAGTCCCAAAAAATAAGCAGTCCCAAATAATAAGCAGTCCCAAAAAATAAGCAGTCCCGAGAAATAAGCAGTCTCAAAAAATAAGCAGTCCCAAAAATAAGCAGTCCCAAAAAAATAAGCAGTCCCAAAAAATAAGCAGTCCCAAAAAATAAGCAGTCCTAAAAAATAAGCAGTCCCAAAAAATAAGCAGTCCCAAAAAAAATAAGCAGTCCCAAAAAAATAAGCAGTCCCAAAAAAATAAGCAGTCCCAAAAAATAAGCAGTCACAAAAAATAAGCAGTCCCAAAGAATGAGCAGTCCCAAAAAATAAGCAGTCCCAAACTTATTTGGGTCTGCTGTTTATATATATATTTGACATTTTGCGGTCTGCAAACACAATGGCAGATAGTTCAGTGGTAGAATTATTGATTTTGAATCTGAGGGTAGTGAGTTCAATGCCACTCGGAAACTTTTGTTTTTATTTTTGAAGTGGAAAAGGGAGATTAGATTTTTTAAAATTTAGGAAGTTCATTTTTATTGTTAGCAGTTTTTTTCGGCAAAGCTAGAAACTCGTCCGAATAGTTCAGATGAAGATTTTTATCTGGGAAAAAGAAAATTTGTTTCAAAAAAATATTGCCATTGTTTCGTTTGAGGGAATTTCTTGAAGATTCTTGTGGATTTTGACATCCGAAAATTTGAAAAATTGTTTTGGTGAGCCTGTTTTTTAATGATTTTCTACTTATAATTTCAATACTGAAGTTTAATCTCATAAAAATAATCTCAAAAAAGGTCAATAGATACAATCTGACCACTTCCCCTCATAAACATCTTGTAGTTCTAATTTATTCAAGTCAAATCAGAAGTTAAAAATTTTCCAAACCAAAAATTAATTTTAGGTCACGCTGGTCATGCGATTGCTGAAAGTCTTTACGTTAAAAACGGAAAAGTGATCGATTTCGATGTTGTTTGGGGAGAATGGCGAAAATTCGCGGTAGATATGGCTGGTTTTGCAATACACTTGGATATTGTTCTCAAAACCAATGCAACTTTTGGACCTTCTTGCGCTGGAAGATTTCCCGAACCATGTTTGTTGGAAGATATGGGATTTACCAAAAATGATATTGAACCTTTTGGTTTTGACAAACCAATACGGGTATATTTTTGATGGAAAATACTTTGAGTCAACAAAAAATTTCCAGGGAAATCGAGAAGTCTACGTGTGGCATACTCAAACTGTTCAACCATCGATTCGCTCCAAAAATAAAACAATTATCCATAGAATTCTGGGTTTTTTTCATATTTAATAAATATTTTACGAGGAAAAAAATGTTGTGAAAAGTTTCAACATAGTTATGTAAATCAGATTAGATAAAATGCAAAAAAAAACAAGTTTACATAGCTACTAAAAAAATGTTGTGTTTTTCCCAAGGCTTCTCAAGGCTTCCCAAGGCTTCTCAAGGCTTCTCAAGGCTTCTCAAAGGTTCCCAAGGCTTCTCAAGGCTTCCCCAAGGCTTCTCAAGGCTTCTCAAGGCTTCTCAAGGCTTCTCAAGGCTTCTCAAAGGTTCCCAAGGCTTCTCAAGGCTTCCCCAAGGCTTCTCAAGGCTTCTCAAGGCTTCTCAAGGCTTCTCAAGGCTTCCCAAGCCTTCTCAAGGCTACTAAAGGCTTCCCAAGGCTTCTCAAGGCTTCTCAAGGCTTCTCAAAGCTTCTCAAGGCTTCTCAAGGCTTCTCAGGGCTTCTTAAGGCTTCTCAAGGCTTCTCAAGGCTTCACAAGGCTTCTCAAGGCTACTAAAGGCTTCCCAAGGCTTCTCAAGGCTTCTCAAGGCTTCTCAAAGCTTCTCAAGGCTTCTCAAGGCTTCTCAGGGCTTCTTAAGGCTTCTCAAGGCTTCTCAAGGCTTCACAAGGCTTCTCAAGGCTTCTCAAGGCTTCTCAAGGCTTCCCAAGGCTTCTCAAGGCTTCCCCAAGGCTTCTCAAGGCTTCTCAAGGCTTCTCAAGGCTTTTCAAGGCTTCTCAAAGGTTCCCAAGGCTTCTCAAGGCTTCCCCAAGGCTTCTCAAGGCTTCTCAAGGCTTCTCAAGGCTTCTCAAGGCTTCCCAAGCCTTCTCAAGGCTACTAAAGGCTTCCCAAGGCTTCTCAAGGCTTCTCAAGGCTTCCCAAGGCTTCTCAAGGCTTCCCAAGGCTTCTCAAGGCTTCTCAAGGCTACCCAAGGCTTCCCTTGAAAAATTTTTCAAGAATTTCCAACTGAAAGTTCTTGTGGTGGGTGTGGTCAGTTCAGTTTTCGTAACAACGTGTTTATGTAGATTATATCTGGAAGATTCTTTGAAAATTGAACTGAAAATCTTTAAAAAAATAAGTTTTCTTTCAAAAAATAAGAATTCTTATGAAATTTCACACAATCATGATTGAAAAACAAATATTAAAAGATCAAATTCCGATATTAAACAAAAAAATTAATCAGAGTTACATAAGATCGTGCTGTTCGAAAATTTTCTTAAAATCTGGAAGAAGACTATAACAAACATGTTTTCCAATATAAATCAAATCAAAACTAAATTTATGTATTTAGTGTGGTCAATTTATATCTTTATTACATCTAAAACCTTTAAAAAACTTTTTACCTTACCAAATTTGAAATTATTGTTCAAAATTATAAGTTATCTTTAGAGATTCTGACATTTGCAAAATTAATCCCCTCACAATCAATTTCAAAAAAAGTACACATTTTGAAAATGAAGATCAGCATCTAGATTGCGTAAAATCCCGCAAGTACTTTTTATAAAGCGTTATTGCATAATTTTATAAAAGCTTCCAGATTTAATCTGGATTTATGTCCTTACCAACACGTTGTTGAACGCACCCACCACAATGGAATATATATATATATAAGTTCAGTTTTCCTTCCGAAAACCCCCGAAAATGTTGCGAATCTCCTCTAAAATGATATATTCAACACTAGTATTTTCAAATCTTATTTCAGTAATTGTTATAACTTCAAACTTGTCAGATGATGATTTTCAACTGGGAAAATGTGATTTTACTCAAAAATCTCCCAAAAATAATTCATTGATTATTGTGATAACACCAACATATTCTAGATTAACTCAATTGGCTGATATGACAAGGTAAGTGTAGATTTTAGTGTAAATTTTTCTTTTTTTTTTTTAGAATGGCTAATACCTTAATGCATATTTCTGATCTTTATTGGATTGTTATTGAAGATGGAAATTTGAAAAATGAGAAAATCGACAATTTACTAAGAAGATCGAAAATTCCACATTCATATTTGCCATTTAAAACTGAAACTGGGTATCCAAGTAAGTCCGCGTCTTGAAAACAGCCCAAGTGTCCTCAAATCTTAGATTTAGCTTAATTTAACTATAGTCTAGTTCGATGCAAAAATTCAGAACATTTCGATAAGTAATCGCTTAAATATGGAAGCCCACTGCAAAAATAAAAAATTCAAACCACGCGCGCGCAAACATGTCGTCAACGTGGAGTCTCGTTGTTTTCTTTTTATTTTTTTGCAATTTTTTCCATTTTTTGTGGAAAATGATGAATTTGCATGGAAAAATGCGATTTTTAATCAGAGCGAGGTTGGTATCAAAGAACGATGGCTTTAACGTTGCTACGAAATAATCAGTTCCACTTTATCAACAAGAAAAATCAAAATGCAGTGGTATATTTTGGAGATGACGATAATTCGTATGATATTCGGGTATTCACGGAATATATTAGGAATGTGAAGAGACTTGGAATGTGGGCTGTTGGTAGGGTTTACACAGGGGGATTGGAAAACCCACTTTACGTCATGTTTTTCTAAATTCAGGCCACGCAGGCGGTGCAATCGCCGAAAAACTAATTGTCAATGATGGAAAAGTGACCGATTTCGATGTTGCTTGGGGAGAATCGCGAGAATTCGCGGTAGATATGGCTGGTTTTGCGATTCACTTGGATATTGTTCATAGGACTAACGCTACTTTTGGACCTGATTGTGGGCCACGTACACCAGAAACTTGTCTGTTAGAAGAGATGCATTTCAAGAGAGATGACATAGAGCCGTTTGGCGTGGAGAAAAATGTATGTTTTGAAGGAATATATGAATTCGGAGGGAGGGGCGTTAACTTTAGGTGCATTTTTGGAGGTGGGGCCTTTAACTTCTGAAAATTTTGGAGAATTTTATGGCTTTAGAAGCCAAAAACCCACGAACAGTTGGTTAGGGGGGTTAACTTTTTAAGAATATTTCCTGGAAGGGGGTTTTTTTTTTAACTCAAGGCATACCACGCCCAGGGTGAGGCATATGCACGGCGCCAATAAAAATATAAGGGAATTCACCTCGCCAATTTGAGATTTTCTTAAAAACAGCAAATTTTTGATTGTTTTCCTGTTGAAAAGTGGTATTTTTCAGTCGAAAAGGTTGTTTTCACCTCGCCAAAAAATTCAAAACCCACACCGCCAATTTTCAAAGTTAATTTGCACGAAACTGGGCGTGGTATGATTCGGAGGGAGGGCCCTTAACTTTTGAAAATTTTGGGGAATTTTATGGCTTTAGAGGCCAAAAACCCACAAACAGTTGGTTAGGGGCGTTAACTTTTTGACTTTGGAAGGGGGTTAACTCAAGGGTCCCCGGAGCGATTAGTTCATGTATGTCTGGAAGTGAGAGAAAAGGTTCACAAAACATTTCAGGTAACTCGAGAAATCTACGTTTGGCACACTCAAACGATTCAACCATTCATTCATGTGCCAACAAATGAGACAACAACTTTCAAAAGAGTTTTGAATTTTCTCCGATTTCAATAAATAAATAGTTTACACAAGTTATCGAGTTATGTAACTTTACAGGGGGAAATCAGGTTGGATTAAATGAAAGTTTTTAGGCTTGTTACTAGTTAATCCCATATAAAAAAACATACGGTTTCATTTTACCGCTTTACCGCATAGCAAACATGTTTGTACTATTTTTCATTTTATTACCTCAATTTGTTAGATCCCAATATGGACTTTTTGGCTATGGAAACACTAATTATGGTTTGTTTTCCTGGAAACGAAAAAAAAACTTTTTAGTCAAATAGACTTAGAAAATTTAAGATTGTCGTCTTCTTCTTAAAAACAGACCTTCAGGAAATCCAATTCTCAACAATCAATATGGCGCTGGTCTTCCGATGTTAGGGTAAGTCAAACATCTGAAAATTTTGAGAAAATGAATGCATGAGCAAAAAACAGAGCTGAACGAGACTGTAGTGGACTACCATCAATGAGAGCACGTAGTAGTTGCAGATATGGCCAGCCGCTGATGAGTATCACACCATTCACAGCGAATAATAATGGGGTTGGTGTTGGTGGTGGATGTGTTGATATGAATCCACAGTGTGCATTGTGGGCGAGTACAGGTGCGTTAATTATTAAATTGAAAAACCAAAAAAAAATTTAAAATTAAAAAAAAAACCACGCTTCTTGTCGTCAACGCGGAGTCTCGTTGTTTTTTTTTCTTTTTTTGCAATTTTTTTCATTTTTTTGGGATTGGGACTAGAAAAATGCAAACTTTTTAATTGAACTATACCCCAAACTTACCTGATATCATTTAACACAAATCACTGTGCTTTCTTTCACCCAAAACCCATTAAACTAACCTGACATGCGTTACAGTTGTATAAGAACCAAAAGTTACAGTTGTATAAGAACCAAATCCTCCTCAAATTCATTTTGTTTTCATGCAACATCGGGGCTCACTGAATTCCGAATTCTCAAGAGCAATCTGAAATTTCTCTGGGTCATATCTAGAAAAAAAAGAAAAAAACTCCCACTTACCTTTAATTGAGAGCTCTCATTGAAGACAGGTCGAATACAATATGAAATATTTCGAGAAATGAGCGTCCAACCTGAAAAAAAAGAGATTTGGCGTTATTTTTTTCTTAAAATAACAAAAACGTGAACATTTTTTTCATTGTGGAAATTAAAAAATAAAACTCATAAATACCTAATTAGCAAAAAATCAAAAACAACGTTTCAATTCTGAACAAAAATGATACAGGTGAGAGTTTTCCTTTTGGAGAGCGCAGAGAAACCAATAAAAAGTAAACAACGAGACTCCGCGTTGACACCAACGCGCATGGTTTAAATTTATTTATTTTTCAAATTTTCAACAGGTCAATGTGCCACAAATATGATGGTTATGAGAACACAATGTGCACTTTCTTGTGGATTATGTAAGTCCTAGCTAACTTCCACTGAATTATTTTTTCTTTTTCTATATTCAGGCGCTTCTCCCTATGGATCGCTGCCTGGAATGGGATTTGGAATGTCGCCAAGTCTTGGAATGGGTTATCCACAATTAGGACTCGGAGGAATTGCGCCATCAATGGGAATTGGAATGAACAATTTTGGAGGTGTTGGAAATTATGGGATTAATCCATTTATGGGAAGATCGATTTATGAAACTGGTAAGCATCGAAATTTTGAATTGAATTTCAGCAAAAAAAAATCGATTTCTAGATCTTTTACAACAACCATCTAAAACGAGCCTGTCCAATCTTTTGAGTGGATCAAAAACGATCGGAAGAAATCTTTAATTATTTATGTATGAATGTATGTATTTACTGAAATAATCTCATTTTATATTATTTATTGTTTTTTTATGAAATGAATTGTAAAATTTTTTAGTCAAAGCATGTTTTTCAATAACAAAATTGACAAGTTTGAAAAAAAAATGAAAAAAAATAAAATAAAACATAATTCAAACAGAAATAAACCGCGGTTGGGTCTCGACACGATTTCCTTGAAACACACACTGCGCCTTTATTACAGTACCACAAATTATTTTCTTTTATTTTTCGCGAAAAATTTTCGAGAAAAGCTGAAAACTCGGCTATAATGGATACACGCTGGCGATATCATGGCGCTAAACGTGGAGGAGGAATCAATGGATTCATACGAAATCGTGGCAAAAAACCAAAATCTGTTGCAACATCGTTTATTCCACGATTGAATGGAAATGGGAATCATGAGGAGCGCGATGATAGAGGTGCTTAATTTTGGGTTGGAATTTGTTGATTTCATTTTTCAGAAGCTCCACCAATTGAAATGAATTTGAAAGATTATCAAGATGAGACGATTTTATGTTTTTCATATGCTTCAAGTCTTCTCGGCGCTGCAATTTATGAGCAAAGCACTCAAATTGTTCGAGTGATGAATGATATTTCAGAAGATTCGACTTTCGAATATATTAAGCGATGTATGTAGTTTAATCATTTTCAATGAGAAATCTTTTTTTTTAGTAATCGACACAATTAATCCCTCAATTATTCTTGCAAACAATAGTCAAGACATGAAATTGATAAATATGTTGACACAAAGATGTGAGTATTTCATTAGAAATATAGTTGGACATCGACTAAATGACATTTTCAGGTTTTTCAAGCAAATGAGTTGAAATATTGGGTTCTAATGTTATTCATATGATAGAATGGTCCAAGACGAACAGAGTGATATAAATTTTGATGACTTTACGTTATCCTTAAAGCAACACCCTCGTATAATAGGCACTTTCTTGAAAAAAGCCCAAATGTTCTCAAATCTTAGATTTAGCTTATTTTTACTGTTTTCTAGTTCGGAGAAAAAATTCAAAACGTTTCAATAAGTATTAGCCGAAATATGGGAGCCCATTGAAAAACTGAAAAAACTCAAATTCAAACAACGCGGGCTAGCGTCAACGCGGAGTCTCGTTGTTTTCTTTTTTATTTTTTCGCAAAATTTTTCCGTTTTTTTCGGAAAATGACAATTTGCATGGAAACAACTGTTTTCTGGATATGAAAAAAATAAAGTGAAGAAATATAAACACGAAGATTCAATATTTCAGACGAAAACTAAATTTTTCTATGGAAATTGTGTTTTTTAGTTTTTGACCGGAATATGCAATATAAAACTGAAATATCATTGTCAAAAATGAAAGTAGAGATAGTTAAGTATGTTCAGAAATCATTGTTATAATTTATTTCATTGTTTTCAGTGAAACAATTCACTTTTTGTTGAAAAAAAAGTTGAAAGGGGTACTGTAGCACACAATTGTCGTCACAGTGTTTGCACAAATGTCATGAAATTGCGGATCTGCACAATCTGCAGGCGATTTTCAAAAAAAAATTGTTTTTTTTTTCAAAATCGGTCAAACTTGATCGTTTTTGAGTATTTCTTCTTCATATTTCTTGTGAGTATAGCTGGATAGGTTAATTTTATATATTTTGGTGTTTGAAAGCATTTCGCAATGGCCTTATTATACGAGGGTGTTGCTTTAAGTGATTTAACAACGTTTAGTCGATAAGGTCGCTAAATCACTTATGGCTAACGTAAATTCATCAAAATTTATATCATTCTGTTTGTCTTAGACCATTCTATCATATGAATAACATTAGAACCCAATATTTCAAATCACTTGCTTAAAAAACATGAAAATGTCATTTAGTCAATGTCCAACTATAATGAATAAATTACAGATGGCTCGAAAGAAGATGTTGAGGAAAATGCGAGAAATCAAGATTTATTATCCGATTCTATACCTCGCTGGGATCCATCAATAACTACAGATGAAACAGACACAAGAATAGAAGAAGATCCCGATTCAGATGAAGAATTTGATAATTCAAGTCTCGTCAAATTCATAAAACTCACCAATAATTTCTATAGTATGTATTTGGAAGTTTTTGGCTGTAACTTCGTTAGTCGCGTGCGGCTGTGCGTCGCGGTTGGGAAACAATAAATAATTCATTTTTCTGACCGCGACGCACAGCCGCACGCGACTGACGAAGTTGAATTCTCTGAATTTCAGGATTCAAAAAATCGATGGATCGTTTGAATGAGTTGTTCAATGCCGATGACGTCACGTCTACAGAAGAAGAACGAGAATTAATGGTGAAAATGAGGATTGATATGAATTCAACGAATATGATCCGATCATTCGGAGCATTGTTGTTTTATTTGGATGAAACACGATTAGGTGTAGAAAATGCGCCTTTAAATGTCAGATCTCCAGTGAAAGCTATCAAAACTTTTGTTTTGTAAGTTTTTCCCTCCATCTTCAATCAAATATTATACTTAAAATTCCCTTTTTCTCAGAGGAAACCACGTGGAAATTGATTTCAACACGTTCAAAGCGTTGGATATAATGCATTGCGATGAGAAGAGGAAAAAAGGTGTTCCGCAAAAATATTCGATTTTTGCGCTTCTGAATCGATGCAAAAGTACGATGGGAAGAAGATGTTTGAAAAAATGGTGTAGAAATCCGACGACAAGTCGAGAGATTTTGAAGATTCGCCACAAATTTATTCATTTTTTCCTTCAGGATTGTCATAGGCCGATGACTGCGAAAATTGTTAGATTACTGAATCATGTTAAGGGATTAGATGTTAGTAGGGCTGATTTACGAACGAAAAAATTGTTTTTTTGTTTTATTTTAGCAAAAATCAGCACAAACTTCTGAAAAGTAGATTTCAAGGTCGATTTTCATCAGAAATCACCTCAGAAGCTTCGAAAATCTCGATTTGTCATCATTTTTGGCTGAAAACCCATGAAAAACTAATTTTGACCAACAATTTTTTAACTTTTCGTGAATTGATTTTTCAATGTTATGGGTCTATGCAGAATAATATTTTGTAATAAAAAAACATATTTTTACAATGCAGAAAAACGTCGAAAAAACAAAATATACAGTTTATTATTTTTGAGTAGAGACAATGTGAAATTGAGAGAGTGCAGACAGTTTTTTGTATTTTTTGTGCGAAAAATCAATTTTTCTGTCTGCACTCTCTCAATTTCACATTGTCTCTTCTCAAAAATAATAAACTGTATATTTTGTTTTACGGCGTTTTTCTGCATAGGGAAAATATGTTTTTTTATTACAAAATATTATTCTCAATTCACGAAAAGCCAAAAATGTCGAAAAAACAGTGTAGGCCAAAATTCAAGATTTTTCAGCCAAAAATGATGACAAATCGAGATTTTAGAAGCTTCTGGGGTGATTTCTGATGAAAATCGACCTTTAAATTCATTTTCAGAAGTTTGTGTAGATTTTTCGTTTCAATTTTTGATTAATTTCGAAAAAAAAATAATAAAATGAGGTTTTGAAGCTTCTTCCTGATGAAAATAAGCTTCGAAAACCTTAATTTATTTTTTTTTCGAAATTAATCAAAAATTGAAAAATTTTTATTTCACCAAAAATCAGCAGAAGCTTCTGAAAAGTGGATTTCAAGGTCGATTTTCATCAGAAATCACTTCAGAAGCTTCAAAAATCTCGATTTGTCATCATTTTTGGCTGAAAAACCTCGAAAAACATTTGTTTTTCGTTCGTGAATAAACGCCTTGAAATGAACTCAAAAAATTTCAACGTGAACTTTGCCACGTGTCTAAAAATCCCATCATTTCCAGCACATTTTCCACCGCTTCCAAACCGGAACCGCTGAATTAATTCATTGGGATGGATTTATTCAAACAATCAGTGCACTTTGTGAAATTATTGAAGCTCTACAATTGACAGCACTGCGAGAGCACATTTTTGAGGAACATGTTTCGATTCGGGATATTTCGGAACTTATTGTTATTATCAAATCGATTGTAATGATTTTTTCGGAAATTATTGGCTAACAAGGGAACAAGGAAACTTTTTCAACTTGCAATCGAGATTTCTAATGAAATATATGTTTTCTAGTAGTTTCCGACCCGCTGATAACGATCCCGCTGTCTAAAACTGCAAAGCTCAACTCCTAACTTGAGTTATGACGTGGCAAAATTGGAAAATTTGCGACTTTGTAGGGTCAGAAATCGCCTTCAAAATTATTTTCATGAAAATCTGATAGCATAGCGTTGTTATGAAAATAATTTCGAAGGCGATTTCTGACCCTCCAAAGTCGCAATTTTCCAATTTTGCCACGTCATAACTGATGTTAGGAGTGGAACTTTGCAGTTTTAGACAGGGGGATCGTGATCAGCTGGTCGGAAACTACTAGAAAACATATATTTCATTAGAAATCTCGATTCCAAGTTGAAAACACAGCCTCCTTATAAATATAACCTATTATCGAAAATCTCCACGCGCTCCACCGAAATAAACACGCAACGCAGACCGCGTCGCGCCACAACACACAAAAAAGGGAGGGAATTTGAATCTTTCCCTCATTTGTGTGTGTTGTGGCGCGACGCGGTCTGCGTTGCGTGTTTATGAGATTTTCGATAATAACAAACTTTATTTTCAGATAGATTTCGAGGAATCTCGCACCGAAGGTCGTGTCGCTGTTTGTGTTGGCGTTGACAATTACCTCGATGAATATAAATACACATTCCGTGCTCTTCCATCTGTCCTAACTTCCCTCGCAGAACAAGAAGCTGAGCGCCTTGGAATATCTGGAGACGACAATTGCACCTGTGTTTATGTCCCTTTAATTGGCTATCTGATTTCGTTACCAAAAACTTTCCCGATTCATGAGCATGAGGGGATTCAATTGGTTTATGAAACCGATTCAGAATTTCGAATCAAAAATGAGACAACTGAATATCTTGAAGAAGAGATTGGTGATATTCGAATGCAGATTATTGATCGAGAAGCTTCGATAATTCTTCGTCTTAAGAAAATGATTCTGCAAAAGAAACGGAAAATCCTCTCATTCCTAAATATCGCCTCACAAATTGATGTTTATATTGCACTTGGATTAGTCGCTTCAGAACTCGGTTGGAATTGTCCGAGCCTAGTAGAAGAATCGATCATCGAAGCGATGGATTTGAATCATCCCCTTGCCGCAAAAATCACAAAAAATGAATTTGTATCAAATCGCGTTGTTAGTGGAAGTGATGGAACGAGAGTTAGTATAATTACCGGGCCAAATGCGTGTGGTAAAAGTGTTTATATGAAACAAGTTGGTGTTTTGGTGTTCTTGGCGCATATTGGAAGTTTTGTACCAGCAAGACATGCGAAAATCGGGCCGGTTGATCGAATTGTTACTAGAATGTTTACGGTGGATACGGTTTTGGATGGAATGTCGACGTTTGCGAAAGATGTTGAACAAGTTGCGGTTGCTTTGAGAAAAGCCACGAATAATTCACTTGTTATTGTTGATGAATTTGGAAAAGGAACTATGATGGTACCTAAAAATGTTTGGAAAATTCCCAAAAAAAGTTTTTTCCAGGAAGTTGGCCTATCACTTCTCGCCTCAACATTGACGTATTGGATTGAAAAAGGAGCGGAAAAGTGTCCGCATATTTTTATTTCTTCACATTTTCATGCTTTACCCAAGTATATTCCTGTTGAGAATAATATGGTCGCATTTTTGGTGAGTTTAAAAAATTTTAGACTAAAATCATCGCTAAACTGGAAAATTTTCCAGTTTTGCAAATTTTTGACCGGGAAAAAAAGATGAGCAAAAAATAGTATAATTTGAAGAGAATTCTCAAAAAATGCTCAGAAATCAATTTTTGACTAAAATCAAGAATTTTGGCTCAAAAAAGAGGGATTTGGAAAGAAAACTGGAAAATTTTCCAGATTTGCAAATTTTAGCCGGAAAAAAATTGAGCAAAAAATAGTATTTTCTATGAATATTACTCGAATTTAAGCCTAAAATCTTGAAATTTGACTTGAAAAAGAGGGATTTGCAAAATTGGAAAATTTTCCATTTTTTCAAATTTTTGACCAAAAATAATAATATTTTGTAATAAAAAATCATATTTTTCCAATGCAGAAAAACGTCGAAAAAACAAAATATACAGTTTATTATTTTTGAGTAGAGACAGGGTGAAATTGAGAGAGTGCAGACAGAAAAATTGATTTTTTGTATTTTTTGTGCGAAAATTCAATTTGTCTGTCTGCACTCTCTCAATTTCACATTGTCTCTACTCAAAAATAGTAAACTGTATATTTTGTTTTTCGACGTTTTTCTGCATAGGAAAAGTATGTTTTTTATTACAAGATACAGTAGTGGCCAAAAAGCTATCACCTTTTTATTTTTTGCTATAAATCGCTTGAACTATATCGGATTGGGCTCAAATTTTTTCTGAGCTATGTGGGTGACTAATGAATATATTTCGAAGGTATTTGTCGAAAAAAATTTTTTTGATGGATCTTCAGATCATTGAAACTGATTTTCAGGAATCTGAATATTTTCACTTTTTTCAAAACTGACCGGAAAACTTCGAATTGGCGGAAAATGATAGAATTACTCAATTTCTGTCATAGTAGACATCTCTGGCTTTCGATTCCGACCCTAATCTTGAATATTCATTCATTGTGAGATCTATTCCGATGGTTTCAGTGAGACCATCTAGAAAATCTGAAATGTCTCAATAAATCGATTTTCATGACTGATTATCGTCGGATATTCAATAAAACACTTCAATTTGATCATTTTCTTTCTTAAACTTCATTTTCGAATCGAAATCCGATGTTTTTTGTATGATTTTGACATTGATGGAATTCCGATCTTTGTCTAGATCTTCCATTCTAGACCATCAAGGACATCAAACATTGATTTTAGTGATGAATTTTATGCTCAAAGTGTCCAGGAATACGTTTGACAAACAATCTCACCTCTACAAACATCAGTGGTCTCATATGAGATCATTGAAAACAAAACTGCATTTTTGTGAAGAAAACCAATGGAAAACACTATGAATTTGAGAACTTTTTATTCAACGGTGCATATTTCAAGAGTTAGGCTCAGCGACCTTGAAGTCGATTGTGGCACATAAACAGAATCACATTGATAACAAAATACAACATCAAAATCAATTTTTGATGTCTTTGATGGTCTAGAATGGAAGATCTAGACAAAGATCGGAATTCCATCAATGTCAAAATCATACAAAAAACATCGGATTTCGATTCGAAAATGAAGTTTAAGAAAGAAAATGATCAAATTGAAGTGTTTTATTGAATATCCGACGATAATCAGTCATGAAAATCGATTTATTGAGACATTTCAGATTTTCTAGATGGTCTCACTGAAACCATCGGAATAGATCTCACAATGAATGAATATTCAAGATTAGGGTCGGAATCGAAAGCCAGAGATGTCTACTATGACAGAAATTGAGTAATTCTATCATTTTCCGCCAATTCGAAGTTTTCCGGTCAGTTTTGAAAAAAAGTGAAAATATTCAGATTCCTGAAAATCAGTTTCAATGATCTGAAGATCCATCAAAAAAATTTTTTTCGACAAATACCTTCGAAATATATTCATTAGTCACCCACATAGCTCAGAAAAAAATTTGAGCCCAATCCGATATAGTTGAAGTGATTTATAGCAAAAAACAAAAAGGTGATAGCTTTTTGGCCACTACTGTATTATTTTGCATAGGCCTATTAAAAATTGCATGATTTAAAATTTCGCTTGACAAAATTCTATGGGCAGCTGCCATCCTAAAAAAAATATAAAAAATTCAGCCGTCGAAGAGCAGAAAATGGCATTTTTGATATGTCATAACTTAATTTAGAGACGATTTTATGAAAATCTGATAGCAGGAGGTTGTTCCGGAGGGTCGATTCACTAAAAAATTTTGCAAAAATGTCCCCCAAAAATCATGTTTTTCCCAGACATTCCGTGTAAATCGCCTAGCTGGTGGTCGAACCGAATATTCATTCAAACTCGTCGAAGGAGTCGTCGATTGTTCATTCGCAATGAGTGTCGCAAAAGACGAGGGAATCGATATTGAAGATGTCGGAAGAGCTTGTCAAATCTATGCAAGTATTAAAGATGGCGCATCAATTGCCTCAATTCAATTGAAATCGAGAGAAGAATCGGGAGAATGTGAAGATGGAGTTGAAAAAAATTGTGATCAGGTTTTGGAGGCTGAGGAAGATCAGGATTTGATGGATGTTGTTGAGAAGATTCAATTGAGGAAGATGGAAAATGTGTTGAAGACGAAGGCGAAACGAACATTGGCTGATGATAATTTGGTTGGTGATACGAGAGGAGTTGATAAGAGAATGTGGGATTCGACGGTGAGTTTTTGAGGGCTTCAAAATGAGACCGCACATGGATAGGTTTGCAATTTTGCGGCGTGGTTTTTGAGGAGCTTCAAATTGCTCATGTTAACTTTGAAAAATGTTCAAATATTGATGAATTGAACTGAAAATGGACTTATTTCGCAAAAATTGAAGTGGCCGAAATATTTTGGTGGCCGAGAAGTGTCGGGAACTCGGCCATAGCAACAAGTTCGCTCTAATGTTGCAAAAATTCTCATTGTTGGCCGAATCCCCGACATTTCTCGGCCACCCGAATAGTTCGGCCACATATTTTTTTCATTTTTTCATTTTTCTGAAATTTATGTTCAACTTCAATTTTTTTTAAAGAAAAATTAAAAAAACATATGTGGCCGAAATATTTTGGTGGCCGAGAAATGTCGGGAATTCGGCCAACACTGAGCATTTTCGCAACATCAGAGCGCATTTGTTGCTTTGGCCGAATTCCCGACATTTCTAGGCCACCGGAATAGTTCGGCCACATCTTATTTTTTCTGAAATTTATATGTTCAACTTCAATTTTTTGTGTGCATTTTAAGTTTCCAATTAACATGAGCAATACCCAGAAAGTCTACATTGCTCATATTAGAGTCTAATAAATTTTTCCAGCAAAATTTGCTACGCGAAGATGAAAATATCACCGAAGAAACTCAAATGCAGGCTGAAAAAACTGAAAAATGGATTTCGGATCAAAGGAAACCTAGGTACCCATATTTTATCGATTTTTCCCCAAATCTCAAAATTTTCAGCAATTTGTCAGTGTCTTTTGCAATAACTTCGAAATCTGGAGAAACGAAAGAACCATCGGATTTGTTCCAGTATTTGGAGGATGCTTTTGGAAAGGAGAAATCGCCGGAGAAATCTGCTAATTCACCAGGAATTCAGGAAAATCTGGAAAAACCGAAACAAGTTGCGATAACTCGACAGGAAACTCCACCTTCTCCAACTCTTTTTTCCGATGATGATGAAGAGGAAGAAGAAGAGAGAACTGTGGTTTTGACAGAAGAATCGATGTGAGTTGAAAATTAAAGGGAATTTCATCACAGAATTTTTTCTACAGAAGTTCGGCACCAATTTTCTCAACGCCGCAAATGGAAGCGGCTAGAAAACGGATGAAATTAGATCTTTCTTCATCGAAATCGAAGGAACCTCAATTCAAAACTCCAATATCAATATCGAGAAATTCAAATTCCCCGGCTATTCGAAATGCGGAAAATCTGAATACAACAACACAAAGCACTTCAGCTGCAGCTCAGCAACTTCTAACACAATCAACGCAAAGGTTAGAATCTCAGAAGTCTTCTAGAACTGAAACTCCAATGGAAATTCAACAATCTGAATATCAAACACAAAGATCTTCGAGAAATTCAACTCGGAATGATTTATCGCAAAAATCTGGACTGAATTCTTCAAGGTAAAAATATTCTCATACATAAAATGGGTCCCCAGAATCGGGGTGAGGGGCTCAACTTTTTTCAAAAATCTGAAGGGAAGGGTGCCTAACTTGGCCAATTTTCTGCTGCTGATTTACCGAAATTCCCAGATTTGTCCAAAATTCGCTCAAAAATGTGAGGAAGGTGTTTAACTTTGGAAAATTTTCAAGGAGGGGCCCTAACTTTGAAAACTGACTCGGGAGACCTATTTTATGTTTTTTTTTTATTCTAGTTTAGAACACACCTCGGCCAAAACCGTATAGTTTTCAAAATAAAAAAAAATTGTATACGCTAATTTTTTACAGTACGAAAAAATTATGAATCAAAAATTTTGGTCCTCTAAAAACTGAAATTCAGATTTTTCCCCAAATTGTACTCTGGTCAGCCACGGATTTTGAAAAGAAAAAAAATATTTTCAGATCAGAGAAGCGTTTTGGAGAATCGCCGGGGCAAAAATCAATAATGAATACTTCAAGGTAAATATTATACGTAGTTTTGGATTTGGATAAAAATATGGGTTTTTTTTAGATCTAGCGTCCACACCACAATTCCAATAGAATCTCAGCAGTCTTCTAGAACTTCAACTCCATCCAGTCGGAATGATTTATCGCAGAAATCTATGCTGAATACTTCAAGGTACTGTGAATCAAAATTTCCAAAAAAAAATTTTTTTCTTTCAAAATTTTTTTCAAAATTTTGATTCGGGCGTGAATTCAAAATTTCCAAAAAAATTTTATTTCAAAAATTCTTTCGTGAAAAAAGTAGTCTCGTGGTCTAGTCGGTAGAGATTGGGCGTAATAATCAGGTGGAATCCTGTTGGGCGAAGATGTGTATGAATTTAAAATAAAAAACATTTCGAAAAGTTTTTCAGGTCAAGCTTCGCTGCTGAAACTCCAATAGAATCTCAGAAGTCTTCTAGAACTTTGACTCCAGCCAGTCAGAATATTTTTTCACAAAAATCTATGCTAAATACTTCAAGGTAAGATTATTTTAGTTTTGAAATTGAAATAAAAAAAAGTTTTTTCAGGTCAAGCTTCGCAGCTGAAACTCCAATGGAATCTCAAAAGTCTTCTAGAATTTTAACTCCAGCCGATTTTTCACAAAAATTGATGAATACTTCAAGGTACTGTAATTCTAGATGTAAATTTGAAATAAAATCTTGGTTTTCAGATTTAGTGTCCGAGCTGAAACTCCAAAAGAATCTCAAAATCCAGATTTCCCCACTCAAAGATCTTCTCGAACTTCAACTCCAGTCACCCGAACTGATTTATCGCAAAAATCGAATATTTCAAGGTAAAATTATACCTTTGTTTTGAATTTGGGTCAAAATTCTAGTCTGTTTTTTTTACAGATCTAGCGTCCACACCGCAATTCCAATAAATTCTCAGAAGTCTTCAACTCCAGCCATCCGAACTGATTTATCGCAAAAATCGAGGTAACCAATTTCCAGTTTGGCTTGGATTTTTCTTGATTTTTCAGATCCAGCGTCCACACTGCTATTCCAATTTCCAGCCCTGATATTTTACAAAAATCGATCCTAAACAGCTCTAGGTATGAAAGTTGCTTCAAATTATGTAGAATCTCGAAAAAATCCCCTTTCAGATCAAGCATTCGAATTCAAGAATCTCAGAAATCTGAAAATGCTAGTCGAAAATCAACAACATTCAGAACTCCAGTATCTAGCAATAGTCAAGCTGGATTTCGAGCAATTCCAATTTCTGAGTAAGCTAGATCTCTATGTTATTCTAATAATTTTCAATAATTTTCTTCCAGATCTATGCCATTCGAAACATCGTATCTACCACCAAAAACATCTAGATTCTCACCAAAAAATCGAAGTTCAGCCTCAACGCCGATTGCAATTGTGACACCGAATTATTCGAATTTCCGACCGGTTATCAAAAGATCGGAATTTAGAAGTGGATTGATGAATAGATCGGTGTTTGATCTATCAGCGACCAGAAAGAAGTCGAATAATTTGTTGTTTTCTGATTCGAATTTGAACTCTCCAGCAGCCAAGAATTTGTCGGATTCACAAATATCGAGACAAAATTCTGTGTGTAGTTTGGAGCGAAGGTGGGATTTTTTTCGGGAAAAAAGGAGTTTTGAAATATTGGAATTGAATTTCAATAGATTTTTTTCATAAAATTAAAAAAAATTATCACGATCAAAATTCCCAGGAAAATTGTATTATTTTCAAAAAAATGTCGAAATTTGAAGATTTTTCGGAATTTGAAAAAAAAACTCCCAAAATCTTTGGCTAAACCTCTGATTTTTCAACAAAAAAAAAAATTTTTACAAAAATTTTTTAAATTAATTTTTTCAACTTGAACCCCATAAATCAGATTTTTTTCATAAAGTTAAAAAAATTATTTTTCACGATCATAATTTCCAGGAAAATTGTATTATTTATTTTCAAAAAAATTTCGAAATTTGAAGATTTTTTTGTGATTAGAAAAAAATTAATTACAAAATCTTTGGCTTTACCTTGGATTTTTCAACAAAAAAATAGGAAAAAAAAAATTACAAAAAAATGTTTTTTATTAATTTTTTTCAATCAGATTAGATTTTTTTCATAAAATTCCATCAGTCCAAGCTATATGAAGCCGCGAGTCGGTGGATTATAGTGCTGAGCCTCTACGTGGCGATGGGGATTTGCACACCTGGTTTACAACTTTACGGCAAGGTTTGGAGCCCTTGTCCAACCAGGTGTGTAGCCAAGAAGCTGGACATTCTCCCGAGTTGTCGCCCGCTGTCTCCAAGCTGGGTTCCAACGAGGCCCTAACTTAGGCCTAGCAAGCCTCTGTATGGGTAACCAGGAGAAAAAACTTGTAGCTAAAAACAGTTCCAAAAACTGCCTCAGTCCTCCGCACCCCACCTCTGCGTTCAACACGACGGGCTTGAAAACAAATGGGGAGAGGCGATCAAATCTCGGAGCTCCGACCACCCGTCATTGGAAAAAGGATAAGGAAAAATGCCAGCCAAAAACCCGAAAAACCGACGCCAGGATTTGCACATTTAACTGCCGCTCTATCGCCACCGATGATCGTCTTGCTGATCTTCTTCAAGAAGCTGATCGAATCAAATACGACATCATCGGATTATCTGAAACAAAGCGAGGGGCAGAATTGCAAGCCAAAAGCGCTGACGGAACTGGTATTTTTCTAGGAAAACGAAATGAAGCCTCGGTATCTGGAGGGGTTGGATTTATCACTCATAAATCCATGACTCCAAAAGTCAAAGAAGTCAAATTCATAAACCATCGAATCGCAACCCTCACTTTTGGTGTTTCAAAAAGATTCAATTGCACAGTCATACAAACCTATGCACCAATTGGAACATCAAACGACGAGGAAATTGCAGAATTCTACGAAAGCGTTGAAGATGTCATCCGCCAATCCAAATCAAAATTCAAAATTATAATGGGCGACTTCAACGCAAGAATCGGCTGCCGAGCAAACCCGTCTGAAACATTCATTGGCCCACACTCAATGGAAGCCAGAAACGAACCCGGTGATTATCTAGCAAGTTTCTGTGAAAACAACCGTATTTTCCACACGAACTCCTTCTTCGAAAAAGCCTCAAATCGAAGATGGACTTTTGTATCACCTGATGGCAATCACAAACACGAAATCGATCACATCTTAGCCAATGGCCGCTTTTTCACCGACACACACGTCGTACCCTCTTTCACGATAGGAAGCGACCATAGGCTTGTTCGAACCCACCTCCACTTCAATCTAAAATTCGTGAAACACCAAGAATTTAGGTCGAGGAGGCTGCCAAGGAAAATGATCGATGAGTCGCTGATATCCACGAACTGCGAACTCACACAAGAACCACCACCAAATCCAATCATCGACGTGTATTATAACAACATTGTGAACATGCTAAATTCGATCCAAGAGAAGTCAATGGTTCCACAACCAAACCACTCGAAGAATCGAATAAGCGAAGACACTCGAGAACTCCTGAAACTTCGGCGAGAAATGGACCGAACCAGTCCAACATTCCACATCTTCTCCGCACTATGCCGCGACGAAATCGCAAAAGACCACCAAGAATTCGCGACAACACGATTAGTAAACGCTGCAATGGCTAAGAAGAGTATGAAAAAAGTCGCCAGGAACCTGGCAGAATACTCATCAACAATTCCAAGTCTGAAATCATCCACCAACGGGAATCGTATCACCCAAAGACGCGGAATTGAACAAGAAATTCAGAAGTTCTACACAAACCTGTTCAAAAGTACCATCAACCCAACAATCCAGAGACGCCCAAGAAGACTCGGAAAACCACCATCATTTCTCCCGTGCGAAATCCGCTCAGCGCTTTCAACTTTTCCCAATGGGAAATCAGCTGGAGAGGACAAAATCACGGCCGACTTCTTGAAAAAGTGCACGGAAAAAATCATTGGGACGATCACAAAATGCTTCAACCAAATCATTGACCAGTGCCAAATCCCACAAGCTTGGAAAAATTCAAAGACGATACTGATCTTCAAAAAAGGTGACCGCGAAAACTTGGAGAACTACCGACCAATCACCATCCTACCGGTACTCTACAAGCTCTTCACAAAATGTATTCTACGCAGAATCCGTCGGACACTCGAAGAAGCTCAACCAATCGAACAAGCGGGATTTAGAAGATCTTTCTCCACACTGGACCACATTTCAACCATTCAAAGAATCCTCGAGGCAAGCCGAGAACACCAAATTCCACTGGTGTTAGTATTTGTCGATTACCACAAAGCTTTTGATAGTATCGAACCATTTGCTGTCTGGACAGCACTACAAAATCAAGGAGTTGATCAATACTACATCAACATTCTTGAAAAATGCTATCAAAACTGCTCCACCACAATTTCCCCGTTCTTCAAGAAAGTTACAATCCCGATTTCCAAAGGAGTCAGACAGGGAGATCCAATCTCCCCAAATCTCTTCTCTGCGTGCATCGAAGAAATCTTCAGATCGACAAAATGGGATGATTATGGGATAAATATAAATGGTTGCAAGTTAAACCACCTCAGATTTGCTGATGACGTAGTTCTTATCGCACACAACCCACACCAGGCGACGTCAATGCTCAATGACTTGGTCAAAGAAAGCGCGAAAGTTGGTCTGAGAATCAATGAATCAAAAACAAAATCCATGCGCAATCGATTTGCTATATCAAGTCCAATAACAATCGCAAACACCCCAATCGGAAATGTTGAAGAATATGTGTATCTTGGAAGACAATTGAATCCACCAAATGAGATTCTTCCAGAAATTCACAGAAGGAGAAGAGCCGGTTGGGCCGCATTCAAATCTATCGAACAAGCGACAGATTCCATGACCTGCCAGAAAACCAAGGCGAAACTCTTCGATCAAACAGTCCTCCCCGCTCTATGTTACGGAGCCGAAACCTGGACCTTGACAAAGAAAAATAGTGAAGCACTCCGAGTTTCACACGCGGCTCTGGAACGAAGATTAGTCGGAATTAAATTGAGCGAACAACGCGAACGCGGAATACATCAAGAAGATATTCGTCGATTATCGCAGGTGAAAGATCCACTCAAGCACATCCGCCAACAAAAACTTCGATGGGCTGGACACATCGCAAGAAGAACCGACAGCCGCTGGACAACAACAACCCTTGAATGGTGCCCTCGTGATTGGAAACGACCAGTTGGAAGACCGCCAATGAGATGGTCAGACGAATTAAGGAAAAACTACTGTATATATGACAACAACAACAAAATGGTCAAACATTGGACTACTCGTGCCAAAGACCGAGATTTATGGAGAGCTGTGGTCCGCGCTATAAGCTGATGAACGGATCAACTAAGTAACTAAGTAAGTAAGTTGGCTTTACCTTTGATTTTTCAACAAAAAAATAGGAAAAAAAAATTACAAAAAAATGTTTTTTATTAATTTTTTTCAATCAGATTAGATTTTTTTCATAAAATTAAAAAATTAATATTTATTTATTTTCAAAAAAATTTTAAATTTTTAAATTTTTTTGTAATTAGAAAAAATCCAAATACAAAAAACTTTTTCTCCAGATCAAATATCACACCACAAAATCAATATGAATCGCCCAGATCTTTCTCAATCGTAACATCATCGTCACAAAAATCGATATCTTCAAGAAATACACCAAATACTTCAAGGTAACCCCAAATTCTAGCGATTTTTCTCAATAATTCATTATTTTAGGTCCTATGTTCCATCCCCGAGTTCTCCAAGCGATGAAAAATTCGAATTCGAAATGAACGCGAATGATCCGATTTATGGGAATCGTGAAATCGATGATGAAAATGACGTTGAACCAATGGATGTCTCGGAAAATTCTGTGAAATTCTCCGGATTCTCCCAGGAACATGCAGCTGGGGATTTTTCGAATTTTTTTGAAGATTCAGAAAAATCTCTTTTTATTGATTCGCAGGATTAGAATTTTTTGATTTTTTTTCTTGTAATTTAATTATCTTGTGAATACTGTCATAGAAATATTTATATAAAATTGTTTTTTTATTTCATATATTTTCTAAAAAAAATTGTTTTGGTCAATTTTAATTATCTCATCCCGATATTCCAACTCTTGTTTGCCCAATTGGCATTGAAATATCATCTTCTGTACAACATAACAAAAAACACGGGCGAGTTGGTCGTTTTTTGCGTAAAATTGAGAAATAGGCGATGCAAGTTAGAGCTGGTGTGTCAGAATTCAGGAAAAAGTCGCAGAATGAATAGGACGAGGTGTCTGCGTTCGAAATTAGCAAACGGCAAAGTAGATTTATTACGGCGATGATCTGAAACAGGAATTTTGGATTAGGAATTTGAAACTGGAATTTTTAATTTACAATTTATTTTCAGAAGTCGAAAAAAAATTAATAAAAAAACATTTTTTTTTTGACAAAAAATTCGATTTAGAAAATGTCAAAAAACTATATTTTTTCCCTATTTTTTGAATTTTCTCATTGAAAAATTTTCGTTGTGAGATATTTTTCATTTTTGCTTCGAGGTGAATAAAATTGCAACCTGGCTTTTGAAAATGAAAAAAACATTTAGAAATTTAAAAATAGAAAATCCACGTGGCAATTCTTTAGGTCCTGAAAATGATTTTTAAAAGTTCCAAACTGCCACGTGGCATAAATCTGTACTTAATTTTCAGCACTTTTTTCTGAATTCCACGTGGAAATTTGTGAATCGAATTTTTTTCGACTTGAAAGAAGTTGAAACATACATTTTTTGGCAACAGAATTTATAATTTATTTTCAGAGAATATTCTCAAAACGTTCAATTTTTCCACATTTTTTTCAATTTTCAGAATTTCTGTCTATTTTTCATTCAAATGTACTTTTGTGAATACAAATGATGTGATTTTCTCATTTGGGATTTATTTTGATGTTTTGAACAAGACAAAAAAAAATATGAAAAAGTAGTAGCACTTGAATATTTTTTTCGAAAGAGCTGCTGCTTTTTTTTTGAGTTTTGTGAAAAAAGTTTTTTTGCCAAAATCGGCTGGAAATGAAAAAATATTTGAAAAACTTTATGTTTTCAGTAAATAATCGAATTCTATTGTCTGATAATCAATTTTTGTCAAAAAAATATTTGGGAGGCTAAATCTAGTCAAAATGTGTTATGAGTTCCCGGAGATTCATGTTTCTGTACAATTTTTCACGCCGAAAAATATCCTGTTTTCAGTTTTTGTTGAGCAGCTCTCTGAAGAGCCCAAAAATGAGCCAAAAGTTGAGAATTTTCTGAAAATTTTGAGAGCCCATAACTCATGTTAGAGAAGATTTTTATCAAAAATTTAATACAGGGTGATGTTCAGGTTCAGGAGGATCGATTTAGTAAACTCAAAAATATTCACAAAATTCCCAACTTTCGGCTCATTTTTGGGCTCTTCAGAGAGTCGCTCAGCAAAAACTGAAAACAGGATCTTTTTCAGCGTGAAAAACTGTACAGAAACATGGAAGTTTAAAAAAATTTGACAAAAAAAGAGTTGAAATGACATTTTTCCCAAGTACGGTGTTCGGTGCGAGACCCATATGTGCGTATTTGACTCTGTTTCTCTGCCCAATGGTGTGGTGGTGTTAGTGACGCAGAGAAATACCGTACTTGGGGTCTCCAAGTTGGGGGAAATTCGAATTTCTGGCCTCTCTTTTTTATGCCAATTTTTTTTTACTTTGAAAATATAAAATTTGGAAAATTATTTACTTTTTTCACATATTTCTCTACTTACCATTTGATACCACACAATTTTTCCCATCCGATCCAAACTATTCGGTTTTCCATCATCATTCCCAACAGCTCTCTCATAATATCGTTCCTTCCGAATTCTCGCTCTCACCGAATTATAAACCAAAAACGTGACGAGTGGCAAAAAAACATCCGTCACAAAATTTCGCCCCCGTTTTGAATCATCATAGAAATTTTCGGTGAATATTGAAACTATACTTACGAAGTTGGTTATTCCATTGATTAGAAATACAATTAGAACATAGATGTGTTGAAAGGCTCTGAAAATCAAGGTTTTGGAGTCTGAAATCACTTTTCTAGAACTCACTTTTCTAGAAAAATGTGTGAAAATTGAAAAGACTCAATTTCAGCCAATTGTTGAATACATATAAATAAGACTATTGGAATTATTGATTCTTGAAATGATCGCACTAAAAATCGCCAGAATAACACGGTTAAAATCGTTGGTGATGAAACCATACTAGAAAATTTCGTAGTGTTTTATTTAATTTCAAAAAAAAATTTTCTTACTTGAAACATCGGCATACATTCAAAACCGATGAAGATAGGACGAAAAACATGAGATAAGTTACGATCCAAAATTGGGGTTTCTTTTTTTCATCGCCGATTGTTATACATCGAAATGCGATCATTCGTGGAATGAAATACACGTAGCAACACATTGATAATTCGAGACATGCGGAGAACATTGAATAGATGCCGGAGAATGATGTGTCATATCTGGAATTGACGTTTTTTATTTTAAAATTTTAAAACTTGTTGTTTTTTGAGATTTTTAGCCCAAGTTTCGGCTGGAAATATTATAAAAAAGTCTACAAACACATTGTTTTTTGGAAAAACTTCAATAAATTCTAGATAATCGCATTTTATTGTCTGGTAATCAATATTTTTAAGAGATTTTTGTTTGACAGAAAATCGATTTGATTTTCTGATAATTTTGAGAATTTATTTTAAATTTTTCAAAACTTGTGGTTTTTTTCGCCAAAAAATCGGCTGGAAATGAAAAAATATTTGAAAAACTATACTTTTTATCGAATTTTATTGTCTGATAATCAATTTTGGTCAAAAAAAATATTTGGGAGGCTAAAACTAGTCAAAATGTATTATGAGTTTCCGGAAATTCATGTTTCTGTACAGTTTTTCACGCTGGAAAAGATCCTGTTTTCAATTTTTGCTGAGCAACTCTCTGAAGAGCCCAAAAATGAGCCAAAACTTGGGAATTTTCTGAAAATTTCGTTTTTTTAGAGTCCATTACTCATGTTAGAGATGATTTTATCAAAGGGCAATGTTCAGAAAAGTCAAAAAATTTGGACAAAATCAAAAAAACATATTTTTCCTATGCAGAAAAACTGCGAAAAAACAAAATATACAGTTTATTATTTTTGAGTAGAGACAATGTGAAATTGAGAGAGTGCAGACAGACAAATTGATTTTTCGCACAAAAAATACAAAAAACTGTCTGCACTCTCTCAATTTCACATTGTCTCTACTCAAAAATAATAAACTGTATATTTTGTTTTCGAAAAAATATTCTGAACATCGCCCTGTGTCCAGTTTTTTTTCATAAAATTATCTCTAACATGAGTTATGGGCTCTCAATATTTTCAGAAAATTCCCAATTTTTGCTCGTTTTTGGGCTCTTCAGAGAGTCGCTCAGCAAAAACTGAAAACAGGATCTTTTTCAGCGTGAAAAACTGTACAGAAACATGAATTTCCGGGAACTCATAACACATTTTGACTAGATTTAGCATCCCAAATTTGTTTTTTGACATCAGACAATAAAATTCGATTAAAAGTATAGTTTTTCAAATATTTTTTTCATTTTCAGCCGATTTTGGCGAAAAACTTGCCCTAAAAACCACAAGTTTGGAAAAATTTAAAATAAATTCCTAAAATTTTATCAGAAAATCAAATCGATTTTCTGTCAAACACAAAATAGCACGTTTTTCCCCCAAAAAAACATCAAGATAAGATTTTTCTTCATAAAAATTGAATTTTTCGCGGGGGAAAACGCTTTTCTCACCTTTCATTCGGATCATGATACAAAATTTGACGAGCCGTATTATTTTCCCACAAATCATTTATTTCTGATGAATCATCGTGCATTTTTGCTAATTTTAACCAGAAGTAAATAGATGTAATATGGATTTTTTGTGGGAGGAAATGAAAAAAAACAGGTGAAAAATATTTTTGATTATAGCAATAATCTTTCGATTATTCCAACGTCACAGATTTTTTTCTAGACTACTGTAGAATTTGGGTTACTGTATTTTCTTAATATTTCCATCTTTTACCCGTTGACCTAGTTATTTTCATTTTCAATTCGAAGAAAAATTTTCTTCCTTTTTCTCATTTTTTTTCCTTCCCTAGAGAAAGAGAGCGAACCAGCTAGTCAACATCTTTTTTCCCTTTCTCTCTCGCCGGTTCCGTGGTGTAGTGGTTAGCACTCAGGACTCTGAATCCTGCGACCCGAGTTCGAATCTCGGTGGAACCTAGTTTTTTGTTTTTTTTTCTTTTTGTTGTTGATTAGAATAGTTTTATCAATTTCTTGTTTATACAACATAACAAATGAATATATATCACATTTTCCACGACGACGACACATTTTTGAAAAGAAAGATAGATATAAAAGATAAGAAACTGTTGGGAGATATTGGGCAAATTGTGGAGGTAGCAGAGAGTCACGTGATGCCGAAAAATGACGAAACTTTCGACTAGTGTTTCTTGCTTGAGAGAGAAAATGTGGAATGAAAAAGAGAGAGAGAGAGAGAAAATGAATTATTTGTCGCCAAGGTATCGATTCGGTTCATTTTTTGTTCGGAAAATGTTGCCTAACATTTTTTTTTGTTTGCAAACAATATTTGTTTTATTTTATTACTAATTTTGGAAATCGCAAAATTCCGCAAAAAATATTGTTGCTAGGTTTTGAATGACATAAAAAAATTTTGAAAAATTATTTTTTCAAAATTTAGAATTTGTTCAAAATCCCGTGAAAAATTCTGAAATTTAAGTAGAATATTTAGTTTCTGCCACGTCATAACTCTTCAAAAATTCAAAAATAGGTCCACAGGCAAATTTTTTGCAGTTTCAAAATATTTTTTCCTTCAAATTTTGAATCTTTTAAAGGAAGGGTGTCTAATTTACCAAATTTCCCAAATTCATTTTAAAAAATTCGTTAAAAATTTAGAATAAAATCCTAAAAATTGCTATTTTCGTACAGAAGCTCGTGAAAAATTCTGAAAATTGAATACTTAGTTTCTGCCACGTCATAACTCTTCAAAAATTCAAAAATAGGTCCCCAGGCAAATATTTTTGCAGTTAGGCCCCTCCCAAAATATTTTCTAACTGAAAAATTTGCCATAACCCAAATAATTCTTCAAATTTCCCAAATTTATATCCAAAAATCCTTCAAAAATTTGAAAAAAAGCAGCCTAACTTAGAAAATGGGCTAGGGGGACCTTTTTTCTGTACATGTGAATTCAAAACACAAAAATCTCCATCATCAAGTTTTCATTCACATTCCTGATCTGATTATCATCATCATCAATTTTTCACCATCCCATGAAAAATCTTCATTTTTTCTCCGTCCTAACAAACCCAAAATACCGTAACCCCCTCCTATCAATATCATTTTTTCATCCATCCAACAACAAAAATGTGTTATATTTCTCATCTTCTTTTCTAGTTATCATACACGAAAAAAAGACCAGACATCAAATTGTCACCCTCTGCGTCTCTACTCTCTACTCTCTCTCTCTCTCTCTCTCTCACCTGTCTGCGTCTCGTTTTCACCTCATAAACGGCACTCAAGAAGAAGAAATGACAATTTTTGCCCTTTGCCTCTATGATTTTTCGATCTTTTTTTGCTTTGCAGGTGATTAACCACGTGTTTAGCTTTTTTCTAAGAAAAAAAAAATCAGATTAATTTTCTATTCATGGGAAAAAACTTTTTTTGCTCGCGAAAAAAACTGATAATTTTTTCTTTTTTGGTGGTAAACAAGAAATTGTTGATTGTGAGTTCAAAATTTGTCTTATCTTAATCAAACAAACCAAATTTTGATGATGATTTTTCAAACTTTGTAGAAAATCAGGTACAAAATACGGTTATCTCTCTTGAAAATTTTTTTTTCGATTTGCGATCATTGTATTTATTTTTTTTTCTATATTGACACAAACTTTTTTCGTTGATCTTTTGATCCTGACATTTTTAATACAAACATCAGTTTTTTTCAGGAAAATGGACACGAATCTATCGCTTTATAATAACAGGTTGGTGTGAAAAACTTTGTCCTTAACAAAAAAAAATAGCATTTTTGAAAAAGATCACGGTGAGATGATGGAAAAGTGATGTGTTTTATCGTCATTTTCTTCTCGTGAGATCGGTCAGGAAGGTGAAAAGAGTAAAACACAAAAATGGCCAGAAAAATTGTAAAATTTGTTTAAAATTGAAAGACGCCTGAAGAAATATTTTCATATTATCAAAATAAAAAAATTTGGCAAAAAAACAGAAATTCAAATGACACTCTTCCCAAGTACGGTGTTTCTTTCAGTCGCTGCGAGACTCATATATGTGCGTCTTTGACTTTGTTTCTCTGCCCAATGGTGTGGCGGTGTTAGTGACGCACAGGAATACCGTACTTGGGGAAATTTCTCTTTTTTTGCCAATTTTTTTTACTTTGATAATAAATCCTATAATTTTTGTAGTTTTGTGGGAAAATCTGGTTAAAAAAAGTAATTCTATATTTTTCGAACAAAAATTGAAAAAATAATTTAAATTGCATTTACAATTGAAGTTTAAATTATTTTAAAGCTCGAAAAATGACCCAAGATATTTTGGCCTAAAAATTTACAGGAAACTTTTTATAACCAAAATTTCATTTTTTCTCTAACAATAAGATTTTTTCTGTAATTCTGGCCAATTATTCCAAAAAATATAGTTATGACGTGGCAAAATTGTCTAGTTTGCAATGTTTTTGAAATAAAATTCAAAAATATGTATATTGCCTGCGAAATTATTCATCGTCCCAAAATTCACTTTGCCACGTCATAACTATATTTTTGCTTTTTGAGCTGCCAGAGTTACAGAAAAAGTTTATTGTTAGAGAAAGACTGAAATTTTGGTTATAAGAATTTTTCTGTAAATTTTTAAGCCAAAATCTCTTGGATTTTTTCATTTTCAAGCTTTAGAATAATTGAATTGCAAACAAAATTCAAACTATTTTTTAATTTTTGTCCAAAAAAACCAGATTTTTCCCACAAAACTATACGGAAATTATAACTTTTCCTCATATATTTCCCCCTCTCAAGGTTCTCCATTTCTTTATCAATTTTTTTGCATCGTCTCGCCACGTCATAATCAATTTTTCGCCGTTTCATTGATTTTCTTTTCAATTTATTATTTTCCCCACAAAAAAAACAAAACAAAAACGATCTTTTGATTTTTAAAAAAGAAAAATGTTTCATTTTTATTTTGTAACAGCGAGAGAGCGAGCGAAAAAACAAAAGAAAAAATCGATAGTGTTCTGTTTTACACAATTTCATTCATTGACTTATATAGAAATGAAATGTTTTGAATGTTTGATTTTTTGAGAGTTTGCGCGCGCGAAAACCGCATGTCCGACCAAAAAATAGTATCACCGAAGAAAATTTTTCATTTTTCACAGTTGTTCCCCCCAACAAAATTCGCCGGCTGTGAAAAAACGTCCACGATTATCGCCGCCATTTCCAAATATGCCTGAGATATTCGACACTTCCACACCACCATCGCAAATACTTCGAGGAGAAACATCGAGAGACGATTCAACATCGGCTTGTACTTCAACTTTGAAAGGTGTTGTGAGTGCAGCTGGTGCGGCACAAATGTCAACAACTTCTTCTTCAACTTCCTCAGTTCCATCATCGATCGAATTTCTTCACCCGAAAACTGAAGATGATCTGATTGAGATACCGAACTCGAATAACATTTCTTTTCAATTAGGTGAGTTCAAAAGATCAAAAACGAGGGAGAGGGGGTTTCCCCATGAAGAGACGGAGGGGTGAAAATAAAATTTTATTATCCGGATAGGGGGGGGCATAAAGCCGTGTTTGGGGGGGGGGAGGGTTTACTTTAGGTGGATTTTTGAAGGTAGGGCACTTTTAGAGGCCAAAAACCCACAGAAAGTTGGTTAGGGGGTTAACTTTATTGAAAATATTTCCTGGAAGGGGTTATTTCAAGGGTCCCCGGAGCGACTGGTTCATGCATTGACTTAAAATTATCCGGAGGGGGGGGGGTTAACTTTAGGTGGATTTTTGAAGGTAGGGCTCTTAACTTTTGAAAATTTTTGAGTTTTTCATGATTTTTGTGGCCAAAACCCACAAAAATCGGTTGGGGTAAGGGCCCCCGGTATCATTTCATGGACCAACCTAACAACGCGAATTTCTGGAACCTATATAGTATTTCTGAGTTGTGCTAACTCAAACTCTCAAAACCTGTTATACATATTTAACATTATTTCCAATTACATAGTTGAGGTCAAAAGATCATTCACAAGACGAGAGATTTCCTCTTATAGAGACGCAGGGGTAGAGCCTTTTTGTTTCCGATGAATCTTGAATGGAAATGGAAGGGGGGGGGCTATTTTTGGGTAGGGCATTTATGAACTGGTCGCTCCAGGGACCCTTTAGTTAACCCCCCGTGGATTTTTGGCCAAAAAGCATGAAATACTCCAAAATTTTCAAAAGTTAAGCGCCCTACCTTCAAAAATCCTTCTAAAATTAACCCCCGATACTGGGGTAAAGGGCCCCCAGTATCATTTTGCTCCGGGGGCCCTTGAGTTAACCTACCTAACCAATTTCTGTGAATTTTTGCCTAAAATACTCGAAAATTTTTATAAGTTAAGGGCCCTACCTTCAAAAACCCCCGTTACTGGGGTAAAGGGCCCCCCCCTATCAGTTCGTGGACCCACGTATCAACGTATAGTATTTCTGACTTGTGGGAACTAAAACCTGTTATAAGTAACATTCTCTTCAATTATGTGAGGTCAAAAGATCAGCGAGAGGGTATTTCCCCTTATAGAGACGCAGGGGTAGAAATAAATATACAACCGGGTCACCCCCTTTTATGCAAATATTGTATTTATTATATGATGATTGTTTTAGGTATGAAATGTCGTGTTTGTGGAGATTCCCGTGCTGGAAGACATTATGGAACGATTGCCTGTAACGGGTGTAAGGGATTTTTCCGCAGGAGTATTTGGGAACAACGAGATTATCAATGTCGATTTGGTGGGAAATGTATTATTGTGCAAGAGTATCGGAATAGATGTAGAGCGTGTCGATTGAGGAAATGTTTTAATGTTGGAATGGATGCTAGAGGTATGTTTTGTGTGCATTTTTGCGTCACAAGATCAGGAATTTTGAAAAATTCAGCAAAAATGTGGTTAAATCTTTTTTTGTCGGAGAAAATTGAAAAAAAACTAAATTTGATATTGTCAAAGTTGAAAATGTGTGGCAGCCGTAAAAAATAAAAAAAACCAGTGCAGAATTGAATAATGTTCGTCAGACGCGTGCGGCTGTGCGTCGCGGTCAGAAAGCAAAGGGAAAAACCGCGACGCATAGCCGCACGCGACTGACTAACTAATGTTTTTTCACTCATTCATTTCTGCACTGGGACAATATCAAATTTAGTTTTTTTTTCAAATTTTCCCCGATGAAAAACAAGTTTTTGCTGAATTTTACAAAAAATTTAAAAAAAAAAATTAAAATATTTTTTTGAAAAAAAATGTCAAAAATTTTTTTTTTCAAATCGAATCACCTTAAATGTCCAAATTTTCATTGAATTTGAAATCTTCCTATTTATGGCGTGGCAAAAAAATAAAATTCAAGTTGAAAATTATTTTGAACTTCCCAGGAATTTTCAAAAAAAAAAAATTTTGAGAAAAATTTAAAGCAGTAACTTTTTTTCGAGAATGAAACGTGGAAAAAACTGTCTTCCTAATTGCCACGTCAGTACACCTGAAAATTAAAAATTTAACTTTAAAAAAATTCTGAATTTTCCAGCTGTTCAATCCGAACGCGACAAACACAAGAAAAACCCGCGAGACGACGATTCACCGGAATTCTCGAATTCCCCATCTGCCACCACACTTATCTCAATTCCAAGCACATCATCCGCTTCCGCTTCCGCACTCCCACCCGCAACATCAATCTCATTCGCCAAACCGCAACCCGTGCCAAAACCATCATATATGAAAAATGAGGTTTTGAATTATCATCATCAAGAAATGCCGCGATATATTCATTTGGTGCAATATTTGATAGATTTAGAGCAGGCCACGGATAATATGATCGATGAGGATTGCGATTTTATGCGACTCGAATTCGATAAATTATGTCGAGTTGATGTAACTATTGAGGCCGCTTTCAGGCAGCCCGGAATTGTTGCAAAACGAACACCGCCACGTTGGTTGGCTGTTGAAAGATTGACAACATTGGAAGATGTTCATATCGCATGGTGTCGATCTTTTGTGCTGTGCCTAGATTGGGCTAAGATCATGAATGATTATCAAGAACTCTCCCCATCTGATCAATATACTTTGCTACGAAATCGTGTTGTATCGGTGAATTGGCTTTGTCATACTTATAAAACATTTCAATCGGGATGTGATGGTGTTGCTTTGGTGAATGGAAGTTGGTATCCGAGAGATCGAGAATTGCAGAAGCAGTTGGATCCGGGATGCAATCATTATTTCTCGATTTTGAGCGAACATTTGATGGAGGATTTGGTGATTCCGATGAGAGAAATGAATATGGATGAGGGGGAATTTGTGTTGTTGAAAGCGTTGATTTTGTTTAGAGCTCGTGAGTTTGGGATGGGGTTCTGAAAAAAACTGAATTCTGAAAATTTTGATCTTGAATTTCGATTTTAAAGAAAAAAATATCATTCAATGTCACAATTTTTGAAATAAAAAAATTTATTTTTTTTTGGAAAAAAACCCGAATTCTGGAAATTTATCAGATTTCTTTCTTGAATTTCGATTTTAAAGAAAAAACTTTTGAAGTTTAAAAAAAATCAATAAAAAAAATTTTTTTTGGAAATATATTTCTGAAAATTTTGCCAGTTTTTTTTTTGAAAATTGATCAGATTTTTTTTTTCGATTTTCGGATCTTTGATTTTTGAACAAAAATATCAGAAAGTCACAATTTTTTTTTTAATTTTAAATCGGCCTCCTGACTTTAAAATTCCTTTAAAAATTTGGCCACAGTTTTTTTGGAAGAAAAAAGGATATTTGATTTTTGAACAAAATTATCATTCAATTTTGAAAATCAAAAATTTGATTTTTTGAAATTTTTGATTTTTTGAAAAAAAAACCGAAATCTGAAAATTAATCAGATTTATTTCTTGTATTTCGATTTTAAAGAAAAAAATTATCATTCAATTTTGAAAATCACAATTTTTTGATTCTTGAAATTTTTGATTTTTTGAAAAAAAAACCGAAATCTGGAAATTGACCAGATTTCTTTTGGGTCTTTTGATTTTTGAACAAAAATATCAGAAATTCACAATTTTTTGCTTCTTGAAAAATCGCCTTCCTGGATTTTGAAATTTAAAAAATTCTGAAAAAAATCGAGAACAATTTTAAAAATTTCTGAATTTGGCCACAGTTTTTTTTTTAAATAAAAACCGAAATCTGAAAATTGATCAGATTTCTTTCTTGAATTTCGATTCTAACCAAAAATTATCATTCAATTTTGAAAATCACAATTTTTTGATTCTTGAAATTTTTGATTTTTGAAAAAAAAACCGAAATCTGGAAATTGACCAGATTTCTTTTGGGTCTTTGATTTTTGAACAAAAATATCAGAAATTCACAATTTTTTGCTTCTTGAAAAATCGCCTTCCTGGATTTTGAAATTTAAAAAAATTCTGAAAAAAATCGAGAACAATTTTAAAAATTTCTGAATTTGGCCACAGTTTTTTTTTTAAATAAAAACCGAAATCTGAAAATTGATCAGATTTCTTTCTTGAATTTCGATTCTAACCAAAAATTATCATTCAATTTTGAAAATCACAAATTATATTTTTTGAAAAATCCTCGAATCTTCAAAAATTGATAAGATTTCTTGAATTTTGATTTTCGGATCTTTGATTTTCTCATTTTGATCTTCACAAAAATCCTAAAAATCAACCCATCATTTTTGCAGACCGCCGACTTTCCGAAGAGGGAAAAGCGCATGTGAAACGAGTTCGCGACAAATACATCGAAGCACTTTATCAGCATGTACAAACTGAACATCGACATTTTTCGCCACTCCAAACTTCGATGCGAATCTCGAAGATTCTTTTACTTCTACCAAGCATCGAACATTTGTCACAACAAGAAGATGATAATGTACAATTTTTGGCACTTTTCAATTTGGCCAATTTGAATGGACTTCCCTATGAATTGCATTCTTCTATCAAACAACATATACCTGAAGATGATGATGACGATACACAGGTGAAATATCATTTTGAACTTTTGATTTTTTGGCATGCGCGGAAAAGTTATGCTGAAAAATTATTTTATTCTGATCGAAAATCAGAAAAAAAAAATTATTTCGAAGCGATAACTAAAAATTAAAGATTCTGGGAATACTGTAGGGAATACTGTAATAATGATTTTCAGAATTTGTAGTTTACTGAAACTGAAAATTCTAATTTGTCGCAAAAAATACAAGAATCTGTGCCTAGGAAACCTAATTTTCAACAGTTAAGCCTTAAGAACCTAGTTTTCAAGTAGCTGAGCCTTGAGAACCTAATTATCAAGTAGCCGAGCCTAGAAAGCATGGTTTTCAAGTAGCCGAGCCTTCAAAACATAATTGTCTAGGAGCCGCGCCTAGAGATCCACTATGGCAAGGAGCTGCGCCTTGAGAACTATTTTGGCAAGGAACCACGTCTAGAGACCCTAGTTCTCAAGCAGCAGAGCCTAGAAAACCTAGTTTTCAAGTAGCTGAGCCTTCAAAACCGAATTGTCTAGGAGCCACGTTTAGAGATCCACTCTGACAAGGAGATACGCCTTGAGAACCTAATTATGGCAAGCAGTCGCTCCTTGATACCTTCTTCGTCAAGTAGCCAAGCCTTGAAGCACTAGTTTTCAAGTATCTGAGCTTTGAAAACCTAATTGTCTAAGAGCCGCGTCTAGAAATGCACTCTGACAAGGAGCTGCGCCTTGAGAAGCACTGTGGCTAGGAACCAAGTCTAGAAAACCTAGCTCTCAAGCAGCTGAGCCTTCAAAACCTAATTGTCTAGGAGTCGCGTCTAGAAATTCACTCTGACAAGAAGCTGCGCCTTGAGAACCACTCTGGCAAGGATCCACGCCTAGAAAGGGTAGTTCTCAAGCAGCTGAGCCTAGAGAACCTGATTTTGGCTAGGACCCGCGGGAAAATTGAAGATCACAAAGATTGTCTGAAAATCTATTTCTTATTCAAAATCCTGTAATGTTCTAGGTAAATGAAGTGACGTCAAACAACGATGGACCACGAAGTAGCGATTCATCATCAGATCATGCATATAATAATATGTCAATGCCATATCACTTATAATAAATACATTGCTCAGGACATTCAGGATTTTATACTCAACATTTTTAAACTATGTGATTTTTGTTCATACATAATATAAACGGTTTTTTCTTCTTCGTCACTATCTATCTTGTTTCATTCCCGAAAAAACAAACAAACTCTTTTTTTTTTTGTATTTTTTTTGTAGATCAAAAGATCGATAAGTTTATTTGAACAGACGAAAGAAACACTACATGGTGGCCAATTATGCGCGCCTTTTTTTTTTCTGTACTTGAAAAATGTTTTAGTGTTCTTTTTTTTTCCTGGTGCTTGAAGATCAGACATTTTCTGAGATCTTCATTTTTTCGGCTAATTTTAAAGTATCCTTAATTAAAATGACTCTTTTGCTTTTTTAAATAATTTTTTTTCTGAAAGTGGAAATGGAATTTTACATCATTTCCTTCCGTTAGAAAACGTCAGATTAGAAAAAAAATTTTGAGATTTTTTTTTGAGAAAAATTCAAAACTGCAATTTCTCGGACCAATTAAACATTTTTCCGAAGAAAAAAATTTTGAAATCAAAAATTGTTAGTCGCGTGCGGCTGTGCGTTGCGGTCGGGGGAAGCAAAGGGAAAAAACCGCGACGCATAGCCGCACGCGACTGACGAAGTAATGTTTTTTTTTAAATTTTTTCGCAGCGAAAAAAAGTCAAAAAAATAGGAAAAATATAGTTTTTTGACATTTGCTGAATCGAAATTTTTTGTCGAAAAAAAATTTTTTTTTTCACTCTAACCCGGAAATAATAAATTATAATTATTCTCAAAAATTGTTTTTCCAAAATTTTCGAGTAAACTTTCAACAAAATCACAAAATAAAGTTCACAAATCGACATTTCAGAAATCATGTTAGTAATTTCCAAATCTATGTAATTATTGTCAAAGTTTTTTTCTGATTTTGAGTATTTTGAACGTTTTTTGAGCTTGAAAATGTGCAGATTGCTTAAAAATCTTCAAATTTCTTGGTTTAAACATATCAGAAATGTTTTAAGTTACCAGAAATCCACGTGGCAAAAATTTTTCAGAATTTTTAAGCTGAAACCACGTGGCAGAAGTTCCCCAAGTTCCAAATTTCTCAAAAAATACCTATCTCTAGGACTTAGGGCCCTAACCCCCCTTTGAAAATCCAAAATTCCTCCAGCCCTCCCCCAATTATCCCTCCATGTTTCAACAAACACCCCAAAATGAGGCTATTCGAGTCCAATTAACTATAGAACCTTGGCTCTTTTTTTTCTGTTCCCCCCAAAAAATGCACTAATATATCGAGTTACACAATATACATATACATACATATTCACAGAGCGAGACAGAGACACTTTTTTTCGTCGTGTGTGTTCTTTTTTTTCAGGAAGACTCTGTCGCTCTGAAAAAGGGCGACCGACAAAAAAAAGTGTGAAGAACAGCGATTTTTTTCGCCTCGTTTTTTGTTGTGTTGAAAAAAATTGTTCGATTTTGAGAGCATCACAAAACGATTTTCCAACAAAAAATTTGAAAAAAAATATAAATAGATATTTAATATGTATGTCTGAATTGCTGTGATTTGGGAAAATTTCCAAAAGTTCCGCATTTTTTTTCAAATTTATTTTATTGTTAACATTTGTCTGTTTTGAAATTTTTGTTAGAAATTGTGAGTTGACGTTTGCACTTTCAAACAAAAAAAAGTTTGCCTTGAAGCGGGATCGAACCCATGACCTGAAAATTGAAAGACGTGCGTGTTAACCACTCGGCTATGCTCTCCAAGTTTTTTCTTGCCCGCAAAATTTTTAACGAGGAAAGTGATTCTGGCCTAGAAATTTCAAAAGTTCGGCCACGCAACTATGTTTCTCGAATAATTTGTGTGGCCGACTACTGTAGCTTGCAATTGTGTGCAAACACGGTGACGCACAAATGCAAACCGGAATTTCCTTGGATTCAAATTTTTTCTTAAATTCTGAGTCTGAAACTCAAAAAAAATTCGAAATTCTCGAATTGGAATTTTTTTTAAAAACACAGAAATTCCTCGAATTTTGAAATTAAAAAAAAATTCTTAAATTTCTACCTGATCTTTTTTTAAATTTTCAAAAAATCTAGGTGAACCATGTTTTTTGAGATTTAGGGCAACTCTAAAAATATTTCTAGAAAAACTGAAAAATCAAATTAAATTTTCATGAAAGCATCAATTTTTCCCAAATTGAACAATTGATTCACAAAACGTGTTTGTAGTTTGAACGGGGCAAAGTCAGATTTTTGATGACTAAAAACCTCAGTCAGCAAATATCGTATTGTGTGTAATTGTGCGTCGCGGTGTGTGTACCAGAAAGGTTTCCCGCGCTTTTCAAGCAATTTGAATTTTTAAAAACCCCTTTAAGCCCAAAATTATCAGAAAATTCTTAAATTCCCAGCCTGAAACTTCCAGTTCCTTGTCCATAAAGTATATAATAGTGTCTGCTAAAAAAACCAATTTGTATTCCTGTTCAAAAATCTATCCATGTCCTACCGTATACCTCTTCACAGCAGGGGGTTTTGGGGCGGATATAGTCAAAAAAATGTGCTCAGCCCGCCCCATTTTCATCATTTTCAGCCCATTTTTAGGCAAATTCCTCTCCTGCGGCTGCCGTTTTCTCTCACAGGCAAAAATTTGTCTCGTCTCTCTGCACTCTCTCTCTCTCTCTCCACTGATTTCAGTTTCTGTCACGTAGATACATAGACAGGCAAAAAAAAAACTGAAGTAAGTGTGAGTGAGGAGAGAAAAAAGATACAGCGATGTGTTTTTTTTTTTTGGTAACTAACTATTTAACTAACTATATTTTTTTATTTTTCTCTGTTTCTCTCGATTTTTCGATTTTTTCTGTGTTTTTTTATCATCGTAAAAAAATTTGGCTAGAATAAAGTACGGTGTTCCTCGCTGCGAGACCCATTGACTTTGTTTCTCTGCCCTCTCAAAGTCCTGTTAGTGACGCAGAGGAATACTGTACTTGGGGAAAAGGCCTCAGGTTTTTTTTGCCAAATTTTTTTTCAATTTTTTTCGCGTTTGTAAAAAAAACCTATAATTAAATATCAGTCATGAATTTTTCTCTCAATCTGAAATCAAACTTCTCAAAAACCAAAAATCAAAGCTTTTGGGGGTACGGTAGGCTCCAAAGAAGTCTCTAAAAAATATTTGGGCTTGAACGTAGGCTAGATTTAAGCTCTGATCCCTTGGGCCCTTAGGGGGCCTGTTTTGCGCTAGGCTCTGGGGTTTTTTAGCCCAAGATAGTTTTGGCCAAAAATATATTTCATATTGGAGTACTGTAATGTTTGTTGTGTGTAATTGTGCGTCGCGGTGTAGCAGAAATAATTCCCCGCGCTTTTCAAACCGTTTGAATTTATTTTTTTCTGTGAGTTTTTCGATTTAATTTTTTTAAGATTACACTAATCTGATTTCTTAGTATCCAGAAAGCCTCCAAATTTTCCGACTGAAATTTTCCCCTGAAATTTGTTTCATTTGTTGTATATTTTTTTCTCGCCTAACAACACAACCTGTGTCTCGTCTCGTCCCTAGAATAAAAATAATAATCAATATCATCAAGCGTCTAACATGCTTATTTTTCTTGGTGTGTTTTGATTTGACAACTGAAAAAAAGAGTGAGAGAAAAGAGGTGATAATGATCGTTGACTTCTTTTTTATTTATTTTATTTTTCTGGAATTTTTTTTTGATTTTTAGGGAACTTGTGAATTTGACTTTTTAAAAAAAAATTATTTTTTTTCGCAATTGTTTGAAATTGTGCAAACACTTTTGTGTGCTACAGTACCCATCGGAGCATTTTTTCAACAAAAAGTGAATTTTGTAGATAAATATTGCATACCCCGGTTAAATTTCAATTTCCCCCCAAAAAAAAGAAAACAACGAGACTCCGCGTTGACGACAGGTTTGCGCGCGCGGTTTAAATTTATTTATTTTTCAACGGACCTTCATATTTCGGCGAATACTTATCTGAACTTTTTCATCCAACTAGACTATAGTTAAACTAAGCTAAATCTAAGATTTGAGAACAATTGGGGATTTTCTTTCATTTTTTGATCATAAAGTTGCCACGTCATCTCTTTTCCAGAAGAAATTTGAATGAAAAATCAAAAATTGTTTTCTCTGGTTTCCAAAAGAATTCTTTTTTTAAAAGAAATCCCTCCAAATAAACTTTTTGCCCATGAAATTCTGCAGTTTTCTAAAATTTCGAAGAATGCAGATGATATCTTTCGACCTTCTTCTTATTAGAACTTTGTTTTGCATGACAGGTCAATCAAAGTACGCCGAAATTACAAAAAAAAAGTTTTTTTTGTAAATGTTTTTTGATGCTTACAAGCTTCGGATCCTCAAATCTTGATAGAAAACTCCGAAATTTTCCGAATTTTTTTAAAGGTGAGAGAAATACTATAAAAATGACGATTGAAAATCGTCACGTACAAATAAATCTGTGATCTGTGTGAAATTCACAGAACCAAAAAGATAATACAAATCCGTTTGATCTCTGGGGGCGTCAAAAATAATCCTTTTCAAACTATGTACAAAAAAAAACACAACTCATGTATTTTTTTTTCTTTCAAAAAGTATATTTTTATACATATCCACTTAATTTTTTTGCTAGTTATGTTGTTTTTCGAAAAATCAACACAATTATACACCGGAAAATGCTAATTTAATTTTTGTAATGAGTTTCTGAAAGTTTATGTTCCTTCCCTTCTCTTCTACTCATTTGCGCGGTCAATTATTTTTCAACTCGATTTTCTCTTGAGATTTTTCTCTGGAAATCAAAGCGATTTTGAAAGCCAACTCGATCTTTCGATCAGATTTTTTTCTTCAAAACTAACAGCCCTTGTGAGTTTGAGATGAAATGAAAAGATAATTTTGCATGAAGATCTGTTTCAAAACAGTATCTAATTTGATCGAGGCAATGTTTGTATCAAATGTGGCGATCTACGTTTACCTCTTTAATGAAAAGGGATGGACTTAGCGGTACAGAATTTCGTTTAAAAAGATTTATTTTCATGAAACGTGTTTGTAGGTTGGTTTTGTGAAGAATATTCAACACGGTATTTCACAAGATAAAGAACTGAAAACTTTAAACTAGGAAAGAATGTTCGCTCTATCGCACACAAAACTTAAATGTGTGTAATTCTCTCGGAGTTCTTAACCTATTTTAAGAACTCCCAATCAACCCTCATTAATAATTAGTTAGAAAATATGACGCACAGTCAAAAATGTTATAGCTGAAATTTAGTCACGACCATTTACTCTAATAGAAAATTGCCCCTTGGGTCAGACGAGAGACGACGGGAGTCTGATGACGTCATCTGAGACAGAGAAAGACATCGCTTCGAGATATTTTTGAGAAAATATGTGTCCCTTTGAAAAAATACCGTATTTTGTTTCAAGGAACACATGTTTTATTGAAAATATCTCGAAGCGAAATTCATTTTCGCGATATTTTTGCAAAATACTCTCGTCGTCTCGCGTCTGACTCAACGGGCGCCTTGTATGGTCGTGTAGTAAGCCTTGGAACTAAACCAGCATGGCCTAGAAAACCAACGAGTTGGTTTTCTCTTCCACGGACTCAAAAATAAAAGATACAACAAAAACATCGCGCCATACGAAAAATCCTGCTGAACTTTTGGTTTACCCTAGAAAGACGCATTTTATCGCAATGTGAATCAGTTCAGAAAGTCAGCAACGTTTGTTCTCACTGGTCAGAGACTACCCGAGAAAAATGTGTGTGATTTTTTATGTGAGAAAAAAGAAAAAGGTCTTGTGTCCTAAATATTATAATGAGGGTTTTGTGTCTCATTTTGTGATTTTCAAACAAAAAAGTATTGTCAAGAAAAAAAAATAAGAACCGTGGAAGAGAACCGACATGGCCTAGAAAACCAAGACTTCTTGCAGTCTATTTGAAAAATTGAATCCGAAATTTAAACGCTGGCTATTTTCCAATCAGTTTGATGTGCATGTTTAGCCTACTGTACGTGAGCGCCAATTCAAACAGGGGGTTTCTTTTTTTCGAAGAATCGGAAAATTTTGTGATTCAGAAGATCTCAAGATTCACAAGTACCATAATCAAAAGAACATTAATTTTAAAGCGGAATTTTCCACCTCAAAGTGATTTTTCTCGATAAAAATCAGTTCAGAAAATCATTCGGACTGGTCAGAGAAGCTTGACTGATTCGAGTCATATCAAAAGCATTGATCTACATTCCGAGATACGCTGCTGAACTTTTCGTAAATCTTGGAAAAACCTTCTAACGGGAAGTTTCAAGATAGAAATCAGTTCAGAAAATCATTAGGACTGGTCAGAGAAGCTCGGCTGATTCTAAAGAAGATGTGCTTTTTATGACAGAAAAGTTTTTGTGACCTAAATGACTATTAGAAATATGCTTTTCTGATTCTCTGATTTTAAGTTCGACGAAAGAATTTCAAGTTTTTAGGCCGAAGAAATAACTGTGATATACGAAAAAATCACGAAAGAAACATTTTGGCGTACCAAAAATTGATGAACAATAATTTTTTGAATACGTTCGGACCTATGTAGAGAACCAAATGTTTTTTTTTGTCTCTGACCAATTTTTTGTTTGAAATAGGCTGGTTGGCCGCTTGCATTTCCTTGGTCACATGGATGGCTGTTTGGCCGCAGGCTGTTGGTCACTTGGATGGCCGGCCTGTAGCCAAACAACTTCTCGAACGCCCGACCAACCGGCCGCTTTACCATACATGAACTGGGACTCCGAATTCCGAGAGAGGGGGGTTAACTTATGGTGGATTTTTGAGGTAGGACCCTTAACTTTTGAAAATTTTAGGATATTTCATGCTTTTTGGGACAAAAAATCAGCAAAAAATAGGTTAAGGGGGTTAACTTTTCGAAAATTTCCCTTGGAAGGGAGGTTAACTCATGGGTCCCCGGAGCGACTAGTTCATGTATGTCTGCAACTCATCGTTCATAAAATTCGTAAAACTTTCATATATACCTCGAGCCTCTTCAAAGACACACAAAAGATCCGTTTCATTCCTCAATGAACTAATTTGTGTCTTTTCAAAATGCATCGCCGCGCCTCCAAACCGATATCAATCTATAAACAATTTCGGTTTTTTCTCCTCTCTCCCTCTCGCTTAAATAAATTCTCGAATTATATTCATTCCTTACCGTATTTTCGTATTTTTCTAGAATTGTATTGTACTTCTTCACTTCATATATGTATTTATAGTTTGTCTAGTGACGTTTAACTAATCGAAAAAAGAAACATTTTCTCGTATTTTATTCGTTTCGCTTTCGTTTTCCCGCTGTTAACCACAAGAAAAATCATAAGATCAATCATTGTATTTCTCTATCGCTCTCTCTCTATTTTAATTTTCACATTTTTTTTTTGATATTTTTCAGGCATGCCGGCCGTTTCGCCAATTTTAACAACAGGAGGAGGAGGTAAGAACTGATAAATAGTGCATTGATTGCAACAATTAAAAAAACACATCACGTTGTTGCCAGAAAAACGATGTTTTGTGTGCGGCGACGATAAGGCAAGTCGACACTATGGTACAATTGCGTGTAATGGATGTAAGGGATTCTTCAGGCGTAGGTAAAAACCCAATTTTATTGATGATATCAGATTGATAGTGTGTGTTTTGTTGCAGTGTTTGGGAGAAACGAACTTATAAATGTGTTGGAGATGATAGTTGCGAAGTTGCACAACAGTTTCGGAATCGATGTAGAGCTTGTCGTTTTGCAAAGTGTATTCGAGTTGGAATGGATACTATGGGTAGGTTCTTTTGTCAGAATTCTGATCTCTAATTTCCACCTATACCAGCGACGCCTGTGCGTTGCGGTCTCTTTCCAATACAAAAATGTGAGCTAATGTTTTATGTCACTGATTCCCAGTACATTCTTAGTACATAGTAGAACTCTAGATCATCGTGAGCGATAAAATGTTTGTTATCGGATCGAAGCGAACGACATTTCTCGTGTTTTTTTCTTAGAACGAAAAATACTCGTGAGATTATATCTCTATATAATTCTTACGAATCGTTTCTTTTGAATTCAATTCATTATTTTCTAATATTGTCAATCCGAAACTGAAGATCCTTGGAAGAGAACCGAAATGGCCTAGAAAACCAAGGTAGACTTCTTGAAGTTTATTTGAAAAATATTTGCCAACCAGTTTGATGTGCATGTTTAGTCTACTGTACGTGAGCGCCAATTCAAACAGGGGTTTTTTTCTCGGATTGACAATAACACTGTCTTCAAAAGAGCACATTCCTAGATCAATATAAATTTTCAGCGGTTCAATCAGAACGAGAAACTCGGACTGAAAACAATGTGGGAAAACGCGGCAAACTCTCTCGACAACTACCATATGCTCGTAGTCAAGGTAACTAACATTTGTGTTTTTCTCAACGACAAAGCTTCTTTTTTATCATTTCATTTACATAGTCGTTCTATTTAGGACATGTGAAACAAGAAAGTTCGAGATCAACTCCGGAATTTGAAGAGCATTATGGATTGATGAGAAATGTATTTAACATAGTGAGTTTTTCTTTAAAAAACAGCGGCGCCTAATTGAATCACAAAAATTTTAGCAACGAAGTATTGATGGTATCTCAGATGACCCGGATGATCTTGTTCTTAATTTTCAACTGCAGTGCAATGTTAATATAAAACTGGAGGACGCCTTTCTGAATCCAAACAAGGTTTCAAAGCGCACACGTTTAGAATGGTCACGGTGTACAAGACTTGCCGAACTCAAAGATCTACAAATAACTTGGTGTCGAACTTTTGTATGGTTTCATGATTATCTGAGCTCATTCGTAGAGTTTCGGGTAGGTTTAAAAAAATCTATTTTGCTCCAGCTTCAAGAATTTTCAGACACTTTGCCACGATGACAAACTTTACATGTTCAAAAATCGTTTTGCGCCAGTCGCTTGGGTCTTGTATGCGTTTCAAGCATATGTGAATGGTGTGGATGGTGTGACACTCACAAATGACGCGTGGTATCCGAATGATAGAGAACTTCAGAAGGAAATGCATAGCTCGTAAGGAATTTGAGAAAAACGTTAGAGATCAAACGTTCATTTTTTTAGATGCAATGATTATTATAATCCACTTGGTGATATGATGACTCACGATTTAGTCAACACAATGCGAGAAATCGAAATGAACGAGGAGGAATATTCAGCACTTTTAGCTATCGTAGCCTTCAAACCAGGTTAGTTTTTTTCCGCGCGTACTGTAGATATCTCAAAGAAAATCAATCTGATTGCACTAAAAACAAGACAACCTTTCTTTAAGACTACCGTATTTCAAACGTTGGTAACGATCATATTCAAGCAACGCGCGATAAATACACCCAAGCACTTTGTGAATTTGTAAGATTCAAAATTGGTTCGGATCTGATGTCGATGGAGAGAATCGGAAGTTTGATGCTTATGCTAACAACAGTGGAAACTTTGACGAGACAAGAAGATGATAATGTACAATATATGGCACTTTTTAATTTAGCCGGTCTGAATGGCCTACCCTATGAATTGCACTCTGAGATGATTGATTGTCGACGAGAACATTAAAGTAATTTATGAATACTACTGTAGATATACCATGTCCCCGTGATTTATTTATTGATGATACTTGTACAAAAAAATTTGATCTCACAATACTTCTTTTTCTTCTATGTCTTGCAACTTGGTTACCTCCAACCATGCTTATATCTGTATTTTTTCTAAATGTTTTTTTTCTTAAAGTCTAATTTGATTTCAGATGTTTTGGCCCTTGACAGAACCGTCAACTTCGAATGCAGCATGGGCGGATCGAAGCTATTTAGACAATGGATGTTTGGTGTGCGGTGATCCGAATGGTAAAAAACACTATGGTGCAATGTCTTGTAATGGATGTAAAGGATTTTTCAGACGAAGGTATGTTTTCTAGCCTAAAAATTAATTTCTCCAAAACAAAATATTATTACAGTATCTGGGAGAAAAGAAAATATACATGCAGTTTCAATAATCAATGTATAATCGAATTTAAATATCGCAATCGATGTCGAGCTTGTCGATTAAAGCGATGTCTATATGTTGGGATGGACGCAAACGCCGTGCGAACTGAAAGAATTCGGAAAGACGGAATTAAAATCGAACCAAAGACTGAATATGAATCGGAAGCTGATGATGAATGTCCGCAATTTGATGTGAAACCGGATATTGTTATGACAAATCTCACACATCAAATCATCAAAGATCTCGTTGATAAAGAACACTATGTTTTGAGTTTAGAAGAGCGCATCAATTTTAATGAGCAAGTTTTTACAATGGATATACCTATGATGGAAGCGTCTGAATGTCCAATCAAAGTTTGTCGACGAACCAAGGTTTGGATAACATCTAACAATGTATTAACAACTAAATTTGTTTCAAATAAAAAAGAATTTCAAACTTTCAGCTAAACTGGGATTGCACAGCTCGCCCATTAATCACAACCGAAGCACTGCGTTTCAATTGGTGTCGAACATTCACACTCACCGTTGATTGGTTCAACACCCTTCCAGAAATTCGTGCACTAATCCCACAAGATCGTGTTCTACTGGTGAAGTTGAATCTGATGCCAGTTGGTTGGCTATGGTACGCTTATAAATCCTACGAGTACAAAAGTGATGGCATTGTTTTTGTTGATGGAAGTTGGTATCCACGTGACAAAACAATTCAGAAAACGTCCATTGGGAGTGTGTAAGTTCAGCACTTAGAATTAGTCTAGACATCAGAAAAACATATCTTTTTCAGGTGTAACTTCTACTATTCAAGGATCACTGAATTGTTTATGCACGAAGTTGTCAACGAAATGAAAAACCTACAAATTGACGAAACCGAAATGATACTTCTCAAAACTCTTTGTCATTTAACCCCGGATTATCGATTATCAATGCGAGGAAACGATGTCATCAAAGCTGGAAAACAGAAATATAAACGTGTTCTCTCTGAGTATGTCAGAATGAAGTTTCCCGGATACACTGAATCAGCTCTACGACTTTCTAAATTATTGCAACTCTTACCAGCTGTAGAGGTACTTATAGTTCTGACAAAACTCACTCAAAAAAAATTTCATAATTACAGAACCTTGGTCGATACGAAGATGAAAGTGCAATTTTATTATCACTAGTCGAATCAGAATTCAATCCAGTCGAATCAGGAGGTCTTCCTCTCGCAATACATTCAAACGTCGGTCAACAACAACAACAAGAATCTCAATTATATTCCAATTAATAATCATTTCATAATTAATATTACCCCTGTAACATTTTCATTCCAATTTTTAATTTATTTTTTCGACCTGTGATAACTACCTCGATGAACAAAACAAACTAATATTTTGATGATTGGGAATTTTTGGATCTGAATTTGAATTATAATATTAAATAATATGTATTTTCCGTAGTCTCTAGTCTGTTTTTTTGTATAGTTTCAAACAACACGCAATAAAATGAGTATTGTCAATTTTCAAAAGCACCAATTAATCTTATTTCATTTTTTGTGAATGGATGAATGAATAAATTATTTGAAAAAAATACTTTTGTGGAACTCGCGTGTCACATTTTTTGAATCTAAAATAATGCGAGGGCAAATAATGGAGGAGATATTGCGAAAAAAAATAAAACAAAATTTAAAAAAAAAACACAAGTCTTCCGCCAAAATTCGCAGTCCTGGCGGAGTATCGTTTATGAGCTCAGAACATACATGAACTAGTCGCTCCGGGGACCCTCGAGTTACCCCCCCCCCATACATGAACTGGGATTCCAAACTCGGAGTTAACTTTAGGTGTATTTTTGAAGGTAGGGCCCTTAACTTTTGAAAATTTTGGAGTGCCAAAAACCCGTAAAAAGTTGGTTAGGGCGGTTAACTTTTTCATAATATTTGCTGGGGGGGGGGCATACATGAACTAGTCACTCCGGGGACCCTTGAGTTAACCCCCTCCCTTCCAGGAAATTTTTCAAATGTTAACGGGGTGATTCAGGTCGAAAAAAAACTAAAAAAAAAACGTTTTTTTACAAAAAAATTCGATTCAGCAAATGTCAAAAAACTCTATTTTTCCACACAAAAAATGAGAGATATCTCGCAGCGAAAATGTTTCAATGAAAAAAAAATGTCGAGAAATAGGAAAAAAATATAGTTTTTTGACATTTGCTGAATCGAATTTTTTTGTAAAAAAAATGTTTTTTTTTAGTTTTTTTTCGACCTGAATCACCCCATAACCAACTTTCTGTGGGTTTTTGGCCTCTAAAAGCATGAAATACTCCAAAAGTTTCAAAAGTTAAGGGCCCTACCTTTAAAAATGCACATAAAGTTACCCCCTCCCTCCGAATTCAGAGTCCAAGTTCATCTATGTCTCAGAATTGAACCCAACTTCTTTTCTTTATACGGCGTCCAAGTGAAAAAGAAGCGTACGCGAAAACGCGTAGAATCGCGTAGATCTACGCGTTTTTTTTGTCCAAACACACGCTTTTTTGCAAAAAGTAACGCGAATCTACGCGTTTTCGCGTACGCTTCTTTTTCACTTGGACGCCGTATTAAAAAAAGCATTGCAAGCGTGTCAAACTATAAATATCCGCAATATTTATATAATAATGTCAAATATTAAAATAATCCTCTCAAGTTACTCTTTTACAAACCATCCGCCGCCGCGTGAAACTCAAACAAATCAACTAGTTATTTGCTCGTTCAGAAATTGTATAAAAGTCGCAAAATGTTTCAGTCAAATTATCAAATCGACTCAATTCAACAATGTTCGCTAAAGTGTAAGTTCTCTATTCTCTCAAAAACTTATTTAAAATTCAAAATTTTTTGCAGTATTCTCTCAATCTTGGCTTTGTTCGCCATTGCTCAAGCTCAATACTTATACTCATCCCCATATGCTGCCTATCCAGCCGCATCTGCCTATTACCCATCAGCCGCTTATGCTTACCCATCGGTTTACAGTGGATACGCCGCAACTGTTCCAGGATATGCTTATGCTTGGGGATCGAACAAAGCTTCTGCTACTTCGGGATCTGCTCAACAACAACCAGCCGCTTCATCATTGACAAATAACAATTGAACTGTTTTCTGAAAACGACATTTTTCATTTTTGCATATAACGAATGAACTATTCAAAATTTGAAATTTTTCGTGTTTTTTTCGGTGTAGCAACCGCGCTCTGATGACAATATGAGGATTTGCTGTTATTATAGAAAATCTCATCGGTACCACGCGCTCCACCGAAATAAACACGCAACGCAGACCGCGCCGCGCCACAACACACACAAAAAAGGGAGGGAATTTGAATAGTTCCCTTATTTGTGTGTGTTGTGGCGCGGCGCGGTCTGCGTTGCGTGTTTATTTCGGTGGAGCGCGTGGTGCCGATGAGATTTTCGATAATAAAAGCGTGGCGAGACCCAAGAACTGAGAAAAACTGAATTTTCAAAGAAAATAGAAATGTTTTCTTATAAATCGGCTAAATTTTGAGTTTTTCAGTTGAAATTGGTCTAAAATTCTAGAAAATCATTGATAATTAGTTAATTTCCCACGATTTCCATTCAAAAAGGGAAACTGAACGAATATTCTTAAAGGCACACCTTATTTCCCTGCCAAATCGCTACGAGACCTCAAATTCATACCAATTTTCGTCGATTCCTCCACGTGTGTCCAAAAAGATCCTCGCTCTGCAAAAAAATCATCAATAATGCTCGGAAAACCCTGAAAATCCCCATTTTCACCCGCCGACCCAAGAAAACATCATAAACGATGCGCAAAACTCAAATCATTCCGGATCACGGCGTTTCGGGCCTCAGCAAAGGTATTCTTAAGTAGAAATCCCCACCCAAAATCATCGCTGATTTTGAATGATCGCAAGTTTCTTACGACTGGTAGGCGCTACTTTGCTCACAGCGGAAATGAGCGCAGACTTTCTCTAGTCTTCTTGGATTTTTGGATGTGGGAGATTTTCGTGGGAAACCCCTGGGAAACTTAGCTTTTCACCAGTTCCACTCGTTGAAAATTTCGAAAATAATCAGATTCCACGTCGAATTCGCTTTTGCCAGCATGACAAATCGAAATGTCCCGTGAAAAATGAAAATTTCCGCGGGAAAAAATCGATTTTTAAAAACTAGTGGACCAGGGGCGCTTATGCTTTATTACTCGGGATTTCCACTCCGAGAACATAAATTAGCTCGAGACTTCCAGTAAAAAAAACGCAAAACCGCAAACACCATAACGCAATCGTGCACATAAATGCTTTTTGGCAGCACTCTAATTTTCCATCCAGCTGCAGCAAAATTGCTCTGCTGAATAATCATTTTGATTCTTTTTTCTGGGGAACTCGGAAATCGGGATTTCGGAGACGCCGAGTAATCACATTATGAAGGATAGTGATTTCATTATATTTATTATTGAAAAAATAAACAAAACACAGAATTAAAATTACCGAGATGTTCGATGGTCCAGCATCGTAATTGTTGCCGATTGAGTTGGCACCTGAATAATTTTGAATCATTATTTGGAAAATTTGGACATTTTCGCGTTGTCGCGAAATTTTATTGATTTTTTGAAAGGACACGAAAAGTGAATTCTCAAAATCATAAATACGAAAATTCGTCTTTGGATTTATTTTGAATTCAAGCTCGGAGAATATGGCCTATTACTACCACCATGAAAAAAATCCAGGTTTGTAAGTAAACCTTTACAGGAAATGTGGGTCTAGGGCATGTTCTCCAAGAATTGTATAATTAAACAATTGCAAAGCGGTTTCTTGACTTTTAAAGTTATCTTTTAGTTTAAAAAACTTACACCATCTTCCAAAATAGCGAGCGGTTTGTTGCATCCTCATCCCAGATTCGTCGCCTCCTCATTTCGGATTCCTCCGCGACCGGATGGCTGAAAGAAAATTACTTTGAACGTTGAAATATTCAGTCAGTTAGAAACGCGCCAGAGAAACCCGAAAAATAAATGTCTTTGAATAAGATTAATGAAAAATGCAGTTGAAAAAACCCTAAATTCTTCGAAAAGTACTGTTTCCTCGAATAGAGTAGAGCCAAAACTATGATGGAGAGAAAACAATCAACCTCAACAAACATTGAAATGATTCTGAGAGGTGAGAAATCTCGCAAAATTTAAAAAACGGGTAGACGCGCTGCAGATTTCTCAAAAGGAGTACGTTGTCTTTCTGAAGCGTAAAATACTCACTTCTTTCTTCGGCGTTCAGCATAATATATGGCAGCAAGACACCGCTCGTTCCTGGAAATTAGTTGGTTATGATAAGTAACAAGATGTTAGTTTAACATACCTTTCGCAGACTCCAAATCGTAACCTCGGCGAAAAAAGAAAAAACGGAAAAAAAAGAGAAAATGAAAAACATTCGAGCAGCGCGTCATATCGCGACGAGACCCGACAAACAAACAACTCGTCCTCCCTTTAATCTACGCTCTGTGGAGAAAAGTTGGCAAGCTGCCCAAAAAAAATGTCTGCAAGTTTGCGTCATGGTGTTCATTGCGGACAGCGAAGATTCATTTTTTTTGAGCGTTTTTTTATAGGGAAGATTCAAAAAAGAGAGCCGTGGAAGAGAAAACCAGAAGACAAAGAGATTTGGTTTTCTAGGCCACATCGGTTCTCTTCCACAAAATTTCGGACTGGCAGTATTTTGGTGACATTTTGTTGCTTAAAAAAAACATTTCTGTATTTTTGTGAGTTTTTGCGTATCGGTGTATGAAGTGTTTGCACACTTTTTGCAAATTGGAATGTATTTATAGTCGTTCTCTCTTTTTTTCTGACAAAAAAGGACACTTTGAATCAAAGGCACAACAGTGAATAATTAAGTAAGTAATATAGAATATGCAAGCAAAAAAAAATACAATAAAATGCTTAAAGATTCGCAAGAAACTCTTCCAGCCATTTCTTCTGATGATAATATAACGCAAGTCGATCACGAGCATAAGCACTATAATCAAAAGTGATCACTGATTCTTCAGCATTGATCAGCGCCCAACAAGTCCAGAAAATGTTCGAGATCGGCATGAAAATTGTTGTCTCTTGCCGGATTCGTGCCAAATCCTTTTCCCGATCTCCAGTCACTAAATCCGAAGGGAAATGTGGATTATCCCCAGATTTTCGCATTTTATATGTTTCATTTAGATAGGCTTCGCAGAAAAGATCGCGCTCTTCTTGAGCTTCGAAAAATTGTTGGTGAATTGTGTAATAAGGTGACTCATCCACATTATAATCATAACCATATTCACAGAAATGATTTCCCAAATCGAATCCTCTGAAAAATCAAGATTTTCAGAATTAGGAAGTCATTTTTATTTTCGAAAATCTCATCGGTACCACGCGCTCCACCGAAATAAACACGCAACGCAGACCGCGTCGCACCACAACACACACACACACAAAAAAAGGGAGGGAATTTGAATCGTTCCCTTATTTGTGTGTGTTGTGGCGCGACGCGGTCTGCGTTGCGTGTTTATTTCGGTGGAGCGCGTGATAAAGATGAGATTTTCGATAATAATTCTCACCGATAATTATAATTACAATACTCAAAATCAATAAGTGACAATGGTTCTTGATCAGTAACCTTTCCATGTGGATCTGTCACCGTGCCATTTTCTGCCACATCAAAACCATCGCTCATCAAAATATTTCCCTCTTGTAAATCGTTGTGCGAAAAAACGACAGGACTTCCGGATTTGAGGAGAAAATTGTCGACGAAATCCAACTCTTTTTCCAATTGATCAACCATAATTGAGGTTGGATACTGAAAAAACTTTATAAAAATGCTTCAAATTTCAAAAAATCTCTTACATCGCCTTCAGGAACTTGTGCTTTTGTCAAATAAATTTGAATTGGTCGTTCGGAGGCTGGAGTTTTTCTGAAAAATTGTTTTTTCTATGAAAAATCCCAAAATCCCAAAACAAAAAGACAAACTTGAATCTATCGAGCCATGCTCTTGCATTATCCATAATTTGCGGAGTTTTTGGCACGGGGACGTCTAGGGTGTGAACACGAGCAATCATTGGTGCGATGATTCTGGCAAGTTTCGGCTGACTGATTTCGAGGCATTGGAGAGGGCGGCTAGGGATGAATTGTTCGAAGCGGCCACCGGGGAAGACACCAAGGAGACGAGGGCCAAGACTGCGTTCTGAAAAAAAGTTTTGCTCATTTTATCAGCCAAATATTGAAAATTCTCTAATTTTCTTGCGTTTTTGATAAAAATTGATAAAAAGTGACGTGAAACAAAAAAAAGAAAATAAAAAAAATGGAAGGGGGAAAGTTCGCTCTATTGAACTATTTTTCTCTTCCCTCTCCTCGAAACACACACTCTCTCGCGATTCAAAAATCAAATTTTCGAAAATCCATTCCATACCTGATAAAAGCGTGAAAACCACCGATTCAGACAACAATTGATCAATATCCGATTGGCAATGAACACGAAGAAGTGCCTTTTCGGGTTCCGATTGTTTCGGCTTCAAACCGGCTGGCAATTCGACCAAAAACAACAAATTCGACATGCCACCAGTGATCGCGCGAATTTTGAACTCCTCAATCTTCACTTTTCGCCACGCGCCACCCAAATATTTTGCGCAGAGGAAACGAGCACGATAGAGGATTTCGCCGGCGATCGGAGCAGATGAGTCAAATTTTGAGAAAACTTTCTGAAAATTATTCAGGGATGAACTGGGGATAATCTGAAATCAGTGATAAATACCTTGAGATCAGTGCATTCAGTTGTTCTATCATTCCAAGTCAAAGTTGGATCATCACGCGAAAAAGCAATTTCACATTCTTCCGATTGAGCACGTCCAGCACACCGTGAAGATTCGCCAACTTGAAGAAGATTACACGGTTCTTCTATCAATACCATCGCTAAAAATGTTCTTTTTTCATTTCAGAACAAAAAAATCTATATCTTATCAATATCAATGCGAGACAAAAACAAACAAAATTTGTGATATAAAAAAATATAAGTGTATTTATCCTACTCATGTCAAAAAAAAAATATATATATAAATAAATAAAATAAATACACTCATGGCAACCACATAAAAAATGCGATTTACCTGCCGCCCGGAAATTTTTTAGTGTGTTTTTTGCGAGATTCAAAATGACAGCAGAATTTTTGAAAAAATAATCCGGGCGGATCAAATTTGATAATCTTTTTCAATAAAAATAATAAAAAATATATATATTTGGCTGAAAAGTGAAAGGAAATTACAATTTTATGATTAAAAACCACGAGGTTTTTGGGGCGAGGAGTTGTTGAACATAAAGATACTAGTACTCTCAAGTGATATCCAAATAAAAGCGGCGCGGCAAAAATTGGGAGAGGCTGGGATTTCGATTTTTGATTGATTATGATGTCATGGAAAATTTAAATTTTGTTGATGAATGCAGCAAATGCGCTCTAGTGATAATCAAGGCTGAAATGTTTTGGCCGAATGGTTTACGTGGCTGCCTACTACTTACAAAACCGGGGTTCGACCCCCACATCTCCCTAATTTTTTTTATCGGAGGCAAATGCGCTCTACTGATAATCAAGTGTTTTTGATAGGAAAACGAAATTTTTTGCGTCAAAAAACAATAAAAGCAAAGAAAACCAAAAAAATGAAAAGGAAAAGGCAATAAATTAAATTAGATTAAATAATTGAATCAGTCAGGCCTCTCAAAATTTTTGGTTTTGGTTTTGGTTTTTATTTTTTGCTGATAAGAATTTGTGATAAAAGTTTAACTATTAGAAAATGTTGTCAAAAATGATGATAAATATAATAAAAATGAATGAGAAGAAGAGGAATGAGAACCAATGGGTGTGTAATGGTTTTTTTCGTGAATGGGAGCGAGAGAGAGTGACAAAAACACTGGAAGAATGTGAAAGAAGAAGAAATATTGGGAGCAGAGAGATTGCGGGATCAAAGGAGAGCGAAGAGAGAGACAGAGAAACGGTTTTTGTTTAGAATTAGAACAAAAATATGAAAATTTTTGGTTTCCGGTTGAAAGAAAGTACATATTTCATTTTCCAATGCATATTTGATGAGAATGGCTAAAGTTTTATTGGCAGCACAGCGCATCTCATAAAATTTATGAACGGAATAAATTTTTATTTGGCTATAATAGAAGGTGATGTCAAAATAAAAACGCCTACAGTTTTTTTTAGAAAAAAAAAATTTTTGAGCAGCAGGAAATTGAAGCTGACTAACATGAAGTGCAATTTTAGGGCAATTTTCAGAAAGATTAGGGCAATTTCAGAATTTTTTAGGGCAATTTTCAGAATTTTTTGAAAAAGTTTCGAATTTTGGGGCTATCAGAGAGCTGTGGAGTTCCATAAATCTCAAAATTGAGGTCAAAGGAAAATTCAGAATGTTTTCTGGCAGAATTTTTGAAAAAAACAGAAAAATTCGAAAATTCTGACAGAATTTTTGAAAAAAAACAGAAAAATTCGAAAATTCTGACAGAATTTTTGAAAAAAATAAAAAAAAGTTTTTTAACAAAAATTTCGATTCAGAAAAAGTAAAAAATAGGAAAAAATATAGTTTTTTGACATTTTCTAAATCGAAATTTTTTTTCAAAAATTGATTTTTTTTCTATTTTTTTTTCTCAACCTGAATCACCCCATGAGAGATTTAGAGAAACAAATTTTTGATCTACCAGTGTTGTGTTTGCGACCTTTTTATGATAGAAATTTATTGAAAGACTAAAATACAAAAAGTTACACTACACAATTAGAATACAAAGACAGAACAATTTACAATTGTTTAAACACAGCTAAATATACCTAGGAAATTGACCCGATGAAAACCTAATGAAAAACCGCCTAATAAATGTGCAACGCACAAAACACCTAATAAAAAACTGCAGACGACTGCAAAACACAAAAACAAAAAACAGAAAAAGATAGGCGGTCTCTACGCCGCCACGTCACACGTGCACGTGAAATAAATTAATATAAAAAGATTGATTCTTTTTATCTCTTTTATTTATTCTTTTTTTACTACATTCCAACAACCAGAAATTTTTTTGAAAAATTGAAGGTCTAGCGATCCTACTGTACGCAAAAGTGTTTGCACACAAGAATCCTTGGAGGCAATTTGAAAATTTAAAACATATCTCAACTTGTATTTTTCCGAAAGGGCAAAATTTTCAGAATCTGAAAAAAACTGGATCTTCCAAATGTTTTTGACCAAAACATTTGGCAACAAAACCAGTTCACATAAAAATAATAAGCTTCACAGTCATTCATTTATCTCATTATTCTCATTATTATTATTCTTATAATTATATTATGCAACTGAAACTATTCATTTTTCTAACAATTTTTGTACATTTTTCACTACAAGGTTTGTTTTTGAATAAATAAATAGCACCAATTTCCCAACCAAAACGAGAAAAACTTAGCTAATCTTGTTGTTTTCAGCTGTTCGACCAGTCACTCTTTACATTCGACTTTTTGATGTGAAAAATAAGCGATCGACGACTTTGGATGAGGGATGGAAGTATACGGTGGGAGAAGTCAAAAATATGTTGTTGAGAGAAATTGACATATCTGGACACATTTTGAGATTGTATTTTGAGGGTGAGAAAAAATTTGGGGGAAACTTTTGTTTGGTGGGAAAAAGATTAGGGTTTTATGTATTAGTCAGGTTCCTGATTTTTCTTTAGGGAAAAGTTTATTAATTTTACGCTCAAAACAATTTATAAAAGTGCAAACTTTAAACATCAATGAAAAAAAGAAAAATGAAAACACGAGTTTTCAATAACGAAAAAAAATCAATAAAAATAAATCGAACACATGTTCAGGTCAAGAATTATGGATTCCCGATCGAACATTGGCCAGTTATCGAGTTCGTCCGGGCGATACAGTCACTATTTATCTTGAAAACATTGCTGAGCAATTGGCAATCCGATTCGGGAATCAAGACAAATCACCAGATGGAAGATTGGCACCTTAATTGAGTGATAGAGATGACTTTCGCACTGAGCTATGGGAGATTCTGGCCTAGAAATTTCAAAAGTTCGGCCATTCAACTGTTGCAAACTTTTCGATTAATTTGCGGCAAGAGAGTGTGTCAAGTGAAGAGTCGCAGACATTGAAAATTAATAAAAACGTGAAATGATTTGTGTGGCAGCCTACTGTAGCTCTCAGTTGTGTGCAAACACGGCGACGCACAAATGCATCCTGTTTTTTTTGCGTCGCAAAAGGGTTGCACGGGGTTTTGAAAACTAGGCGTATGTGAAAAGGGCTAGGGATGATTCAAGTCGAAAAAAAAAATTAATTGAGAAATTTCGATTCTGAAAATGTCAAAAAACCCTATTTTTCCACACAAAAATGAAAAATATGAAAAAAAAAAATGTCGAAAATAGGAAAAAAACTGTTTTTGACATTTGCTGAGTCGAAAATTTTGTTTAAAATTTTTTTCGACTTGAATCCTCCCATAAGCTGATGTGAAAAAGGCGTTTACCCCATGCTCAGTGCGAAAATCATCTTGAATTAGTAAACAAAGACGAAAGAGTCCAATTAACTTATTATTATCATAATTATGTTTTTAAAAATATAAAGGAAAAATGAATCTATGTACAACAGTCGGTTTATTTGGAGGATAGTAGTTGTTCACATTAACAATTTTACGAAAAATGAAAATAATAAATGAATAATTTTTAGGAAACGGGTTACAAAAAAACGGCAAAGGGAAAGGGGAAAAATGGAGTGAATTGTGAATTTCAAATAAATTCAGAGAGAAAATTGATTGAATTCTTGATGGTTGTTTTGTTGATGGCAAATTGATGAATACGAGGTGTTCATAAATGCGTGTTGTCCGAGATCGTATGGAAAATTGTTGTAGGACACGCTTCCATCGCCACACACCGTCATAACACCATAATCATCCATCAAGTTTTCAATCTTGATCGGCACTTTTTTGTTATTATGTTGTTCTTGTTGTGGGGATAAATTGGTTGTTGAGAAGGTCGCCATATGAATATTATTCTTGTGATCTTTTTCAGTTTGGCGACATTGCCTCGCTAGTCAGCTGCTATCAATTGTGTGTTGACTATCAGTTGGACTGCACGATGCCGAATGCTCCAAATAGTCCTCGTTGAAATTGTTGTGAGTATCTTCGAAAATGTCTCCGTATAGTTGCCAGAATAAGAGTCCTTCGCCGCCCGGCAGGCGTTTGGCAAAGGTGTTGCGCACACGGACTTGCTCGATGATTTCGAGACCCAAGAGCTGCAAATTGACAGTGTTAAGAGGATATTTGCAGAGAGGCCCCACATGGAAAAATGAAAATTTTTTCGTTTTTACATGAAATTGCGGACTCATTGTTCTGACCAGACCTGGGAAGTTTTTACGTGGCACCGTAAAACGTAAAATGGGTATTTTACGGTTCTAAAAAACCGTAAAATCTCGTAAAATTCGTAAAATTTTGTCACTGAACCCTTTCACTGAAAAGAGCAAAACAGTTCTTTAAAAATTGGGAGTTGTTAAGTTACCGTAACTCCAACAAAATATTAACAATATTATTCTCCATTTCTATCGAAAAATTAATTAATTAGGATTATCTCAAAATTTTATTTGAAAGATTTTGAGTTTTTTTTGAAGTTTCAATTTGATTCTGTGAAAATTCATTATAATTAATGCTATTTACGTAAAATTATTTTACGATTTTTTGGAGCGTAAAACCGTAAAAAACGTTAACGTAAAATTTCCCAGGTCTGGTTCTGACCCCTTCAGTTAACCCCCCCCCCCCCTTACGGGGGGAAATTTTCGAAAAGTTAAGCCCCCTGCCTCTAAAAAATCCACCAGAAGTTACCCCCCTTCCCCCAGAACTCACTGTAATTTGGGGAATCAACAAAATAATCGAAGCGAGTCGTGCGGCGGCAAGCGCGGGTTCCGTTTGCGGTCCAATTGCGAGTTGGAATAATGCAGAGTGGACACGTTCACGAAGTCCGCGAACAGCCAATTCACCTTCGGCTGACAATCCGGGGGCATCTGCAAGAAATGTTTTTTTTTTAATTTCTTTTTCCCTAGTTCGGTTTGCTGTTTACGGAAAATTTTCCACGAATTAATAAGGAATTTAGTTGTTATCATTATGATTTCCGTTGATACTTATGATTTTATCAGAATTTTTGTTGCACTGGCTCCACCGGAAACCATTGACCCGAGGGTTTTTTTTATATTTCTTGATAAGAGAAAACTAACCAGGATTGAGAACAAGGAGCGCTTTGAGAAGTACAATTTCTTTAGGCTTCAAGCTCAGCGGCTTCAGCTCACGTTGTGTCCATTTCGACAACGATTGGAGGGTCTTCCAATTGATGAACGAGTTGGACGGTGGTTGAACGTGAACATGAAGAAAAGTGTTGTTACATAAGGGAACTTGTGTCGCAGGTTTGGTGACAGATTGTGTGGCCAATTCGATGAGCACCAATGATGGACACGCGGCGCGCAACAAACAAATTTTGTCGGCGACAGTGAGCGCTTCATCGATTTCGGCCGTCTGACGACACCAGTCAATTGCCCAAGTAACCAACCGACGTTCGGTTTCATAACACGATTTCTCGTCTGCTTGTTGAGTTGCTCGATAACTCATTTCTGTGCGATAACCGTCTAAAAGTTCTGGTTCGTCGAAGAAGTTGGTGAGCGATGGTTCGACGTAGTGAAGCGTGGCCATTTTTGCGTTGCCATCTGATGACGTTTTGTCGATGAGCAACAATGAGGAGACCAAAAGACGATGGTCGGTTTTGGCTCGTTTTGCATCAGGCTGAAACGAAAAAAGTTAAGAATGACCTCCGCTTCGAGATATTTTTGAGAAAATGTGTGTGTCTTTGAAAAAAAAACCGTAATTTGTTTGAAGGAACACAAACACATTTTATTGAAAATATCTCGCCACGAAATTTATTTTCGGGCAAAATACTCCCGCGCCTGACTCAACGGGATAGGGTAGTGTAAAAATTGTGCATTGCATTTGAATTGACGCGCAAAAAACATTTTTTTTTTTCGGTCATGCTCGTGGGTTCACAAGAGGTAATGTAGGGTTTTGCGCGTAGTGTTTGATGTTTGGTGTATGCACATTTTTCTATCCGCGTTGCATTTTAACGCAAAATTGTTTTCATTGTGAAGTTAGGGAAGAATCTCTCTCTCGCTGTCTAAACCTCTCACACCACACACACTATTTCATTTTGTTCAAACTATAAACAAACATTTGATAGATCAAATGTTCAATGAATCATACACAGTGCATTTTAATTGACGCTTACAATATTCAGCCTCAAAAATCGCAATGTTCCCTTTGTGCTCAATGTGCTCACTAGTAAAAACATCAAACCAAGCGAGTGGCCACTGTGAGCACAAAACGTCACTCTCTGCGCACTCTCTCTCTCTCGCTCTCTCTTCTTTTTGCAGCTGAAGAGCAAAAACAAGGAGCACGTGAATGGGAGAAGCCCCCGGTTGATTTTTTGAACTCACCGCTTCATAGTTGTCCTGTTCATCAAACTCATCACTATCCATCTCCTTCTTCTTTCGTTTTGTCAGTTTTCTGTCCATTTTAACAGCTGAAATTGTTTGTGATTGAAGATCAGTGATAAGATCTATCAAGCTGAAGATCAGAACTCACCTTCCATCTTCATACCAACGTTGAGGCAGCGATTAAAACGACAGTAACGACAAGCGTTGCGACCGGCTGTAATAATAAAAAATCAAATCTTTGTTTATTTGCTAGAGCTCAATGTGCTCACAATAAACAAAAACAAAAACTAACCGGTGGACATCGAGCAAGTTCCACCGTACCGGCAGACGTAGTTCAGTCTACTTTTGACGGTTCGCCAGAAAAAACACTTGCATCCGTGACACGCGGCAACTCCGTAGTAGAGATGTGAGCAAGCGCGATCGCCACACACGACGCACTGAAAATAGATTGTAAGCGAAGATTTTTCGAGAAGGGAGAAACAAAAAAAGAACATTTTTTGTAACAAAGATGAAAAAGAAGAGGAAGAGAGAGAAAATTATAGACCCTGAACCCTGCCAAAATTGTTTTTAGAGAAATTAGAGATACGGTATTGATAAAACAACCGCCTATCATTTCCGGTTATCTATTTTTGTGTACACTACTATAAATAGCATCGATTACCTTCCAATGCACGGCCTTTCACAGGGTAAATGGAGAGAGACACAGAGAAAACGAAAAAATTTGAAAAACATGTTTCCCGCGCTTGGTCTCGCAACGAGGAGCCAGACGGATTTGGTGTTTCTCCCTCTGCGTATCTCTCAATTTGAAATTTTCCCTATTTTTGAAAGGCCGTGAATGATTTCAGAGTGGCGTTGAATGATTCACAACCGCTTATGTGGTGATTCAAGTCGAAAAAAATTAATAAAACATTTTTTATTTATAAAAAATTTCGATTCAGCAAATGTCAAAAAACTATACTTTTTCCTATTTTTTGACATTTTCTGAACCGAAATTTTCGTAAAAATGTTTTTTAATTATTTTTTTCGTATTGAATCACCCCATTAGTTTTCAAAATTCCGTTGGGCCACGAAAAAAACGCGCTGTGCACTTGTGCGTCGCCGTGTTTGCACACAACTGCGAACTACAGTAGGCTGTCACACGAATTATTTCACGTTTTTATTCATTTTCAATGTCTGCGTCTCCTAACTGTCTCACTCACTCTCACCGGTGCCGTTTTCATTCAGGGTTTTGAAAAACGTTGTGCAAAAGCAATAGTTGCGTGGCCGAACTTTTGAATTTTTTCTCGGCCATAATCGCAGTCAACTTACCAATGCTCCTACAGCCGCTTTCTCCTTGATGACAAATGGTGGCGGTGATGATGGCGATCGAGGAATATGCTCCTCCTCGATCGCCAACGTAGCACGTTGTTTCGGATTCGGGCACGCGTCTCCAGACATTTCTTGCGTTTAGTAGACGAGAATTTTCGCGTTGATGATAGTTGCGTTTCTTGACGTTGTTATAGTTTGGAACGCGGGGTTGACAGACTCCACCTAAATTTTCAAAACATTATTAATGTTTCGGATATAAGAGATTTTTGAACCGCATTCAAAACTAATTTCATCGTCAAGATGAGATTTGAAAAAAGAAAAAGGAAAAAAACAACATAAAATCAAGCGAAGAATATCGTTGGTGAAAAAAGAAATGATACTGTAGAGAAAAGGAGGTGGGAAATAAATGAATGATAAAAATCAATCAATAATACAAAATACGAATTTTCATCTATAAACATGTTCAGGCTCCAAAATGTCTCCTAAATGAGAGAAGAAGAGGAGCAAGTGTGTTTTACGAAACATGGCTCCGCCTTTTTTGTGCTTTGGCTTCTGGCATGCTGCCAAAAAAAATTAGGGGTTCAGAGAGCGAAAAAATCAATGAGACAGTGACATATGATTCAGATGTATTTATTGATTTTTAAGAATTCCATGAGTGGGGGGCTTAACTGTAGGTACATTTTTAAAGGTAGGAGGCTTAACTTTCAAAAATTTCAGAGTTTTCCTGGCTTTTACGGGTCAAAAATCAGCTGAAATTAAGTTAGGGGGGTTAACTTTTCGAAAATTTTGCCCGGAAGGGAGGGGGGGGGGGGGGTTAACTCAGAGATACAGGGGGGTATACTTCAGGGAGAAACTGAGGAGGGAATCCTTAAATTTTCTGGGTTCGTGGTTTTTGAATATAAAGATTGTACACCGGAAGCTTTAAAAGCTTCAAAGAGCCATTATCGTCAAGGAGATGAGCCTAGAGAACCTAATCGTCAAGGACCCGCGCCTAGAAATCCCCTCTGGCAAGCAGCCAAGCCTTGAGAGCTACAGTGGCTAGGTAGGACGTCTTGACATCTTCTATACTTTCGATTCGGGTTGCCCGAGTAAAAAGAAAATTTGTATCAAAGAAAAAATAGTGAAATTTTTTGTTTCAATTGAATATTTTGAAACGTAGATTGTGAAGGTTAGGTTTTTCTTTTGAATTGCAAAAATACACTCTCAAAATAATTTTTTTTCTCAGAAACAAAAACCTTGGCAAAATCCAGATTTTCAAATAAAAAAATCAATAAACCCAACAACCGTGAAACATAAACAGGCCAATTAAGTATATCTCACAATTTTTCAACTGACAATAAATTTCAGGAAAAAAAATTTTGCAAAAGATCAATCGGAAGATAATCACATTATCTAAACACACATAGATTCATATTCAGAATTCGAGAGAAAAACGGGAAAAATTGTGATAAGAAGGGGATGGAAGACGGGCAAAAATATCGTCGAAGAATACAAGAAGAAGAAGAAGGTTACGATCATCATCGACATCGTCAGCAATGTACAAAAAAAATGAATAGCGAGAGAACATAGACGAAAAATTGTTGTATATATCGAAAAATATATATAGAAAATGTATGTAGAGAAGAAAAAGAAGAAAGAAAGAAACTTGGTGGTGTCCCGTGTGTGTCACTCTTTTTCTTTTCCCCCTCTCTCTCTCTCTCACTCTCTGTGTATCTATATACACCCCCCCCCTTCCCTTTGCTATGTGCTATAGATAGTGTGAGAATGGTGGAGGGTGTAGAGAAAATTGGTGGTGGTGGAGCTACGTAGTAACGCACAATCGATTTAATATTAATGAAAATATGTGCGAGGGTGGATGAACATCAATGCAAATTGCCCCCAGTGTGCAAACACTGCGACGCAATTTTGCGTACGGGAAGCTTCGTGGGTGGTCTTGGAATATCTTTTTTTTTCAATTTTAAATAGAAACCCCTTTGAGCTTTTTGCACAAAAGATTAGGTAAATATAACAATCTACGCAATACCTGCTCACTCACTCACTCAACAAAAAGTTTACATTTCGAAACACCTCGGGTGCTTTTTTTCACGTGAATGGGAAAACTGTTGGTCTTTGAGGCGAAAAAACTCACAAAATTCATTTTCTCTGCAACCACATCGTAAACACTTAAAAATTCAAAATGAAAAAATCTCAAAAAATAATTTCACGTTTTTATGTTTAAACCAATTATTATTGAAAACGTGAAAATTTTTTTTTTTTAAAGTAGGTCAAATGACGTGGCTTTAACAACAGTATAGGGCACCCATGTCGTGCGATGCGTGTGGGCGACGCGTTTTCAACACGCAACGCAGAACCGCATCGCAACTGACGACATGAGTGCTTATACTGTTTTTAAATTCATCCAAGATGTTTTTGCAAATTTTCATGAGAACAATTTCGATTTCGCAAAACTATGTAGCAATTCTAATAATGATGTTTTTTTGCTCAAAATGTATTTTGTCACTTTCCAACAAAACAACAACTCTGCACTCTCCTCTAATCACCAACTATTTCTGGCTAGTTTGTACCCCCCTCTGATAAACACCTATTATAATACAGGGCGCCAAAATATTTGCACAGAAACGATACATGGCAAGTAAACATGGTAACATCTATTCTATTATATTAGGCCCAGACACTACAGTAATCGTGAACTATTTGAACGTGAAAATAGTAGGACAGAGAATGGAAATTGGCATCAATCATAACACATCTGTGTATTTTGGAAAAATATTTTTTATTGAGAAAAATTCCGAAGGCATTTATTTTATCACAGCTAGGATTGCTCATATTAGAGAAAATCCCAAACCTAAATTTTAAGTTGATCTTATCAAATGTGAAAATCCACGTGTCGGGACCACCCACGAAGCCTATAACTTCAATCTGAATATGAACACGTCGTGCCACCACACAAATCCGAGGAGACGCAGAGAAAAAAGACACCGTACTCTCCCCGGTCGCTCAGGTGCATTGCTGCAAGACCACACAATTACTGTACGCAAAAGTGCGTCGCAGTGTTTGCACACAATTCAAAAAAAGACGGCAAAACCTTTTTGATGACAAATTATCTGAATCATCTGATTCTCATTGTGTCCGAGGAAAAAAACAAAAAACTAGTGCCAGAATGTGTCGGTTGCTGTTTCGTTGATCACCAAACACAAAAAATGCAAGAAAATAACATAAAATGAATGATATTTGGACTTTCGATGTGAGCAACGAAACAAGTTGACGAAGAGAGAGAGAGCACAACATTTTTGATGTTTGAGAGGGAGAGAAGAGTAGTATGTCTAGGCTAGCATGTGTTGGAGAGAAGGAGAAAATTTTATGTGATTATTTTATTTTTTTTCTCATCTTGTGAAGAGAATTATTGTGTGAATCACATGGACTGACGGGGGAAAATGGCGGTTTTTTTAAAAGGAAAAAAAAACGTTTTGAAATATTTGTGGGAAGGTTGGAAATTCAAATACGGTCTTCAAAGATAAAGTTTTTGTTGTCTCAAAAAAGTTTCAGATCGGAAATAATATCGGAATTATAGATTACTGTAGCTATAAGGAATTTAAGAGTATTGTAACTCGTCATATTTTGAGTTTCAGAATTCCGAAAATTGGGATCAAAATTACTATTATTGAAAAAAAAATGTGGCAAAAAACAGTGGCTAACAATTTAAATGGCACTCTTCCCAAGTACGGTATTTCTGCAAGTCGCTGCGAGACCCCGTGCGTCTTTAACTTTGTTTCTCTTCCCAATGATGAGGTCTCGAAACGGTGTTAGTGACGCAGAGGAATACCGTACTTTGTAATTTGAATTTCTGGCTTTTTTAAATTGATAATACAGCAATATTCACGTTAAAAAATTTCAAAACTAATTTTAGCCACAATTTTTTATCACAAAAAATTAAGTTTCCTATTACAACCTTACAACCTTTTTATATCATTTTCGAAAAAATTTCCCCCCAACTCGTAGACTCTTTACGAGTTTGCACTTTCGATCACAAAATGCTACGGTAACTATCAACCATGATTGGTCTACCGATCTTCTTCTTTTTCCTATTTTTGTCCGATCATCAAACGAGTTTCCTTAACACTTTTATGACCCTTGAAAAAATACAGCGAAAAAAGTTGATCACAAGGAAATTTTTGGTCATAAAATTCGCATATTTTTTGTTAAGAAAAAGAAAAAATCGTTAAAAGAACTTAAACTTTGAGCGGAATTTTAGAATTTGAGAAAAATTGATTTCCAAACAGAACAAAAAAATTGAAAAGCTGTGCAAAAACCAATTTTTTTTTAATAAGAAGAAGGAGAAGAATGCGACCAAACTACACAGAGAAAATGAGATCAAACGATCAAAAATGAAATGAGAAAATGGAGAAAAAAAAACATAAACAATGAATAAACATTTTTATATTTTAAAGGTCAAATTTTATCTGATTTTTGCGAGAAGAAAAGTGAAAACCATTTTTTGGAACAAATATTGATTCAAAAATTTTTAAATATTTCAAAAATTTGAACCTCAAATTCGATTTTTTGAAAAAAAAATGTTTCAGAAAGAGGTGACTGAAAAATTCCCATCTATTTTTGAAAAAAATAATTTTCTACAGTAGTAAATTTTCTACAGTAACTTCAAGGATCATTGTGAGATTTGATATTCAAAAAATCTACAGTAGGAAGTTTAAAGGGACAGAAGGGTTCCTGGGTTTCTTTTAGAACATTTTTCTTAACACTAAGCTACCGTACCCTAAAATCAAAGGATCATACCTCATTTGAAAAAAGTTGACTCAACAAAAAAACCAGAATTTTTCCAAAGAGAACCATTTTTTGGAAAAAATATTGATCCAAAATTTTTAAAAGATTTCAGAAGTTTCAACTTCAAATTCAATTTTCTGAAAAAAATCTATTTTTCAAAAATTAATTTTTCTCAGATTTGTTAGGCACAATGCTACCGTACCCTAAAATCAAAGGATCATACCTCATTTGAAAAACAAAAAAAACCAGAATTTCCCAATCTTATATATTTTATAGGCCCACGGACCTTCTAAAAATGGAAACATCTGAAAATTTGATATTCAAAAAAAAAAATCTACCGTAAGAAGTTTAAAGGGACAAAAGGTTCTTGGGATTTTTTGAACACTATGATACCGTAACCCTAAAATTAAAGGATCATACCTTATTTCAAAATAAAAAAGAACCAGAATTTCCCCAATTTTATACATGGACCTTCTAAAAATCGTCCAAAACAGGTTCCCCCATCAAAAACACAACACAATACTAAAACTACAGTAAATTTTTTTATTATTCAATGGTTAAGACAAAAAAAAAAACACAGAACACGTTGAAGTACAGATGAGGGAAGAGAATGAATTTGGGGATGGATGGGGATTGGGGATGACTAGAGATATGTGGGGGGGTGTCAAAAAATAAAATATACAATTTTTTTGTGGTGTCAAGCTTTTGGTTGCTGCTGCTGCTGTGCCTTTAAATGCGCATTTGCGGCGAGATCAAGAAGTGCCATCCATTTCATTTGTGATTCTTCATTTTCCGCACTCATTGTGTACATGCGGCGAGCGCCGACGCGTAGTGAAAATGTGAATTTTTCGCCGCAAATTTTCACTTCACATCCTGGTAGTGGCAACATTGCCAATGCACATGTATCCTGGAAAATTTGATTTAAAAAAATTTTTTTTGTAAAAATTTAGAATTTGGAACTTTTTTTCGAAAAATCAATGAATTTTTTGAGAAAAAACTAAGCTCAATATTTTCTAGAAATTTTTAAATTTCAAAAATTATGATTTTTTTCAGAAAAAATTTCGATTCAGAAATCAAAAAACTATATTTTTCACATTATTTTCCACAAAAAAATGAAAAATATCTCGCAGCGAAAATATTTCAATAAAAAAATGCCAAAAATTTGAATTCGGGGGCTATCAGAAGGCTTTAGAGTTTTAAAAATCACAAAATTGAGGTTTTGAAGAAATCTGGATTTAGGAAAATTCAGAATGGTTTCTGACAGAATTTTTGAAAAAAAAAAGTTTTTTAACAAAAATTTTCGATTCAGAAAATGTCGAAAAATAGGAAAAAATAGTTTTTTTGACATTGAATCAAAATTTTTTGTCAAAAAAATTTTTCAAAAAAAAAAAAAAAAAAAAAAAAATTTTTTTTTAAGGTCGAAAAATAGGAAAAATATAGTTTTTTTGACATTGAATCGAAACTTTTTGTCAAAATTTAAAAAAAATTTTTTTCGACTTGAATCCCCATTAAACTACAGAAATTTTCGAAATTTCAATTTTTCTGAAAGTTTCAAAAAAAATTCTGATTTTTTTTTTACAAAAAATTTCGAATTTTTTACATTGAAAAATTTTCGCTACGAGATATTTTTCACTTTTTTGTGGACATTTTCTGAATCGAAATTTTTTGTCAAAATTTATTAAAATTTTTGAAATTTCAATTTTTCTGAAAGTTTCAAAGAAAATTCTGAATTTTCCCATTTAAAAAATTTTCAAAACCATTTTTTTTCAATTTTAAAAATTCCTTCCCAACTCACATTCAACGTCTCATACGAATACAAACAAAAATCATCTCGAACAACCATATATCGATCAAATATCTTTCCCAGACTTCCGCGAAACTATAAAAACAATATTTTTTTTGAATTTGTACTTTGTTCATCATATGATACACTTTTTTGGTGCGCAAAAGATAGGCGAAATGATAATAAAGTATCCGATTTTACGACTTTTTGCTGACCGCGAAATTTTTTTTAAAGAAAAAAAAGGGACTTTTTCTCAAAATTATTTTTAAAAAAATTAAAAAAAAAACAAAAACCAACCCTAATCTGACTTCCATGCAATACACCGTGTCCAGTCGCCGGCATTTGTAATAAATTCCGTCTTCCTGTTGTATTTTGTGTTGAGACAGCTCTTGGGATTCCATCCAATGCCATATTTTTGGTGCAAGTGTCGCATATTCGATTTTTTTTGCATTCGGAACGATTTCGACCGAAACACTTTTTGCATAATCTTCGATGACATTTTGTGCATTTTGAGCCGCGCGATAAGAATCTGGAAGAAAAGTTTGAATGGCCTAGAAATTGCAAAAGTTCGGTCACGCTTTAAATTTTTGATTTTTTTTGAAAGTTCCTAGGAAGTTCAAGCAAGAATATGTCAGATTAATTTTAAACTTTTTGAAAATTTGAATTTAATTTTTTTTTAAATTTGAACTTAAATTTTTGATAATTTTAAATTTAATTTTAAACTTCAAATTTTTCATTTATGACGTGGCAAAATCGATAAAATTCAAGTTTAAAATTAAATTCCGTTTAATTAAAGTTCAATTAGGAATTTAAAATTTTTAAAATTTAAATTTAAATTTAAATTTTTAATAATTTTAATTTTAATTTAAAACTTGAATTTAATTTTTAAAAATTTGAAATTTAATTTAAAACTTGAATTTTATTGATTTTGCCATGTCATAAATGCAAAAATTTCGAAAAATTTCTATTTTTTCACATTTTTTCCACAAAAAAAGTCAAAAAATAGGAAAAAAATATCGCTTTTTCATTTCCTGAATCGAAATTTTTTGTAAAAAAAATTTTTTTTTAGTTTTTTTTCTTTTTCAACTAAAATTTTTCATTAAATTTGAAATTTTTGCATTTATGACGTGGAAAATTCAATAAAATTGAAATTGAAAAATTAAGAATTTTCAAATCAAAAATCAAGTTTTGAGGAAAATTTAAAGATTTTTTTCGACTTGAACCACTCGCTAGGAATAAAAAAAGTTCAAAACTCGAATTTCATCGATTTTGCCACGTCATAAATGAAAAGACTCCAAACTCAATGAAAATTTGGACATTTGAAATTGTGAGATTTTTAGAAAATCCAGATTTTTCACAATTTCAGAAGCCCCACCCCCCATCCAAAAATAAAAAAAAACCAACCCAAATTCCACATCACAATCAGCACAATGTTTCGATTCAATCTCCTCATTATTATTCGTTTCCGAAAACGAGCTCCTCACCGAACTTATCGAAAACGTTGCGCTATGCGCTTTCGCCTCATCAATTATCGAAAATATCGCTTCAACCCACTCATTTTTCTCTTTCTGAGTAGAAGTAAACAATTCAACACACCGCTTCGGCCCATTTCCATCAGATCCTCTCAAATAAAACGAATGCTCTCTCTCCAAATTATCCCCCTCACAAACTTGCATTGAATTCGCGCTAAACGCCGCTCGCAATTTATATTTTGCCATCCCAATCATCTTCCGCTCACTGGCTAAAATCACCAAATCATTGAACAAAAATACAAATCGCTCTTCCGTTTTCTCCGTCGTCGATGAGATCTTCTGAACACATCCGGATTTGAGTAATTCCCGCCCTGGAGACACCAATGAAATCGAATTGCCTAGCTGCTCCTGAACCTCAATAACTTTTCCAAATCGATCCAATTTCTTCATCATCTCATTTGCATGCGATGCCGCCTGCAAAACCAATTCCAACGCAACAGTTGTATCTTCATAATCCACATCAGTATTTTGCAAATGTTTTTTATATTCTTGCAGCAATAATTGATATCGCATAACCCTTTGAACTGGACAAATCAAATGATGTGACAAAGGTAAACCCCCACATTCCGGTTGTTTTTCAATCTCCTTCACCAAATCAACAAATTTCTTCTTCTTCTTCAATTCTTCAAACAATTTACAAGCTCTATCATAATTATTTGTATATTCTGAATACATTTTCAAAAATGGCGCCTGTTTCCTGACAACATTCGCAATTCTCTTCGTCGTATTCCACTCTCGAATCGACTCCATTAATTGCGGTAGAAAATGAGTGTTATGAAATTGATAAAGCGACGAGACATTCGCCAATAATTTACTGATCTTGTCATTTGTCATGATATCCGATTTGACTAATCGATTTCGGAAGGTTTCACCGAGCAATCGTAATTCTTCCACATATCTCTGCTCACTGTCAACGAGTTCTTTTGCCGCGTACCACGCTTTTTGATATCGTTTTTCGATTTCTTTTTTTGGCGTTGGCTCCCCGGTGATTTCAGATTCTGTGTCTGCGATTTCTGAATAACAAGCCTGACTTTTATCATCCTCGTCTTGTTCATCTTCGGATAAATCAAATTCATCTCCGTCGGAAAGTTTGACTTGGAAACCTCCTTCAGGACCCTGAAAAAATTTGAAATTTTATGGTCACGCTGAATTGAAAACTTTTCAAGTTCAAAAATCATGATTTTCAGCTTTTTTGAGCTCACACATCTCAATTCAAGCTCAAATTTCATGAAAAATCGTGATTTTTTGAACTTTAAATGAATTTGAAGATTTAAAGTTCACAAAAAATCCTAATTTTCAGCTCCAGACGATTATTTTGAGCTAGAAAATCTCAATTTTTGTGATTTTTGTGATTTTTCATGAAATTTGAGCTTGAATTGAGATCTTTGAGCTCAAAAAAGCTGAATTTAGAAATTCTCATTAGATCTTAATTTTTCTGATCCACCAAAAATAAATGAAAACATTTTTGGAGAACACAAAAAATTTTTTCAAGTTATTTTTTTTTCAAAAAATCACGATTTTCAGCTTTTTTGAGCTCAAAGATCTCAATTCAAGCTCAAATTTCGTGAAAAATCACACAATTTTGAGCCCAAAGAAGCTGAAAATCATGATTTTTTGAACTTGAAATGAATTTGAAACTTCAAAGTTTACGAAAATCCTAATTTTCAGCTCCAGACGATCATTTTGAGCTAGAAAATATCCAAAACCAACCTTGTATTCAACAAATGCTCGAAACTTGCTCTTCGACATTTTCTTCACACCATTCACATAAGTTTCATGTCTCGAAAAATGCGAGCTGAAAAAATATCAATCAATAAAATGTGTGATTTACATAAGCGCATTTTCCATCTTCTTCTTCTTCTGGTTGAAAAAAATGCGCGCGGGACACAAAAAATGAATGAAAAACCTACATACCTATAAGACTTGCTACTTTTCACTTTCGTCGTCGTTGATCCGTCGGGATTTGTGATGATTTCAGTTGTTGTCGATGGTATCAATGAGGATTCGGAACGCATTTTTTCAAATAGTTCGGGATAGAGTTTGACTGCAAAATTTTCTGTTTGAATTTTGAATTTTTCTGATTTTCTGATTAATTATTTAGGAAAAAATTGAACCTCTCCTCATGATTTTAAAAATCCACAGCACCTCACAAAAATTGTGCCAAAAAGTTCCAAAAATTTATTAGATCAAAATTTTTGAGGGGTACTGTAGGTCTATCATTATTGAGAAAAGTTTTGAACCTCTCATGCTGAATCTGAAGACCTACAGTACCTCTCAAAAATTGTGCCGGAAGGTTCCAAAAATTTATGGAATAAAAAATTTTATCTACAAATTTTTTCAAGAAGAGGTGTTTTTCTAGGAAAAAATTCACAAAATTCAAAAATTTCTGAAAATAATTGTTCCCAAAAAATCCCCTAAAAGTTTAATAATTCAGTTTTAATTTTCCCTCCCAAAAACTCACCAAACATATCCTTCTCCCGACTCAAAAGATTCATAAAAGTATTCGGAACTTGATTGAGGACTCGAGATATTTGAAGATCTTGCTCATCATTCGGATCAAGTGAAAGTTGATGAGGTTCAATGCAAATATTTCGAGAATTGTTTGAGAATTCAACCGGCTTCATTCCGTTTATATCACCACTTATTCGCTGGCTATTTTCGATGACCTTCAAAAAAAAATTTTTTTTTTTTTGTTTTTGAGAAAATGCACCGAAAAAGGAAAATGAGCCTATAAACCCGGCAATAAAAATGCATTTTAAATCCCTTTTTGAAAAAAACACAGGAAAAAAAATCAATAAAGCTCGCGAAGTTAAACAAAAAAAATACATGTTGTTTGCACACCCGAAAATATCAGGCAAAAATGAAAAAAAATGACTCACTTTTGCCTCGCTTCCGATCATTTTCATACTTCGCATCGTTTGTGTGCAATCGATTTTTATCTTTTGTCGAACGGTTTTTGTCAATTCTTCCATTTGATCGGCTGATAGAATTCGATAGGTGAACACTTTGACGGCACAACCATCGCTTTGATCGATTTCTTCTTCCTGGAACCAAAAAATGTTTTTATAACACTTTTTTCTCGAAAAAAATAGCCCCCAAATGTTCCCAGACAACTATAGTGTAGTTCAATTCAAAAAATCAGTTCATTTCGATAAGAATTCACCGAAAAATGGCGAAAAAACCGAAAAAATAAAAAAATTTCGAAAACGCGCGTTGGCGTCAACGCGGAGTCTCGTTGTTTTCTTTTTATTTTTTTTGCAATTTTTTCTTTTTGGGAAAAAAGGTAATTTCCAAGGAAAAAAAAGATTTTCAGGTATGAAAAAAAAATAAATTGAAGAAGTATAAACAATATTTTCAAAAGAAAACTAATTTTTTCATGAAAATTGTGTTTTTGACTAAAATATGCTTTAAAAAAGTTATTTTTGTTCTTAGATCTGAGAAACAGCTAAATTTAACTATAGTCTAGTTTGATGAAAAATTCAGAACATTTAGATGAGTTTTAAGCGAAATATGAGAGCCCAGAAAAAAAAACTGCAAAAAATGAATAAATTTAAACAACGCGCGGTGTCATAGACGCGGAGTCTCGTTGTTTTCTTTCTATTTTTTTGCATTTTTTTTGAAAAATGAAAATTTGCAGGAAAAAAAAATTTTCTAAACACTAAGATTCAATATTTTGGGAAGAAAACTGATTTTTCTATGGAAATTGTGTATTTTTCGAGTTTTTGACCAAAATATGCTTTGAAAAAGTTATTTTTTGTGTTCTGATATCTTAGATTTAGCTTAGTTTAACTATAGTCTAGTTTGAAGAGAAAATTCAGATCATTTAGATGAGTTTTAAGCGAAATAAGAAAGCCCACAAAAAAACTGCAAAAAATAAATAAATTTAAACAACGCGCGGTGTCATAGACGCGGAGTCTCGTTGTTTTCTTTTTATTTTTTCGCATTTTTTTCGCAATTTCTTTATTTTTCAACAAAAAAAACTCACTTCAGTCGCATCAATCAACGTTCCACCTTCCAAATCCACCGGCGGCACATTCTGAAAACTCCGAACCGAATCCAAATCCAAAAATTGCGGAATAACCGGCTGTTGTTGCTGAACCAAAGACATTGGATAACAGCTTCGATTTCGATTCAGATCCCAATGCGTTTTTGTTGTGCTTCTACTTTCTGGAAATGGAAAAAGTGAGTTTTTTTTGTTAAATATAAGTAGAAAAATATTGGGTCACGTGAAAATAAAATTTATTTTCGTTGTATTTAGAAAAAAACGAGTGAAAAAAACATCAAAAAGACTTTTCAAGTACTTATTACTTATATACATGAGTTGAGGTTTTGATGAAAGTAAACAGACAAAAAATCGAAAAAAAAATCGAGGAATGCATGTCTCTGCGTCTCCTCGTTTTCACTGATAAGATTTCCATTGACACAGTTTTTGCAATATATGGAAAAGAGGAAACATGAAAACTTGGCAAGCTATTTATTTTTGGGAGAGAGGTGCCTTTTAAATATGACAATTTCGACTGAGGAAAAAAACAGCTAGGTGGCCGAGTGGCAGACACAGATGCAGACCAGTTGCAAGGCCAGGGTTCGATCCCCCTCGGCGGCTAACTTTTTTTTTTAATTTTTGTTTACAATTAGTTAGAAATAAATAAAAAATGGAAAGTGTAACATTTTTCCTTTTTTTTTCTATCACGAGATGCATAAAGTGAATTAGGAGGAAATAAAAATAATTTTTTTGTTTTTTCTTCAGCAAAAAAAATGATATTGACCTAGATAACAAGTACCTTTAATTATCTTGTGAAAATTCTAAAACAAAATGAATCATTGGAAATTTATTAGTGTCTTGAGAGAAAAAAAGAACCACAGAATGAGAAAAAAAAATGATTTGGGAAATAATATAAAACATGTGGAAACATCGGGAAAGGGTAAATATTTGAATTGTTTTTGAACTGATACAAGATGATATTTATTAATCATGAAGAAGAAGAAGAAGAAGTGGGTGGAAAAAAATGAAATGAGGAAAAAAGGTTTTTGAGATCTAGGAAAATTTCAAAAAATTTCAAAATGTTGAATTATTTTTTTTTTGAAAGCTGGGTTTTGGCGCGAAAATTTGAAAATTCAGAAAATTTGAAAATTCTAAAAAATTTGATTTTGGCGGGAAAATTTTATTTTTGCGCGAAAATGTAAAAACTCAAAAATGTTTATTTTCGCGCGAAAATTTGAAAATTTAAAAATTCAAAAAATTTTATTTTCGCGCGAAAATATGAAAATTCGAGAATTTGAAATTCAAAATTTTTTATTATCGCGCGAAAATTTGAAATTCAAAAAATTGTTATTCTCGCGCGAAAATTCAAAAATTTGATTTTAGCGGGAAATTTTGAAAATTCAAAAATTGTTATTCTCGCGCGAAAATTTAAAAATTCAAAAAAAATTATTTTCGCGCGAAAATTTGAAAATTCAAAAAATTTTATTCTGGCCCAAAAATTTGAAAATTCAAAAAAAATTATTCTGGCGGGAAAATTCAAAAAGTACGTTTTTTCCTGAGCCTAAAAGCCCTAAGCCTAAGAGCCCTAAACCTAGAAGCCCTAAGCCTAGAAGCCCTAAACCTAGAAGCCTAGAAGCCCTAAGCCTAGAAGCCCTAAGCATAGAAGCCCTGAACCTAGAAGCCTAGAATCCTGAGCTTTGAACCCCTAAGCCTAAGAGCCCTAAGCCTAAGAGCCTTAAGCCTAGAAGAAACCCTAAATCTAGAAGCCCTAAGCTTAGAAGAAGCCCGAACTCAAAAGCCCAAGCCAGGAAGCCCGAAGTTTGTAAAGATCTAAAAAAAATCAAAAAATTTCGAAACAGAAGGTGAAAAAAAAAATTCTGAATTTTTTTTCCAGAAATCTGGGTTTGGCGCGAAAATTTCAAAATTCAAAAATTTTATTCTGGCGCGAAAACTTGAGAATTCAAAAAATACGTAAGCCCACGCCCAGCTTGTTCAAATCTAAAAAATCAAAAAAAATTTCGAAACCTCAAAAATTATTTCTTCATAAATATACATTTGCTCTTCGGCTCTCTTTCTCTTTTTTTTTCGTTCGTTCGAAATTTAAAATAAATTCGAATTCGAATTCGAACATACATACATAAATCAAGCAAAAACACATGTTTGAGAAAAATCGCAGTTTCTTCCGCATACAGAAAAAAATTCACAAGTTTTCTCACAAGTCTCCAGGGGGGAAAGTTCAATTTTTTTTTTTGTATGTACAAAAAAAATGAATGAATAAAACACAAGAGAGAGAAAAGCGGGGCGAGAAAAAGAACAACATAAAAAACTGTGTGAGAGTGATTCATCAATATACATACACATTTTTGCATATACGATGTGAGAATGGTTGTTTTCAATTCGATCGAACAAATAAACAATAAATAGCGGTGTTATGGTCGAGTGAACTGTGAGGACACCCCTCTTTTTTACAACCTCGAGAATTCGCTATCTGAAGAAGCCAGCCACTGACCTTTGTTGATTGTTTTTATTTGATTTTATTCTTATGTGTGAGAATTTCGGAAATTTTCTTGAATTCAACATTTTTTGCCTTAGAAATCAGCGATTTTGCCTTGAAACTTCAAGATTTTTTTTGAATTTTGAAAACACTGAAAATAAAACAAAGGCTTCTAGGCTTAAGGCTTCTAGGCTTAAGGCTTCTAGGCTTAAGGCTTCTAGGCTTAGGGATTCTAGACTTCTAGGCTCACTTCAAATTTTGAAAATCACGATTTTTAGCGCTGAAAACGAATTTTTTGAATTTTCAAATTTGCGCGGCAAACTCAGACTTCTGGAAAAAAATTCAAAATTTTTGAGATTTTTTTTTTGAATTTTGAAAAAAACGAAAATAAAATTTTTCAAATTAATGAAAAAAATTTCAATAAAAAATTTCGATTCAGAAAATTCCAAAAAAAATGTTTTTTTCCTATTTTTGGACATTTTTTTTCATTTTTGTGTGAAAAAAATGTCAAAAATTTAGAAAAAACATTAGTTTGTCAGTCGCGTGCGGCTATGCGTCGCGGTCGGAAAGCAAAGGGAAAAACCGCGACGCACAGCCGCACGCGTCTAACGAACATTATTCAATTCATATAGTTTTTTGACATTTTCTGAAAATTTTTGAAATTTTTTTGTGTTTCAAAAGTTTTTTTCTGAATTTTGAAAATTTATGATTTTCGGCTGCAAAATCAAATTTTCAAAATTATTGCTCATATTAGAAAATTTCGATTTGAATAACTTAACTGTCAAAATCTCTAAAATTTCATAGGAAAATAATTTTGGCAAAATTAACCTTTAACATGAGCAATAATAATATCTTCTCAATCTTTAGCTTGCGAAAAATTCAGAAATTCAGAAACTTGAATTCAAATTCGCCGTGAATTTTGAAGATCATGACAAATTTGATCTACGAAGTCTTCTAACATGAGCAATGCGATCTTCTAAATCTTGAAATTAGATCTGATATCCCGGAAACACGTGGAAAATATCTTTAAAAATGTCATGTGGAACTTTTAACATTGAAAAAAATTGTGACGTTCGAACTCGAACCAGTCATCAAAAATGCAGCATTTTCAGGTCATAACTTTTTTTTTCAAAAAAAAAAGAAAAAAAAAAGAAAAAAAAAACCAAGCCAGAATTCACTCTGAGAAAGGTCAACTTACAGTAACTCGACAAAAAAATTTGTAGTCCTCCAGGAAAAAAATATTTATGTTTATGTTTATGTCAAACAGTGTGGTCAGAGAAAAATGAGCAAAAAAAACGAGGAAAAATCGTCGGCGGACGCCAGTTTCCTTCCGTTTTTCCATTTTTTGGTTGAAAAAAAAGTAAATTAGACTCTTGGGATTGGAGAAATATGTGTATGAATGTCACAACAAAAAAAAAACATCTTCTAATTTTTTGTGCTCAATTTTAATGTGCACAAGCAAAATGTTTACAACATAAATTTTTTTGAGAGCCTCTCGGCTTAAAAAAAATATTTCTTCTCTGGGCTCGCCGATTTTTTTTTTGAGAAAATTTCATCGATGAACTTTAGAGGTAGGCTTAGGCTTAAGGGATTTAGGCTTAAACTTACTTTAGGCTTAGGTTTAAGCTTAATTACGCTTACGGAACTTAGGCTTAGGCTTGCCGAATTCGGGCCTAAACATACTTTAGGCTTAGGTTTACTTTAGGCTTGCGGAATTTAGGGTCAAGCTCACTTTAGGCTTAGGCTTTCATAACTTTTAGAGTGTTAGGATATTGAAAAGGTAGATTAGGCTTGCGGACTTTAGGCCTAGGATTTCTTTAGGTTTAGGCTTACGGAATTTAGCCTTAAGCTTACTTTACACTTTGAAGTGTTAGGCTTAGGCTTGCGTACTTTAGGCTTAGGCTTAGGCTTAAGAAACTTCGGCTTAGGCTTACTTTAGCCTTACGAAATTTAAGGTTAAACTTACTTTAGGCTTACCATAGGCTTAAACTTCCTCAACTTTTAGAATGTTAGGCTTAGGCTTACTTTAGGCTTAGGCTTACCTTTTTTTTCGTTAGGCTTAGGCTTAGGCTTAAGAAACTTAGGCTTAGGCTTACTTTAGCCTTACGAAATTTAAGGTTAAACTTACGTTAGGCTTACCTTAGGCTTAGACTTCCTCAACTTTTAGAATGTTAGGCTTAGGCTTACTTTAGGCTTAGGCTTACCTTTTTTTTCGTTAGGCTTAGGGAACTTAGGCTTAAGCTTGCTTTAGACCTAACAAGCTTACTTTAGGCTTAGGCTTACTTAACTTTTAGAGTGTTTAGGCTTAGGCTTACCTTAGGCTTACGTTCATTTTAGGCTTAGGCTTGCGGACATTAGCCTTAGGCTTATTTTAAGCTTAGGCTTTCCTTAGGTTCTTTAAGAAGAGCTCAAGTGGATTCTTGGAACCCAGTTAAAACCAATCTACAAAAACCTAGAAATTTCGGACCAAAATTTCTATCTCTGAACTTTCGAGGTGCTACTTTACTACGAAAAAAAAAATCTTTGCACAACTAGAAAATAAACAAACAAAATCGAATTAACAAAGTTTGGACCAGAAAAACAACAGGAAAAACAAGAGAACAATGGTACCACTCGGTGAATGGACCATCCTACTTTTTTTTTTGGTTTTCAGATGATTTTAAGAGTCCAAAAAAATATAAAGTTCTTGGGAGGAAAAAAAAGGGAAAAAACTATCAGATTACAAATGATCATGGCGGAAATTTCGAGATTCAAAAGTTAAATGAGCCGAGCTCAGTGAGCTGCTCCACTTGAAAACCCGGAAAAGGCGAAATAAATTACTCCGGGGGCTCAATGTGCACATCGTTTCCGCCGCCAACAATTTTTTTTTGTTCACATCTACTGAACCATGATTTATATTGTATATAATCAAGGCGGAGGCCAAAGAAAGTTCTTTTTTTCGGATTTTTTTGGCCAAAATTTTGTTTATTTTTTCGGTCGTTCGTTTTTCTTCAAAATTGGCATATGTCTTTTTTTTGTTTCAGCCTGGGAAAAAACAAATATATCAAAAAAAAAAGAAAAAAATTTTTGTTGAACAATCCAATTCATAATAAAAAATGAATGGGTTGGAAGCAAGACAAAAAACATGAGGAAAATTAAACAAGGCTCAGGGAAAAAAAAGAGCACAAGGAAAAAAATTGCATTCATTGCTGACGAGGAGAAAAAGTTCATTATTTAAGACGATTAGGTTTTTTTTGACGTTTACATTGAAATGTCACAAATTTGTGAGTAGCAATTTTATATGCGAAATTTAACGCTAGCAAAAAAAAGGGCCGCGTGGCCGAGTGGTATACACTCTTGCCGAGCTTTTGAAAAACCGGGGTTCGAGCCCCAATGCGGGCAATGTTTTTTTTTATTTTTATTTTACCTAAATGTCATCTTAGGATAAAAAAAATGGCAGACATCCAAAAAAAACTAATCTGATTAATGGACCACACACCTCGAGCAACCAACCCGAATCATAAAAAAATACTTTTATTTTATGCCGGGTTGAAAAGTGGAGGTGAGAAAAAGCAAGAAGGGGTGCTCGAGACAAGAGGCGAAATATGATATGATTTCTCTTGTTGTGTTTTTTTTTCCTCGTTTTTCCTCGAAATTTTTGGGTTGTTTTCAAAAACAAGCAAAAAATGACAAAAAGAAGAGAAAATGCAACACATTAGTGAAAGAAGAAGATGGTCCTGTGAAGAAAAAATTTTCACCACAAACACTTTCACTTCACAATTAATTACTTGTGGGGAACACATCTTACACATGAGCGAGTATTTTTACTCCTAATTAAAATTAAAATTAAAATTGGTCTCAAAATGAGGCTGGATTCTGGATTCATACAAAGCCGTGGAGAAAAAAAAAGTTAAAAAATAAAAATTTAAATTGCCGCAAGTTTCGTAGGACAAAAAATCGTGTGTGTACCTTTAAATTTTCGTTTTGGTTACCTAACTAAGGAATTTTAGTGATTGTGGCCTAGAAATTTCATCGAAAATTGTTTTTCTCAAAATTAATTTGTGTGGCAGCCTACTGTAGCACACAGTTGTGTGCAAACACGGCGACGCACAAATGCACAGCGCGTTTTGTTTTTTCGCCGGGCAAAAACTTTTTGCCAAAAAGATTACACGGCGTTTTGAAAAGGAGCGCAGGAAGTAATTGAGATTAAAAAATTGCAGAATTTCCTACATGGCACAGCTAAATGGGCGTGGCCTAGGGATATTTGCAAATTTGCCGCACGAACTTCAAAAATAGCGTGTTTGGTGTTAAAATTTTGCAAATTTTATGGAAAATGAGCTGATAGCGCACTATTTTCGCAAAAATGTCTTGCTAATACAATTTTGAGATTTCCCCTCACTTCAAAAATTTCAAAAATCAAAAAAAAACCAACCTTTTTTCTCGTGTACATGATGTTGTTTATGCAAATATCTAGTAGACATCGCAAAAATCTATCGAAAATAGTAGAAAATAATAAATTTCCACGATTCAGAAGTTATGTTGTTAGAATAATTGTTACAACTAACTAAATTATGCGTATCAAAATGAAAATGTAGAGAGCGAGATAATGAGAGATAAGCAGAGACGCAGACGAAAATACGAAAGTTTTCTCGCTCGCAAGAAAGAAACAGTTGTTGCAATTGAGTTTTGAACTTGGAGAAGTGACCAGGGGAAATATTTTTAAAAGATTTTTTGACAAACTGTTTTGTCAGCAGATATTCGTTTCCCAAATAAACTTGTCAAAAAAAACTATTCAAAATTTGAATAACAAATGATCAAAATGATGAGAAAACCGAGATTTTCTCGTTTTTTTTCTCAACCAACCCAAAAACCAAAATGATTGAATTAGCACTATTATTATTCGAATCTTTTCTATATTTTCCGAAGAAGAAACAGAAAAAAACACACACACACACAAAAACATCTCTTCTCTTCGCACATATTTTTTTTGTGATGCATCATGCACTCTCTGAAATTGCCCACAATTTTTGGGTGAAATTTCAGCCAATGAACATTTGAACAACACGAGACATAGGTTTGTGTTTTTATCATCATAAGAAAAAATACATACACGTTTTAAAACTTTTGAGAGAAAATTGAGAGAAGTTGGTGAGTTTAGACAAATCGCCATGGTCGACCTCCCCAGCCTCCTGGACCTCTTGGGCCGCCGCCGAATCCTGGGCCACCGCCTGGGAATCCTGAAAAATATATGGATGTCTGAATTATTTTTTGGAGGCCCTGAAAGTGTTTAGGACCTCTAAGCCCAGTTCTGGGCTCTCAAAAATTAAAAAAAATGCCTAAATTGGCTCAAAAAAGCTTAGCTCTCTATGATTTCAGCGTGTTTTCAGAAAAATTTTGTTTTTGGTAAAAGGTATAATGAATTTTCAGCCGAAACCAAAAATTTCCAAAATTTTTTTGAAAAAAGTTTTTTTTTAAATGTAATTTTAGTAAATCGACTATGCTGATCATTATCTGATGTTCAATATTTCATAAAAAAACATCTAGAGTGAAGTTATGATGTGTTTTATGAGCCTTTTGAGAGCTCAGAACATGGTTCAGATGCCCATCAATTTTAGAATGTTCTCATGACTCCAAGAGCTGTCCACAGACAAAATTTCTTCGTAAGGAACAGACCTGGGAATTTTTACGTTGTAAATTTTTAACTGGTAAAATTCATTTTACGGTTTTACATTTTCGAATAAAATTTTGATCAAATCCCAAAATTATGATGAAGTTACGGTTATTTACCAACTTTCAATTTTAAAAGAAAAAAAATTTGAAATTTTTTTTCAGTGAAAAAGTTGAGAAACAAAATTTCACGGTTTTCTAGAACCGTAAAATACTCATTTTACGTTTTACAATGCCACGTAAAAATTTCCCAGATCTGGTTAGGAATTTGATGAATGACTATAGATCAATTCACAATCTACCAGTTCCCACTAACCTCCTGGACCACCTCCCCATCCTCCGCCATTTCTTCCGTGATGATGACGGCCGCCGCCTCTTCCGCCTTGTCCACCCCAACCTCCTTGCTGTCCTCCGCCTTGTTGATTATTGCCTCCCCATCCACCTTGCTGATTTCCACCCTGTTGTCCACCCTGTTGACCTCCCCATCCACCCTGTTGTCCTCCGCCTTGTTGATTTCCACCCTGTTGACCTCCCCAACCGCCTTGCTGATTTCCTCCTTGATCTCCACCCCATCCACCTTGTTGGCCTCCGGATCCACCTTGTTGTCCCCCACGACCTCCCCCTTGTTGTCCACCTTGCTGATCTCCCCATCCACCTTGTTGTTGTCCTCCTTGATCTCCACCCCATCCGCCTTGTTGACCTCCTTGTTGTCCACCCTGTTGTTGACCACCACGACTTCCTCCACCCTGTTGATTTCCGCCTTGGCGACCCCCGCCGCCTTGTTGATTAGCATCACCCCATCCACCTTGTTGACCACCGCTTCCTGGAAATGAGATTTTCAGAAAATAGCCACGTGGGAAAACTTACAAGGGAACTGTTTCAGCGTTCACTCTAGATTTTTAAATTAAATACATGACTGGTACTCCGAATTCGGAGGGAGGGCCCTTAACATTTGAAAATTTTGAAGAATTTTATGCTTTTTGGGGCTAAAACCCCACAAAAAGTTGGTTAGGGGCACGTCGACCCAACTGCTGCATTGGGTGTACGGTTTTTCGGTTTTTCCTCGACGTACTACAAGAAAAAAAATCGACTAGAATTCATGAAACTCCTTATTTCCATAGATTTTAACACGCTGATCACGAATATGTAATCAGTTTTCGAAATGGTTCAGTAGTTTTTTTGCATTTTGATGCATTCTGTCTCAAACCCATTGCAGCAGTTTGTTCTTTTGTGGGTCGACGTGGGGGGTGGTTAACTTTTTGAAAATATTTCCTGGAAGGGGGTTAACTCAAGGGTCCCCGGAGCGACTAGTTCATGTATGTTTTTAATACAATATATGTACACGACATGAGTTATGACGTGTTCACAAAAGTTCACAAATTTTAAAATCGGGACTTTGGACGGTCAGAAAATGATTTTCTTGAAATTGTAATAGCATTGGATTGTTCAGGAAGGCCGATTACACATGCACAGAAGTTATTTACGGAATCCGAAAGATTTTTCAAAAACTTTTTTCACCGAACAAAAATTTTTTTCAGAGTTGATCACAACATGAACTTTACTTATGTAATCGAGCCTCCTGAACAACCCTATGCTATTAGATTTTCATGAAAATCATTTTCTGACCGTCCAAAGTCGCGATTTTAAAATTTGTGGACTTTGACACGTCATAACTCAAGTAAGAAGTCGAGCTTTGCAATTTTAGACGACGGCATCGTGATCAGCGTGTCGAAAACATACATTTCATTAAAAATGTCGATTGCAAGTTGAAACAGTCCCCTTGTAAGTCACATCCACCCTGGCTAGTTCGGGAATCGAACCTAGGGTCCCCAGAGCTCCCAGTGATCTACCCCCAAGACCCATACCTGAATCTCCCCATCCACCCTGTTGCCCTCCTGCTCCACCCTGTTGTCCACGTCCTCCCCCAGCACCGCCTCTTCCACCCTTCTGTCCGCCCTGTCCACCTTGTTGACCACCGCCTTGCTCATCTCCCCATCCTCCTGAAAATCAGAATTTGATTTTAAAAACCCCCAGAAAGCCAATATGGACCTTGTGCACCATTCCATGAGCCACTACCACCAAGGCCAGAACCAGCCGCAGAGCCGCCAAACAAAGAGGAACCTAGGTAACAGAAGCGAGTTAGTAGATAAGCCCAAAAAGCCCGGAAAAGGCCCAGCCCGAAGCCTGACAATGAGGAAAAACATACCTTGCGCGGCACAAAGTGCGATCGTTAAAGCGAGAAGAAGACAAAGAAGTCGCATGACCTGCAAACAAATCAAAGACTGAAGATTGGCGATTCAGGAAGAGAACAAAATAGGGAAAATGAAGAAAACAATTTGAAGCGTTTTTATATGGGTTGTTGATACGCAGTTCCGCCCCAAATCGACACTATTTATCATTCGACAAACTGAAGATAGCTGTGTGTTTTGTCCAATTTTTTTCTTTGAGAAATTAATTTTACGAAAAAATGAGTCATTTTACACATTTGGCAAATTTCGCGGAAAAACCCAAGTTATTTCCGGTTAACAAGCGGTAAATTTGCTTTTAAGCCAAGCTTTCTCATTGTCAAGATGGCTCAGCTGGTAAACCTTCTGACTCTCCAGCAAACGACTCAGGTTCGACCCCCAGTCACACCTATACTTTTTTTTAAATTCCGTCCCAAACTTTGGGGCCCAAAAACTGTTGCCGATCTTTCTACTTTCTATCAAAGTTTTGATATCAAAGTAGACAAAAAAATGATGAATCGACTGGTCATTGTTACAAAAAACTGGGGATTTTCAACAAAAATTTTATCAAAAAAAAAAATTACATGTTTGCCATTTGACACGAACCCATATAACATTTACATGAATATAATATAATATATGAATTTAACGAATACCTTTGGTATTTAAAATAAATAATATAATAGCTATGTGTTTCTTTACTTATTAGTTCTTCTTCTCAATGGTTCCATAGATGTTTGTGGTACAACAACATCGAAAGCCGACGATGAAGATTGTTGAACTTCAGGAATCACCAGATCATGCGATATTGATACTTTGGAAGATGTTGACATTCTACTCGATGGTCTTGACGAAGAAGAAGTCGTTGTTGGATGTTTCGATTTCGCCGCAGCCGCCGATCTTCTCGCATAATTCTTCAACTTCTCATTCAAACTTTCAATCATCGAATTTTGCAGATTCAATTTTTGCTGAAGTTCATTGATCAAACCTTCGCGATCCGAAATTATGTTGTTCTTTTGACGAAGTTCGTTTTCAAGAATTTGAAGTTGTTGTCTGGAAGAAAAGTACGGTAGAAAAAAGAGTACGGTGGAAGAAAAGTACGGTAGAAAAGCACAGTACCTTAGCGTGACGAGTTCGTCACTCGACTTTTTCGTCGCCTTCTGATTTTCTTCGTGTTGCGTCACTTGTGATTCAAGTTCTCGGATCTTATCAGTGAGTTGGGCACATTTCGATTTGTATCTGGAAAATACCGAGATTTTTTTTTTAGAAAATAAGGAAATTAAAATAAAAAATATTTGTCTTAAAAAAACAGGAAAAAAACTTTTATTTGCCACGTGGATTTTTCGGCGCCAAAATTCAAAAAAATTCATTTTTTCATAAAATTTCGACACACTATAGGGATTTGAAATTATCAATTTTGGCACTAAAAATCCACGTTTCAAAAAATTGTAGCGCGAAAATCGACATTTTTAAAGCCAAACTTCTTGAAAAATCTAAAGTTTATGAATTTTTCGTCAAAAAATCCACGTTTCAAAAAAACAATTACCAAACCTAAGCTTATGTTTTTCGAAGCCAAATTTGGAGAGAAATCTAAATTTTTTGAAATTTGTGGCCAGAATCAAAATTTTTAAAATCCAAGCTTTTTGAGTGTTTTCCTAACGAAAGCCAAATTTGATGAGAAATTTTAATTTTTTGAAATTGGCGCTTAAAATCCAAAATCTCTCAAATCGATCTTCAAGATTTCCGAGATTATTTAGAAAAATCTGAAATTTCATCCCACAAAAACCCGAACCTCTCCATTTGCTCCGCAAATTCATCAGCATGATCAATCAATCTTCCTTCCGAATCTTTCAACAATTCATTCTGCTCACTAACCATCTTCAACTCTTTTCTCACATTTTCCAATTCACTATTCTTACTTTCAATCTCATTTCTCAATTCTTCCATTTCATTCGTCGATCCTCCATCAATTTTCAACAATTCATCCTGAACCGCCGATAATTCTTCACCTAATCTTGTGATAATATCCTCTCGTTTTTTGATCTCAATCTCCAATTGCTTTTGAACTTCAGCCAATTCCAATTCACTATTTGTTTTTGGTTCTTCCTCATTTCCCCATCCATCATCATCCCAACCTTCTGTTTTCTCGGAATTCTCAATTTCCTCTCGAAGTTTGTCCAATTCCAACTGAATCCGCTGTTTCTGCTGAACTTCTTGATCCAAAGCTTCTTCCAATTCAGAAATCTTGAATTTCAGTAATTTCTCATTCTCTTGAAGTTGTTCCATTTCCGAAGTGCTATTCAACAATTCATCATTCTGAAGACAAAAAAATCCAAAACTTTCTAGAAAAAAGAATAGAACTTACCCGATCTTGCTCTTCAACCAGCGCTTCTTCAGCAGATCTCAGAAGATCTTTCATTTCTTGTTGGACCTGTTCCAATTGTCGAATTCTCGACTCAGAATTCGTGTATTTCTCTGTAACTTCAGAAATTCTAGCAAGAAGATCGGTTTCGACCAATTTCAAGCGTTCAACTTCCTCGTTTTGACAAGATTCGGGTTCTTCAGCTTCACCTTCCCATCCCCAATTTTCAGCTGGTTTTTGCTGAAATATTAGATTTTTATAAATGAATTTAGGATAACTAGACTAACCTCGAGTTCCAATTTTTCCATCCGACTTCTTTCAAGTTCCCCAATCTTTTCCAACAAATCCTTTTCAACTTGTTTGAGCCTCTCAACTTCTAGATTTTCACCAGATTCTGTTTCCTGAGCTTCATCTTCCCATCCCCAATTTTCATCGCTAGAAGGAGCGGGTTTCTGGAATTCGAAAATTCAAAAATTCAGAAAAAAATCAAAACAAACCTGAAGTTCCACGATTCTTTCCGCCAATTCTTCCACCTTTTCCACCGCATTTTTCCGACTTTTCTCCAATTCCTCAATTTTCGCCAGCAATTCTTCTTCAACCAATTTCAGCCGTTCAATTTCTTCATCTTGATTTTGGGTTTCTTGTGATTTTTCTTCGTCCCATCCCCAATTTTCATCTGTTGATGTAGCTGGTTTCTGAAAAAAAATTGAATTTTGTAAATAGAAATGTTTTTTTTTTAAATTTGAAACCCAAATTTCAGGTCCAGTTTTCAGAGTTAAAAATTTTAGCTTTAAATTTTTTCGAAGCAATTTTTTAAGCAAAAATAAAAAATTTAAGTGATACAAATCCACGTGGGGAAATTTAAAATCTGAAATTCATAATTTCGCTCCAAAAATCCACGTGTAAACAATTTTTAAATAATTCAAATTTTCGCGCAAAAAACCATGTGGAAAATATTTTTGAAAAACTCAAATTTTCGCTACAAAAATCCACGTGGAAATTATTTTTTAAAAATTCAAATTTTTGCCCTGAAAATCCACGTGGAAAATGTTTTTTAAAAATTCAAATTTTCGCGCAAAAAAAAACCATGTGGAAACTATTTTTAAAAAATTGAAATTCTCAAATACAAAAATCCAACTGGGAAAAATTAGGAAATCAAATTTTTGCGCTGAAAATCCATGTGGGAACAATTTTTTCAACAATTCAAATTTTTGCACTGAAAATTCAGTCGGCTAAATTTCAATTTGAATTTTTCGCGCAAAATGAAACCACGTGGAAAATATTTTTGAAAATCAGAGCTTCCGAGCTAAAAATCCACGGGAAAATCAGTTTGTAAATTCAAATTTTCGCGTAAAAATCAATAGGGAAAAAAAAAATGGGAAATCAAATTTTTGCTGTGAAAATCCATGCGGCTAAATTTCGATTTAAATGTTACGCGCTAAAAATCCACGTGGAGAATTTTTGAAAATCAGAGCTTCCGAGCTAAAAATCTAAGTGACATCATTTCAGAAACCCAATTTTCCCTCCAAAAATCCACGTGGAAAAACCTCCAAAATTAGATTTTTCCCACTAAAAATTCAGTTGATCAAAACTTCAAAAATGCAATTTCCCTCCGCAAAACAAATCCACCAACCTCAATCTCCTTCATTCTCTCCGCCAATTCTTCCGCATTCTCAATCGCCAAACTTCGACTCTTCTCCAACTCCTCAATCTTTTCCAATAATTCCTTCTCAACTTGTTTGAGCCGTTCAACTTCCCCATTTTTCTCCTCCTCTTCCCATTCCCAATTTTCAATCTCTTTTTGGAGTGAATCAATTTTTTCGAGAAGCGTCGATTCGACTTTTTTCAATCGCTCAATTTCTTGTAGAAGTTCGAGGTTTTCTTCAGCTGGAGTTTCCTCAACTTTGTTGATTTTTGGAGTTTCATCATCATCCCATCCCCAATTTTCATCAGTTTGAGCATTTGAACTTGTGGCAGCCTGAAATTTTGAAGGAAAAATAAGTTATGCTTATTTCAAAGAGCATTTCTGATTAGGATTTTTCTGGAAGCTTCTCAAAAATTAGTTTAAAAACCTATTTTTTCAATGCAGAAAAACGTCGAAAAACAAAGTATACAGTTTATAATTTTTGAGTAGAGACAATGTGAAATTGAGAGAGTGCAGACAGACAAATTGATTTTTCGCACAAAAAATACAAAAAACTGTCTGCACTCTCTCAATTTCACATTGTCTCTACTCAAAAATAATAAACTGTATATTTTGTTTTTCGACGTTTTTCTGCCCATAAAAATTTCAAAATTCGAAAAAAAAACTGTGAAACACCGTGTAAAATTAAAAAATAAATTAAATTCAAATAAATCGATTTTTATGTCAGAAGCCACGAGATTTTTGGATTTGAAAATTAAAAAAAAAGTGTTACCTCTTCCAAAACCGAAATCTTCTCCAGCAATTCCAATTCCACATTTTTCAACCGTTCAATTTCGCGATCCCCAATCTTCTCCTCCAAAATTCGAATTCTCTCAACAAGTTCCAATTTTTCCGATTTCAACAATTCAATTTCCTCTTCAAACGCTCGAAGTTCAGCTTGGGAATCGCTGGATTTCGGATCTTCATCCCATCCCCAATTATCTTCTTGAACTTCACTAGATTTGAGTGGAGTAGATGTTTCAAGTTCTGCAATCTTTGCCAAAAGTTCCAATTCAACAATTTTCAATCGTTGAATTTCAGATGCTTCCTGAAAAAACTAATTTCAGAAAATTCCTTAAAAAAAAATAAAAAACCTTTCGATTTTCCGTCATTTCCTCCTCAATCTCTTGCAATTTCTCCTCCAATTCTAAATTCTGATCTTCCAGTGCCAAAATTCGATTATTCAGAATCTTCTCAACATTTTTCAATCTTTCAGCTTCTTCCAGTTCATTTTTGCATTTTTCCAATTCCTCTCTCAATTTTTCAACATTCTGCACATTCGAATTATCCACAGTTTCTTGAGAGTTTTCCAATTTCACTTCAAGTTCTTCAACTTGTTGCTCAAGTTGTTTAATTTGAGCCAAAAGTTGTGATTTTTCCTGGAACAAAACAGACAAATATTTGAAATGAATTTATTTATTCCCCAAAAATAATCCCAATTTATTGCGGTTTTCCGGCACCGATTTTGATGTCGAAATTGCCATTCTCGCGACTATCACTATCTCCACCTCTTCTTCCTCCATGATTTTTTCCACCACGTCGACAATGTTCATTCTTCTTCTTTCCTCCCGAATTTCTTGAGAGACTTATCGATGAAACGGCAGCGATCAAGAGCAAAATGAAGGTGAAATAGGTGAAGAAGTTCATGTTTTAGTACAAGAAAACTTGCTGCTTGAGATTGTACAAAATTGTGCCTTTTTATACGCCCAAAATTAATGATTCCGCAATTTTTTGATGGTGTAATAAAAATTAATATTTTTTTAGCTTTCGGGAATATTTTTAATTACCAATTTAATAGCAAAAGTTCAAACAACAATCACAAAATAGGACTTGTAGAGGGTTTTTTTTAAATAGAAAATCGGGGGGAATTTGGAAAAAGATCACAATTTCTGAAAATACTGGGGAGCTTTGTTAGAATTTTGTTTTTTTGTTGTTAAATTCAACCATTACTATTTCAAAAAAAAACAAAAAATTGAAATTTCATTAAAAAAAACAAAATTTCCCAGTACTTTCACAAAAATATCTACTTATAATATTTTTTAGAGTTCCCCTAACTTTCTGTGATTGTTGTTTGAACTTCTGCCATTAAATTGGTAATTAAAAATTTTCGTAAAGCTTTAGAAAAATATTAAATTTAATGGGACAATCAAAAACTTGTGTTTTGTTGTATAAAAAGGCACGAATTTTCACAATTTCAAGCAACAAGTTTTCTTGTATCAAAAAATGAACTTCTTCACCTATTTCACCTTCATTTTGCTCTTGGTCGCTGCCGTTTCATCGATCAGTCTCTCAAGAACTTCAGGAGGAAAAAAGAAGCATGAACATTGTCGACGTGGCGGAAAAAATCACGGGGGAAGAGGTGGAGATAGTGATAGTCGTGAGAATGGCAACTTCGACATCAAAATCGGAGCCGGAAAACCGCAATAAAATGGGGATAATTTTTGGGGAATAAAAACTCACATTCTCAAATTCTTTTCTCAATTCCTCCAACTCATCCACCTCATTTTGTAGTCCAACATTGGTGTGAGCTAATTCGGCATTGGTGCGAAACAGTGAATCGACGTCGGCTTGACGAGTCGTCAGCTTTGCGGCTAAAATCGCGAGTTCCGTCGACAGTCGACTGACAGTTGCAGCTGCAATGCACGCCACCTATGCCACAGGACACGTGCATAAAAAGAGAGAGAGAACAAAACGACACAAAATTGTGGAAGAGAGGAGAAAGACTAGACTAGACTATAGTAACAAAATTAAACTCATGCACTGGACAATCGACTGTCGACACAATTTTGAAAAGAAAATCGGGATTTTTGAGAAAAACCATTGAAATTTACTTTTGTATGTGAATTTCTAGATGTTTTACCGAAATCTGGGAATTTTTAACAAAATTTTGACATTCAAAGGTGAATTCGGGAATTTTGAACAAATTTCGGACAATTGGAGCAAATTCTGGACAGTTAGAGCAAAATTCAGGAATTTTTACTCAAATTTGGAAAATTAGAGCTGAATCTGGACATTTTGAACAGAAATTTGAGCATTTGGAGCTAAATTTAGGAATTTTGAACAAAACTTCAAGGCTTTGAACAAAATTCTGACATTTAGAACTTAATTTCGTAATTTTGAACAAAACTTGAAAGCTTTGAACAAAAATTTGAAAATTTTAAATAAAAATTGAACATTTAAAACTAAATTTAAGAATTTTGAACAAAAAAGACTTCGAGTAACTTGAAATTCATGAAAATTCATGTTTTTTGAACAAAATTTGAAAATTTAGAGCTAAATTTCGAAAATTTTTAACACAAGCTCTTAAAAATAGAGCTAAATTTGCAAAATTTGAACATTTAGAGCTAGATTTCAAAAATTTCGAACAAAAAGACTTCGAGTAACTTGAAATTCATAAAAATTACTGTTTTTGAGCAAAATTAGAACATTTAGAGCTAAATTCAACAATTTTGAGCAAAAATGGCTTCGAGTAACTTGAAATTCAAAAAAATTCCTGTTTTTTGAGGCCAATTTTGATACTTTTTCGATTTTTTAACCAAAAAACATCCCGAAAAATCTCCCCCAAAGCCAAAAAAAAAAGCAAAGCTTGTCTCTCAAAAAAAAAAGAATTCAAAAAAATATAAAAAATCCCAGCACTTCCTGTGGTTTAGATGGTGGATGCAAAGCAAGTGTGAAGCACACCAGGACAAATTGGTGTTCAAAAATAAATTTTTTTTTAAATTTTTCATCTTGTGAAATCCAATAAAAACTAGCTCTTCAGAGGATTTTGATGAGAAAATTTCAAATTTTTGCCATTTTTTAACACATTTTCGTCCATTTGTGATGTTAAAGCACAAAGGTTCAATATTTAGAAGTGAGAAGTGGTGAAAAAAAGCTAACCTTCATTTTCTCCCGCTTTCTTCGCTATATTATCCAGTGCTCTTTCCAACTCTCCAATTCTCCTCTTCAATCCTTCACATTCCTCTTCTTTCCACTCAATTTCACCTTCCAATTCCTCAATTCTCCCATTTTTTTCTCCTCCACTGACATCTCCATTTTCAGCATTTTCGAGTCGATCTTCCAAAGCTTGCCGAATTCTTCGCTGCTCTTCCAACGCATTTTTCGTCTCCTCTAATTCCACAACAATTCTTTTGACTTTCTCAACAATCGCTCTCAATTTCTCATAATTTCCCTCAGTCTCAACACTTTGAATCAAACTCAGCGTCACAAACAAATTATCAATCAACGAATTCAAATCCGGCAAATTTGTAGAAGGCTGTGTCAATTGCACCAAATTCTCCGTATTCCCTCCTGTGGCAATTTGCGCATACAATTCATTATAAGCAGTTTGAAGTTGAGTATAATATTCATTCAAACTCGCATACGCTTTTTCAATCTCCTCTCTTCGTTCTTCCATTTCAAGACATTCAGCAAGTCTACGATTCGATTCATTTTCAGCTTCAGCCGCTCTTCGAAGTGCACGATCTGTCAAATCAATTTGTTCCTGAAGTTCGACATCGAGGGAAATCGCTCGCTTTTTCTCTTTTTCGACAGCAGTGTCCAATTCAGCTACTTTATTCTCCAATGTTTCGCGATCAAGAATTGACTGAAAAAATATGGAGATGAAGGTTATTTTTATAGTTTAACATTTGAAAGAGCATGTTTCTTAGCTTATCAAACATTAGTTTAAAAATTTCGAAAAAAACAGTGAAACACCGTGGCTTTTCTCTGTCAATTTCGATTTTTTTTTTTTGAAAATTTGTCCAGGAGACTAATTTTCGAATTCAAATTGATAGAAATAAATCAATTTTTATGTCAGACTCCACCTTTAAAAATTTGGATCAAACTTTCGAAAAAATCAAAGATCAGCCAAATACTCGTACTTTTCAAGTTTCTGATATAATTTGTTCCTATAATTCTAAATATAATTTGCATCGCTCAAAGCAGAAGAAACATTTTTATTTTCCATAAATTTTAGATAAAATATTTTTAAAACGTATTTTTTGGGGGTTTTCTTTTTCAGGAAAAAATCAACAATTTTGGGAAAATTTCAATGTTTTCTTTTTTTTCTAAAATCTATCCTGAAGTTATTATCAGACTAAATGTTTTCTTTTTCCAGAAATTTCAAATAAAATATTTTTGAAACGTATTTTTTGGGGTTTTCTTTATGAGAAACAAATTCGGGAAAAATTCAATTTTTACGATGATTTGGTTCAAAATTCTAAAATTCATCGGACAAATTGTTTTCTTTTTCCATAAATTTTAGATAAAATATTTTTGAAACGTATTTTTTTTGGGGTTTTTCTTTTTCAGGAAAAAATCAACAAAAGATTCCAGTGCAAATTATGAAAACCCCAAATCGTAAATCTCACAGAACTCTAAAATCTAATAGAATTTTCCGACCGGAAAATAAGTTCCAGAAACATCCCCCCTCACCTCTTTCAATTGCCCATTAATCGACCAAATTTCCGCCTTCAACGCTTGCACCGCAATCTCCAACTCATCTTTCAATTCAATCAATCTTGTCATATCTCTCGAAACATCATCGTGAACTCGACTCGTCTCATTGATACATTCTCTCAGCAAACAATTCTCTTCAACAAGGTTATCAGGTTCTAGCGCGAGATTCTCCTGATGTTCTTGACGAACTTCAGAAGCCTGTTCTTCCTGATGTTGCCGTTCAACTTCATCCTTTCTAGCAATCTCAAATTCCGCTAAATTATGCAACAATCTCTCCATTTCCTGTTGCTGTTCCTCAATTTTCAGCTGAAGACCCTCTTTCTCCTCCAATTTCATTTGTAAATCCTCAATCTGCGCCGACATTTCATCAACCAACATTTCATGCAACCTCAATTCCATCTCGTTTCTAGCAGCAACATTTTCAGATTTTTCAGCCCTCAGTGCATCATTCTCCTCTTCCAACTCCTGCATAGCTCTTCCCAATTCAATATTCAATTCTCCCGACAATTTCGCCTCCATTGAAACTTCCTCCAATTTTTTGGATAGTTCCTTGAAATCTTCAGAATTTTGAACGGGTATTTCTAGTTTTTGCGATTTTTCCAATTGAAGTTGTCTAATTTGCAAATCCCTTTCTGCAATTTCCCGAGCCTGTTGACCTTTGACAAAAGCAAGTTCATTTCGCAATTTCTCCAAATCTTCTTTATTATCAGTTGGAGTTTCCTTATCTCTCAATTGTTTGATAGCAAGTTTCAGCTTCTTCTTTTCCTGAAATCAAATTTTTTTTCAAAAATTTTCAAATTCAAAAATCCTCACCGCCTTATCCTTCTCATTCGTCTCCTGTGCTTCTTTCAAATCCATCTCAAGTTTCTCAATTTTCTTCTCATACGCCAAAATATATTGCTCATATTGGATTTCCAGCGAATTCTTTCGACTATTTCCCGAATCGGCTTCTTCTTCGGCGATTTTTCGACAATTTTCTTCGTATTCTTTGCGACGATTGTCTTGTTGGCGGAGTAATTCGTGTTTGAGTTCTGGAAAAATCGGAAAAATTATTTGTTGTGAATCATCACATCAATTTTTAATAGGAAAAAACCCTATTGAATTCATTGATGACTAATTCGTACAATTTTCTTTTTTTTTGTACTCCAACTTTTTTTTAAAGAAAAAACATTTTTTCTAGAAAAGCCGGAAATTTTCCAAGTTTTCTGATTTTTCACAAAAAATTCCATTTTTTTCTGGTTTTGGTGTGCTTTTTAGTAGTAAAATCTTTAAGATTGCCTCATTTTCACCATTTTTTTTTTGATTTTTGGAACTGAAAACGTCCCAATTTATCTGAAACTTCAAATTTAAAGACATTTAAACATTTTCTGGATTTTCTGGTCATTTTTACAATTTAGAAATGAATTTTACAGACAATTTAGTGCTGAAATTTGAAAATTTCTCGATTTTTCGATTTTCCTTCCGTCACAGGCCTCAAAAACATCAAAATCTTAAATTTTTGAATTCAAAATTTGCTATAATTTCTCACCCTGAACTTCTTTCTCAACCGCTCTCGCTTCTTGCAAACCCGCTCTCGCCGAATCAATCTCAACTCTCATCGAATCCAATTGTCTCGACAACTGATCACAATTAAAATTACTTTGCTTCAAATCCTCTTCCCTCATCTCCAAAACATCTTCCAAATCTGCAATTCGATTTTCAGCCTCTTCCATATTCTTATTCGCCTCCTCCACATTCATTTGCAAATCGAAATTGGCTGCTCTCAAATCCTCCAATTCTCCCAATGTCTCATCATACTTCATTTGCATTTCCTCCAACAATTCAACCATTTTCTGACTGTCTTCTAGATCTTCTTGCTGATTCTGAAGCTGTGAAGAACAACTCTCCGATTTCCTCAAACTCAATTCCTCTTCCACATTTTCCTTCGCCTCTCTCAATTTCTGACTAATATCTCTTTCCCCTTCCAACGCCTCTGATAATTGTCTCACAGTTTCAGACAACTCTTCAACTCTCCTTTTCAAATCCTCACTATTATTCATCTCAAATTCGCATAATTTTTCCATGAGTTTCTCATTTTGCTCCACCAAAACTCGACATTTATTATCAAGTGCTTTCGTTTTGAGGCGATCTTCTGGAAAAAACAAAAAATTCTTGGCAAATTTTGAATCGGACCACAGAAAAGGAATCGGACCAGGTCCGATTTTTTGAGAAAAATTCTGAATCGGACCCGAAAAATCGGACCACTTTTTCAAAAAAGGCCAATTTTTTCGTGCAAAAATCAGGAAATTTTGAAAAAATGGTCCGATTTTTCGGGTCCGATTCAGAATTTTTCTCAAAAAATCGGACCTGGTCCGATTCCTTTTTTGTGGTCCGATTCCTATTGAAAAATGTCACCCTGGTCCGATTCAGAAAACCCTCAAAATCGGGTCCGATTAATCGGACCTGGTCCGATTCCTATGGTCCGATTCAAAAACTGCCAAAATTTTCTTATCTTTTTTATTTATTTGTTTTTTGCCTGTCTCCCACTGATTCATTTTTTTCTTCTAGTTATTATCATAATCAATAAAAAAATACCCCCGCGATTTATTTCTGCTACTCTCTCTGCCAATATTTATTAAACAAAACAAGGTCGTTTTTCTCTCGCACTCTCAATTTTTCGTGTTTGTAAAATCGATTTTCTGATTTTCCGATTTTTCCGCGCGCGCTTTCATGTCAAACATATCGGCAAGTTGTCCGGCTTGCGGACAAAAACAAATCAAGAGTCGGTTTAATTGGAGAGCCATTCTATATGCGATTTTTTGCTTTCCTTGCGGGTTTTATTGCTGTTTGAAGAGGAAGACCTATTTTTGCAGGAGGTGTCAATGTGATGTGAGTTTTTTGACATAGATTCCAAAAGTTATTGTATTTTTATGAAGTAGTGTTTACAAAGCCAAAAAAAACCATTTACACTTTTTGTCCTTCATGTTTTCAAAAATAGACTAAAATGAAAGCCAATTTCCATACTTTTTGAGCAAGTGAGTTGAAATATTTGGTTTCAATCATATTCATAGGATAAACAAGCCCAAGACAATTTGAATGATATAACTTTTAATGACTTTAAGTTACCCATAAGTTAGGAAAGTTTAGACTCAATTAAAAATAAACTAAACGTACCTAAATCACTTATTAGTAAGTTAAAGTCATAAAAAGTTATATCATTCAAATTGTCTTGAGCCTGCTTATCCTATGAATATGATTAAAACCAAATATTTCAACTCACTTGATCAAAAAGTATGGAAATGTCGTTTTAGTCTATTTTTGAAAACACGAAAGACAAAAAGTGTAAATGGTGTTTTTTGCTTTGTAAACACTACGTCATGAATAAAACTAAATACAATAACTTTTTGGGATTTAATTTTAGTTAGAATTTGTTTGGAAAATCAATAATTTTCAGGTTGTTAGCACAACAACCCCAATACTCCACAGCAAACTTGGCTACAATTATCGACTCTATGAATCGACTGAAACTGCTCTTCCAGCAGGCGCCTATCGCAATTTTGCAAACACAACTTCATCAATCGCTTCGGATACAACAACTTCAAGCACTTCTCCCCTTACCATTTGATTTTTTGTCGATTATTTCCTTTTCTTTTTCCAAAGCCAGAAGTTTTGTCTCGAATGCTTTTGATTTGATTAATGCACGATGATCAATCTGAAAAGAGATTTTTTTTAAATTGTATATTTTTGTATGTGGTTTCATTTTTCATAATGAAACAAAGCGGGTTTCCTTATTCTTGTCATGTCATAATAAAGAAATTAATAAATAAATTACCTTTGATGCTCCTAAAGATTCCCTTAACAACCCAATATGTTGCTCATAAATCACAATATCAGCCTCAAGAATCTCAATAAATCTGTCTTGCGCAGTAATCGCCTCTTTCAACTTATCAACATCATCAAAGATCGCCTCCTTCTGAGTCTCATGATATTTTATAATATTTTCAGCTTGCGCCAAATCATCCACCATCAAATCTCTCAATTCATTCAATTCCGCCACTTCCACATCCAATTTTCGCTTATTTTTCTCACTCTCATCCAATTCCTCATTTAATTTATGCGATTTTTCTTTAAGATGCAAAATCTGATCGCGAAGCTGCCCATTTTGCTCAACTTCCCAATCACGGGTATTTCGCAATGTATTCACTTCCTCTTTCAATCTTTCATTTTCAGTCAGATATTGCTCATTCAATAATTCAAGAGATGCTTCTAGCTCTTTAATTCGGGCGGTCGCTACAACTCTCGCTTTCAATCCTGCAGTCTTCGCTTCCTTCGAATATTTCGCAATTTCCTCTTCATATTGTTTCTTCATCTCCTCAACCGCTCCATTCAATTCCTCAATTTCTTTCCGTAGCAAACTATTTTCACTTGAAGCTTCTGTTAAAGCAGATGTCAATTCGTCAGTCGACCCATTTCTTGGCGGCAAATCAAAAGTCACTCGTTTCCGATACTTTTTACTATGATTTATCCCATCAACATCCGGCAGTTCGTTGCCAAATTTCGATGTATTTTCAGCGGTTGGTGGATCAATTGGTGGAGGCGAAAAGGTTCCGTGCGATCTTCTTGAAGCAATCGCGTGTCCTGGAGAAGAACTTCGTGCTCGAAGTCTTTCCGGTTTTGAGGGAGAGCTAGAATATGATGTTGATGGAGTTGAAGTGTTTAGAAGACTTGAATCTGTTTCAGTTGACATATCTTTTCTTTCCTTCTGAAGTTCTCCAAACTTTTGTTGAACAATTCGCATTGCTTGAGTTTTGACATTTGCAACCTCTCCTTGTTCCCTCACTCGTTCTTGTAAATCCAAAATCTGCCGCTCTTTATCAAGTATCACATTATTTAAATCGATAATTCGATTGTCCTGAAACTTTCACTTTTTTCTTTAAAATTCTTTATTTATCCAAAAATACCTTATAAATCAATTGTTGATGAACCCGTTCTCCAATATCTGTACTCTCTTCAGTCATTTTACCCAGCCTGCAAAAGTTTAATGAACTTAATTTAGACTTGATCAAGTTTTGAAAAGCGAAAGAAAAAAAAGAAAAACAAAAAATAATACGGTGAACAAAAGAAATGCTGACAATTGCGGACTTGGTGTTTGCACACATTGTTGACCGTAGTGTGAGAAAAAAGAGGGGAGATGAAAAATAATTGTTTTATTGGTTGGCTGTTATTTGTTTCAACAAAATACAGGTTTTTAAAGAATTTAAAAGTTAGCGACGAGTTCCATCCTCGAAAAAGACTCCTCCATCAATTGCGCAATATCTGAAACGCAACATTTTGATTTAAAATTTTGTTTTTTTAACTTACTTAGGACAAATTCCTTTTTCTCCTGATCTCCCTGGATTTCCAGATTGCCCAGGACTTCCCGGATTACCGTCTCGACCAGCTGATCCAGGCTTTCCATTAGAGCCTTTCAATCCAGGCCCGCCAGGCCTTCCTTCTTTTCCCGGCGGTCCTGGTTGTCCTGAGGGACCTTGTGGCCCTGGAGGCCCTGCAGGTCCTGGTAATCCTGGAGAAGATGTACTCGACGCATCTTGCCCAGGTTTTCCTGGCTGTCCCGGCGCTCCTGGGCTCCCCGGTGCTCCCGGTGGCCCCTTGTTCCCAGGCCCCCCAGGTATTCCATCACTTCCCGGTGACCCTGGACTTCCATTCGGGCCAGCATCCCCAATCGCACCCGGCAAACCCGGCGGCCCAGGCGGTCCTTGAGCGCAAGGCTTACAAGGCGGTGGAGTAACAGCGTCACAGGGTGTTGTATTCGGACGTCCAGGATTTCCAGGGTTCCCAGGAGCCCCCGGTTTCCCCGGTCTTCCCGGATTCCCCGGTTGACCCGCCGGCCCAGCAGCTCCAGGTGTACAACAAGCCTCACAACCTCCTTGAGCACCACCCCCGACCGCATAATTCGCCTGGCGAGTTGTTCGATTTGAAGAGCTCTTCAAAATTCTAACTTCATCCCAAATTTCCTTAGCCGATCCTCGACAATTATCAATTTCAAAATTCATAGTCTTCCTCACATGATGCACATAATTATATACCATCGGCAAACTGACGCAAACCGATAAAACAGCAATAATTGAAAATAGGACAGCGGAATACGCAACAAAGCGATAGGCTTTAATACGACTCTCAAAGTCCATCTCTATGTTAGAATTTCTACCAGAACCGCAATTATTTCTCACTTTTATACCGTTATTCCATCTACATAATCGGTTTCAATTTCCTAGCTACTTTGTTCCACTTGTTATTTTCATTTTCTGAAAGTAAGTTAATGCATGCATGTAGTAGTAAATCGACCCCAAGGTCAACAAAAAAACAGTTGTTTTTCGAATGTTGTTATCGGTTGTTTTTAGGTTGGCAGAATAAAAAAACAGGATCCGATAGCAAGAAGACCAAATAAAAGGTTAGGTTAGCAATAACAAAATTGTCAGTTGTACAGGAGATGGATTTGGAACAACGCGTCAAAGCGTATCGCTTTGTCGCCTATTCGGCTGTCACTTTCTCATTGGTCGCTGTTCTCTCCGTATGTATTACCTTACCTATGCTTTATAACTATGTGCACCATGTGAAACGAAGCATGCAATCAGAGATCGAGTTCTGTCGCGGGTCTGCTAAGGACATTTGGGAAGAGGTGAATGAGTTGAAGAGCGTGTCAGCAGCTTCCAACAGAACATCTCGTCAAGCTGGTTATGATTCTGGACCGGCTGGTGGTGGTGCACCTGCTGGTGGTGGATCTTGTAGTGAATGCTGTACACCTGGGGCTGCTGGACCTGCGGGGCAACCTGGAAAACCTGGGCGTCCGGGAAAACCTGGAGCACCGGGGGCGCCGGGAAATCCCGGTCGCCCACCCGTTCAACCTTGCGAACCTATCACACCTCCGCCATGCAGGCCTTGCCCTCAAGGACCGTCGGGCCCGCCGGGACCTCCAGGTCCACCGGGAGATGCTGGAGGCAATGGAAGTCCAGGGGGTCCGGGAAGTCCGGGAGGGCCAGGAGGGCCAGGACCGAAAGGGCCACCAGGACCAAATGGAAATCCAGGAGCACCGGGAGCGCCAGGAAACCCGGGAGGAGACGCGCCATCTCAACCTATCACACCCGGATCTCCTGGACCGGCTGGGCCACCAGGGCCACAAGGACCTCCGGGACAACCTGGATCACCGGGAAGCAACGGACAACCAGGAGCACCTGGGCCAGCTGGACCCAACGGAAATCCAGGTTCACCGGGAGGCGATGGAAATCCAGGAGCGCCAGGGCAAGCGGGAACACCAGGCGGGGCTGGAGAACGCGGTATTTGTCCAAAGTGAGTTTCAGCCAGAGGGAAAACTGGAAATTTGTTATTTTTTTTTAGATATTGTGCCATCGATGGTGGAGTCTTCTTCGAAGATGGAAGTCGACGCTAAAAACCTTGACTCAAATAAATTCGTTGCTCATACTAGATTTTTGCACCTCAAAACCTTTATGATTCATACACGAACACCTTTTCCAATAATCACAAAATAGAGTTCAGTCTGGTTGTTCGATCCTCTAGCAGCCAAATCATAGAAGCGTAGATTTGTGTCGAGAAGTGAGATCAGGTTGAGGTCATCGCGTTTTTCGGGTTTGCGGAAACTATAGTAGACACGAGAGTCTTGCACAATTTTTCTGGAAAAAACAACCATCAATCAATACTCAGGGGAATTTCCGACGCCTTTTTAGTACGGGCACACCATTTTCATGAAAAATGTCCGAGTGGATAAGTGGATGGGTAGTCAATGTTTTGAGTAAAAACATTTTACGTTCACGTTTTTTTCGTTTTACGGTTTTTATGGAATTTCACCGTAAAATCCATTTTACGGTTTTACGGCTCAAAAAATCGTAAAATAATTCGTAAAAAAATTCACTAAATATAGTTTAATTATTGTGAATTTTTACAGAATCAAATAGAAACTTTTTAAAAAACAACATTTTTCAAAGAAAATTGATTTCATCCTAATTAATTTTTGATGAATATGAAAAATAATATTGTTAAAATTATGTTGGAGTTACGATAAGTTACCAACGGTTTTTAAAACCGTAAAATTCCGATTTTACGTTTTACGGTGCCAGGTAAAAATTTCCCAGGTCTGGTTTTGACCCAAGTTCTATGCCCCATACTCTTGCCTGACCCGAGGGCAAAAAACAAAAACGCCGCGAGCCTTTCCCGAGAAGTTAGCCCAACTCACTTATGTGAAGTTAGCGTATGTCGAAGTGACGCAAGACGACTTTGCGTCGAAAACTCATACTCCATATAATTTCTCACCACATTATTATGCAATCTCTTCACAATCGTCAAATGCACATTGATACTTTCAAACGGTCCGGTGACTGACAAAAACGAGCTGCTCTTCGACAAATTTCCCGATCTGATCTTCTCCCCACTGAACTTGGCGATTGTCAAACAATCCACGTTGCAACAACCCGGCGAGCCATCGAAAAGTGGCGCGGCCTTTTGTGATATTCGACATTTCTCGCATATCAAATGATCGCAACCGAATTGAATCAGCGATGTTGCGTCGACCATTGATTGACACGGTCCGTCGCAAAACGCTTGTCCAAGGTTCGACACTTTTTTCGATAATCTAACACTAGTTGCACTTTTGTTCGGTGTCAATGTCGATTTTTGCTGCTGCTGCTGCCATTTTTGTTGCCACTTTTTCAAGGTCTCTCCCGATTTTTCCCGCCATTCAATTTCATATTTATAAATCGGTCCAGAGCTGGTGACATCTGTGGTGATTGTCACTTTTTTGATTGCATCTACAGTGGGTTGAATCGCCGGTGGCAAGAAGATTCGCAATTTTTCATTTATTTTTTGTTGTGGACCTGCACTGAATAAATCACCCAATCCACAATGAATTGTTCTGAAAATAATTACAGATCAAGTGTTTTCTGTGGATAACACACGGCCTTTCAAAAACATACTAGTCGCTCCGGGGACCCTTGAGTTAACCCCCCTTCCAGGAAATATTTTCAAATAGTTAACCCCCCTAACCAATTTTTTGTGGGTTTTTGGCCTCTAAAGGCATGAAATTCCCTAAAATTTTCAAAAGTTAAGGGCCCTACCTCCAAAAAAGCACCCAAAGTCAACCCAAAAGCCTTCCTGTAGCCTGTGGGCCACAGGCTGTGGCCCTGTAGATAAGCCTGAACTCACTCAACATTTGCTGCCATTGAAAATTCTTTTACAATTGTTTTCGACTGATGAGTTCTTAAGAAATAACGTGTCAAGATTTTTTTTTTGATTTTTCGAAAAAAAAACTGGGTTGACGTAAAATGACGTGAAAAATAAAAATAAAAATCTAATTTTGAAATCATTAATTTTTTCGGTGAAATCCCGCGGGATTTTCTTTTTTTCAATATAAAAACATCAAGTGACAACAGAAATTTCACTCAAAAAAATAATGTTCGGTGAAACTTATCATCTCTGCATGTTCTCACTGTCGATCTCATTGAACACCTTTCTAATAATCCTGATTCTGACAAAATCCCCGAAGAAATTGGGAACCTACAAATACTACATGCTCTATTTTTGCTGCTACGCCATGGTTTTCTCAACAATCGATTATATCGCTCAACCGAAAATCTTTATTGGCAAAAGAACTTTTATCATCGGAACACTCTTAAAGTTCCACTCGAAGTCCTCTATGATTTATATGGTTAGCATTCTCTGCGGCTCATTTGGTAGTACAATCTCAATCTTTGTTCTACACTTCATGTTCCGATTTTTCGCGCTAGAACGTCGTGGTCGTCTTTACTATTTCAAGGGCAAATATCTGGCTTGGTGGTTCATTTTTCCATTTTTCCCCGGATGTTTTTGGGGCTATATCACCTATCTTTTCCTACAACCAAATGATTTAACAAGTTCTATTGTTCTCGATATAATTTCGCCTTTAAATCTCGATGACTACAGTTATATCAGCGCTACATATTTTCTACCTTCTGGAGAATTGAATTTGTCTCAGTTTTTGACTATGTTTATTCTGATGAACCTGATGGTAAGTATGCACGGGGTTTTGCTGCGATACCTTTTTTGTCTCGCGTCTCTTCTGCGCTCACATGTTAATTTTACTCTCTCGTGTTCGCTGTGCGGCTGTGCGTCGCGGTCGGGAAGCAAAAGGACACATTGATCGTTTCCCGACCGCAACGCACAGCCGCACGCGACTCACGAAGTTCGTTCGAAGTTTACTGGTTTTATGAGACTTAAAACTTTCAGCTGATCACAATTCTGACAGTTGCATACTTCGCAATCGGAAGTTATCGCCTCATAAACCGCATCCTGAAAGACGGAGAAAGTGAATACAGCCGAAAACTACAAAAACAATTATTTCTGGCGTTGGTTTGTCAAGCAATAATTCCATCAATTCTAATGTACATTCCCGTTGGATCCTTATGTATTCTCCCATTTTTCGATATCACAATCCCAAATCTATCCACAATTGTAACTGCAACTTATGCTCTTTATCCAGCTTTCGATCCATTACCTTTGATTATAATTGTTGACAGTTATCGAAATGTTGTGAGAAGATCTGTTTTCAGAATCAGGCCGATGTGTACTGGGATTCAGGGGCGGAAAGTTCAACCGGTACCAGACATCATTTCGTAGGGGGGATGCACTTTGTATTTTCTATTTTTCTATTCTCAAGAATTGTATACCCAGTGGATTTAAGTAGATAAATATTTTATTTTAGAAGCATTTTTTTACAAAACATCAGACCTCACAATTATTTTGTGGTTCCTGATACATTTCAACGTCTCTTACACGATTTCGATTTTCACAAATATGAAAAAGTTCTGAAAATAAAATATTTTTGTATTTAAAAGCGACCGCAACGCACACGCAGCGCGGGTAAAACTCACTGAACACTGCAAATCGATAATCATCAATGATAAAAATAATTGGAATCGGATCAACAGCTGGATAAACAGCATAAAGAAATGTGACAACTCTACTGAATGTTTCAATATTGATACCAAACATGGGTGCAATGAAATATGCGCCAACTGGGATATACATAAGTGAAAGTGGGAAAAGTGATTGGAAAACCAGCGCTTTGTAGAGTTGTTGTTGAAGGTTTTGACTATATTTCGATTCTCCTTCGTTTTTCAAAAGTTTTTGAATGAGAACAAAACTTCGAATCGCGAAATTGAAAACAATTGAAAAGGAAATGAACATTATTATCATGAGAATTGATGATGCAAGAAAATGTTTGATATTTGGAGTGTTATCCCTGTAGAAATACAGGGCACCCACATAAGTGACATTTTTAATATCCAAGTTATAATCGTCATAGATTGATTTCGCGAGATAATTGGATGCTTGTTCTGATGGTCCCAATAGAAAATAAACCATTGTTCCCCAAGAAATACCGAATATTATAGGTAACATTGACCAGAAAATTAGGTAGGAGTTGGTGAAAAATCGAAGACGACCTTTTCTAAAAAACATATATAGATTTGAAGAAGGCTATTTAGTCTAAGGATTCCCCAAAAAAAATTTTTTTTTCAATTTTAGCCCAATGTGTGTAATTGTGCGTCGCGGTGTATGTGTGTCTTCCCCGCGCTTTTCAAATTTGAATTTATTTTCTGCGAGTTTTACGTGTACCTTTCAAGCGCAAAAAATCGATAAGCAAAATGAATCGCTAAACATGTGATCGTTGAACCAAAACAACCGCAAAGAGCAGAAACAACTATAAGAGAACCTTGTTTTCCGATTTTCAAATTTTCAACTTCGACGATAACCGCAAAACAATGATCGATTGAATGAACAAACTGAAACATTTCGAAAATTATTTTCAAAACAAAAATTTTTCTCACTTACCGGTTTTGCCCAAATATCCAACAAGCTAAAAGTCATTGCAAAAATCGAAAAATAAATCATCAGGGCTCGATAATTTCCCATTTTCACTGGCGATTTTTTGATGATTAAGACAATCAAAGCGGTGTTTAATATGAGTGACATAATTGTGGATGAGATTTGAAAAATGGTTTTAGCAGTTATAAACATTTTTAGCATGACTTAATGTAAGTAGGTTGGTGATTAATTAGAATATGTGCTGTCAGGCGAAGACCAAATTCAAGAAAAAGTAAAAATGTCAATTCAAAGTGAGACAAAAAATATATTATTTCATAACAAATACAAAAAAAATACAAATTTCCATGAAAAACAATCGTCATCAATTATCCACCGTAGTAGTAGCTCTAGATTCAGAATTCGATCTTTCCATCGGCCCAACTTTTTGATCTGGACAAAAACAGATAACATACAAAATTGCCCTACGATAATTGTCGATGATTAGAAGAGTTGGAAGAGGATCTAATACTGGATAAATCGCATATCCAATATTAACAATATTTCCAACGATTTTCGCGTGTTTGACGAAGAATGGGAGGAAAATGAAGCAACCAACTGGAAGATAAAGCATGATGACTGGAATTATAGTTTGTAAAATCAACGCTTTATAGAGTTGCTTTTGCAAATTTCTTGTGAATTCGGAGCGCCCTTTTTTAATCAGGTTTTGGATGAGATGATAGATTCGAAAGCCGAAGAAACTGACTGTTAAGACGGAGATGGTCTGGAAGATTTTTAAAAGTAGATACATAGAATTTGGGGTAGGGCTACCATTATTGCTCCAAAGATCACTGAAACTTTTGCGATGTAGGTATTGATTTCTCCATTTTGATCTCGCCAACTTCCACCAACATAGACAATTTGATCTATGGTTAGGTTGTAATCTTTGAAAACTTCTGATCTATAAAGAAATCGGTAGATTGGGGATGTTTTCAAAAAATTTGATTTCCCAAAATTATTTCTTCAGACGCGAGCGGCTATGCGTCGCGGTCGGGAAGAAAAGGGAAATATGATTGCCCCTCGGGTCAGACGAGAGACGACGGGAGTCTGATGACGTCATCTAAGACAGATCGCTTCGAGATATTTTTGAGAAAATATGTGTGTCCCTTTGAAAAAATACCGTATTTTGTTTCAAGGAACACATGTTTTATTGAAAATATCTCGAAGCGAAGTTCATTTCCGGGATATTTTTGCAGAATACTCTCGTCGTCTCGCGTCTGACTCAACGGACGCCTTGTAGGGTCGTGTAATACACGACCATACGACGTGTATTGATTGTCTCCCGACCGCGACGCATAGCCGCACGCGACTCACGAAATTTCATCTTCTATCAATTTTCCAGGTGTAAGGAAAAAATATATTGTAGCAGTCCAAATTGCACAAAAAATGATTGGAATACATAACCATGCAAAAAGATAAATTCCCCGAAAATATTTGAGTTTTCCTTTTCGCTCAATCGCAAAATATCGAAAAACAAAATGAACTGCGATTATTGCTATTATCAGACTATAAAATCCACAGGTGACACATAAAAGGATATGATTCAGGTGCTGACTCAAACCATTCAAATCCTTCTGCATGAAGATAATAAAGCAGTTGCTCATATTAACCGTGCTCTGAATTACATGTAAAGAATTATTACAAATATTGAAAAAAAAGCCGTAAACTCACAATATTCAAAAAATAATCAAGAATCGAAAGATTGATTGAAACCATCGAAAAATACATCATCAAAAATTTATAAGTTCCCATTTTCTTTGGCGATTTTGTCAGAACTAATAAAATCAATATGGAGTTGAAGAATATCGATAAATATAGAGAAATTGTCTGCGTCCATTCTTTTACCTCTTTGAACATCGTTGAAAATATCACATGAAATGACTCTAGCTGTTTATAAGCGATGAATACAAAAATTGTATTTATTAGTAAGATTAATCTCTGTGTTTTTGCATAATATGAAAAAAAAAACAGCGACGTCATCAAGATTTCTAGGAAGATCACAAATTACGTCACGTTCGCTGCGAGACCTTTTTTGTCATTTGAAAAAAAAGCTTTCCTCGACGCGGGATCGAACCCCTGACCTAAAAATTTATAGTCGTGCGTGTTAACCACTCGGCCACGCGTTCCTATTTTTACTCGCGTGCAAATGTTTGATATATGAAACGAGGAAAAAATCACAGAAATGTATTTATTTTACAAACAACACTCCGCAATTACGTCTCAACGCTTGTATCATTTCGTTCCTTCTCCTCAACATCCACCTTATTATTCCTCTTAATTCCAAGAAAATCAAAAACCGCCAATCGATAATCATCAATTATGAAAATGATGGGAAGTGGATCCAATACGGGATAAATTGCGTATAACAAATTCGACACCAACCCAAAAATCTCGACGTTTTCAAAGAAAACTGGAAGAATCAAATAGAACGAGACTGGAATATAGAGAAGGAAAAGGGGAATACAAGTCTGAACAACAAGTGACTTATATAGTTGACGCTGGAGGTTTTTTGTATAGTTGGATTCCCCATCGTAGATTAATTTTTGGATGAGAAAGTAGATTTTTGTGCCGAAATAGAAGACTGTGAATAGTGAGATGAACTGAAAGGATTTTTTCGCGCTCCACCGAAATAAACACGCAACGCAGACCGCGCCGCGCCGCGCCGCGCCACAACCCACAAAAAAGGGAGGGAATTTGAATCGTTCCCTTATGTGTGTGTTTTGGTGCGACGCGGTCTGCGTTGCGTGTTTATTTCGGTGGAGCGCAATAGATCTTACAATTATTGTCACAAAAATCGGGGCACTTTGAATTGTTTGATAATTCATAACCCTTGTACCATTAAAATTATAATACCAATCAGATCCAAGCACAGTAATCTCTCCCAAACTTGTGACATTATAATCGCGAAAAATATCCGGAGCTATATTCTCTTTCAAGTGCTCGGTTGGAGCAAGGAGCAATGAGATCGATGCGACCCAGAGGATTCCAGTTGCGATTGGAATTAGCGACCAGAAAATAAGGAAATAACCCTTGAAATATTTCAATTTGCCTTTTCTTTCAATCGCGAAAAATCGGAAAATGAAATGAATTGCGATTGAGGATAGGATAATTGCATAACAGCCACTTGTGCAGCTCAGGAGAATTTTATTTGTGAAATTATTGAAACCGGTTTCACTGTTTTTCATGAATATGATGAAGGATGATTGAATGTTCACGACATACTGGAAGATTTTTTTGAAAAACTTGCAGAAAAAATTCAAAAAGTTGAAAAGCGCGGTACACACATACACCGCGACGCACAATTACACACAAAAAACCTTTGCTTATTACAGTAAAAATTTCTGATTGTGAACACGGAACGTCCAAGAAGCACTTTAGCCCAAGCGATTTAGCATATCTTGCCTTGTGGAAAGACAACCCCTTTAATCTTTAGGTCTGGATCCTAGACAATAAGGTTATCTAGGCGCGGCTACTAACCGCTCTGTAGGCTTGACCACTTTGAAAGAAGCTCTCAAGACTCGTCTGCTTGTCAGAGTGAATCTCTAGGTGTGGCTCCTAGACAATAAGGTTCTCTAGGCGCGGCTACTTGAGACCTAACCTCTTTGTAGGCTTGCCCACTTCGAAAGAAGCTATCAAGACTCGGCTGCTTGTCAGAGTGAATCTCTAGGCGTGGCTCCTAGACAACAAGGTTCTCTAGGCGCGGCTACTTGAGACCTAATCTCTCTGTAGGCTTGACCACTTGGAAAGAAGCTCTCAAGACTCAGCTGCTTGTCAGAGTGAATCTCTAGGTGTGGCTCCTAGACAACAAGGTTATCTAAGCGCTGATCCTTGACATTTGTCATTGATCCCCAAACTCACCGGTTTAACCACAACATCCAAAATCGACAAAACCATCGAAACCACACAAAAATAAATCATAAGATACTTATAAGTCCCCATTTTCTTCGGAGACTTCAGCAAAATCAGAAAAATCAGTAGAATATTGAAGAATAATGCAAGATAGCAGCAAATGCTTTGAGTCCAGTTTTTAATCACCTCAAACATGATTCATCACAAATGAATATGAATATTTATTTGTCAGCAAGAAAAAAAATATAAATACAAATTCATCAGATCTGAGCAGCAAAACAAAATTAGAATCTCGATGGTTCTTCCACAATTTTCGGAGAGCAACTCGGTAAACATGGAATTGATCTACGATAATTATCGATAATTAGGATAATTGGAATCGGATCAATTGCTGGATACATTGCATAAAGTATAGTTGCAATATTCCCAATATTATTATCAATATTATCCATTATTGGTAGAAAAAGAAACAAGGAAACTGGGATATACATGAAAATTAAAGGGACACAGGATTGGAAGAGGAGGGCTTTATAGAGTTGTTTTTGGAGGTTTTTAGTGTATTGGGATTCACCTTCATTCATTAATTTTCGGACTTTGAAATAGCTTTTTGTTCCGTAATATGAGACAACGAGTATGGAAGTCATCTGGAAAAAACTGGGGTTATTATGACGTGGCATAATTTTCTATCCTGATTTTTGGGCTAAAAATTTTTTAATTTTTTGGAGAAACAGTGGGAAAAATTTTTTTAACAGTGTTAAAAAAAAATTTTTTTTAAATTTTTTTTTAACAGTGTTTAAAAAAAATTTTTTTTTTTTTTTAAATTTTTTTTAACAGTGTTAAATCTTTTTTTTAAATTTTTTTTAACAGTGCTAAAATTTTTTTTTCCTTTTTTTTTAAAATTTTTTTAACAGTGTTAAAGCAACACCCTCGTATAATAGGCACTTTCTTGAAAAAAGCCCGAATGTTCTCAAATCTTAGATTTAGCTTAGTTTTACTGTTTTCTAGTTCGAAGAAAAAATTCAAAACGTTTCAATAAGTATTAGCCGAAATATGGAAGCCCATTGAAAAACTGAAAAAACTCAAATTCAAACAACGCGGGCTAGCGTCAACGCGGAGTCTCGTTGTTTTCTTTTTATTTTTTCGCAAAATTTTTCCGTTTTTTTCGGAAAATGACAATTTGCATGGAAAAAACTATTTTCTGGGTATGAAAAAAATAAATTGAAGAAGTATAAACACGAAGATTCAATATTTCAGACGAAAACTAAATTTTTCAATGGAAATTGTGTTTTTTCAGTTTTTGACCGGAATATGCAATATAAAACTGAAATATCATTGTCAAAAATAAAAGTAGAGATAGTTAAGGATGTTCAGAAATCATTGTTATAATTTATTTCATTGTTTTCAGTGAAACAATTCACTTTTTGTTGAAAAAAAGTTGAAAGGGGTACTGTAGCACACAATTGTCGTCACAGTGTTTGCACAAATTTCATGAAATTGCGGATCTGCACAATCTGCAGGCGATTTTCAAAAAAAAATAAGTTTTTTTCTCAAAAGTGGTCAAACTTGATCGTTTTTGAGTATTTCTTTTTCATATTTCTTGTGAGTATAGCTGAATAGGTTAATTTTATATATTTTGGTGTTTGAAATCATTTCGCAATGGTCTTATTATACGAGGGTGTTGCTTTAAAATTTTTATTTTTTTTATTTTTTTTTAACAGAGTTAAAAAAATTTTTTTTTTTTAAATTTTTTTTAACAGTGTTAAAAAAAAATTTTTTTTTAAATTTTTTTAACAGTGTTAAAATTTTTTTTTTAAATTTTTTTTAACAGTGTTAAAAAAAATTTTTTTTAATTTTTTTTTTTTAAATTTTTTTTGTTAAAATTTATTTGAACTCACAATCAATGATCCCATAATCGTCATTGGTAGAATATGATCATGATTCCAGACCTTCACGCCCTTTCCATCTCCATTCTCCGAATACCAATGTGACCCAACATACAAAGCATCACTAACATTCAAACCATAATTATCCATCAAACTTTTCTCCAGCGATCTCGATGTCTGCTCAGTTGGCGGGAGTAAAGTATAAACAGTGATTGTCCAAATGATGCCGAAGAAAATTGGAATTGTTAGCCAACCGAAGAGATACCATTTTTCAAAAAATCGAATTCTTCCGAGTCGTTCAATTGCGAAATATCGAAAAATGAAATGAATTGCGATTATGGAAAGGGTCATTGAGAAACATCCACATAACACGTTCAGGAAAAAATATGCGACAGGTTTGGAGAGAGAAGATTGATGGAGATTCATCAGAACAACGTAAGTTGATCCAGTTGTATGGAAGTACTGTAAGGGTTTTTTTGATTTTTGAACTTTGATCTTGTAGTTATATGTTTTGTAGTTCTAGGTACAGTAGATACAAAAGAGCTGATTCACGAACAAAAAAATGTTTGTTTTTTTTAAGCTTCTGGAGTGATTTCTGATGAAAATAAGCCCGAAATTAATTTACGAAAAATCTGAAAAAATTCTGAAAAGTTGATTTCAAGGTCAATTTTCATCAGAAATCACTCCGGAAGCTTTAAAAATTTTGATTTGTCATCATTTTTCACAAAAAATCGCAATTTTTCCAAAAACTCACTGGTTTAATTGTCACATCAACACACGAGAAAAATATAGAAAAAATCGAAAAATAAATCATCAAATACTTATAAGACCCCATTTTCTTCGGAGATTTTGTTAAAACCAAGCAAATCAGCAAAGAATTCAGAATTATTGAAAAAATAAGTGACATGATTTGAACAATATTTTTGAAAATCTCAAATTGAATAGACATGCTGAAAAGAAAAAGTAAGAAGGTAGGGAAAAATAAAATATTTTCAGACAAAAATAATCTTTAAGCTCCTCCTTTGCAGCAGCACAAAAAGCATTATAAGTCACTCTGGGGAAAAAGTAATTGAGAGAGGATTTTTGGAAACTAAAAAAAACTGAACGTGTAAAATATCCGTTCATGCTTTAGTGAGTTAATTAAAATCATAAATGAACTTTAGAAAATTTCGAAAAAAAAAGAAAAAAATGAAATGAAATGAAAAACAAGAGAATTGAATTCTGAAAAGGGAAATACAGTATGCCAAAGGGCATTTTTTGAGCTACAAAATTTTAAATTTATATTTTAAGAAATCAGATTACTCATTTAAAAAATCACGTGGCAGTTAAGAAATTGTTTTCAGAAAATTTCCAGATAACCAAAAACACGTGAGAAGATGATTTCTGCTCAAAATTTTTGTCAGACAAATTTTGAAGCAAAAAATATGAAGAATCGTATGTACATATAATTATATACTACTTCCCTTTTTTTAGAAAAAATATGTTATTTGTGATATTAAAATGTTAGATTCTGATTTTCAGACTTTAGAAAAATATAGTTTAGGGTAGAATGTTGGAAAATGTTATGAGTCTACCTAGAACTTCAATAAAAATTCTGAAATTTTTTTTTTGAAATTCAAAAACTTTTGGAAATCAAAATTTTAAATCCAAACATCTCCCTTAAAAAATTGTTTTTTTCCAGACACTTCTTCTCAAATCCAAAAATCAAGAAGAACATCATCAATCCAATTAATATTCATCTCGAATATATCAACATAATTAGTTTTTTTTGTTGTATAAATATAAAAATTGTCACGAGATTCTCTATTTTACATAATATTGGAGTGATTCAGCTGCTAAAAAAAACAAAAAAAATTTTTGAAAAAAAAATAAACAATTCAAACAACGCGCGCAAACCTATCGTCAACGCGGAGTCTCGTTGTTCTCGGTCAGAAAACGGCGGGGTCGCTACCGATCGGGGCGGAGTCGCTACACGTTTTTTGTTCCCCGAAACGTGTAGCGACTCCGCCCCGATTGGTAGCGACCCCGCCGTTTTCTGACCGAGTTTTCTTTTTATTTTTTTCCTATTTTTTTTTAGAAAATGACCATTTTGCATGGGAAAAACTATCTCCTGAAGATGAGAAAAATGAATTAACAAAGTATAAACACTATTTTCAGAAGAAAACTGATTTTTCTATGGAAATTGTGTGTTTTTTGAGTTGAACACCCAAATTTGGGAGAAAAAATCATTTTTTTTGTTTTCCTAATTTAGATTTAGCTTAGTTTAACTATAGTCTAGTTCGAATAACAAAATTTTAAAAAAATCAATAAATTCAAACAACGCGCTCAAACAATTGGTGTCAACGCGGAGTCTCGTTGTTTTCTTTTTATTTTTTTGCAAACTAGATTTTTGGGCGTAGATTTTGATGAGTTTTTTCAATTTTTCAAAATTTTTTTCATAATTTTCATATATTTTTCAAATTTTACAGAATTTTTCATCGATTTTTTCCAATTTTTCTGAAATCCCTCCCCAAAAAACTCACCAATCGCTTCAATGTATCAAATCAAACAAAAAATCATCGAAAATCCTCAATCCTCCAAGTTTCCCACGTTATTGACATTGAAATCCAATTGTCCATCAATATTTCAAGCTGAAAATCAGAAAATTTGAATTTTTCAATCAAAACAGTGTTTCTCTAGAAAAAACCCACCTTTCTTCGATAATCCTCGGATTTTCCATTGGGAGCCATAATTCCAGCCTTGTAGAACATCTAAAAATTCAATTTTTGGCTGAAATCCACTGATTTTCCCCGGAAACCTGAAAACCCAGCGAAAAAAAAACGAAAAATGAAAATATTCTCTTGTTGCGCTAAACAGCGGGCAAGCGGAACTTCGGAGTGTCGTTGTAAAAGTCATTCAACAAATTTTTTTTTCTATTTTTGTATACTTTTTATGTGAGATCCTTTCTTAAAGTTGATTTTCATACTATATTTACATAAGATTCAAAATTTCACGAAGAAAACTGATTTTTCTATGGAAATTATGTGATTTTTGAGTTGAAGACCAAAAAAAACATTTTTTTTGTTCTCATATCTTAGATTTAGCTTAGTTCAACTATAGTCTAGTTCGAATTTCGACAGAAATATAAAAATCTCTAAAAAAAAACAGAAAAAATAAATAAATTCAAACAACGCGCGTCGGTGTCATCGCGGAGTATCGTTGTTTTCTTTTTATTTTTTTGCATTTTTTTCAAAAAAATGTGTTTTTTTTATTTTTTCGTCTTGAATCATCTTCAAGAAACCAACTCTTCTCCTCCATAGAAATAAAAAAAGAATTCCGAAAAAGGAAGTTGTCTCTTTCTTCTAATTACTCGTCCGAAGTGCTCACTACCTCAACACATTTGTTTTATCCTATTTATTTATTAGAAAAACAAGCAAGCAAAAAAATGTTGTTGGCTTTGGCTTTCTCAAAAAAAAAAACATAATTGTATAATTACAAAATCGCATTTACATCGCTCTTTTCTTTTCTTTTTTGTCTATGCTCTTTTTGTGCTCAGCGAAAATTTGATACTTACTTTACTTGTTAGAAATTTGATGAACTCTTCTTCTCTCCCAATTATTTTTCCCTGGATTTTTCTTTTTAAAATTTTTTTTTTAAGAGGAAACTGAGTCAGACAAGGTCAAAAACTCCCTCGCTCGCTCACATTTCCTTTTTCCTGATGATATTTCCGGCCAAAAAATATGTGATATTTTAAGAAAATTAAAAGCGAGAAAAAATACATCATACATAGATATAGATATATTTATTATATACATAGATATTTTCCAATTTCCCATAAATTATTATTTTTTTTCTTGCCTATTTTTTGTTGACTCGTCTTGTCTTGTCTTAAATATCAATAGCAATGCGAGATATTTTTTTTCAGAATTTTTTAAGCCAAAATTTAGATACCTTGTGTCCCAAAATTTTTAAAAATAAAAAATAAAAAAAACTTTGCGGGCAGTAGGATTCGAACCCTGGTCTCGCGCCCGCTAGACAAAAACGCTAGCCTCTAGACCATATCTCCTTTTTCTCCCGTGGGGAAAATGTTGGTGAAAAGGAAGGTGTCCCAAAAAAAAATCCCTGCTCTTTTTTGTGCTCTTTTCCGGGACCAATCAAAACCATGAAAGTAAAAGTTTGCAATTATTATTTCTATCAAATCATGCGGCAAAAAAAGAAAAGCCAATTGTTTTTTTTCTTTTTCTGGGGGCACTTTGAAGAGCCCAACTCTCTCTATTGTTTGATGAGGACAACCCCGGAAATATCAAAAATCTTTCATTTTTTCTATTCCCCTGGTTTTCTATGTATTTATGTATATTTTTTTCTACAACAACAACGAGAAAAAAACAGAATTTAATTTTGCTCCTATCATTTTGCTCCGACTACTAAAAAATTCCATCAATTCCAGAGATTTTTTTTATTTTTCTGTTTTTTTCAGATGTGTCAACTAGATAACTAATTTGGTTTTTTGGGGAAAGTTAGAAAACGACTTTTTTATGGGCCGACAAAAAAAATCTCATTTTCAAATCTCATTTAGAAAAAAATAAATGCAAATTGCTTCCAGAAGATTCTGAAAAAAAAAGTGTTCAATTTTATTTTTTGAAATTTTTTATCGCAAATTAGGAACAAAAATTTAAATTTTTGCAATTTTGCAAATTCTGAATATTTTTCGAGTTCCTAAAACTTGGAGTCCGTAAATTAACTTCAAATTTTTCCAATTTGAATCTGAAAAAAATTGAATTTCAGAATTTAGATGCTATGAACTTCAATTCGAAATTGAATCTTCCGAATTTTTGAAATTTGAAAGTTCGAATTGGAAAAATTTGAAGTTAATTTACTGACTCCAAGTTTTAAGAACTCGAGAAAAAATCTAAATTTTCCGATTTTTTTGAACTGGAAAGTTTTAGGATTCTAGATTTTTTAGATTTCGAAATTTTAAGCTTCTAGGCCATAAGCCCAAATTATTTTAATTTAATTTTAAATTTTTTCGAGCAGATTTCACAGTAAGCTAACTCTGAAAGTCTGTAAATTTTTGTTTCAAAATCTGAGATTCTGAAAAATGATCCAAAAAATTTCTGAACCCAAAAAAAAACAAAAAAAATATCTCATTCCCCATCTTCATTTTTTTTGCCCTCCCGCCAAATTTCCGTTGGCACCGCTTCGAAATTCGATCTGGACTCTCGCTCCAGTTTTATTTTAATGTTTCTTCTTCTTCTCATCCAAAAAATCCTTTCTTTAATGGAAAGAAAAAAGAATTGTGTGAAAAATGTGTGTTTTCTCGATTTTTCTCCAAACTTGTGTGAATCAGCTGTGTGAAAAGAAGAAATTAGTGGCAAAAAGTGCTCGACTTCCTGTCTTCTGATTGTGATTTTTTATTTTTTGTGCCCAAAAAAAAACATTTTTTGTTATTTTTAGTTCTAGCTTTTGAAAAAAGCACAAAACTTTTTTTCCAAAAAAAAAAAAAATAAAAATAAAAATATTAATAATTACATAGTTACCAGCACTATTTTTCTATTTTTACTAGAAAAAACACGCGATTTTTTTGTGTCTGCTTCAGTTCTTTTGTCTATATTTTTCGGGTGAATGAATGAAAAATTCTGGGGAAAAAAAAGTTGAAGCCTTTTATGTAGACATAGAAAAAAAGTTGGGTTGTTTTTGAAATTTTTCGGGACTTTTTCAGACTTCAGGAACCTGAAATATTGAATTTTTGAAAAAATTTATACAATTTTCCTGAAAATTTCAAGTTCTGATGAAAAATTTTCATAAATATTTATTTTTTGAAATTTTCTATTTTCAATTTTCCGGATTTTTCAGATTCAGAAACCCAAAATATTAAATTTTTTTGAAAATTTCCCGAAAATTTTCAAGTTTCTGATTTTGGATGAAAAATTTTCATAAATTTATTTTTTTTTTTAATTTTCAATTTTCGGGATTTTTGAGACTTCAGAAACTTAAATTTTATTAAATTTTTGGAAAATTTACAAAAAAAAAACATTTTTCCCCGAAATTTTCAATTTGCATGAAAAATTTTCATAAATATTTATTTTGAAATTTTCAATTTTTTGGATTTTTCATGCTCAGAAACCTAAAATTTCGAATTTTTGGAAAATTTATACAATTTCCCTGAAATTTTCAAGTTGCTGATTTTACATGAAAAATTGTTTATTTTTTGCAATTTTCAATTTTCGGGGATTTTTGAGACTTCAGGAGCTCAAAATATTAAATTTTTGGAAAAATTCCACAAAATTTTCAAGTTGCTGATTTTTACATGAAAAATTTTCATAAATATTTATTTTTTTTTTGAAATTTTCAATTTTCGGGATTCTTGAAAATTTCGGGGAGATTTTATAAATTTTTCAAAAATTCCTTTTATTTGGGTTTCTTGAGACTTCAGGAACCCAAAATATTAAATTTTCGGAAAATTTATATTTTTTTCTAACAAAAAATTTTCCACAAAATTTTCAAGTTGCTGATTTTTACATGAAAAATTGTTTATTTTTTGCAATTTTCAATTTTCGGGGATTTTTGAGACTTCAGGAGCTCAAAATATTAAATTTTTGGAAAAATTCCACAAAATTTTCAAGTTGCTGATTTTTACATGAAAAATTTTCATAAATATTTTTTTTTTTTGAATTTTCAATTTTCGGGATTTTTCAGATTCAGAAACCCAAAATATTGAATTTTTGGAAAATTTATAAAATTTCCACAAAATTTTCAAGTTGCTGATTTTAGATGCAAAATTTTCATAAATATTTATTTTTTTGAAATTTTTAATTTTCGGGATTTTTGAGACTTCAGGAACCTAAAATATTGCATTTTTTGGGAAATTTACAAAAAAAAACCATTTTTCCTCGAAATTTTCAAGTTGCTGATTTTATATGAAAAATTGTTTATTTTTTGAATTTTTAATTTTCGAGAATTTTCAGATTCAGAAACCCGAAATATCAAATTTTCTGATTTTATTATTGAATTAAAAACACGTGAGAAATAAAAAACTAGGTCAAGTGATGTGGATTTAAAAACAGTATAGGTAGCCATGTCGTCAATTGCGACGCGGTTCTGCGATGCGTGTTGACCTAGATATTTTCCATTGGATTTGTCAAATTTTCATTTCTAAAAACGTGTCGCTCACACGCATCGCGACTGACGACATGGCTACCTATACTGTTTTTAAATCCACGTCACTTGACCTAGTTTTTTATTTCTCACGTGTTTTTAATTCAATAATAACAGTTGAAATTCATGAAAAATTGTCATAAATATTTATATTTGCATAAAATTTGAATCACACTCTCACTGAAAACAAAAAACAATTTTTCCCTCACGAAAAATGTTTTTTTTTCAATTTTTTTCAAAAATTCACTGTGTGTTAGCGATTTGGCCGAGTGGTTTACGCAGATGTCTGCCATTTGCAAAACCAGAGTTCGACCCCACTCGCGACCTATTCTTTTTTTCAAAAAAATTTTCCTTTTTTTCCCCAAAATTTTACGTTTCAGATTTAGTTCCATGAAAAATCCGATTATCAAAAAAAAAATATATATATATCCCTCATATCCTTCTCAGTTTCCAATATTCATATTCATATTCAATCCCATTCCATAAATTTTTTTCTTCTCTCTAAAATCATTTGATTTTATTCGTCTGAAACTCATTTCTTCCTTCATCTAGTCCACAGCTACATGCTCGAATAATGGACTATCAAAGTATCAAAGTAAGTAAGTAAGTAAGATTTTATTCGTCTGAAACTCATTTCTTCCTTCACTCGAATATTTTTCCTTCCACCGGAAATCCTGCCATTTTTATTTTATGGCTCTTCTTCTTCTTCGTCTTTCTTCGAAAATATCACTAAATATCAAAAATAGCAGCCTTTTTTCATCTAATCCCATACTGGATGAAATCGGATTAACTATGAAAAATGAAAATGAAAATAGGCGAAAATATCATTTTTTTTTCAATACAAATATTTTTTATTTTTCAAAACTTGCCCCTTTCATATCTCGACAATTCTCACCTCGCTTCCCGTATGCATCTTTAGCGCAGCCGGGTAAGCGTTGGACTACCAAACAATGCGGGTCGTTTTGGTGGGTTCGACTCCCACTGCGAGCTTTTTTCTTTTTTTTTTTTTTTTGTAAATTCCGATATGTAAAGTATTAAAAAAAATTAAGTAGATGCTGGCTTCATTATTTTTCAGCTTCTAAAATAATTTGCTCTGAATTATTCATCAAAATTCAGGCTTTCTCTACTACCCCCTTAACATATATACATACACACCTCCGCTGTTTCTTCATTCATCTTACTTACTTATTTGCTTTTCTTTTTTCACAAAAAGTTTTTTTTACTCTTTTCGACGGGAAGCAGAGGGATTAGTTTGAAGACCAAAAATGCAATTTTTCCAGAAAACATCACGATTTCCTAATGATATGCGCCCTAACGGCGCTCATTCTTGCGCTCGCCGCAATTTCTTCAGCCCACACTATAAAACAGGTTTGTCCCTTTCTTCCAATTTTTCTAGATTAAATATTTTTCCAGCTATTTTTTGAAGAAGCTCCTTTATCTGTAGGTATTGTAGAAAATTGTTTTTTTTTAGTTTTTTCTAACATTTTCCATTTTCATTCACATAGGGAAGGTTTAAATTGTCCAGGGAAAAAAAAAAGTTTTTTTTTCAGATATCAGTGCCTGGCGAAATCACATTAGGTGGATTGTTTCCGATTCATGAAGCTGGAAGAAATCAAAGTTGCGGGAAAATCAAGGTGAGAGAGAGAGAGAGACGCCAGGCGAAAAAGGGATAGACTCCGCCCACTTTTTTTGAATTTCCGCTCAAAAAACAACATTAAACGTTTATTATAACACTGAAACTAGAACATTTGTTGTTTTCCCAGATTTTTTCCCAAACAATCCAAAAGTAAATTTTCGATAAGCCGGAAAACTTAAAGTAACCACAATAATATTAACAACAGAATGTGTTGCATAAACCATAAGACTAATATGAGAAAATAGTTGAGCATTTTGTTGAAAATCTAGAAAATAACTAATTGTGATTTCAACTGACGGTAGAACAGACATAAATGATACAATAAATTGTGCAAAAAGACTTTTAATTGCATTTCGATGTTTGTTATAATTATCATTCGATATACGATGTCGAAAATCTCGAAGCATTCGAAACATTTGAATCGTTGTATAAATTGATATATTTACAGTTATCGTTTCAGATATTGAAATAGATATGAAAAATATATAGATTTTTGAGTTGGGAACACCCACAAAAAAATCTTTAAGATTTTGAAATTGTTGAAGATATTCTGGATAATTATTTGCAATATATTCAAGTTGTTGATTCATTGATAATCCAGAAAAATAATAAAATGCGAATAATAAAAAGGGGTAGACTATAACAATGATTACTATTAGTTTATAGATGTATTCTGGGATTTGTTGAGTTTTGCTGATGCTTGCGATTGCTTGATGTTTTCGTAGAAAACACATTATTAGAGCACTGTATTGCATTGTCACGGTACATATCATTAAACCCTGGAAGAGCAAAGAAGTTGGGCTTATTTCGGGTTCAGGCTTAGGCTTAAACAAGGTTTGAGGCTTAGGTTTATTTCGCATTGGGCTTAGGCTTATTAGGCTTATTTCGGGTTAGGCTTAGGCTTAGTTAGGTTAAGCCTACGCTTATGTAAAGTTAGGCTTAGGCTTAGTTTGGTTAAGCTTAGGCTTAGTTAGGGTTAGGCTTAGACAGAGTTAAGGTTGAGCGTATGTTAAGCTAAAACAAGGTTTAAGGCTTAGGCTTAGTTCTGGTCAGGCTTAGGCTTAGTTAGGTTAAGCCTACGCTTAGGTAAAGTTAGGCTTAGGCTTAGTTCTGGTTAGGCTTAGGCTTAGTAAAGGTTTGAAGCTTAGGCTTAGTCAAGGATAGGGCCTAGGCCCATTAAAGGCTGCAGGCCTTCTAAAACTCACCGACAAAAATAATGATCCCAAACCGAAAACTTTGAACAAGAAACCATTACAAAACCCGGCAATAATTGGAAATAAAAAAACTGGCTGAATTCCGAAAGTCAATAAAACATCTGAAATTGTGCATAGAATCTGAAAATTCTGAATGATCTGTGAAAAATTTGGGATATCAAATAGAAAACCTGAAAAATCAGCAAGTAATATCTATAATTATCGATTTTCGAATTTTTAAAAATCACCAAGTAGAATCCATAGGCGTTGAAAATCAGTGAGAAAATGCCCAGAATATGATAGTAATTTATGAGATAGTTTGGAGCATAGAAATCTATCATTTTGAGAAATGATTGCCAACCAAAAATGAAATAAGAAGAATTAGAGCAGGTGAAAGTTGTTCTGATTGTGAGCATTTGAATTTTTTTGTGTTTTGAAAGGTTTATCACAGCATTTTAGGGTGAGACAAAGAGAATCAGAGAAAACGTAAAAGAATAGCACACGGCCATTTCTTTAACGATGTCGGCAACACGTTTGAAAACGATCCTATTCTCAATTGAACAATTTCACGTGAGAGAAAATGAGAGTGTATAAGTTAACGTGTGAGCGCAGAGAGACGCCAGACGAAAAAGGGATATGGACAGACTTTTTTTTTGAATTTACGCCGCGAAAGTTTTTGAACAAAAAAAAATAGAAACAATTTCAGGCTGATCAAGGTGTTCAGCGAATGGTCGCGATGCTTTTCGCGTTAGAACAAGTGAATCGCGAACGGATTCTGATACCTGAAGCAAGTCTTGGCGCCCAGATTCTTGACACATGCTCCGTTGACAGCTACGCACTTGAGCAAACTCTCGAATTCATCAAATCAGTAATGTCAAATGGCCAAGGAGTGACGTGCGAGGACAAAAAAGCGCCAGCTTACAGTCGACAACCGGTTGTTGCTGTGGTTGGAGCGGCTGGAAGTCAAGTTAGTGTTATGGTCGCTTCCATGTTACAACTCTTCAAGGTACTGGTGTTTTTTTTTTCTGAAAAAAAGAGATTTTTGGGAAATTTTCAGATCCCTCAAGTGAGTTACAGTTCAACGGGAGCTGAGTTGAGTGAAAAACCGAGGTTTCAATTTTTTTCGAGGGTTGTTCCACCGGACAATTTGCAAGCGTTGGTTATGGCAAAAGTGGTGGGTTTTTGGGAATAGTGGGCCTAGAGGCCTGGGATTTTTTGAGCCTAAAATTAGGCCTGAAAATTTGGGATTTTTTGAGCCTAAATACGATCTGAGAATTTCCTATCCTCAAGATCAAAGATCAAAGATCAAAAATTCACAGATCAAAGCGCTGGGTTGGAATTACGTGCACGCTGTAGCTGATACCGGATCCTATGGTGAACGTGGAATGGATTCTTTCAAAACCGTGGCAAGCAGTGAAAATATTTGTATCGATGGAGATGTTCATAAAATTTCGAGAAGACATAGTGATCAAGCTTTTAAGTGAGTATTCACCAGAATTATTATTTTATTTGAAAAAAAACCGATAAAAATCTTTGCAGAGACCTTCTACTACGCATGAAAAAAGGAAGAAAGGCTCGAGGAGTTGTGATGTTTGTTGATGAGGATAATCTAAAGAAACTTCTGAAGAATCTCGATGAATTGATAATTGCGAATCACACAGAACTTGATGGTCATTTTTGGTTCGTCGCATCTGATTCTTGGGGAATCAAACAATCGGTTGTGAAAGATGTTGCTCATCGAACATACGGAACAATCACAATTGCACCATCAGTTCGGACAGAAGAGGGATATATTGAGTTTTATGAGAAATTGGAGCCGAAAGGATATGTTTTCCTAGAGGAATTTTTCGAGTATTTGGGATGTGCGAATCAGGAAAACATCAAGAATTTTGGGGATTGCTTCAAATTCATTAATTTCACTTTAAAACAGGAGAGTTATGTTCCTTTTGTGGTGGATACTGTGAAAATTATTGCAAAGGCTATCAGTTTATACATTAGAAATGATTGTGGGGATGTGCCTTTTCATAAGTGTAGATTGGCACAAGAGGGATTTAATGGTGAAAAATTGCAAAGCTATTATCGAAATCTATCATTAAAAGGTTTGTTTCATGCGACGCGTGTGCGTTGCGGTCATACAAAAACACATTGATTTCTTGTCTTTCGTTGTCTGCGTCTCTTTTCGAACATTTTCAAATTTATTTTTTGAAAATGACACGCAAAATTGATTTGTTTGAATCGACATCTTCTTATTTTCACAAAAAATGTCATTTCTAATTTCAAAAAAATTAATTTTTAAATGAACATTTTCAACAGTAAAAAAAAGAAAAACGTGAACGTGTGAGAAAACGAGAGAGTAAAAATTAGCGTGTGCGTGCAGAGAGACGCCAGACGAAAAAGGGATAGACTCCGCCCACTATTTTCAGCATAACATTTTTATTTGTTGTTTTGCAGAAAACGAGCCACCACTAATTGATGCAAATGGAGATGGATTGGGAAAATATGATATTTTTCAACTCGACATAAACGGCGTTTATCAAAATGTGGGAAATTGGAAATCGGCGGATTCATCGAATTTGTTCCTGCGAAACTCGAAAATCATGGAGGCTTTTAAGCGATATGGAAATGAAGAACTCGTTAGTGTTTGTTCAGTGGATTGTGGAAAGGGGTATTATCGAACCTATCAAGATCAAACTTGTTGTTGGGCTTGTATCCCATGCGACAAAACGACAAGTATTCATAACATGACCTCTTGTACACAATGTGAACTTGGTAAACAGCCTGATGCAAGTCTCAGTCGATGTATACCTCTCACACCGGTTTCAATGAAATGGAACACTACTTGGTCATTGATTCCGGCGGTTTTTTCAGCGCTTGGAATCGCGCTGACTATATTTGTCGTATCTGTTTTTCTTCGCTTCTCAAACACACCAGTTATCATGGCTTCTGGTAGGGAATTGTGTTATTGTATGATGGCGGGAATTGGAATGTGCTATATTTTAACATTTCTACTTGTATCAACACCGACAGTTACGACTTGCGCATTAACCAGGGTACATTTTTAAGATAGTTTTTTTCCCAAAAAAAAAAATTAAATTTCAAATTTCAGATATTAATGGGCTTGTCAATGTCTGCAATTTACGCAGCAATTATAACCAAAACAAATCGATTGGCAAGAGTCTTCAAACCCGATTCCGCTCAAAGACCAAGATTCATCACACCCAAAGCTCAAGTCGGAATCTGCCTCGCAATCGTCTCTTTTCAACTCGTCGGCACCCTAATCTGGCTTATCTTCGATCCGCCTGGCACTAAAATCGTCTATCCATCTCGAAGTATTGCAGTTCTGACCTGCAATGCAACAACTTCTCATCTTCTAATCTCATTATCATATAATTTACTATTGATTGTTGCGTGTACTGTGTACGCATTTAAAACTCGAAAGATTCCCGAAAACTTTAACGAGACACGTCATATTGGTTTTACAATGTACAGCACGTGTATTTTATGGCTCGCGTTTGGACCAATCTATTTTGCGACACAAAGTGATTTTAGAGTGAGTTATATATGAGCCCTAGGCCCTGGGTCTGTCCTGGGTCTGTCCTGGGTCTGGGCCCTGGGTCTGGGCCCTGGGTCTGGGCCCTGAGTCTGGGTCCTGAGTCTGGGTCCTGGGTCTGGGTCCTAGGCCTTGTAGCCTACGCACGACCATACCCGTTGAGTCAGACGTGAGAGTATTTTAAATACGAAAACATCCCAAAATGAATTTCGTGGCGAGATATTTTCCAATAAAATGTGTTTGTGTTCCTTTAAACAAATTACGGTTTTCTTTCAAAGGCTCTGTTTCTCTGTCTTTTTAGACCCCCGTCGTCTCTCATCTGACCCGAGGGCAATTTTCTATTGGAGTAAAAAGGCGTGTATCCAAAAAAATATTGCAGATTCAAATAACATCCCTGTGTATGTGCATTTCTTTATCGGGTACCGTCGCCCTCATTTGTTTCTTCGCTCCAAAAGTCTATATCGTACTATTCCAACCCTATAAAAACGTTCGAACTCGTCAATCAGCCGTCGGTCGATTAGTCAACCAACAAATGCGTTTCATGAGGTTTGTCTTGGAGGTTTAATCCGCGCATGATGTGGACTTTTTTCATTTTCATTTTTTTGAATCACATTAATCCCCCTTCTACGCATGTTTTCTAGCCAATTGACCTACAACCCCGATGGATGTAATAATTATCAACCAATATCATCGAATCAATCCTATAAACCGAGTAGTAAGAACAATTTTAATAGAGAAAACATATTTGAAATCTTGTTTTTTGCAGCCGAGGAGAGTTCTCACACGAGCAGCGCTCCGGTTGCACCTCGAGCGATCCCTCCGCAAGTAATTGAGCAACTTGCGTCAAAGTTACCTGTTGAGAAAAATGAAGTTGGTAAGTTATAAAGGGGGGGGGGTAGAAAGGGTTGATATTTAAAGTTACCAAACACGTTAGTCAAAAGATCTTGGCGTATTGTTGAAATTGAAAAAAGTGGAAGGCGTAAAAAACTTTACTTTGTCAGACGCGTGCGGCTGTGCGTTGCGGTCAGGAAACAAAGGTAAAAGGAATAATCACAGCCTTTCAAAAATTAGGAAAAATTGCAAGCTGAGAGAGACGCAGAGGGAAAAACACAAAATCCTCAAATGGAAATACGAAACACCGAATCCTTTCGCAGTCGGGCTCCTCGTTTCTAGACCAAGCGCGAGAAATATGTTTTTCAATTTTTTTCAAATTCAAAAACTTTTTCCGCGTTTGGTTTCGAAGATCAAATTTGTTTTAAACTTCTAAAAGGCCGTGTAACTGATTTTTCCGACCACGACGCGCAGCCGCACGCCACTGTCGGAGTAAAGTTCAGTCATTAACCCTACCAAAAATAAAGTTTCAGTGAAAAAGCTCTCACTCCAAGATAAACCTACCAACAACAACAATAACGTCAATAAATCCAACGATGAACTTCGTCGTCGAAGACCCAGCAGTATGCACGCAACAACAGCCACAATTTCCTGCCAAAATGGTCTTGGCGATTTGCCAAACACCGCAATCGTTCGTCAAGACACAATCAAAAGCCACGCAAGTTTGGTGGAAGAAGAAGAACCACAACAGGTTGATTTGATTCTCGAAGAAATTGCGGCTGATACAAATTCCACGTTTTTATAAAAAAAATTTAGGTTCATATATTTTTTTGTATTAAAATTGATGTCATACGAGTATTGAAAGTGCCTTCAGATTCTCAAAATTTTTTAAATTTTTTTTTCTCTCTCATTGATCTCCTGATTTTAGCGTGTTAAAATTATTAATAAATTTTTTATGTTCACTGAACTCGATTGAAAATTATTGCTAGAAAGATAATCATAAGGGAATTTGATTGTGCTGATAGATTGTCAAAAAATCGGCGAGTTGTTGTGGTTTGAACACTTCCGACGAATTTCGGAACTGTGCAGCAACATTGATCTGAGAGAAGGAAAATTATGGGCTTCAAATCTACATAGAATCCGGTGACTTACTGACACATACAGCATCAACGCTGTATGGAGTACATTGATAATCTTGAGAACATCCAACATTTAATTGAAATCCACCATTGATGCATATCGGATACAAGTAGCAGGCTTCAATTAAAAAATTGTTCAGTGAATTTCAAAACTTTCACTCACGAAACTCTGAATAAAATCGATAAGGATCACTTCCACAAATATACGGATATCTACTCGAAATATTCAAAAATCTTTGTTGCTGCGCGGAAACATCGGAAAAACAAAAAATTAGTAATAAAAAGACAAACATTCGCTTATTTTTCATCATAAATAAAAAAATCCATGAAACTGGTGATATTCATCAGCTGTACAAACACACACACATTTATTCCTGAACAGCCGATCTGCTCGATTTTTGTTGACTGACAGTTACTACTGTGGTTGATGACAGTGTTCGCAGTTTTTGGGTGAAGAGACTACGGTAGTGGAAGAGGATGACGATTAGGCTGAAATTTTTTAAAATTTTTTTGCATACACTTGGAGTTCCGGTTTCAAGAAAAATTTAACGGAACTTAACTAGGGTATATGTGATTTTCCCAAACTCACCCATCCAAAGTATGCGCACTGATCCAAACCATCGTAACCATCGAAAACTCCCACCACAAATTATTCGAAATCAACGTGAAAATATGAAAACTGAAAAGTGTTACACAAAAAATAATACACTGTGTAAACGCTTGCGTAAAAAGTCGAATCTCATTTTTCCTCCGCTTCGAAGCCTGCGCCGCTGTTTGCGAACCAATTGTCTGAAACTTCAAAGATCATTGACAATTTTTGAATTTCTGAATTTTTTCTAAAATTACATTATTGACTGTTCGAAGACTACAAAGCGTCATCATATCGATGATAAATGTTGTCGAGCAAATAATCACACCGGTCACGAAATCAAAGCTGAAATAAGTGTGTCTGTGTATTTTTGTTAGTACAAAATATACTCACTGTGACAAAGTCTGCCCACAATTTGTGGCAGCATAGGTCCATTGAAAAGTGTGCGCATTGAAGGCCAAATAGCACGTTTCGTTGAAAAAATAGGGAATTGTTACACAAAATGCGCAGCACCATAGGACTCCGAGAGCATATTTGGTGTTTTCAGTTGTGAATAGCTTCATCGCCTGGATAAATTGGATATGTAGTTAGGGCTAAGGTGATTCTTGAACGTTCCATGTTACAACCCGTGGGTGCGGGACGGCTAAAGCCTTAACACTAGGAAAGAATGTTCGCTCTATCGCACATATAATTTATATGGGTGTACTTCTCTCGGAGTAAACACCCAAATATTTATTTATTATTTTACTATTAGGTATCCCCAATAAAGTATAGGCTCATTTATAGTTAGTTTTAGAAGGGAAACCCTTTACGCTGAAAAGTGTCTTACCTTAACTGGATAAACTATCGAAATATAGCGATTCAGTGAAACAGCAATATGAGCAAACATACAACTATACCAAAAGACAATTGTTAATTGCCCAAATATTTTTCCATACCAACTATGAGCCAATTCATTGTCTTGACTGAAACTTTTACCATTTTTTTCAAAAATAAGATTCTCTTAACTCACATCAAAATCATGGCCACTGGCCAAGTACAAAAGCACGTTAAAATTCCGACATTCGAAATGAGATGTGAGAAACAAATGAAACCAAAAGTATTATGCAACATTGGATTTTTTGAAAATTATGCCCATTGAAATGAAATTGCCTAAAAGTCCAATTGAGCCAACTGATAACATATAAACTGAAGCCATTATAGTTGTTAATGTGGTAATCATAAATTTCAGTAAGTTCTCCGTTTCAGAATGATTTGTCTGAAAAAAATCCTCTGTCTTTTATACTTTTTTGTATTTCCTCATGCCCTTTCAGGACTTAGGAAGAAATATATCCAGAGAACTGGAGAATTATCGTCATTGAGTACATTGAACAATGGCTAAGTCATGCTGGAATTAGGTTTAGGGCTTAAAAACAAAATATTACTCATGAACGTGCAAAGAACTTTGGGAAGATTAGAGTCCATATTTCGCATGAAAGAATTCACGTCAAAATGAATGTTCTTTGAGGCACGCTAGACTTTTCTGAAGAAAAAAAAAGCAAAATTCTAAAAAAAAAAAATTTTGACCACTGAGCGGATCGAACGCCCAACCTTTCGATCTGGAGTCGAACGCGCTACCATTGCGCCAAGCAGTCGATGGGAAGCACACTGCAATTTTCGTTGATTATTTCGATGTGCAGGAAAAAAGAAATGATTTTTGGTCTTGACTCATCGTAGTCATTTTTGTACTTCTCTCTATTCTAATATATCAAAGTGATCTTTGAAAAATCAAAAACCAATTTATCAAAAAAAAACCACACCAAAGAACATAATATTCCAAATTTAATATTAGAAAAGTTTCAAACCACGAACCGCATTTTTCACCTCATCTTTTGGATACGGTTTCAACGCAATACAAACCGGCATACCATCCTCAATCCAAACTTTATGATCAATTTTTTTGCTCTCGAGTTTTTCGGCGATTTTTTTGATCTCCTCTTCAGAATCGCAACCAAGTGTTACTTTGTGCATTGAATCCAATTCACTTGTGTATTTTTCGGTGTTTGGGTCGTTTCTGGAAATTCAAGGAATATTCGTGCACGTGTCATATTTTAAATATCGAAATCAGGCCTGAGCCGGAAATTTTTTTTAACCAGAAAATCTGGTCAATTATTTTTCGCATGAGTTTATTTTTCGCATGAGTATTTTTTTCGCAAGAGTAATTTTTCGCAAGAGCCACTTTTTTTCGCATGAGTTTTTAGTTTTTCTGGGCGTTTACTAAGCCTAAGCCTTGAATGAAATAATAGCTAAAACCTCAATTTTTGGGCTTTATTAGTCTTATATTAGGCTTAGGCTTAGTTGAAAGCCCAGAAGGGTGCAATTTTGAATTAAAAAAATCAAAACTTCAAAAAATTGAATACTCATGCGAAAAAAAACCATACGAAAAATGACTCTTGCGAAAAATATACTCATGCGAAAAAAATATCCATGCGAAAATACTCATGCGAAAAATAATTGACCGAAAATCTGGAAAATGTTTTCAAAGTCTTCAAATTTTATTTTCGAAAATCTCATCGGTACTCCACGCGCTCCACCGAAATAAATACGCAACGCAAACCGCGTCGCGCCACAACACACACAAATAAGGGAGGGAATTTGAATCGTTTCCTTATTTGTGTGTGTTGTGGCGCGACGCGGTCTGCGTTGCGTGTTTATTTCGGTGGAGCGCGTGCTCGGGAAAAAAGTAGCAAGTCTGGCGACAAAACATAGACTTTTAGCCAGCTTGCGACCATTTTTAGCAAGCTTGCTACATTTTTTCCCATTATAAAAATTGTAGCAAGCTTGCTAAAAATGGTCGCAAGCTGGCTAAAAGTCTATTTTTTGTCGCCAGACTTGCTACTTTTTTCCCGAGTGGTACCGATGAGATTTTCGATAATAAATAACAGCATTAATTGTAAATTGGTTTTAAAACTTATTTTAACCTGAAATTTGCTCATTTACAGATTATTTAGTTACTATTTGAGTTCCAAAAATGGGAAATTTTGAAAAAAATCGAATTTTCTCTGAGAAACCCGGAAAATACAGAAAATTTCCGTCTGATCCAAATCTTGTCCTCAAAATTCCACAAATCCCAACCTGCCACGTCATAACTCTCTCACCTAAACAACCAAATCGCAGCACTTGCTGCATGCGCAGCTTGTGTACAAACCGCTCCCATTGGCCATCCCAAATCTCGTCGAAGCACCAAATACATCACATAACTCGTAGCGCTCATTCTGAATATTTTTTTTAATTAAAAAATTTTTTTTGAAAAAAAAAAAACATTTGTAAAGGGAGATCCACTTCACTTTGAATCAAAAACAAAACCAAAAATTAAAAAAAAAAAAAAAAAAAAAATTTATGACAAATAAACTGAATCAAGAAACTTATCACAACATCTAACACATTGATGATAGACCTGAACAAACATCGCACTTCCACTATTATAATATGGATCTGGAACTTCACGTTCGCCTTGTGGATCGAATTCGCCTAAAAGTCCAAGTTTGGCTTTTGATTCATTTCCAGCGAGTCGTTGAATTTCTTGCAAATCGCTGATATTATCATCATCCATTCCGAAAATATAGTCGAAAGTTTTGAAATCGCCGGTGGATGTCTGGAAAGAGAAAAGTGCGTGTACAAATGTTTTTTTTCTGGGAGACAGGGAGATATCAAAGATCTGTGGTTGAGAAATTGGGGTTTATTTCGAAATTTCAGATTTTCATGTTATTAAATTTTTTTTTGACAATGACTTAATCCATGGCAAAATTAGGAAGCCTTCCTAATTTAGCCACGAGTCATTTTTTGATCAAAAAACTTGAAATTTTTGATGAATTCAATTGTAATTCTTATTTTTAACATCTTTCGAGTATTTTTAATTAGGGCTGATTCACGAAGGAAAAAATGTTTAAAAAAATGTTTTTTTAACATTGAAAAGAAAAATAAATTCAAATTAGCCCAATTTTTGAAAATTTCTGATTTTCTAACGAAAAAATGTTTTTTTTAACATTGAAAGATCAATTCACGAAAAGTCAAAAAATGTCGAAAAAACATTGTAGGTCAAAAATTAGTTTTTCCAGTTTTTCAGCCAAAAATGATGACAAATCGATATTTTTCAAGCTTCTGGAGTAATTTCTGATGAAAATTGACCTTGGAATTCACTTTCCAGAAGTTTTTGCTGATTTTTCGTAAAATAAAAAATTTTTTTGATGAATTTCGAAAAAAAATTCATAAAATAAAGCAAAATAGGGTTCTCGAAGCTTATTTTCATCAGAAATTACTTCAGAATTCCAGATCCAGATTTCCAGATTCTGGAGAAACTTCTGATGAAAATAAGCTTCGAGAACCTTGTTTTGCTGTATTTTATAAATTTTTTCGAAATTCGTCAAAATTTAAAAATGTTTATTTTACGAAAAATCAGCAAAAACTTCCGAAAAGTGGATTCCGAGGTCAATTTTCATCAGAAATCACACCAGAAGCTTGAAAAATATTGATTTGTCATCATTTTTGGCTGAAAACCTTGAAAAACTAATTTTGACCTACAATGTTTTTTCGACTTTTCGTGAATTGTTAAAAAACATTTTTAAACATTTTTTTTCGTTCGTGAATCATCCCTGTTATTAATTCAAGAAAATGATTTTGTTTTTCGAATTTCTTTGACCCAAAAAATAGTTGATCAAAAAATAGGCTAGATTTTCTATTTTCCTCTGCAAAATTCCCAAAATTCCCCAAAAACTCACCACTCTAGCCTTATGTTGATAAGTAGAAATCCCAAACTTCTTCAAAGTTTCCATCGCTCGATGATCCGGCCCTTTTCCAGTATGATATCCAATTACAGCACTGCTATCCACAATCCATCTGAAAAATTTTCAACCAATAAACTTTAAAATGGAATCAGAGTTAGACTAACTCATCGCGTTTTCCCCGTTTTTCCAAGCAATCAATGAAAACCGCTTCAGCGATTGGTGAGCGACAAATATTTCCTGAAAAAAACGGGAAAATTATTTTTGTTTTTGGGAAAAAGGGAAAATCCTTACCTAAACATACAAAAAGTGCACTCTTTTTTTCAGATGACATTTTCTTTTCTGAAAAAAAATGAAAATTTTTCTAACAAAAAAAATCTGAAAAAAAAAAGATAAATTTGAGAAAAAACTCATTTTTTCTGGGAAAAAAACTTGAAAAAAAAGTGAATTTTTACATCCTCTATATTTATTCGATGATCTAAAAAACCAAAAAAAAGGTACATTAATCAAAATTTGGTTTTTGTCCTGGTGTCCATGCTTGAACTTTGGTTCGAGTTGTCGAATATGGAATATATTTCTTATCCGCATAAATGCTGGTATTCTCTTTGTGATCCAACGAGAATTTTTGGGTCAATGGTTCTTGAACAGTTGGTGGCGAGTCGGTGATGTGATGAAGCCACGAGTGCCATTCTGGCGGAACTTGCGACGCGTCGTAGTCCAACCAGACTTTGTCGGGGAATTCGACCCAACGATTTCGGGGAACGAAATACTCGTTATTCTCGTAGTAACGATTGCCGTATTTGTCGTTGCCGACCAATGTTCCGACACGGGTTACATCCATCCTAGAAATCAAGATTTTTTGAAACGGATAATTTTCAAAATCCCTACAATTTTGAATATTTTGAGCTCTATTTTAAAAAAATCCGGAAAATTTTTCAAGGTCTAAAACTTATTTTAACTACAATTCTTCTATTCACAGGTAATTTAGTAACTATTTGAGACGTTTTACGTTCAAAAAATGGTAAAATTTGAAAAATTCCAAAAATTTCATTTTTTTTTCATCACAAAATGAGAAATTTTCCCAAAATTTAGGCAATATTGAAGATATTACTACTAAAATTCATTTTCCGGTAAACTGGAAAATTGATTTTTCCTCGAAAAAACCGGAAAATCCGGAAATTCGGAAAATTTCCGGCACAAGCCTGAATTTCAATCAATTTAGGCCAAAAATCTTGAAATTTGGCTTGATAAAATGCATTTGTAAAACTGGAAAAGCTTCCAGATTTACAAATTTTGACCCAAAAAAATAGAATTTTCTTTGGACAGTACTAAATAAATGCTCACTTAATGAATTCCAATCAATTTCAGCCTGAAATCTTGAAATTTGGCTTGATAATGATGCAAAAGGGCTGATTCACGAACGAAAAAATGTTTTTTAACATTGAAAGATCGATTCACGAAAAGTCAAAAAATGTCCAAAAAACATTGTAGGTCAAAATTAGTTTTTCAAGGTTTTTCAGCCAAAAATGATTCCAAATCAATATTTTTCAAGCTTCTGGAGTAATTTCTGATGAAAATAAGCTCTGAGAACCCTATTTTGCTTTTTCTGGAAAGTGAATTCCAAGGTCATTTTCAATCAGAAATTACTCCAGAAGCTTGAAAAATATCGATTTGTCATCATTTTTGGCTGAAAAACTCGAAAAACTAATTCTGACCTACAATGTTTTTTCGACAATTTTTGACTTTTCGTGAATTGACCTGACCTTTCGATGTTTAAAAAACATTTTTTTCGAAAATCAGAAATTTTCAAAAACTGGCCTAATTTGACTATATTTTTCATCAGGGATTTTTTATAAACATACGTGGCAAAAAATGACTTGGGCTAACTCTAGACCACTTTTTTTTGAAAGATATTTTAGAAATTACAAAAATGTCCAACTCACAAATATCGCTTGCGAAGAACCGCTCGAACTCCACCAATCTCCTTAACAATTTGTTGGAATTTTTGCAATTTGTCGATTCCCAACCAAGCTTTCAAGGACATCTAAAACGACATTTTTTTTATTATAAATATTTTTTAAAACTCTATCTATTAAAATAAAATATGGTTTAAAAACCATTTTTTGTTCTTCGAACATAGAAAAAAAAGAAAAAATTCAATTCAAATTTTATACAAACAAAGAAAAATAAATTAATTTTTTTTGTTTTGTTTTGTTTAATTTTTTTTAAATCAGGCTTCTCTGAGAGCCAAAGCAGCATTCAAAAGATTGGCATCTTTCAAAGTTTGAGTTTCATCATCGATATCTTTTCTTGGATATGTTGTTGCGATAACGAATGGTTGGTAAAGGAGTTCTGGATGCGCGCTGGAAGTTTTTAATTATTTTTATTTTTAAATAGGGTTCATTTTTCTTAAAGGCAGTTAGACAATTATTCCGGTTTTCCTCAAAGCTTAGTGTCAAAAATAGTTTATTATGAAACGAACCAGTGAAAAAATTCCGAAATCATGAAAGTTAATACGAGCTGAGAAAATCTTCAAAATTTCAAATTGCCCCCACGGATTTGTGTGTGTGCAAACACCGCGACGCACTTTTGCACAGGAAGATTTGAAGTTTCATATTTTTACAATATTTCATATTTTGTTTGGTTCAAGTTTAGGTCAGTTGAAGTCAGAGGCTTCGTGGGTGGTCTCCGTCAACCGGAATAGCTGTCTGACCGCCTTTAAGGTAAAACTTACGTGCAAATATAGTTTCTGACTGCAGAAACGGTATGAGATTGATTGAATGTTCCAACAAGGCGTTGATTATTCAAGAGGCGGATTTGGAGCTGGAAAACAGGATTAATTATTCATGTAGTAATTAAAGAAATTTAAAAAAAAACGTTTTTTTAACTTTAAAAAACCAAAAAAGTGATTCACGAACGGTATTTTATTCATTTTTCCACCATTTTCTCAAGACATGAAGAAAATGAAGCTAAAACGCATTTTAATATCCAGAAATGCTATTTCAAGATTTTCTAATTAGCCTGAAAGACAAATAAAGTCTTCAAATTTCATTTTTGGGCTTGATTTGTCTTTTAGGCTTATTGGAAGGTCTTGAAATAGCAATTCTGAACACTAAAATGCGTTTTAGCTTCATTTTATTCATGTGTTGAGAAAATGGAAAAATGAATAAAAATACCGTTCATGAATCACTTTTTTGGTTTTTAACGTTAAAAAAACGTTTTTTCTTTCAAAAATCACTGAAAATCAACTCACATTAGTTGTTGGTTGTGTTTGATCCAAGGCCAACTCTTTCTTAGCATTTTCCAAATTCTTAACAGCTTCATCAGCCGATGGAACTGGAACAACTGGAGCTTGACTTGATGATGAAGATTCTCCAACCACAGATGGCACGACATTTCCCAATCTCACACCAGCTCCATCGAAAGCCTTCATTTTCGGTGGCTCGTATTCGCAACCTTTTTTCTCAATGTGAAAATCGATTTTTTTGCCCTGATGGAGTTGTTCGATTTCGGCAGGGACTTTTCTAAAAGTTTTTTTTTTGTTTTGCTTCTCCTCCTCAATCTTACCCTGCCATAATTGCTCTGAGGAATTCTCGACTGCTCGGCTCGTCAATTGCTCTCAATGGTCCGTTATCGATGGAAAAACCATTGGTCCAAATGTACATATTGACACGCTAAAGGAATTCAGAATATTTTTTAAAACTTCTAAACAATTTTAGAACTTACAAGAACATCTCCAGGTTGTTCAGCGGCCAATTGATCAGCAGTCAAAGCATCAGCTCCATTAGCTCTTGCAGAGTCCAAAACTTGATTGAAAACTTCATTTGGTCTTCTTGCTCTTCCTCCTGGTGGTCCTTGTACTTGTTGTCCACTTCCAACATAAAAATCTTGAGGTCTGGAGTCTTCTCCTTCACTATCATTATCACTGTGCGAATCGTTTCCACCGCCCAAGTCATTGAACGTGCGAATACTGAAATTCGCTTGTTTAGCAATAGTTTTGTATAAAAAAAAATAAAACTTACTTTCTACTCATTTTTTCGGGGGAACAAAACAGAAAAAACGGCCGGCGGAATGACAAAAAAAATAAAAAGACGCGTCAAGCAAACAACAAACACGTCAGTGTTTTGAAGCTGGCGCGTTTTGTGTAGTTTCGGTTATTTTCGCGCTTTTTTTTCGAAGTTTGTTAATTCTCGTCTTTCATTTAGCATGCCAAAGTATTACTGTGATTATTGCGACACATTTTTAACACACGATTCGCCATCGGTTCGCAAAACTCACAATGGCGGAAGAAAACACAAAGACAACGTCAGAATGTTTTATCAGGTGAGTTAATTTTTAGCAATTAAATATGTATTGAAAAGTTGTTGTTTCAGAAGTGGATGGAAGATCAAGCACAAAAATTAGTCGATCAAACAGCAAGGGCATTTGCTACAAATAGAGTGAGTTATTTTTTCGAAAAAATAATCTAAAAATCCCTGTTTTTCTAGATGGCGGGAGCTGTTCCACGCACAACAATCGGATTACCACCAGTACATCATCATCCAATGATGGGAGCTCCAGGTATCCCAGTCGCCATGGCTCCACGACCATTCCCAGTTGGTTTCCCTGGCGCGCCAATGCCTGGCTATCCGGTTGGCGCAATGCCAATGATTCCACGCGGCCCACCACAACCATATCGTCAAATGTAAATGATCTCTGTTATAACCTGTTGTAATAATTAATCATAAATTATCTGACATTTTTTAAAGTTTTCTGAATAGAATAATTATTAAGTTTGTAGCTTTTTTTTACTTCTTTCAAAGTCTCGTTCTAAAAAAACAAAAATTTCAGAAAATAATGGAAGATGAAAAAGTGCTTCGACGAGAAATCATCAAAACATTTCAGCTAAACGCTTTCGAGCTGAAAAGAGAGGCTGTAAATCTTTGCACAGAACTTTTCAAAGATAATGACAAAGAAAAACGACAAAGATGGCTCAATAAAATGATTGCAGTTCTGAAAAAACAATCATGTAAGCCGACTTTCTTGATACATCAAAATCATAAGCTTTTTGTTACAGTAAAATCTCCTTTGATATCCGAGGAAATAATTCGTGACATTTTCCGACAATGTAAATCAAAAGGAGTTCAGGATGCGTAAGTTTATCATGTTTTTTTTCCCCAGAACTTTTCCCCACAATGAAATTCCAGCGGTAAACTTCTCAATGTTTTCGATGCGTTCTCCTTGAAACCTTATGAATATGATGCGGAATTGAAGAAAATGATAATTCGAAAAGAAAAACCTTCGCTGGCTGCGGATTCCGCGTCTTTCGCAAATGCGATTCGACAACGATTTTTATTGGTGAAACAGCGTGCGACAAGGTGTACGACGCTGAAAAATCTGAAATTTACTACTTGTGAATGCTTGCTGAGTTCGAATAAAACGATTAATGGAGTTGTTATTCTTGGAATGTTGACACAGCAAAAAGTGAGGAGAATTTTATGAGAAATGAGGGAAATTCATTTTCAAAACGTGAAATTTATGCCAGTTGGACATCGACTAAATGACATTTTCAGGTTTTTTAAGCTTGAAATATTGGTTTTTAATTTTATTCATATGATAGAATGGTCTAAGACGAACAAAATGATATAAATTTTGATGAGTTTACGTTATCCATAAGTGATTTAGCGACGTTTAGTCGATATTTAGTCGATAAGCCGCTAAATCACTTAAGGATAACGTAAAGTCATCAAAATTCATATCATTCTGTTCGTCTTAGACCATTCTATCATATGAATAAAATTAAAAAACCAATATTTCAACTCATTTGCTTAAAAAACCTGAAAATGTCATTTAGTCGATGTCCAACTATAATGCCACGTCTTTCTTCATTTTCTACATCAGTTCCCAATTTCTAGGCTGATTGCTATCACATCGAAGATCTAACCGGTTCAATCGAAGTCGAATTCCACGACGACACACGTTTCCACCACGCACTTTTCCACGAACATTGCATCGCGATTTTCGAGGGCACTTTTGAGACGGGTGTTTTACGAGTGAATGAAGTGGCACCAGTTCCAGTTGAATGCGCGGATACAACGAGAAAAGAATTGAGTTCGAATGAAAATTGGTTTGGTGGAGAGGATAAGGTGAGGAAAATTAGAAATCTTGGAGTTGGAAAAAAATCTTCATGTAAACATTGGTTTAAAAAATACAGTTTTAAAAAATTATCCAAAACCGCCATAATAACCAGGTTGACGTCCCCAGTTGCTGAAATTATTTTTTCCAAAAATCTAGCACCTTTTTTACTCAACACTTCAAATCTTGATGAAATTTTGTCCATAGGCAGCTTTTGGGGTCATAAGTACACCCTGAAAATTTAGGACCTCTGAGCCAAGTTCTGGGCTCTCAAAAGTTTAAAAAATGTCAAAATCGGCTTACAAAACACGCCATAACTCAATTCTCGATCAATTTTATGAAAAACTGAATAGCAGATGATCATCAGCGTGGTCGATTTACCCAAAAACCATCAACAAATCGAATTTTCAGAAAAATTTTTGATTTTGAAAAAAAGAATGAGCAGGGGCACATATGAATTTTCATGAATTTTCAGCCGAAAAATAAAAAAACTTCAAAATTTTTCGAAAAAATATTTTTTATTTATTTACTTTTGGTAAATCGACCATGCTGGTCAATATCTGAAACTTTATTTCTTCCAAAAATTATTTTGAAATGAATTTATGTTGACTTTTATGAGCCGAGCCAATTTTGGCAATTTTTGAACTCTTCAGAGCCCACACCTTGGCTCAGAGGTCCTAAAAATGTAAGGGTGTTCTTTTGACCCCAAAAGCTGTCTCTGGACAGAATTTCATCAAGTTTTCAAGAGTTGAGTCAAAAAGTTCCCTTGTTAGAACTCCTAACTCACTTGTATCCATTATATCCGTTATATCCGCCATTATTCCAATAAACAAGAAAAACATCCAAAATTTTTTTTCCAGATCGCTTTTCGGTGTAATGAAAGACTCGAAGCTTCTCTGGCATCTCACCCGGAATCTGCAATCGTTATTCTGTCTGACGTGTTTCTAGACGACGAAAAGGTTGTTATTTATTTTTTTTGCTAAATTCTTATTACGTCTTACAGGTTCTGAAAGGTGTTTATCATCTGCTCGAAGGCTATTGCCAAATTCCACCAGTCGCTTTTGTGTTTTGCGGAAATTTTTGCTCGAGAACCCGACAAAAAGAGACGATGGCTTTGTTGGATCGCGGATTTCGATGGTGAATATTTTTTTTGGGGAGAAAATTGGAGGTTGAATTTGAAGATTTTGGCTCAAGTTCAGATTAGGATCTTCTGGAAAAACATCTAAAAATATTTCGAGAAACTTCAGAAAAACAAGTGGAAAATGAAAATGTTCAGTTTTTTACTAAAAATTTGAATTTATCAGAAAAATTCGAGTTATCAGAACTCTTTTTTTCTTTTATTCCTCATACATCTGAAATTTGATCAAAAACTGACAAATTTGACATTTTGCTCTCTCAAGAAACTTCCGTCGATTTTTGAGCTTCAAATCAAATGCAGAAGTTTTTTGTTTCACAGTTCTTTCTGAAATATATGAAATCATTGGGTTCATTTCCAATAATGCAACATAGATTAATGAATAATTAATAACATGCTCAATGATTATCAGAAAGTTTCAACACATTGTTTTTTTCAGGCTCGCAAATCAGCTCAACGAGTTCAAAGATTCCTATCAAAAAACACAATTCATATTCGTGCCAGGACCCGATGATCCACTTGTTGATATGATTTTACCACGCCCAAATCTCCCATCGATGCTTTTCAAACACATTTCATCAGTTGTCAATTGCACTTTTGCCTCAAACCCGTGTCGAATTCAATATGCGAGCCAAGAAATTGTTGTATTTCGAAATGATATGGTGAAGAAAATGTGTAGGTATGTTGTGTGTGAACAGCTGAAAATGTCGAATTTTCGTGGCTGGCAAGAAAATAGTAATTAAAAATCGCTGATTTTTCAGGCATTCGATAAATGCAATTACGCCCGACTCGATTCCAAGTCGATTTGCAAGAAGTGTTTTGAGCCAGGTGAAAAAATGATTTCCTTTTTTTCCCCAAAAATCAAACTCGATATATACGAATCGTACTTGAATCACATCATTTTTACTCGAAAAACCGGTGAAAAAATTCGTAATTTATTTATGAATTTTGAATTTTGCAGGCTTTTTTTGATCTTAGGACTTGATTTGATTTAGATTCAGCGGATCTTATGAAAATTATAGAGATTTATAAAAAAAATTTTAAAATCTGATTAAAAAAATTTTTTCTAGAAATCTAGGAAAATCTGGATTTATTTTTTAAAATATTTGAAATTTATCAAATTCTTGAATCAATATTGAAATATTCATTTTTTCCTAAATTCTAGAAAAAAACTTAATCGGACTAAAATTGCTCTGGATTGAATTGATCTTAAAAGGTTCCTTAAAAATCAGAAAATGCTCTCAGGAGTTCCAGAAAAAATTGGAAATTTTGGATTTTTGAAAAAATTATTGATCTTTTTTAAGAATATTCTATTTTCCCCCGAATTTTTGAACTGCAAAAATTGAAAAAAATTTCTTCCAGGCTCATCTCTGCCCCCTCCCAATGCACATTTCCCCAGTCATCCCGGATTGGAGCCACGCACTTGCTCTCAACCCCCTTCCCGATATTCTCATCACTGCGGATCGTTTCGAAAGTTTCACCGAAAATGTGGCCGGCTCTGGTTGTATTGTCACAAATCCCGGATCGTTTTCGCGCAGCAATTTTGGATTCCAGGTTTATTATCCGCAACAGCGCAAAGTTGAAGCATCGCAAATTCCGGCGGATTCTTGAATTTCACTTATTTTTTTTTTTGATAACTTTTAACAGGTACACACTTTTTTTTGATTCTCACTTGTGAATAAAAGCTTTTGAATGATTATTTGGAAAAATAATTTTGACTATAATTTTTTCTTGTTAAAAAAATGATTGGAACTCCAGAGAACATGTTCCACAAATCAAATTTCAGAAAATTTTCGGAAAAAATATTTATTTTCAGTGTTATTTTCAGGTCTGATTTTCGAGTTTTTGAAAATTTACTTAACATTTCCATATTTTTTCCTAATTTAAGATGGGCTAAGATTTGCCACGTCTTAAGCTCAGAAAAACTTTCTTCAAAAACTCAAAAACCTTGAATACCATCTGCTCTTGCAAAATGCTCCAACTCCACAAATTTTGATTTAGCCTAACTATTCGAAAGTGACAAATCTCATGATGATATCATTCAAATATATATTTTGGATATCTCAAATAGGTGGAGTTTTGTTTGGTACAAGAAGACAGGTGAAAAAAATGCACACGACTATGCGAGATTCCTATATATAAAAACAAACCACATCATGTTTTTCATTGAATTTTCACTACTATCTACGATTTAGTAGTGAAACCCTACGAGTATTTTCGAAATCCACACCCCCTTCTGAACTTTTTCTATTTTGTTTTTCCGCTCGTCCCTCCTATTCAAAAGTGTAAAAATCTTCCAGGGTAACATATATTTGAATCATGTCGTTCACAACAAAATCCACTGTTCTAGTCACACTTCTAGTTGTTTTCACAATTTGTTCGGCGAATCTTGCGACCGGCCGGTGAGTTTAGTTTCATTATTTGAAAAAATAATGATTTTCCGAGGAAAAAATCAATAATTTCAGCGCTTCTTTACGTCCATCGGCTGGAAAACGCAGTGTAGATGATGGACTTCCAAGAACTCCCGGATTCTATCGATTGACTTCTCAAGATCAAGGTAAGCTTTTTGAACTTTAATTGAATTTAGAATATCTGAAAAGCTTTGCAGAATGCTCTCCAACAACTCAGGTTTTGCTCGAACAACGTCTTCTTCAACTTCAACAACACTTGCAGCATGTTACTCAGTTAATGGAATTGTGCCAAAATCCTTGATCATTTGAAATCGGAATAATAATGAATATTTGCATTTTTGTTATTGAACATTTGTCTATTTCACAATACGCTCCGTAGATTTTGCAAACATCACCCGCCAAAAAATGATTTTTGATTTTGCGCAAGAAAAATTCACCTGCAAATGTCGACTTTCGTAATGTTTTTGTCAAATCTGAAAGTAAAAAATTCGAAAAAGAAGATGAACACAAAATTGAAGGACATCAAAATCACACGTATTTTGTTGCTGAACAAAAAATCTCGGTTCGCTGTTTAAAGGGACATGCTTTAATTTTCCACCAAAATCTCAAGAACGGCTGCATCAAATCAAAATCTGAGTACACCATCTTTATCGCCGTGAAAAACTGCATGGAAATAAGCTTTGGTGGAGCGAAAGGGTGCCGTTTTAGCGTTTCGGGGTTCGTGGCGAGACCAATTTCGAAAAATAGCGCGCAAAATGGAGAGACGCGAGAGATTTTTGTGCATTTGTGCGTCACCGTGTTTGCACAAGTCGATACAGTATACCAACCGCGAACCGAGGGCCAAAAAAACACTCTAAATCTTTTTTTAAAGCAAAAGAAAAAAATTAAAAAACTCTCGTTTGAAAATAAAAAAAAATGCGGCGTAGCGTCACGCGGAGTGTCGTTGTTTCGCTTTTATTTTTTGGTTCGAGCGAAAAAATCAAACATTTTTTCACGGGTGAAAAATTCTTTTTGATCTACCTAAAAATCAGTGCGCGAAAAAATCATTTTTTTCTTTTTTCGTTTCATTTTCACTTTTTTGATACTGAAAAACCATAAAATATAAAACCCACCAATCATTATTTTCAATGTTTTCTGTGCTTTTTTTTGTCTAATCCTTTTCCTTCACCAATTCATTCATTTCTCTTCTTCTTCTTCTTCCATGTTTAGTTTATTTACGGACCCGCCTGTCCAAAAACGCTTTCTATAGATAATCTCCGTGAACAAATTGCCCGAAGGGTAAGACAACATATTTTTGTCAAAACTTTTTTTTCCTCAAAAACTTGTCAACTTTTTTCTTTTTCGTTTTCTAGATACATACCAACTCATTTTTCATTTGAATTTTTTATTGGGGGGAAAGAAAGAGCACACACAAAAACGGGGGACTTCTTTTTCATTATATTTTGTTCTTTTTTTTCGCGTTTTTTTTCTTCCTCCAATAATAATTGTGCCACATATACACTTTTTAATTACTTATTGCAATATTCCAGAAATGGATGAGATATTATTTATTCTGGTCTTGCAGAAATGTTCAGATGGTAGAGATACTGTAGTTTGACAAATTAATTTTTAAGATGACCTAATTGGAATTTTTCTTAAAATATTATTTCGTGTTTCTTTTTTTATAGGCTCAGCCCAGCTCACTTTTTAGAGATTTTTTTTTGAATTTTTTTTTCAGAAAAATTCGAAATTATATAAAATTTAAGAAAAAGAACTACAGGAGTTTCAAAGTTCGGAATTCTGATTAAAATCGAGAAATCTAATTTCACAATCAGCTAAAATCCAAAAAAAACTTTAAATTTTTTTCAAATAAATTTTTCTGGCTGCATATTTCTGAAAATTCAAATTTTCAATCAAACATTTTCTGAACACACATTAAAATATTTCCATAATTCCAAAATATTTTCCAATCATACCAGGTTACTGTAGTTTTTCAGACACATTATTTGCTCAGCCAAACCAAAACCATTTGTTTCTATGGGCATAAAAATAATTCATTTTTTATTTATTTTCTCGTCCGGAAGAAGTACACAAAAATCTGTCATATCCATCCATCCATCCATATTTTTTTCTAAAAAAAAATAAAATAAAATTTCAAAAAAATTATTGAAAAAAACTAATTATCTTTGACTGACTGACTGACAAAAACTCATTTTTCTCCCTAAATAACTAACGTAATTTGGTTGTGAAAAAATTGGGGTAGAGGAAAAAAACCAAGAAATTTTTATTATATGATTTACTTGCGTTTTGTTCAACTCGACAGACAATAAAATTTAATTGTTCGAAACTAAAATCTTTTTTTTTTGAGCTTTTTCTTTTTTTTTTCGTTTCAAATTTTAAAAATTTCAGAATGCCACAAGATCCACGTCACACATTTTTGTATGTCAATCCGAATAATGAGGCGATTCGACTTCTAGACATTGGTGAGTTTTTTTTGGGGGGGGGGGGGGTCAGAGTGTTAGAGAAGCCAGACAACGTGCACTATGGAGTTAGAGACGTAGAGAGATTAGACAGCTAGAGACGCAGAGTAACTGCTATAGATTGTTGTTTGAAACTTTCTGGAACCATTTTTGGGTTCGAGTATAGTTTTTTTGGGGTCAGAATGTTAGAGAAGCCAGACAACTCGATAGTGCACTATAGGGTTAGAGACGTAGAGAGATTAGACAGCTCGAAAGTTAGAGACGCAGAGTAACTGCTATAGATTGCTGTTTGAAACTTTCTGGAACCATTTTTGGGTTCAAGTATAGTTTTTTTTGGGTCAGAATGTTAGAGAAGCCAGACAACTAGATAGTGAGTTAGAGACGTAGAGAGATTCGACAGCTAGAGACGCAGAGTAACTGCTGTAGATTGGTGTTTGAAACTTTCTGGAACCATTTTTGGGTTCAAGTATAGTTTTTTTGGGGTCAGAATGTTAGAGAAGCCAGACAACTCGATAGTGCACTATGGAGTTAGAGACGTAGAGAGATTAGACGACTTGAAAGTTAGAGACGCAGAGGAACTGGGGGAAGATTGTGTCGCTTCGCGGAAACATGAGATTCAGTGTCAATTCGCTTGATTAGAAAATATGTAGAATCTAGAGACGCAGAGAAATCAGACAGCTCGAAAGTTAGAGACGCAGAGTAACTGCTGTAGATTTTGGAACCCGCATTTCGTATTTTCCACAAACCACAAAAAGAGCAATTTTCGAATCGATGATTATTATTATTTTTATTTGAATGTTCTGTTTTTCAGCATTTTTTAAGAGCTCTCAAGAGCCGTCGAGTTTTTTTTTGCTCCTTCTTTTTCTCTTCGTTTTTTCGCCGTTTACTTCTTTAATTTTTGCACTTGTCGTATACACATATACATACTTTAATCCTTTCTACCACCAACAAAAGTCGTTTTTTTTCCTGCTTTTTTTGCTTCGTTCGGAAAATTTTCTAACTATATTATGCTGTGATAGAAAAAAATGAATATTGATATGCAAACTTTTCGATTTTTGTCGCCAGGTTAGTTCTGAAAGCCATTTTTTCCCGCCTCTAATGGAAGTCGGATCATATACATAGTCGTTCCATAAAAATTGCCTCATAAAATCGTCATTTGGGTCCCCAGGATTTTTGAGAAGCAGAAATATGTATGTATTTTTGAAGAAGAAGGCACGCAAATGTGCCTGCACTTTATTATTTTTTTTTTGGAAATATGTGTACTATAAATTTTCGGGATTTTTTTGTAGTTAGGGATTTACTTTTTTCTAGAAAATTGAAAAGAATTCTTTCATTTTTTTAATTTCTCAAAAATCTAGTCTGAAAATCTGATTAGACTGGATTTTGAGAGAAAAAGCGGATTGTTTTGAGAAATATTTTGGATCAAGGTTTTTTTGAGAGCTGAACTTTAGAGACTAGATTCTTCATTTTCAAACCAGCATAAAAGCCTAAAAGTCTTCGGAGCCTAGAAATTCTAGATTCCAAGTAGCCGCGCCTAGAAAATTCAACTGTCAAGGCTCTGCGCCTAGATTTCCACTCTGGCAAGTAGCCTCGTCTTGTGAGCTTCTCCATGTCAAGCGGTAAATCCTAGAGAATTGAATTTCCAAGGATCTGTGCCTTGAAAGCTTAGAAGTCAAGCAGCCGCGCCTAGAAAATTCAATCGTCAAGGATCAACGCCTAGATTTCCACACTGGCAAGTAGTCCCGTCTTGTGAGCTTCTCCATCTCAAGCATCAACGCCTAGTGACCCACACTGGCAAGGAGTCGAGCCTTGAACGCTTCTATCTCAAGGAGCGAAGCCTAGAGACCAACACTGACAAGAAGTCGAGCCTTGAGAGCTTATATCTCGAAGATCAACGCCTAGAGACACACACTGGCAAGGAGTCGAGCCTTGAACGCTTCTATCTCAAGGATCAACGCCTAGAGACCCACACTGACAAGGAGTCGAGCCTAGACATCCTAGTTGTCAAGCAGCCGCGCCTAGAAAATTCAATCGTCAAGGATCAGCGTCTTGAGCGCTCCTATCTCAAGGATCAACGCCTAGAGATCCACACTGACAAGGAGTCGAGCCTTGAGAGCTTCTATCTCAAGCAGTAAATCCTACAGAATTGAATTGTCTAGGATCCGTGCCTTAAAAGCTTCGAAGTCAAGCAGCCGCGCCTAGACATCCTAGTTTTCAAGTAGCCGCGCCTAGAAAATTCAATTGTCAAGGCTCTGCGCCTAGAGATCCACTCTAGCAAGTAGCCCCGCCTTGTGAGCTTCTATGTCAAGCAGATGCGCCTAGAAAATTCAATTGTCTAGGCTCAGCACCGAGAGATCTTTTCTAACAAGGTGCCGCGCTTTGAAAGCTATTATGTGAAGCAGCGAAGCCTAGAGAATTCAGCTGTCTAGGATCAGCGTCTTGAGCGCCTCTATCTCAAGGATCAACGCCTAGAGACCTGCAAGGAGTCGAGCCTTGAGAGCTTCTAGTAGCTGAGCCCAGAAATTTACTGGCTCACAGCGAGTTGTGAAATTTTGAAAATTAAAAAACCCTGATTTTCTGAAAACTGACAAAACCCTCCAAATTCTAGTCTGTTTTTCTGCATCTTAATAATCAATCCAAATAAATCCACGTGGGATCTAACTCGAAAAAAATGAATAATAATCTCATTTGTATTCCACTCTTCTTTGCTCCCTTATGTATTTTTTTTCCTGCATCAACATAATATAAAAGGTGCTGAAAATAAATGAGTTCTTTTTCTCGTTTTTTTCTCCGCTACTTCATGTTTTTTCTCATTTGGGCTTGACACAAAAAAAAACAGAGCAATTCATCAATTACCAATTATTAATTCATTAATTAGTCGTCTGGTTTTTTTTTGGGAAAATTAAAAAAAAAACAAAAATAAAATGGATCATAGACAAATATTTGAAACTCTACTTGAACTCAAAAAAAATGTTTTTTTTTCGGAAAAAATTTTTTCGGTGCGTTCACGGTTGATCGCCTTTTTCGAGATATGGAGAGCATTTTTTCGCATTTTTTTGGGCTGGAGACCGAAAGAAGAATTGAAATTTGACACTTTTTATTGGGTTACTACTTACTTATTTTTTTTTCATTTTTGAGTTGAGTGGTTCGGGTTTTCAAGGACCCCTCTCTTTTTTTGTATTAATTTTTTCCTAGTTTAATGTTTTGTTGATCAAATTTAGCTTATAGACAAAATTAATTAATTTTCCCAAAAGAAGATATTTTATCAAAACACTTCTTGATTATTTTTAGAAAAAAATTAAATTATTTTCAGAAAATTTTAGAAAAATTTCTACGTCATAATTTTTGTTCAGGGAAAGATTCCGAAAATTTCAATTTTTAAATTCCACGTCATAACTTTTTTTCCTCTGGTCTGAAAACTTCTTTTTGTGAAGCTTCAAATTTTGAAGAAAAAAAGTTGACATTTTGAATCTCCACTGTCTCCCAAAACTTGAAGATAATCCATCCATCACAGGAAAAAGTACAGTAGGAGCCTACCTCGTTTCAAAGTTCAATTTTTCTCGTCGTCACGAGTGGTTTCAATTTTTCTCGAAAAAACATAAGCGGCGACGCGTGAAATCTTGATTTTATTTTTTTTTTTTTTTGAAAATGAAAAGTGGGCGTTTAAAAAATGTTCAGTGTGCTTTTTGAAAAAAAATTTTTATTGGGTTTTTTTTAAATATTTGTTGATTACGTGGCAAAATTCCACGTCATAACTCATATTCTGATTCTGATTTTTCCAACTTCTATCTCCCTCCCAGACCTGGGAATTTTTACGTTTTACGGTTTTTACGGAATTCCCCCGTAAAATCCATTTTACGGTTTTACGGCTCAAAAAATCTTTGTAAAAAAAATCACTAAATATAGTGAATTTTGACAGAATCAAATTGAAACTTCAAAAAAAACACAAAATTTTTCAAAAGAAAATTTTGATTAAATCCTAATCAGTTAATTTTTGGTGGATATAGAGAATAATATTGTTAAAATTAGGAGTTACGATAAGTTACCAAATCCCAATTTCTTAAGAAGTTCTTGCTTTTTTGTCAGTGAAAAGATTGAGTAACAAAATTTTTCACGAATTTCACCGGATTTTACGGTTTTTAAAACCCAATTTTACGTTTTACGGTGCCACGTAAAAATTTCCCAGGTCTGCTCCCTCCACATGTTTTTTGCTCTTGCTCATTTCAGAGCACAAAAACAGAAAATAGTAATCATAACAATTATTTATTTATTCATTTTCCTTCTCTCCGTTCCAAAAAAAAACATTATCCATCATCATCTGCCTGAATTGACTATGATAATTTCTGATCGTTAAATTCTATTTTTTGCTCGCCTGCTGCCTCGTTTTCTGAACGTCCCTTGAGATATTTTTTTTTGACAAGTTTTGACATCCATATTATGCACTCTTATATTTATATTTTCATTCGGGTTGTTTTCAAAAAAAAAAAATTTTTCACAGCCGACAAATTGTTTTGAAACACCTGCTCCAATTATTTTACCCTCATCTCGACCAATTTTTTTTGTCGCTTGATATCAGTGAAAATATAAATCGCATTATTTTCTTTCTTATCTCTCGAAAATTATTTTTATTTTTGGGTCATTTTATGACAGAAATAAGTATTTTTGTGTGTGCTTGAGTTTGGATTCAAAGTTCAACAAAAAAAATTTTTGATTCACGTAGAGAAGGTTTTTGTTGTGGACAGCTGTTCAGGGAGACTGAGAGAGGAAAAGTGATTTCTGAATTTCAAAAAAATCTGAAGTTAATTTATTTTCAGAAAATGATCTTAAGGTTGTGTAAAATATTATACACCACGATTGAAATAACAATAGATTTATTAGCTACATTTTAAATAGAAAGAAAGATAAAAAACAATAAAGTTGAGCTCTTTTATAGCGAGCATTGTGGGCGTTGTGTCAACAACAGTTTACATTAAACTGTTATTGAATCTGACGTGTTGTAATCGTACAGTTGAATTCAAATTGATTGAGAAAGTTGATAAATAATCAACATTCCCGCCTCACAAAATTGAATAGTTGGTTGAGTTGATCGATTTGATGTGGTTGAGTTGAGTGGAACCAATACTAGTGATCTGGTTTGCCACTTTGTTGATGTACGACAGGTTCTGTGCTTGACCATATTGTCGTTTGAGGATTTGTGATATTCGTTTCCTTTGATCGGAATACCACTCGATGTGTTCGGCCATAAATCGTTTATGTCCAGATTGCCTACCCAAGTGTAGGACTTTGCATTATGTGCAGTTTTGTTGAGCTGCCACATATCATGAAGTTGATGTTGAGTCAACCCTCCCCACCACAATGAGAGAAATTGACATTGTTTTACCTCATCCAGATTCGAATTATCTGAACTGAGGGATCTTCTTCGTAGACCAATAACTATACATCGAACTCGACTCGAATCGTTGAGTGACTGCTTGCTTGGTTCATTATTGAGTGAAATATTGAAGCCTCGGTGTTCAATCATTTCCTTGTGTCCTCGATAATGACTTTTCACTCTCCAATCTCGTTTTCATTCGGCGTTACTTCTACTCGTTGGTGTTTTTCATCCTGCCACGCGGGTCTTCTTCTCGAAATCGACCACCAATTAGGTCGATGCACCATGTAAAATATTATACACCACGATTGAAATAACAATAGATTTATTAGCTACATTTTAAATAGAAAGAAAGATAAAAAACAATAAAGTTGAGCTCTTTTATAGCGAGCATTGTGGGCGTTGTGTCAACAACAGTTTACATTAAACTGTTATTGAATCTGACGTGTTGTAATCGTACAGTTGAATTCAAATTGATTGAGAAAGTTGATAAATAATCAACAGGTTGATAAGAAATACATAAATAACCTTTTCCCTAAATAAAGCAAAAAATCACTGATTTTTGGTTCCCTAGATATAATAAATGCGCCTCGTGGGAAAAACGCTTCAAACAATTAGCCCAACTCTGTTCCCATCATAAATTTATAGAATTTATACAATTCTGACCTCTGGTTTCTGTTAGCTTTTTCCCAGGGACCACATGTTTTTTATTTTATGTTTTTCGGAAAAAAATCTTATTTTGACGAAAAAGAAAGTGCAATTGAATTTGGAGTTGGGTTGTTTGAAATTGAAGAAAATAAGAAGGAGAGTGGTTTTGAAAAGGGCTAATTATGAAAAGAGAGTTTGGAAGGAGTAAATAATAATTATGTGAGAGGAATTGTTGTTTGGAAAAGTTATGAATCATTTCTATAATTAAATTGGGAAGTCAGAAGTCTGAAAGAAGTCAATATTTTGAATAGGAAAAAAAATGTACGTGAAGTTTGCAGATTAAAATTTTTTTGGAAATTAGGGTTTCCTAGAGATTAGTGGTTTTTAATTAATTAAGATACCACAAAAGCACTTTGATCGAGCACTGAAATATATTTTTCAGAGTCAGAAGCTTGATCTGAAATTCATCCGAGAAATTCTTTTCTGAGTTCAGGAGCCTCTTGAGGAATTAATTCTAGATTTTATTTTCTAGATTAAAAGGCCCAAAGGCTTGATAGTATCCTATTCAGATGGTGAAACATTAGAGTTCCGGAGAAGCCTGAGCCAATGTGGATCTGAGAAATCATAAATCTGATCTCTAATAAATCTAACTCCAAACCTATCTGTTCAGAATCTAAAAACTTTTCCGTTATTTTTGCCGTGGCTTTGACGGTTTCCGAATATTTTGAAAATTGATTTCTAAAGCGAAGAGTTCTGAAACTCGATTCAAGAAGCTTGGAAATCTAGATCTGAGATTTAGGCTTGTTCAGAGTCCTGAGCTTTGAACCAAACCTTAAGGCTTCAATTTGAACTATTCGGTAGATCTTCCAGAAAATCTGGAATTCCCCTCAGCAAAGCAATTTCTGGTTTTTTCTCTTTATCAGCTCCGATTTGTTTTTTTTTCATAGTTTCAATCTTCAAAATTGCTTTTTCTATAACAATTTTCGCAATATCTTCTGAAACCTTCGCAAATCTGGCTGCCAATAAACATAGTATTTTTCATCCAGCTGCACTTTTTCGTCAAAACAAAAATGGAATCTTTTTTTTCTAATCAAACCTTGTTTTTGTTTTCGTTGTTGCTCCAAAACAATATTCTCTCGTTGTTGCTCCAAAAATTCGGAAGAAACTAGAATTTTCGAACTCAAGAATCTGCACATTCATTTCTAAGTATCCGTTTCCTTGGTCTCTGTGGCCATATAAAAATATTTGGAAAAAATGGGCGGAGCTACCAATTGCTCGTTCTTTTTTGCTGCTCCGCGTCTCTTATCGTCTGTGGTCTCTCAATATTTTGCGTCGTCTTTCCTCCTCGGTTTTTGTTTCGCCTGCTCCGTTTTCTTCACTCTATTTCTATTTCTATTTCTATTTCTTCTTCGCTTCTAAATTCTCAAAGAAGCTCTGCTGTTTTATCTGTGATCGGGATTCGGAAGCGGAAATGCCGGAAGGAGGAGGCGGACGGTTTCGAGTTCAATCGGTGGTCAACGATGGTGGACAAAGAGCCGAGAGAACTGCGTCGCCTGAAGAGGATCAGACGGTGAATTCGGCTAACTCGTTATTGAATATTACAGCTAGTGATAAACATTTACCTAAAAGTGAGTGATTTTTTCTGGATTTGGGAGAGGCTGGTATTTTTTTTGAAACATTTTTTTTCTAGATTTTTCAGTGAAAATCTTGGACTGAAATTTCCAACAATTTGAATTTTCGGCTGAAATTTTCTTGAGAAGTTCTAGAGCTTTCAAAAAATTTTCTGAAAATTTTTTCTGTACCCTCGAAAAATTATAGTGATGAAAATGAGTAACAATTTTTCATCATCATCAGAAAATTTCTCTGATTTATCCAACCAGTTCAAAAAGTGCAGCAGCTTCATAAATAAATTATGTATCGAACTTTTTGTGCTCACAGCTCAGCTCAGCTCAAATTCTCGGCAATTTCAATGTTTTTTCACTGGAAAAAACGAGAAAAAGCAAAAAAATTCCTCAAGAAAACATGAATTTTAGATTATTGTTCCCGAACGAATTCCACTAACTTTTTTTTTTCATTTTGTCATTCTTGTTTTTGCCTGCCTTCTTCTTCTTCTTTATTATTATTCTTCGCTTTTTTTTCCTTATTTTTTCACTTGTCAGTCAGCTGCTTTCCTGCTCTTTTTCTTTATTTTCATCGAATTTTTATAGCTGGAAGAAGAGAACAATGACTTTTTTCAGAAAAAAATAATAATTACCTTTTTTTTTTGAAAAGGTCACATTTATTTATTTATTTTTGTGTGTTTAGTTTGTGCCAAAAAGTCAGTCCTTTATCAAATAATATAATGGTCGAAGGGGGCGGTTTTTGTTTACTTTTTGACACGTTTCGAAATGATGAGCAATACTTGGGGTTAGGCTTAGATGTGATGGGGAAAGTGCAGGATTTGAGGCGGAAAAAATCGGTGACGGTATTTTTAGGGAAACATTTTCTGATCTTCTCTGGCTTTGGGATGAGCTGTTATTGCCTATGACTTAGGATAACTCTTTGACAATTGAACTTGCTATGGAAGCTCTCTAGGAGCGGCTACTTGAGATCTAGGATCTCTAGAATTGGCTGCTGTAGCATTCTGCTCTCTAGGCGCTGATCCTAGAAAATTCAATTTTCTAGGTGCGGCTACTTGACAACTAGGGTTTCTCGGGTTTGATACTTGCTATGGAAGCTCTCTAGGAGCGGCTACTTGAGATCTAGGATCTCTAGAATTGCCTACTTTAGCATTCTGCTCTCTAGGCGCTGATCCTAGAAAATTCAATTTTCTAGGTGCGGCTACTTGACATTTAGGGTTTTTCGGCTCGGCTACTTGTTATGGAAGCTCTCTAGGAGCGGCTACTTGAGATCTAGGATCTCTAGAATCGACTGCTTCAGAATTATGCTCTCTAGGCGCTGATCTTAGAAAATGCAATTTCCTAGGTGCGGCTACTTGACATCTAGGGTTTCTCGGGTCGGCTACTTGTTATGGAAGCTCTCTAGGAGCGGCTACTTGAGATCTAGGATCTCTAGAATCGACTGCTTCAGAACTATGCTCTCTAGGCGCTGATCCTAGAAAATTCAATTTTCTAGGTGCGGCTACTTGACATCTAGGGTTTCTCGGGTTGGATACCTGACATACAAACGTTCAAGGAACGACCTCTTGCCCAGGAGAATGTCTAGATGCTGGTCCTGGAGGATTAGGTTCTCTAGGCGCTGCTACTTGACAACTAGGCCTCATAGGCTTGCCTGCTTGCCATAGATGCTCTCAAGTCGCGGCTAGTTGAGAACTAGGTTCTCTAGGTGCTGCTACTTGACAACCAGGATTCATAGGATGTTTTGAGCTCAGTTTTGGATGGTTCTTGAGATCAGAAGCAGATGTGGATTCACAAATTTAGAACTTGTGATTTTCAAATTTCAAAATTCAAATCAACTGAATTCGAATCCGAATGTTCTGTACTCAGGAATTTCGAAAATTTTCTGAAAATCTTATTTTTTTCACACCCATGATTTTTGATGCTATAATTTCCAGCTTCATCTTATGTATATTCTTCCAAATTTCTTTTGTATTTATTCTACAGTAATCAGTCTTTTTTTTTGAATACATATATTCATAACAACAACAAAAACGCTGGCTAAAAAATGCCAAATCTCCCGATTTTCTGTGTTGTTTTTTTGTTCTTTCTATTAAGACGAAAAAAGACAGCACAACAAAAAAAACACAGAGAGAAAATACGAAAACAACACAACACGGAGCAGGCCCTTAATTATGTCAACATTTTGAGTGGAAAATCTAATTCTGAAAAAAAGGGATGAATGCAATTTCATTCAGATGTGGATATGTATGTCAAAGTTTGGACAGAAAAGGGAAATGAAAATTTGCAGAAAAGGAACGGAAAATTAGAAGGTTTTGATGGATTTTGATTCAGACCTGGGAATTTTTACGTTTACGTTTTTACGTTTTACGATTTTTACGGAATTCCCCCGTAAAATCCATTTTACGGTTTTACGACTCAAAAAATCGTAAAATAATTCGTTAAAAAAATCACTAAACATAGTGAATTTTGACAGAATCAAATTGAAACTTCAAAAAAAAAACACAAAAAGAAAATTTTGATTAAATCCTAATTAGTGGATATAGAGAATAATATTGTTAAAATTAGGAGTTACGATAAGTTACCAAATCCCAATTTTTTAAGAAGTTCTTGCTTTTTTTCAGTGAAAATACTGAGTAACAAAATTTACGAATTTCGTGAGATTTTACGGTTTTTAAAACCGTAAAATTCCCATTTTACGTTTTACGGTGCCACGTAAAAATTTCCCAGGTCTCCAAATTTTGGAGTTAGATTTGGCTGATGAGTTTTTGAAAAAGATCAGGATTGTGAAGAATTCTTGATTTTTCTAGATCCCACAAGTCGATCAGCAAATATTTTTTGATCAAATTCTAGAAAAAGCTCAAAGTTGTTTTGAGCCCGATAATTGTGCTCACATCTTCCTCTAACTCTAAAAGTTCGCAGCGATTACTTTTTTTTTGTCGACCTCCTAGACAAATAATTCATCGGAACGAACACTGACTATAATTATGTAGATATACAAATTGGATGATTTCGCCAATTATTTTCCTCAAATTTCGCCCCTTTTTATACAAATATTCCTTTTCGTATTCTCTTTTATGTATGTGTGTCCCATTTTTGATTAAGTGCACTCAGCCCAATTTTTTTTGGCAGTTGCGTTGCAGTTTTGATGAGTTTTTGAGGAGAGCGACTAGAAATTATTTGATTTTTTTTTGAGCTCGATGAAGGAGTTCTAATGGAAATGAATAGAAAGGACTCACAGATTCTAGAGGGATCTTTTTTGATATCACTTTTGAAATTAATGCCATCGTAGATCCATAGATGCTGTTCCTTGACAATTTTATTGTTTAGGCGCGCCTACTTCAGAGCTCGACTCTATAGGCGCTGATCCTTGACAACTACGATTTCTCGGCTCGGCTACTTGCCATGGAAGCTATCAAGGAGCTGATCCTAGAAAATGCAATATTCTAGATGCGGCTACTTGACAACTAGGATTTCTCGGCTCGGCTACTTGTTATGGAAGCTCTCTAGGAGCGGCTACTTGAGATCTAGGATCTCTAGAATCGACTGCTTCAGAATTATGCTCTCTAGGCGCTGATCCTAGAAAATACTATTTTCTAGGTGCGGCTACTTGACAACTAGGATTCATAGGCTTGCCTGCTTGTCATACAAGCTTTTAAGGAGCCACTCCTTGCCTAGGAGAATCTCTAGATGTGGGTCCTGGAGTATTAGGTTCGTTAGGCGCTGCTACTTGAGAACTAGGTTCTATAGGAACAGATCCTTGACAATTGAACTTTCTATAGGCGGCTGCTTGAGAACTGTGATTTCAAGCCGCAGATACGTGAAGACTAGGTTTTCTAGGCGCTGCCACTTGACAACCAGGATTTATAGGCTTGCCTGCTTGCCATAGAAGCTAGCAAGGCGTGGCTACTTGACATCTAGGGTCAATAGGTGCTGATCCTTCACAATTGAACTTTCTAAAGGCGGCTACTTGAGAATTATGACCTCTAGGGGTTAATCCTTGAGGGCTATGATTCATAGGCTTCTTTGCTTGCCATAGATGCTCGCAAGGAGTGGCTACTTGAGATCTAGGCTCTCTAGGTGCTGATCCTTCACAATCGAAACTTCTAGGCTTAGATTGAAACTTCTAGGCTTAAATCACTGATATTTGAAGTTCACAGCTCTTCGAAATCGATTTCATAAAAAGTGTGTGCGCGGAAAAATTAATCAACTTTCGAAGCAGGTGTTTTTACTTCGTATTTCTATATTTCCAGCTGAATTTCAGCCACGGATTTTATTTTTCTCTGAAATCTGATCTAGAAAAATATGTTGCTTCCGTTTCCACAATATCTCGTCGCGAAAAAAATAATTGGAACTCGTAGTAGGCACAAAATAACACATCTATTGTCATTTTTTCCTCACTTTTTTTTTGTCACATTCACAATAAAAATGCGAAGAAAAAAAAAGAGAGTAAATATTTTTTTTCTGGCGAGATACAACAACCGTAATCAAATTTATGGATGGGCCTTTGGAGTTCGAACACTCTTCCTCTTCTTCTTATTTTTTCGCGTTTTCTCCAGAAGAAGCGAAAAAAATAAGAAGTAGAAGAGAAAGCTTCTTCTTATTCAGAAGGAGTGAAAAATGGGGGCGTGGCTTGCGCACTCGAAAAACTTTTCTCTTCTTCTTCATCTCTCAATACTTCTTTCTTCAATTCCTTACGTATTCCATATTTTTGCTCTAAATGACTCTAACAATACCCAAAATCACATGTACAGCTCCACCACCATCAAATCTAAAATCGACAGCGATTCCTCCTGCGGCTTCTGCTCCAACTTCAGCAGCCAAACAAAAAATTCCACCAAATATGCACATTAATATACCACCAGGTAGACTTAGCTCAAGTCCTGAAATTTATTTAAAAAAAAAAAAATTTTAAAAAATTGTTTGCTGAGCTCTCTGAGCTTTGAGAGAAAAAGCAACACGAAAAAAAAATAAATGAAGAAAATCTGAAGGCAATTACCAAAATTAGAGAGGGAGGGAGAGGAAGTGATGTGCAAATGTTTTATTTTTTTTCTGCTTTCAGATGAAGGTGCCGAACGAATACCATTATGTGAACAACATTCGCCGTTGGCTCTTTATGAGGTTCGTTTTTTGGCTTTTGGGGGAAATTCGGCAGTTTTTTAATCGGACCATAGGAATCGGACCAGGTCCGATTTTTTGAGAAAAATTCTGAATTGGACCCGAAAAATCGGACCACTTTTTCAAAATTTCCTGATTTTTGCACCAAAAAGTTGACTTTTTTGAAAAAGTGGTCCGATTTTTCGGGTCCAATTCAGAATTTTTCTCAAAAAATCGGACCTGGTCCGATTCAGAAAATCCTCAAAATCGGGGCCAATTCAAAATTTGCCGGGAAATTCATCGTAAAAATATTTCTGCTCCTTTTTTTGCAAGCAAAAAAAAAAATAATACCAAAAAAATGTTCCATAAATCACCTGGAGCCTGGTCCCAAAGGTCATGCAAAAAGGTTGAAGATCCAACCAATCCCCAAATTTTTTTTGGCTTATGAAAAAGATGCAAAGTAAAAGTATAAGTGTCGGATTACAAACAAACACATGTGACACTCTCTGACAAAAGTGAGAAGAGATGCTCTTGAAAAAAGAAAACTACCTAGTTAATATTTTATGGGGATTTGTGGGCGCGGGAATCTGGGAGAAGTTGAAATTTTAGGAACATGAAAGAGAGCTTTGGGAAAATTCTTTTTGAAAATAGTTTTGAGAAGCTCGGAAAAAATTCTAGAAAATTTGACAATGGCCCGGAAGCCTCCAGAGGGTTTTTTTAGAATCCCGTAGAAAATTTTGGATGGTCTTACAGTAGTCTAGATGATTACTGAAGTTTTGAAAAGTTCGGGAAAAATTCTAGAAGGTCCAATAGTATTCAAGATGGTCCCTGAAATTCTAAAAGGCTCGGAGAATTTCCTAGATTGCCTAATGTTCACCTTGGAGGCTTTTAGATTTCCGAAAAGCCCGGAGAACTTTCTGGGTGGCTTAACGGCCTAAAAGGCTTTTGGATTCTCTAGAGGCCCGGGAAAATTCTACATAGCCTATGTAAAAGTGGTCTATGAGGTCCCTGAATTTTTGAGAAGTTCTATGAAATTCCAGGCAGGTCTACAGTAGCCTAGAAGTGTTTTTGAATTTTTAAGAAGCCCTGATAAAATTCAAATTTGTGGATAATTTTGTGATCCAAAAATTTGGAAAATTTCTTGTTAGTTATGCTATCTTCAAGTTATGTTATTTCATCCTCCTTTAAAAATTTTTGAACCAAAATGTCATCCAAGATTCTGTCCAAAACACACTCCATTTCCCTTTTTTCCAGCAAGATTATGACACACAAGGCCAAAAAATTGGCACAATGCTCCGGAAGTTGTCGGTGTATAATGCGACAGAGGCGACAAGTGCCGAAGCCGATGAAAAGCCAAAAGCTGTGAGTTTTGAATGACAAAATTGTGTGTGCGCAACAAAAAAAATTGAGTTATGGAAATTCCGCAAAAACTTGGAATTTTGATGAGATTGTTGCCAAAAAGAAATGACGTACATAGGAGCAAAGAATAAAAAAAATGAAATTTGTTTTGCAGGCGGCTTCAAAAATGGGCACAATAATGGGTGTATTTTTGCCATGTCTTCAGAACATTTTCGGAGTTTTATTCTTTATTCGATTAGCTTGGATTATCGGAACCGCCGGTGTTTTAGAATCGTTTTTTGTTGTATTAGTTTGTGTTTCTGTGGTAAGATCTTCAATAATTGAAATCAGATTACATATCGGGAACTTTCAGACATTTCTAACATCAATCTCATTATCAGCGATCGCAACAAATGGTGTCGTACCATCGGGTGGTCCCTATTATATGATCTCACGAAATTTAGGACCTGAACTTGGCGGCGCTGTTGGTATCCTGTTCTATTTGGGAACGACGATAGCCGCCTCGATGTATATTACTGGAGCTATCGAGATTTTGCTGGTGAGTGGGGTTCAGATCAAAAAATTTTGGACGCGAAATTTTATCATAGAAATATTTGCCACGTGGATTTTCAGTTCAATTTCTGAATTCAAATTTTTCATGCCACGTGGATTTTTTTTAGCGAGTTTCTGAAATTTGGGATTTTGATCATGAAAATACTTGCCACGTGGATTTTCGATTCAATTTCTGAACGCAAATTTCGATGCCACGTGGATTTTTGCTTCAATTTCTGAGCGCAAATTTTGATTCCACGTGGATTTTTTTTGAGAGAATTTCTGAACGCAAATTTTGATCCCACGTGGATTTTCGGTTTAAATTTCTGAATTCGAATTTTGATCCCACGTGGATTTCGGTTCAATTTCTGAATTCGAATTTTGATGCCACGTGGATTTTCAGTTCAATTTCTGAACTCAAATTGTGATGCCACGTGGATTTTTCGGAACAGAATTCAACTTCGAAAAAAAAACCTTATTTTTAAATTACAAAAAATCACAGACAATCAGGATTTTCCTAAAAGTACCTAGAAAATTACCAAAAAAGTTTCCAGCTGTACATCTACCCACAAGCAAAAATCTTCGACAACATGTACAACAACTATCGACTACTCGGCACATTCCTATTGCTCATCTTAGGTCTAATCGTAATGGCCGGTGTCAAATTCGTCAATCGATTTGCTCTTCCCCTCGTTCTCGTTGTTATTTTCTGTATTATTTCATCAATTATCGGTGTTTTTGTTCGTTGGGACGGTTCAGATTCGCTCAAATTCTGTATGGTTGGTGATCGACCCGTGGATTTGACATCGTATTATGAGAAAACCAAAATTGTTCCGAATTGCACAGCTCAAGGATTGGAGCCACTGTTTTGTGCAGCAAATGGAACTTGTGACTCTTATTTTGCAATGGTAAGTTCTATTCTATTTTTGTGAGATTTTTTAAATTCATTTTTTAGCAACAAAAAATCAAGCCGATCCCAGGCTCCCAAGGAATTCGCGAAGAACGAGCCATCAAAGGAATCTCATCCGGTGTGATTTGGGATAACTTATGGTCGAAATATTTGCAACCCGGAAGAGTTTTGACGAAAAATAAGAGTAGTAAAGGCGAAACATCGACAAGTCCCTATTATATTTATGCCGAAGCTGCTACGAGTTTCATGATTTTGATTGGAGTCTTCTTCCCATCCGCTACTGGAATTATGGCCGGATCAAATCGATCTGGAAATCTGAGAGATGCGGCGAAATCGATTCCGCTGGGAACGCTGGCTGCGCAGAATTTTTCGTCGGTGATTTGTGAGTTTTTTTGGATTTTTTTAAATTTATCAAAACGTGAAATTTAAATTTTGAAAAAAAAATTTTCAAAAAAAAATTTTTTTCAAAAAAAAAAAAAAAATTTTCAAAAAAAAAAAATTTTTTTTTTAAATTTAAAATTTTTTAGTCTAGAATTTTCAGCTTTGTTAATGATCTAGAACAATTTTATTCTGCAATCGGATTTTTTTTGAAAATACAAAAAAAATTTTGTCCAGAATTTTTCAATTTAAAGGCGGGCAGACAGCTATTCCGGTTGACGGAGACCACCCACGAAGCCTCTGACTTTAACCGGGCTAAACTTGAACCGAACAAAAGATAGAGTGAAAAAATGAAACTTCAAATCTACCTGTGCAAAAGTGCGTCGCGATGTTTGCACACACACAAATCCGCTGGGCGTGGTGGCAATTTAAAATTTTGAAAACACAAGATTTTCTCAACTCGTATTAACTTTCATGATTTCGGAATTTTTTCACTGGTTCGTTTCATAATAAACTATTTTTGACACTAAGCTTCGAGGAAAACCGGAATAATTGTCTAACTGCCTTTAAAAATCCAATCAAGATTCAAAATCCAGCTCTGACTCTCCAAAATTCTCCAGATCTACTCGGTGTCGTTCTCTTCGGCGCCTCAGTTTCCGAAATGTTCATCCGAGACAAATACGGCCGATCAGCGATGGGAAAACTCATCATCTCCGAAATCTCCTGGCCATCTCCAGCTATCATCCTAGCCGGTTGTTTTATGTCAACAGCCGGAGCTGGAATGCAATCACTCACTGGTGCTCCAAGACTTCTTCAAGCAATCGCAGCTGATGATGTTTTGCCCTTTTTGAAACCTTTTGGAAAAATGGATAAAAGAGGGGAACCGATTCCTGCGATTATTTTGACTTTGATCATTTGTGAATGTGGAATTTTGATTGCGGTTATTGAAAATATCACTGCCCTTATCACACAGTAAGATTCCATGAAAAGATATTTTCATATTTTGATTTTTTCAGATTCTTCTTGATGTGTTACCTCGGTGTAAACGCTGCTTGCGCTCTTCAATCCCTCCTAAATTCCCCCGGATGGCGCCCAGGATTCCGATACTTCCACTGGTCGCTCTCTATGATCGGAGCAATTCTTTGTGTCGCTGTCATGTTCATTTCCGCCTGGCATTTTGCTCTGTTTGCGATTGTGATTGGTGCAGGCGTCTATAAATATATCGAATATGCTGGAGCTGAAAAAGAATGGGGAGATGGAATTCGTGGTTTGGGATTGTCAGCGGCTAGATTTGCGTTGTTGAATTTAGATGATAAACCGCAGCATTCAAGAAATTGGAGACCTCAATTATTGGTTTTAGCACCAGATTGTGATTCACAAAATACACAGGGTCTTCTCTCCTTCGTCAGTCAACTCAAAGCAGGAAAAGTGAGTTAGAATTTTAACTAAGATAAGATAATTTCTGAACCCAAAATTTTCCAGGGATTGACATTGGTTGCACATTGCATCGAAGGCGAATACTCATCCGAATCACATCTTCAAGCTCAAGCATCACAAGAAAAACTGAAATCGTTGATCAAGAAAAATCGGATAAAAGGATTCTGCGATGTTTTGGTGACACCAAATGTGTCCGAAGGAATTTCTTGTCTGATTCAGGTGATTGATCCTGTATGTCTGCTTGCTTTTTCACACTAACTTTTGTGGTTTTAACGGCTTTTGCACTTGTGTTTTTGTCCGCTTTGCACTTATTTTGGGCAAATAATGAATGGGACCCTAAATGGGACCCCACTGGAATTTTATACAGAAAGGGATAAAAAGTTGAAGCCTAAGCCTAAGCCTAAAATTCGACCTAAGCCTGAGCCTGAAATACGACCTAAGCCTGAGCCTAAAATCCTAACTAAGCCTAAGCCTAAAACTCTAACTAATCCTAAGCCTGAAATCCTAACTAAGCCTAAGCCGAAAAGCCTAACTAAGCCTAAGCCTAAGCGTAAAACCCTAACTAAGCCTAAGCCTGAAACCCTAACTAAGCCTAAGCCTGAAATCCTTACAAAGACCTAAAACCCTGACTAAGCCTAAGCCTAAGCCTAAAAGCCTCACAAAGACCTAAAACCCTAACTAAGCCTAAGCCTGACATCCTAACTAAGCCTAAGCCTAAAACCCTAACTAAGCCTAAGCCTGAAATCCTAACTAAGCCTAAGCCTAACTAAGCCTAAGCGTGAAACCCTAACTAAGCCTAAGCCTAAAAGCCTAACTAAGCCTAACCCCAGTGCTGAGGATACGTCTAAGTTTAAGCACATTACATGTGGTCCCATTCTGAAAAAAATTTCAATAGGGTCCCTTTTTTTGCGGGGTCCCATTCAGACAATTCAAAAAAATGCTGTGGTCCCATTTTATTATTTTGGGGTCCCATTCATCACGACGATTTTGAAAAACACCGGGGTCCCATTCAGTCATTCGGGGTCCCATTTGGGGTCCCATTCATTATTTACCCTTTTTTTGGGTACGATTCGGAATTTTTTTTTTCAAAAATGATTCAAGTCCAAAAATCGAACACTTGTCTTTTTGTCCGCTTTTTACAAAAATTTTTTGCACAATTATTTATTGTTGGGGAACCCGGTAAGAAATCGAAAATTTTTGCAAAAAAATCAATAATTTTTCATAACTTTCATCGATTTCTCCACACCGATTTTCCCTGATGTTTCCCCTCCTCAACTCTCAAGTTTCTTCAGACTTCTGGCCTCGGTGGAATGCGTCACAACACAGTGCTCCTCGCTTGGCCCGACGAGTGGACAGCCGAAAATCAATGGGCCGTTGCCAACAAATTCGTCACCGCAATTCGCACAATTTCCGCCGCCAAATGCGCGATTATGGTGCCTAAATATGCCGAGAAGTTCCCGCAGAACGGCACAAAGATCAGTGGAACAATCGATGTTTGGTGGGTGGTGCACGATGGTGGATTATTGATGTTGTTGCCGTTTTTGTTGAGACAACACAAAACTTGGAAAAATACGACTGTTAGGCTTTTTGCTATTGCTCAGATGGAGGTAAGATTGAATTTTAAACGATAATTTTTTCCCAATAAAATTTTCAAATTTCAGGATAACAATGTTCAAATGAAAAGTGATTTGGAAAAATTCCTATATCACTTGAGAATCGATGCAGCTGTAAATGTGATTGAAATGACCGATTCTGATATATCAGATTATACATACGAGAGAACTATGAAAATGGAAGAGCGAACAAAATTATTGAGCAATTTGAATAAAGCGGATCGTGAAAAGGATATTCAAAATCATTTGGAAGTTGTGACAAGAGAACGGAAATTGAGTAAAATCAATGAGGAAGCGGTGAGTTTTGAATATTTTTTTTGAACAATAGTAAACGTGGCTTGTCCCGTCACGTCAATAAAACGAAGAATTAATAGTGGAATTGAGTATTACCACTTCAAAAGTGAATCAAAGAACACGGTTATTTTTCAAGGAAACGTTTAATTACCTTGTGTTTTATAACAATAACGATGGCAATCAGACCTGGGAAATGTTTTACGTGGCACCGTAAAACGTAAAATGGGAATTTTACGGTTTAAAAAACCGTAAAATCCCGTGAAATTCGTAAAATTTTGTTACTCAATCTTTTCACTGAAAAAAAGCAAAAACTTCTTAAAAAATTGGGATTTGGTAACTTATCGTAACTCCTAATTTTAACAATATTATTCTCTATATCCACTAATTAGGATTTAATCAAAATTTTCTTTTTGTGTTTTTTTTTCGAAGTTTCAATTTGATTCTATCAAAATTCACTATATTTAGTGATTTTTTAACGAACTATTTTACGATTTTTTGAGCCGTAAAACCGTAAAATGGATTTTACGGGGGAATTCCGTAAGAACCGTAAAACGTAAAAAACGTAAACGTAAAAATTCCCAGGTCTGATGGCAATCAATTAAACTACTCGAGGGATTCCCCTCAACCCGAATTACGGGTTATTACACGAGCAAAACGTAGATTCTACGCTCAAGCAAACGCAATTTCAAAAATACTTTTCGAAACGCGCTCAAAACACGCACAAGCACACCAAACGCGCCAGCTCCCCTCAGCAAGGCGCGTTTGGCGACGTTTGAATTTTGTTTTCAGCCTCAAATCATTCCCGAACAACGCAACCTTGACATAGTTAACGAGGAAGAAGATGATGTGAAATCGGACAAAGTTGAGCATCGTGGCGTCCGCTTTTCCGACGATGAAAAAGAGCCGCCAAAATCGGTGAATGGAACGCTGGAACGAGCTGATCGAGAGGAGCGAAAACGCAAACGACAATATAATGTACATAAAATGCATACCGCTGTTAAATTGAACGAATTGATGAGGAGTAAATCGAGCGATGCGCAATTGGTGTTTGTGAATTTGCCTGGACCGCCGGAAGTTGATTCCGATTCTTATTGTGAGTTTGGATTTAAATTTAAATTAAAAAAAAACACTTTTTAAAAAATTTTAGACATGGAATTCATTGATGCGCTCACTGAAAGTCTTGAACGTGTTGTTTTGGTTCGTGGAACTGGCTCAGAAGTTGTCACAATTTACTCATAAAATCCCCCCCACCCAGTGCCTAGTCTTCTTATTTCCCCCCTAGTCGCATTGTAGTTGCATCGCCCATGAACTGTTTGAGACAGGTATCCCATATCCTTCTAGTTCCCCCATCCCCTTCCCTGATTTTCCCCCGAAGCCTTTTGACGTGTTTATTTTTCTCTGATTTTGCCATTTGATTTGATTTGCATCGAAGTTTTCTTGTATTTTTGAAAATGTTTACTAAAAATAGAATAATAATAATTATTATTGAGATTTTTTAGCGTTTTCAGCTTGTTTCGCCAAATTATACTTCTTTCCTCCATTGTGCAAATAGTGCTCCTTATAGAATCTGAAAATATTATTTTCACGATGAACCTCTTCTCTCCAGGGTAAACTTACTGGATCCACAAGTAATAATAAGTTGTGAGCATGAAAAATCCGATGAAAGTTCCTCTAAATGTTCCAGCTGTCTCCTCAACACCGGCCACGAATTTCAAATAGAAAACGTGGAGTTGAGCGATGATTGCGACGGTGAATTGAAGCATTTGAGATGTTGTGATGATTTGAGCGACGATTGGGGGAACGTTGAATTTCAGCGATTTTAGGAGATAATATCCGTACATTGCGGCGTGGATGATGTAGTTCATCCAGACAACCCAAACCATATGAACATTGTCCTCGTGATAGCAGACGATTGCGTAATAGCCGGTGAGAGCGTGGTGATACCTGGGAAATTTTAGAGGCATTGCTCATAATATACGCGTGTTTGGTATCATTCTTTCCCAAATTTCAATTCAAACTAACCAATGCATGAAAATCAGTGGTCGCTTTCTCAAAACAATAAAAACAGTATCAACGAGCTCTGGAATTTTCGAAAGAACCCAAAGATAGATCCAATAACCGGAAAGTTTATTGGTGTAAAGTTCGGAAACATTTGTATAGGTGTCTGAAAAATTCCTCTTTTTTTCTTAAATTTCTTTTTTTCAATGAAAAAGCAACTTACGTGAAATTCCGTGGTTATAAATAACCGAACATAACGTCGGAAAGACTGCCAAAAATCCCAACAACGAAAATGTCGACAAAATCCCATTCCAAATGTTCAACGGAGTGTGCAAATCGAACGGTTTCCGATCCTTCATCAAATATTTGATCGAGAAAATTGTGATCATATAGGCGACGGCTAATTTGACGGAAACACCTTCGAGTCCACGCGCATACTCTTTGGCACGTTCATAATCGAAATTCGTTCCGAGCAGCAGATCCATTAGTATTTTCGGGGAATAGACGAATGAGTGTTTTGGAGTATTCACTTTGCTGATAAGATTTTTTTTCAAAAAAGGGGTGGGCTCATCACGCCATCGACTGATTTTCATGTGCACATTTGGGTAAATAAAAATAAAGTTGGTAATCGTTTGATGGATGGTTTTTGATGTGATCTTTGTGTTGATCACGGATTTTGAAAATATTGAAAAATCAAAAAAATTAAAATATATTGACGTGAAAGTTTTTGAAGCGTGAACTTCTACGTGGCAATTTAAAAACTTCATTACAAAAGAAATAATGCATTTTTCATATAAGGAGACCGAGCCTTTCAAAAAAAAAAAAAAAAAAAAATTCAGATAGTGACTCTGTGATTTGTAACCATTTGCAAAAATTCTAAAATAACATTTTTGTAGTTTTAAATTTAAAATTTGGTCTCGTGCCTCTTTTCAGTTTAAATTCAGCATCTCACAAAAAATCTCAATCCTTTTCTGATTGATTGATTTTTTTTCCCGGCAATTTCCCTCCAAACTTTTTTTGCTGACACTTTTTTGTGGTTCTGCTGACAGGCCAGTTCCAAGCGATAATAAAACTACTGATTTGATAAGAAGTGTTCCATGATTTGATCGTAAGAACAATAAAACATGATAGATCACAGATTACACGAAAATAGAACTATGAAATCTGTAGTCATTTGGATTTGTGGAAATTATTTATAAATTCTCGGAATTCGGTCCAAGTTAGAAACTTAGAACTTGTTTTTCAGAGCTTCAGGTTCAAAAATCAGGAAGCACATAATGGTACATTGTACCTGCACGTTTCTTCGAAACCATTTCCTGGTTAGATAAGACAAAAATGGGTTATCTAATCAGGAAATGAAAAGCATTTCTGTAGTGAATTGGCAACAAAAATAATCGAGAGGTAAAAGTTTATTTTATAAATACATACTAAGTTTTTCTCTGTAAACTGAATAAAGTCACAATCGTTTATTTTTCATAATTTGATCCAGGATTGCCTGCAAATATTCGGAATTGGAGGAATTTTGAGAGAAAATATAATTTTCAAAAAACAATCCAGAGGGCTATTTTGGAACAATAACCCATAAGAAATATGTATTTTTCAGAAAAAATCCCATAAAGTTTGACCTGAACTTGCTTTCATATATTTTTAATTTATAAGCTAAATTACGGTCTGAAATTATTATTTTACAGCCTAATTTTTTTTGAATATTTATATTTTTTGTGCCCCAAAATACAAGAAATTTCTTAACATTTTCAAAAAAATTTGGGAAGAGCTACTTATTATCAAAAATCTCACCAGTACCACGCGCTCCACCGAACTAAACACGCAACGCAGACCGCGTCGCGCCACAACACACACAAATAAGGGAACGATTCAAATTCCCTCCCTTTTTTGTGTGTGTTGTGGAGCGGCGCGGTCTGCGTTGCGTGTTTATTACGGTGGAGCGCGCGGTACCGATGAGATTTTCGATAATATTCAGGAAAGTTCACCTATCCACCTCCCACTGAAAACTCACTGGCAATATTTTCAAGGCGAGCTTGCGCATCAGCCGCAGTAATCAAAGCCTGTGGAGGCGGGCGAATAATTTCAGGCGAATCTTTCAAAAGTGTCTCAAACTTCTTTGGTCGCATCAACGACAACGGCGATTCGTAATAGTAAAGTAGTTCATCGCGAGTATACGAGTTGTTGTCTAGTAGAACGATTTCATTGCTCATTGTTTTTACGAATAAACGAGAAATGAGAAATGAACGATTTATTCTAAATAAATAAATACAGGGAACAAATGAGAAAAAAATAAAGTTCACGCAACCCGGCTTATTAATTTTAATAAATTTAAATTTTTTTGAGAAATTCTAATGCTCCTTTTTCTCTTTTTTCTCAGCGTTGAACTTCTTGCCACCACCCTTGATGTATGATTGATAGTAGAAGTTGCCGAAGAGTACGACATACGAGATCTCCATCAATAAACAGAACCAATAGAATGTTGGAGTTGAATCAACTGGAGCACCAGTTGCTGCGAGATATCCAACATGGAACAAAATAAAGTGGGTAATAACGAATTGTAAGATTTGCATTGTTGTGATATTCTTCGCAATCCAGGCTGGAACTTTGACACCGAAAGATCTCAACATATAATAACCATACATGATTGAGTGAACTGTGAAATTCATCCATGTAATCCAAACATTAAATCCAAGATTGTCTTTGAAAGTGATGAAAGCGTAATTCATTGTAAGAACGTGATGATACCAATGAAGGAACATCAAAGGCTTTTTGCGAAGAACAATAAACATCGTGTCTCCGAATTCAGCAACTTTTGAGAGAACAAAAAGCCAGGTGAACAATCCTGATGTGCCATTGTAAAAGTCACCAATATGAATGTAAGATGCTGTGAATCCTCGGGAAAAGATTTCATGCAAAAGTCCGATTGATGTGGCAATTGAACCAAGTGTTGAGAAGATTGCAAGCCAGGCATTCCACAAATTCAATGGGCCAGTGAGCTGCAAACTTATAATATATATATATATATATATATATAAATATTCTGTTCTCCTGTCTAAAAACTTACATCAAATGGTTTTCGATTGGCCATGAAAGCTTTGGTTGAGAAGATCACAACAACATAAGCCATAGAAATCCAGAATGCAACATATTTGGTTTGTTCAATGTGGATCTTCGCCAATTCATGTTTGAATGGAAGAGTTGTTGCAACTTCAAGGAAGCTGACCTCAGCCACCATTTTGTGTGTCAATCAATATACCTGGAAAAAAAAACATAAAAATAACAAAAGTACAAGATAGAGCAAATAGAAGAACACGAGAAATGAGTAAAGTGGTCGACTTTTATATTTTCGAAAGGGGCGGAGTAAAAATGGTATGATATGAAAAAATGTTATGAGGAGACACACAATAATGACATGTGAAAGACGATTGCTTATATAAACGTTTTTTGAGTGTGCTGTTTTTATTGACCAGGTTTGGTGATAAAATAAAAATGGTTTTTTTTGCAAAGGGGGGTTGTCTAGTTTGAGTATGAAACTTGTGAAAATTCCTGAAATTAATCAAGAAATCTGAAAAGATTTTGCAGTTTTCTCTTCATTAAAAAATTTTATTCGAGAATGCTACATAATCTGCAAAGTTCAAAAGTTTTGCCAGATTTCCAAAATAAACAAATAATTTGGTCTTTTGGCCAAATTTGTCATTATTTAATCACACGCTGCACAAAAAACAGCAGGTGAGAATTAGTATTTAGTTTGAACAAACTAGAGATAGAGAAAAAAAACCAAATCTCGCGAATATTCATTTATTCAACAATCAAACAACATGAGTGGTTTTGCCCTGACATTGCCTGAAGTTTTTACTTTTTTGAAGTTCATTATTCATGATGAGGTAACTTTGCAAATGTGAATTTATTGTTTTTTCTATTCGGTTCAAAACAAACTATTACACATTATGAATAAAATTGTATTAAGTGTGAACCCTACAAACATACCACGCCCAGCTTCGTGCAAATTAACTTTAAAAATTGGCGGTGTGGGTTTTGAAATTTTTTGGCGAGGTGAAAACAACCTTTTCGACTGGAAATTACGACTTTTTACCAAAATCTAGCAAAAATTTGCCGTTTTTCAAAAAAATCTCAAATTGGCGAGGTGTATTTTCGAATTTTTTTATTGGCGCCGTGCAGATGCCTCACCCTGGGCGTGGTATGCCTACAAATTTCGAAAAATTGTAATGTTTCAGAGATTGCCACAACTTTCAAAATCGGAATTGGAAAATTTTTCATACCCGGATTTATTGGACGATGAAAAGTTGAAATGTCTGCTAGATTTGCTTTTCAAAAAATCAAATGGAGGACTTGATATTTATGTTTCACCGGAATCAATTATTGAAGAATTGAAAACTGTCGAACAAATTCCAGAGATGTATCGATTATTTAAAGATAGAGAGACAATTCAATGTTTTAGAATTCGTAACTTATCTTTACAATACTGCAATGAAGATCATGTATATTATTCAAAAAACGGTCTTGGTGATTTGGTTTGTCAAAAAATGCTATTGAAGACGAATCACAAACTCACTGCTATTTTTATACAATCATGGTTTTTTGATTGTTTCATCCGAAAATTTGATGAGAATATGAAAAATTGTTTTGAATTAATACCCGAACAGGCCTGGAAAGTGCTGTCAAATGAGCTCGATAAATACTCGGTAAGTTAAAATATTTCTGAAAATAACAATATATGTGAACACAGGAATTTGAATTTGTCTTCAACTGTAATCAGAAAATCTCTGAAAATCATATCAACAATCTTATTAACAACTATTTAACTGAAAACACCGAACCCATGAATAGGGTTCGAGATAATATGGCTGAAATCTTAACCGTGAGTACCAATTCACATTAAAAATATAAATTTATTACATTTTCTATTTATATAGTTTTACCCAATCGAAAACAACCAACAATTGTGGCATAGAATTTATATGGATATCAGTTTGAAAACGGAACATTTAATTCGCACTATGAATAAATTTAAAGATTTATTTCATCCGTTTCCAAAAAATAAGGCAAGTTTGTTTTTCTATAATGATATGTTAAAAAAATATTTTAAAAGGTTACATCGATTTACCAATATCCTGTCGTTCGTTTATTTGTGGAAGACACTCGTCTTGTACCATTTATGTTCTCAAAAGAACTGGAAGATGCACTACTTGTTGTATTGAAACGGAAATATCCTAATAAAAAAATCCCGAAAGGTGAGGAAGCAGAATTTTATTTTTGTTCTATGGGGTGATTCAGTCAAAGTAATTGACAAAATATTCAAGTTATTTAGAGCGATTAATTTTACGTTTCTCTCGCATTTTACATACTTTACATAAATGAATGCGATTGAAAAAAAAACGTGAAATTAATCGTTCTATTTAAAATACTCACTAATTAATTCGATTAAATCACTCCATCAGGACTTCTTGAAATCGAAAACGAAAATGAAAGAAGACTTGGAATTGTTAATGCTGTCAATTTTGAAGAGTTTCGAAGAATATTACGAGTTCTTACAATTCAAGAATCTGATTTTTCGGTAAGATCACAGACAATAATAATTTTCTATGTGTATTTTTCATACAGATAATTGGTCAAAATGCTCCAGTTAACAATCGAAAAGTTTTTTATCCCATATTATCTCCATATGGAAAGCATTGCATTTTTTCTGAACAATATTTTACTGAACTTATTTACTATCTCACAGTTGTTCTGGAAATATTCAAAAGTGTTAATGCAATCAATTTTGATTTGGTTCAAAAATGGATTGTCAAAAAATGCAAAGATATTTTCAAAAAACGGGTAAATGTTTACGTCTGAAAATAGATCGTCAAAGAACATTTTACAGGACAAACTATATCTCATAGAAGTGTGGAAATATGATGAAATTTTGAAAGAAGCTCGGGAAGAGCTACAAATTTATAAAACAGAGGTAATATTAAAAACAAGGGTAAAAATAATACAAATTTTTCCATCTGCAACAGTTTGTAGGTAAAAAAAGTGAGAATTTTTTATGTTCCGTTTTTACACCTGTGTGAAAATGATACAATTTTTACAAACCAAACACTATTTCAGCCAATATTTGAAGTTCCGATAAAATCAAGTTATGAGAAAAATGAAGTTGTAAAATTTATCAAAAAATGTACAAGCTTTTTTGAAATTAGACCAGAGGTTTCTCAGTAACCTTTGCGACAAAACAATTTTGCGAGTTGGCGACATCGCATACAAGGATTTTTTGGAAATATATCACAAAATTATAACATTTCACATTGCGTGTGTTAACACAGATGTTAGTTTGATTTAGAAAATGTTCTCGGAAAATTTATTTTATTGACTATTTCAGATTCAAAACCTTTTTCCAACTGTGAAGTACTACGAACTGAGATTGGACAAAATACCTATCTCATTTGATTCGTCAAAATGTTTTTCTGCCAATTCAACAGCTTCCCAAGAAAATATTGAAAGCTCGAAAGATCGCTCACAAATGGTGGAAAAAGAAGAAAATTCTATACAAATGGATTTTAATAGGTCGTTTTTTGAGAAAATTCTCAAGAAAAATAAGTGTTTCATTTTCAGGAAGAATACTGCGATTGAGACACAGCTGGATGATATGAAAAAGTTGCGACAAACAGAAACAGAATATTCGGAAAAGTTGAAAACAGAAAATTCGAAACTATCAACTCAATTGGAAGAAATCAAAAACAAAATGAAATTGGAGCAGAATTCTGAAATCGAAAAACTACGAAAACTATTGGAAACAAAGAATCTGCAGATCGAGAAGCTTGAGAAAAATAAAAGTAAAAAAGCGGCGATTGAAAATGAAAAAACTGATGAGAAAAATTTGAAAGTGTAAGTTAAAAATGTGAAAATAGAGTTGAACAGAAACATTTTAGTCAGATGACAAATCTCAAGAAAAACTATCGAGAAGAAATGCATAAATTGAAAGAAGAATCGAATAATCGAAATAACCAGATTCATAAATTACAAGCTGAATTGAAAAAGTGAGTGGAATAGCTTTTTCAACAACAAATTTTCTTCGAAATTTCAGATCGAGAGAGGAATTGAAGGCGGAAAGATTGGCTTCGAATAAATTGAATGATGAAGCTTTGAAAAAAGCGAATGAACAGATGAAGAAAATGAAATTGGAATTGGAAAATCTGAAATTTTCAGATAACGCAAAAAACAAAACAAATAATTGAATTGGAAAATTCAAACAGACAATTACAATCTATGAATGAAATCTTGGAAGAGTGAGTTGAAAAAATATACAAAACCTTGACACAATTATTTTTTCTTTTCTTCAGACAAAAACCAGAAGTTTTGCTGAAAAAATATGAGCAACTTGAACAGAAACTTATTTTACAAAAGAAACTCAATGAATATGAGAAAATGTTAAGAGTGGATTATAATGATGTGGTTGATACAATGAGTGCAGCTCTGAATGAGATATCATTCAAATTTCCGAGAAATCAGGAAATAATTGATGTGAAAAATGAGATTTTGAAATTTGAAGAGGATTTGGATGATTATTTGCAAACTATTCGTTATGAAATTTGGAAAATTAACAATGATTCGAGTTTTGAAGAGATGAAAGATATTGATCCATTTCCAAATGCTGAACTTATGATCAAATATGAAAATATCTTGAATTCACAAGGTGTTAAATAATTTATTATGCTGATAATTATCTAAAAATGAATTCATTTACCAGAAAAACATTATTGAATAAATATTTTTTTTAGTCTTACAATTAGGGTAAATTGCATTTTAACCCCCCCCCCCCCCTTAAGAAATACATGCCCCCATCGGCATGATGTGTTTTGATACCACACCATACCACGGTTGTTTTCACCTCGCCAAAAAAGTTCAAAACCCACTCCGCCAATTTTCAAAGTTAATTTGCACGAAGCTGGGCGTGGTATGTACCCCAACATAATGCTTTACAAGCCCCCTCACTCAAAAATACTCAAAACATTTCTGACATTTATTTGTGCTTACGTGTACTAATTTTTGAGAATTCTGAAAATGACGTGTTCTAGATGACGTGTTCGAGAATGCCAACAAAATGTTTTGTTCATATTATCACTCATTTATTTTTCAACTCGAAATAGAAAACGGTGGTTTTCTTATCTAATGTCTATTCTATCTAAAAACCAGTGAAAACTGGCAGGATTTTTGAATAAACGGTTAGTGTGTCGATAATTTGAAAAAAAAAATGTTGAAAAACTCACTTTTCCTCCAGTTTTCCTCCTCGTTTTTCAAAATCATTCAACTAAAATACGCTTCATAAATTGTTTCGATATTTGCATCATTTTGCTGACGGGTTTCCTGTAAAGTAGAAATGCGTCAAGTACTTTTAACGAAATAAAACTTCAAGAAAGTACATTTTTTCATTAAATTACTCTTTGAGCATCATAAAACTATCGAAAATCAACTAAAATTTTGTTACTTGTAGTAGGAAAAGTGGTAAATATGAATTTCACAACAAGTTTCATTCAAATTCATTAAAAAACAACAAAAAATACGCGAATGAAACGTTTTCGAAAAATAAAAACAAGAAAATAAAAGTAAAAATGGAAGTGCGCCCTATTGATAAAAATCGCATGTCGCGCAAAGGAGGAAAAGAAAGAAAACGAAATTTTTGTCAAAAATTTATTTGATCTACCCCGCTATTTTTCTATTTTAGGTGAACACGCTCATCGATTTTTTTGTCATTTTCAAGTTCATATCATTATTCTGTGTATTATTCTTTGGCCGTGCGAGCTGTGTTATGTGAAAGATAAGTTTTTCAGGGCGGGATTTTATGGTTTCAAATGGGCTTTAAAAAATTTCGCCCCCCACTCGGATCCTCAAAAACTAGAGAAAGTCTGCGCGCGCTCCCCGAGTTAGTACCGCCTACCAGCTTTCGAAACCCAAAGCCACTCATTTCACACGATCTGAGTGAGGATTCTTCATTGAATCCCTTTGCTGCGGCCGGAAAACAGTGACGGGAGTCGCATTGGGTTTTGCGCATCGTTTATGATGTTTTTTTTGGTGAAGAGTGGGGCAAAACGTGGGAAATGAATGAGAAAGGGATGACACTTTGAAAATAAATAACGATTTTTCTATTTTTTTTCTTTTCGCAGGCGATTCAAATATGGCTGGGTGGATGGATTTCGGTTACACCAAAAAATGAGCGATCCGGGAACTGTTGCAAATAGATCAAATGCGAATAAGTGAGTTTTTTCCCGGAAAATTTTGAAAAAAAAATCAAATTTCTTTCGAACATTGCCCATTTTTTAGCCTCTTTTGAAAACAACTTGATTTTTTTCTTTCAAAAAACTAAAGTTTTAGGTTCTGTAATTAACTTTTAATAAATAAATAACAAAAAAGAGACATTTCGAAGACATAAACAGTCAAAACTTGAAAAATGTTCTGTTTTCTCCATTGAAAAAATTAGAAATGACCGAAAATCGATTTTTATTTACGTGTGAAAACGTTTTTTTCGAAAAGCGCGGTCATTATTTGAATTTTCTTCTCAATTCGTGCCGAGACCCAGTTGTGTTTTTGAATGTTCCTTCAAACCGTACTACTGCAAACATTGAAATTTCTTTTTGTTTTTTTCGCTCTGTTCGACTTTGAAAGTAAATCGTAGCTGTTTTGAGTAGAATAAATGAAACATGTTTCTTTATTTGATTTTGAGCGAACACTTTTCTGACTATTCTGTGTTTCCCAAACGTTTTATGAATCATTTCATTGTTTATTTTTCATTCTTTGAAAAATTTCGATAATAACTGCACAATCTTATCACAAAAAAGCAGAAATCATGAAAAACTGTGTTTTCTTTCTAATTTATGAATTCGACCTCTATTTATTTATCTAGTTCAACTTTCTTTACTTACCACCTTTATTATTTTTCTTCTCTTTCTCTTTTTCTCTCTCATTTCTTGTCCTTTTGCAAACAAATAAATAAATACATATGTAGAAATATTTTGTTTTTTTAGCGAAAATGCAAGAGGATTTGATAATTTGGTTGTCATGGTTGATGATTATATCCGGAGTTGTAACATTGATTGCTTTATTGAGTGGTTTCACAGCTGGTTATGGAAGATATGCGCAAGATTCGAATCATGTGAGTTTTTTATTTCGAAAAAAAATCTTTTATTCACAAACATCTCTAGAAATTTTCAATTAATTTCACATGATATGGTTTACTTGTGAGTACAGTTCCCATTTGTGGTGTTAAATCAACTGGTTCCAATGGAACATATTCGTATTTTTGAATAAGTGCACTGAAAATCAAGAATAATTCCATTCTTGCGAGACCTTCTCCAACACACGCTCTTTTTCCAATACTGAAAGCGATTGAGCGATCGAGAACTGCCTGAAAATCGACAATTTTTGATTGATATTATCAAAAATCTCCACGCGTTCCACCGAAATAAACACGCAACGCAGACCGCGTCGCGCCATAACACAAGGGAACGATTCAAATTCCCTCCTTTTTTGTGTGTGTTGTGGCGCGGCGCGGTCTGCGTTGCGTGTTTATTTCGGTGGAGCGCGCGGAGATTTTCGATAATAAAACACACCTTGTTTGTTGTTTTGCCATCATCTAACAAATATCTGGATGGATTAAATTGAAGTGGAGAATCGAAGATTGGATCATTCGCCAAAACTGACCAAATTTGTGGAAAAGTCAATGTGCCAGCGGGAATATGTTTTCCACAAACAAATGTGTCTTTAACACATTTATGACTTCCCAAAAATGGAACCATATTCGAGTGACGTTGAACTTCGTGAATAACTGCTTGTGTATATGGTAGATCTGGTTTATCAGACATTGTTGGAAGTCGAGAAGTTCCAACAACTGATAGAATTTCCTCCCGAACTTTTTGTTGGATTTCGGGATATTTCATCATATAGGCAATATGCCAACGAAGCGATGTTGAAGTGGTTTCCATTCCAGCCAACCAGAAGTCTAAAACTGAAGCGTAAAGATTTTTCATATCTAAACCACTTCCAGGTTTTATTTGTTGCATATAAGCATGCACGAAATTAGTTGGCTCATCGTAATCATTGAATAATTTGGCTTGAGCATTCACTTCATCTTCGATAAATGTTTGATATTTATCAATGTTTCTTTTGATTCTGTAATACGCATAGTCTCCAATAATTGGAAGATATCGAATCCACGGCCAACATTGAAGCATTAACGTAATTTTGTTCTGAACATTTTTCATCATCGACATATTTTATATTTAAAGGCAGTTAGACAATTATTCCGGTTTTCCTCAAAGCTTAGTGTCAAAAATAGTTTATTATGAAACGAACCAGTCCGAAATCATGAAAGTTAATACGAGCCAAGAAAATCTTGTGTTTTCAAAATTTCAAATTGCCCCCCACGTCCAGCGGATTTGTGTGTGTGTGCAAACACCGCGACGCACTTTTGCACAGGAAGAATTGAAGTTTCATATTTTCACAATATTTCATCTTTTGTTTGATTCAAGTTTAGCCCGGTTAAAGTCAGAGGCTTCGTGGGTGGTCTCCGTCAACCGGAATAGCTGTCTGACCGCCTTTAAAAAAAACTTACGAACGAATCTCTCAAGTGATTTGAAACGATAGTGACAAATTCCACAAATCTTTCCGGATTTTTATAACTGAAATGATATCCGAAAAGTGTCTCATTGATAACATTTCCAACACATAATTGAATTGGCCAAAAAATATCGATATCATTTTTGTTTTCAACATTTTTCAATTGTTCTAGCATTTCCTCGATGGATCCTTTCACTTGTTCTTCCATCAAACCTTTTCCCAATCCAAATTCTCTCAAAATCTTGAGCGATGTGCGTCTTTGAAGTCTCCAATTATCACCATCACTCGATAAAATTCCAACTTGTTCATGCGGTTGCAATAATGTTTCTGGTGGAAGTTGTGATCGATAATTGAACGTTTCACCCTGTGTTATAAATGCGTCTTTAATATGTTCATAATCGGCGAAAACAACGATTGGAAGAGGCATCCAAACTGTGAAACATGGCCCATAGATTTTCGACAATTCATCGATTTTTCGATGAAAATGTTCTTGTGGGAATTGCAACAAGTTTCCGAATATTGGAATTGGAAATGGTCCTTTTGGATATTTTGAAACTTTCCAATAGAAATAGGCAACATATGCCGAAATACAAACTAATAGCAAAACCAAAATCATATTTACTCAACATTTTTACACAATTCTGTCTCTATTTATACATTTGGTCACATTAAATACACATTTTTTCAATGATAAAAACCTAGTCGTTTTTTTCTTGTTTGGTCACTCTAACTAGAACTTTTTTGGCAGAAAACAGAAAATGAGATCACTCGAACAATTTTCCAAAAAAAAAGACCTATTACAGTATTCGGTCCCGGCTGGATTGGCATGGTTCATTCAAGAATTTCCTGCTTTCATCATCCCATTTGTCTACACATTTCAAGCCAAAACATATTATGGAATTCTCGCAAATCTTCTCGTTCTTTCACACTATTCTAACAGGTACTTTTATCTTTAAGTTTTCCAAAAAAAAAATCATTTCTTTTCAGAACATTTGTTTTTCCATTCCGATTGAGATCAAAAAATGGATCGCCCTGGTTTATTGTGTTGTTGGCTGTTGGATTTTGCTGCTGGAACGGGTTTATTCAAGGATGCTGGAATGCGAATTATCAGCCGGAAATTCGAAATATTGATTGGATTTCAATTGTGCCGGGTGTTGCTATTTTTCTAACTGGAATGTTGATCAATCATCGAGCTGATTCGATTTTGTTGAATTTGAGAAAACCGGGAGAAAGTGGATATAAGATTCCGAGAGGTAAATATACAGTTTATTATTTTTGAGTAGAGACAATGTGAAATTGAGAGACTTCAGACAGAACAATTGATTTTTCGCACAAAAAATACAAAAAACTGTCTGCACTCTCTCAATTTCACGTTGTCTCTACTCAAAATAATAAACTGTATATTTTGTTTTTTCGACGTTTTTCTGCATAGAAAAATATGTTTTTTTTATTACAAAATATTATTCAGAAAAAAAACAAAAAAATCAAGCCACCTAGGGGACTCGAACCCCTGACCTTAAGATTAAAAGTCTCACGCTCTACCAACTGAGCTAAGGAGGCCACGCTGTTCTTCACTCAAATTTCTCTCAAATAAAAACAATGTAAAAAATTCCAATTTTTCTAGGAGAATTGTACGAATATATCTCATGCCCAAATTATTTTGGAGAAATAATTGAATGGACTGGTTATGCAATTGCTGTTCAAAGTCTTCCAGCCCTCGCTTTTGCTATCTTCACATTTTGCAATATTGGACCAAGAGCAATTCAACATCATCAGTAAGTATTTTTTTCTGAAAAGATTTTTTTTCTAACAATAACATAAAATTTCAGATGGTATAAATCAAAGTTCCCGGATTATCCGAAAGATCGAAAGGCCCTGATTCCATTTATTTGGTGAGTCGGGAAAGTGTAATTTATGTATGTATTTTAATTGTATTTTTTGCAAGAAAAAACAGAAAAGTTTTAAATTAGCAAAGCTTTATGGAATTTCACAACGAATTGAATTAACAGGGCATTATGAATAGATAAGGGTAAAAGACTAGGGGAGAAAAAATCAGGAAAAATTATTAAAAACAATTAATGATGCTCTAAAATGCCCGCAATACTATAAAAAAAAATACTTTCACACAAATTATAAAAAAATGAAAACAAATTTTTTTGGGGATCATTTTTTTTCAAAATCGCATAGTGAAACTTTTGGGGCAGAAAGTTTCACTTTTTGAATTTTGTTGGAAAAATAATCGGCAAAGCTTGGAATACATATGAGAAGATTATTAAGATCACAAATAATTAAAGTAAAGCTCTTTGTGGGGGATGAGAAAATTTCGAATCGGCAAAAAATCTTGGGGCGAGATTTGACGGGGGGCAACCAATTGCGATTTTTTGACATCCGGAATGTTTTTTGGTTTTTGTTTGGAACTAGAAAAGCAATTACGGCAAAATATCTGGAATTTGGGAATTTTTGAATATTCTCGAAGGAGATTCAGAACTCACAATTAAAAAAAAGGTTTTTTTCTTGTATCAATTTAGAATTGATTTTGTTGTTGTCTTCGGAATGTTGTTCGTGTTACATTTCCTTCAGCGTCGACTGTCTCGAATTGTTCATCATCTGGCAGTTGATCGAGACGTTCTTGACTTTCTGTGCCGGTGAATGTGACGTGGCTAACCAATGGATCGGTGACCTAAAAAATCACAAGAGTTATTATCGAAAATCTCATCGGTACCACGCGCTCCACCGAAATAAACACGCAACGCAGACCGCGTCGCGCCACAACACACACAAAAATGGAGGGAATTTGAATCGTTCCCTTATTTGTGTGTGTTGTGGCGCGACGCGGTCTGCGTTGCGTGTTTATTTCGGTGGAGCGGGTGGTACCGATGAGATTTTCGATAATAAGAATTTTTTTTTGTGAACTTTGGTGGCTCTTGATTTAAGTTTCCGATTTTTGTTCAGTTTTATACTTCAATAACTCACCCTTGTCTCAACACGTCTCGAAATAGTTTGCACACTTCCATCCGGCAAAACGGAAGTTGTTTGGAATGTTGTCAAAGTTGTTGGATATGATCGCAACATTCGATCCATATCATCGTCCAAAGAATCCTTGTCATCTTCTTCAGCTAGAGTTCCGATTGTGTCGCCGCTCAAAAGTCCATGAGTTGATTGACTTTCTGGACCTTGGCTAGCACCTTCGAGCACCGAATCCTATAATTTTATTGTTAGAAATAAAGTTTAGGAATACAGTTTATGACTTACCTTATCTATTGGAATTCCACCATCTAGAGAATCGGCTACACTTGTTTCCATAACTTTTGACACAATTTCATATTCTGCTGCTGTACTATCTGGTCTTTTCTCATCATCATCAAGTCTTCTTTGCTCAACTAAAGGTTCTAAAGAATCTGTACTTGTTTCCAAATACATTGCTTGTTCAGCAGTTAGATGTTGCTGTTGTTGCTCCAAAGAATCAGTTGGTGAAGGTGGGGCAATCGGTGTTGTGACTCTCTCATCAACTGGAATACTTTTCAATTCTTCGGTATCAACATCAACATCAACTTCTTCATCGTCATCTCGTGTGCTCATATCTTCGGTTTCGGATTCTTCTTTGATTAGAGACAACATCATTTCCTCAGTTGGTGAGATGTTTTCGGTGACTTCTTTTTCTAATCTCTCAAATTCGGCTAACGAACTAATCGATCCTTCTCCAGATTTACTCATTTTTCCAGCCATTAATAATTCGATTTCACTTCGAGTCAAACTTCCATCACCTCGTGTTCCAAGTTCTCGTTCCAATCTCTCAAATTCTTGCAAACTTGTCAATGATAAATTGTCACTTGACGTATGTTTATATTTTCCAAGTGATCCATGTGGTGAATTTCCACTTCCAGTTCCATTCAATGAATCGTCAATATCTTCGGGTTCTTCTTCAACTGTTTCAAGTTCTTCAGAATGTGGTTGATCATCTTGATAAACTTCATAACCGAGTTGTTCAGCAGTTTGATCTTCAGCTTCTTCGTACACTGGTTTCTCACTTCTAGCACTCAAATCTTCCGGTGTTGAAACTTCTCCAGGTCCTCTAATAATAACTGACGATGCACTTCCACTTCCAGCCGCATCAATCGAATCACTTGATCCAGATAGTGTTTGTCCTTGTTCGAAATCAACATTTTGTATAACCGTATCAGCATGACTTTCCGACGAAATGTCCGAGAGTTGTCGCGAGTAACGTGAATCGCTGGTGTCTTCGGACGATGCCTCCATAGATATACCATGGATGCTAGTAGTCATACCTTTTTCAAGGCTCTCCGCCACTGGCGGTGTTTCTTGCTGAACAAATACAAATTGTTCCTCATTCTTTCTTGGTGGCACTGGTGATACTGGACGGCCTGGATCTGCAGTTGGTGGCAGCAGAACTCCACTTGGGCTGATTGGAAGTTTATCATCTGATTCATCCTCTTCTTCAATTGTCACTTGTAAAGCAACATCTGGTGTCGATCTCGCTGTGTCGATATCAATGTCGAATGCTCGAATAACTGGCATTTCAAAATCCTGTGAAACTGTAAAATGTCTATCCGAATCAACTGGTGATAAAACAGCTTGCGGGGTAGAAGTTTCTTGTCGATCTGCATTATCGCTCAATCTGCTTGGTGCTCCACTTGCAGCTGAAGTATATTCCGAATCTTGAGATGTCCATCCTTGCGCAGAATCATAGTTGTCTTCTTGAGATGTTACACAAGTATCGTATTGATCATCTTTTGATTGTTCGGTTGCAGTTTGATAAACATCTGATGTAACAGTTTTTTGTTCGTCATCATTTTCTTGTAATACTTGTCTCATAACATCGTCAACTAAATCAGTTGCAGCTCTTCTAGCAGCTTCATCCTCTTCCTCGTCTTCCTCCTCATTTCCCTCACTTTCATGAATCACATCTAATTGATCCGAAAGTGTTGTGGTTGTTGATGGTTCTTCTTCTTGCAAAGTTCGAAGATTTCCTTCATTAGCCAAAATATTCAATTTTTCTTGAAGATCAGAATAATAATCGACTTCAGGTTCATTAGTAACTTCTTGACATGATTCTTGTTTCAAAAACTTTTGACGTCTTGGTGTAACATCGGCCATAATTTGACTTGCATCACCTTCGGCTTCTTGAATAACATCATCAGTTAATTGTGTCGAGAATTCTTCAAGAACTTCTCCATGTTTATCATAAACTTTCCAGTCATCCTCTTGATCTTCTTGTTCTTGCTCATAGCTAACTTTTTGAACATTCTCGAAAGCCTCCGATGTCAATTCCTCAACACTTTTCTTATGTTGTGGCGAATGTTCTCTGGAATATTCTCGAATGTGTTGATCGAGTGGATCGAAAACATGGGAGACCAATTGATTTGCGGTTCTTTCAGCTGGATTTTGTTCCTCGGAATGAGTTGGGCTCGAGACTTGTTCTTCATCGTGTGGTGAATCATATTCTCGCGATTCAATGATATGAGATTCTTCGATGTCAGTTGGTTGTTCAGCAAAGTTTTCTGGTTGTTCATCGACTGACAAAACTGGACTTGAAACGCGTTCTTCGTCGTGTTCTGGATGACTATAATCTTCCGATTCGATGATATGTGGCTCTTCAATTATCTCATATTCTTGAGAAGTTGGAGAATCTTGAATTCGTGTTTCGAATTTTTCCGATGGTTGGTCTTGAAGATATTGCGATGGTTCACCTTGATCTTCTTCATCATCAGAATCTCGTTTCAATTTATCATAAGCAGTCTTGGCTCCGATGGCAGCAAGAGCAACTGGAGCTGCAATAACTCCACCAGCAACCATTCCAGCTTTCTTTGCGAATCCAAGAAGTTTGTCTCCGAACTTGGACTCTTCTGGTTCTTCTGGATATTCTTGATGTTGTGTGAATCCAACAGGTCTCTCGGATTCTTCGTGAATTTCAGAAGAGAAATCTTGTGGTTTTTCAGCTTCTGGTGAGCTTAATTGATGTTGCTCTTCACGACGAACATCTTCTGATTGATATTCTTCCGATTCGATTATGTGTTCTTCAGATTCTCGCTCAAAATGAGGAACTTGTGATGGTTCTTGTCTAAACTCGGATGATTCAATAACGTGTGGATGTTCTTCGGAAATTGAATCATGTTCAGATGTTTTCTCATAATCATCTTCTTCTCTTGGAATATGGTGGCTTTCTTCAGAAATTGAATCACGTTGTTGAATTGGTGATTGACTGATGAACTCGGAAGATTCAATAACGTATGGTGCATCGGCTTCAGATTTTTCTTCGTGAGAACTCGAAAGTTTGGATGATTCAGTTGGCTCTTCTTCCTCGTCAGACCGCAAAAGTGTTGATTTTTCGGTTGGTTCAGGTTCTTCATCATATTCTCGAACAACGGTGGAAGTTGTTACTGGAAAATCATCAGATCCTTCTTGATGAGAGAATGTTGTTGTAGTGGTTGTTTCAATAACATGTGCACTATCATCGTCTTGTTCCTCAACTTCTCTTCTAACTGTTGTGGTGGTTGTTTCGATAAAGTCTGGAACTGGTTCATCGTCTGCAGAATTTTCAGCGGCTTCCCGAGTCACTGTCGTAGTAGTTGTTGTTTCAGTGAGATATGGTTCGGATTCAGATGGAATCGGGGAATCTGCAGATTGTTTCTCTGATGGAACTGGAGATTCTCTTTGATCTGTGGTTAGTGGTTCTGATTCGTCGAAATATTCTCGAACAACGCTGGTAGTTGTTGTTGTCTCAATAATATGTGATTCATCATCGTGGCCTGATTTCTCTGATGGAATTGGAGATCCAGCTGATTGCTGGATACTGGATTTTTCCGAAGGAACTGGTGATTGTCTATCAGAAGCTTGTTCGTCGAAAATTTCACGAGTTACAGTTGTGGTTGTTGTTGTTTCAACCACGTGTGGATGTTCTGATTCTGATGGAACTGGGGATCCTGCAGATTGATCAACGCTTGATTTCTCCGATGGTACTGGTGACTGGCGTTGTGCGAAAGCTTCTGGTTCGTCGAAGTATTCACGAACAACGGTGGTAGTTGTGGTTGTTTGAACAATATGTGGTTCTTCCTCATGAACTTCTGTGGATTTCTCCGATGGAATTGGAGATCCTGCAGATTGTTGAATACTGGATTTCTCTGATGGAACTGGAGATTCAACTCGAGCAGAAATCGATGATTGCGATTTTTCTGATGGAACTGGCGACGCAGATCTTTGTTCAGCAACTGGCGATTCTGGCTCAGCTTCATATTGACTGGATGGTTCAGCAGTTGTTTCGATTTCGTCCTCACTAGACTCTTCTGAAGAATGTGCCACTTTTTCTGGAAGGAAAGATTCTGAGGTGGTTGGAGATGGTCTTTTGAATTCAGCTGGTAATATTGGAGCTTGCTCGCGAGGAGGAGATAATGGAACTTGTTCGGCTTGAATTTCGGTTTGATATTGATCGAAATGAGATGGTTGTTCATGAATCGATTCGATTTCGTGTTGGCTGAATCGAGATGATTCACCTTGATCTTCTTCATCATCAGAATCTCGCTTTAATTTATCATAGGCAGTCTTGGCTCCGATGGCAGCAAGAGCAACTGGAGCTGCAATAACTCCACCAGCAACCATTCCAGCTTTCTTTGCGAATCCAAGAAGTTTATCTCCGAATTTGGATTCTTCTGGCTCCTCTGGATATTCTTGATGTTGTGTGAATCCAACAGGTCTCTCGGATTCTTCGTGAATTTCAGAAGAGAAATCTTGTGGTTTTTCAGCTTCTGGTGAGCTCAATTGATGTTGTGTGAAATCGGTAGATTCTGTTGGATGAACATCTTCGAATTGTTTGCTCAAATTTTCGCGTGATCCTCCAGTTGATCCACTGATAATTGGGGTTCCATCTGCTAGAACTCCAGAAATAATTGGTTCGGATTGATCTTGATCATCTGAAGATATTTGATGTTGATGAAGGTGTTCTTCAATAGTTGGAATTTCTCGAAGAACATCGTGTTGGAAGTCTTCTGATGTTTCTGTATGAGATGGAACTGGCGAGGATTGAGCTTCTCGAGAATAATCATCTTCATATCTTTGGAATTCAGTTGGTTGTTGTTCTGTCAACTCGTCATATTTTGGTTCTTCTTCGAACTGTTCTGGCGCTTCAGATTCGATGATATGAGCAGATTCGCTTCGGAAATCATCGGATGGAATTGGTGATCTATCAGATTCGCGAATATTTGATTTCTCCGATGGAACTGGAGATTCTCGTTGAGCAGTTGTTTCTGGCTCATCGAAATATTCGCGAGTAACCGTGGTTGTTGTAGTTGTTTCAATAACTTGTGGATGTTCAGATTCAGATGGAACTGGGGATCCAGCTGATTGTTGGATACTTGATTTTTCTGATGGAACTGGAGATTGAGGATCAGAAATTTGTTCTGGTTCCTCAAAATATTCTCGAACAACTGTGGTAGTTGTGGTTGTCTCAATAATATGTGGTTCTTCCTCGTGAATCGGGGATTCAGGTCTTGATTTTTCAGATGGAATTGGTGATTCAGGATGAGCAGCAACGGATGAATGTGATTTTTCTGATAGAACTGGTGACGCAGATCTTTCGAATTGATGTTCAGCAACTGGAGATTCTGGTTCATCGAAGATTTCTCGAGTGACAGTTGTGGTTGTGGTTGTTTCAGTCACATGTGGATGTTCTGACTCAGATGGAACTGGAGATCCTGCAGATTGATGAACGCTTGATTTCTCTGCTGGAACTGGTGACTGGCGTTCTGCGAAGGCTTCGGGTTCATCGAAATATTCTCGAACAACGGTGGTAGTTGTGGTTGTCTCAATAATATGTTTATCTTCATGGCTTGGTGATTCAGCTCTCGATTTCTCTGATGGAATTGGAGATCCTGCAGATTGTTGAATACTAGATTTTTCGGATGGTACCGGTGATTCAACTCTAGCAGAAATCGACGATTGCGATTTTTCTGATGGAACTGGCGACGCAGATCTTTCCAATTGTTGATCCTCAGCCGAAGGTTCTCGATCATATTTCTCTTCATAACTTGATGATTCGATGACTGATTTTTCGAATTCAACTGGGGAATCAGCCTTGATTGGTTCTTCATCAAAATGTTTTCGAGTTATCGTAGTTGTAGTTGTTGTTTCTAGAATTTGTGGATGTTCACTTTCAGATGGAACTGGAGATTCTGGTAAGTGTTGGATGCTCGATCTTTCTGATAGAATTGGAGATCCAGCTGATTGATGAATACTTGATTTCTCCGATGGAACTGGAGATTCAGAAATGAACTTTTGCTCTTCTTGAACTGGTGAATCATGTTTTTCGTAGACTGATTGAAGTAATGGATCAGAAGCCTCTGGTTCACCTTGTTCTTCTTCATCGTCAGAATCTCGCTTCAATTTATCATAAGCAGTCTTGGCTCCGATGGCAGCAAGAGCAACTGGAGCTGCAATAACTCCACCAGCAACCATTCCAGCTTTCTTTGCGAATCCAAGAAGTTTGTCTCCAAACTTGGACTCTTCTGGCTCCTCTGGATATTCTGAATGATATTCTCCAGCTGGATATTCTTGATGTTGGGAAACATCAGCGAATTGATCTCTTTCGGATGAAATCAAAGAACTTCTGGGAGACCGTGGAGATTCTTGATCATCGAAATGTGCATGAGTGGTTGTAGTTGTTGTTTCAGTTTTCTCGGTTTCGGGCTGGTGCTGGAATTCTTGATGGATGTTTTCAGCGGATTGAGGAACATCGTCTGAAGCAACGAATTCAGATCTCACAGGAGATTCTGGCTCCCACAATTTTTCGGATGATTGTTGAAGGCTTGATGGAACCGATTTTTCACGATGTTGTTCTTTGATATCTGATGTTGGATAGTCCTGGTCTTGTGTTAGTTCAGTTGTATCCAAGCTCGATTTGATATCTTCTGGATTTTCTGGTAATTCAGAATATGTTTGCGATTCTTCTTCATCTTGTTCGAATTGATATTCGGAAACATCTTGAGATTTTCCGGTTGATTGAAGATTGAATTCAACAGGTTCTTTTTTGTCTTCTGATTCACTCACAACAGAAGTTGTAGTGACAGTCACATGTTCTGGCTCTTCATTATCGCTTGATTCTTCATTTTCATCAAATATTTCTCGATGAACTGTTGTGATTGTTGTTGGATCTTCTTCCTCAACTTGAGTTGAATCCGGGAAATCATGAGATGGATCAAGTTCTCGAGTAATTGTGGTTGTTGTGATTGTCTCGACCACATGTTCTGGTGTTTCCTCTTCAAAATCTTCGAATTCTCTTTTCACAATAGTTGTTTTTGTTTCCATATCTGGTTCATCTTCCTCAACTTCTGTTTTCACAGTTGTTGTAGTGGATGTTTCAATATCATATGGTTGTTGCTCAGCGAGCGGCTCATCAATATTTTCTTCAGAATCTTCGTAGAACTCTCTTGTCACTGTTGTGGTTGTTGTTGTTTCAATTATGTGTGGTGGATGTTCTTCATCGAATTGTGATAAAATTTCGACGTTTTCAGATGGGATTGGTGATTCCGGTAAATGTTGGACACTTGATCTTTCTGATGGAATTGGAGATTCAGAAAATTGTTGAACACTTGATTTTTCAGACGGAGCTGGGGATTCAGAAGTGAATTTGCGCTCTTCTTGTTCTTGAATTGGAGATTCTGGCAAGTGTTGAATGCTAGATCTTTCTGATAGATCTGGTGATCCAGCTGATTGTTGAACACTTGATTTTTCTGATGGAACTGGAGATTCAGAAATGAACTTTTGCTCTTCTTGAACTGGTGAATCATGTTTCTCATAGACTGATTGAAGTAATGGATCAGAAGCCTCTGGTTCACCTTGTTCTTCTTCATCTTCAGAATCTCGCTTCAATTTATCATAGGCAGTCTTGGCTCCGATGGCAGCAAGAGCAACTGGAGCTGCAATAACTCCACCAGCAACCATTCCAGCTTTCTTTGCGAATCCAAGAAGTTTATCACCGAATTTGGATCCTTCGGGTTCTTCTTGAGTAGTTTCGGATTCATAGGCTGGTGGATCTACAGTTGGTTCATCTGTTGATGTGCTATGCTTGATGACTTGAGCAAATTCACGATCAGACATTGGATCTGTTTGACCTAACAATTTGGATGATTCGGATGGCTCATCATCTTCTTCTTCTCCAGATAGATTTCCGAGAAGTGTTGATCTTGTTGGTGATTCATGGCGATACTCCCCAGATGGTCTAGAATCTCTAACACTTTCATAAACAGTTGTTGTCTCCGTTAACTCCACAATATGTGAAGTATCATCTCCATGATCTTCTAATTGTCTGGTTACAGTTGTTGTAGTGGTAGCTTTTATACCTGATTCTTCTCCTTCACTATCTGATTCTTGTCCTTGAGTCACTGTGAATGTTCTGTAAACTGGAACTGGTTCGTCTTCACCTTCGTAGAATCTTTGTGTGATTGTTGTTGTTCTCACAACATCTTCGACTGGTGCTTCTGATTTGTCTGATGGAACTGGTGATTCTCGTTCAGCTTCTGGCTCATCAAAATATTCGCGAGTTGTGGTTGTAGTTGTTTCGATTACATGAGCTTGTTCAGCTTCAGACGGAACTGGAGATTCCAATGATTGCTGAATACTTGATTTCTCAGATGGAACTGGAGATTCAGGGTGAGCAGCAACGGATGAATGTGATTTTTCAGATAGAACTGGTGACACAGATCTTTCGAATCGTTGCTCAGCAACTGGAGATTCTGGTTCGTCAAAGAATTCACGAGTTACAGTTGTGGTTGTTGTTGTTTCCACAATGTGTGGTTCATCATCATGAATTGGTGATTCAGCTCTCGATTTTTCAGACGGCACTGGAGATCCAGCTGATTGTTGAACACTATATCTCTCCGAAGGAACAGGCGATTGTCTGTCAGAAGCTTGTTCTGGTTCGTCAAAGAATTCACGAGTTACAGTTGTAGTTGTGGTTGTTTCAGTCACATGTGGATGTTCTGACTCTGATGGAACTGGTGATCCTACAGATTGATGAACGCTTGATTTTTCCGATGGAACTGGAGATTGACGTTCAGAAATTTGTTCTGGTTCTTCAAAATATTCTCGAACAACGGTGGTAGTTGTCGTGGTCTCAACAATATGTGATTCATCATGGCTTGGTGATTCAGGTCTCGATTTCTCTGATTGAATTGGAGATTCAGCTGATTGTTGAATGCCTGATTTCTCCGATGGAACTGGTGATTGGCGTTCAGAAATTTGTTCTGGTTCTTCAAAATATTCTCGAACAACGGTGGTAGTTGTCGTGGTCTCAACAATATGTGATTCATCATGGCTTGGTGATTCAGGTCTCGATTTCTCTGATTGAATTGGAGATTCAGCTGATTGTTGAATGCCTGATTTCTCCGATGGAACTGGTGATTGGCGTTCAGAAATTTGTTCTGGTTCTTCAAAATATTCTCGAACAACGGTGGTAGTTGTCGTGGTCTCAACAATATGTGATTCATCATGGCTTGGTGATTCAGGTCTCGATTTCTCTGATTGAATTGGAGATTCAGCTGATTGTTGAATGCCTGATTTCTCCGATGGAACTGGTGATTGGCGTTCAGAAATTTGTTCTGGTTCTTCAAAATATTCTCGAACAACGGTGGTAGTTGTCGTTGTCTCAATAATATGTGATTGATCATCATGAATTGGTGATTCCGGTCTTGATTTCTCTGATGGAATTGGAGATCCAGCTGATTGTTGAACACTAGATCTTTCCGATGGAACTGGTGATTCGACTCGAGCAGCAACTGCTGATTGAGATTTTTCTGATGGTACTGGTGACGCAGATCTCTCGAATCGGTGCTCTGGTTCAACTTCATATTCGCGAGTTACAGTTGTTGTGATTGTTTCAATCACATGTGGATGTTCTGATTCAGATGGAACTGGCGATTCATGTTCATCAAAATATTCGCGAGTTGTTGTAGTTGTAGTGGTTGTTTCGATTACTCGAGTTGGTTCTTCTTCATATTCTGATGACTCGATCACTGATTTCTCGAATTCAACTGGGGAATCAGCCTTGATTGGTTCTTCATCAAAGTGTTCCCGAGTTATCGTAGTTGTAGTTGTTGTTTTAACAAATTGTGAATGTTCACTTTCAGATGGAACTGGAGATTCTGGCAAGTGTTGGATGCTCGATCTTTCTGATAAAATTGGAGATTCAGCTGATTGTTGAATACTTGATTTCTCCGATGGAACTGGAGATTCAGAAATGAACTTTTGCTCTTCTTGAACTGGCGAGTCATGTTTTTCGTAGACTGATTGAAGTAATGGATCTGTAGCCTCTTGTGTCGATGGTTCACCTTGATCTTCTTCGTCATCAGAATCTCGTTTCAATTTACCATAAGCTGTTTTTGCTCCGATGGCAGCAAGAGCAACTGGAGCTGCAATAACTCCACCAGCAACCATTCCAGCTTTCTTTGCGAATCCAAGAAGTTTGTCTCCAAACTTGGATTCTTCCTCTTCTGGTTGTTCCGAATGATATTCTCCTGCTGGATATTCTTGATGTTGCGAGAATTCCTCTCGATGTTGCGAAAGAGGTTCTTGAATATTTCTTGGTTCGTCGGCCAAATTTTCTAGAGAACCTCCAGTTGATCCACTAATTATTGGAGTTCCATCTGCTAAAACTCCAGAAATTATTGGTTCGGATTGATTGTCATAATCCTGTTGTTGAGAGATTGAAGTTTCAGTTGTTTCGAGTTTTTCAACACCAACGGGCGCAGTAGATTCTTGTTGAGCAGAAGTGAGTGATTGAGGTTCATCGAAATATTCGCGAGTTACAGTTGTAGTTGTGGTTGTTTCAGTCACATGTGGATGTTCTGACTCAGATGGAACTGGGGATCCAGTTGATTGTTGAATACTTGATTTTTCCGATGGAACTGGAGATTGGCTCTCAGAAATTTGTTCTGGTTCATCAAGATATTCTCGAACAACGGTGGTAGTAGTCGTTGTCTCAACAATATGTGATTGGTCATCATGAATCGGGGATTCGGCTCTCGATTTCTCTGATGGAATTGGTGATTCAGGGTGAGCAGCAACGGATGAGTGTGATTTTTCAGATAGAACTGGTGACGCAGATCTTTCGAATTGATGTTCAGCAACTGGAGATTCTGGTTCATCGAAGAATTCACGAGTAATAGTTGTGGTTGTTGTAGTTTCCACAATGTGTGGTTCATATTCATGGCTTGGTGAGTCAGCTCTTGATTTCTCTGATGGAATTGGAGATCCTGCAGATTGTTGAATACTGGATTTTTCAGAAGGCACCGGTGAATCTCGTTCAGCTTGTTCTGGTTCATCGAAAATTTCGCGAGTAACAGTTGTGGTTGTGGTTGTTTCGATAACTTGTGGATGTTCTGACTCTGATGGAACTGGGAATCCAGCTGATTGTTGGATACTTGATTTTTCTGATGGAACTGGTGATTGACGATCAGAAATTTGTTCTGGTTCTTCAAAATATTCTCGAACTACGGTGGTAGTTGTGGTTGTTTCAACAATATGTGGTTCTTCCTCATGAATTGGTGATTCAGGTCTTGATTTTTCTGATGGAATTGGAGATCCAGCTGATTGCTGAACACTAGATCTTTCCGATGGAACTGGTGATTCAACTCGAGCAGCAACTGATGATTGCGATTTTTCTGATGGTACTGGTGACGCAGATCTCTCGAATCGGTGCTCTGGTTCATCTTCATATTCACGAGTAACAGTTGTTGTTGTGATTGTTTCAATCACATGTGGATGTTCAGATTCTGATTGAACTGGTGATTCGGCTCTTTGTTGAATACTCGATTTCTCAGATGGAACAGGTGATTGACTATCAGAATCCTGTTGTGGTTCGTCAAAAATTTCACGAGTTACAGTTGTTGTTGTGGTCGTTTCAATCACATGTGGATGTTCAGATTCAGATGGAACTGGGGATCCTACAGATTGATCCACGCTTGATTTCTCCGATGGAACTGGAGATTCTCGTTGAGCAGTTGTTTCTGGCTCATCGAAATATTCTCTGACAACAGTAGTAGTGGTTGTTTCGACAATTTGTGATTGATCATCGTGGCTTGGGGATTCAGGTCTCGATTTCTCTGATGGAATTGGAGATCCAGCTGATTGTTGAACACTCGATTTCTCAGACGGGACTGGAGATTCAGATTGTTCGAATCTTCCTTCAGTAATTTCAGATTGTGGTTCAGATTCATATTCACGAGTTATAGTTGTGGTTGTTACCGTTTCAATGATGTGTGGATGTTCAGATTCTGATGGAACTGGTGATCCAGAACTTTGTGCAGCAATATCTGATTCTTCACCTTGAACTGGAGATTCAATTGAGTCTGATGGTTTGATAACACTTCGCTCTGATGGAGCTGGTGAATCGGATCCAATTGTTGTGAAACTTGGATCTTCTGCTTGAATCGACGGACGTTTCGTTGATTCAAATTGGCTCGATGTTTCACCTTGATCTTCTTCATCTTCAGAATCTCGTTTCAATTTATCATAAGCTGTTTTTGCTCCGATGGCAGCAAGAGCAACTGGAGCTGCAATAACTCCACCAGCAACCATTCCAGCTTTCTTTGCGAATCCAAGAAGTTTGTCTCCAAATTTGTTATCATCATCAGATTCTTCAGGATCTTGTTGGATTTGAGGAGAAGATTCAGCGATGCTTGATCTATGTGATGGTACGGGAACTTCTGTAGATGTTTCGGGTTGAACAGGTGATTCTGGTTCAGTATAATATTCTCGAGTTACTGTTGTTGATGTTGTGGTTTCGAAAGCAGGTGATTCCGATCTCTGAGCAGCCACTGGATGTTCTTGCTCCAAAATCACAGTTGATCTTTGAGCAGCAATGGGTGACTCAGAAACCACTGTAGTCGAACTGGTTGTGAAACTTTCAACAGTTGGTTGGACCGATTTTTCAGATGGAACTGGTGACTCAGCAAGTCGAGATGACAATTCTGAAGTTACACTTTCAGCATATTCTTGAGTTATTGGTTTTTCTGAGACAATTGGTGAAGTTTGTTCATCAATTGAATCGTGTCCACTATACACTGGTTCAATCGAATGTTCGAGTTCACTTTCATGTTTCTCGAAAGTTTCAGCAACTTGATGAATATGTTCAGAAGGACTCATAGCACCTTCCGACGATGTTGGTGAATACGATTTGATATCCTTGATCTCAGCTTTTGCAACATGCTCTTCAGATGGTTGTAACTCTCCGGCTAATTCTTCATCTTGATCAAATTCTCGAGTATCTTTCAATTCAGCGTGTTTCGATGTTTGATCGTCTGATTCAACGTGTTGATCTTCCTCGTCTTCTTCTCGATCGGATGGAATTGGAGTGTGTGGAGTGACGACAATTCCAACGGTAGAAAGATGAGATGAGGATGCTGATTCAGCTTCGAACTTTGCGATTCGATCTTTAACAGATCCGAGCGATTCGACTGGTGAATCTGCAATAAGATTGGATTGTTTTGGTTGTAGACATTTACGTTAAGAGACACGTCACGGACTGAGGATTTTAAAAAGAAAACAGAGATTTTTGCTAGGTGGCACCCTGCGCCTTGAAAAATTGAAATTTTTTTTTAAAATTTAAGGTGATGTGCAAAATACTTTCTCTAACTCAAAAAAGTGCAAAACCAAAAGCAAACTGAAAATGCAATTTTCCAATTCCGAACGACCTTACAACGAAAATATTAACATGCAAAAAATCTGAAAATTTGTCGCCAAAAAAATCTGAAAATCCTCGAGCATCTCTGAAAATCGATCCCAAAACCTGAATTTTCACCACAACAAAAAATGAACCAACAACAAAAAACCATGTTTCGGTGCAACAACAAACAACATAATAATTTTTCAAATTTTTTTTCTTTGAATTTTTATTTTACTCGAAGTTTATTTGTGTTCTATTATATCAAAAAACGAGAGAAAGAGAGAGCGAGAGAAGCAGAGAAAAAAAGAACAGTCCGTGACGTGGAGATTTACTGACCAGGTGCTGATTGTTCGTGGCCACTGACAATGTCGGTTGATTCGCCTGCAAAAAAAATTTGAATTTTTTTTTTGAAAAGTGCATGTTTTTCTCGTGTGCTCTTTTTTTCTTCTCTCATCTTTTGCTCAATCGTTTTGTTGTGTGTTCAACATAAGCTCCCCCATGTCAAAATGTGTAATATCCTGGCTCTCTCACTCTCTCTCTCTCTCTCTCTAAATTCCCCGTTATTTGACTTATCGATCGAAAAACTTTCGAAATTGTCAACAAAAATGTGGTAGACACAAAAAAAATTACCTGGAAGTGTGGTGCGAGTTGTTGTGACGACACGAGTCATCTTCTTGGATACAACAACTGATCCGTCCTCATTGGTGAATCCTTCTTCGGCAGTCTCTTTCTTCTGAGTTGTTCCAGAGTCGGAATGTTCTTGGGATGCTGGAAAAAAAATTGTTGAGAGAATTTAGAAGTTTTCCTTGATGTTGTTTGGCACACGGTTAGAGAGAGAGAGAGAGAGATATCAGAGAAAAATAGATCTACGTACAAATATCGGCGAGAATTTGTTGTTGAAGTGCGCGAATTTGATCGCTATCCATCGATGCCATTCCGGGAGTTTCAGTTTCGTAGACGGTTTTAGTGGTGGTTGTGTGTTTGCTTTGGTTCACACGAATTTGTACATCTCGCCCAGCTCCGGCGACCGCTAAAGCTCGTGCGACCGCATCCGAAACCGCTGGATCGGCTGGGGTAACAGCGCCGGCTTGTCGAAGTTCTTCTTCGAGTTCGCGGAGACGTTGAACAGCGCTTGAATGCTTATCCGCGTCAACCATCTTCAAAGTGAATAAAAGCCGAGCCAAAATATGCTCCGCCTCTCCTGGCTCAACCTCTTCGTCGTCCTCGTCGATTTCCAAAAGTGGTTGATGTGTGGCGAGTTTGAAGAATTGTACAAGTGGAACACCGCGTGGATCGAGTTCCAATAAAGCGGCAGCCAGAGATGCTGATCTGGCTCTGGGTTCGAATTGCGCGCTCGACGCGATGGGCGTGGCCTCCTCATCATCATTGTTGTGGTGAGCTGATCCCGCCTCTTGCTCCAAATAGATTGAGAAACGTCGCGCGGCTCCTTCTGGATCCTCATGCTCATGTTCAGCGTGTTCACCGTCCCAACTTTCAGCTTGGAATTGGTTGAAACTGCTGACATGGTGAATAGCTGGGGTGGATGTTAGGAGTGTCTCATGACCTTCCACTCCGGTAGATCCACTGATGATTGGTGTTCCGTCAGCCAAAACTCCAGAAATAAGAGCTTCCGACATTTTCTTGTGGGATTTTTTTTCGAAAATGAAAGAATCACGTATGAACAGAAAACAAAAAGAAGTGAAAAATAATCTATCTATCTTTTTTTTCTCTCTCTGATATCTCTCTTCTTCTGAAAAACACACCCCATGTGTGTGCCAAACAACATAAGGTTTATATTCTTTTTATTGTTATTAGGGGCTAAGCGGCAACATAATAGGCTTTCTCTCTTGCAAAAAATCATTAAAATAATATTAATTAATTAATTATCATCTAGTACCTTCTTCTTCTTCTTGATCATGATGATGTTGATGTTCAGGGGTGGATTCTGGAAAATGTTAGAAGTTGGTGCAGGAAAGATAGGAAAAAAGTGATTGGATAGGGAAAAATGGCGAACCTGTAACATGACTGGTTGTGGTTGTTGTGGTGACAACAGTTCCATCATCTTCAACATGTCTCTCAGTTTCGGTCTCTTGTTCGATGCCTTCGGGAAGACTTTCATGCTCGGCTGAGACATGTGGAACCTCTTCGGCTAACCGATTCAGCTCGTCCCATCTGAAAAAAACTTTTTTTGAAAATCTTTGATGCTCCAACTCACTTTTGTTGCTCTTCCTCGTTTAACGGCACAGTTCGATCAGAGATATTCTCATTAACTGCCACGTCATCTTCATAGGTTGTTGTAATGGTTCGCTCCTCAACGACCGGACCATCTGGTGTATCATGAACGTGTCGCTCGGTTCGAACAACGGTTCGCAATTCAGACACGGGTTCTGCAAAAAAAAACATTATCAAGTGAATTCTACGTTTCAAAAACTACATACCTTCATTTGCACCACTTGGTTGCTGTTCTTCTTCCTCTTCTGGCTCCGGCTCTTCTGGAACTGGACTATGTTGATGATATTGGGGAGAGGAAACCGATGGTTCGGCTTGTTGAACGATTGGCTCGTGAGTTACGATATCTTCAGTGCGAATTTCTCGCTTGATTTCGTATTTCTTGATTGGTTCGGAGGATTCCAATGATCGTTTTTGACTTGGCGAATCAGATTGCGAATAATTATTCAATGTTTCCGGTTCACCATAAGCAATACTTCGAACAATATCATCTCTTCCAATTCGTCGCAAAGCATTATCCAAATTCTCTGGCGTCGCATCCTCCTTCTTCAAATGAATCCAAATCTTCAAAGTGTTCTTCAACTCTTGTCCCGGATAGTTTTGTCGAATATGTTGAATATCTCGATGGGGAACTTCAAGAGCTCTACCAAGTCTCGGCCAATCGGCTCCAACTCCTTTGATAACATTCGAATGAACAAAATCGGGCAACTCGTTTTGCAAAACTCCTTGATACTTTTGCTCGAATGGTGTGGTATCTTTTTTGGCGACAATTGGAGCCTTGATTTCACCAGTGTATTCGGGAAGCGAAATTGCCAATGTGCAAATTGGTGCTTGTGGTGGAAGACTTTCGGCGCGGATCTTTGGCTCAGCCATGAAAGCGATTCTTCCCTCGGTAGCTGCTTCAGAATCATCCTTATTCCTCGTCTTTACCATAAATGCCAAACGATTCTCTTGGAATGGCAAGAAGAAAAGACTAAGTTGATCTCCACTTTTGGTAATTGGCACCAAATTTCCGGCGAATTCCAAGAATTGATGTTTGCCTTTCAAGACCTGAAATTTGAGCTGTATGTAAATTGATCCTATGAATATTTTTTTTTTAAAACTAACCTCAACATCTCTCGACTTGGCAATCAGCTTGAAATGCTCTTGTTTCTCCAAAGTCTTATCCTCTTTGTCATCAGTCATGCAGAAAACTCTCAATTGTCCCTCAACCGGGAAAGTTCGTCGAGCAAACACGGCGAATTTGGCCATGTAGGGTATCGAAATCGCCTCATTATAAACTTCTTGTGCCATTCGAGCAGCATCACGTGGGGTTTGACAATCCATCAACCAGAATCTAGCAGATACTGTAGTAGTGAATGAAACCTCATCTCCAGTGAATGTTAGTTGTGTTGTTCCAGTAATATCTTCCCATTGAGCTGGCGCTGATCCTCCAGTAATTGAGCACAATAATCGAAGAGTTGGTGGTTCTTGTCCCTGTTGTCCACTGTATTGTGTCAACATTCCCTTGTTATTACTTTGTGGTAGTGGAATACAAAGAGTAATCGGTTTGTGGAACTTTCGTCGACGTGGTTCGACAGTAACAATTGGCGAGACAGCAACACGATTACCGTGTAATCGAGTAACCATGTCTTGTGGAACTGGTTGTGCTTGAACTGACACTTTGATTGTTTTTGTCAACGAGCCATCGGGGAAGATTGCTTGAACTCTTGGAACAACCGATGAGATGATGACTCCACCTTCTGGTCCAACACAATGAACTTCTTGTCTGACACGTGTCACAACAGCGAAATACATTGGGAAATCATTGGTGAGAATTCGAGTGATTCTTGGCGTGTGCAAATCATCGAGTTGTGCCAAATCTTCGGCATCAAACGATTCATTGAGCACCTCTTGAACCGCATCTTCAGTCGCCTCCAATTGATGTTCTTTCCAGTGTTGACCATCGTCGGATCGAAGAATCACAATTTCGCGCTCGCGATCTCTCAACGATGCGAAATGTGGAACTTCGAGAATGACTGGACCCAAGAATTTGGCGCCGGCTGGTGCCATCTCCAAAATTCTTGAGGCCAGCTCTTCGCCCTCGGAGAGTGGTGGTGGGTGGGCGAGCTTGTCTTTTCGCAAATAGCGGCAAGTTACACGAATTGGTTGAGAGGCTTTTCTGGGTGGCACGATGATTCGAACACCCGAATGACGACAACCACGCATTGCGCCACCTCGAGCGTCAACAAGGAATGAGATCAGGAAACTGCAAAAAAAATTTATTATGGGTGTGGGAAGAAATCTTGAGGTCCGAGCTCTCGAAATTCTGGACCAGGCCTGTGCCGGAAAATCAAAACCCGGAAAACGGAAAGTCGGAAATTTTCCGAATTTTTTGAACCGGAAAATCCGGAAAATTTTTCAAAGTCTGAAATTTCGATTTTCAGCCTTAAGTTGGCACTAAAACTTATTTTTATTTACAATTCTTCTATTAACAGGTAATTTAGTAACTATTTGAGATGTTTTACGTTTAAAAAATAGTAAAATTTGAAAAATTGAAAAAAAATTTCCAAAAATTTCATTTTTTCTATCATAAACTGAGAAAATTTCCCAAAATTTAGGCAAAATTGTAAGTATTACTACTAAAGATCATTTTCCGGATTTTCCGAGCACATTTTCCGGAAAACCGGAAAATTGATTTTTCCGTGAAAAAAGCGGAAAATCCGGAAATTCGGAAAATTCGGAAAATTTCCGGCACAGGCCTGTTCTGGACCTCTTTGTATCTAAAAAAAAATAAATAAATAAATAACATGCAAACCAAAAAACATCACAATAATAACTAAAACTACAGGTTGGTACTTACTTTAGATGTTGTAGTTTACTGTAAATAGTTAATGTCACTCAAAAACTTGTTAGATAGGGGAGTGTTAATCTAATTAACATTAGAAAACAAGTACAAACCTTGGTTGTGTGACATGATGTCCAATCGGAACATTATCCGGATGATGACTGCTCGGATCAACAACCATATCGTAATTGGGTTGTGTTTGAATGGGATTCGCTTGCGCTCTTCGAATCAACTCCTCGATGTTGTCGGCGTTGTCGACATGTGTTGAGGCTCGCGGTGCAACAGCGGCGGCGGGTGCAATTTTAGCCACAAACTCTTTGTCTGGTGTCACACCACCCGAGTTCACCTTTGGAATTGCGCCGCCGTTCTCGAGCTCTTGGCTTCGTTGAAGCAGCTGGAAATGGGACTATATTAAAATCAATAATAATATTTTTGGTTGGTCAAAAAAAGTGTCCTCGGGCGAGAAAAGAATAAGAATAATATTTTTTTTACAAAAAAAAAAACATTTTTCTTTCCTTCTGCTGTCTAATATAAACATGCACCAGATGTGTACTACGGCTAGTCTCGAGAAGAAAAAAAAGAGGGAAAAAGGATCATTTTTTCTTGGATTATTTATTTTTTATGTGGTGTTGGGGGTTCATTTTTCACCACCACAACCAAAACGAAAGCGAAAGCGAAAAAAAATCGAAGAAAAAAATTTTTTTTTCTCGAAGAACTGAGGGTTTTTCCTTTATTTATTTATTATTTTTATTGGTTTTTGAAGATGATTTTTTGGTATAGTTCAAATAAAATGGCGAAAAATTGAGGGATTGACACTTTTTCGCAAGAAAAAAATCATTGGGGATTTGTTTTGACACTTTTCGGGAGAGCGAAATTTGAGACATCCTATAGAAATTTTTCTTTGAAAGTGAGTTTATAATAATATTCAGAATCAGAAAATTCTCCCCAAAAAAAAAATAAAAATGTACCTGTTCCCCAGTGTGAATCATATGAACACCAGTCGAATCTTGAAGTGCTTGTGTCAAATTATCCGAGAAATCTTTAGCGTGAGCCGCAGCAACTTCATGTTCAGCTGCTTGTCCCTCATCTTCAGATTCTGAGAACATTGTTTCATTCATCGCTTCGGGATTCTGTGGTTTGTAGCGTTCATCGACGGTGGTGGTTTCGGTGATCACAGTTGTTTCAGTGACAGTTCGCAACGTCTCGACAACTGAGACATAACCAAGGCGTTCGGCGATAGAGAGTGGTGTTTGGCCAGTCTACAAAAAAAATTTTTGAATTGATGAGAAATATGCGCCACGTTTTTTAAAAAGATTTTAAAAAATCTAAACTCACCGCAGTTTGCTCATTCGGCGATGCTCCATGCTCCAACAAATATCTCACACAATTATTGTGTCCTTGTTGAGCGGCTTGATGCAACGGTGTATAAGAAGCTCTGGTCTTCTCTCCCACATCGGCCCCATTTTCGACGAGGAATTTGACCATATTCAATTGTCCGAAATGGCAAGCAACATGCAGTGGTGTGTAGCCAGCATTGGTTTTGCTGTTGATCTCGGCGTTGTTGTCCTTGAGAATCTGAGCGACTGGCACACGATCTTCTTGCGCGCACAAATGCATCGCCGTCAGACCGTTGTTCGCCTTTGCCGCCACATCAGAACCGTTTTCGATGAGAAGCCCCGAGATCTCACGATGTCCTTCTTGTGATGCCAAATGGAGTGGAGTGAATCCTGCGCGGGATTTTGCATTGGGATCCGCTTTATATTGCAATAACGTTGACGCAATCTCCATTTGATTTTTCTTGGCAGCAATATGCAAAGGTGTATAACCATTTTTCGCGTATGCTTTTGCTGAAGCCCCATTTTCCAGCAATAACATCGCAACTTTATCATTATTATAATGTGCAGCAACATGTAATGGTGTAACTTGATTTTTGCCCTCAATATCTACCGGAGTACCCCTCTCCAATAAAAGTTTGACGACTTCCAAATTCCCATATTTACTCGCAAGATGAAGTGGTGTGAATCCTTTCTTGGTGAGTAATGTCTTATCCGCTTTGTGATCTAATAAAATTGCCGCGACTTCTTCTTGCCCCTCTTTTGCAGCAATATGCAGTGGTGTGTATTGATCGCGTGTTGCTGCATTCGAATTCGCGCCAGCTTGAAGTAATAAAACAACAATATCTGTATTACCGAGACGGGAAGCGATATGAAGTGGTGTTTGCAGTTCTCTTGCCTGAGCATCGACCTTGGCCCCATTGCGGATCAATACTCGAACAACATCAGTTTGATTGGCGCGAGCAGCGAGATGAAGTGGTGTTTCGCCTCGAACTGTTTCAACATCCGGATTTGCACCTTGTTGCAAAAGATAGATGACAATATTGATTGCACCCATAAATGAAGCGACGTGAAGAGGTGTTAATCCACTTTCGGTGGTAGCTTCGATTGCGGCACGGTATTTCAAGAGAAGCTCGACAACCTTTATGCGATTCTTCTTGCAAGCGATGTGAAGTGGTGTGAATCCATTCAAAGCTCTCGCATTTGGATCGGCGTTTCGGTCAAGAAGCAATTTTGCAACACGAACATGTCCACAATGCGCTGCCACGTGTAAAGGTGTCAAATAATCCACAGTCACATCATCAACCGGTGCTCGATGATATAATAAAGTTCGAGCGGCGTCAACATGATCACCTTGAGCTGCCATATGTAAAGGAGCAAGTCCATTCTTGGTTTTGGCGGAAATCGGTGCGCCTTGAACAACAAGCAAATCAACGACTTGATCATGTCCAGATCTTGCAGCACAATGCAAAGGTGTCAAGAGATCTTTGGTTCGCGAATCGATGACAGCGCCACGTGACAATAAAAGATTGGCCATATTTGTTCGTCCCCATTTGGTGGCAACATGGAGAGGGCTGGAAAGATATATTATATAAATGTGTATGCGCTTGGCGCATATTTGTGACACACACAAACACACAAAAAGAACATAAGGGTCCCTAGAGAGCTTTTTGGACTATTTTCTTTTGTTTGCTCACATAATTCAATATTCGGTATAGACACATGGGTTGGGCTAGGAAATTGAGTAAAAAGTATACTGTACCTGATGTTATGCCTTGCTTGATAGTTCACATTTGCTCCTTTATCCAACAATAATTGAGCAATATTCTCATGTCCATAATGCGACGCGATATGCAATGGTGTGAATCCGGATTTCGAAGTTACATCTGGATTATGCTCATTTTGTAGTAAAAGTGTTGCCGCCTTGGTGTCATCTTTTTTCGCAGCAATATGCAACGCTGGCAATCGAACTTTTCCACGTGTATCATTTTCGAGCAACACCGCCACAACTCGATCGTGTCCTTGTTGTAAAGCGACGGCGAGTGGAGTGAAACCGTCTTCGGTGGAGAGCGCTTGATTGGCTCCGTGGTTGAGCAGATATCGAACAACGTCTTCGTGATTTTCTTGAGCCGCCATGTAGAGCGGGGTGAAGCCGTTGACCGATTGCACGTTGACGTTGGCACCATTTTCAACGAGAATTGTAACTATTAACGATTGTCCGGCTAGTGAGCCAATGTGCAATGCGGTGTTTCCTTTCTGGAATGAAAATTATTGGTGAATTCAGTTTATTTGGCTTCAAAAGACCTGTTGTTCATTCAAAAATAATGGTGGAAGAGAAAATACAATTGGTTTTCTAGGCCATATCGGTTCAAACACAAAAACTTCACACACCCCGCTGAAACGAGAAATGACTGTTTTTCTACTGTAGAACGCAATCGAGAAGTGTGCAAACACCGCGTCTCTGCGTCTCTCGAAAATTCACACTGTTTTGTTCGTTCAAAGGAACATACATTTATTAATTTATTGGGTCTCGAAAAGCTGGCCTTCCTGGGCTCCTAGGAAAAACTGCATGGAAATAAGCTTTGGTGGAGCCAATTTCGACACGCTGAATCTCGTGGTATTTTTCATTTTTTCTCTAACGCCTGTTTTCCTAACGAAAATTGGTACGCCAATTATTTCATTGATTTACGTTGCTGATTAAAGGGACACGTATTTATTTAACCGCGAACTCGAGGGCCAAAAAATACGTGGTTTATTCGCAGGACCCCTAAAAATATGAGTAACATAGTTTAATGTAGATCTTGAGACGCTGATTCTAATGGTATTTTTATTTTTTCATATAACGACCTCTAAGGTAACTAAAATTGGTACGCCAATGAGAACAGCATTTTGCTAATTTTTTCATTGTTTGAGCGGGTGTGTTCACAAACCCCCTCTCTGAGGAATCTTCCCCTCTCAAAAAAACCCAGCAAGAAAAAAAAACTAAACATACCCTTGTGGCCGCATCAACAAGTGCATTTCGCTTAATCAATTCCCTAACCACTTCCTTATGCCCCTCTTTCGATGCCAAATGAAGTGCATTAAGTCCATTGGCATTTGAAGTGTTGATATCAGTGCCAGAACGAAGTAATTCGAGAACTTTGTCCAAATCACCAGCTCGTGCAGCTCGCAAAAACGACGCGCTGCCCTCCGCCTTGCCCCCGGTGGTGGCTTGTTCCGCAGTCGGTAATTGCTGTTGCTGCTGTTGTTCGGCTGATGATGATTCGTGTTGAATCGGTGGATCGCCTTCGTTCGACATTCTGGAAATTAGCTTCAATTAGTTAGGCTAAATCGGCAACAACACAACAACAAAAAAAGAGAAGGAAAATAAAAATAGAAGACAAAAAATTTGTATATGTATCGACAAAAGGCGAAAGAGAGGACCCTCTTCTTTTTTCTTTCTTTTTGGTTGGTTCAGGAAAACGAGAGAGTGAGAGTTAGAGGAACAGAAGCAGAAGCTGAGGAGAGAGTTGCTCGGCGAGCAAAAGTGTTGTGTTGTGTGTGTGCCATTGGCACGCTGCCATTTCTCGAGGGGGGAAATTGCGGAAATAGTGTGGGATGGGGCGGAGGGACGGGTTTTTAAACGCACAGAGAGAGAAATGAGGATGAATGTAGTAAAAAAAGAAGAAGCATAAGAAGAAGCTTGTGGTTTTTTGTGTCTACCTTTTTGACTTTTGTTGTGGAAACATTCTGAGAAGAAATGAACACCGGTGAAAAAAATTCGGATTTTATTGCGGGTGAGAGTGAGGAGGTTTTAGAGAACTTATGAATTCTTTGAGAGCTGATTTTCCAAAATTTCAGAGCTAACTACACTCTATTTGGACTAGACTATTCTGTAGTTTAGCCTAACTTAAAAGTAGTTAAACCCAAAAGGCTTTAGATTTGAAAAAAATAAAAAATATTCGGAAAAACTCCCAAGAAAGTAGATTACTCTATGTAAAAATATGTTAGACCAAGCTATACTATAGTCTAGTTAGGCACAATCAAACTAGAGTCTAGTTAGCCTCAGACTTCCGGAAAGTCAGCTCGCAGCGTTTTCTTGAAGAAAATTTCTTCTATAAAAATCACAAAAAACTAGAAAGTAGAGCTTTGAAAAATTTAATTTTTAGTCAAGAAATTTTTAAAAATTAAATCAGAAAATTCAACCTGGAATTCTGAACTTCAGAGGATTTTCTAAAGAAGTTCCAGAAACTTTCTAAGATTCTATATCAAAGTTCAAATTCGGGAAGAAACTAAACTATAGTCTAGTACTTACAGCAACTTGGGATTCCGGAAAACGAAAACATCAATTCAAAACTTTCGTTTGGACAAGATAATTGAGTTGAGTTTTTTTTTATTTTGATTTATATCGGTATTGGCTTTTCGAATTTAATTCTCAAGGGAAAATGGGCCGAAAAGTTGTGCCGAGACAAAATTGGGCAAGAACGAGAAAAAATCGATAAATCATCGGGGAAAAATGGGGGTCTGGAAAACTGAGAGAATTGTTCAACCAACAAACACATACACATGTATGTATGGAAAAATCGAAAGTGATACTAAAAAAAATTGTCGAATTTGGAATTTGGCAACAATTCCGGTTCGAGACAAAAAACTAAAACGGAAAAAAAATGAGTTGGAAAAGGAAGTGAGAACAATTAAAGAGCAGGTGGAAACAAAAACAATAGATTTTTCTTGGGCTCCAAGAAAATACTGCTAAAGATTGCTCATATTATGTTATAGTTTTCCTTTTTCAGGGGGCAACGAAAAAAGTCACAGATTTAAAAATCTAATCCTTTTCTTTTTCTTCCTCTCTGAAAGAAGCAGAAGCAGAAGAAGCATCTTTTTCAAATTTGTGGGAAAAAAATGACTTTCGCCAAATGGCCAAAAAAATAGAGAGCGGGAAAAGAAGAAGAAGGATCGGCTCGAGTTTGGTGCATTTCGAATTAGATTGGAAGAAGAAGCGGGGGGAGCAACAACAAAAAAGAGCAAAAAGAAAAAGAAGAAGAGGGACCCCAAAAGCAGCCACTTTTTATTTACTTATTTGGTGTGTGGAGAAAGAAAAAGAAAAAAAAGTTTTTTCTTTTTTCTCAACTAGGGTTCAGAAAAAATTCTATTCTCTATTTTCCTATTTTCAAAAAACAAAAATCATGGGAAAAGTTCCGAAATAAAAAAAATTGGCGCTTGGCTATATATAGAGATGGCATTAATGATTTTTGGGCGGCGTGGGGTGGCCACCCGCGAGAGGAAATAGTGTGTGAAATGGGGAGGGTGCGAGGGGGGGAAAGGTCGTATTATTATTATTGTGGTTGGTTTGGTTTTTGGAAGAAGGGGAAGAAACAAGAGGTGACGTGTATGCTAATTTTATTGGTGTAAGCAAAAAAAATGGGGGAGAGAGAGAGCTGAGAGTTACACCAATTTGATAGATTGCTTTCAATTTTTTTGCGGTTGTTATGTCACATTGAATTTTTGTGAGAAATAGGGATTCTGAATAGGGCTGATTCACGAACGAAAAAAATGTTCAAAAAGTTTTTTTTAACATTGTAAGATCAATTCACGAAAAGTCAAAAAATGTCGAAAAAACATTGTAGGTCAAAATTAGTTTTTCAAGGGTTTTCAGCCAAAAATGATGACAAATCGATATTTTTCAAGCTTCTGGAGTAATTTCTGATGAAAATAAGCTTTGAGAAGCCTATTTTGCTTTATTTTATGAATTTTTTCGAAATTCATCAAAATTTAATTTTTTTATTTTACGAAAAATCAGCAAAAACTTCTGAAAAGTGGATTCCGAGGTCAATTTTCATCAGAAATTACTCCAGAAGCTTAAAAAATATCGATTCGTCATCATTTTTGGCTGAAAAACTCGAAAAACTAATTTTGACCTACAATGTTTTTTCGACATTTTTTGACTTTTCGTGAATTGATCTTTCGATGTTAAAAAAACATTTTTTAACATTTTTTCGTTCGTGAATCAGCCCTATTTTGGTAAAAAAAAGTTATTCCTAAACTTTTCAGATTTTTAAAATCTGATGATTTGATGTTTAAAGCGCTAGGGAGAATTTAGAAATTTTTCAAAAATTTTGATCCAGTTTTAAAATTATAACTTCTTTTGAGATCTGATACAATTTTAGGAGCAATGAAAATTCAAAAATTCTATAATTCTAGCATTGATAATGCTCATGCAAAAATACTAATTTAAAAAAAAGTTTTTAAAATTTCCCGATTCTCAAAATTTTATCAGATCTAAAAAAATTTTTGAGTTCTATTTCTAAAAAATCTTTCTAACTCAAACTTTTTTTCAAAATTTTTAGGTGAAAACTCAAAATACTTTAAACGATTCCAAAAATTCTAGAATTTAAATGTTTCGAGAAACAAGGTTTCAATTTCCGTTCAAATCTGATAAAACTAGAAAAATCCAAAATCCCAGAAAAAAAAACAGTAAATCTAAATCCAGCCCTAATTCAATTCACGGAACTGTGTATCTATGTACATTTCGATTCACAAGTTTAGAAAAAAAACTTTGGAATACGAAAAAACGACACAAACGATTGTGGAATATAACAATCAAAATGTATGACTATACTATAGATGGTTGGTTGCATTTTCAACACACACACCACAAAAAAAATGATTCCATTGTCAGTCATTTTCTTTTTTGGATGGGATGGTCAGTTTTGGTAGCGAAATTTGAAAAAATTCGGAAAATCTAAATAATTTTCACTTGGATTAAAATTCATTGAAGGAATTTTGTTTTTTGTTTTGGAAAAAAATGAATCAAATTCTTTTTCAAAAAAAATAAAATAAAATTTCGCGTGAAAAAAATAAAAATGAAATTATTTTCAAAAAATCACGGGATTTCTAATTTTGAAATTATTCTGGCATGGAGCTTCACAGGAATCTAAATTGTTCGAGAAAATGTGAGTTTTTGATGGGAGAATAAAATTGCCATGGCTACTGTAAAAGTTAGTCTAACAGCAAAAAGGTTAGTCTAGGAGTCTAGTAGTTTCGAAAATTAGTTTGAGCCCCAATTTTTATAATTAGAAAAAATCAAAATTCATATTTTATCGGAATTTCAGTTGTTCTAAATCTTTTTTTGTTTTTTTATCAAAAAAATTTTGATAGAAATTGATAATTTTAAGCTTTTCTTTTGGTTTCCAAAAATATTTTTTTGCTAGAAAAATTCAAAAACCAGGAAATTTTGAAATTGTTGATGAATTTTTCAAAATTTGTAAACGAAATGGAAAATCTTCAAGAACTAACTATTTCATAATTTAGCTCAATATTTATTTTTGAAAATTTTTCACATTTTTTTCGGGGTCCAAATATACATTTTTATACTTAATTTCCGAAAATTCTTGAAAAATCCGGCTATTTGACTTTTGAAATGTGTAAAAATAGATTTTTTTTGATTTTCTGAATTGCCACGTCATAGTTCTAAACATGAATGAGTCATTCATAAAAATCAATATTTTGAAGTTATTTCGAAACTTCAAAAAAAAAAATGACTCATGTCAATCAAGATTTGTTTTCTTTCTTTCATTCTTCTCAAACACATGTTTTGAGTCGGTGCAAGAGATTAAAATTTATGCGAAAAAAAAATTTCGAAAGTGATAAGTTGGGGTATTTAGAGCTCATAAAAAAAGTCCAGTGATAATAAATTTTTTAGTCCAGAATAATGTAGTATAGTCTTAGAATACTCAAAAAAAACCACCAAAACAAAAAAAATGAAAATGTATATATCTAGAAGAAAAAATAAGAATAAGAAGAATACCATTAGCTTTGGTTAATTAGTAAAGAAAAATAGAAAAGAAATGAGATTTGAAGTATGTGACCAAATAAGCAAAAGTGGAATTATTTTTATTTGGAGAAGATACATACTTGAGCAAAATTTGTTTATTTCAATATTTAATATCAGATATCAGATTTTGGACTTAATCAATAAGGTTTTATATTAAATCTAAATTTTTAAATGAAACAAATTGTTTTAAAAAAGTACAAATAAAATGTTGGATTCTATAGATAAGTCTAAATAAAATAAAACAAACAAAATTTTTTTTTTCGAAAAAAAATGAAAAGACGAGAGAGTAAATAAAGTTAAAAAAATAAAACACAAGTTTAGACGAGAAGAAACACATATCGAAGAGAAAAAAATCAACGCGCAAGCAAAAATCGAACAAACAAATAGAATCAGCAACAAAAAAACCCAGTTTCCAAGAAAAGAACTGATAAAAATAATCGATATAGGCAGAAGAAAAAAAAGTTTTGCATCAGCCCGATGCGGGG